AGAGGGGGGGGGGGGGGGGTATCTAGAAACTTCCAACACACACACGCGCGCGCACACATGCCCCATCCGTGCTGTCCTGAAAACAGCGGGCGACGAGCTCGTCAAGAGGTTCTCAAATGATAGGGACCTCTCTCTTCCAGTAGACAACTTTCGTCTTCTCTTCGACGTTACTAGACCCATCTCTCAAGTAAACATTTTTGTTCCAGCCGGTCCAACGCAAGACTTGAGTCGAGCCACGCACACACATCTCGCGGCCAGGTTTCGTACCGCACAGGCGCGCTCAGGAAGAAGCGGCGGGCGCGACGGGGGCCGCGGCCGGGGCGGGAGCCGCGGGCTCGGCGTCCTTCTTGTCGGCGGGAGGAGCGGTAGCCGTGGGCGCGGCGGCCGTGGTGGCCGGGGCCAGGGCCTCGGCGGCGGGGGCGGCGTCTGCAGCGGCGGGGGCCGCTGGGGTGGGCTCGCTGGTAGGCGCGGCGGCGGCGGCGGCGGCGGCGGCGGCGGCGGCGGCCGGAGTATCAGTCGAGGGAGCGGGAGCGTCGGTCGCGGGGGCAGCGGCTGCTGGTGCGGCTGCCGCGGTGCTGGGCTCGGCGGGCTTGGCTTCGGCACCGGCTGGAGCGGCGGCTGCTGCGGCGGTGGCAGGGGCTGCTGCCGGAGCTGCGGCGGCGGCGTCGGTCTTGGAGGGCTCGGCGGCGGGGGTGGTGGTGGCGGTGGCGGCTGGCTTGGGCTCCTTCTTCTCGTCCTTCCTCTTGAAGGCGGCCTTGAGCTTGGCCTTGAGGTTGTCGAGGGCACCTAGGGCTGTAGTCCGGGGGGAGCGGAGGGAGACTGGGGTTAGCGTTTGAGGGAATACTACTGATGGAGAGAGAGAGAGAGAGAGAGAGAGAGAGAGAGAGAGAGAGAGAGAGAGAGAGAGAGAGAGGAGCAGAGGATAGTGTGTTATGAGATTGATCTGTTGGAGAGGAGAGCGGTGAAAAAGACTTACGGACGCCAGGCATGATGGGCAAGGATGTTCGGTGGTGAATGAGAGCTGTGTGGTATGATGCGGTGCTTTGCGTCTTGTCTGGCAAAGTTGACGATACCAAACTGCGAAAAAATGCAGTCGATGTTTGTGGAAGAAAATGGAGAGAAGGTGGGAGAAGAAAAAGAGAGGAATGAAGAGAGGGAGCTGGAAATGCAACCGCTATGTATGTATTTACAGGTAGAATCCGACCACTGACCAGCCTTCTTGTCCCTCTTGCTCACCACCTGCAGCTGCACGCACCCCCTCCTCCTCCTCCTCCTCGCCTCTTCATCTCTCTCCCCCTCCTCTCACACAGACGGGGAGGCCAACCACCAGGTAAAATCCATTGGCTCGGGTGGTAGCTTCGCGCGGCGCAAAACATGGGGGAGCGAGATTGGATTGACGGCTAGCAGAATTAGGTGTACATGACGGGCAGGGGGGGCCAGGGGAATAACTGTCTCTTCTCTGCCTCCTCTCCGCTCATTCATTCACCATCTCTTACATGGACTAGTAGTATGCAAGCATGCACCAACTTGGTCATCATGCATAGTTATCCAAGCGGCTATTTGTACGTAGGCTCGCTCGTAGGTTAGAGCAGGGCGCGCATGCTGGTGCTGCAAATCATTACCACCGTGCGTCACCGACATGGATAGCCTGCATAACTACCGAGGTATGTAACTACTTTGTCCATTGCTCACGGTATCTTGTCGTTTCGTGCCTGAGGGCAGTTTGAGGATGATTGATGATGGAGAAACGAACCAAGTTCATCTTGACAGTGTCAAATCAAGGGCCTGCAGGCTGCATTGCATTAGCTTGAAACGTGCCCTCTGGCAGACGAGACACGCCGCCTCTCTCATTTCAGCTCTCATCTGTCGAGGCCTAGACAGCCTGCCTGCCTGCCTGCCTGCCTGCCTGCCTGCCTGCCTGCAGCAGCACTTGCATGCACGCACGCACGCACGTCAAGAACCAGTTACAAGTAGTTAACCGAGATATTGCAAAAACAAGGGTATCATCCCGCTTAGGTATCTCGATACCAGAAGGGGGCTGTTCAGCCAACAGATGAACGTATTTCTTGCTCACCTCCATGGGAGCAAACAAGCTTGGAACTACCTAGACTACCAGCCCTGACTTCTCAAGTCGGCAACTTCAAGATCCCCCCCCCGCCTACAAATTGTCACAGTGGATGGCAGCAGGGACCACGAAATGGCACCAGCCAGCCCCACACGACGGGCCTACAGGGCCTCGTTTCGGCGCTCTTTTTCGGCGCTGCGGGGGCGGGTCTGGTGCCCCCGTTTCGGTTCTGGCAGCGCGCTAAAATGAACTGCATACATATCTACACGTACTTACTTAGCTTACTTACTTGGGTAGGCAAGTGTCCAACATTCATGACAAGTTGAATGGACTGACGACATCGGACGTCGTGGCATACCTACGAGCTGTACTTCGGACTCTTCTAGCCTCTAGGGCACCTACTAGCTGAGAGGGCCGCCCTTACTGTATCCCCCTTGCTGCCATTCTTGTAACTTGGGCTTGGCAGCAGAGGATATCAACCCGAGTTAGGCTGCCTCCTGTCAGGTCAGACAGGCTGGAGATAATAACCAATGAGATATCGGTACCTGAAGAGCCCGTCACAAGGGAATTCCAGCCACGCTCTTCCTGTTTCTCGTTTGGAGCACACCGTGCGACCAGTCCAAGGAGCGATGGACCTTCCCCGTGGAGAGAGAGCCCTGATGCCGAGACGGAACCCCGTCCTGGCGGTTTGTATGCTCCCCCACAGAGACCCGATCCTCCCGAACCACCCATGACATGACATGACATGACAAAAAAGCTTACTCTCACTCCCATCTCCCATCTCGACAAGGGTCGTGAACAGTCTCCATTCCATCCCACTCATCTAGGTATTTCTAGGTTAGGTACGTAGGCTACCACCCGTCCGTCCTTCTGCCTCCCCCCCCTCCCACCCCCCCCCCCCCCCCCCCCCACCCCCCCCCCCCCCCCCCCCCCCTTAATTAATGAGAACGAATGAAACCAAAAAAGAGACAAGATGCAAAATCTGATTGCCGAATGCCTAGCTCCCCAATAATATTGAACAGAGGGTTCTGTCTGTCTGTCTGTCTCTCATCCATCACACACACACAGTGACTAGTTACTACTCTCGACCCGGGCCGGCAGATAGACACACACACACACAATAAGTCACTTTGCCCACGGCGCCTTGGTCAGCGACACCTGCGCGCCCGTCGTCCCGGGCCTGCCCATGGCACACGCCAGTCCCGCGTCCTGGCCCGCCGGCAGCCCTCCTCCTCCTCCTCCACCACCACCGCTGCTGCTGCTGCTGCTGCCACCGGGCATCACCACCACCCCCCTCTGGTTCACCCCAGGCATCGCCGCCATCCCCGGCCCTCCTCCTCCTCGTCCTGCTCCTCCTGCACCGGCGCTCGAAGAAGGAGGAGGAGGAGGGGCACCACCCACGGGCTGGCTCGCGAGGTGCACCGACTGCGCCCTCGCCGCGGCGGCCGGGTCCCGCGCCCACGAGAAGAGCGAGCCAAAGGGGAAGTGCTGCACGACGGGGAACTTGGCCAGCACCTCGGCGTCGTACATCTTGAGCATGCCCTTGTTGATCTTGGCCCAGCCGTCCTTGACGCCCGACACGTCGTACAGGACCGGGCTGTGCTCCCAAAAGGGCCCCGTCTTGACGTCGTCGATGAAGCCCACGGCCGAGAAGTACATGTACTCGCCGCGGTAGGCGGCCACCAGCTCGTCCTTGGTGATGTCGCCCGGGCGCGGCGCGCGCGGCAGGCTGCCGGCCTGGGGCACGGGGTCGGCGGGGTCGGCGAGCGGGGCGGCGAGCTGGGCGGAGCCGAAGATGTAGGGCATGAAGGAGTGGTCGTCGAGGCCCCAGACGCCGTGGGAGCCGGCGGGCTCGAGCGTGTAGGTCTGGATGAGGCGGCGGACGATGACGAGGTATCTGGTCGGAAAAGTATCAGTCTCATCATGTCGAAACAAACAGGGTGTGAAGGGAGGGAGACGACTCACGGCTCTATGACGCCCAGGACGATACTCCTCTCCAGCTCCTCGCCCTCGCTAGCATCCCTGCTGCCGAAGAAGCCCAGCTTCCAGAGGCACCCCAGGAAGGCAAAGAAGCTCAGCTCGTGGCCGGTGCCGTAGTCGAGCCTCTGGCAGCTGCCGAACCCGCCGAGGAAGTACGCCCGCAGCTCGTCCAGCGCCGTGGCGGGCCCCTCCCCGTCTGCGCTATCCCCTGCCGCCCCAGAAGCCCCAGCTCGGCCGAACGACAGCACATCCTCGCCGACATGCTCGCGCAGCAGGCCGTCCACCCTGTCCTCGAGGAGCCGGTGCCAGGTCCGGAAGGCGACGTTGCCGAAGCGCCTGGGGCCCGGGTCCGGCGGCGCGTCGTCGACGAGGGCGCCCGCGCGCTCGAGCAGGGCCTGCATGGCCTTGACGGGCGGCGGGTCGCGCGTGCTGCCTATCGTGAACGCCTTGACTGCTCCCGCGTGGCCTCTGCCGGCCGGCGAGCGCAGCGCCGCCAGGCTGCCGCTCTGCGGCGGCTGCTGTTGAGACTGCTGCTGGTCTTGCGGCGGCTGCTGCTGCTGCTGCTTTTGGCGGCGCGGGCACACGGCGTGGTTGAGCTGCATGAGGAACAGGCCGATGTCGCGGTAGGCCAGGGAGACGGAGAAGTGGGCGACGTCGGCGCCCTCGTTGATGCGCTTGGAGGGCCGGGAGAAGGCGTGCGGCTTGGAGGGGTCGAGGATCTCGAGCCGGGGCAGGCTCCTTGGGGTCTGTACTACGGGCGCCGCAGGCGGTGGAGGTGCCGGCATGGTTGTTGTTGCTGTTGCTGTTGTCGGGGGTGGTGGGGGAAGCTTGGTTTGCGATGGCGCGGGTGGGGGGTCCATGATGATGCGACGGCCCTCGTGGATGGGGATGATGTAGACTGAGATGGGAGTTGAGATTGGAGAGTGTCTTGATTATCGTCGTGGAATGGGGATGTGCTGATGTGTTGATGTGTTGATGTGAAAGGTAAAGATGCAATTATTGCGTTGAAGCCAGGATGGGTCCCGGCTTGGAGGGGAAGTTGTGGTGGTTGTGGTGGTTTCAAGCTTGGAAACTCCCTCCACCCGCTGTTCCAGCCTCCACTAATGCTGTGCGGTAGCGCTAGGAAGGCCCGGGCTGCCCCGCTGTTCCCTTAGTCTCCCAGAGTGGGGGGATCCCTAAATGCAGGGGCGCTGCCTCCTAAAAGTCAAGCTCGAAGCCATCAATGAGCCTGAGAGTGTGTGAATGCACAGCACAGAATGCCTCGTGGCGTTTCTGAGCAACAAAGCTACCATGCTCGTTGTTTTATTTTATTTTCATCTTGTAATCTTGTAGATATCATACCACACTCCGGACCTATGGGAGAGATCCGTACCCAGAGAGAGTGCCTACACCCATCAAGTCTTCTTTACTTATTTTCTCCTCCAACACGCCCACACCAGACAGTCCTCTTCCCGCAAACCATTCATTGATGCATGGACAAGGCCTGCAACGTCAGCCCTCCATATCTCGAAATCCAAGTTACTGCAGCAGCTCCTTCCCTGTTCCTATCTCGCCACCCCTGCCTTGTGCAGTCTGGCCACTCTCCCCCCCCACCAAATCCGGTAATAACCAGCCCTATAGTACACGATGACGTAGCATCCACCCAACCGTTCCAACCTCACGACTTACACGTACGTATATCAACCTCAAACCATCCTCTCTCTCTCTCTGTTTCCAAGCTTCCCTTCACCGACCACTCCTACCCACCTCGATATCACACTCTACTTTACTGTACAAAACAAACCACTCCATCAAAAAGAAACCCTGTTAACACCTCCCTCCCACAAACCCCCAAAACCCCCAAAGCCAACCAACCAAGTAAAACAAACACATACCCAGCCCATCACAAAAAAAAAAGAGATGCCCCTCGACAAGTCCTCCGATTCAGGCCTCACCGCCGCCGCCAAGCTCGCCACCTCGACCCTCGGCAACACGGCCTCGGGCCTCGCCAACACGGTCGGCGGCGTCGTCGGCGCCGCCGGCCGCGGGCTCGGCGAGACGGTCAGCGGCGCCACGGGCGGCGCGGGCCGGCCCCTCGGCGACGGCGTCGCCAACGTCAGCACGGGCCTCGAGAAGGGCGCCGCCGACGTGGCCAAGGGCGCGCGCGACGCCGGCCAGTGGAGGACTTCTTGAAGGGAAGAGAGAGACAAAAGGAGAGAGACAGAGAGAGAGAGAGAGAGAGAGAGAGAGAGAGAGAGAGAGAGAGAGAATCATGCTTGGGACTCTTTGTTGTATCGATATGGGGAAATGAATGGATGATGATGAAGGCGAGAGAGAGAGAGTGTACAACATCGTCGATAGCTTAGTTAAATGACCAACCACGAATAATAATTGTTCCAACTCTACACACACACATACACACATACACACATACACACACATTTGCCGCCACACAACAAAGTCACCTCACATCGTCCATCACTCTGTATTACATAAAGAGTTGTAAATATGTACCATGACATAACCTTCGGGGCCAGCACCACCCGTGTCGTGTTTGCAAACGAGATAGCTAGCTGCTGCCCCTGGGAATAATTAAGACAAGACGGACACTCGGCAAGTTTCAACGAGTCCAACCAGATAGGCAAAAAACAGGGTATTTTGTGTGTCAACAACCAGAGAGAAACAGAAACAGAAGCAGAAAAAAATCATTACGAGTGAGGATGAGCATGGGTAAACATCAACAATAACCAGGGGCGCAGAATAGACCAGGCAGCCGTTCATCTCATCCAAAGCGAAGCCCACAATTCGTTTCTTTTTTTTCTTTTTCCCCGTCTCCTTTCCAATCACGCCGACTGCTTCAAGTCGGAGATGGATCGCAGGATCCTACTCACAGTATTAGCCTCCCTCCCAGCACTCAAATCTCCAACAGCAGCCAAGAAAACCTACCGGACATTCCTCTCCCTCATATCCTCATCAAGCTCCTGCAGGCCCCGGAGCTTGACCCGCGCACTAGACAACTACTCACGCTCACACAACGTTAGCTCATCTTAAACACAACAACAACGACGACGCAGTCAGTCATGTGGACGGAAAGGGAAAAGAGTGCAGGGAGAGAAGGATCGCCGCATCACAAGCAAGGGGGCGCTCGCACCGAAGCTAGTGCCGCTGAAGAGTTGTCCGGCTCGTCGGTGTTGTTCTCACCTTCCGCCGCCGACTTTGCCGCGGCGCCCGCGTCGTTCTCCTTCTCGTCGTCGTCGTCCTCGCCCTCGCCCGCGAACCTGCTCGCGGCCAGGCCCTTGGAAGGCGTCGTCGTCGAAGACTGCTGCTTTGTCTGTTGTTGTTGAAGAGTTCCCGTCAGCACACCCTCCCACGTCATCATCAACAGTCACCAGAGCCTACGAAACATACCTTCACCTCCGCAATCTCCGCCTCCTTCACCTTGAGCTGCGCCTGCACTTCCTCGAGCCTCCTCGCCGCGTCCGCCGCCTTGCGCTGCGCCTCCTCGACGAGCTGCGACATCGAGTCGTGCAGGTCGCTGTAGTCGGCCCGCGACGTCTTGTCCCTGGCCTCGGCCTCGAGCCGGTGCGCCTCGTACTCCTTGCGCACCATCTCGAGGTCCTCGCGCAGGGCCCGCACCTCGTCCTCGGCCTTGCGGGAGCTCGCCTTGGCCGCAAACAGCGCGTCCTCGTGCGCCTTCTTGAGGGAGGCCATCTCGGCCCGCAGGCCGTCCGCCTCCGACGTGTCGGGCTTCTGGCTCCGCGCCGCGTCGAGCGCCGCCTGCGCCTCAAACTTCTCCATCTTCTCCTGCGCCAGCTGCCCGCCCAGCGTGTCGAGCTCCTGCTCGCTCTTGGCCAAGTCCGCGCCGAGCTTCTCCATCGCCCGCTCGAGCTCCGCCTTGGCCGCCTCGAGCTTGGCCGCCTTCTCCGCCAGGCCGCTGTGCTTGGCGTTGGCCTCGTCGAGCGCCGCGTCGTGCGCCGCGTTGAGCTTGCCGAGCTGCGCCTCCGTCGCCGACGCGCCCTCCTTCTTGGCGCTCTCGACCGCCGACGACTGCAGCTCGATGAGCTTCTCCACCTCGGCCGAGTGCGTCTGCTCGAGGTCCTGCTTGAGCGCCGCCAGCGCCGACGCGTGCTTCTCCTCGGCCGCCGCCAGCGCCGACTGCGCCGCGTCCACCTCCTTCTGGATCTCCTTGGCCTCCTCGAGCTCCGCGACGAGCTTCTCCACCTCGGCCGCGTGCCTGCTCTCGAGCTCGGCCTTGGCCTTCTCGAGCTCGGCGGCGACTTGGCCGGTGCCGGCCTCCCTCGCGGCGCTGATCGCCTCGGCGTGCTTCGAGACGAGCTCCTGCTTCTCCGTCTCCCTCTCCTTCTGCAGAGCGGCGATGGCATCCTCGTGCGCCGCCCTGAGCTCGCCGAGCTCCTTGGCCTGCGCGATGGCGTTGAGCTCCTTGACGGCCTCGATCTGCCTGGCATGGCCGGCGAGGATCTCGTCGTGCTGCGCCTTGAGGTCGCCAATCTCCTTGGCGTGGGCGACAGCGCTGAGCTCCTTGACGGTCTGGATCTGCTTGGCGTGCGCAGCAAGCGCCTCCTCGTGCTCGGCCTTGAGGTCCGCAATCTCCTTGGCCTGCGCGATGGCGCTGAGCTCCTTGTCGGCCTCGATCTGCTTGGCGTGCGCCTCCTTGAGCTGCTCGATCTCGGCGGCCGACGCGCCCGCGCCCGCCTCCTTGGCCGCGCCGAGCTCCTCGGCGTGCCTGGCGAGCAACTGCTCCTTCTCGGCCTCGGCGTCCTTCTTCAGGCCCGCGACGACCTCCTCGTGCGAGGCCCGCAGCTCGCCGAGCTCCTTGGCCAGGGCGACGGCGTTGAGCTCCTTGACCGTCTCGATCTGCTTCGCGTGGCTCTCCTTGAGCGCGTCCATCTCCTTGAGGTGCGTGTCCCGGTCCGAGCTGGCGCCCAGCTTGGCCTTCTCCAGTTCCTCGGCGTGGCTGGCGCGCAGCTGGTCGAGCGCCTCCTCGTGCTCCTTGGCCTTGGCCTCGAGCGCCGCGACGGCGGCCGCGTGCTCGCCCTGCGCCTTCTCGAGCGCGCTGGCGTGCTCCGACTTGGCCGACTCGAGCGCCTGCTCGTGGTCCTTGAGCGTCTGCTCGTGCTTGGCCTCGAGGTCGTGGAACTGGCGCTTGAAGTGGGCCTCGCCCTTGAGGCTCTCGATCTCGTCCTCGTAGTCCTTGGAGATCTGCTGCAGCTCCTTGCGGTGCTTCTCGAGCGTCGAGTCGTGCTCCGACTTGAGCTTGGCCATGGCGGCGTCCTTGTCCTTGGACTGCTCGGCCGACGAGTCGACGCTCTTCCTGAGCTCCTCGAGGGCCTCCTCGGCCTTGGTCGACGCCTCCTTGGCGGCTTTGAGCTCGGCCTGGAGCGCGGCGACCGTGGTCTCGAGCTCGGACAGCTTCTCCGTCTTGGCGGCCAGCTCAGACTTGGCCTCCTCGGCAGCCTTCTCGGCCGACTCGAGCTTGCTCGACAGTTCCGTGATCTGGGCCTCGAGGGCAGACATCTTGGCGTCGTTGCCCTCGGACGCCGCAGCCAGCTTGGCCTCGTGGGCAGCCTCGACCTCGGACTGGGACGCCGTCAGCTCGTCGATCTTCTTCTGCAGCTCGGCGACGGCGTCCTCGTGAGCAGACTTCATGTCGGCCATGGACTTCTCGTGCTCGCCCGACTCGGCCTTGTCCTTTTCGAGAGCTTCGGCGTGCTTGGCCTGCATGGAGTCGATGGCGGCGCGGTGCTGCTCGGTCAGCGTCTTCTTGAGGTCCTCGAGCTTGGCGGCGTGCTCCTCGCCCGCCTCGGCTAGCTTGGACTCGTTCTCCTGTTGTTTGGCCTCGTGCTTGGCCTGGAGGGTCTCGAGCGTCTGCTTGAGCGACGCGACCTCAGCCTCGGTGGCATCCTTGGAGGAGGCGACATCCGAGAACTCGGACTTGTTCTTGGAGAGGTTCTCCTCGGCAGCCTTGAGCTTCTCCTGAGCTTCGGCGACCTGCTCCTTGAGGGCCTTGACCTCGGCCTCGTGCTGGGACTTGAGCTCCTCCAGCTCCGAGCCGTCGTGTTCGCCGCCCTCCTTGTGCACCTTCTCGCCGAGTTCCGAGATCTTGTTCTGCGACGACGAGATCTGCTCCTTGAGAGAGGTGATCTCGGCCTCGCTGGAAGCCAGCTTCTTCTTCAGGGACTCGATCTCGGCAGCAGCGGCGGTGCTCGAGGTGGAGCCGGCCATAGACGGGCGAGAGGCATGCCTGGCGGCGGTAGCGGTGCCAGAGGATGACGCAGGGGCGGTGGAGAGGCGCTTCTTGGCATCAGCGGTCGCACCACTGGCCGCGGGCCTCGCCGCAGCAGGTCTAGTCGCGCTACCAGTCGTGCCCGTGGTTGTCGAGGTCCGCGAGGTCGTGGTGGGCGTCGTCCTTGTCGCAGACGTGGAAGATGTCGCCGGTCTCCGCGCGGGAGCGGCAGCCGCCCCGGTGCTAGACGTGGTCTTCTTCTCAACGGGCTTGGCGGGCGAGGGGGGCACGGCCGAGGTGCGGCGAGCGGTGGCGGTGGAGCTCGTAGTCGACCGCTTCTTCTCGTCCTCCGAGGCGGAGGGATGGGAGCGGTGCGAGGTTGCCGTCGAGGACGAGGTGGTCGGGCGCTTGGCCGTGGTGCTGCTCGTGGACGGACGCGCGGGCGGCTTGCTCAGGCTGGAGCCCGAGGGGGCGGCGGCGCGGGTGGCGGTGGAGCTCGAGGCCGGCTTGGCAGCGGACGACGAGGTGCCGGTGGCAGGTCGACGCGCCGCAGTTGTCGTGGTGCCCGAGCCTGTGCCGACAGTCGAGGTGCGCTTCGCAGGTGCAGAGGCGCTGGTGGAGGGCTTGGCAGCATGGGCGGAGGCGGGAGCCTTGGCCTGGGTCGGCGAAGCTGCCTTTGGGGCGGGAGCTTTGGCCTGAGTCGGTGAAGCTACCTTTTGGGTCTTGGGAGAGGCGGGTGCCGGGGCAGGGGCGCCCTCGTGCTTGGCGGGGCTACCTTCGGTTTCGGCCATGGTGAGGCGGAGAGAATGTCGGACGGGGGGATAGGACGGGGTTCGGGAGGGTTTCAACGGTCCTGCGTGGAGCTTGGCCATTAGCTGTTGTTCTCTGGTAGGCAACGACTGCTAGCTTGGTGCATGCGGTGATGCGACCCGGACAGCTGGCATGGCATGTATGGAGCACTCGTTCAAGGAGCTCCAATGCTGTCGATCCTGTGTGGTACTGGTGCCGAGAAAATCCAGGATCGTGCTGGAGATTGGGGATTGGGGAGGGACAAAGCTCACCTCCTATTCTCCGAGTGGACAAACGGGTAGGGACAGTGCTGAGGAGGTGTGGTTGTGTTGCGTGGTCTGCACGACAGAAACTGGGCAGCTCGAGGAAGTTAACTGGGTGCACCCTTACGTCAGGGTTCAAACAGACAAGCGACGCGACAGCAATTCTCGACTGTTTGGCGGGTTGGCGAGTTCGCGATCCCTCTGCACGGAGGGAAAGGGAAGAGGGAAGTAGGAGAAAGGGAGTGACGCCGATGCAAGAATCCAGGATTGGGCGGCTAGTAACGTACGGAGTACCTAGGTAGTTAGGTAGGCGTGGGAAGAAGAAAAGGTCAAGGTTGGCTGGGTGTGAGGGTGTGTGTGGTATTTGCTGGTGGTTTTTTGACCAGGATTGCACGGGGCAGCCAAGGGCCAAAGGTGGGATGGGATGGAGCTGCCTTTGCATGTCCTGGCGAGCCTGGGTCGGTTCTCCCTCCAGCTGTCTCTTGTCTTCTTGTCTCTTGGTGCCAGTGCTTGCAGGGGTGCCTAGGAAACTAGAAAAGTATGCTCATCTTTCTTCTAGCTCGGATGATCTATCAAATTTCCAGAGAAGGGCGAAAAAGGAGAACGGAGAACAGAGCCTCCTTCTCTCCTCCTCCTCCTCCCTCTTACAGGGTTTACACTGGGCGGACCGGAAGGAATGGTGACGAACGCGACAGCCTTTTCAGATCAATGCCACCCAAAACATGAAACATCGGCCGTTATGCATATTTGTTTCTTTTTCGCCAGGACCTGTCAGGTTTGATCTCTGCTAGGGATCGGATCTTGGAGCTGTGGTGGTGCAGGGAAGGGGGGGGGCCTGTTCTTTAATGGCGTTGATATTATCACCAAGCTCCGGTCGGTCACCCCTCGAAAGGAAGGGGTTCGCAAGCCACTTTACACGTCTCTTCTTTTACAAGTACTTGTAGAGAATGTAGCATCGATAGCAGCTGCTCCAGGCTTGTTTATTCTTCGTTTCTTCATCAATGAATGACCTGACTGATGCGTCCCAAGAGCAGCCCGCATTTTCATGCATCATCGAAAGCATCGAACGCAAACAAGGCCAGTAGCTGCCTAGCTCAAAAACAAGAAGAAAAAAAAAAGTCGCGAAAAGCGCGTCACTGGTGATGTGAGACAGAAGGCGCACCCCGCAGCCGCCCGTTCCGTCCTGGTCTGGTCTGGGTCTCAGTCAATTAAACGGCGGCCCCACAGCGCACTGCTTTAGGTGCTGCGTTAGAGCGCCGAGAGTGCTTAGCTCGCTGTGCTGGCTCCTGAGTGGCAGCGAGTGGCCGCCAGTGGCTTGCCCGTGCGCTGTCAGTAATCTCCCGCCGCGCAGCCATCGTCGACCACGGGGACATCCATGGATCCGTCAATCCGTCAGGAAGAGGCAGCGATCGATGGGCACAATCATCCCAATGTCGTATCGCTTGCTCTTCTCCGCTTGTCCAATTGACGATCAATTGAATGGTATTTGTCTGCACCCAGGTCCGTACTCGCATCTGGACGAGTTGGTGGTGATAGCAACCCAAGTCTTCACCGTCTCTCCGTCCACATCATCATCATCATCATCATCATCAGCACCACCATCAGTCCCAAGACTAATACCACCTCGGCAAAGCCACCCGCGCGCAAGGCCTACTCCGTAGAAGCTCTCCACACCTCGCGCTCGCTGGCACTGCGGGAGCCAGTAATTCGAGCCGAGCTAGCCCTGGTGATGGAAATCCCATGCAGAAAGCCGGTGTCTAGTTCACGACGGCTAGAACTCTGTATTCGTGCACGGCTTGAATAAGCGTATCAATCCAACAGCAGAATAGCCGTAGACACTGATATCAGAACCCCAATCATGCACATCTTCTCACATCCGCCATCGCCAACGTTACAAATGCCCACCGACCAAAGCCAGCCAGGCTTTTCCTCCCTCCCATCGCCCAAAGGGGTATCATACCACACACACAGTCCCTCCCTACCTCGCAAATCCGTAGTCTCACCCCCAAGCCACCAGCAAGCACAATGTAGGTACATAGCAAAGCGAACATCCAAAAATCCATAATAGAAAAAGTGCATCTCCATCGACAGCCAAAACAAAAACAACAGCATCTCACGATGCCTTGGCCCACTTGGGCGGCCGCCCGACCCTCGTCTCCTGCACGAGCGACCGCATCGCCCTCTTGAGCGCGTCCGCTTGCCAGATGACCTCCCCGACCGGCCTCTCCAGCCGCCCCGCCGCCCGCCGCCAGTCGACCTGCCCTCGCGCCCCGGACCCCCGCAGCAGGTTGAGCAGGTACTCGCTCTCCTCGGCCGAGAACTCGTTCGCCGGCGCCCCACCCGCCGGGTTCTTCTTCGTCGTCGTCGTCTGCTGCTGCTGCTGCCTCTCCCTCTCCCGCTGCTCCCCGACCTCCACGGGCGCCGCAGCAGCAGCAGCAGCAGCAGCAGCAGCAGCCGCACGGCGGCGGTACGCCCCGCCCATCGTCCGCGCGTAGTGCTCCTCGAGCGGGTCCGGCGCCGCCCGCAGCGCCCGCGCAGAAGCGCACACGGCGCGCCACTCCCGCTCCGCCCGCGCCGCCTCCTCCGCCGCCGCCCGCGCCCGCCCCGCCCGCACCTCCGCCTCGCGCTCCAGCACCCGCCGGCGCCGCGCCTCCCCGGCCTCGCGCCGCCGCGCCTCGCGCCGCGCCTCCTCCAGCGCCCGCTCCGCGCCCGCCACCAGCTCCTCCAGGTGGACGATGTGCGCGAGCTGCCTGGCCCGCGCGGCGAAGCGCTTGGCCTCCGACCTGTGCTGCTGCTGCTCCTCTTCGCTGGCCTTCTTGTCGATGGGTGGGGGGGCGTCCCGGTACGGCCTGCCCGTCGGGCCGTGGCGCATCTCCACCACGAGCGCCGCGCCGAGCCTCCCGAGCCAGCCGGTGACGCGGCCGACGACGTCCAGCGACGCCGGCGTGAACGTGCCCTCCTCGACGCATCTGTACGCGCCGTCGCCGTCCTCGTACGCGCCACCGAGCATGCAGGCCGTCTTGAGGACGAGGATGGCCTGCGGGATGAGCAGGTGCCGCAGGTCGTCGACCAGCGCTTCCCTGTCCTCCTGCGCATCCTCCTCCGGCTCGGCCTCCTCGCCGTCGATCCTGAGTCGGCCGCAGATCTGCCGTATACTCCGCGCCACGCCCTTGTACATCTCCCTGAGCTCCGCGTGCCGGGCCTGCAGCTCGTCGAACTGCAGCGAGAAGTCGTACTCGTCGCGCGGGCCCAGCCCGAACGGGTGCGGCACCGCAAAGTACACGTCCGCCAGGTCGTACAGGCGGTCGCTGAGAGCGCCGGCCTCCTGGGTCCGGGGCTTCACGGGCGAGTCGCCCTTGAGGATGAAGTCGTCCTCCCAGTCGGCCTTGCCCGCCCACGCGAGCTTGCGCATGTGCGACGCCAGTAGGGCGACGGGTCTCGTCTTCATGGTGACCTCCCACTGCGTGCCGGTCTCCGAGGGCGCGGGCATGGGGTCCTGGTCGTCGGCGTCGGTGCCTTCATCGGCGGTCGCGTAGGAGCCGTCGCCCGAGTCACTATTGTCGGATGCCTGCTGTTGTTGCTGTTGCTGCTCTGACTGCGCCGCTGGTTGTTCGACACGTGGATTCCTCACCGTTGGGGGTTTACTTGACTTCGGTTGCTGCGCTTTCGTTCTGCCCTTCTTTCCACCCTTTGGTCGGCCGCGGCCTCTCTTCGCAGGCTCGGGCTCCTGGACAACGATACTATCCTCCCCTCCGCCCTCGTTCACCTCTTGTCGTCCCTCCTCCTCCTCCTCCTCCTCCTCCTGCCTCGCCTGCCCTGCCCTCTTGGTCGCCGCATTGACCTTGTTCATAAAGTTCTCCCCGGCATCATCTTCCGCCTCCTCGTCGTCCGTAGCAGGCACGTCGTAGACCTCCTTGGCCACCCTTCTCCTCCACGTCACCGGGCCGCCCCTCCTCGTCCGCCGCCTCTTCTCCGCGGGCCCCGCAGATCCCGGCAAGGCCTCGACGACGACGGCCGGGCCGCGCTTCCGGCTCGCCCTGGGGTTGTTGCTGGGATTGTAGTCGTTGTTGTTGTTGTTCGCATGGTCGTCGGCGTCACCACCCTCCAGGTCCGCGACGCTCTGTGCGCCGGCCTTCAGGCGGCGATGGCCCGCGCGCCGCGCCGCGACGGCCACGGCGGGAGACGAGTCGCCGGCCCGCTGGGCGCGCGTCCTGACCATTTGTTTTTTTTTGTATCGTTGTGTGTCGTTGTGTATGTGTCTGATATTGCGCTCAGCGAGTCTGTGTGATTTGTCGACTCGTGAGGTTGTGAGAGGTGAGGTCGTCGTACGTTGCGACGAAAGTGAACCCGGGAAGCGACTTCTGGATGCGATAACAAGCAGAGCTCAGACCGGATTCAGAACCGCGTCAGCCGCGCCCCAAGCTAACAGGCAGCAGGGATGTCGACCGAAGCAGCATTGGCAGCAGCAGTAGGAAGCTGCCGTTGCAGTGCAGTGGTGTTGACAGTAACGGAGACCAGGCGCTGTGGTAATGGCGAGGTGGGTGCGTAGAGCCGGAGGAGCTGGGCGGCGCGGGTTGACGCGTCGGGCTTGTTTGCGGGGTTCAGATGGTAACTGTGGTGGTGGTGGTGCGCTGTGGTTGCTGCTGGGCCACTCGGGTTGCAGCCGCTGTCGACACTGCTCATTGCCGTTAGCGCACCGCCCTCATCCTCCTCCCGGTGGTCACCGGCCTGACGGGCCTCGGTACCAGAACCCGAAGGCGCCGCCGATACATGCTGTTGCCGTCGTAGCGATACGCTTACGGTACTGCAGAGCACCGGGACGACGAATACCATGTACTGGATGCTTGTCGCCGTGGCGGAGATACAACGAGAAAACCCCGGTTGAAGCGATGAGAGGCATCTACAAACAGGAGAGAAAAAGGCGACAACACATAACTACCTAGGTACATTATTCCCATTTTTGTTCACACAATACGTAGTGAACATATAAAGAATATAATTGGCAGAGACAAAATTCGATATAATTCCTCTTCCTGGTTCGTCTACGTCGGAGGTTCTTCTCCCTGGGCAAGAATATGATCCTTGATATTCGAGGCGACGGACTTACACCATGCACGAAAAACAAGTACAATTGGGGGGGGGGGGGGGTGTGAGCCAGTCTCCACGATGTCTCAAAGCAGTAATTTTCGCACGAGAAGCCATTTCTTCAGCTTTTTTGCGAGGTATTATCCCTGCCATACGAAATTTGCCCAGGCTTGATTAGATCGAGGGTTGGCTGGCGGGTGGACGCACGCCTCGGCAGAGATGCGCGCCTCAGAAACAGGATCAAGCTCGAGGATCAAAAGGAGAATTAGCAATCCAAATGGACTAATCACGCACTTTTGCACATCGATGCTGTCTCATCAGAGATCGAAGGAGATCGGGCACCCGGGACTGCCCATCATACAAAAGCGCCCCTCCATGACCAAATCTGCACCCCAGGGGGGTGAAGCTAGAGTATGAATCATTTTGATTTCACTCTGCACCATGTCTCACTGCATTCGATTCCCCTTCGCATGCGTCCCCACAAGCCGGCGCGAGATTATATACTGGTGCCCACTATTCTCTTGTCTGGGCGCTGCGTCCTCAAGCATCAGGATGATGGGACTTCGAACTCGGTCAAGTGGGTGTCTGAGTAGTTGACAGAAGTTCATCAGGAGCTACCTCGATCTTAACAATCAATACCCTTGTCACATCCTTGCCCTAGAACTCGGAAGGGCTATCCCACTACCTAAACCCGATGGGCTTGATGGATAGTCAAGTACTTCTGTTAGCAGTCCGTCAGCTACTCTGACCATCACTTGCTCGGTGGAGGGGGCCACCGGACTTTGGTTGCAAGCCCTCTCTCCCCCTCCTTCCAACCTTTGTGCTGACCTGTCGCTTTCTCGTCCCGCATATTCGAGTGCTCCTCATATGCCGTGTTCCGCAAAGGGGCATATCCTGACCCCGAACCCCAATTATGATTCATTCTGTGTCAGTCGGTAATGGCGGGTGATGGAGGGCCAGACGGGGAGACTCGAGAGAGAGGGCCTGAGCAGAAACAGGGTTTGGGAATCTGTGCTGGTTGGCTGCCTTGCCTGTCTTCTCAATGACCTCGAGGGTATAAATAGTCGTGTGTAAGCAGAGGAGAAAGAATCTCGTAGATGTCCGGCAGAGAAGACACAAGACGTACCGGATAGTTCCATTCGCAATGACGCCTCGCATCAAGGCTCTGCTCTATCGTGACAATCCGTGAGATGATGCAACATGAATAAGTCAACTCGACCAACATGAGGTAAGATAATCCTCGTCTCTCTCTCTTACAACACACACAAAACACACACCTTGCTGTATGATCGAAGAAGAGCGTTCCCTATACCGAACAATGAACAAACCTCTGGGACTGTTTCTACGGCTCTCTTATGTTCGTCGTCATACGAACTTGTCCAAAGAATCAGCTCCCAGCACAATGAGGACAAAACACCTTGAGCCGACATCGTCTGAAGCAATAAACCTTTTTCATACCATTCCCATTTTAAAAAGTACCAATGTACGCACACAAAGAAACTAATATCTATCCGTTTTGTCACCCGGCTATGCCCCCCTTACTTAGGAGATCCTCCACCGCCGCCGCCCATGCCCATCTTCAACATCTCCTTGAGCGCCGCCGTCTCCGCCTCCTGCCGCGCCAGCTGGATCCGGAGCTCGTCCCTCTCCCGCTTCACCTCGTCCACCTCGTCCTCGAGCTCCGCGATCCGGTCGATCCGCTTCTGCCGGTACTTCTTGGCGGCGATGTTGTTGCGCTGCCGCTTGAGCGCCAGCTCCGCCGAGGCGTCGGCCTCCGGACCGCCGCCGCCGCCGTTGGACGACGACGCGGACAGGGAGTCGTGCGTGCGCTTGCGCGAGGGGGGCTTCTTGTTATTGCTGCTGCGGTCGAACGTCAGGCCTGGAATCAGGCCTCCCGAGTCCGAAGGGGAGCCCCTCTCGGAAGCAGACGAACATGTAGCGCTCTCGACGATGCCGGGGACGGCAGGGCTGACGGCGACAGACGAGGGTCCGGTCGAGGTCACGCTCGTAGGCACGGTCAGGACGTCGCCGGCGCCGTGAAAGAGAGAGACATTGTCCAGCCCGGCGTAGTGTGACATGGAATCAAACGCAGCCCAGTCGAGAGGCAGGCTGCCCGTCGGGTCCTCCAAGTCGAGCGGGGTCGCGAGCGAGTCCGGAGAGAAGTCGAGGTGCGTATTGTACAGTGCCGCCGGGATTGTAGTTGCCGGTGTAGTAGTAGTAGTAGTAGTCCAAGTAGTATAAGGCCAAAAGAAGTTGTCGTGAGAAGTAGTGCCGATGATGCCAGGCGGGACCAGGAGTAGGCCGCTGCTGATGCTGCTGCCGCCGACGCTGTCTCCGAGGAGGGACAGGCTGCTGCCGGGGAAATCATGCAGGGCCGACTGTGACGGAGGGCTGGACCGCTGGGAATCCGAAGCTGACGATCTCTCGGACGCACGTGGCTGCTGTACCCGTTGCTGCGACCATTCTTGCAGAGTGTGGCGGCCTCTTAGAGCGAGGCCGGGGAGCGCTTGTTTGACAAGGGGGTGAAAAGGGAGGTCAGGCCAGTTGCCTTGGACGGAATTGTCGATGGAGAGGAGAGAGGAAGAAGAGATGGCGAGACCTGGACGAGGGGCGAACGGCGCTCTTTTGAGGACCTGGGGTGGTGGGGCCGGGAGGGCTGTACAGTCCGGCCGGGGCGTCTTGAACTTTGCCTATGTGGGGCCCTGTGGGCCCTTCTGGAATAGGTCCACGCCCGCCGTCATCTGAGATTAGAACAACCCGATAATCTCACCGTTGCACACAAGGTATTCGTGTCGGCGTACTCCGTCCTGAGTATCTGGGTACGTCGATCTGCTACTCTCTCAGGGGCCGTGGGCCAGAGCGGGAGTTTCTCTCCCGCAACCAGGCTTCCGTTGATCCTGTCATCACGGCACTCGTGGGTTTTTAGCTCACTGAGCAATTGTCTTGATTGTGGGATCAGATCGTCTAAGCTTTGTTTCTCTAATCGTCGCACACCACCATAGTTGACCTTTCCCCATCCTGGACCCGACTTCCAACCCGATAAGTGATCGTCCCGAGACTGCATGAAGACTCTCACCCGCCCTCTCACCTAGCCTATCATACACTCGTCTGCTGCCGCAGCTTATCTCGAGATGCATCCTCGAGTCACACCGTACGTAAGCACGGCCAGCTCAATCATTCATCCAAGCCCACCAATCGACGAGTTTGTGGTGGCATTGGTCGTCAGTAACGTTGTAGGAAGCTTCTGAAGATCAACGGTATCAATGAGCAGCCCAATGAACTGTCCCAGCGCGATGAGACCCATGTTGCGGAGCACAGACGGCGGCAATCCGTACGAGCCCATCACAAGCGTGACGGCCGGGCAGACAAGGTAAGGCCACCAGCTGCTCCTGCTATAGTCCCGCACAAAGGCCTCCTGGATGGTCGAGGCGGAAGAGGCCGCCTCTTGGAGCGAGCAGAGTATCTCGTCCGTGATATTGCTCGCCACTCCAAGGGCGCGTGCATGGTCCTCATACCTGCTGGACAGATTCTGCGAAACGATCTCTAGTCGCAGAATTCCCTATGCCAATTCATCAGCCACAGAACGGGGAAATGTGTGCATGGAATCATATAGCCTTACCTGCTCCAGTGAGTATTGTCGCCTGTTCAAGGCGTCTGCCTGCATCCTAGACTGCTCCTACAAATAATGAGTGAGAGGCTCCAAGTTTTGATAGAGTCATTGTTGACTAACCATCTGATTTTGCAATGTTGTTGACGAAGCGACCACCAAAGCCACGCTCGTGATAAGGTCATCGATCCCGTCGTCAGCCGTACGGTGCAATTGCTCGAGCGAATCTTGGTGAGCAAGTGCGACCTGAGAGCTGCTGTCTGAAACCATCTTGACCATGGTGGCCAGGGCCATCTCGAGACGCTCGGCTTCGGTCTGACCTTTCAGTATCATGTTCTTCGATGTCTCCGCAACATCCCCCAAATTTGCCAGTATGTACTCATAAAGGCCGCCTAAATCGTTCTGGAGTGAATGGATGTGCGATGTCACGTCGCTCAGTGCTTCGTTGGCTTCCCTTGCGCGTCGGTCAAGCTCATCCATGTGTTTCTGGAGCTCGAGTTCCGTTCCCGCTACCAGGTCGCCAATGACTTTGGTGAGGCGCTGGTACAGTCGAATGCTCTGGACTGAGAAAAAAGAAAGAAATTAACATTCGTCGGGCATTGAAAGCATCACAAGTATCTTACTCTTCTCGTTGTCAGCTCTGGCGGCTTCACAGAACCTGAGTGCCTTGTGACGGTAGCTGATCCAAGTGTTCCAGGCCGAATCTGACGTGGCTAAGCCAACTAGGCATGAATCAATCTGCTTTGAGGTAACGTGAAGCACGGGATCGCTCGAAGCTGGCAGATGAGCCAGGACGGGCTCTCGGAATTGCGCACAGGCAGACGGGATATCGAAGCTTCCGCGCTCAAGGTCGCATATTGCCAGGCTCGCCGCATAAGAGTCCACAAAGTCCCGGATCTGGCGCCCACTGTCGGTAAGAATAGAGGCTTCGTCTTTGCCATCGAGGAGCTGGCAGTTGTTGACCAGAAGCCGGGCCGCAATTCTATGGCAGAGGGGTTCTAACTCCATGTCCTCAAGTTCCTTCAGGGCCACTTCGTAAATGCGCGAAAATCGAACGTCTGTCTGAGAAGATCCGGAAGGGCTGTTTGTGGTTTGCAGCACAGCCTTTCCTCCATCTGCATGCTAGAGTCAGTCTATGGGGCATGTATCGTCGTCGGCAGAGGAACCTTACGGCCAAATATGCCCTTTTCGCTCCTCCAAGCAAAGCAAAATGCCTCAGAACTTAGCGATAGCACAGTCGTCAGAATGAGGACGACCTTGGCGAGAGGCTTTTCCATGATGTACGTGCTAAATGACCAAGAGTGTGCAGAACGGCATATGCGAAAAAAGAGAGGAGACTAGAAGCCTGTCCTTGAATGTATGGTTCGAGGTTGTGGACAGGAGAGAATGAGTCGAAGGTGGAAAAGGGCTGGTGGCGAAATTATAGGATAGGAGAGGTCAAAAAGAGGAGCAGTCCGAAGAGCTGAACGAGAAAGGAAAGTGACGTTTTGACCTAGACCTCGAGATTCAAGCCGTTCTTTGATTTGGATGCCAGACATGAGACGATTATCTCAGGCGTGAGGATTTTTCCAACGTGATCTCAATTTATCTGCCTGACAAAAGTCCAGACTCCCATAATGGGCTCGTGAGCTCATCAGCTGCAATCTACTAAAATTCTTACATCTTCACCTGTCAAAACAAGAGCAGGCACGACTGAGCACACTCGATGACATTGAAGTCGTCGTCCCAAATAGGAAATCGCGATGTACCAGCGTACCTGTGGGTCTGGGTCTGAACGTCGCAAATCGAATCGGCCATTCAGCGCCCCGTGCGCCGACCACATCACATGACGAGCGCTCATTTGGAGCCCGGAAAGCTCTCTAAACTTTTTGCGAACTAGGGGGACGCTGATTGGATCCTACTACGCTTGGAGAAAGCAAGCTCACTCACGCGAGACCGCAAAAAACACACGCATTTTGCTTCGCGGAGGAGCCAGTCACCACTTCGAGAATGTTCGCCGCAAGAAGAGGAGGCAGGACGCTGCTGGCCGAGGCCTCTTCGCCCTCGGCGGCGGCGGCGGTCGTCACCCTGCCCGGCTTCCTCGTCCCGGCCTTCCAGGCCCGCCCGTTCTCTGCCTCGACGACCCGGCCCTCCAAGCTGGGCCGGACGCCCATCTCGATCCCACCCGGCGTGGAGCTGACGATTGGCGACCTGGCTGTCAAGAAGGACATGACGACCTATCTGAGGATACCCAAGAGAACCGTGTCGGTGGAGGGTCCGCTGGGTAAGGCTCGATGCGTGCGGGTTGTGCTGCGTGATGGACCAGTGTGGGCTGATGACAAGGATATAGGAAAACTCGACCTCGAAGTCCCCCAGTTCATAAACATCGACCACGACACGGCGGCGAGGAAAGCTACGCTCACCATCCAGGATGGAAACGTCAAGCAGCAGAAGGAGATGTGGGGTATGTGCACAATTCTTCTTCAAATGAAGCAGGGTATACTGCGCGGCACAGAGATGCAATCTAACAGACCGGTATGACCAGGGACGATATGGGCATACCTCAACCGCTACATCATCGGCGTCTCCGAAGGCCACACGGCCGTCCTGCGGCTCGTCGGCATCGGCTACAGGGCCACGGTCGAGGACCGCCCCGCGATGGAGGAGTACCCGGGCCAGAAGTTCGTCGTCCTCAAGCTCGGCTTCAACCACCCCGTCGAGATGGGCGTCCCCCAGGGCATCACGGCCAGCACGCCGCAGCCGACGCGCATCCTGCTCGAGGGCATCAACAGGGAGGAGCTCATGTCCTTCGCCGCCCGCATCCGCAGGTGGCGCGTGCCCGAGCCCTACAAGGGCAAGGGCATCTTTGTCAACGACGAGACGATCAAGCTGAAGCAAAAGAAGATCAAATAGACGGGGGTTGTTGCGGCAGGATGCGAGGCGTCCACGTGTATATCTAGACTTTTCGGCCAGGGCTGCATGCTCTGGCCGTGTGCTATATATTGTACTATCTTTTTATTTTTTTCTACTATCATACGTGGGTGTCAACAGCGATACCATCATAGCTTGAGAACCTCCCGCACGACCTTGAGAACCTGTCCGTGGACGGCAGCAGGCGCCGCGACGACGCCCTTGTTCTCGGCCAGGGTGCGGCCCTTGCTAAAGTCGAGGCGCCTGCCCAGCGTGTCGGTGACCTGGCCGCCCGCCTCGCGGACGATGAGGTCGCCGGCCGCGTGGTCCCAGATCTTCTCCTGGTAGGTCTTTGACGTGGGCAGGCGCAGGTAGATGTCGCCGGCGCCGCGGGCGATGGAGCCGTACTTGGCCTGCGAGTCCATGCGCACGCTGGGGTTGGTGATGCTGAGCCTCTGCGCGATCTGCGCCGACTCGCCCTGGTTCGAGTGGCCCGACTCGACGCTCTCGCAGAAGGTCGCGCCGGCCATCTCCTCGATGGGCCGCATGGCGATGCGCTTGCGGGGCTCCACCAGCGCGCCCGTGCCGAGCGGCCTGCTGGCGGCGCCCTGGCCCAGCACGGCCGAGAAGAGCACGCCTCGGCCCTCGTCGTCGGTCTGGCCCTCGGCTCCCATGTCGGCCGTCAGCGGCGCGGCGTCGTCGACGGGCAGGTTGGGGCAGCCGAGGACGCCGACCTTGACGTCGCCGTCGACCATGAGGCCGAGGCACACGGCGTACTGCCCGCCGCGCAGGAAGCCCTTGGTGCCGTCGATGGGGTCGATGGCCCATATCCTGCCGCGGGCGCCGCCCTGGCTCTTGCCCATGTCGAGCACGTCGAGCATGGCGGCCTTGTCCGCGAGCGCGCCGCCGAGGAGCCGCTCGGCGGCCGGGTCGTCGAGGCCGGTCGACCTGACCAGCTCCCAGATGGTGTCCTGGAGCTGCGGGTCGCCGCGCAGGCGGTCGGCCTCCTCCTCGGCCACGATCTCGTCCTCGGGGAAGTTGGCCTTGAGGGCGCTGATGATGAGGGCCTGGGCGCCAAAGTCGCCGATGGTGACGGGGGACTTGTCGTCCTTGGAGACGGTGCCCTTGGCCTTCTCGTGGAAGACGCGCTTGGTGAGGATGGCGGCCCGCTGGACGGCGAGCTGGGCCACCTCGAGCTCCTTGGCGTACTGGGACATGGTGACTGCTGCGGAGGAAGAGGAGGAGGAGAAGTGGCGCTGGAAGCCGAGGTGCTGGGCGAGGAGGGAGATACGGCCTGAGGTTCTGGACAGTAAGAAAGCCAGGATTACAACGGTGAGGGAAAATAGGGTGGTGGGAAGAGAAACTGTGGCCTTTGATGTCGAGCTTTTTGGAAGTTTAGCCGGCCGCATACGCCTTTTTCGACGGTTGAATGTGTATGTGGATAGGACAGATATGGGTGGCGCGAACACCGGTGAGTCTTCCTCTGCCACAGAACGGACAAGTAGATCGATTCCGTGTATAGACGAATTGGTTATGTCAATGGAGAGGCTTCACTTCCTATTTCTTGTATTCAAGATCGTTCTCAGACGGATCAAGTCGACCCCTCCAAGCATGAAGGATCGAGTGAGTGAGCCTTTATTGGCTACCCCGCTAGTGTGTCCCCGTCATCCATGGAGCCATGGATGCTGTAAGCGGCTCCTTTCCTCGCACTTTTAGCGCCTGGCTCCGTCTCTGTGAGCTCGACGAGCCCCTGTAACTCGATTCTCCACCAGTGTTGTCATGGCCAACTAGCGTCCATCATGAGCAGACAGTCTTTGTTTGATTTCTCTACCTGAAGTCTGCAAACAATCGACCAGTTCATGCACTTCCTGCCTCGACTCGTCTCTTCAAAGAACACCAAAGCGAACACCACTTGACCGAGAGTGTTGGTCCGTCCTTCTCTGCTCCAGTTCTCCTCGTCTCATCAACTACTGAGTCACGATATAGATCAAGAATCGCTCATCCATGCACGCGACAGCAGGCGCCAAACACCTCCAATAAGCTGCCGATCAGGCAGAGTCGCATTTGGAGAACGGCCACATTCCGGGCGAACAAAAAAGCACGCGTGCCGAGAGAGGAGATTCCCCTTTCCACCATCATGAATGCCACAAAGCGCAAGTTCAACGCCCTCCTCCAGGGCATCGGCAGCCGACCGACAAGCAGCACAGCCTCCGACAACAACAACCACAACAACGACAAGACCAGCACCACAAGCTTCGACAGCCCTCGACGCATAGCCACCACCGACAGCACAAACACCGCTCCCGCCGCGGGCCTCTCCCGACTCTCCGACAGCGGCAGCAACATGCGCTCCGCCCAGCAGCCGGCGCGCCCGCCCTCCAACTCCTCGGTCGCGGACCAGCTCGACTTCCTCAGCAAGCGGCGGCGCATCGGCCAGCCCGCCTCGACTCCCTCCGCGAGCAGCACCACCGCCGCCGCCGCCAGCACGGCGACCAGGATATCCAACGTCGTGCTGCGCAAGTGGAGCGGCAAGGACGGCAGCGCCAACGCCCCGCCGCCGAGGTACTGCCCCGGCGACCGGGAGCAGCTCGTCAAGAGGCTGGCCACGTTCCAGGAGCTGACCGACTGGACGCCCAAGCCCGACCGCATCAACGAGATCGAGTGGGCCAAGAACGGCTGGGTGTGCCAGGGCAAGGAGCGCCTGCGCTGCACCCTCTGCAGCAAGGAGGTCGTCGTCAAGCTGACCAGGAAGGACGCCGACGGCAAGGAGGCCTCGGTGCTCTCGTCGTCGTCATCGCCGTCAGAGGTCGAGGAGGCGCTCGTCGACAGGTACGTCGAGATGATGGTCTCGTCGCACCAGGAGGACTGCCTGTGGCGCAAGAAGGGCTGCGACGACACGCTCCTGCGGCTGCCCCTCGCCAAGCCGCGCACGGCGCAGGAGGGCCTGCGCCAGAGATACGACGAGCTCTGCGCGCGCAGGGACTTCCTCCCCTACGAGTTCAACCTCAAGCTCCCAGAGGGCTTCGACCTCGACGCCGTCCTCTCCAACCTCCCGCCAAACTTCTTCACCGAGCCGCCGCCGCCGCCGCCCGCACCGGCATCGGGAGCCGCCGCCACCCGCCACCCCAACCGCCCGGCCCTCGCCCTCGCGGCGCTGGGCTGGCAGGGGCTGGCCAACCCCAAGATCGGCCCCGTGCCCAACTCGGCCTCGTGCCACACGTGCCTGCGCCGCCTGGGCCTCTGGATGTTCAAGAGCAAGGAGGTCGACCCGGACACGGGCGCCGTCCTCGTCCCGGCCCTCATGGACCACCTCGACCCCGTCCGCGAGCACCGCCCCTTCTGCCCCTGGCGCAGCGGCGCCGTCCAGCGCAACCCCGGCTCCGGCGCCAGGCCGTCGCGCACCGCCGAGCCCGCCAGGCCCGCGTGGGAGGTCCTGGCGCAGGTCCTCAAGAACGACGCCTACCTGCGCAACCGGGCGAGCACGGCCACGATGACGACGACGACGACGACGTCGGGCGCTCCGGCCGCCGGCGCGACGGACACGACACGCGGGGATCAGCTGCAGCCGCCGGCCACCCCGACGTCGACGTCGACGCGCATCTACGGCGACGACTTCGAGGTCGAGGACGAGGCCGTCCGGGCCGCCAAGGACAAGGAGCGGTGGGCCCGCCTGCGCAAGGTCAAGAGCCTGTTCAACACCAAGGGCGGCAAGAAACTCGGCCGGTCGGCGAGCCGGCCCGGCACGGGGCACTCTACGCTTCACCAGCATGAGGGGGGAGGGTCGACTTGAAGACTTAGGGGAGTGCCGTTTGAGATATCCGGTTCTGATTTAAGGAGTGATGTGACCGTGTAGGGGATACAGGAGCATCATGGGCATCTTGACGCGAGTGGGAGAGTCATCTTGAGTTTCACCATCTCTGTTGTTTACAGTACTTGCATTGGCTAGCGTAGAGAACTTTCGACATGGCTTTGTTGTTTGCTTTGCTTTGCTCTTCACCAAGGGAATAAAGTTCGGGTTTGGTGTAATACATTATTGTCATGGTTAGGACGGCGAAGAAGGGGTTGAACGCTTGAGGGTATCTAATGATAGCAAGACACCAAAGACAAAGTAACAAAGGAAGAAAAGTGCTTGGCTATCCTTTGACAATGGGCTGTGATTTTAACCCGAACTGATCACACCCGATGAACCAATCCCTCCCCTATTAGAGAGCAGCATGCTGGCTCTGTGGATGAAATGGGTTCAGGGGTGGACCACTATGCCGAATCCAGCAATTCGGATGGTCAGCTACAGCCTGCATAACAGCTCAAACTTGCTCACCAACAGAATATCCTAAAACCGCTCATCCTAGAGCCCGCATGCATTCTTCAAGAAAGATAAACGAATGAATCTTATAAAAAAAAAGCCCTCAGTTTCCCTCATGCCATTTCCCATCTTCAAATTGTGCCCAAGCGAGCAAACTAATTCTCCAGTCCCAACTGCAGTCCGCGCCTCGTCAGACAGCAATCTTCTTCTCCCGGAACCCCAGGCCGGGCACCCCGCTCCGCAGCAGCAGACTGCTCATGACGACGCTGATGCTGCTCAGCGCCATGGCCAGGCTCGCCCAGACGGGGTCGAGCCGGACGTGCGACCCGCCCGGCGTCTTGACCGGGTAGAGCGCGCCCGCGGCCACGGGCACCGCGACGAGGTTGTACACGAGCGCCCAGCAAAAGTTGAACTTGATGCGGCGGAACACGGCGGCGCCGAGGTCGAGCAGCGTGACCACGGCGCGCAGGTCCGACTTGACGAGCACAAAGTCGGCGCTCGAGATGGCCACGTCGGACCCGGACCCGATGGCGATGCCCACGTCGGCCTGCGTCAGCGCCGGCGAGTCGTTGATGCCGTCGCCGACCATGGCGACCGTGGCCCGCCGGCTGGTCGACTCGGTTCTGCTCCCCCCCGACGACGACTTGCGCGCGTGCAGGCTCGCCTGCAGGTGTTTGATCTTGGCGGCCTTGTCGGTGGGGAGGACCTCGGCGATGACGTTGTCGGGCTCGATGCCGATCTCGAGGGCGACGGCGCGGGCCGTCACGGCGTTGTCGCCCGAGAGCATGTACACGCGGGTGCCGCGGGAGCGGAGCGCGGAGATGATAGGCCTAGCCTCCGGGCGGATGGGGTCGGAGACGGACAGAGCGACAGCAAAAGTCCAAGGCGCGGCGAACTCTGGAGGAGAGCAAGGCTTGACGGCGACCAGGGCAACGGACTTGGCCCCTTGCTTCCACTGCTGCATGTTGGCTGATGTGGATGTAGGAATGACAACGGCAAAGTCTGTCATCAGAGCTTCGCTGCCCACGATGATCTCAAAGTCTGCGCCCTGAGAGCTACGGTAGGTAGCCTTGATGCCCCTTCCAGGGATCTCCTCGACATCCTCGACACGGCCATCTGTGGCAAGCTGCTTGGAATTGCAGTAAGCTACGACAGCCTTGGCGATCGGATGGCTGCTGTTCTCCTCAACTCCCTTCAGTGCAGCCAACATCTGTCCGATCCGCCTCTCATCAGCATCCTGCTCTGGGAACAGCTCAGCATCCGTGATACTGGGCTCTCCGCCCATCGTCAGTGTCCCGGTCTTGTCAAACACGATGACGTCAATTCGACTGGATTTCTCGAATGCTTCGCCACCTCCTTTAGCTAGGATACCGTAGTGGGCGGCCATCCCACCGCCGATAAAGATCGCCGTTGGCGCAGCAAGACCCAGACCACAGGGACAGGCGACCACGAAGACGGCGATGGCAAATTGAAGGCTGAAGGCAACCCAGCCGCCCGACGTCACGTCCAAGAAGTGGCCAGGAATCCTGCCGGTGAAGCCCAGGCACATCCAGATGATCCATGTGCTGATGGCGACGAGGGTGACCATGGGCACGAAATAGGACGTGAGGAGATCAGCGATGCGCTCGATAGGCGCGCGCTTCGTCTGGCCTTCGCGCACGACGGCGACGATCTGGTCGAGCATGGAGCTCCCGGAAGGGCCCGTGATCTTCACCAGCACCGCTGCATTCTTGTTCACCGTGCCGGCGAAAACTTCGTCCCCCTGTCTCTTCTTGACGGGACGTGATTCGCCGGTCAGACTCGACTCGTCAAAGTTGGTCTCACCTTGGACAACCGTGCCGTCTGCGGGTGGCGAAGAGCCATGCGGCACCCGCACCACGTCACCAAAGTCCAGCAAGTCGGCCTGAACAACCTTGTCCTCGGTCGGCCTATCACCCTTCTGTTCCACCAAGATCGCGGTAGTCGGTCGAAGCTTGCCAAGCATCTCGACCGCGTCCCCAGTGCGTGACTTGCTGTACGCTTCGATGAGACGGCCCAAGAGCAGGAAGAAGGTCAAAAACACAACAGAATCAAAGTAAAAGTTCGAGTTATTAACCGACTCGGGTTGGTACGCGGCTGCTGCAATCATTTGGCTCACGCTGCTGATGTATGCAATGGTGGTCCCCAGGCTCATGAGTGTGTTCATGCTGCCGAAGCGGTAGAAGCGCTGCAGGATCGGAGTGCGGCTCCCGGGCCGCCACAGTGTCAATATCTCCTTGACTGCTCGGCGATGGAAGACATCCGCACCGAAGAAATACACCGGGGTCGCCAGGATAAAGAGGGCAATCTGTGCCCGGCTGATGCCGGATGTCCATGGACGCATGAGAAAGTGCTTCTCCATGTTCTTGTCGGAAACAAGAGACATGTAGGCAATGCCGATGACGAAGGTGGGAATGCAGGTCAATCCTGCGAAAATCACACGGTAGAGGATCTGCCGCTGATGTCTGGCGTGGATTTGCTTGGACCGCTCCTCCAGAGTTGGGGGGTGGTGTACGGATGCGCTGAACGCTGGGTCACTTGCCTCGATGGCGGCGAGTATTCGGCGGATGGTGAAATCTGGGGCCTCAGGGACATATGCGAGTTTGATGATGGGCTTCTGAAGGGTGGGCTTGTTGATGATGTCCAGCGATCGGCGGAAGCCGCACAAGCTGTTGGTGACCCGGCTCGGACAATGCTCGCAGTAGATGCCGTCAATCCTAATCTCGACTGTACGTTCCTGACCCTTGGGAGCGTCTTGCTCGACGCTGACGACATTATCGAGCGTTGCTTCATATCCCAAGTCCTCTATGATCTCCACCACCTTCTCGGCATTCTTCCTGTCGGTGAACTCGACCGTGGCGCTGTTCGAAAGAAGATTCACAACGGCCTTGGAAATCCAGTCCTTCTTCTTCAACTCATCTGTGATGGCGTTGACACAGACCGCACATGTCATGCCCCCTACAGCCAGACTCGCTCTCCATGTCGGCTCGCCGGCCGGTACGGATATGGATGGAACTTCGGTCTCGGCAGTCGAAAATGATTTCACCGATTTCAGAGTCGACATAGAAGTCATGACTCCGGACTTGTCCAAACGCTGGTTGCTTGAGCTCGTGAACGCGAGGGGTATCTCGGCTAGCATGTCGTCCTTTTCGGCATCCCAACACGCTTGCACGTCTCCGTTCGACTTGCGGCGACACTCGCTGCAGTTCTCGAGATGTGATCTGAACTGTGTTGACTTCATGGCGCCTGGCTTGTTGTATCGAGGGTTGCTCATCCAACGCGGTAGGAGGGGGCGAGGGGGAAGACTTTTAAACGTCCCGTTAGACTCGCTGTTTGCGACGTTGGATCCCTCCTCGAGATCCAGCCCGGCCAAGTCCTCGACGACCTCGGCGGACGAGCTGACTGCGCAGACTGCGAAACCAGCCTCCTCAAGGGCAGCGGCAATGTTCTTGACGTTGGCCGCTGGGTCGTGTTCCACAGTGACCACCGAGGTCACGATGTTCGGCGATACCCAGAAGATCTGTTCAGCACACGACTCCTGCAGGACCCGGCGTATAGCGGAAACGCAGGTGGGACAGTGCAGATTGGCGAGGAGAAAGGAGCTGGTGACGGCATCGTGGAGAGGACGAGGTGTCTTGTGAGACGTAGCCATGGCTGCGGGGATATATGCGAAGGGGGGGTTCCGACAGAGGTGGTACACCCCCGGGCGACGACAGCCAACGCGGATAACACGGCGAGAGAGCGGGAGTGCGACCTGCGAAGATGGCCCGTGGCAGATCTTACTTGGGGTGCTATGTGATATGTGCTATGGCCGCACGTGGTCCGTGGAAATGCAGATTATCGAATATCCTCGACGATGAGACAAGTGCTCTCCCGGTCGCAGGCGAACGATCTAAGACCTCGTGGTGGCGGCGTCTGATTGGGCGCGAACCAAGTCCGAGTCTTCTCGACGCAGGCAAAGATGTTCTGGATTAAATTAATTCGGGGCGGTCTAATATAGGAGATGCGGACCGGCAGAAGAAAGAGAAGGGTGGAAATATCAGGCTGAAGTCGGTGTCTGGTACTTATGCCACCTCAGTGTGGAGCCGAACGCGGAGGAGGGAAGTCGCGATGAGGAATCAATCTTGGCTGCACCCGTCCAAATGGGAAGGGGCATTGCATGCAAGACAAACGGAAGCAAGCGCAGAAAAAAAGCAAGATGATGGATCACGATGGCGATGACTAAAGGAGCCAAGCCAGGCAGGCAAGGTAAGTGAGTTCTCGTCTGTTCATTTTGCTTCTTTGACGCATGCAGGTCTGGGCCTCGGGGAGAGCGACCTCTCCGACCTGCATCCGGGCCTGACGGCGACGATAACAAGTCAGGCATTATCGTCACGTCCAACGGTATGTCCCTGTACGGATGTATGCACTTGGGGCGGTGAATGGTCGATCTGCCAACGCTTTGGGGATTGCACGCACAAACCACGCAGCGCTAGACATGCGTCTGTTATGTGATGGAAAACCTTGATGACTCCCATCTCGTACCGAATTTCCACTAGCTGAATATCCAAATGTGGACGGATGACCTCTCGGGTTCGTCTCGCTCGCGCAGAAACAACGCAACAATGACAAGATTCACAGCAAGGTGGTAGTGGAAAGGAGTGGAGTGGACCACCACAGCGTCGCGTGCCGCCGTCGCTCGGGAGTTCTCCCGGACTGGGGCCGCCCCGGCTTTTGCTTGGCTAGCACAGCACTTGGGAGTTCTTCTTACCCAAGAGCCGGGCGGGATCCGGATGTCCAATTACAATTCCCGTACAGCTCGTGAGCTTGATTAATCAGTAAAGCGAACAAGGAAGCGGCTGCCCTCTGACGATGACAAATGTTTTCCTTGGACCATGCATGCGAGGCGCATCGGTGAACTGGCTGGCTGGGTGGCTGGCTGGCTGAACAGGTTCCTTGTAGTTACAGCGCGGCAGATTGGGACCTTCATTTGGGAATGCAGCGGGTGTTGCCTCGCTAAACCTGTCACTGGCCCGCGTGGCAGGAGGAGGATAATCTGGGGAACGGCACAACTGCACGCTGGTATGAACCTGGACGGTTCAATTGGTGTTTGCTGAACGTAATCAGTCATCAGCCAGTTTGCATTCCAGGTCTTTGCCAGGTAGTTATTTATTAGTGGCATGCAGATCTACAAGTACCAAAGCACCACAAGCACCCCAAGAGGATGGTCGATGACCAGGTGCCCAGGAATAATAAGGACCTCACAGTATGCGTCTGGGCACATTTTTTTTTGGTTTTTTTCTCTTTTTTCTTTTTCTTCGTTCATCAGTAGCTGATTCACTGGGAGCAAATTGATGTCTTGGGCCCAATCGTTTCGGATATGACCGGGCTGTAATACTTGTCTGGGACAGATTATTACACTCTTAGGTATTTCGCCGTCCGCGCAGCACAGCTTTCGCCCGCGCGTGGAAAGTTCTTGATCGTGAATAATCGGCACCACGATTCGCAGCGATCAATTGCCAAGCGCCTGTAGCTGTGCGTCGTGCCGGGCGTCTTTCGCTTGTGCTCATTGGCACAGTTTTTGATTACCTAGTAGGTAGGTACTGACGCTGTCCATGGTTTGCCTGTGCTGCTCCTTTTTGGTGGTTTAGGGTGTTTGATTGCTGCATCTCATCTAGTCTCATCTCATCTCATCCCATCCCATCCAGCCAAGAAGAGACGAAAAGCGTGGCACGCAATTGGTGACCATTTGAATTAGTTGATTGGCCATTCGACTGGCCAACCTTTTAAGTGCTCGATGGCGACATGGCGGTTGTCGGGCAGACAAGACGGCAACCGGCGGCCGGAGCTGATTCGGGGTCTCGACTACCGGGGCGATAAGCGATAAGATCTTGCACGTGACCGATGCAGGGTCCTCTGCCTTTGACTTTCAGAGCTTGAGTGCCTGGCCGAGTCCACTACTTTCCCAATCGGGCTCTAGAACGATTGCGTGATCGCTCGCGGAATCATCGCAATCTCGCACCTCGCCTGCAAAACCGCCTGCGAAAGGGCTATCGAAAAAAACTACCCGGTCCCTGGCGCGCGCGGGCTGTGCTGGCGGGCGAAAATGCGACCGTACAAGTAAGTTCCCTCTCTGGATTCCTTTGGTAGGTGTCTCTCCTTTTGTTCCTCTTGTCTCTCATGGTTGCCTCTGTCCTTCGCGAGGTTCCCACTTCTAAGTCACTCTTGTCCGTGGCATTAGACTCCTTATCCTGCTCTTCTGTTTAGAGCTCTGAGAGAGCCCTTGTCTTGGAAAAAAAGCTCCTCTGTGCAAGTTGTTGTGTAGTGCTTTCTCTTTGTTTTTGCTTCGCTTTCCAAACAACCCCCCGAGCAGCATCTCGAGATGTCTCTCCAGCAAGACGCCTCTGGCGTCAAGAAGGCTCTGCCTCTGGGCCAGCTCGCCCCGATCTCCTCCATCTCCGGCCCGACTTATGCCACCGCTCAGCTCCTCGTCCAGCAGGTCGCTTACAAGCTGTCCGACAAGATCTTCTCGTACTCCCCCGAGACATTTGACTTGGATGTCGCCGCGAAGGTCTGGGCCAGCCAACAGGAGAAGAACATCCACGGTTACCCAACCTCAGTCGTCTCCCTCCAGACCCGTGTCGGAGCTGGCGCATTCGCCCTCGGCTACATCTTCTCCAAGGACTTCGACCCCAGCAAGAGGGAGTTCCCCCAGTCCCTGCTTGCTCCCTCCTCCAGTCTCCGTCACCTCCGCTCCGCCCTTGACCAGCTGGCTCTGCTCTACGGCGTTGCCAGCCCCTTCGTTGCTCACGTCGCTGCGGCCGACTATTCTTCTCAGGATGGCCTTGTTGCTGAGTACGGTTCCACCCTTCAGCTTGCCGAGGAGCTCGGTCTGGGTCTGGTCGCCAGCGCCTCTGCCTACGAGTCTCAACACATGGCCCTTTTCGCCACCCTCATGGCCAAGGTTCTGCCGACCCTCCACATCTACGACGGCATTCGGAGTTCCCGAGAGACTCTGAGGATCATTGACACCTTGAGTGAGACTGGTCTTGCTCAGGTCTTCGAGAAGGTCTCTGAGCACGCCTCGTCTCTGAACAAGCGCCTTGACGACGCCGGAAAGGTTGTTGACCTGCTCCAAGCCTTCAACAACGAGCTTGGCACCGACTACAAGCCCTTTGAGTACTCTGGTCACGAGACTCCCGAGACGGTCCTCGTTGTTTTTGGCAGCGTCGAGTCCCAGATTGCGAACCAGGTCGCCGCTCAGTACGTCTCCGCCGGCAAGAAGTTTGGTGTTGTCAATGTCCGACTCTACCGACCTTTCGTCGAAGAGGCATTCCTGAGCGTTCTCCCCGAGTCTGTGCAGCAGATTGCAGTTCTCGGCCAGGTGCATGATGAGCTCTCCGTGGCCGATGCTTCTGTCCAGTCTGCCCTCTACTCCGATGTCCTCACCTCCATCTCTTTCTCCGGCAAGTGGACTCGCGAGCCCGTCGTGGCTGACCTCAAGTACGCGGCCTCGAGCTCTCTGACTCCCGAGTTCTTTGCCTCCGTCATCTCCAAGATTGTCAAGGATGATGTCGAGATCGATCTTTACGGCCATCTTCGCGAGGCCCAGCAGTACACGTTCTGGGACGTCGACAACTCTCTTGCCGTCCACTCGCCCTTGGCTCTTGGCGAGTCGCTGAGCCGCGAGTCTTCCAACAACGTGTACATCCACGAGAGCCGCGACAACCTGGTCCAGGGCGGTGTCGTCCGAACTGACATCAGGAGCTCCAAGAAGACTGTTGAGGCTCCTTTCCCCGTCAAGGGTGCCGATGTTGTCTACGTTGGCGAGGAGAAGCTCCTCAAGGAGCTGGCTATCTTGAGCGATCTCAAGACCAACGGCAAGCTGATCGTCAGGCTACCTGGATTCAAGATTGAGGATGTTGAGAAGCGTATTTCCCCGGCTATCCGCAAGGATCTGCAGGAGAAGGCCGCCGAGCTCTACGTTCTGGACACGTCGTTCTCTCCTGCTCTGGAGAAGGACGGCGAACCGCTCGTCGAGGCCGCATTCCTCAGCATTACCCGCCCAGGCGTTGGTGCTGCTGACCTTGCCAAGCTTTTGAGCCAGGATCAGCAGGCTACGTTCCTCCAGTGCTTCGATGCTCTCTCACAGTGCCTGATCCCTGTTGAGGTCCAGGCTTCCTGGGCCGACTTGCCCGCGGATTTCGTGGCCCCTACCCTCCTCTCTTCGATCAAGATCAACAGCTTCACCGGCTTCGAGAAGGAGGAGCCTGAGCCTGCCTTGGAGCTGGATGATTGGCAGGCTGCGGCCAAGGGTCTTGCTTTCAAGGAGGTCTACGGCACCCAGTCCAACCTCCGCCCTGAGCTCACTGTCAAGACCGCCACCGTCACTGTCAAGGAGAACCGCCGTCTGACGCCGGCCGCTTACGACAGAAACATCTTCCACATTGAGTTCGATCTCGGCAACTCGGGTGTCACTTACAATATCGGCGAGGCTCTCGGCATTCACGCTGACAACGACCCCAAAGAAGTCAAGGAGTTCATTCAGTTCTACGGTCTTGATGCTGATGCCCTGGTACAAGTTCCCTCCAGGGATGATGCCGCCGTGCTCGAGACCCGCACCATCTACCAATCCCTTGTTCAGAACATCGACATTCTGGGCAAGCCTCCCAAGCGCTTCTACGAGGCTCTGGCCGAGTTTGCTACCGACGAGGCCGAGCAGAAGAAGCTGGCTGCCCTTGGTGGCAATGAGGGTGCTGAGGAGTTCAAGCGCCGCACCGAGGTGGACACTGTCACCTACGTCGACATCCTGCAGGAGTTCCAGTCTGCTCATCCTTCATTCCCCGACCTGGTTCGCATCGTGGCTCCCCTGAAGCGCCGTGAGTACAGTATCGCCTCCGCCCAGGCCGTCACCCCCAACTCGGTCTCCCTCATGATCGTCGTCGTCGACTGGGTCGACTCCAAGGGCCGCACCCGCTACGGCCAGGCTACCCGCTACCTGTCGCGGCTCCCGGTCGGCTCCAAGGTCACCGTCAGCGTCAAGCCCTCGGTCATGAAGCTCCCCGTCAAGGACACCGCGCCGCTCATCATGGCCGGCCTCGGCACCGGCCTCGCCCCCTTCCGCGCCTTTGTCCAGTACCGCGCCATGCAGAAGGCCCAGGGCAAGGAGATCGGCTCCATCCTGCTGTACCTGGGCAGCCGTCACCAGCGCGAGGAGTACCTGTACGGTGAGGAGTGGGAGGCCTACCTCGACGCCGGTGTCATCACCGTCCTCGGCGCCGCCTTCTCGCGCGATCAGCCGCAGAAGATCTACATCCAGGACCGCATGAGGCAGACCATGAAGGACATCGTCAAGGCCTACATCGAGGAGGAGGGATCCTTCTACCTCTGCGGTCCTACCTGGCCCGTGCCCGACGTGACGGACGTGCTCGAGGAGGCCATCGCCACCGAGGCCGCCGCCAGCGGGCGCAAGGTTGACCCGAAGAAGGAGATTGAGAGGCTCAAGGAGGACGGCCGCTACGTCCTGGAGGTCTACTAGAGTTGCAGCTGTTTGCAGCGTGTAATGTGGTGTGGTGATATGACTTGGCCCTTCTAGCTTGGGCTGATTTTGAATAGACATAAAAGCATGGTTCTTTCACAGCGTACTCATGTGACCGTTCCTCCTCTTGACGTGAAGTACTGTAAATCGCTTGGCGTCGTTGATATTAAAAGTTCATTTACAGAGCCCCCCTCATCTCCTCATCTCCACGTCTCGGCCGTTCTTCATTCAGCCTATATCCGCTACCTCCTATGGCCTCTCACGGTTTCCGGGTTAGGACCACCTTCATATACTCGCTCAATACCTATGTCCTTTCTCATTTGCCACTGAGACTGTAGAGACAGGGAAGTGTCCTCGTCGGCCGTGCTAAATATGGCCACAAGGCAGTAACGTGGAGAGGACATGATGGTGGACTGATTTATCTTTCTGCAGGAAGGGATCTTGTGACTTCACCTCGCTTGAAGTTTATCCTTCAGTTTGGGCGATGTCGATGGTATTTCGTAAACCTAGCTCCCGCTAAGGACAAGTCTATGCAGCTCTACTCGCGGTGAGTTCCCCGGAGAGCTGTCGTTCACATACATGTTCACCCATAAATCAGTGAGCTGAAACTCCCACGGCCTCGGGCCTTGCCGCTGGGTTGGAGTGACCTACGGAGGGCTCCCTTTGGCGGAGAGTAAGCTTGCACGTTCGAGACCGGACCTGATGCTACTTCATCTATTCACCGCCCACATGAGTGCCAGCTTCAGCTCCCTCCGGCCATTGTGCTCCCCAATCTTTCCTCCAATCTGATGATCAGAACATGTTAGACGCGGAAGCCACGGCCAGCCACGACCCCTTTTCCAGCTGGCCGGACAAGGTCTTTTCGCCAATCGTTAACGTCGTATCCATGGGCAGGCATCCAGATGTGTCAGGTGGTCAAGGGTTGGGTGAGAACGGCGAAGGGGAGACGAGGCCTTTGGAGTCTGATCTGATGAACTCCCTGCCAGCAACACCGCCTTTGTCTTTTCTTCTCCATCAGATTTCCCCTCTCTTGGTACACTGCCCTGTGTAGTAGCCTGCATTGTTTTAATATCGACATCTAGTGAAGAGCATGGGGATCTGAGGCCTGGACCTCCTTAGTAGTCCTCTAGTCTCCCTCTTGCAATATGCAATGGCACCATCATCATCCTTCTCCTCACGAACCTGTCGTCTGACTGCTATTTTTGGAACATTCTCCCATTTCAACATCTCAAGCTGTCTTGTTCCGTGATGTTTCAATTGATGATGGGTATCGACATGTCACGGGAGCGTACTTGTGCCGCCTCGCTCTGAGGTCTATAAGAAGGCTCGATGCTTCCCATGATTGAGGTACGGTCATGATCATCCAGCATCTAAGCACCCACATCATAGAGTATCAAAAAAAGAAACTTCATCGCCCCATTTTCTCGCATACACCCAATTCCCACTTACAACAATGCGGTTCACATCCAGCCTCGTCCTCCCCTTCGCCCTCCTCGCCAGCGCGGTCCCCATCTACGGCCCCGACGGCGGTCCCTCGGGCCACGAGGTGCAGATCGAGGGCATCTCCTTCGCCGGATCCGGCTGCCCGGCCGGCTCTGTCGCGGGCCAGCTGGCCTCGGACCTGACGACCATCACGCTGCTGTACGACAGCTTCGTGGCCCAGGCGGGCAAGGACATCAAGCCGACCGACTACCGCAAGAACTGCCAGCTCAACGTCAAGCTGCGCTACCCGTCGGGCTGGCAGTTCTCCGTCTTCCGGGCCGACTACCGCGGCTACGCGTCGCTGCCCAAGGGCGACACGGGCACCTGCAAGGCGACCTACTACTTCTCGGGCGAGCAGAAGCAGATCTCGAGCACCATGACCATCAAGGGCCCCTTTGACGACAACTACCTCAAGTCGGACAGCTTCGGGACCGAGAGCACGGTCTGGTCGCCCTGCGGGCAGGAGGGCATGCTCAACATCAACTCCGAGGTGCGCATCACGCCGCTCGACTCGACGACGCCGGCGCTGTTGACTGTAAGTGTCTTTGCTTGCCTGGTCTATGATACGCTGAAGACGTAGACTGACACACTGGCTGTTCTAGGTCGACTCGACGGATCTCAAGTTCACCCAGATCCACTACCTCCAGTGGCAGACCTGCAACAGGAAGTAAAAACCCCAGTACAGGGCACACACACTTGTCGCTTCATGGGGAGGAGGATAGACACCCGCAACTCTTCTTAAAGACAAGTGAATTAAGGTATCGCAGTTTTACCACATCAGACAGGCTTTCACATAGTCCTAGTCCTATCTTGTCCATAGTTCCCCCATTATAAGCATAGTATATTATCATCAACGAGTGGTATATCCGCCGTTTGCAAAGATGGTCTGTCCCGTGATCCACCTGCCCTCTGTGCAGAGGAACTTGACGATGGGTGCAATGTCCGCGACCTCGGTGAGCCTGTTGCCCATGGCCATGCTCTTGTGGAACTCGACCGCCTCCGGAGACTCTTGAGGATAGAAGAATGCTATGTCGTAGAACAGCGATGTGTTAGTAAGCTGACTATAACAAAATTAGATTTATAGCCCAGGCCACAAATGGTACTCACGTGTGTCCATGGGACCGGGACCGACGGCGTTGACGCTGATGCCACGGCCCTGCAGCTCCTTGGCAGCGCCCCTGGTGAAGTGCTCAACGGGCGCCTTCGAGCCGGCATACGAGGTATAGAAGCCCGTGAAGGCGGCGAGGAGGGAGGTGACGATGGTGATGATCTTGCCGCCGTCCTTGACGTGCTTGGCGCCTGCTTGTAGGATGAAGAATGCACATTTGGAGTTGATCCTAGATCAGAGAGCACCTTCATCAGCAACGTTTTCTTGCACAATAGCACCAAAGTGTGAGGAAGAGTGGCAAAAAATGAGAATACGTACGCGAACATGGAATCGTACTCCGCCTCGCTGATCTCGGCAATGGGCTTCTTGAGCACCTTGCCCACCGTGTTGACGACGATGTCGACCTGGCCAAAGTCCTTGAGGACCGAGGCGAACAGGCCGTCGACCGCGGCAGCGGTGGTCAGATCCGCCTGGTAGAAGCGGACCTTGCACTGGGGGAACTTCTCGGCGAGCTTCTTTTGCAGTTTGGCCGCCTCGTCCTTGGAGGACGGCGAGTTGTAGTGCAGAGCGAGGTTGGCGCCCAGGGGGGCCAGCTCGAGGGCAATCTCGGCGCCGAGGTTCTTGGCCCCGCCGGTGATCAGGGCGACTTTCCCGCTGAGAGACATGGTTGGAGTGTTACACGAGGCTTGGGGGCGGAGCGGCCAGGGTGTGATTATTGGATTTCCTTTGGTGGAGAGCTGAAAGACCAATATGATTTGCTCTTAATTATCGTCAAGTGCATGTATTTCGCCAATCTCCAAAAGAGTGTCCGGGCAGACCGGCAAGGCCCTTTCTTATACCATTTCATCCCTAGACATAAAGACCGTTCGAAGCTGTTTCGAAATTGAGTTCGTGAATACATCATATCTCCAGCTTCCCCCACGCTGTCCGGCGTTAAACTTCTGGTGCTCTGTACGCAGAGCATCAAATGCATATTCCCGACTTGGCTAGCTTTGGCGCGTTCACGTCCTACCTACAGCCATACCCGGAGACAGCGACAGATTGATCAGCGCCATTATGTGGAACCTTGACTAGCAATGTTCGAATGCAGTGACCAGATCCGGTTAAGATCATCCTCCAGCTGAACCTTTGAGGCTGAACCACCCGTCGCCACTGATACCAATGTCTCCTTCTCCCACTGACCTTGAGCTCTTTGGATTCGACGTTGCCCGGGGGAAGCGTTCCATTTATACATATTGCATGCAGTGACCTGATCCAGAAAAGCTCGCGTCGGTCTTCACTCTAGCCTCAACCCAATTACGCAGCACTCCTACACCAATCTGCCTTGTAGTGCTTGACATCATCCATACCAATCGTCCGGAACAAGGCCCCTGTTGTCACGATCTCGGTACCGTTTGACGTGCGTCAAGTTAGCCGGATCCAGTATCCCGCAGCGACGGGTGCGTCCCTTCGGGTGGTGTCTGTGCGCGAAGCATCACGGCGATGCGATTGGGCTGGCGAGACTCTTATTAGAGAGTGCTGCCTGCCACATTCCCTGCAAGCCAGAATGACGAAAGGAAGCGCCACCTCGACGTCCGGGGTCGAGTTCGAGTTCGTAGTGGGCAACAACCCGGAGCAGCTCAAGGGGACGACCAGCCGCCACGTCCGCTCGCATGCCGCCCGCCTGGGATGGAAGGCTCACCACCAGACCTCGTCGTCCTCGGGCGGCAAGCGGCAGGAGCAGAAGCAGCGGAAGCGCCGGCAGACGACCAGGTCTTACAAAGTCACGTTTGAGTGCGTTGAAGTCGAAGAAGTCGAGGAATCAGTGGACGGGCGGGGCGCATATGGACAGCAGCCGCGGCAGCAACCGTGGGAGGAAGCCAATCCCTTCGCAGGAGCTCCACCGCCACCGACCTTCGACTGGCTCCTTGGGGGCCTCCGTGTCGACCCCTTCCGGTCGTACCCCTGCCGCTGGCGCCCGTTCATTCCCGCCGTCGTCGACCACTGTATGCACCATATTGCCACCCCCCTTGCACTTGGCCCTCCTGAGACGCATGCGTGCTAATGCAACCTGAAATAGACATCGTTCACATGGCCCAGGACATACCGGAGTTAGACCAGCCCGGAAACCGAGGCCTCTTGCGGACAAAGTGGTTCCCCCTGGTCATGTCCGAGGCCGCCACCTTCCAGGTGGTGCTGCTCCTCGCCGCGTCCAACATGGTCTCGGTCAAGGGCGTCGCCGGCGCCGGGTGCCAGATCCTGCAGCTCAAAGCCGACGCTATCAACACCATCACTAAGTCGTTTGTCGGCGATAGCGACGGCGGCGGCAGCAGCAACGACAGCAACAACAACAACAAGAAGAAGGAGGAGAGCCAGGTCTCGGACGCCATGGTCGGCGCGGTGGCGAAGATGGCCAGCTTCGAGGCCATGCACGGCAACCTCGAGTCGTACCACGTCCACATGCAGGGCCTGCACCGCATGGTCTCTGTCCGGGGCGGCCTGATGGCCCTGGGCCTCGAGGGCCTGCTGCGCCGCATCATCGTCTGGATCGACTTGAACTCGTCCTTCTTGCTCAACATACCGAGGTACTTCCCGGGGGAGATGTTCTCACTGGAGGAGAGTGAGGACTCTGATGTCGAGCCCGAGCCCAACCCTGCTCGGTTCACGGCTGCTTGATTTAGATCGGGGTGGGATAGGCAAAACCAAGAAGATGGCAGCGAAGTGTTTTTGAGAAGCGGAGGTCCATGTATTAGCAGCGCTGGTCAAGAAACACGGGTCCAATCTGCTGGCGGATGTCCTGCCACTGCTTTCACAAATGGGGGAGAGATGCACACAAATGGGACTTGTCAAAGGAACATCGCCGTTGGAATTATGAAATCTCTTGAGAGTCGGTGTTCGTTAAAGAGTACCCTCCCTATGGATGATGTCTTCTATGTGATTGTGGTCAAGATTTTGCATCATCCGAGCCTCGGCAAGCTGGCGAGCTGTCGTGAACACATTGCGTATCTCCCTTCCATTCATCTCATATTGTGAAAGCTCCTCGACGTGCTCAAGCAGGTCATCAAAGTCCATATTTGCGTCCCGGAGGTGGCAGATCCGAGAAATCAGATTCCTCCAGATCTGCGCTCTCTGGGAAGGAACAAGGGCAGGGTATTGCACCGTCAGCTGGATGCGAGACTTGAAGGCGTCGCTGAGAGTGTCGACCCGGTTGCACGTCAGAATGATGATTCCGTCGTGGTGCTCGAGAGCACGCGCAAGTACCGACGTCATGGCATTGTGTTGGTGGTCGTTGGGCCACCGTTCTTCCAGGAACAGATCCATGTCGTCCAGTAGTATGACACATCCCCATGCCTTCCCGAGTGCGAGGATATCTTCTAAATGACCCTTCATCCTCTTGGGATCGGTTCCGAAATCTCCACACGAGACAGGAAGGAGTGGCATCTCGAGCGATTCGGCCAGGCTCTCCGCAGTCAGTGTCTTCCCGGTGCCAGCAGGCCCCTGCAGAAGCAGAACAAGCCCAGTGCCTTTGCCACTGATATAGTCCGCCGATTGGTTGCCACCAAGAACCGCTGACTTGGCAAGCTTTAACCAGCCCGATGCCAGTGCTTGCAAGGTTTGTTTGGATTTGCAGTCCAGAACAAGATACTCCCAGGCCTTCTTGTTCCAAGCCACATCGGTTATCCCGTCCACCTCCAGGTCAAGCCACTTCTTTCGCTCGAGACTATAACCTTTGATCGTTGATGGCAACATTTGGAGAAAGAGTTGATCGGGGGGAGTGTCACTGGTCATGTGATTAATCACGTAATTGGAAGTAGAGGTCTCTCCAAGGTTCGGAGAGACGTGGTTGTGGGGGGGCATCCGTGTCTCGTTGAACTTTGAAACATCGACCATAAATCTCTCACTATCAGGGTGCTGAGAGATGAGATCTGATCTGGCCTGGTAGGAGACTAGTCGTGCCGAACGACACTTCCAAAATTTCTGACCCCTGCACCAGAGTCGAAGAAGGTCAGCGCCACCATGAAGCCTTGACGGTATCACGGGAAGGTCCTCAACGTCCAGTTCCAAACTCTTATCTGTGCTGAATACCATGGTAAACTGATGTTGTTTTCGTGAGAAGGATCCGTCGAAATCCCAAGTTATCGAATCAAGTTTCCAATACTCCACGTTCTGAGCGGTTTCGCGGCTGGACAGAGACAGCGTAGATGTTGACAGATATCCTCGCATGCTGGAGCCACGGCCGGCGGTCAAAAGCTCCCCAGGCCAAAAGAGGTACTTGAGATAAGGGTAAGTCATCCTCTTCCTGCTGAGTAGTGAGTTGACTGTCTGATACTCCTCGGAGAGTTCGGCCAGCACGTAGTCGAATACGACTTGAAACTGACGCGCCTCTTCATGGCTCAATGTACTCAGGAACGTGTCTTTCCGATCGCGGATACGGAAAATAGATGGGTACGGCGAGGACATCGGCAAATTTGCTTGGAAGGTATGGTTGGCGTAATGTTTGGGCGCAAAAGGCTCACTAATGAAATCGTTCAATTTAGTGAGCGCCTGCTTCAGGTCGCTCGTTGCGGGCACGATCTCTTCCGATGTGTGCTCGACATATCTGTCCGGAGCGCCCGGAGAATATGGTTGTGATGACTGATAGTCCCGGTACACCAGAAAGGCCACCTCCGAGTGCTCCGTCAGAAACGCTGGCAAGTCGAAGATTGGATGCTGGCCCGCCACAACCATCGTTGCATTGCCTCTCAGACTCCACCTTGGTCGGTCCAGGTAGAGATGAGAAACTTGCGAATCAGCTTCTGCTATCCTGTGAACGATGATCGCAGCAGAGGCTTCCTTCCGCGCTTGACCGTGTTGCATAGTGACAGATTTTGGTATTCCATCGCCTGTCATACGGGGGCGCTTTGCCTGTTTCTCTGTGGTGTTAGCAGACTGACTCGAATTCATCGACGTTTTGAGACTTGCCGTGTCGTTCGAGATGTGGCGTGACGCTTCTGGTAGAATAGAACGTTTTCTCATGCCCGTGATCGTGACCTCTGGTTCGGGGTCATTCGTTCGGCCGTGATTGGAGAGGTCCCCAGATCTACGCGTCGTACCTGTCGATTCCATCCTCACTAGGACTGGTGACCAGCGCTGCAAGTGTGTTGTGGCACGCAATCCACCCTCCTCTAGAGTCGTGGGCAATGGCAATGATCGGGTAGTGTCTTTGGATATTGCCCGTGTCCAGAGAGTCCCGAGGGTAGGTCTTTGGGGATTGACCGCGTTTCTTCGTCCGTACATCAATGCCGCATATGATTCTTGCCCCGATCTCCTTTGTGCGATCTCACTTCATGACTGAGTTCGATGGTCAGGATCACCGAGGGCCAGTCGCAACGTTAGCATATGAGAGCGCCGCGAGCTTGGAGTTTCACCGTATATTGCCTGCCTCCGAATTTTCATTCTGATATTGCTTGTTTTGGGCGGGCAATGAGGGGCTGGCTTAATCAGTGACCATGCATGCGCCACTGTGATAGAGGCGCATAATGGGCCAACCAGATGCTCGAATGGTTGTTGGTGGTGCAGGGGGCAAGACAGGACTCACCAGGCTTCGGCGAATCAGACCCATGTAAAATGCTTTTTCACCGTTGCACATTTGCTCAGCCTCGGTGAGGGGGAATCCCGTCGAATTGCTGCCAACCCAAGCAAACAGTACAGCTATCTGCCCTTCCTACCCTCCCTCCTTCATGAGCCAAGCTTAGTAGAATTATGAGCGCTTGTGAAGTTTGTGTGCGTGTTTCGTAAAAGATCATGTCTTCATAGATGGCCGACGGCTCCTCTCCTGGGGCCGCTTCAGCATTCTTTGCGTCAGGAGAGCGGTAACCGATATCACAATCGGCAATCCAAGCCCGACTCCTATCCCAGCACCGATCTGCCACCTCCGTCGCTCTCGATCAAAAGCATGGTCTTTCTGCCAGTCCGCTGCTGCAGCCGCTGGCCAGCTCATGATCGAGAAGTAGTCACTTTCCAGATTACCATCGACAGGGATGACACCACCATTTCTCGTTACCAAAGCCCTGATCTGGAGCCTCATCGTCGCCGCCATGCCCTGCAGCTCGGCTAGCGTTCCGTTGAACTTGCCCGAGTCGGCAATCTCGACCAGAAGCTGGTACGGCTCAAAAGTGTAACCGCTACCGGCGGCCAGTGCTGTAAATCTTGTCAAGATCCGAGTAGACGACAGGGTGTGATTGGCGGGAGGGTGATCTTACGAATGAGATAGGAGAAGTCTGTATATTTCCGGATCCTACTTTCGAGGGTGGACCGGAAAACGACTTGCAGTTCGACACTGTCGTCGCGTAGAGTCCCGTCCAATGCAACAGTATACGTCTCGTTGTCCGCAAGCATGCCGTGGGCTCTCCAAGCTGTGGCAATGGGCCATACATTTTCGGGAAAAGTGCAGTGTTGGGAGGTATCGCACCAGACGAAAGTGCTGAGGCAGACTTCTGGAGGAGAGGCCCTCCCATTGCGGCAAGCGGCCGAGGCTGTGCCAATGATGGTTGACAGGCTCGTGGCCGCAATCAACGATAGTATTGACCTCATGTCCAGCACCTCCGTCCTCGGTAGGCTGAAAAGAGGCTACGAATGTTGTATTCTCAATCTCCGGCTCTTTATCGCGTCAAGATCTTGCGGCAAAGGGCTCACCCACTGCATGAACTTCTAGTTAGGATGTCATATTTCTAACGAATATTTGTATGGGTCTGTGGTGTGCTTGATATCTCTCCGTCGATCGTCGTGAGAAAGGAACAACAAATCCAGTAGGTCGCCTGACGGTGGGCAATAATCACTGTCGAGATGGTAAATATGGAGGAAAGGTTGGGAAAGCGGGAGAGTGATGTCGTCGTTTAGGTTTTAATCTTCCCTAGAGGTCTCAGAGGGCCAAGACGCGCGGGGTCCACCACACCACAAGCTGAGGCAAACAGGACCACCAAGTCAAGGGCTTGGCGAAGGCGTGGTGTTGGATAGTGTGCTCTGCCCAGACTTGGATGCTTGGCTGGCCACTTGGCTGAACTCAGGCCAAGACGCAGCTGTATTCCGAGTGTGCGGGGTCTTCCGCGCGCACCAGAAATCAGGCGTGTCTTTCCTCGCTCTCGACTGCAGCTGGGAGTCCGACTGCTAATGTCGTTCCAAGGGCCTCTCTGACAGGGCTGACTTGAAGGATCTGAATGTAGCTCCACATGATAGTTACAGACCCAGACACCATCTTACATGACAATCCACCGAGTAATTGTATTGTATAATCTAGACGTACGTAGAGAGCCCCTGAGGGCCAAATGCTGTCAGGCGATGCAGTAGACCGCTCAATCCAGGTGACAGCTTCCCTCGAGGCTCTTACTCATTACAGCCTCGACCATGTACTCACTTGGAGAGCACAAGAGACAAGGTATAGAGCCTCGCAACACGAACTACACTTTGCTGTTGAGGTTCTCATTGTATCGGGGCCCGGCAGTAGACCCGGCTCCGGACAGCCGGACAGCCGTTAGTGGGCCAACCCCGCATCCGCTCTCCCTGTGAGCCGATCTCATCAGCGCTAGATGTACGCAGTGCTCCAACTTGACTAGGTACGTCTCTTGGGACCGCCGTCTACCCTTGCACGCCTCCAATGTTGATGAGACACAACCAAGACATGCACCTATCATGACGCCCCTTCCCTTCCCAAGGCTGCCCCCCAAGGCAGCCTACATCTTCCTCAACAACCCCTCCAAGCGCAACGCCCTCTCCCTCGCCGTCCTGCGGGACCTCCGCGCCCAGCTGCACGCGCACCTCTCCCCGCCCCAGTCCCCAGGCAGGCCGCTGCTCCTCCCGGCCTTCCGGCCCTCCCTCCTCCCGGCCCTCGAGGCCGCGAGCCGCGACCCGGCCGCAGAACACGCATGGCTGCTGCACTCGTCGGCCTGGCGCGCCCTCCGCGCGGGCCTGCCCACCGTGCTCGTCCTCCGCTCCGCCCCGGGCCCCGTCTTCTCCTCGGGCCACGACCTGCGCGAGCTCTCCGGGCTCAGCGGCGACGAGGTCCGCGAGACCTTCCGCCTGTGCGCCGAGGTCATGACCCTGCTGCGCCGCAGCCCCGCCCCCGTCGTCTGCGCCGTGCAGGGCCTCGCCACGGCGGCGGGCTGCCAGCTCGCGCTGTCGGCCGACGTGACGGTCGCGCCGCGGGGCACCCCCTTCGCGCTGCCGGGCATGTCCATCGGCCTGCCGTGCACGAGCCCCTCGACGGCCGTGTCGCGCAGGGCGTCCTCCCCGGCGCTGGCGTACCGCATGTTTGCCACGGCCGAGGGCGTGAGGGCGGAGGACCTCGGCGGGGCGGTGGACGTGGTGGACGGCGGCGAGGAGGCGCTCGAGGAGCGGGTCGCGCAGCTGGTGGCCGGGTTGGCGGGGACTTCGGGCCAGGCCCAGGCCTTTGGCAAGTGGGCTTTCTGGACGCAGATGGGCATCCGCGGTGGCGACCTGGCCGGGTTGGAGGGAGAGGGCATGGTGGGCGGCGGCGATGGGTATGAGGAGGCTGTCAGCTGGGCTGGCCGGGTCATGGCGCTGCATGCAAAGGTTGACGACGCGCGGGAGGGCATGGAAGCGTTCTTGGGAAAGCGCAAGCCCGAGTGGAAGACATGAGCCATAGTGGCCTGCATAGACATAAATGTAATTACGATGTGTTTGCTAGCTCTTCTCACCACGACAGCCCAATTTGACCCTGACGTATTATACCATATGTATGCTCTTACTCCTTTTTCCATGTATAATCGGCGTCTTGGTGAGAAGGAGTCAGCATATCACATTTCGGACGAATAGACAAGTGCACTCACCGGGATGGATCTCCGGCTCCTTAATACCGCGTCGAATCTCCTGCTTTCGTTTGTAGTCGATCCCGAAGCGCCTGTCCCGATCCGCGACCTTGGTCTCAAAGTCCAGCTGCCCATCCGCCACATAGCTTGTCATGAGTTGGGGCTCGCCCAAGGGTATCTTGTGGCCTTTGTCCACCTGCCACAGATGGTACACCTTGCCGTACAGATGGATCACGTCCTCCATTTCCGCAGTCTCGGCTGCCTCCCACGCGGCCTCGGGCATCAGACTCAGTGCGCCGCTCCTCTCGGTCGGCCGCGGCATGAAGAGCATGCCGGACTTGACCTCGTAGACGTGGCTGTGCCAGAGCCGGCGCTCATCCTGGTCGAGGGTTTCGTACAGCTTGGGAGTGATCATGTACTCGACGCCGAGCAGACGAGCATTGGGTTCGGGGCTATCGTAGAGGAGGCACTGCCGGACATCTTGGGCTCTTGATCAGCTTCGTCCTGAGACATACAAAGCGTCACGATGTCTAAATACCTTCTGTGAGATGACTGCAGTAGTGGTTCGCTTCAACAGACCTTGTTGGGTCGGAAGCGTACGCGTGGAAGGCATTGAGATGCGCGCAGACATTCTTGATTGGAGAGAAATCCTGAGCAGGACAGATATTAGGCCTGAATTCTCAAGATCTGAATGTAGCTGTGTATCCCATTTGGAATGAACGGGCTCGACGCACCTGAGTGAGTGCAGCTCCTGTCTCGAGGACTTTGCTCTTGGTCGTCAACGGATCGCCAGCAGTAGTGTCCATTTTCATTAAGCTGTGCCAGTGACGATAAAGAAGACAATTTGGGAGCTGTAGAATGTTGAATTCGAAGCGTAGCAAGACCGATGATATGACATCTCAATCTATGGCGAGCTTGCCTCCTGGCTGAGCGTCGTCTCAATCATCCTGACGTCATGCCGAGTTTCACGATATTACACCACGCGGACTCTTCTCAATGCGGTATGTAGATTGCTGATTCCCATCAGCCGATAGGTTGTTCAACATTATCTGAGGAGGAAAGAGTTGTTCTGATTTGTAGGCAAAGACGAATGCTTACATGTGAACGTAGAGTCTTGTGACCGCGCAGTATGACCTCGACGGATTGTCCTTCTCTCACCTAGTCTGCTCTAAAGAGTCCGACTCCTGTTTAGATCTTGCTTTACTGTGATTGAAGATTCAAAAAATTGACTTTACAAACATAAATTTAAACCCAGTCTTTACAATGCCAATGCATTTTGCATTTGATGGCCTATTGGTGTAGGGAGAGCGGAATTTCCGTAACGCACTACACCTCGGTATCCCGGACTCTCCGCCGACATGAATGCTCACCCGCCGGTCATCGCTACGGGGCACCTCACTGACATTGATCAATGCACCAAAGAATACCTGGTCCTTCCTACCCCGGATTTTGATAGTGCGATCCACTACCATACATCTGACTACAAGTAGCTATCCCACTGGTACTCGCATGTTATCCACTGGAGCTGGTGATTGTTGGTTACCCCAAGTGAGCGGAGCACAGAAAAACAACCGAACGGAGTCTGTCCGTGGTTGCCCACAGGCGGTGTTCGTTAGCTTCGGCTGATAATCCGGCAAGTTGGAGGAAACTGAAGCTATCAGGAACCTACCAGATTCAAACATTCAAGTTGAGAATTATTGACAGTATGAAGCTCTCCTTATCCTTTGGGATCCCTCATGCTCAGAACTGTCCTGCGGGAACATCGTATGGAGCCTCAATACCTCGATACGTACCTAGCTGTAGGGCGACTTTGGCTGGCATCATCCAACGATGATCATGGCACATACACTGATTCCTCTGACCAGCAATCCCAAGTCTCAGTCCAGAGAGGTGTTTCCTTGAGGCCAGAGCTTTGAACGCGAACTCACACGGACTTGATCATCCCTAGTGGCAGATGATTCCAGCTAAGCATGGCTATTTCCGGTCTTAGGAGTTCTAGCGCAGGCTTCCCCGCATCCAGCCTGGAGGGGAGCATGCCTTGATATGGGATCCTTGAGACTGATCCGCCATTATCTACACTTAGAGCCCCGCCCCAATGATAAGCCAAGCGGCGGTTTTGCCGTAATCAGGGCAGCGGAATTGCCGTATGCTATCAATGACTCCTGCCGCGATAGTGCATCGGCCCCGGCGCCGATAGCCACGAGGGTGACATCGAGGCGCCAATCAAGTTCTTGATAACGCCAACTCCCCATTGAGGCCCATTGAGGGGTGTGGTTGGAAGTAACCGACCAATCTGCCGACCATCCTCACGCTGCTTCGGATCCCCATTTCCTTCATAAAGGCCTCGAGAGGCCGCACCCTGAGGATCGTTCTCGGGAAACCTTGATCTATCCATGTGCATCCTCACCTAGCTGACCACAATGGGTTCCCCACCGAGGATCGACGACGACGTGTCGCGAGCCGAGAAGCTCGGTGAGCCTGAGCCCATGAAGCCCGATATTTACGAGGGAGAGAGCATCGTGCTCGACGAGGCCGAGGTGTTCCTCAGGGCCAACAACATCAGCGACGAGACCCTCCGAGACCTGCTGGCCGACGAGGCCAATGTCCGCAAGGTCGTGCGCAAGGTCGACATGCGGATCCTCCCCTTGCTGGCCGTCACCTACGTCCTGCAGTACATCGACAAGCTTGCTCTCGGCTACGCCGCCGTCTTCGACCTCTTCAGCGACACCAAGATCAGCCAGAACCAGTACAGCTGGTTCGCCAGCATGTTCTACCTGGCGTACCTCGTGGCCGAGTACCCCTGGACCGCCCTGGCGCAGCGCACGCGCATGGCCAAGGTCGTGTCTGCCTGCGTGTTCGCCTGGGGCGCCGTCCTCATGGCCACCGCCGCCTGCTCGGACTTCAGCGGCCTGGCGGCGTGCCGATTCTTCCTGGGCGTCTTTGAGGCGCCCATCACTCCCTGCTTCATGATGATTGTGGGCATGTGGGTACGTCATATGGCTGGCGCTCGCCGAGTCTGTCTTGGTGTAGATCAATCAAGAAGCAGAATACTAACCAACTTCATCACGCAATAGTATATGCGTAGTGAGCAACCGTTCAGAGCGGGAGTTTTCTACAGTTGCAACGGCGTGGGATCCATGCTGGGTGGGCTCTTGTCCTACGGTATGGGGCAGATCAAGACATTCCCGGTGTGGAAGTGCATTTTCCTGCTCTGCGGTGGAATCACCGTTATCTGGGGCGCGGTACTGCTCGTCTTCCTCCCCGACGACATCCTCAAGGCCAAGCACTTCACCGTCCACGAAAAGGCCACCCTCATCGCCCGTACTCGAGCTGGCCAGACCGGCGTGCTGAACCGCCACATCAAGTGGTACCAGGTCAAGGAGGCCCTGCTCGACCCGCAAGTATGGCTTCTGACATTCTTCGTCCTTCTTAACGAGGTCATCAACGGTGGCATGTCCAACTTTGGCAAGTTGATCATCAAGGGCCTCGTCAAGGACCCGCTCCAGACCACCGCGCTCGGCATCCCCCAGGGCGCCTTCCAAGTCGTCTTCATCCTGAGCGGCACCTACTTCGCCTCCCGCTTCCGCAACGCGCGCACGTGGGTCATGATGTTCTACATGGTGCCGACCATCATCGGCACCTCGATGGTCTGGAAGCTGGACCGCCAGCAGTACAAGGTCGGCGTGCTCATCGGGTACTACCTCTGCGGCGGCTTCGTGTCCGCGCTCGTCGTCGCCCTGCAGATGCCCGCGTCCAACCTCGGAGGCTACACGAAGCGCGTCACCGGCACGGCGGTGGTCTTCGCGGCCTACTGCATCGGCAACATCATCGGCCCCCACGCTTTCCTCGGACGGGAGTCCCCGACGTACCCGACTGGCTGCATCGTGATCCTGGCCTGCTCGGTCAGCCAGGTCCTCATCGCTATTGCCCTCCGTGTGTTGCTAGTCTACAGGAACAAGAAGAGGGACGAAGCCGAGGCGGCCAACCCTTCCCCCGAAGTGATTGACGGCCATGAGGCAGTCACGGACCTGACTGATCTCGAGGTACGCTAAGTCTATGCTGTGCTTGTTAACAACATACATTTGAATGTAACTGACGTATTGAACTACAGAATCCTCGCTTCCGTTACGCGATTTAGAGGAGTATCGCACGTATCAAGACGAGCCTTACGAGCGCCGTGGACGTAGTGGTACGGGTCTTGGGAGCCAAGGCTAAATGATATGAATTTATTGATATGAGCTTTGTTTGAGGGGTTGTCTCTTCAGCTATTACTCCAATCTATGACAAGAGTATGCAGAGCCATTCAATGGTATCTACCACTGCGGTCAAAGTGACGTGATTGACGAGGAAAGGGGTCTTCTACTCAGCTGCGAAAGATGAGGTGCACCAGAAATGCGAGGTTGGCACAGATATCATATGACTTGGCCCTGCCTCAGAGAAAATGGCGTCGAGCCGTGTTCAGCTTGGACTGGCCCAATATCTCCCAACTGACGTTGGCTCGGTGAGTTTTGCCGTAAACATAGCCAACATGGTGTTAGCCATTGGAAGAAAGGCATTTGATATATTTGCGGAGGAATGAACCGACATACCATAGTGCAAGGGGCGGTGGCCTGATTGGAATGAACAACGGTAGACCTCCCTAGGAGACCAAAGTTTAAATGCAAGGTCGTCGAGTGAAGCGGCCACTGAGTCTGTCACGTGTGAGACCGTGAAGCAACAAGAGAGACGATTTCACTTTTTGTCCCCCTTGCTTCCATCTGACTGCTGCACCATGACATTAGAACCATACTCTGGTCTTACACAATGAGGCTCGGCACCATGGGAGTGACCATATTGTCCAGCTTGATCGCAAGTTTCCCCCTGGTATCAGGTAGCCTGGAATCGGGCAAATCATACCTCCTGCGCGTGGTTAGGTACGGGTGCTCCCGAAAGAAGCCGTGCTAGTGGGGAGACGACACTAACATGATGTGGTGGGCAAGTGACCATGCCGACCTTGCCAACAGGACGCTGTACCTCCAACGCGACGAACAGCGTCAAAACGGCGGCTACAGTCTCCTCGTCCAGACGTACCCTCCTCATCAGCCAGTCCAGGTGCAGAGGGGCGCGAAAAGATCAACAATCGTCCTTGACCATGCTCAAAGCGACTTCCTCACGTTGGCCGGTCCAAGTGGCCGAGGCGCAGATCAGCTGCGGGTTTCGACAACCGTCAAGACCGAGGGCATAGGCGCCGAGATCTACTACACCGCATGGGGGACCGTGAAGGACAGGTCCGCGCGTAGGACACTCCTACGATACCGCGATAAGCTTCTCGAGGGCCGACACTGGGTGGCTGTACCCGAGAAAGATGGGAAGGGGGTGGTGACCTGGACGATCTGGTCTCTTGAACCCAGTCCCGCGAATTCCGGACTGCTGCCGGGGGCCGTTGATGTCGATGTGGAAGTTGTACCAGTCTGACTTGCGTGAAACGGAGACATTTGGGAAATTCCGGATTTGATGTACCGGTCGGAGCCGAATGCCGAGCAGTATCTCAACATGCGGCCGGCGCAGCAAAGTGGGTTTAGGGATCGGCAATGCTAGGGCAGAGGCTTTGTTCGCATCTCATCTAGGTCTTAACGGCCATAATTCTAGCCTTTTAGAGGCATCAAACCTCGCTGTATCCCAGCTTCCTTCCACGCTTTCGTCTACCATGGACCTCGTACCCAAACCCAATCGTGACTTGGCTTCAGGGATGATCCACAGAGGTCGAGCAGCTTGCCAATCTCAGAGAACCTGAGGGCAGATTTCCGCTCTGCCAAGACGCACTATTGCTTGGTGCATAGGAGCTCTGCACGTCTACGGGTCCACTTGCGATGCGAACTCCGCCAGTGTCGATGTTGTTTTCCTCGAGATGTTCCATCTCACTCGATCACCATTTAGCTTTGTTTCTCAAGAACGAAGTTCATCTAGCTCTGTCAGAGAAGGAGACTGCGACAAGAAGAAGAAAGGCCAAGAGCGAACTCGATCCACCGGACTCTATTCTGGGACAAACATGGTGCGGAAAGGAGAGTCCTGAGCTGTAGCCTCCGCCAGGCGTGCGGCTGAGGCGCTAGTCTGGCCGGCCATGCCCACTTGGGCATCATCAAATCTCCCTAACCGGCACGCCATGCGTCTATCACTCTACAATCTGCCTTGTGGCTCGCTCCAACGCAGCATCTAGAGTGTCAACCGTCTAGAACTAGATGTTAAAAGTCCCTGATGGCCCAATGGGCGTCCAGCAGAGCCCCCATCCTCAACGGCGGACCGCTGCCCGGAGTGGAGAGATGTCAAGTCCCAGGGCAATGCCACACTCGTAGCTCGCCCAAGGCTTTCCGCGCTGTCGCCGTGGTTCGAGTCGGGGTACTGGCTGCGCCATGCATCAGAACGAGCTTTAAAATCGAATAAGATGCAGTAGGGTCCCGCCTTGGAGACCCGGTCGCACAGTCCTGGGATCCTCTGTCGCGAATTTCTTCAACATCTGGATCCGGGAGCACTCATCATTGTTGCCAGCCAACGCTCCATCGCCAACCATGTCTGCCGAACCCAAGAACGCTTACAACGCGCACGTTGTCGGTGGCGTCGACAATAGCGAACATGAGGGCCCGGCTGGTTCAGATCCGATCTTCAAGACCCCTCTGTGGGTGACTGTCGTTCGTGGATTCCAGGCCTTCTTTGGCTTCATCATTCTCATCCTGTCTGGCCTGGTCATCCATGGCCTGGCGTTGGACGCCAGTGTCTTTGCTCTCGTTTGTGTAAGTTGTGGCCCTATCTCAGTCGGCAACGACTCGTGAGGGGCAAGGTGTACACGGACTGACTGACCCTTTCTCGTAGGGTCTCTTCACTCTGATCATCGTCGGCTACACCCTCCTCAGTGAGAAGGCCGTCGGCTGCCACAAGGCCTACAACTACTGGGCGCACATGTCGCTCGACCTCCTCATGGCCATCTTCTGGCTCTCGTCCATGGGCGCCAACGCTGCCCTGCGCGCGTCCTTCACCGTCTCTGTCAACGCCGACTGCTGGAGCGACGGCAGCGCCGTCAACAGCGGCCACTGCAACATCTACCGCCGAACCCTCGAGAAGCGGGTCGCCGTCGCTACCAAGTTGGGTCTTTCTTGCATGGCGGCCACTGCCGGTCTCTCGGCGCTGCAGATGTGAGTCACTCCGCCCCGGCTAGACTGCCCTAAAATCGCCCGGACATTCTCTGACATAGTTTCTGTCTTCACAGGCTCCTTTTCATCGCCACCCTCGCCTACCTCGCCCACCAGGTCCGCCTGCACCTCCAGGCCAACAAGAAGTCCGGCGCCGCCGACAACGGCCAGGTCGAGATGAACGCTCAGCAGTCCCAGCCCATGCTCAACCAGCAATATCAGCCTCAGCAGAACACCGAATACCCCTCTCAGGTCTACCCTCAGCAGGCACAGCAGCCGCAGGCACCATATGATCCCCATTCTTATGGCCAGACCCAACAGCAGCAGCAACCCCAGCAGTATCAGCAGCAGCCCCAGCAGCCGCCCCAGCAGTATCAGCAGCAGTATCAGCAGTATCCGGAGATGGCTGGCACCCCGGCGCCCGAGCAGCAATACCAGCAGCAGTACCCCCAATCTACTGCCACACCTGCGCCTGAGCAGCAGTACCAGTACGGCTATCCCCAACAGCAGCAGCAACAACACCAGTATGCACCTGCGTATGCCAGCCCTACAGCGACGCCAGCGCCTCAACAACCCTATCACCCGCCTCAGTAAAAACGACTCTGTGGGATGGGGTGTTATTAGATTTGACATACCATGGCGGCTTTGGCTTTGCTGGAGGCATTGGGGTGCTCTCATGTGGCTGTCATTCAACGCTCTTGCGGTATGTTTAGGCCTTCTCAGGGTCAGGTGTTGGGTTTTAGATGCTCTCGGTTCACGCATAGATGATATCCATATCTGTTTGTTAATGCTGCAATTTGATTCTCCAAATGCACCAGTCCGTTCCAGTGGATGATGTACACAGATTTTCAGAACTACTAATCATCAACGCAGTGGCAAGCCTCACACTTTCACAGCCCCACGCACAGCAGACTGCAAACTCGAGATCACGCCGTCAAGCGGACCAAGGCCTCCCCGAGACCACTGGGCGCCCAAGGTCCCCGCAACAGCGACCGCCACGCCGACCGTCGTCCAGCTCGGGAAGCGGCCCCGCCCAATGACCTGGTCTTCCATGGTCTCGCCTCTGCGGAAGCCCAGCTTGTTCTTGACGGCCACGTTGCTCTTGTTCTTGATGTCGTAGGGCGGGTACCGCCAGGCCATGAGGCTGTCGAGCCAGAAGGGGATCTCGACCACGGCCCGGAGGTGGGTGAAGGCCAGGAAGCCGTACTTGCCGTGGTAGGCTCCCATGCCGGACTCACCGACGCCTCCGAAGGGTGTGCCGGGAAGGATGCCATGCATCATGAGGTCGTTGACGGTGACACCGCCGGAGAGGGTGTTGTCCAGGACTGAATACAGGGGTTATGATTAGTAGCCATCATCTTGTGAGCTCGAGATTCCCGACTGAGACTTACTATAGTTGATCTCCGACCTGTCATTACTAAAGATATATGCGGCAAGCGGGTTGGGTCTCGAGTTGATGTCCTCGACAGCCTCTCGATATGTGGCCTTGATCACGGGGCATATAGGACCAAAGATTTCATCGTTTAGCAGAGCATCTGTTACGGAATTCAACGTTAGTTATGATCGACACCGACACCATAATGCGGTTTCAAAGGACGATCCACATACCCTGCGGCTTGACATCTGACACCACAGCTGGGGCGAACGTGTTTGTAGCCTCATTCGACTTGTGCGACTGGTGCACCTTGCCCTTGGTGTTCGCCAACAGGCCAGACAGACGGTTATAATTGGCCTTGTTGATGATGTTGGACACTTGCAAGTCTCCCTCGCCCGCGAACTTGGCCGTCCAGTAGACCAGGCGCTCCACAAACTGATCATGGATGCTGGGATCCACAAAGACGTGATTGACACAGGTACAGATCTGGCCGGCGTTCATGTACTTCGCCCAAGCAATGCGCTTCGCAGCGATGTTGGGGTCCACGCTGCCGGTCACAATCGCGGGTCCCTGTCCGCCCAGCTCCAGTACAACAGGCGCCATGTGCTTGGCTGCCGCGGTCAGGACTATCTTGCCGACCTTGACGGAGCCGGTGTGGAATATGTGATCAAACTTGAGCTCCAAAAGCTCGGAGGTCTCGGCCGCGCCACCCGTCACGAGCTGGATGGCCTCAGGGTCGAGGTACGACTTGACCAGATCGGCCATGAGGTTCTGGGATGCGACAGGCAGCTCCGAGGGCTTCATCAGGACGCAGCACCCGGCGGCAACAGCTGCCACAGCAGGCGCAAACGTGACGAGCACAGGTGTGTTCCACGCGCCGAGGACGAGCGCCACACCGCGCGGCTCCTTGCGGATTCGCGCCTTGCCGATAGTCCTGAAGATGAAGTCGGCCTCGGGGATGGGGTCGTCGGCAGCCCACTCCTCGAGGTGCTCGATCTGGTCCAGGATCAGCTGCTTCATGACGGTGCACTCGACCACCAGCGTCTCCATGTCCGGGCGGCCAAGGTCGGCGGCAAGCGCGCGGCAGATGGCGTCCTCATTGTCGGTCACCATCCACCAGAACTGCTTAAGCTGCCACTTTCGCCAGCGAAGTGACTTTGTCTTCCCGCTGGCAAAGGTCTTGACCAGGCGGTCGTGGGCTTCGGCGGCCTGCTCGGCGGTCGTGTATGGCCGCGCGGCGCTCGAGACGGTGATGGTGCTGGTTTGCGACATGGTCTGGTTGTCAGCACGGAGATTTCGACTGGGAAATGTCCAATTCGATACTGTCACCAAACAGATATCCCTTATTGTTCAAATTGCCCAACAGGTGACTAGATGGCAGCAAGAAGAGGAGACTTGGACTTTACCGGTGGTGACGTATTTTGCATGTGCCTCTGTCTGTATGCTCCCCTGTGCTGACGTGAGGTTGGCCCAGGAGAAAGACCCCAACGCCTCCACATTACCAGAACTCGTATAGCTACTCTGGGGGATTCCAATCCTTACGGAGGTGTCAGTCCTACCTCGCAAGAGAGACTTCGTCCAGCATGCCATCCCAGAGGTTCACTTTACAGATATCACTGACGACATTCGCTTTCCCGGAATCGTGCAATATATCGACGTACAGAGTGGAATATGTCTCGTGATGCCCAGAGTGCGAAGTTCCATGATACTGCTGAAGGTATGATATCGACCAGAGGTCGACCACACTGCGGCTGACTTGATCCATGGCGCCCCTGCAAGTGCTGCAGTAGTTCATTAGTACAGTAGTACGTGCCGTGGCGTGCTCAAGGCGGCTCTGCGATGCAACTTTGCATCCACATGCCCGTGAGCAAGAGAAACAGGCCACAATCTGCAGTCAACAGCCACACAGACAGCGAGCCAGGGAACAAGTGCATTTTCAGCAGATGTACATGATCAGAAATCCCTATAATTCGGGATGCCTGATTGTTCCTCGGGTGTTTCGGTCTAAGAGTATTTGGGGGCTGTGGAGAGAACGAAGATGGCACTGAAGGGCAATCTGAGATGAGTATGCATAAGCTCAAGCAAGCACTTAGTTAATTGGGATAGACAGGCGGCCTCGTAAGCCATGAGAAACCTCTCCTCAAGCGTGACGAATTCTAACCACAAAGCCTGCCAAAATAGGGAGCTTATTCGTTATGTCAAGCAGTGCCATCAATCAGCACATTGGAGGTTACCCTGGCACGGATTCCCAGCGGCATCTGCGGCGGGCGAAGTCGACACATCGTAATTTAAAACGCAGCCTGACTAGCTTCAATTTGGAGTGCATTTCGATGCTAAAGACTGGTCCCGTAGGGTTGACTGAGGAGTCCACGCAGGGCAGAAGAAATGCTGGATAGCTTGAGGCTGTTCTCATCATTCCTGCGTCGTCATCAGGCCGCGCAGGGGGGAGGGGGTTGGGACGTTGAAACAGGATGCTGAGCATGACTTAAGAGATGCCTATTTGGGAATGCATCTCGACGGTTGAATTTACTGAGGCGCCTAGGTCTAACTCTCGGCATATAAAGGGCGTCTGGTGGGTGGAATCTTCCTCCACGATCAATCAACCCTTTCGTTCTCTAAAGGCATTCAATCAACACATTCATTCTCCCAACGCAATGAGCCACATTACTCTTACAGACAGTCTTGCAATATTGCAGCTTGTTTATTACAGCGCTGCACTATTGGCGAGCATTTGGGTATCCGCGCGCCACGGCTTGGCGAAGAGCTCGGGTTGGATCTTCCTCGCCATCTTTAGCACCATCCGGGTTGTGGGTTGCTCCGCGCAAATTTCCACGATCATATCTACCTCGGATACTGCTGTCACGATCGCGACAATAACGACCTTCCTCGGTATCTCACCTCTGCTGCTAGCAGCACTCGGGATTATATCTAGAGTGTACGTGCTGGACCAACATATCCCATGATCGTTTCCAGTTGCTAACGAGAGTTGAATAGGTATTTCTCTATGCTTAAGGCTCCCTGGAGGACAGTCTTCAGCATGGGAATTATCAAAGTCGTCCAAGTTCCCGCCGCCGTAGCTCTCATCCTCTGCATCGTCGGAGCTACTTCCGCAGATTCTCCTGCCGATATCACCACCCAAGCTACCGTCAAAGTTGGAGTAGCAATATTTCTAGCCGTCCTCGTTGTTCTCAGTCTTCTCGTAGCCGGCGCGGCTCTATGGCAACGCAGGACAGGAGCGCATTGGGAGGGTAAGCTGCTAGCGGTCGTGGCGGCATCGCTTCCGATACTACTGGTGCGGTTGATCAACTCATTCCTCCTCCTTTTTTCCACCGGATTCCAGAACTTCACAGCGAAGAATTCGACTGGATCTGTCATGGTGGAATTCTTCATGGCTAGGGTCGAGGAGATGGTTGTCGTCCTCATGTACCTGTGGGCAGGGTTCACACATCAAGTCGTCCCCAATAACAAAGATACGACCAAACGCACCAAGAGAGAAGAATTCAAGTACAGAGCTGAACGGGGGGACTTCGGAGGAGGGAAACTGGGCATGATATCGCTTACGGTCGCAACAATTCTATCCATGTTTCGAGAGAGGGAGCCGGGACCCGAGACCGAGCCACCGAGTCCTGAGCGGATTTTATTGAGGCAGCGAGAGACCAATCAGGTTTGAGCTTAGCAACGGTTCCTTGTAACTAACTACCCAACGCTATTCCGCTTATGGTGGGCATTTCGACGCTAGGTGTGTGTTGGCCTTGGAGGACGGAGCCTGGCACTGGATTACGTACCACATAACGCCATCAAGAGGCAACATTATTAGATTTCTAGCCGCAGAAAACATTATCATCTCACCCTTCTGGTCGTAGATACTCTGTGGCAGGGAAAAAAGTATTCTTTTATTGCTCTGAGAAGATATTGGCAGCTTTTCTTGAACGTATTCCCTTACTTGAGTCTATGGTGTTCAGTGGTCGACCGTCTACGGCATGTGGCCCTTGTCGCCAAGGACGGCTGAAGGTACGTCTACTGGGAAAGGTCGATGGACGATGAATGAATGGGTTTCTTGCCTTGAGCCCAAGTCAAAGTACAAGGGTCTAGTCAGGATATGGCTAATCGCTTCCGTCGTTAGTGTGATAGAGTGCAGCCGGCATGCGGGCAGTGTGGACGGAAGAAGATCTCTTGCCCAGGATACAGGGATATCTCGCTCTTATGCTTCAGGGACGAATCTGCACGCATTGCTTCCCGAGTTGAGAAAGCCAGGAATAAGCGATCTGCTAACCCAAGGCCCCGCACCTGCACACCTCCCTCATCGAGTACCCAAGTGCGGCCACCAAAGGGGAATGATCACACACTTCCCCGCCCGAGCTCCCCAGGGCTTGTCACGTCCCCAGAAACCACGGTTCTCGCCTATTTCATGAACTGCTTCATCATCACCTCTCCGTTTGAGGGATATCTTCCTTCACTCTGCCGAGGAGGCTCCCTGGATGAGCACGACGCCTTTTCATCGGCAACTCGTGCTGCAGCGTTCGCTACCTTCGCCTTGAGAGTGAGGAATCCCCGCTATCTGGGGACGGCGAGATCCAACTACGCCCTGTCCCTGGCCAAGACAAATGCGGCATTGACGTCACAGGAGGATGCAGTGCTCGACAAGACTCTTGCGGCAGTACTCCTGCTGGGTCTCTTCGAAGCCTTGGTCTTTCAGGGGCCGCGGTCCGGCGAGAGCTGGACGGCACATACGATGGGCGCGGCGGAGCTCCTGCGACTGAGAGGCCCGGGCCAGTTCCGGTCCAAGACATCCCATCAGCTCTTCGTCCAGACCCTCACCAACATCCGGACCAGCTGCGTCCAAAGAGGGTTGCCTGTCCCGAGCGAGATTATTGCCCTGGCCGCTGAGGCGAAGGAATGGATAGATCCTAGAGATCCGACCTTCCGTCTCGGCCCCATCATAGACCGTGCCGCCAGCATCAGAGCGCGAGCGGAAACATGCCCTGGGTCGGAATTCGCGCTCGAAGCCTGGAATCTCGATCGAGAAATCACCCTTCTAACCAAGAGCCTCGACCAGATGCTACATTTCGGCATCGCATACGAGGAAGAAGCCTCTCCCTGGTCGTACCTCGGCATCGCCTACCGATACCCCAGTCATCGCGCCGCCAAGTACTGGAACGCTGTTCGCATGATACGGATGTTTGTCAATAATCTGATATGGGACAGTGCTTCGCTCGGGCTCAAAGACACTGGACATTCCCACGGAATCGACAAAGAGACCACCTGTGATCCACTATGCAACTGTGCGTTCTTCGAGAGCCTCCAAGCCGAGGCAGCCGATAACATGGAGATGCTCGCCACGGATGTGCTCGGCAGTGTGCCAGAGTTCCTGGAACGGGCAGAGGCGGGCAAAATATTTCGTCCTTCCGCAAGGACCTTGATCTGGCCGTTGTATCTCATTCAGCAGTTTTCTCTTTGTTCTCTCACGGCGAAAACTCGGGCTACCGCATATCTCTACGAGATAGCGAACGACCTGAACATTCCTTATGTGGCACAGGTGGCGCAAATGTGTGAGCTGCCCGGGTTTGAAGATACCAAGTAAGTAATTAAAGAGGGAGACACGGAATTTTGTGCGCAATAGTAACATTTCCTTTTAGCCTCCATTTGTACCACTTATCATAACGATTGAGATCACACTGATAAAACGCACGGCGCTGGATAGAGCTATGGCTAGTAGGAAAATTGAGTGGAGAGGCATGAACTGAACAAAGCCACGATCCTTCCTGGCAGCTCACGCAGGCCGAGAGCCTTCCTATTAAGACGGTAGATTGCGAACCAGTATCCATGGTATTTTGTTGGTAGAGCGGGACGGCGGGAAGGTTTGCGCATCAATAAGGTAGGCTGATAGATAAGGACACATCCCGTCAAACAATTTGATCATAACTTAACACTCAAGATCTAAGCAACCCTCCTTCAAAGGAACCCTGCGTTGCTTTCACATGACGCTCTCTGAGTGAACTTCAGTTTTTGGCAGGAACTTCAATGTGATCCCTACTACGAGTGTCAGTAAAACATTTGATAGCCTAACGCCTTGTGGGCGGCGAGACGTACTTCTGTTCCAGAGATGCCTCCCTCCCAGCTGCTCCTTCTTCCACGCTTCTAAGCACGGGCAGCCTCTGCGATCTCTTGTAGGCAGTGAACCACGACCCTTTAAAGAGATGATCAATTTCCTCGACAGTGAGCCCCGACACCTCTGGGACCATGAAGAAGACGTAGACAAGACCCAGGAAGCACCACCCAGCAAAGAAGAGAAAAGCACCCCAGTTGTCAGTGGTTTTAAGGAGCGACGGAATGCTGTACTTGACGGCATAAATAAAGAGCCAGTGGAAGGTTTGGCTGACAGCACCGCCAAAGGATCGGAGGTGGTTAGGCCAGAGCTCACCACCAAAGATATAGGGCAATACGAAGAGTCCTGCTCGTGGTGTCAGTTCTGAACTTGGCTTTTATCATGCACCCAAGCTTGGAAGCAAGAACTCACCAACAGCGTATCCGAATGCGTGGAAGAACAAAGCTGCAATAGCCGCTTGCGATGCTCCATTGCTCACCGGGCCTTCTTGATGGTACTTGATGAAGACACCAATATAGACATGCGAGATGAGCTGTAGGGTAATACCAACAAAAAGAGATCGACGTCTTCCCAACGCATCGATGAAGAAGAACGAGGCGATCAAAGAGAAGATAAACTTGGAGAAGCCGTACATGCCGCTCAGGAACATGCTCTGTGAAGTGCCCCCGCCTACTCCGATGATGCTCATGATGGGAACAAAGTAAGAGGTGACCGAATTGGCTCCGGATAGTTGCGCAAGAGCGTAGGATATCAGAGCTTGTGAAAGTCGACGCAGGTTCGAGGGCACGGTAAAAGTTTCTTTGGCAATTCCCAGCAAGCCTGCATGTACACCACTGATCGAGGCTTCGATATCTGCCACCTCTTTTTGAAGGCGAGGACTATCCACCGGCATGCGTCTGACGTCGACTAGAACGGCAATAGCTTCATCGCGCCTGTCTCTCATCAAGAGCCATCTTGGAGATTCCACAATGAAGAAGCTTGCAACGATGGCAAAAGCCATGCAGATGGCGGGCGAAAACCAGACCACTTGGTACTGAAGGTTGCTAGGTGCCATGTGAAGAAAGATCCCATAGACGCAAAAGACGGATGTGAACAAAGCCACACCCATCGCCACGGTATACCAGGCTGCAAGGAGGCCTCGAATCTCGGCAGGAGCAATCTCGACTATCGCCATAGGACCAATGACGCTCAGAGAACCGATGCCCATTCCCGAGATGATACGGGCCGCATATAAAGCGGGCCAGCCGGGAGCGAGAGTAGCAACAATCTGTCCAAGGATCCAGACAGCCGTGTAAAGCCGGAAGGACCATCGACGTCCGATTCGGTCGTTGATGAAGAAGGACCCAGCAGCACCGACAGCGTAGCCGATGTAGATGATTGATATAAAGTTCTGGATATCATCCGCTCTAGCACCCGACTTGATGTCGAAATGCTTTTGAAAGCCTGGAAGGGACGGTACAACAGATGAAGATCCTTGGTCCCAGGCTAGTTGTGCTGTCATTATGCTGTTCACTGTTAAGTGGATGGCTGAACTCACTGGTTGGAAGCCCTGCTAATGCGTACACCGCGCAAGAGAACAATAGGCTTTTGTTGACCATCAGGCTCCTAGGGGTCGCCTTGATTGTCCGGACATATTTAGCCAAAACTGACTCGGTGAAAATTGTCTTGATAGCCATAGTGAGTGATGTATCAGGAGTTAACTTCGAAAGAAAGTTGAGACCGAAGCCATCGAGACAATCTGGGGTACGGACGTCCAAGGCATTTTAATACGGAGCCGTATCGTCAGTCCGGATAACACGATGGTAATTGGCTCCAAGTGGCTGCAAGACATCCCTTGGCCAAACACTGACGCATTTGCAAAGCATCACTCTCGTCGCCATTGTTGTGCGAGTTGATGTCCACGGAAGTATACGGTAGAAGTTGAACGGGGAACGCCCTTTCCGGGCACCGATACCCGGCCGGAAGAATACGGCAAGCCAATCGGAAACGGGCGTGGCGCCTCGACTTTTCTTATCTAGGTGACCTCAAGCCGCATTACCTAACTTTACCCCACACTTACAGAGTGGTCCTCACATCTCGCAGTCTGGGGAAGCGTAGAGCCGTGATCTCTGTCCACAACCACGCAAGTGAGAACCACAATGCAGCCAGGCAGTAGAGGTCAAAAGCCTAAGGTCCTCCGACGGCGACGCATCCCTGGGACGCGGGCTCATCAAGCATGTCTCTATTGCAAGGACAAGAAGCTCAAGGTGATTTGAACATTTCCAGGACTGAGCTCGGCTCTAACTTTGCGATACTACAGTGCGATGATCAGGTGCCTGCTTGTAGCCCCTGTAAGAAACTAGGGATTGGTAAGTGGTTGAGTTGTACTTGGAATGCAGGCCGCTGACCCAGTCTAGAATGCCTCGTTCAGGACCCCCTTACCAAGAGACCGCGAGCCCGAAACTATCTAGCACAGCTAGAAGGCCGTGTCGCCAACCTCGAAAGCGGCGGACAGTCTTCGCGTTCTCCCCCCTCGCCTTTGCTTACTGTGGAGAGCTATGTCGATGAGAGCACACCTTCATACAGCCGAACGCCAGACCAAGTGCAGAAGGCAAGCGATCTGTCTTCCAGTATCGGAGCACTAGAATGCCGCACTACCCATGTCGAGCCTCAATACCTGGGCTCCTCTTCTGCCTTCGCATTTTCCCGCCTGATTAACCTGTCCCTCACGCGAGACCTGCCCATAACGCCAACGTTCATCAACGTCGCAGATGGAAGTACGTCACCACCCTCGCCAGGGCTTCTGCCAGAGTACGATACTGCCGTAAAGTTGAGCGATGCATACTTTAAGCACATGCATCCTCAGTATCCGTTTCTGCACGAACCGACATTCAGACGTTGGGAGAACGAGCTCTACACTTCATCTCGGAGTTCCACAGAGATTGGCTACTACTCTACTTCGTTGTTCTTTCTGAACATGGTACAACTTACAAGTCCCGGCACACAGTGACAGGAGCTGACAATGTTGCAGGTGTACGCTATTTCTGCTCTTCTAACACCTAGTACACAGGCGTTGGCCGAGGTAAGTCTGTACCAAGCTGGAACTTGCAAATCGAGGAATTGTGGTCACTTGCTCACTTAGGCCCTAGCAACTCTACATGTCCGCACAATTGTACACCGATGCTTTGTCCAACAACAATCTAGAGTCCATTCAGGCTCTACTATGCTACGCCATGTACTCTATGCGGTCTCCAACTGGCCCCTCACTATGGTAGGTACCCTAAGGAAGCACCAAGTCTTGAGCTCCTCTAATTTACAGGTAGGAAACTGACCGGATTAGCGATCCGTCAGTGCATTGAGCTTGGATACCATCGCAGTACCAAACGATATTTATTCAAAAATGCAAACCCTTGGCAAAATGAAATGCGGAAAAGAGTGTTCTGGGTCGCCCATGGTATGGACTGCATGATTGCCATGCGCCTAGGTCGGCCATTAGGAATTCCACTTCAGGAGATTGACGCAGAGGTAACTGACTCTCACACCCTGGTTGAGATAAGTTAAGCTGATGAACTGTCAACATCTAGTTACCCATGAATGTTGATGATGCCTCTGTTACTGAAAGAGGAATCTTTGACTCTACGATAAGTGACGACAACGCATCTGAGCAGAGAATGACGACAACCTCTACTGCCATCCACGTCTTCAAGCTCCGTTGCATCTGGGCTCGGATACACACCTCTTTCTTTTCCGACACTGCACGTCTGAGCGTGGATGATATGACTTATACCAGTCGAATACAACAACTGCGTGCTGACTTGGATGAGTGGCTAGCGACAACACCGCCTTCACGGGAATTTTCGAGCAGCGATCTGACAATGTTTCTGAAGCAAGACTGGTATGAGTTGAACTACAGTTATACACTCATTCTGCTCTATCGGAATCAGTTGGCCGAGTTCAAAGACTCATCCAGTCAGATCTTCCAGGATTGCCTGCAGGCTGCCAGAACCATATGCCAAGGGTACCGCCGTCTCTATATAGGAACATCCATCAGATACACCTGGAGCACTCTGCATGTCATATTCCTGGCTGGTCTGGTCTACCTACACTGTCTGTGGACATCACCCACTGCTCGGACGGCTATTCGACCCGAGGAGATCACCAAGACGTGTACGGATTGCACCATGGTTCTTGTAGCGATAGCTGAAGGATGGCAAGGGGCCTCACCATATCGTGATGCGTTTGAAGCGCTCGCTAGCCGCACCATCGGCATGATCATGAACAGCAACTTCCCAGCCGCGTCCCCGCCACAGTGGCAGGTTCCTCCAGATTTCGGGGGCCATGACAGCTGGGCATTCAATCTCAATGACCTCATTGAGACTGGAGGGTTGGATGGGTTGGATGGGCTCTTGGAGGGCTTTATTGTCGATTTCACGCAACCGGATGTTTATTGACTTGGGTTGAAAGCGTTTTGATAGAGACTCTCGATGTCTAGATCTATCTGGGTCCAGCTTAAATTGACACAGCCTCCCATATACCTCCATTTACATCAGTTCGAGACACTTTGGTGTGGTCCAGAGTGCTGGCTAACAGTATCAGAGTTTGAGAAGTGAAATCTGTAGGACAATTGTCAGCTACCAACCCGCACACTGTAAATTGTGGCTTATCTCACCTCCTTCATTTTGAAGTCCCGGGCTAGCGACTCAGTTCATTAGTGAACAGCCCGGTAGAGGCGTAAATCGACAATTTGAACGTACCTGACGCAAGTTCAAGCTTCGACATCTCCCTGGGACCATCTGCGCCGTCTGCAAGTCCGTTGTTGGGTTTGCCCTCTTTGGCCACGCGCCACTTCCAGAATGGAGTAAATTGGTCGGGCACACGCTCGACCTGATTTTTGACATGCTATTGCATGATTTGGTTAGCACGAAGCTGATGCCATATCAAAAGATGTTAAATACCTTGCCGAGGACCGGGAGGAATTTGAAAGCGTGCCCACTGTCTCCCTATTAGTCGTGTCCATGCGCTTAATATGCAAAAGATACTTACGAGCCACCAGTACAGATGAAGAGCGAGTCCGAATATCCGGGAACATAGTCGATGACGTACTAGCATTGTTAGTCACAAAGAATTCCAAATCCAGTAATGGAATGCCATGTACATACGTCATTGTCAATGCTGTCCGTGTACCAGCACAGCTAAAGTGGCGTCAGTCTTCCTGCAGATAGCTGGGCAATGTTTCATCTACATACCCTGCTGTCTGTGAAGCCAAACTCCACAAGCTCCGGAAAGGCTTGCGCGATGACCTTTTTCATCCGTGACAGCCCGTACAAGGGTACGGTGTTGATACGATTCTCGGTGTACTTGGTTCGAGGAGTCGAGATTTGCCTATATAGATCAGCATGTCTGTCTTCTAAAGAGGCGGTGGAAACTCACAAGTCTGGCTGCGTTGGATGGGGTTGGAAGTTGGTGAACTGATTGTGTTCCATGTTAGTCTAGACAACAGTACGAACGAAGCAATATCCCACCTTGCGGCCACGGAAGCCAAACTTGAGTCGCCCCTGCTTCGATATTGGGAAGCCGCCTCCTTGATAGTAGCTGCGATAGCAGTCAGTAAAATGACTTGACCCGGTCTTCAATAGATGTAACGACTTACTTCTCACCCTCGCCTCTGCGATACGACCACACAGGATAGTTGTCTGGATGGAAGCGTTCCCACAGGTCTTGGCGATATTCGGGAATGTCGACAAACATTACGGTGCCAGCTGTAGCTTCGACGGTCAAGTGTGCCTCTGGGATGATCGACGCAGTCCAGCTTCCAGCTATATCAAGTTAATACTGATCCGGAGAACGATGTGACTCCAGGCGCAGTCATACCAGCAACTATCACCAGGTCTCCAAAGTGGCGGAGTCCATCGCAAGTCTTGATTCCCGCGACTCGCTTCTCTCTTCCGTTGTTCTCGGTGATTAGGCTGGAAAGCTTTCCAACCGGGTCACCTAGAACAAACTTGACACCTGCTTTCCCGCAGAGATACCGTGCATAAACACACGACTAGCGACTTTTATCAGAACACGTGCACCATACACAATGGTCTGGGAGCTGGAATTTACCTTGTCTGCAATTGTGACACCGCCTTGGATATCGAGAAACCCGTTTGTGTTCCCATCATTGATCTTGTCAATGATATGCAACTTCTCCACCCACTTAGGGTCGATCTTCTGTAGCCGTCTCTCATCTTCGGCGTTACCCTGATAGATAAGAGTTAGCGTATACTGTATGGACATGCCGCCTCGAGAGTAGCTATCATACCTTGACAAATTGCATTTTGCGGAACTCGGGTGCCGTCTTCCCCATCGTTTCCAGGCTCTCGGCATAGTAATCTCTGAGCGTGGGACCCTCGGCAAGGAAGTAAGATCCGCACTCCAGGAACAGCTTGTCCTCAGGAGTCAAACCCTCTGGGAGGCTCGAGGCGTCCAATTCGGCGACCGCCTTGTTCCACGAGAGCCAGTAGTTGCGGGCTTCAATGGCAAGATCTTGGTAGCTACATGATCTGAGGTGAGCAGTCCTACTACGTACAACGACATGACCGAGCCTTACTCTTGGCGCTCCGCATAGGCCATACGAAACACTTTGTTGATATCGGCAGAGGCGCCATCACAGCCTCTGGATGGATCGTAGTGGTTTTTGTCGAAGGCGCATCGGTCAAAGATGGTGATGTCTCGGTAGCCTCCGCGCGCAAGCCACAGAGCAGTGCTGAGGCCGAACACACCTCCGCCGACAATGATGATCTTCGAATCGTGGGTGAGCATGATGAGTGCAAGTGATTATTGTGCTTCGCGTGACAGTGACAGCTGAATTTGAAGTTGATGCAAAGAATAACTTGCTTGCGAGGTGGCGTCAGTCAGTGTTATAAGATTGCAATCCAATCATTATTACCGTCTCACGTCGTCTGATCAGAGGCATACCGAGGCATGGCGGATCATCATGACCTGGCCGTATTCTTCCGGGAGCCATTCGGGAGCTGCCGAACATGACCCGGATGCCAACCGGAGCCACCCACCCCACTCTCCGGACGCTGCCGGCACGCAGAGTTCAATTCATCAGTCTAACCAACACATACATTAAGTTTGTTTCCGGGGGCCTCGCGATCTGTCCTCTTCCATTAGTGCATGGTGGGGGGACCTGTAGGTTAGCGACCAGGCTCGTTCCGATGGATGTCATGCTTTCAGCATGTCTGGCCTTCGATCAGAGGACACCTGGGAATCAAAACCATACCTGGCGTGTCGCTTTGCTAGGTGATTTTATTTGTAGGCTGTAGTTCTCCGTCGCCAACCTCCGTGATAAGCTCTTTCATTCATTTCAAGTTCAAGGCCAGTCATGATGGGTTTGAGGTACAACGGCGTGTCAAGCAACATTGATATAGTACGGAAATCAAACCGTTATTGGAAGTACCTCCAGCTTGCTATGAATTCATATATTGAGAGATTTCAAATTTCAGAGAGGGAGATTAGTTCTTCAGAAGTCTCCCCACTTCTTCCGCAATAGCCATAATACGCTCTTCCGTGAGTCGGCGGCCAATGATCTGCACGGCAACCGGAGCCCCGTGGTATGCCTCGGGATCGTCTGCGGATAAGTTGTGTTAGTGGATGCTGGGATGTCTTTCTCTTTGGGAGTGGATAACGTACACTCAGCCTGCACAGTTGCGTCGATATCCGACAAAGGCTTGAAGTCGGTTGCTTTCGCATCTAGGGCCTTGTCGGCGAACGTGACGGGGACCACAACACTAGTCCAGTCCAGAACGTTTATCACGGTGGCGTAGCCGTAGTACTTGAACTGGTTGTGGCGGACTGCGGCAGTGGGGGTAATGGGAGCGATGATCGCGTCGAGCTCTCGTCCAGTCTTGGCCTCGAACTCGCGGATCTTGGCAAGATACTCGATCTGATAGTTCCACTTGCTGAGCTGAAGGTCCCAAACATCATTGACTCCGACCTTCTTCAGATCTGGGTTGACCAGCTCTTGAATGTTAGGGATAGCAGGCTCTCCCGAAAGCTTCAGGGAGCCAAATATGTCCTATCGGCGGAGTCAGTCATCAAAAGAACAGTTCACGCAGTAGATGATGTCGACTTGCCTCGCCGCCATCAGAAGCATAGGCCCTGTTTGCAAGGTCCCAGGCAAATGTGTGTTTGTATGGCTCCCAGGGTAGAACTGTATGGCCTGCACCTTTCAACTTATCCACGACCATGTTCACACCCCGAAGAATGGGAGGATGAGGAACGACCTGGAGCTATTAGCCCACACGTTTCTCCAGCTGCGAAGACTTGGACGACGAGCAACATACATTTCCGTCACAGGAGTACACGCCAAGTGTGAGACCACCAGACGAGATCTTGGACCTGATTGCGTCTTCCTCTTCAGGTCGCCATGGCATGGGAATGGTCTTGGAATCGAATTGCCACGGCTTCTCCCCGAGCACAGCTTTCATAAAGACACGCATGTCTGCGATCGAGTGACAGATGGGACCGACCACGCTATGGATGGTCTCTTGGCCTTCCATGCTGTTGGCAAGCTTGGCATACGGGAGCCGTCCGTGGCTAGGACGAATACCGTATAGGAAGTTGAAAGCCGCTGGAACTCTGATAGATCCGCCTTAAATATCGCGTGTTAGGAACCAGTATTGAAAGTGCGCAAAGAACATGCTCACCAATGTCAGTCGCAATACCGATGGGACTACCATAGCATCCAATCAAGGCCCCTTCGCCGCCAGAGCTGCCTCCACAGGACCAGTTCTTATTCCGTGGGTTTACAGTTCGGCCCGTGATATTGTTGATCGTCTCGCAGACCATCAGGCTCTGTGGAACGCTGGTCTTGACATAAAACACAGCGCCGGCCTTGTCTAGCAAGTCGACCAGCACACTGCTCTCGTCATCCTTCATGCCAATCCATCCGACATACCCCATTGACGTATCAAACCCCTATTCGCAGTGTCAGTGCTTTTCTAAACCAGATCACATGTTACACTTACCTTGACACGGCACTGGTCTTTGAGAGAGATGGGCAGCCCGTGCAGGGGGCCGCTTGGCTTCTTATGCTTGGCAAAGTATTCATCGAGCGACTTGGCTCTCGCCAGAGCATACTCGGGCATGAAACCGAGAAGGCAATTGACCTGTTCGTGTCAGTGCAAAGGCCTGCACCGAGACGGGAAAGGGTGTGCTCACCAGTTGATGGGCCAACGCAGCTCGCTTCAAGAATGCAGTCGTCACAGCCACAGCTGTCAGCTTTCCGATGGCTAGACTGTGCACCAAGTCGGCTGCAGACGTCTCGGTGATGGCCAGTTCCTCTGCCGTGAGGATTCCGCTGTCCTTGAACGCCGACATGGCCGAGTCGCCGGTGTGGGCCGTCTTGAGGCGCCATTCTGCAGGTATCGCATCAAGAATGCTCGCTTTACGCTGTGCCGCCACGTCTTGCCAGGTCATTGTGATGAAGGGTGCCGTTCAAAATAATCGAGAGGTTCAAAGAAGGAGCAGCAATGATAGAAATTGGATCTAGAGGAGAATTCGAATCATTGCATGCGGCAGAGGTAGGAGAAGGTGCTCTGCTCTGTAGATAACAAATCCCACTTCTTATCAAACACGGTACACCCGACGTTCGCGTTGGACCCGAACCCCCACTGCATCCGCACCTCGGAGATGCGCCGGAGTAGACTACATATCCTTCGAGCTGATAAGGTTTCCAAGGTTCCCTCAGAGGAGCCATGCTAATCCTTCATCCAACTCTACAAGATCATCATCCATTTGCCCGAAATTCTCGCCTCTTATGTAAGTGTTCACAGCATTAGCAAAGACAAGACGCGGGGTATGTCCTAGGCATTACATGACAAGACAATAGAGCTACAATCGTCATCGTCTTGGAAGGTATCCAGACCCCACCAGCGAAGCCCCTCTATTCCTGATTGAGCATGAAACTGCGAATGGGCTGGCCATCCGTGACAAATCGCCTGCGGGGAAGAGAAGCGCTATCCTTTTGACTGGCCACTGCCAAAGCAGCGATGACACGGAGCCGAGACATTTGATCCGATCATCAAATCCAACAGCAGATGGCCGCGGGGCGTCACCCACCCATCCGAGTTGTGGGGCCGCGGAAGACTACATTTCCACGCCCTTTCTGGGTTTCAGGGAAAAGGAGAAGGGCGTGTTCTGTTCTGGCAACACGATGGTCTCCGTATCCGAGTGATCATCAACCGAGAGGGGTGGTTGAAGAATCTCGGCTACGAGGGAAGCGACAGCTCCTGGCTCTGCCAAAATCTTGGCAGAAACAGCATAACCTCTTTCCCCCTCCTGTTATCACTATCTTTGTTGAAATGTTAGAGTATATTAATAAGAATTCCGGTCAGATCGGGAATGAATACGGTGGCAACCCTTTTGCATCTCTCACAAGTCCTCGTTCATACATTTCCTCCTCGAAAACCTTCGTTGAACTTGTCGTAGAAACACCCAAGGTCTTGGAATTGAATCCGGACGTAAAGGCATCACTTCCTCGAGCCCGCCTCCATTGGATGCGTATCCACAAGTGCTCTGTGATTGAGGTCTAGCCACGAATGTTCCAATTTATCTGGATTTGGGACGTGGTATTCGTGCCCGAACTCTCAACAGCACATGAATATTAAAATGTAAGACTTCCATGCTGTGAAATATCATTCCTTAAATCAATAGACATCTCCTCGGCCCCTCGAACAGAGCTGGCGAGGTCGTCATAGTGCTGCCAGGCTGCCTCGACGACGCGATCCGATCTCACAGATCTTACCATCCAGTATCTTTGGAAATTCTCACATCAAGTGACTTCGAATCTGCAACCAAACTAATACTAGTCCTCACAATGATAGACTATATACGGGCCGTTAAATCAACTGACACGTTTCCGTGTCTTGCCGGCCGGCCGAAGGTAGGTTTCCGTGGCCAGCCTAATTCACGTTGGACTAACCATCCTCGTACAGTGACTCATACAGATTCAATCGAGTTGATAGCTCAAATAAGCGAAGAAGCTGAGCACTTATTGGAGATGGTGTCTATTATGTCTGTATAAATAAACCCTAATAACCTGCATAACTCGAGATCCCTGCCACTTATTTGACCTCAGCCGTTCTTGTCTCGATCTAAGATTGAATACCACATTGTAGAACCCTTGCACCCGAATACCGGCATTTGGATGTAGACCTTGCCATTTCTTCTCAAAACTCTGTGTCTTAGGCGAACACAAAGATCATTTCGACCTTCATACGTCAGTCACGAGACCCACACTAGTAAAGCTTGTGCCAGAAGAGAGACAAGCATACGGTCAGATGCTGAGCGACTGCTGGACCAAATATGACCAGATCGTCTCACTGACGAATACATGCAATTAGCAAAGGCGGGCGGGATCTTCTCCTGACTGAGGACAGGACCATTGAAGCTTCAGCCAGAGTAGCGCTATTAAGTAAGTGAGATAAGCATATCCGGCGCCATTCCATGGTGTTTCAAGACTAAATAATGTCAGAAACATCGTCCTTCGCTCGGAGGATGGCTCAAAATAGTCTAGACACCATGGGTACAGCTCAGAGCCTACCAATCTTGCATATCGACCGAAGTGTACCTCTTAGGGATCGAGCTACCAAGTTCTCAAAGTTTGCCAAAGGCCTGAACATACGGAGTACATGTACTTCCCCTGACCATCAATTCGTAAGCTGTGGAGTAACTCGCCTCGACCTGGTCGTCTCTTAATATAGAGACTATGAGTCTAATAAACCACGTGGCTATTCATACGCAAGCTCTCAGGAGGGGCCAGTCACACAAGGTACACTCTTCGAGTGCTTCGCTGAGAAGTCAGTGGAGAATACGAGCTAATGCTTGAATCACTCGATTCAAAAACACTGGCTTACCACTCTTGTACGCTCAGAGGACACAGCCAAAAGGCAACGGTCAGAGAGTCTCGCTTTGCCAAGCTGCTGCTCGAAAGCCTAGACGACGATATATCAGGAATTTCAGGCGGGCTTCTAGACTAAGGCAGCAAAGATAATCTCTACACTGTGAATGTTCTAAGCGTTGACTTTTACCTGCACAAATTAAAGGTCCAGACCAGTTTGGAAGCACCGTCGATTTGACCATGGCGTGAATAAATCTCAGAGCACCATTACTCCCAATCATTCAAGTCGGATCTGACTGTCGCAATCCATGGCGTGACGGTCGGTCCGCACAATTCTACTCCGTACAATATCATCGATAGCACGGGAAACGCTTACTGAAATTTTGAAGGACGGAGTCGAGTCTAGAACAGATTACCTCGATCGAGTAATTACCCCGTACATGGGCCCCTACCACACTAGACAGGGGCACTTCCAACCTTTGGGATCCTTATCTGCTATGGGCCTACGGCCAGTGCTTTGAGCGGGTGCCAAGCTGGCTGGCCATCATTGTCGTCACAAAAGCTCCGCCATCTATGCGAGTAAAGGAAGTGGACCATACAGCTGGTAACATACTATGTACGTACTTTTGTCCCGATATGTAATTCGTTCCCAGTGCCACGGGCTGAGGCGACCCGCAAGGTTATCTACGCCACAGCCCTGAAAGGACCCCCCTGATAGATCTTGGAATTTCCCAAGTGGATATGTCGAACGTTTCCTACATAGCTAGTGTGCGGCACGAACCACGCCTCTAATTAGGGGTGTGCAGTCTAGCGAGCCTAGACAATGCAGCACGTTTCTCCTCTTCCCGGCCGATTTCCAAAGCTGGAAAAAAGTCTGGCGTGGGCCTTTAAGGGGCTGACGAGTGGGCCAGAAAGGAGAATGACCTGCATGGCTCCACCAACACTGGAAAACGCAGAAGGTCTTGGGAAACACCCTGGGGACGCAAAATGATTCATCACAATATCGCAGTGATGTGTAGTCTTTGAGTCTCAAGTACTTTCCTGGTTCAGTGGCTTGCACCAAGATATCAAAATTCGGCAGTGCGTCAGAGGCGTCGAACACGGAACGGGAACTCAGAACGATTGACCTCCAACATTGACTGCTACAAGTACTTGTAGATGTTTTTCAAACCTAAACGACTTAGCCTACAATGCTCAAGCCTCTTGGCTTTCGAGGTCTGAGCGCCGCCAGCAGGTTAAAGCAACTCCGGACTGAAGAGCGACAAGAACCTTTCCAAACCCGATCAAGCAAACGACTAATGTAACCTTTGAATCCTACCAACAACCAATCCGATGCCCAGAGCGGACATCTTCAAAGCTGTGCTCCCAAGCGCAGAGTTCGCCTTCACTGCAGGTCGTTTCATCCAGGATCTGGCGACCTTTAGCGCTTTGTTGCATTGCTCACGAGGTGCAGCTCGTTTTCTCCTCCAACCAAGTATCAAGACGATTCTTCAACGATGTAACGGCATTGCCAAGCTGTCAAGATCCAGCTGAAAGCAATTGCGTAAAACGGAGTGCGTGCGCCCCCAGCCATCGGGGCCTTCACCGAAGCGAGGCAGCGCTGTCCCTGCTCAAAATCCAAGCCCCCTTTTTCCTTAGTGCTCCGCGCTCAGGGCACGGTTTTCAGCCAAGAAGCTAATTCCCAAGGAAGGCTAGCTGGAATCGCTCGAGTATCTGGCAGCCCATCAAACAACAAGACTCTCTGTGGAGAATCGCGAAAAGGGCAAAGGTCATACAGAGTGAACAGCGTTCATCCCTTCTAGTGCCCAGTAGCTGATTCATCGGCCGGCCTCGACACACCGAAAGCCCATCGACGCCGCAACTAATGTGACCGTAAAAGAGCCGTCCAGACTCCACCACTTCTCGGCTTCAATGCGTCCATTGTGCCCTTTTTATGAGGGCATGTGCTGTTCTCGATCCTTTCTTTCAAGGCTCGTGTCATCAGTCTTGACCCATATGTCTTCGTAGTGATCCGACACAAACCTCGCTGCCACTGGCCAGCGAGGCTTCTTCCACAAACACTGGGCTCAAGGAGTCTAAATTCGAACCGCACGACGACCGCCTAACGGATCTGGGGATGCCGGTCAACGAGGCCCTCCTGTCCGAGCAGAGCAGGTCGCTCGTCGGACTGCCTCCGGTGCTACGACACGGCCTGACAGGCGTCGCCGTCATTGCCGGGATTTCGCTGCTGTCAACCGTCGCGCTGTTTATTCATCTCACCTTTAAACTTGTCACCTGGCATGTACAAGCACGGAAGTCACACAATGCTCAAAAGCGGATGCACTCGCCCACGGCTGTGGACTTGTCACTGGGGCTCTCCCAACGATACTTTCGAGGTGGAAAAGCGCGCCACGCTGAGGAGGGAGGGGCGCCCAAAGACAATGGCCAAGTCAAGATCGTGAAGCCGGAGCCCAACCAGTTCGTTGTTCTGCTGTACAACTTGCTGCTGGCCGATATCCATCAGGGGATGGCATTCTTTCTCAACAGCGTCTGGGTGGGAAACGATTCCATCATGGTCGGCACGACGACCTGCTGGGCTCAGGGCTGGTTTGTGTCAACTGGAGATCTGGCAGCCAGTTGCTTCATCACTGCTATCGCCATCCACACCTACTGCATCATTGTACGAGGTTGGAAGCCACCACAATGGGCTGTCATTGCCACCTGCGTCTTCCTCTGGGCGTTTGTGTACATTCTGGCCATCATTGGTGTGGGGATCACCGGTGACGGTGGCAAGATTGGCGGCTACTACGTTCGTGCCGCGGCATGGGTAAGTCACCACTCGCACTCATCGATGCTGAAGATCCTGTCTCGGGCCATCGCTAATGCATGACAGTGCTGGGTGAACAAGGAGTACGACACTCTCCGCCTTGTCCTCCACTATCTCTACATCTTCATCTCCCTCGCCCTCACCTCCCTCCTCTACACCCTCATCTTCTTCACCCTCCGCCGCCGCACTCAGGAGGCGGACCGCGGCCGTCCAGGAGATGTCGGCGCCGCATCCGGCAAGCGCTCCCTCGACCTGCGCAGCACCACCACCACGACCACCAACAGCGCCGCCAAGCCCGCCGGCTCCGGCGCCACCAAGGCCAAGCTTAACGGGCACCACCCGGCCTTCCTCGTCTACCCCATCATCTACGTCTTCTGCACCCTACCCTTGGCCCTCGGCCGCATCGCCACCATGGCCGGTGCCGATGTCCCGCTCGCCTACTTCTGCGCCGCCGGCGCCCTCATCGTCAGCAACGGCTGGGCCGACGTCCTGCTGTGGGGCCTGACGCGCCGCAGCGTCATCTTCGGCCACATCGACGACGACGACCTCGGCATCGAGACGTTCGAGTTCATGCGCACCCCGGCCCGGCGGTTCGGCAACATGATCTGGGTCGAGGGCGCCGGTAGCGCCGCGGCCGCGGGCAAGGGCAAGCCTGGTGGCGGTGGCATGGGCGAGGAGAGCGGCTTCTGGGAGAGGCTGCTCAAGGGCCCCAAGGGCTGGAGGGAACTTGCTGGCAGCCAGAGCAGCAGGAACTCTCACGTCCATGGTCACCGGCGCACGGGCGAGCGGAGCATCAGCCAGGAGTCGCTGAGAGGCGCCGCTCAGAACGACCGTGGCATGGCAATCCAGATGGACCTTGTCACCACCGTCGTGGTCGAGATGGATCACGATGTCAAGAACGTTCGGACGCGCGACGCGAGCGCGCACTCGACCGGGAGCGAGAGCAGGATGGGCATGTGATGGAATTGACGACCTTTTTCTTTCCCGAGTTTATCACTGGTTATCACTGGAGTGTGATGGTGCATGCATGCCATCGGTGCGAGCTGCGAGCATAGCGTGATATTCCTTCCTGTCTTCCTCGAGATACCCAAGATGAAAAAGGATAACGTCCGCAAGGTCGGGTATATGTGGCATTTACATACATAGCATTGCTAGCTCTCGTATATACGTTAAGAGTCACGAGATTGAAAAACGATACGTTGAGAATGAAACTTTGATTTGTGGACAAGAATGAGTGGGTGATAGCGAATGTGTACATTGTAGTGGCTTCTAACTGCATTGTACTTACAATAGAAGCTCACCCTAGATAACTCACCCACGCTCACTGCACGGAGATAAGAGGAGTCATTTCGGGCGAGGCGAAGGCAACAGGGTGCGAGAGGACTGAGGCCCAAGATTGGAGATTCTATGGCACTGAAATAGTGTGTGACAAGGCACGGTTGCAGCCTACGTTCTGTGCTTGGTCTAATAGAGAGTTCGGGACATGGCACTCCTTGATCTGTTGAAGTATCTTGCTTTGATTGTTGTGTAGTCCCTTCTTAGGGACTCAGGGAGCAGCCCTATTCTTCAATTTCCGGTGCACCTATTGGTCTATATCTATTGGCCTCAGCCACGAACGTCTGCCACAACCTAAGTTTCAGCTTAGATTTGAGCCACTTCAAGTCGTCCGGGCTCTGTCTCATGTGATCCAGTTCCTCAGGAGGGATATTCGTCTTGCGGTAAAGTCTCAATCGGACACTCTCTCGAACCGGGAGCTTTTCTCGCTTCCTTGGCTGCCGTGTGAAAGGGATCTCGTTCTTAAGTTTGTCTTGGATCTGCGGGTCTCTAACTAGTTGAGATAGTGGCTTCCTATGAACATGATGTCAGTAAGAGGATTCAGAAACGCAATTTTCATAATGAAAGAGGCCTCGTACAGACACTGCCCCGTCCACTCATAAGGCAACACAGGTACATCATCATCATTTTCAGCTTCGCCATAATCAACTAGGAAGAAACACCGTCGGCTGTTGAAGGCAAAGTTGGCGTCATAGGAGGCATATCGAAACTTTGGAGCCTGAAAATCGCAATTCCAGTGGTACTGACATATTCGGTTCAAGATGAATTCTGTGCGCTCGATGCCGTCATCTCCAGGAACTAAATGGGTCAGAGTCTGGACCAGGACTCGTACAGGTGGCTCCGGCTGCGGATGATCTGGTTGTGAGTCTTTGACTTTGCTTGCCATTATTTCCAGTTCTGTAGTGGCAATGTGTCGTTGGGTGAAGTCCCCGATCTCCTGTGGTGAAGATTCCGGCAGGCAGGCGACTATCGTGACGAAGAAAGCGCCTACCCCACCCACGTGATGAGCAGACCCACTTTCTACGATCCACCCTGGAGCTAACAGGCGCGCGCTTTTCAATGGTAGGTAACTAGGTAGGTGTCGAGGTAGGTCTAATTCCACACCACACCCGTCACAGCCACACCTCATGCTGGTTGCAGACGGCCTGAAGGCGACCCGGTGTTATGGGCTGTCTGTTTCATCCCTCTGTTGGTTTGAACTTCGTCCTTTAGAACTGAATTCGAAGCAGAAAGAGGGATTTGGCCCATTCCAGACTCCCGGTAGGTAAGGCGCATGAGCACATTGCCCAAACGCCAAAATGATATCATGTAATGTACATATAATGTCTCCGAAGCAGAGTTTTGCTGCTATTTCAGAGCATCTGGTAGAGGAACAGGAACTACATTACAGCCTAAATGACAGACATAAAGAAGGGGCTGCGATAGCTAGTAGAGCCCAAGCGCGCGCGCCGCCTATGTTGGCCTACCACCCAGAGGCCCATGCAAATCAGGAGCATCCTTCGATAGAGACTTTCCGAAAACACTATTATCTTCGGGACCAACAGGCCCCTGAATTGGTCTCTAATTAGAGACATCATACGAGCGGTAAAGGTGAAACACAGGGTGGTTTTGTGGTGCAGTCTTTCGTGACTTCGCCCCCAAGCATTGTCCCGGCAAACACCAATCATTCGGGCTGGTGGCATAAGTCACCCAGAAATAGATGCAAATCGAGGTCTTGCTTGGCCTGTTCTGAAACCTAATATATCCTCCGCCTCCCTGCGGCGCTTGAATCTGGACAGCAATTATGGTCTTGCAACTAGGGTACCGAATTTCCCCCGCGCGAGGGTTTAGATCCCTCTATAGCCTACTCATGATGCCGGCATCGGGGTATATATATGGCTGTGTATCCTCAATGCTCATTGCCTTCTCTGTACATTATTCTAAAGCGCTTGTCCATCCAGTCTTTGTACTCAAGACTATTCCTATTGACATCACATCAAGATCCAACTCTCTTCGGCAGAAATCTTTCAACTGCCTACACCGTGCTGCTGTACCGTGCAGAGCAAAGTGTCTTAAGCATAAAAGAAGAAAAGCAACACATTCTCAAGAGGTATGCAGCCTGTGTAATGCGACCAGCTGCAAAGAAAAGTACTAATCTCAAAGTTTCCCAGACACAGACATTTGAGAAAATGGGCCGTTCTAGCAGAGGTAGTAGCAGTTCTGGTAGATCTGAGTTTAGCTTGGATCATCGGATGCTCGAAGCTGACCCATCGTGTGAGATATGTGAAGGAACTGGGAAGGAATTCCGAACTGTGGAGGAGTGGGTGGTCAAGACATGTGAGGAATGCCATGGACGTTCTCCAAGATGTCGGGCGTGCGACTCGACAGGCAAACGCAGATATCTGCGGATTGTCAACAGAATGTTCGATTGCTCCTGTAAACGCTAAGGGTCCATATGGCAGATGGGTCTCCATTCGTTTTTGATCTGTTTTCCATGTGTTTTGGTTTAGGATTTTCTTTTATATCGTAGTTATTTGCAATGGGTACAATGTTATTCGTCTACAAAAACCACACATGGAAGGTTCTACAACTAAAAATCTTATATTCGGCTTAGGATATTCTAAAGCCCCTAGTATCTATTGTTATAATAAAGCCGCCTTTGTTAAACTAGCGATCTAGTGTCTCTTAGTACTGATCATCTATCACTTCCCTAGCTCATCCTTGTATAAATCCCTGTGGTAAGTCTCTCCTCCTTAGCTTCACCGGGCACCCTTGTGGAGAGCACTCGGTAATCCGAGGAAGCTCAGACTGCAAAGTTCATGCAATGACTCCTGTTCATGGCCTACACCGCTGTTCCGGGGTCTCAACGTCGTCAAGGCCCATTCCAACAGGCTGAACATCCCTCCTATAAGCCGTCTAATACATGATCCATTAACCTTTAAGCGTGAGTGCCTTCCCCAATGCAGTATGGGATGGGGTATTTGTCGCTGCTACACAGCCGAATCACACCCTTGACCCAGTTGAGGTCTTTGTAGGCCTGGCTCGTGTACGTGTCCGACATGAAGGTGTTGTTGCTCGGGTTGTCTGTGCAGCCGCTGAACACGTTCCCCTGGACACGACGAACATATGGCTGACTAACAATGACGCCGAACATATTTTCGGGCACATTGAATGTCAACGTATGTGACTGCTGCGTAGTCCAGGTCTCCGTGTAGGAAACGGATAGCGAGGCCGAGAGAAGGTTCTTGATAAGCGGGATATCCAATGAAGCGCCCGCTGTCAAGGTATTGGAGAGAGTGTAGCCTGAAGAGACGGCCACGGACGCACTCTGGCCGCCAGCGCTGCTGACAACAGGTGAAATGGGGACATCCCAGTTGAGGAACTCGGTATCAGAGAGCACCTGAATCTCGGTGCTCTTGTCACAGCCCCGACGAGGTTGCAGGCTGACTGGGTTGGAGTCCTTAGTGCCAGATGGTGGTGAGAACGCGGCAGCTCGATGTTCCAGGCGGTCAAAGTCGGCCGCTTTCATGATCTCGGGCTGTCCATCGTTCTTGATTACGATGACATCATCGTAAGATAAGGCTGACGAGGTGGGAAGAGCGGTAGAGAGGTGGCTCGAGCCAAGGAGGGTAAGAATAACGAGAGACAACATTGTGTTCTGATTAAGTATTAAGATCTAGCGAGCACTTGGGGAGGATGAATGACTGGCTTGTGGTCGGTAGTGAACCAAAGAAACTATTTGCAGCAACTTCATGGCGGCCTGTCTTTTATATACAATTCACGATAGCAAGTCACGCTCTTTCGCCAAGTTAATCTAGTCGCGATGTGATGGTGCAAGCCGACAATGGACAGTCCATTGAATGTGGTCTCCTTTCTTGGCGCTTAGCGGCATTTCCCGCCAGAAGGTCAATAGCCGACCTGGAAACCCTTCATTTAGACTTATGTTACCTTGGCTTTTTTCAATACGAAGTTCATGGAATGGGATGAATTATGCCTTTCGTCTGATTGAGAGCGAGAAACAAGGATCGACGTTTGCCTGCATGGACAAGACCCATCATGTTTGCGCGTGTCGAAGGTCACCTTCGACTCTTCGTAGGGCTGTGCGCATGAATTGTACACAGCCACGCGCGTTACGGTGCCTTTGATTCATGCTTCTTCATTTGTCAGATACCTTCGGTGACTCCATCCAGTGTAAGTGGACAATTGTCATTGTTTCAAGTCTCAGAATTGTGCCGATTACCCAGCTGCCGGCGCGTCTCGCGGTCGACGAACCAGAACCCTTCTGCACCCCTTTTCAGTAAGTGGATCGGTGCCAAGCTAAGGGGAATGGCATCACGAAAGCACGAAGATAACTTGGAAGAGAAGAGTCTGAATGTCGAAAAGTGATATGTATAAAGGATGGGGAGATGTACGTGCCGAAATTGGATATCTCAAATGTTTATCCATTAATCATAACCTCTTAATCAAGCTCCTCTAGGCTTCATTGTTACTGAGCCACACACTCGCTTTAACTTCTCCCAAGTTCCTTACAATCGTTCTACATCATGCATATCACTGTGTCTGATCTTTTGAGGGTGATGCTTTTCTCCTCTGTGGCGTAAGTGCACGTTCTTTCAAGTCAAGCTCTTCCGATGACTGACCTCCAACATAGGATGGCAGATCTTCATACAAGCTGCACCTGTCACAATGGTGACAGCTACAATTGGCGCATGACTACTCTGGCTTGCACTTCTTACGATGAAGCCAAGTATCAAGTACGTGATCGACTTCTCACATCGACGATACTTACTTACACCTAATTAACAGTGGGGCGGTGCTGTCTATGACACGCCATCCGGTCGGGTGAGTAACGCATCTCCCAGTCAAAACAAACCCCGTGGCTAATGAACTCTAGTGTACCCAACGAACTGATGCTGATCGTATCGCTGGTGACCAATGGGAGGAAGCATGTCAGAAGATCGCAAAGGCCGGCTTCCAGTGCGTTGATGGGAAGGGTACCTGTTATGCTGATCCTGCCAGTGTTCGCGGATCTTGCTGAGAGATGAGAGACCAAAACCATGAGCTCCGTTGCTTGTGTGATCGGGCTTGTGTCGCTTCTCTTATATTAAACCACGACAAACTCAACATAATGTTGTGATGGATACGAATATGTAATTAGGCAGACATATGAGGACTATCATGTGTATCAATGAATGAGTAAAGGCCGTGTGACCCGTTGAGCAGCCAGAGACTGAGACTGGCCTGCATCTGACTTTCCGTTCTAGCACGGATGAAAATAGATGCGGAAAGATTCCGAAAGCACCGCAAGGAGAACATTGTTGTATGTGAAACACTGTAGCTTCTTCTCAATCTTTTAGATTCAAATTGCATCTTGAGGCCCTCGTTCGCAGCCCGTGATCTGACCAAACGCTTTAGCAGAGTTGGAACTTGACCCACAGATATCATTATCCGGTTTCCCTGCAATTATTGCTCACTACCGACATTATCTCCCATCCCCAGAAAGAGTATTATAATTTCATAGTCGAAACTGTCTACAGGCTCAAGATTGTATCAATGAGATTGCCGGGTGCGTTCTCAAAGTCCACCATGACGATCCCAACCCTTTTTCCCTTCAGCCCCTGCAAGAAGGGAAGCAACTGCTGATTTACACCTCCAGAAGGCGTGACAGTGCCGTTACCGAGAGCCATGATGCGAGGCGTGAGGGGTGGGTCCATATCGATGTTTCTGCTCGAGGCGAAGGACCAGAACAGATCGTTGGGGAAAGCATCCGACGTCGCCCTGAGGATATTGGCCGTTGTCGCGTTGTACTTGAGCCCGATGTTGTAGGAAGGGGTTGAGTCCTTGGGCGCCTCAGGCTCGTAATAGTCCTCGATGTGCGCCGTGCCGTTCTTTTCGCGATTGTAAACCAGCGTGATGTCCTGGCCATTGTCCGTCCAGTCGCTAGGGGAGAAATGAACACCAGGGAGGGAGGCCTCGTAGGACGCATCCAGGCGGTCCATAGTGAAGCGACGGATCAGCGTGATCTTACCGCGTGCCTCGCCGAGGGTGCCGAAAGAGTCCTTGGTCTGCAAGATGTACTTCTTGGCTGCCCGCGAGGTGAGGATGTCGTAGAGCGCTCTTTGAACAGTGGCATCATTTGCGGCGTACTTGGTGGTACCGCCCTCGTACTGGAACGAGAGTAGGAGGGCCTCGCTCGGGTGGTCATCGAGCCACTTGTAGAAACCAAACATGGTATCCGCTAGAGTGGCGGTCTGAGACACAAGGGCCGGGCCGTGCCAGAAAACAAGCACGCTATTGGTGACATCAAAGGCGTATCGGAGATCGAAAGCACGAACTCCAGCATTCAGCACTATTGGCATCATTAGTGCTCCGTCCGCGACCAGCTTATTCCCTCGTCTTAATCGCGGCAGTACAGAACTCAATTGCTGTTGCGATTCGGATCACTCACTATCCACAACTGAGCGCTCTTGGCAGCGATATGTATCAGACGAACGGGGAATCTTGCCGCCAATCTCATTGATGTGCAGCAGCTGCTCTCGCGTAGCCTGAGAGTAGTTCCACGTCTGCGCGTCGTGAGCTCCGGGAATGTTCATGTGCACCAGGAGAGTGCTATCGGGATGGGCTTTCATCCACTCTGAAGTGTTGCTTTTCACACTCTGGTAGTGCCCAAAGACGGGCGACCCCTGGCTGAGAATTTCCCGCATGGCCAACTCGGGGAGTGAGAGCTGCTTGCAGTCCCGGCGAGACTTCAGACCGGTCGCATGAGCTCCCACAACCGGCAAGCTGAGGCATGCCAATGCCGCAGTAACAGTGTTTAACAACATTGCAAAAGACACCAAGATTTTCGATCAGGAAAAGGACTGTTGACGGAGCCTACCTCATCATCGTGCTCTCTCGAAAGGAAGGCGAGGATGCACGGGCTCATATATACACTGCAATGTTGAATGATTACTGAGATGACCGCAGTCAACGTGGAGTCACTTCATTCTCCTGGTTGGTCGTTGTAATGACCGACCCCGCCGCACCAAGCGTCAATAGACCAGTCTTGGTTGTCAGCTCATTTATCATGAACCAGGCCCACGTGGTTACAGGGGCTGCTTAACGCCGATAGGGCTCACAATCTCTTTATTCAGTTGGATACCATGAGTGTTGTATTTACAAGTCCGAGGATAGTCTCCATCCTCGCATCTCCTTTTGCAACCTTAGCCAAATCGGTTGCTGTAAGTTGCCCACTTTCAGACAGCTGCTTCAACTTGAAATACAAGAGCTTTGAAACAAGCAACTGAAATCTCACAAACACTGGCGACACAGGTGCTCGAATAAGCGAGCAGGCACAGATGCAAAGGTAGGTGATTGGCGATAATGTTTTCTGATATTCGTAAGAGATAACCAGATAAAATAATCATGGATGTGCAAAGTGCTTGATCCATCAAGAACAGTTTAGGATGTGATGTCAGACAGCTTGTGAAGCCGTAGCCGCTAAGCCGCAAACTCATTGACAGGTCACACCGCAAACTACGAAACTGAACCCGACAACTCAACTATACAAGTGTGGAAAATGCTGCCAAAATTCTGGCGCAAGCGTAACGCATTTGACCAGCTGGTGCTTCCCAGCGCGACCAGGGAAGCCGGTATGACATATTTATTGCTGACACCTCTCAAGAAGTAGCTCGGGACTGAAACGCACAGTGCCACGGGCGTCTTGTTCTCCCTCTCCTGGCTGTATCGACAGGTCCGCATCTACTTTGAGCACGGCGTCAATTGCGTAGCAGAGCTAAGTATTCCGCACAACGGCTTTATCCGTGTTGTGGTGCCTACAAAGGCTTGCTGGACTGTTGAGCAGCACTTCTTGGTGCGTTTTCCTGCTCTGGGCATGCACTCGTGGACAATTCACCCTTTCACCGCATATCCACTCCCAGTAGAGAAAAGGCAGGTTTGCTCGAGCGAAGTGGTATTCTACATTCGGTCCCTTGGAGGGTTCACGTCGCGATTGGCCTCATTTGTCAGGTACACCCGACTGCCAAGATACGGTGGATGTTGGATGGACCATACGGAGGTATCGATATGGCGAAAATTCGGAACAGCGTGCGCTGGCTAGTTATTGCTGGCGGGTCGGGGGCAGGTTGGATTCTACCTTTCAACACGGCTTTCCTCGGCCAAGCCAAGCGGACGGGCCCGATGCTCAGGCTTCACTTAAGGTCATCTTGGCCACGCGGGAGGTACAGACAGTGAACTGGTTCGAGGAGGAGGTGAATGCCCTTCTCTCTGCCGCAGAGACCAAACACAACAAACTGTCTGTCGATGTTGACGTGTATTACACTGGGGCTGCAGATGTCGGAGAAATGTCGGGAATGGCGGCACAAGAAGAGCAAAGTCCCGCCCCCGAGGAAGCGGCTATGCCAATAGTAAGCCGATCAAAATGGGCGATTGACCTCCAGCATAATGGAAAAAATCAAGATATACAAATGCAACACCGGACCCGCCGCCTGCCAGTCAGACCCGACCTACCGGCGCTGGTCGCCCGCGAGGCCGCTGCAGCAGGGGGTCAACCTCTCAGCGTATTCGTTTGTGGGCCGCTGGAGATGCAATCCGACGTATCGAATGCTGTCGCTCGGGAGCAGTTGGGAATCGCTAAAAGCGGGCTTGGCGATATCCACCTGCACATGAGCCACTTCTCGTGGGTGTAGCGTAGGGTTCAACGGGTGCCATGCTGATGATGGGAGGAAGCGAATGGAGATCGGCAAACTCGACCTTGGAGAGAGGAGAACGACCACTACTGGACAAGTTCGAAGCCTGCCTCCGAACCCGGACCGGAAATCAGCAGCTGAGAGGATGTGACCTGAACCAAAAAGGTAGGGACACAAAATTACAGTCCTCTCCATCCCATGGCCACGGACTGTGACGGTAGTGGCACCATGGCACCATCTGATAATCTCTCACACCAATCCTAGCGCATCCCGTTACTCGACAGACGCGTCCCGTCTCCACCGGCCGGCAGGGATCAAGTGGTCTCAGTGGAACGGACGTGCAGATGGCACCATCTGATTAGACTGATTAGATCAAAACTCCTCATGGATGTGAGCACTAACGTTGGCCAAGCTTCTCCTGGGTGGTGCTTAGCCCTCCTTAGCATCCTGAACATGGCTCTAGAAGCCGTGATGACATAGACTAGAGGTCTCTCCCGATGTTCAATGTCCTGTAATTAGTGTCAGCCTCCGCATCGGACGGCATCCTTCAAGCCACCCGCCCACCTCTGCTTCCAGATGCCACTGAAAAAAGCACCCTTGAAGGGCATTTCTAGGTATCATCTCCCGACGATCCCCATTCTCGACCACGCGAAGTGTTGACTCGGTCTTACTCCATTCACGACAGACGAAAAACTTTTCGATGCTATTTGTTCATCCCTGGCCGGACGAAAGGTTGGGTGTGTCCCACATCGACGAAAAGCTTGCGAAGGCCGAGGCGGGGATATTGCCGCGCCGATCACTTTCCAACAGCCAGAGGTCTTCATGATATGGCGAGACACTCGTGGCCCCCCTGGCCTCTCGAGGGGCAGTGGGGGGGAGAGTGCTACCAAGCTTTGCAGGGTGGACCACTGCAAAACTTCTCAGTCGGAAAGGTGCGGCCATCGGCGACGCAGATGCATACAAGGGCGCATATAAATAAGGTGGACCGATCGACTTCCCACACTGCTGCCAAGTTCTTTCTGCACCCCTATTCACAGATTTCTGTCTGGACGCTGCCGTGCCCATACTCTACCGCTCCTAGAAGCCAATGGCCCTCAAGTCCATCCGTGCCGCACTTGGCGGTCAGCCCGTTGTCGAGAAGAGCAACGAGCGCGCCCAGGATGAGGAGGTGACCGCCCAGAGCGGCGTTGCCAACCCCGCTGCCAATAACAATGAGAAGACAGACAAGGATGTCAACGACCAGGAGGCTGACAGCGACCTCGACGGCACCGGTGGCAAGCCGATTGAGCACGGTGTCGAGGCCGCCCGGGCCGTGACCCAGGTCTGGAGCATGCCGCAGCTGATCCTCGCCTACATTTTGTAAGAGTCCTGATCATACCTCGTCACCATTCTCTCGGCACTCAGACAGGGCCAAGATGCTAATCATGCATCTACTGTGTTAGAATATGGGTCATTGCTTTCGTCCAGGCTTTCTCGCAGGGCATGATCACCACCTTGACGCCCTACGTGACCAGCAACTTCGGCGAGCACTCCTTGACCTCCACCGTCCTGATCGTCTCCAGCCTTGTCTCTGGCCTGATCAAGCTGCCCTACGCCAAGCTTATGAACATCTGGGGTCGCCCTCAGGCCTTCGGCATCGTCATCATCTTCATGACCATGGGCCTCATCATGATGGCAGGCTGCAACAGTGTCACAACCTATGCTGCTGCGCAGGTCTTCTACAGCGTCGGCTACAGCACCATTGACTTCACCAACACTATCTTTATCGCTGACACATCGTCTCTAAAGAGCCGAGCATTCATGATTGCTTTCTCTGCCTCCCCCTGGATGGCCACCGTCTGGGCCTATGGTCCTGCCGTCCAGAGCGTGCTCAATACGATTGGCTTCCGCTGGGGTATTGGCATCTGGGCCATCGTTTACCCCGTCGTCACTCTGCCGCTCTTCGGCCTGTTCTACTTCAACCAGAAGAAGGCTGAGAAGCGAGGCCTGATCAGCAAGACTCCCAGCGGCCGCACTCTCGGCCAGTCGGTCTGGCACTATCTCATCGAATTCGATGTCGTCGGCATCCTGCTGATCGCCGGTGGCCTCGCCCTCTTCCTGCTCGGATTCGCCCTGTACTCCTACCAGTCCGACACCTGGAGGTCGCCTATGATCATCTGCTTCCTCATCTTCGGCGGTCTGCTTGTCGTCGCTTTCGTCTTCTGGGAGCGCTTCTTCGCCCCCGTCACCTTCATCCCCTGGTACCTGATGAAGAACCGCACCGTCTTCTTCACCTACACCATGGTGGCCAGCATCTACACCTCCTGGTACATCTGGGACAACTACTTCTACTCGATCCTCATCGTCGTCTTCCGCCAGTCGGTGACCCACGCCACGTACATCACCCAGATCTACACCGTCGGCTCATGCTTCTGCTCCCTGATCATGGGCGTCATCATCCGCTTCAACGGCCGGCTCAAGTGGCTGGCGCTGTACTTTGGCGTGCCCCTGACCGTCCTCGGCGTCGGCCTCATGATCCACTTCCGCCAGCCCGGCGTCAACATCGGCTACATCGTCATGTGCCAGATCTTCATCGCCTTTGGCGGCGGCATCCTCGTCATCTGCGAGCAGATGACCGTCATGGCCGTGTCCCTGCACCAGGACATCCCGCAGGTCCTCGCCGTCGAGACCGCCATCGCCAACGTCGGCGGCTCCATCGGCTCGGCCATCGCTGCCGCCCTGTGGACGGGCATCTTCCCCGTCAAGCTGGCCAAGTACCTGCCCGCCGAGTCCCAGGCCGACTTTACGAGCATCTACGGCTCTCTCGACGTCCAGGCCTCGTACCCCGATGGCTCGGCCACTCGTGATGCCATCACTCGCTCGTATGGTGACACCCAGAGGATTATGCTCATCACCGCAACGTCTCTGTACTCGATCAGTATCTTCTCGGTGCTCATGTGGAAGGACATCAACGTCAAGAAGATCAAGCAGGTCAAGGGGCTGGTCTGGTAAAAAGGGACACCAGTCGGGGTAGCTGCCTATTCCCAGTTCTTTGTTAGAATGAATATTCTTGTATCATAGAGGGAGAGGCCTGATTTAATGCCTACGAGGGGCAAATCATTATGGAAACGTTTTGATCACAGTGTTTTCACCCTTGTGCGTGTTTTGTACCCCGCTGTTCATTCACCACAAGATGTTTCTAGATACAAGGCCATTGAACCCGGCTAATGATGTGTGTGTCTCTTGATCAAATCTCTCGACTTCACCTCTGTATGATAGAAGATCATGCACCCTGATCATCCCATCAACGTCGATACCAGGCTGATAACATCCAGCTGCGATCTCAAGCCTGCCCGCGCGCCCTGGCAAGTCTCGACTTGGCAACCTCCACAGTCAGCTCAGGATCAAAGATGTTGGTCACGCTCGGGTGCGCGGCGACGGCCTCGGCCCACCGGTAGGAGTTCGGCGCCTTCTCCTTGAGACCCGCCAGCAGACTCTCCGGGTACACGCCTGCGCCACCGACAGCCAAGAGGCGCACGATGAAAGAGCCCGTGAGTACCTGGGGAGATGCCCACCCGACCATGTCAGCAAATCAAATGTTTGTTGCCCCTGCACATTTGTACATCGCAAGCGCAGCGCAGAGACAGCGCAGACAATCGGGGTGGAAAAATGCAAACAAAAACGCACCTCGGCAAGGGTAAGCTCCTCGCTGCCGCCAAAGAACGGCCTCGCGTCCCGCAGCAGGGGCTCGACCTCCTTCGCCACGGCGGCGACGGCGGCCTGCGCCACGGCCTCGGCCTGCTCGTCGCTGCGCGCGGACAGGAGCTGCGCGACCACGGCGTGGACCTTGGTCATGTACGCGTCGACGAAGAAGGCGACGCGCGCCCTGCGCAGGGCGCCTCCCGGAGCGTCGGACGCGGGCAGCAGGCGCGAGGACGATGACGGGTGGGCGTCGGCCAGGAACTGCGACACGACGGCCGACTCGGTGATGATCTCGCCGTCGTAGGACAGCGAGGGGACGAGGCCGCGCGGGTTAACCTCGAGGTACCACGGGTCCCGGGGCCGGTCGAGCGGGATGATGACCTCCTCGAAGGGGAGCTTGAGCTCCGCGAGGGCGATGTGCGCGCGGTGCGCCCCTGTTGTGATGGCGAGGGGTTAGTCAGGGGGCTGGGGGGTCTTGGACCGGCTCTGCAGCACAGGAGGATCATTCAGGAGGTAGGATTGGCTTACAAGGGCACTTTGGACCAGCCGGTTCAGAGTTAGCGTTGGACGCAGATGTTCGATGTTCGATGTCGGGGAGTGTGTGCTTACGCGATGATTGGTATAGAGGATGATCTTAGCTTCGCCGTTGGATGCCATGCTGACTGACTACCTCTCGGAGCTTGAGATGGCTTCTTTCTCTGGAGTTGGCAAGGAAGAGTGTGTCAAGTGAAAGCGGGGTAGATATGGAGACAGAACGTGTCACCTAAAAGCGACGCAAGAATGTCAGTGAGACCTACGGGGTGGGATGGAGGAAGGCGACAGCAAACACCATTCATGAAGAGGGAGGCCAGAGATCTTTCTTTACCGTTCACGCGGCCTTGCATCTGTTGCTTCAATGCACTTGCGTGCGAACGTGGTGGGATTGATAATACCCAGCTATTTGTAATCCAACATCGCGCAGGCTCTGAGGTAGGGGAGCTTGGCATCGTTTATCCCCGACAATCCCGATCGAGTTCTAACTAGAATACGACACTGGCTCTTGTCACTGTCAGTGGTCCAGATCAGCAAACTATCGCGTTCTGTTTCCATGGCAGTGGCAGAGAATTAGGTATTCGGTGACCATGCCTTTCATGGTGATGCTTGTCGATGTAGAAGCGGCTACGCACGCCATTCTCGTGCAGGTGTCGTCATGCTCTCCGCCAATAGCTATCGGAAGCTGGGAGCTCATAATCGTCGCATGTTGCGCATAGTATGCCCCTTTCGTCCCCGCGTGCCAAGTTTATTGTGCTCTCGGCAGGCGGTATGGTGGGAGCTGTGATGTAGCTGGTGCCCGCCTTGGCTTGAGCTCTGAATGTGCTGTCTGGCTCCTGGGGAACCAACAACGATTTTTGGACGACGATGGCTGAGAGTGTCTGGCTGACCCGATGGCACATAAAGCCGACGGTGAAGCCAACAGTCTGGGAACAAATCCGAGATGTATTTTGTCGATTTCGAGAACGAGTTGTAGCATCGGGCGATGGTTCAACAATGTGTTCCGCGTCGATGAAAGACCCCTCCTCATCTCTGCCTCACGTTCTTTGGCTTCCTCTTCTTGAACACCACCGCCGGAGCATCCGTAGCCTGTCCTTCCTCTGCCTTGACATCCGGCGTGTGTGAAGTTTCTGCCACTGGCTTCGATCCTTCAGCAGAAGGTGCCTCCTCCTCATCGACAGACTCTCGTTTGATCTCAGGTGCCGCTCCCGAGCCTCCTTGTGGCTCCCCATCTTCCTTCTTAACCTCGAAATCTTCCTTCTTCGCCTCCTTCTTGACACCCAGCAACCCCCCGCTCAGCAGCACATCCAGCTCGTCGTCGCCCTCGCCCTCGCCCGGCGCCGTCCGCGAATCCCTGCCCCACCGCCTCTGCTTCTTGAACAGGCCCTTCATCGCCTCCTCGTGCTCCTGTTCTTCTTCCGTCTTCTCCAGCTCCCTCTTCCTCACGCCGCTCGCCGCCGCCACCGCCTTGTCAGCTTCGTCCCTCTCGGCCTCGTCGGGCACGACCCTCGTGGCCGTGACCTTCCACTCGCCCGCCAGCGCCAGGTCGCTGCGCATCTCCTCGGGGATGTTGACACCCAAGCTCGCCAGCTGCTCCAGCTGCTCCTGCCGCGATGCCTTGGGTGCTGCCGACGACGAAGAAGAAGAAGACGGGCCGCCGGGGCGGGGTGCGTAGACGCCGTTGAGGCGGTCGATCTCGCGCTTGGCGCGCTCCTTCTCGCGCTCGGCCTGCTCGTGGCCGCGGTGCAGGTCGCGCAGGGCGCGCTTGACGGCGCCCTGGTGCTTGCCCGTGGCCTCGTGGTTGGCGCGCTCGAGCTTGGTGTCGCGCACGTAGATGGAGCAGTGCTTGCACCAGTACTTGGGTGTGGACTTCCAGTACTCGGCCATGGTGGGCGGGAAGGGCTGGCTCTTCTGGCGAGAGGGAGGGAAGTGGCTGTCGGGAAAGTGTGGTGGATTGTGTGCGCGCGCACACACGCCCGCCTGGGAAGGGTAAGGGTTTTGTTGAGGGTAGCAGGAAGGAAGGACGTGTCGGCCACACGCAAGTATATCACGGGTGTAGTTCTGTCGGAATGCGGCTGTAGAAGAAACACGATGTCGCTCGCTGGGCTGACAAGCGCTTGTGAACTTTTTGGCACAGAAAAGCTTACTACCTTACCCTGGTCCGCGTTATGACGACGATGCTAAAAGGCTTGGCAGCTGGCAGGCAATTGGCCGACCAGACGCACGCTCGAAACTCCACTGCCAGCCACGTTGGGCAATTCTCACGACATCAACTCTTGCTTTGTCTTCTTCATTGCGATGAAAGTCTTCACAGGGCGGATTGGACCTCTCAAGAATTGGTAATGTGTGTGTGGTCTATTAGCCTACGTACACACAAGTTAAGCTATGTATTACGATGCTTTCCGTCTTTGAATTACTCCATTATCGCCCTCCCCTCGTTGGATGCAAGAACGAGAAAAAGCCTGCCACATCTCTTCCCATTCGCTTCCCAGAGAGCCTCCCCGCGTGCGACGCAAAGTGAAGTATCAAGGTAGGTTCTACCTCCTCGGCATGGAAGATTTGACGATGGGAGGCAAAGTAGCCTCCTGCTGTCAATTCTCATCCCTCGCGATTCCGCAGGCCCTTGAACATTCTCTCAGTTCAAGCCAGCCTTGGATGCATTTTCCCAATGCCCACTCGTGACGGTTGTGGATTTTGCAAATGAAGAACGACAAATGCGATGCGAGGTTTTTTTCTCTTCAGTTCCGCAAATCCATGATGATAGGTCCTTGGAAAGGCAGTGAAAAAAAAACATCATATCAGACATGTACTTTGATCATGGGCCATTTTTCCTTGTTCCCAGATCCCAACACAGCAAGAAAAAGACAAGAAAATAGAGGAAATGGACATTGGACACGTGACGACAACAAAAACGAATACCACCGACAGGCACTTTACAGCATCATCGCACCGACGATGCCGAGGGCCACGGCAGCAGCAGAGCCCAGCTCGACGCGGGCGACACCGGCAGTGGGCACCGAGGCCGGGCTGGTCGTGCCGGCGGCCGGCTGCGTGGGCGCAGCGGGCACCGTAGCCAGCGTGCTCTGGCTGGCGTTCTTGCTGGGCGCGGGCGCCGGGGGCGCAGGCGCAGGGGGCGCGGCGGTCGTGGCGGGCGGCGCGCTGGCGGGCGGGACCTGCACCTGGCCGTCGCCGATCTGGGTGACGGCGGGCGCGCTGGGCGGGATCTGGATCTGGCCGTCGTGGATCTGGCTGACGGGGACGGCGCTGGTGACGGCGGGCTTGGCGGGCACCTGGGCGCAGGGGGTGGTGTGGGCCTGGACCTGGCCGTCGCCGATCTGGCACATGGGCACGGGCATCGCGGTGGTCAGCACCTGCGGCTGGCCGTCGCCGAGGGGCTTGACGACGGTGGTCGTGACCATGGCCGTGGCGACGACCTGGCCGTCGCCGCCCTGGTTGCCGCTGCCCGAACCGCCACTGCCGGAGCCGCAGGGCATGGCGATGATCTGCACCTGCTCGCACTGCTCGGCCCACCAGCGGTCGTACAGGTTCCAGAAGTCGCCCGACTTGCACTGGTAGAAGACGGCCGAGGAGCCCAGCGCCAGCGAGTTGTTACCGCACAGCGAGAAGCCGGCCGTGTAGAGCGCGCCCGCCTGGACGGGGCCGTCGAACTGGAACTGGTAGTTGGACGCGATGTAGCCGGTGCGGCCCTTGGCGTCGGTCAGGACCCCGCCGTTGAGGGTCATGACCAGGATGCCGTCTGCGCCGCAGGTGTCGCGGGACTGGTTTGCCATGTCAGATTGGGGGTTGTTGTTGTTGTTGTAAAAGTGAAGAGCCGGTGACAACTTACCTCAATGAAGCGCTTGGCCTTGTTGGCGGACTTGACGGCCTCGACGGTGACCTCGAACGAGCCGGTGTAGCTGGTGGCGCATCCTGAGGGCGCGGCGCCGCTCGGGGCGATCTTGGAGGTCACGGCCTGGGCGGCGGCGGTGCCCAGCACCGTGGACAGGAGAGCGAGTGAGAACTTCATCTTGACTTCCTGGTTGTGGTTGCACCTTTTCTCTCTTTCTTCCTCTTTGAACGGGTGTGGGTTTGGTTTGGAACGATCGAAGGGATGATGGTTGGGTTGAGTTTGAGCTTCCCTTAGCGAATGGAAGGGTTGTTGTGTGATGGGTAAGGATCAACACGAAGAGAAGAAAAAAAAGAACAAATACAAGCTGTTAAACTGGAGTTCACACAACGACCGGGATTGGATGGAGGAGGAAAGAAAGGGAGAGAGGTGAGTGCGAGGTGACGAGAGGGAGAGACAGTGGTTCATATACGGATGGGCATTCCTCGCCGCCAAGTCTGGGATCTTTCACTTTAGACTGACACGACTGGCACCTGGATCGACGTGGTGGGCTGAGGCAGTCGAGCGCCGTGGCGTCAAAAGTACATTCGTTGGTCTCCTCGGGGATGGGGCAAGAGTGCAGTAGGTTGCAGTCATGACACCCTCGACGACGGGAGAACGAGGAGGAGGGGGGTGGTTGGGAAAAATGGAGTGCACACAGTTCTTCTTCTGGATGGACAGTCGTCTCGGATCGACACGCGGAGTACCTAGGCGTGAGAGGTGAGATAGAGGAATACGTAGAGAGAGGGAGTGTGTAGGAGTGACATGTGAAATACGTCTATCGAGGGAGAAACGTCAAGTAACCATTGACAGGACACTGTTCACTCTGAATGCTTCGAATCACTAATACCTAATGTACCTAACCTACAACCCACTCGCGCACTCCACCCACGAGGGAAGGAAAAGAAGAATGCTGGAATGGAGGTAGTACGCGCCTCTGATGCAAGAGAGCATTCGTCGAGCACGCCGCCTCGAGTGCTCCACACAAAGAGGGATCTCGAGAAGAAGGGGGTGAGAATAAGAAAGAAAAGAAAGGGATGGTGTCCCAACCACGCAGCGGGCACTCGAGCTGAGCAGAGCAGTGAACACGAGAGTGTGTATGTAGTCATGAGTGAGAGAGAGGAAACGAAACACACACACCCCTGACCCCTGCCTCGGATCCTCTTTTTCATCGGCGATAGACAAACCCAGAAATGCGTACCAGGCTCGAATCCTTCCCTTCTTCTGCATGTGCTGCTAGCAGCTCAAGATCATCGAGAAAGACGTACGTGCCGTCGAGCTGACTGTTGCCCTGGCACAGCCCGTTCTGTGACAAGCAGCACGGCAGAGGAGAATTGAGATCAGCTCCCAGCCATTCCGCCCGATTGACTACCAAGCATCTTCCGTACCTACTTTACACACACAACAAAAGTAAACAAGTGGCCATCGAATCGTCGATGGCCTCACCCTGCTCACCTTCTCCTCGCCCCTTTCGGTGCACACACATCCACCCGTGCGCATGCAGGCTGCAGGGTGTGTCGCATTTGCATTTGGGGGAGAAAGACGCGGGAAAAGGAACCGTGGGAGAGAGGGCCAAGACCGCGGGGCATTTCTGCCGGAAGCGCCCCTCCACTGCGCTGCGGAGGCCATTCACGGGCCTGTTTGCTGGAACAACCCAGGGCGCCAGGGCGGGAATTCCTCTGGGCAGCAAAGCCCATCTCGCCCACCCGTGGAACCAGATCGCGCTCTGCTTTGGAGTTCCAGGTTGAATATTGCCGCCAAGTGGGGGCTCTACAGGGGCTTCAGGGGGAGGCTCTAGCTGAAGTCCCCACTGATGCTCGCTGAACGATCGCGCTAGAGCAGCCGCTACCGTTTTACCGTGTCTCCAGTACTGTCCGCCGGCGACTCACCCCACTCCAGTCCAACCCACTCCGAGTGTTTGGCAGTGGCAGGGGAAGACGAGGGGAAGGGAATAAGAGTCAGTGAAAGGGACAGGATCGAGAATACACACGTTGTGGAGTTTGGCGATGGACCGAGAGCAAGCCCAGAGAAGCATTCGTATTCAAGGTACAGAGAGCTAGACGGAAAGTCAAACCATAAGCTAACAGTTAGCTGTATCAGCTCCAAGAGGGTGGGTTGTCAGATCGACGAGATGATGACCAGACAGATCAACTCGATTCCCAGGCACATCCGAGTGATCCCGTGCCTCCAATGGGCATTTTCTAGAGCTGCTTTGGACATTCTGGCACAAGAAAAAGGCGCCGAGGCGACAGCTGACGGACGGACACCTCGCCGCCCTGGAACGAACGAACCTTCTTGTTTAGCCACCCCCCCTTGGGCCAGCTTTCTGCTGTCTTGCACATCCAGGAACAAGAAATGCTAGAAGACTAAATCACCTAGTGCAAGGCCCATGGGTCAAGAAGCAGCTGCAGGCCCAAAATAACCTTGAATGCCCACCAGGACCCCAAGCGAGGAGTCTCGCGAGGTCTCGGGAAGGGATGCAGCATTCCAGCGCGAACGCCACAAGAAACACGGCTCGCGAGTCCACCAGCGCCAACGCGAACTGTCGCGCGCGGCCTGTTTCACTTTGCGACAGGCACTCGAAATTTCCAGGACTGGGGGCGGTGCGAGGATTCCAGAAGAACCATCAGTGTGTTGCAATACAGCAGGGGGATCAACAGCAACAGGAGCAAACAAACAGCAACATTCACAATGCAATGGCAGGCGAACAGAGGGGAGAAAGACTTCACAACTTCTCCACACACGCACGGAGACACGCCGAATCGACGATACCGTAGCAGTTGCAGTTGCAGTTGCAGTAGCATTCACCACTCCATCGGCCTTTCAGTATTCTACTTGTCGCCGTCATCAAGTGTGCCAGTTGCACGCTTTTGGCAGTAGTCGCATGCAAGCTTTGCCAATCTTCCGAGCTACTGCATGCACTTCCTCCCCTGTGCCTCTAAGCCAGTGCTGGACCGGCACCCCTGTCAACGCCGTCCACACCAAGCCCGGGCCAAGCAAACCATCCCTCCCTTGGAGCCATGCCTTCTTTCTTCCTCCTGTCAGGAGACGCCGTGGATGTGGCCCCTCTCGTTGACACATGTGCCACATATCTCGGCTTCGAAGGGAGGGCCTGCAAAAGCTGAAGGGATCAAGAAGCGCGTACGTAGGGAATTCAATTCGTATAACATGGCTGCCACGACCTCGCCTTGTGGCCCCCATTGGATTCCTCCACGGCTTGGCATCTTTTCTCCCTCCTTTTCTCCTTCACTGGGCCCAGGCTGGAGCTGGAGGCCAGCCGGCGCATCCCCGGTCTGCCCGGCAGAAAGCGACATGATATGACAGGCGATACGCACATCTCGCTCCGTCTGGAAAAAATCGCTTGTCAATACAGTCAGAGTCGCATCGCAGGCTCACCACCCGTGCAATTCAGCCGTGCTGTTGGACAGGGCCGCACATCTCTTACTCCCTTTGGATCTACAGACCCAGCCCCCTCTTCTATTCTGCTGCCTCCAACAACAATTGAATGTCACCCTGTCAGAAAACCTCTTCCCTCTCGGCTTGCGTTCTCTCCACCGCTCTAGACCTTTTTGCTAGCTCCTAGAGACAAACAGCTTTTTCATTCGAAGCTATTGCAGCGTGAAACCCGGACCTTTCCCAAATCCCGCCCGAACCGCTCCGTCCTCCTCCGGGCTAGTTGCTCGGCCTATTCCACACGGCACAGGACAAGGTTTTTTTTGCACTTTAGACGCGCGTTTTGTGCCCACCTCTCCCCCGACCGAACGAAAGAAAGATAAGCTAGCTACCTAAGTTATGGAGTAGGGTGGATCAGACCGTTCAGCAGCAGCAGCATCTCAACTCTCGATCATGACCTCATCGACGGCGCATGGCTTCAGAAACCTCGGTGCCATAAGCACGGGTAACCCAGTGCCGACCGAGTCTATCCCGACATCAATCGACCTTGGATATTCCCGCCATGGCTCAGACAAAGCGTCCCCGAAAGCAGGCAACCCGAACTTGTTCAAAAGACATCCGCGTCCAAGCAAAAGAAACTTCTGTCTCCCATGGCAAGTCATGCTTCAGCACCTCGGGCCATTGAATCATGGAGGTCCTGATTCTGACCCTCCTACCCCATTCGGCCAAGCTTTCATGGTACGTACAAAAGTGCGGGCGGCAAGGCCAGGGGTCAGGGGTCGGCGCAAGCACCAAAGCTTGTCGCTCGATCGACCCTACCTCTGGCTGGCTTGCCTCTCGCCGCAACAACGCTTCTTCCCCACCGGCCACCGGAGTTCGTCCGCCGGGGCTTGAACGGGACCAATTCGTCCTGGCCATTGGGCAGATCGAGACGAAAAGACGCCGCTCTTTATGCAAACTCTGAAACATTGTGAGCTTCTTTTTCTCTCCTATTGGCAAGCTAGCTAGTTATCTTTCTCGGTGCTCTGAGCCGATCATGAAGGTGGTGGTGTGGAGAGCTCGCCCAACCTTTCCTTACGAAGCGACCAACAGATCACTGTTGGGGAGCTTTCTTGCTGCACACATCATGATCAGAACATTTTCTGATTTGCGTCTGGTGAGGTATTTTCTACTTGTACGTTCCCATCCGTTTCTATTTTTGCGTGATCAACGCCGAGGGTATTTCTGGTACGGTGACACCAAGCAGCTACGGAGAACGCTCCCCACCCATCCCCCCAAAAGGATCAACACGGCACCGTTCCTGGGCCGGCTAGGCGCCCAGCTGACGCAAGCCACCGTGCGGCTCAATGTGCTGCACAGCATACAGTTGTCGGTTGTGCTGCGTGACAGAAACGGTGGAAATTAGGACGCTTTTTCCTTTTGCCTGCATGCACCTTTGAGACAGAACTGTGACTGCCGCACCTGGCCGTGTTGGAACTGTCAGGCCAGCTACCGGCATCTTCCGTTATACAGACAGGAGTCATGCTTGTCCATCGAGTCTGTCCGCAGAATCCTGCTAGCTTGACGGACTTGGATGGGTTCGGTAAGCAAAGCCGTGCATGAAGCTAGCTTTGTGTCTCCCACCTCCCGAGCGACTGATTCCACGGCTGGCCGTCGTTGGGTCCAACCAGGCGTGCGCCGCTCAGCGATCTTCCCATGCCCAGGAATTCATTTCTCGTATGCCTAGTAGCTCATTAATAAGATACTCGAATTCAAAAGGATCACACCCTTTAGATTGCTCTCCGTGAACTATACCTACATGTATGTGAAATGAAATGATCGAACCACCACTTTATCCGACATTACTTCTCAGGGCCTTGCACACAACACAGCCCCAACATGTAATTAACCTCAGCTCACACGAACCAGGTAAGGCGAGATGACTAGGAGACAAATCGAAACATATCCGCACCAACCTGTTTCAGGCCTTCTCATGTTTTTTGTTTTGTCGGCATGTGAGACATACTAGATGGGGGCACCTGCGAGACATGACAGACACGGGACATAGAGCGCGGCGTTTGTGGTCAAGAGAAGAGAAGAAAGCATATCATGTGTTGCAGTTAATTAATTTCACGTTTACAGCATGTGTTAGCTTGTAGGAACGGCATGATCAGCCGTGCTGGCTCACGACGGGCAGACTGAGCCTGGCAGGCAGGCAACCCATTCAGCCCGAAGCGGTGTGTTGCCGTGTTGTGTGTTACAATGCGCAGACTTTTGCGCCCTCAGTCGCCAGGCTGAGAAGACCCTTATCAAGAATTGTAAACTGAACAGATTCAAAGGACGTTGCAACACTTGACGGGATGAGAAGTCGTTTTCATCTAATATCATTACAGATCACCCACTCGAGGCCCTATTCCCGTTGTGATAACTTGCTGGGAACATGCTCGACTTCTAGGTTCTTTGGCCTTCCCTAATAATACTCTTTCACAGCCTTGATATTTTGCTGTCGCTTCTTTTCCACCTTGCGCTCCTCCCGGGACCATCTTCTGAAACTAGTCGCTGAAGTAAATCAGGTCCGAGTCTGAGCTATCATCACCGTCCTCTTGTGCTTCTGTCTGAACTTTCTCCGACACTGCATTGGGCACCTCTGGCTCCAGGCACTCCGGGAGACGATGCCAGGGCGGTACCTCCCTCTGAAAGTCTCCGAGAAGATCTGGCGGAGCCCGCTTCTTCTTGGGAGCTACGTGACGTCGGGGTCGATTGTTATACCGTGGTATATCGAACCATGTGAGCTGAGGAGATTGGAAACGCGCAGTCGGCACTTCCCTCTCCGGCTCGGCAGGCTTGGCATTGGTTTCGTAGCATGAGGTAGGTGGCAGGAGGACTCGTGGCGCCCGTGGGGACTGTGCTCCTACATCTGGGACAGATTTGCTCGTGGAAAAGTCTGGTTGCGGTTGATAGGCCGGAGAAATGGTGAAGTTGTAATCATCGATCTCCCGTTGTGGAGGTTGGTCGAGCCTTGAGTCCTTCGTAGCCGACACGTCTTTGTGAGGGCTGGGTGAGCGCGTAGCGCGTTGCATTGGGAGGGCCGGCGACTCGGGAGTCGCCATTTGAGTTGAGCTGGGGAGTCGCTGTGGTAGCATAGGCAATAGGATCGGGATTGGGGCATCCGGCGTGTGCAGCGAGTGCCACTGGACAAACCGTCTCCTATTCGCAGCCCTTGAGCGAAAATTTTCAGTTCTGGGACGGCCACGTCCGGGCGGGTGTGATTGTGAGCCGCTGTTGTTTGGAGACGCGGGAGTATTCATTGTTTGGGCGATTCGAGTTCGAGGGGGAATAGGACTGAGTCATTCCAAGTTGGCCAAATATCTTGAGTGTTCGGGATGGGAGTCGAAGGAAGTGGTTGTGGTTGGTTCGAAGTTTTTGTATTCATATCTGGAAGAGAAGTTCCGATTATGCAAGACCGGGGTGAAAGGAAGCTCAAGAAAGAAGTCTGAAAACTAAGTGGTTAATGCAATCTCTTTTTGGGTTGAAGACTTCGCCTGTTTGCCATTGGTTTCTTTGTTTTCTACTCAACCAAACAAGCCGTTTGTTAATTTAATGCCCACTAAACTGCAGCGCCACTTCAATACAGAGCAATTTGTTCCTACCAACATCTCAAAAAACAATGAATTTCTTCTCAGTGCAATTGGAGAACCAAATATCTCATCCCGCAGGATCTCTTGCATGTCAATATAACCATAGATCTTCGATCTATTAGGGGACAAAGGATACGAATTGTATGTCCTCTTCCGCATCCAGCGACATTTTGCCAGTCGAGGGAAGTAACCTAGCTGAATACAACTGCCTGACGCTTGGAAGCCTTGCCCATCCTCATTGCCTCGACCATTTCAGGCAGACTCTCCAACCCAGGCTTGATGTCGACAACAGGCATGATCCCGTGCTTGCCCGTGAACTCAACAACCTTGGGAAGGCCAATGTGGTTGCCCGTGTTCGTACTCTTGAGCTGATAATTGGAAACAGCAATGTCCATGACATCAACCTTGATCGGGTTCTTTGGCAATCCGACAGCCATGAGCGTGCCGCCCACCGCGATCAGGCTGGGGGCCGTCTCGTAGGCCTTGTCGGCGTTGGTGTACACTGCGACGGCCTTGCAACCACCGCCCGTCAGCTTCTTGATCTCGTCGATGTACCCAGACTGCATCGAGTTGAAGACCGCATCGGCGCCCTGGCTCTTTGCCTCGGCCAGGTTCGCGACGGCAACATCAGTGGCAACAACCCTCAGCCCCATGGCCTTGGCGTACTGGATGGCCATCTGGCCCAGGCCGCCGCACCCAACCACGCCGAACCAGTCGCCCGGCGACAGGTCGCACTGGTCGATGGAGTGAAACGTCGTCACGCCCGCGCAGAAGACGGCCGACGCGCGCGTCATGTCCCACACGCTCTCGTCCAGCTTGATCGCGGCGTGGTAATCAACGATGGCGTACTCGGCGAAGAACCCATCGGTCCCGGGCCAGCCCTGCAGGCGCTGGCCGCCGGTCTCGCAGTGGGTGAAGTGGATGCTGCACCCCCGGCAGTTGTAGCAGCAGCCGCGGAAGCAGAGGAAGCCGACTGCGTCGCCGACGGAGAAGCCCTTGCCCTCGGCCGAGGGGTCGAACGCGACGATGTGGCCGCAGCCCTCGTGGCCGATGGTCACGGGCTCGTCCTTGGTCTGCTCCATGGCTAGGAAGTCGCTGTGGCATAGCGACGCCGACTTGATCTTGACGAGCATCTCATTTTTGCCGGGAACTGGGACCGGTATTTCATTGACCACGACTTTTCCTTGTTTCTACCCCAGGAGCACAGGTTAGTTGACAGTCCTGGTCGTGGTCTAGCATATCATCCTCCACCAATCCAAGACAGAGTTTGTAATGATCTTGATTGCATGATTTACTTACAGGGTCGTATTGGCCCGCTTTCATCGTTTTGGGGATTTGCCGTGCCATCTTGTCGTGAACGTGTGGATTGGATTCTTCGATGGGCAACCGTGGCTGACTTGGACTACGAGAGCTTCGAAGCCTTACTTTGAAAGTCGATATGGACAAACTATTTATACGACTCGCAAAATAGCTTGATGAGCTTTTTGCACTCTTCGAATTGGTCCCGGATTTAAATGAGCCTCTTCCGGGGCCCTTCTCGGTTGCTGACCTCCTTAACCCCGCGAATGCGGATCCGGGAGAGGCTCTTCTGTGGCGCATCGCTAGCAAGCTAGTGCTCCCGGGAGTGACGGGCCCAGGCAAATGTTATCCGATCATCACCAGCGCCAAGACTAGGCAGCTCCGTGCTTAGGTTTTCCTGGCGTTGATATCTGGCATCGCGCAGTCATGCAAGTCTGGCATGTCCTCGGTGATTCCCGTGTACCAGAATAGTCTGGCAAGTTCCGAGAGTGATTTCTCAAGGCACAGAGGAGGTCGAAATTAGTATTCAAGATGGCCAGTCAAGTTGTACCGTCAGTTTATGTATTGGGTCCATCCTGAGTTGCATTTCTTGGTCTTAATCAGCCTCTCATCAGAGTTTCAAATTATGTACAAGAATGAGAAGGATAGAGATAGATTCTCGCATAAAAGGCGCAAAGCCCGGTTAGAAGAATACCAATTATCACGCCATATCAGCCACTTTGCTGAGTTGTTGGCCTGACCTATTCAGTCTCAATGTCTCGCCCGTGAATACCAACACTGGATTCATCATTTCAGACGAAAACCCTACACATTTGTGTCAGACCATACTCCACGCTGGTGTACATCGGAGGTGCTACTCACCAGTCAATCTTGGCAACGCTGTAGGGAGAGTTGTCAGTGAGTGCGTTCCACGCGGCCAGCGAGAGGTCCAAGTGGTCCACGTCGCAAGAAGGGCATGTGTCAGCGACGGTGGCAAAAATAAGGTTGCCTAGGGGAGACACCCAACTCAATTAGTATTGCGGTTATCAATGAACAAGGTCGGGGTCATTTGCAGCAGACTGAGAAATGTTGCAGTACCTTTGCCCTTCACGTTCACGTCGTCACTTCCGGTGTTTCTGATCCTAACCTTGCGGCCGCAGTATGGCCCAGGAGACTCGTTCTTCTGCAGAATGTAGGAGAGAGCAACAATCATGGCGCTGTCTGGGTTTGTCTGGCGACACGAGCCTGGGCGTCCTCCCTGGAAGTAGATGGTAGCTATGCCATGGTGCCTACAGTCGTTGTACATTTATCTCAGCAACTACCCCAGCTGCACACCTAGATCAAGGATTCAAGACAACATACGTTGCACGCTCAGCGAGAGAAGTGCGCTCATCGCGAACCGCGATAGAATTCTGGCTGGGCAGGGCCGCGGACAACCCAGCAGCAAGGAACAGAACCAGGTTTTGCAGAAGCATTTTGCAGTCCTGAAATGATGTTGACCGCTACTGGTAGTACACTTGATTCGCTCACCGAAGAACTACAGAAGACTCGGTATGGTTCTGGTATGGTCCTGGTCGTAGATATTTATAGCCATCGAAACGATCAGGGTCATGAAGCCGGTTGCCACACAAAGTTCCTGCATGCCACTTACTCATGGTCATACCACAATGCGTTCAATGGACACGCCTTCCTTTTATGCACCTCCAGTGGTTTCATTCAAGACTCAAGCCAAGTTGCAGATCGGACTAGTCGACTTGGAGCTGCCGATGGTCACCGTTGCCGGGGTCGATGATGCATGTGGCAACCAATCAGGAGAAATACCCCTGAAATAATGGAGTGCACAACCTCCCACCATGTGCGGCGCAGTCAGTCCTAACCTTCCAGTACTGGGCTAGACACTTCTAAAAATTGACCGAAGATACCGCAACGTTTCGTTCGCACTCTATTTTGGTTGGGGGTTTGAAAAGGACTCGCAGCCAGCGATGGGAGTGTCCGTGCTTCAGTAGCATCGAACGACCAGGATCGTACGCTTCTCTCCTCATGAAAACTTGCTCGTCGTCGAGAGAGGCATTGATATCATCACCTTAGGTGACGTTACCTCGTTGATGAGATGCCTCTCCCCAAAGGCCTGTGCAGGCTCGCTTGGTCAGGCTCGCCTTTCTCCCGCAGCATCGCTTTGCTACGCCTGTTCAGGTGGTAATCTCGTCCTTTCTTGGATTCAGTGTTCCCGTAGCGACTGTCAGGGGCCGGAAGACGGACAGTGAGAATAATCAGACCACTTGATTCATTAAGATGCTACGTAGAACCCGAACCTAATCCAGGGGAACACTCAAATTCATTCTATGAGCTTGCAGCCTGAGCAGCCGAAAAGTTGTGGAAGCTTCCCGCAGCCCGGGGATAGCTCTCCTGGGCCGCAGGACCGTCCACGACACCGTTGGTGCCGTTGACACCGTTCTGACCCTCCGCCTCGACATCCTCGGGGACGCCCCAGCCGCCACCTCCGGGAGTCCACACCACGCACCGGTCGCCAGACTTCATGTCGACCTGGCCGCGCGACCCGATGTTGATCCACCGCTCGCCGCCGTCCTCGAGCTTCTGCACCCAGAAGTTGGCGCCGGACTCGCCGTTCTCGCCGCCCATCATGCCGTAGGGCTGGTGCACGCGGCGCTCGGTGATGAGGCCGTAGGTCAGCGGCGCGCGGCACTCAAAGTCGCGGACGATGCCGTCGCCGCCGTGGAACTTGCCCCTGCCGCCGCTGCCGCGCCGGATCGAGAACTCGCGGATCAGGACGGGGTACCGCTTCTCGATGATCTCGATGTCGGTCGTCCGCGTGTTGGTCATGTGGATCTGCACGGCCGAGGCGCCGTTCCAGGTCGGGCCGGCGCCCTCGCCGCCGCAGATGGTCTCGCCGTAGCCGAAGCCGAAGCCGAGCTCCTTCTTCTCGCCCTCCTTGTCGCCGGTGGGCTTGACGCAGTTGCCAAAGAAGCCGAAGCAGTTCATGCAGCCCTGGGAGCCGGCGGCGGCGCGGAAGGCCTTGAGGAGAAGGTCCACGAGGCGCTGCGAGGTGAGGGTGTTGCCGCAGCAGACGGCGGGGCCCGAGGAAGGGTTGAGAAAGGTGTTCTTGGGGATGATGACCTCGGTCGGGGCCAGGCAGCCCTGGTTCAGGGGGATGTCGGAGCCGATGAGCAGACGCAGGGTGTAGATAAGAGCAGAGTAGGTGATGGCGGGCGGTGCGTTCATGTTGGAAAGCATCTCGCAAGACGTTCCGGTGAAGTCAAAGGTACCGAAGCCGGTGTCGTCGATGGAGATAGTGACCTGCATCATCGAACCATTGTCAAGGTAGTCCTTGGCCTTGAGCGGCTTACCGCCGAAGCGCTTGAAGGCCGACTTGAGGTAGTTACGGACGGCCACCTCGGCGTTCTCCTGGATCTTGGCCATGTAGAAGTGAACAGTGCTTTTGCCGTATTCCTCCATGAGGGCCTGGATCAGGTTGCTACCCTTGTGGTTGGCAGCAACTTGGGCCTTGAGATCCGACAGATTGTCTCCAAGTCTCCTGGAGCCGTTGCAGTTGGGATACTTGCCGGGCTCGAGCAGCAGAGCCACAATACCTTCCTCGTCGAACTTGCCATCGCGTACCAAGAAGAACGACTTAATGGCAGCGCCCTCCTGCCAGAGCTCCGTAGACTCTGGAGGCATAGAGTTGCCCATGTATCCACCGATATCAAGGTGGTGGCCTCTAGAGGCAGTGTAGAAGCAAATGGTCTTGCCATCGTCGTCAAAAACAGGCGTGATAACGGTGATGTCGGGAAGATGAGTACCTCCAGTTTCGGGGTGGTTGGTCACAATCACGTCGCCAGGGCGCAGCTTGCCCTTGTGCAACTCGTGTTGATACTTGACGGCGAAGCTCATGCTACCCAGGTGGACAGGCACATGAGGGGCGTTGGCAACGAGTTCTCCGTCAGGACTGAAGATGGCACAAGAGAAGTCCAAGCGCTCCTTGATGTTCAGCGAGATGCTGGTCTTTTGTAGGGTGCGACCCATCTGCTCTGCAATGCTCATGAAGCGGTGGCCAAAGATACTGAGCTTGATGGGATCAACCACATTCGGGTCGAGCTCGGCCTGCTTGCTCTGAGTCTCGGGGAGGTCGACTACAACGTGAGACGTCAAAATGCGGGCCTTGGCACTGGGGATGATGACAATAGTCTGGGTGTTGTCAATGAGAATGGCTGGGCCGACGACCTCAGAGCCGGGGGCGATGTTTTCGAGACGGTACACCCTAGTAGGCTGGAGACCGCCCTGGGCGAAGTAGGTGTTGACAATTTGATCATAGGACTTGGGGGCTTCCGTGAAGGACAGCGCCTTGAGCTCCTGGACGAGCTGCTCGTTGGCCTGACTCGTCTCCTCACTCTGGCCAACACTCCTAACACGAATATCATCGACAAGGACCTGCTTCGACCGCGGGAACTTGAAGGTCAACTCGCGGAAGTGCTCGATCTCCAGTGCGGTCCTCCAATCGCCGTCTTCAGGCTCAGGAATCATGAAGTTGGTGTCGGTGCCATGATACCTCAGGTTGAGGAACATCTCATGCTTGATGGCCGAGTCCTGAATACCCTGGCTCAGAAGGCCGTCGGTAACCTTTCGCTTCAGGTCCTTGAAGCGTTCGTACAGCCTTGGGAGAGCATCTTCGGTCAAATTCTCTGAGCTGGGCTCCTGAGCCTCCTGCACGATCTCTGCCAAGGCCATACCGTAGGCAGATAGAATACTAGAGTACTTGTGGATGACAATGCGACGAATGCCCAGTTTCTCGGCCATCTCGCAGGCATGCTGACCGCCTGCACCGCCGAAGGTTGCCAGATGGTGCTGAGCAGTCTCGAAGCCGCGTGCTTCTGTGATTGCTCGGATGGGCCTGCCCATGGCCTCATTGGCAACATCGACGAAGCCGTGCGCCACCTCCTGGGGCGTCATTGACCTTCCAGTGTCCTTGTTGATTTGGCGAGTGATCTCGGCAAATTTCTCGGCAACGATGTCCGAATCGAGAGGGAGGTTCTCTTCTGGGCCAAAGATGGAGGGGAAGTAGTCAGGGACCAGACGGCCAAGGAACAGGTTGGCGTCCGTGATGGTGAGCGGGCCACCCTTGCGATAGGAGGCCGGGCCGGGGTGGGCACTGGCACTCTCTGGGCCAACCTTGAACAGGCCATTGCTCCAGAACAGAATACTGCCACCACCGCTGGCGACAGTGTTGATATCCAGCTGCGGGCTTTGGATGGAGACACCGGCTGTGGTGGTCTCAAATACGTGCTCGAAGGCACCGCCGAATCGGCTGACATCTGTCGATGTACCACCCATGTCAAAGCCGACGATGGGCGCCGTTCCGTCGTACGATGTGCGCGCAAAACCGACGACACCGCCGGCAGGACCACTCAGAATGCCCTTCAGGCCGCTAAAGCTGTCATGCTTGACAAGGCCACCGTCGCTCTGCATGAACTCGCAGGAGACGCCGTCAAGCGAGCCTCCCTCGAAACCCTTGGCGAAGCCGCTGATGTAGCGGGTGATCTCTGGTGTCAGGTACGCATCTGCGGATGCTGAGCTTCCGCGGGAGATCATCTTGATCATGGTACCAACGGCTGATGACTTGGAGATGTGCTGGAAGCCCATCTCTGCGGCGATCTCGGCGATCCGATCTTCGTGGGTGGGATAGAGGTATGAGTGGGCCAGGCAGATCGCGAGGGTATCGATGCCCTTAGACTGCAGGGCGGACAGCTTTGTGCGGACCTCGCCCTCGTCTAACCTCCGAACAACTCGGAGGATGTCTCCAGTGACGGCCTTGACGAGAACACCCGGGGCTTCTTTCATCGCGGGTCGCTCGTCCTTGTAGATGTCTTCGGTGTAGCCCTCAGGCGTAACACGCTCGGAGATCTCGACTACTTCCTCGTAGAGGAGCTCAGGCTTGCGAATACCAAGATCAAACAGCTTCGGTCTTGCTTGGTAGCCGATGTCTAGCAGGTCGCCAAAACCTTGCGTGACAACAAAGGCATGTCTTCTGCCTTTTCGCTCCAAGAGCGCTATTTCACATGTCAGTACACACTGTCAGTCAACCCGATGGGAGATCGCGTCTTCTTACCATTCGTCGCTACCGTCGTACCCATGCGAATTGAGTGGATCAGCTCCTTGGGGATGGGAGCTTGCCTGGGGATGCTCTTGCCAGAGACCATCTCCAGCACACGCCGAATGCCCTCGGACGGTGCATCTTGGTAGTTTGCAGGGTCGACCGACAACAGCTTTACGGTAATGTCAGGCCGACCGGGAATAGCAGCCCAGACGTCGGTGAAAGTTCCGCCACGATCTAGGGAGCGCTGTCAGCTGGGAGAACACGGTGATAGGGATTTGGCTATCCAGGCAGCTCGCTCTGTACTTACCGATGGCGAACTTGATGCTCTTGGGCTGGACTGGTGGGGGGAGGGTATCGACAGCCATCTTGTCCAATGTTGTGGGCGACAACAATTCCGAGCAGTTGGTGCTAGGCTATCTGTTTATCGGCTAGACAGAGGAAGATTGAAGCCCGCGACTTGCAGCTGATATACGATGCAGCTCGGAGCGTCTCCGGTACCGCTCCGATGTCGAAGTCGGAGCTTTATCATGTGCATCACGAGGTTTTTTCTTCCCGACGCTGGCGCGTCGATTCGACCTTCCTGCGTCGCTCATCTACACTCGGATGAAACCCTCCATCTCATCTCTCCCGCGTATCTGCTGGCCCAGTCCCAGTCGGGGTTAGCATCGGGGTATGCTCCGCTCCCACTAGTCTGGAACGTCAAGACAGGCGTTCAATGGCGTTGCTGGCTTGCCGGTAGACACGACTGTCTCCACTTGGGCTGGCGTCCTCGTCGATTCGAACTTCCTCAGCAACGGTGCGTATCTCTCTAGCGCCGCCCTGGCCCACCCGACTCGTGCTGCTGGGCCTCTTGTGACCCATGCCGAGCCTGGGCGCTAGGCGTAGTTTCTTTGCAGAGATTCGCATCTCAAGGTTCTCCAAGGGCACGAAGCGTGGGAACCTGCGAAAAACGACGCTGATAAGATGGGGGAGAATCCGGGGTAACCTCAGGGGCGCGTGTCTGACTGCTTGCCGCACCGACCAACACAAAAGCGAGGTCTCTTCCCGGCCATTTCCCATCAGCTTTCTCTTCGAGCCTGTGTCCTGCCAGTAACATCACGCCCAGCGGATCGACACTCCTGCCAGCCACATCCCCTTCTTCCAATTCTTTGAAGATGACTGCGTCCACTGAGCCCAAGCGCGACGACGCGGGCCAGCTCGAGTCGGGCCCCGACACTGTCCAGCCCGTTGTGTCTCAGACCGACGGCGCTGCCGGCAATCTGAAGGAGGGCCTCGAGGGAGTCGAACTCGACGATGCCGCAAGGTTCTTGGCGAATGCTGAGCACTTTGGTCCTCTGACGCCCGAGAAGGAAAAGAAGCTTCGCAGGAAAATCGACTTTATTCTGCTGCCAATTGCAAGTCGCATATGCAATGCAACCCTTAAACATCCTTGGCACTCTTGCTGACCTGGATCGCTTTAGCTGCTGCTTGCTGCAACGCTCGGAGCCGTCGACAAGGTTGAGATTGGCACTGCGTCTCTCTATGGGTTCCAGACCGACAATGGATTCCATGGCCAGCAATACAGCTGGTTGGGCAGTGTTCTTCCCCTCGGCGTATGTGGCCCCTTTCCTTCCCATGCCGGAGCATTGTGCTAACCAAGGACAACAGACTGTGCTTGGTCTCATTCCCGTCTCGTACCTCATCCAGCGAATGCCCGTGGGCAAGTTCCTGGCCACTGCTTCCCTCCTTTGGTCCATTCTCACCATTATCTACGCTCCTTGCCGCTCCTGGAGCGGCTTCATGGCCCTGAGATTCTGGATGGGCTTCCTCGAGGCTGCCATCACCCCGACCATCACGTACATCATCGTTGCCTTCTACAAGAAGGAAGAGCAGGCTCCTCGCAACGCCAGTAAGTTGTCATCACACCACATGTTTCAGAAGCCCATACTGACGGGCCATGCTAGTCGTCTTTGCGTACATCTCGTCCATCTTCAACGGCTTCTTCGCCTTCGTCGTCGGCAAGATCCCCGGCTCTGCTCCCTTGTTCAAGTGGCAGTATCTGTACATCATTACCGGCTCCATCAACATCGCCTACAGCTTGTTCCTCTTCTTCATCCTCCCCGACGGCCCCATGAACGCCCGCTTCCTCACTCCTGAGGAGAGGTACCACGCTACCCAGCGTCTGGCTTCCAACCGTACTGGTATCGCCAACCGCGTTTGGAAGTGGGACCAGGTCCTCGAGGCGTTCCTCGACGTCAAGGTCTGGCTCGTCTTCCTGTTCAACATCGTCATCAACATCCCCAACGGCGGTCTCGTCACCTTTGGCTCCATCATCATTGGCGATCTGGGTTTCAGCGCTCTCAACGCTAGCTTGCTCACCATGCCATTCGGTGTCGTTGCCACTGGCGGCGCTTGGTTCTTCAGCTACATTGCTTCCCGCTGGCACAACCGCCGAACTCTGGTCGCCTGCATTGCGCTCCTCCTGCCTATCCTCGGCACTGCTCTGGTGTATGCCATCCCGCGCACGAACCAGGCAGGCCAGTTGGTCGGTGTCTACTTTATGTACTTCTACTGGCGTAAGTTTCTAATTGCTTTTCGTCCTTCCCTCGTGCCCATTCTGACATTTCCTGCAGCGCCCTATGTTATCGGCATCTCCCTGCCCCAGGCCAACACCGCCGGACAGACCAAAAAGGCCGTGACCTACTGCCTCGTCACCATCGGCTACGCCGTCGGCAACCTGGTCGGCCCGCAGACCTTCCGTGCCGACCAGGCCCCCAAGTACACCGCCGGCGTCGTTGCCATGCTCATCAGCTACTGCATCTGCATGGCCATCCTGCTCACCTACTGGGTGGTCGCCACCTGGGAGAACAGGCGCAAGGACCGCATGTACGGCAAGCCCGAGGCCGTGCACGAGGGCACTCTGGAGGGCTTCGAGGACGTTACCGACAAGCACCAGCAGAACTTCCGGTACACTACGTAAAAGGCTTTCGTAAAATCTCGGAAAGAATGAAGGTATCTCGAGAGGAATCTGGTACTAGATAGCTTTTCTGTACTTCCAGCAGGACAATCAATTCAAGCATCAAATATTGTCCCGACAACAATGGCTCTGCATCTATTTGGCTTGAACGTTAGGGTAATCATACTGTCTCCGTGCATGTTCTTCCTTGGGGAAAATACTGTGTCCTATCAATACTTAGCAATGAAGAATAGATGGATGTCTACTTCTAGGAGTATACTATCTCTGTAGAACTCTGAGATTTACTCTGGGAATCGCCATAGGAAGGGAAAACGAGCAGTGTTTTCATGCTGATGTTTTGCAATTGACCGATTAAGTCTTTGTACGTACAGGCTTAGGCTAGACTCAGTGCACCATGTCTGTTCCTAAGGATCGTCCAACCCTTCAAGGCCTCTTGCCGACTAATATCTCGTGCTTTCCAAACATCCTCGATCACCTTGCGTGCCTTCTTCACATTTCCTAGTTGTCTTGTGTCCTGCAACGCACTGAGACGCTCCAACAGGAACATCCGGTCTTCTTCCCACTCCGGCCGCATACCCAGCGTAGCGACGATAAAGAGAGGCCACAGGAGAGCATTGGTTCGCATCGAGATGCTGGGCATCAGCTCTAGGATTCGCCGTGTCGGGCGCTCAAGTAAGGTGTCTTGAGGCCCGGCGTTATCGATTCTCGAGTAGAGGTAGATAAGAGCAGCCAGCCGCTTCGTCTCGGCTATGACGGCATTCTCATCCTCGAGGTCGAGAGCAGGCTCAGCAATGTCGTGCAGCCTCCTTTCGATGGCATTTCGTTGCATCCGCCGATCCTCTCTAGACGACTCATCCTGGCCGAGAGTGGCGAGTCTGGAGATCTCATCGATGAGATTCAACAGCTCGGTCCTGCATCCCGTGAACGACTCTACAGCAGAGTCCGTTTGCCGAAAGCGGTTATCCGGCCAGTTTAAGGGCTCGCGAGCCGGCAATGCCGTTGCGGCGAGAATGTCGTGGTACGAGAAGTAATCGGCGGCAAACTGGACGATGCTTTGCTGCTCTTCGTCTTCGATCTGGCCTTCTATGTTGTTGTTGACCAGGTAGGAGCGCACGAAGTTGGAGTGAAATGTCCAGCTTTCAGAGCAATCTTGCGTGATCTGTTCCATCCATGTGAGCCTAACTTGGCACGGTAGAATAGGCATGGAGGCCTTACCTCGAAGAAGCAGAGCATCAATGTCGACAGCAACACCTGAGCCTGGCTTGTCCTGCTCGTCAAGCCCCAGCTGGCACCCAGGGAGTCAACCTCCACCTCCCTCCTCAGGAGGTTGAGAGCTCTCGCACGATGATCCCATATCGTCGTCTTGAACGTGCTGTTGCCAAGATTGTGAAGCTCATTTGCTGATACGGCAAGGATGCAGTGGAGGAGTGGACCGTCCGGAGACGATGCAGCAACGCGGAGGAGGATGTCTCGATATGGGTTGATGAGTGTGTTGATGACACACTGCGGCGTAATGCATTTATCAAAGTACTCCCACAGGTAGGTATGGTGATTAGCAAGGGGTAGCGGCGACAACGACCGTGATGGTGGGAAGAGAGCAAGCGACTGGTTGGGCTCGGAACCGTCCCAGGGTGTCAAAGGGGTTGAAGCTCGTGTGAGTGATAAGGGTGAAGAGACGGCTGGCGTTGAAATGGTTGTCAACGTCTCGATCTCAGACGTGGCATCAGAGTATGTAGATAACGCTCCTCCAGCATGTTTTGAAGTGGGCAGAGCATGGAAGTCATCGTAGCCTGTGTTGAGAAACATCCACTGGAAGATGCGGTGCCATCCATTGCGGGCCGGCGGGCGTCTCCTCGCCGGGGTTGCTGGCGGCTGCTGGTCATGCACGTAGACAGACTGCCAGGTCAGCCTGTAATCGTAGGCACAGACGAAGCCCAGCCGCTCGCAGTGGCGGCAGATAGGCCGTTGCTCTGCAGACACGCGGTTAGTGAATGCACGAGGCCCGAACAAGGTCGAGCAGGCGAGGCTGAAGACATACCTGGACACTTGACCCGCCTTTCTGTACATGGGGGACGGATAGAGCGTCAGCAAGGGAAGAACTCAACAGGGTCTCGGTTGGATGGGACAGGAAGCAAGCAACAAACCTCGACACTTCCAGCAGCCGGTCCGAGTGCGGATCTCCGGGCGTCGCGTCCGTTTGCCTTCTTTGGAGCGGACCATGTCGAGCAGCGCGCGTCGGTGGTCCTGATGTCGGAACGGCAGTCGAGTATGATCAGGGTATTCTTTCTCAGGTCAGACCTGCTGTTATGGCTGCCACGGTAAAAGTGGAAGGGGGTAAAATTGCAAAAGTTGGCGTGCGAGCGCGGCGGTGGGCAGCGCCGTAGGAATTATCTCCGCATCTCCACAGCCCAGGGCTAGTGTCAGTGTCGCATCCTTTCTCGAGCCAGAATGGGGCGCCGGAGGGGCTGCTCTAGCCATTCATGATTCGACGTCGATTAGACTAGCCTCCTGAGATCAGATAGTGTGTCATCATCACGGCCGAACGAGGGCCAGAGACAAGATCGGCTGATGAAGAACACAGAAGAGCACCAAGAACACGTCCCATCCCTGGGCGTGAGCATTGACAAGGGCGGCAACGACCGCCATCTTGCCACCCGCCTCAACATTGACGAGTCCAAGGGCCTCGATCATGAATTCATCTCCGTGCAATAACTACCTAGCGTTGACACTGCTGTTGATACAGCCTACCTAATCACTAACCCTTTTTCAACCCCCAGGCACTCCATCGCAGAATTCCCCGACTTTTTGACCCACCCTTTCCCCGCAGGAGTGGCCACACTCTGTTGGTGTTATCTCATGCACGTCGATTCGGCCTGCCTTTTTCCCTGGCATTGCCTGGACCCTGCCTTCAATTACCGAATCTTGGCGTTATCTTTGTCCGAAGATTCATTGTCGATTGGCCTCACCTCTATCGGTTGACGCTTGCCAGTACTTGTACCTCGTCGATTAATGTTGCCTTTGTGAACCCATGACCATTCGACAAACCTTATGTTTTCGTGAGAAATCTCACGGTATCGGAGAGGAGGCACACCGACATCGGCAACCTGAATCAGACCACAGGAGACCTGGATCTTGACTTGCGAGGAAAGTTGCATAGGTTTTAACAAGCGATTTTGGCAGACGAGGGAGCAGTTATTGGAGCCTCTGGAGGGCATCAAGGTCTTCTCCTCGACCCAACAACGCACCCCAAACATGGACGCCAACACGAACATCCTGATCCTTGGTGCGGGCACCATTGGTCTGTCGACGGCTTATCACCTGGCCAAAGCCGGATATAAGAACGTCACCGTTCTCGAGAAGAGCGCATGTATACCCGCCGACCTCTCTGCCGGCAATGACTTCAACAAGATCGTGCGCGCCGAGTACGAGGAGCCATTTTACACAGAGCTAGCGCTCAAGTCGATCGAGGCATGGCAGACGCCGCTCTTTGCTCCGTTCTTTCGCAAAGTGGGATACTTGATTGGCAACTCCTCGACGGCCCCGGAGAAGAGCAGGAGGACTCTTGAGAAGTCATTGAGCACCATCGCCTCGCAGCCGGCATACAAGAACAAGGTCTCCCTATTCAAGTCGCGCGAGGACATTCGCGCCATCGCCCCGGTATTCGATGGACCTATGAAGTGGCAGGGCTACTTCAACCAGCATGCGGGATATGCCAAGGCCGGTGACGCGCTCATTGCTGTGTACTCGGCATGCTGTACCCTGGGCGTCAAGTTCTACCTTGGCGACGCCGTCGAATCGGTGACCTACGATGGCGACAGGTGTACCGGTGCCAAGACTGCCTCGGGTCGTACTCATGCGGCAGACATTACTGTCTTCGCCCTCGGTGCCAACCTGGCCACCGTCTTGCCCCAGATTGGCAAGCAGGTCGTGGCAAAGGCCTGGCCCGTGGGCCACATCCAGCTCACAGCCAAGGAGGCTGAGCCTCTGCAGGGCATCCCCGTCACGTATGCTCGCGACCTCGGGTTCTTCTTCGAACCGGATCGCCGCACGAACATACTCAAGCTCTGCCCGGCCGTCGCTGGCTACACGAACTGGAAGTCCGACGGCTTGTCCATACCAGTCTCGACCGACGACTGGATCCCTCCCACAGACGAGGCGAGGATCCGGAAACTGCTCAGAGAGACGCTCCCAGCGCTGGCAGACAGGCCGCTGATCAACAAGAAGATCTGCTGGTGCGCCGACACAGAGGACTCGAACATGATCATCGACCATGTGCCCGGGAAGAAGAACTTGGTCGTTGCCGGCGGCGACTGTGGTCACTGCTTCAAGTTCCTGCCGATCATTGGCGAATGGGTCAAGGACATGCTGGAGAAGGGCCAGCAGACCGAGGGCAGGTGGCGGTGGAAGGACGGCCAACAGGGCGGAGGCGACGTGAGTTGGAGAGTTGGCGAAACCAAAGATCTGAAGGAGTTCAGAGCCAAGCTGTAATCAAGAAGACGGCTTTCTCTAATTCTAATTCATAGTGTAATTGTTTCTAACCGCAGATAGTAGGGCTTATAGATCCATTTCTTCATTGCCATGGGGTCAGTCAATCGTGATGCTGCATTTTTACGTATGTCAAAATCATGGTCAAGGAAACAAAATTGGCCTTGACGCACATCATACTCTCTGTCAGTTTCTATCAAGTTGAGAGTTGCCCTACATGGAACTTATCTGGCTTTGCTTATCTCGTTATAACATGCGATTATTGACACCTTTGCCTCGTCACTCGAGCTTCGCCCTCGTTCCCAGATCTTCAGCACCACGTCATGCCGCTTATGTTCCATAGCGTACTGGTGTGCAAAAGCACCGTCCTTGTCCTTGATTCCGATGTCTGTTGACGCTGTTGAGAGAAGCGCAGTCAGAGACTGTAGCCGCCGTTCCTCTTCTTGTTCCAGTATCGATGCTCCAGCAGCCAAGGGTCCCCACGGGACCTTCTTAGTCCCATTGCAGAGATAGTGCAGAGCAGTCTGGCCACATTCGTCCTGAGCGTTCAAGTTCACTGCGTAATACAGCAACTTGTACACGAGGTCAGGATTCGGAGGATCACAGGCAAGATGGAGAAGCGTGCGTCCTAGGCAATCTTGGGATTTAATGTAGCTTCGCTTCCGTTTCGCAAAGTCATCGAGGAGTTCCAGATCAGGCCCAAACAGAGTAAGGTCGTGAATTTCCGGGCATAGGAACTGCCGACGAGGGGGTTCCAGGGAGAAGGTGGCAGGCAAATTCTTCATGACACTGCGAAGTTTCTGAGAGATGTGGAAGTACCTTGCAATCTCCTTTGGAAAGTCCGGAACCACCCTCGACACCAAAGGTCGCCTTTTGAGAGCCACGCGTATCAAATGTTTCTGACTGTCCATTGCTGCAAGCCACTGTTCTGATTCCATGAGAAAGTCGATAGATTTCGAGAGCATCTTCAACGAGTACGCCTGCCCTGACGAGGCTTCCCGTGACGCATATCCGGATCCAGGCTGGAACTTGGTGTGACAAAGTGCAACCCAGTCGCAATTCACAGCTGACTCTGGCATTTGAGTGCCCAGGAGTGCTGTCTGGACTAGGAGGACCTCCGAGGACTTGTCATTGCATTGTCTAGCCGTTGTCATAGCCTGGGCGAACAGATTGGAGGCCCGTTCCGATACAGACACACTTAGTTGCTCCAGCTCACTTCGAAGAGAATTGATCGTGTATCTTGCATGCGAGGATATATTTGCAGCCTGAACCGAGGCGCGGAAAACCATGGTCCACCACTGGGTGATCAACATACTGAACGATGCAAGTTAGGCTTCATGAGTGACAGGATCAATGGGCTCATCCTTACTAGTGCCATATATGCTCGGGAATCGTTTCGTGAGTTTGGAGTGCTCCATTGGTGGTTAGGGCTCTGCGCAGCGTTCCGTCCGTTCTCCGGCTTGCCGAACAGGCAAGGCCTTTGGATTGGCAGCGAACGCATTTTTCGCCCGGCCATTTGCGCTGCGCTGGCTCGCACTGGGTTCTTTGGCTTGAGCATTTCGTAGTACACGTCACGAACAGTTCTCGGACCGTACCTTTTTCTTGTCTTTTCTGCAAAAAGTACATTTGTAGTACGAGTAGGGCTTTGGCACTCGCTGGGGGCTGCCTGGTGTCGCGTCCATGGCTGTGCCGTGTGCCGAAGGAGCAAACACGGCATGCCGTGCTATCTAGCAGGAGGAAATGCCACGATCAACAGGCTCGAAGACTGGCAGCTCTTTTAATTGCGAACATTGCGACAGGCTGCAGCCAGATCTGGCGGCACTCGCATTGCGACATGGCGACGAGTGTGCCTGCGCTATCCTCCCGGCTGCAGATATCACACCCGCGGGAGCATCCTATTCGCTCTGTCATGCGTGACCCCTGTGAGAAAGGCGCCCCCTCCATGGTCGCAACATTGCGAAATGCATTCAGTACAGAAGACAAGAGACCAAGCCACTTCGACAACTAGGAAAAAGCAAAAAAAAATATGACAGATGCCCCGATACCTCGAACCGGCTGATGATCCGGTCTCCCGGGCGGCCCACCTTGATGGTGCATACAATCCGATTTGCTGAGAAGCGCTCCTAGTCCTGATGAGTTCTTCGCCAAGTTTACGATTGCGGTCACTCCCGCATGCTTGTCAGAGATCGAGGCTGACTTCGCCACGAAAGCACTCTTTTCCCATTTAGGATGCTCTCCATATCCAAATGGCGGATAGGGTTGGCCAGTAACATAAACATATTGTCCTTTAATTCCTCACCTCGCTCAAATAATGCCTGCGACCTGACTCTTCTCTTTCATGCTGATGTCCAGAGATGGAAGCGCTTTTCTCCTCTGGTAAACCGTCTTGATCGATGAGCTATTCGTCAGAGAAAAATGCAAGAGCTCTCAAGCGAAGCTATTATCGCCTTGGCTCTTGGGCTCACTTTTGGCATCCTATCTTTGCTCATCGCCGTCATGACTTGGTGGGAGACGAGGTCTACAAGAATAAGGTCTGAGACGGGTAAGCATCAATCCCTCAGCCTCGTGGTATGACTGGCTTTAACCTCAAAGGGCAGGCCTTCCTGATGAACCGAATCCTCGCAACTTCGATGACAGCCAGAGGTCTTCTTTAGGTGCTATTAGACAGGGTGGAGGCGTATCACCACCAGCTGATACATCCCGTGGCGGCGACCGTGGCGACTACGGGACCACGTTTATATCAAACGTGGATATGTCAAATACTCACAGTTCTCCTGAATATGCCAGTCATCGCCAAGAACATACATATGAAGCGAACCACTCGACTCTACCGGGTAATGGCGATTCGTAAACCCTTTGTTTGTGGGCAAAGACACTGCACTGCCCCCAATCAAGAGCCATGGGCGAGAGGTCAAAGAAAAGCGGATCTGGTTCAGGGCTTTAAGAACAACATCGGAAAAGTTAGGAGAAGCCGGGTCTGAAGGCCTTGCAATCAAGGAGCGGTCGATCTATCTCTATGAACAAATAAATCCTTTTCATTGGGAAATATCATAGTGTCTCTGGAACCAGAGTATTGTGTCATCATGTCTCGTCAGCTGGGTCTAGATAATCGTGTTTCCTGACTTCCTCCGGACAGAAATTGGCCTGAGAATCAGGGTACTAGTGAAAGAGACACCGGGATGCTAGGGTTAGTCCAATTGCAGGATATAGGACAAGATCCTGGGTGAACTCTGAGCTGCTACTCGCAGAATATCAGGGATGGAACATCAATACGGTCTAGAAGGAGATCTGCGCAGAATTTAGTCTCATAAGGGGAATGCATCAATTTTAGTTACCACAGGGGGAGCGTATCAATCCTAGTTTCAAACCTGATCTGTGCAGATTTTGGTCTCGCAGGGATGCATGTAGCTGTGAACGAGTCTTAGATAGTTACTGCAGTGAGCTACACAGTTAAATTGTCTTGCTCCAATCGATGATACTCAAACCGATGTGCCGCTGCAATGACACGCATAGCCGAGAAAGACTCTTCACATCACTACTGTAATAGTAAATGCTGACAATAGCTGGAAAGTAACCCTCCAGCCCCTCGCCGGAATCGATCTCGAAGTATAAATATACTGGAAAAGTTTCGTGGATCTCATTTCAATTTCTTTAGTCATCTCACGTCCGATTCATTGTAGCTTTGTTGCGGAAGAGAATCGATTCAACCCAAGATATCCGCATCCTAGGTCGCCATGTCACGCCAATGTCCTCAGAACATGAGAAGGCAACGCAATGGCAGAATGACCTTTCTGCCACACGTTGTTGATCGCCTGGCGAGCAAGAGGCCTACTGCCGGGTGGGCCACAAGGATAGCAGGATCCGATATTCTTTCAATAAACTATTCGCAGTGGCCTGGCTTGGTGGCTCACGAACCATTGGTTCCAGCCTGTGAAAACTCGCCGCACTAGAGACAGCGATGCGCTGTAGTACGTCGCCTAAATACGGAAGGCGGCTAGAATCTTCCAATTTAGGTAATCTGCAGGGGGCCTCATTTTCTCACCATTTCCCCCCGTAATTACTTGAACATTCCTAGGATCGACACGGCCTAGTTGTCCCGCCAAGTGGGTGTCTGAATGGTTGACGGAAGTTCATCAGGAGCTACCTCAATCTTAACAATCAATATCCTTGTCACATCCTTGCCCTAAGAACTCGGAAGGGCTATCCCACTACCTAAATCTGATGGGCTTGATAGATAGTTAAGTACTTCTGTTAGCAGTCCGTCAACTAATCTGACCATCACTTGCCTGCGGCTGTCCTGGGGCGAGGCAGGCGGCGACTACAGTCACTGGCATGGGTTGGCTTCAGCGGAACGGGATCATCAAAGCAGCACTCAGAAGTCATTGATCCCGTCCGATCGTAGCGCGGCAGGACGCGAGTGAGACGACGGGCGCCCGGGTATCTGGACTTCGGGTACAGCGCGGCCGTTGGGTGGGACTGAACGGTGGGATACAAGTGGGTGTTGGATGGCAGCGGATTCCAACGTGGCTACACTATCCGGTACGGCCACACGATCGGATGCAGCTACACAGTCGGGTTGATGGGTGACGCCGGACCAGATGCGGGCGGTGCAACGGGGCACTGCGGATTGGAGCGGTGGTGGTGTGGCCCTCGGTCCCAGTGCTTGGTCGTCGCAGCGTTGGCATGTCGCAGGGTCAAGCTAATGCCGGGAGGTCCAAACCTTTTGGGGCTTACAGTGATGGGCTGAATTCGGGTGCGGTCTCAGAGTGGTGGCCACGATAGCTCGGCGGCACCTATTGCTAGGTATCGTGTGCTCACGTAGTTGCTGTGACCTTGGTTAGCGAGACCAAATCGGGCCATGTAGAACGATGTCTTGACATACATCGGGCCAAATGATGCCCGCTTATCCTCGCAGCCCTGAAAACTGGCTATGTAATGTTCCTGACCTCTCCCCGGAACAACGCTGTTGCTCATGAAGCCTTGATGGAAAGGCTAAGATGTCGTACCTTAATCACGCACGATCCGACTCCAGCACCTGCTAAAGTGATGCTCGAGGCCGTGCGAGTGGAACGCCAATCACGTGTGCCGTCTATCGTGGAGCTGCTATCAAAGCAACATTGTCATTATGTGCTTGACAAGTCATTTCAAGGTATACGAAATGAGCCTTTCGTTATCATGTAGGTTCTATGGTTCTGTCTGCAGAGCGCGGAACCAAGTCGAGTCGATGACATGTCTGCGGTAGTCACACCTCGGGCAACACTGGCGTTCCCAAGCCAATAATCTTGAGCCACGAAGCGTATATGTGCGACTTCTACTCCAAGATCTGCCAGACGCCAACTGGAACTGTGGCAGTGGAACAGCAATTCACAAGTGGAAAGAGGGCGATGGCCCCGTTGCCGCCATTTCATGTACACGAATCTCGAGATGACAGGCGGAAGCTAGAGTGACTGATCATCAACTTTTTACAGGGCGCATCCATTGCGCCTTGCCTTTGTGGCGCGCTGCCCCTTGGAGAAGTGGTCATCATTCCTGTTGACATGGGAATTCCAACCACCCAGGGAGTCGTGGATGTACTGAAGCAGACCCCGGCTGATATTGCCATACTGGTCCCTTCAGTTGTGGCAGAGCTCGCCCAGGTATGTATGGTGATGAAGATTGCCCCAAGCTTCCACTGCCAGAATGGCGTATCTTAGAATTTGGCCCTGCCCGACTATTGTGCTGCCCATCTACAAGCCATTCTCTATATTTGGGGCTACTTACCGCAAGCGCTGGAAGATCGTGTGGCAGAGAAGATCTACCTGCGTTGTCTCTGGGGTTCCAGCGAGACTGCGATCGTTCCGCAGCTACTGCTGCCAGAGTTGTTGCCCTCTGAGCGCTCAAGCAGAAACTTGTGGAGGTATATACGGTTCTCACCCTGGACTGGCGCCGCATTTGACAGGCAGACCGGGAACACATACGAGCTTGTATTTGGGCGTGACAATGTTCAGATAGAAAACCAGCCCTGCTTTGCCGTCAGGGGCTCGAGAAGACCAAATGACACAGATTATCGGACAAAGGACCTTTTCGAGCCCCATCCGACGATCCCCGACTTGTGGTGCTGGCGAGCCAGGCTCGACGATATTATCGTCTTCCTCAACAGCGAGAAGACCAACCCAGTCTCTGTGGAGCACGAAATCGTCGCTAGCAACCCCGAGCTGAGCGGAGTCCTTGTCGTTGGGAGCCAAGCGTTTCCAAGGTGGCCTACTGCTAGAACCCGTGTCAGACAAGCCCTTGACTACGGCTGAACAAGCGACGCTGACTGAGCGCGTTGGGCCGAGCGTGAAGAGGGAGAATCAATCTGCTCCTGCGCATGCCCGAGTGGAGAAGTCGTTAATCCTCGTCGGTTCACCCGACCGTAGATTCATGCCTGCCGGAAAGGGCACTCTTATGCGCGGCCCCAGTATCAGCCAGTATGCCGAGGAGATTTATGTCATGTACGCAGCTGCAGACATGGCAGAATACGAGGAGGAGGAAGCACCTGGTAGAGATCTACTATATGGCTTTGGACGTAGCGAAGTCACAGGCCTCATTTGCAGGCATGTTTGTAATGTGACTGGATGGAGGGAGCTTGCTGATGGGGATAACTCCTTCGAGAGAGGCATGGACTCGCTTCAGAGGCTGCAGATCTCACGAGCTTTACGTCGCCAACTTTGACGACCCAATTTCGCACTTTCTAATCTGTATCAGAGGCCGACTTTGCTGCAGCTACCAGGGTTCTGATGAATTGCGACGATGACATGCAGGATAAGATGGAGACCTTAGAGGAGCTCCTTAATACCTACCGGGAGCTTATCCGCAAGATCCCGGTGCCAGCCAGGCAATAAATTCCTCGAATTCGGCGACGCGACCGCTCAACGCTCTACTCACAGGCTCGACTGGCGTCGTAGAGCTTATTTGCTTGGATACTTGCTGGATCGTGACGGGATAGGACACATAGTGTGTCTGAATCGAGGCGTGGATGGTGGACGAGCTGCGCAAATCAAGAGCTTCGATGCTGCGGAACTTCCCAAGAATGGCCTCGATGAACGTGTCGAGTTCTTCCAAGCCAGTCTTGAGCAGCCTTCACTCGGTCTGAGTATAGACACATATAGGCGCTTGGGCACATATGTTGGTCTCATCATTCATGCGGCGTGGCCTGTCAACTTCAATCTCCCACTTTCTGCCTTCCGGCCTCAATTTGCCAGGCTGGTGAACCTTCTCACCTTTGCTACCTCTACAGACACTATTACCAAATTCGTGTTCATTTCCTCTATATCCGCTGTCGAGGCATACAAAGATGGACCGGCACCAGAGGCAGTTCTCACGGGTCAGCCAACGGTTGCAGCATCCGTTGGCTACGCTCGCTCGAATTACCTTGGCGAGGTACTCGTCGGTGATGCCGCCCACCACTTGGGAGCTCGTGTCCTCACGACAGTCATCCGCTTGGGCCAGGTCAGAGGGCCAGTTCTCCGACCAGGTCTCGGGAACATGCGGGAATGGTTTCCCAGCATGATCCTGAGCTCCCTCCACCTCGAACAGGTAGGTGCCTGACACTTTGGGCTCGCTTTTTGACAACACCGACTTCGTTCCCGCTGACCCCCTTGCAGAAGTCCTGGCGGATCTCGCGCTGGCGACTGGAGGGGATCAACCCACCGAGAAGTGTCCTTTGGTCTTCAACATCCGCAACCCGCAACTAACGCACTGGAGAGATTTGATCCCGGCTGTCGTTGAGGCCGGAGGCCTTGTTGGTTGGCCAGAAGAATATACAAATCGTTCCACCAGCGACATGGCTGGCTAGCCGCGTTCGAGTGGTGAAGTTCACGATGGGACCAGAACAGATGTTTTTGTCGCGCAGAACCCGGCGCTGAAGCTGGCTGATTTCTTCGATACCTTGTGGTCGGCAGGTGCAGGACTGGTTTCGGGCCAGCCTATGGTGGTCGAGAGAGCGATGGCGGCAAGTCCGGCTCTTCGAAAGCTAGAGCCCATTGGGATAGGCTCGATGCGGAAGTGGGTTAAAGAGTGGCTCGCTGCATAACAGCAGTGAAAGCTTCGATGATGGTAAGGGTAACACTTCTGTTGCTACCCAATATTCAACATGCATCTCTTGAAATAGCTTAAATAGCTATTTCACTCGCTCACATTTCAAATGATTGTAAGTGAAGTTCGCTGGCAAACAAAACCTCCAGACTGTGAATCCATTTCGTAGTGCTGGCGAGGATCTTGGCACGGATCTGAGCGGTAGTGTTAGCAGAAGGCCAATTTCTAAGCAGATTCCGGATCCAATTCCGACCATGGCCCACCCCGTGTCGGAAGTTCGGATATGGACCTGTGGCGATCCTCCATCAAGAAACAATATATACCCAGAGAACGACAGCGGGCGTGAGAAAGACGACCTCAATTCCTATTCAGACACCAATTATGATGTATACAGAAGAGCAACTGGCGCTCTACTTTGCGCGCATCGGCCTGTCGGGTCCGCAGGTGCCCAAAGACCACCAGCACGGCGGCGATCCGCTAGCGCTGCTCGCAGAGCTTCAGAAGCGCCAGATCGCTCATGTCCCGTTCGAGGACCTCGACCTGCACTACTCAACGCACCACATGCTGTCGCTGGACCTGGATGACCTGTTTGAGAAGATTGTAGTCCGCAGGCGTGGCGGCTACTGCATGGAGACGAATACCTTCTTCGCTGCAGTGCTGCGGAGTCTGGGCTTCACGCTCATCACCTGCGGCGCAAAGGTCAAGTTTGGCGAACGGTTTGGCCCGTGGTATGTTCATGTTTACTTGAGGGGTCCTAAGAAAAGGCTAAATTGTAAGTTCTGACACTGCGCAGGAGCCATATGAACAACATTGTGATTATCAACGGCAAACGTTACATGGTGGACGTCGGCTTTGGAGGCAACGGACCCGTCCGGCCCATGCCCCTAGACCATGGGGTCGTCGTTGACCGCATCCTCCCTTCCAGGATGCGCGTCGAGCACAAAAGGCTACCACAGCACTCCGAACCCGCACAGCGGCTCTGGGTCTTTTCGACGCAAGACAATGCCGACGCTGAATGGGTTGAGCAATATGCTTTTGCCGACCTCGAGTTCTTTCCCGAGGACTTTGAGTCTATGAACTGGAAGATCATGACGTCACGAACGATCTGGTTTACCAAAATGGTCACGGCCTTGAGGTATATCCTCAACGAGGAGACGAACGAGTTGGAGGGCCAGATGATCCTGCACCACAATTATGTGAGACGGAGAACCGGGACGGAGAATGAGATACTTGTGAGACTGGAAAATGAGGAGCAGAGAATCAAAGCGCTAGCCGAACATTTAGACATACACATCACAGCCGCTGAAGCCAAATGCATTCGGGGCATGGTTAGTGAGTTGGGCAAGAATCAGTGGCCATCTGGCGCATGAAACTTGACTCCAGGACGAATAACTACACAGAGCATAGACAATAAACATTCAAGCTATCAAGCTATCAAGCTATCCACACTAGCAGCAATGTCATGTAGGTATGCATGCAGGCCTTGGGCTAGGCCCAGCAAATAAAAGTGTTGATCTATTTTGGGCCTGCATGACGGACTGACCTAACTTGTAAGGATGGCTGACGCAATCGTCTGGGCTTCACTCACGCTGACCTCACCCCATACAAGCTTTCGTATCGACTTCCGAGACCTCGCTTATCGCCAGGAACAAGGTAGTGTGCATCACACTCAACATAGCAAATGTACACGTTCCTTCCCTCTCCACAGCCCAGGTCAGGGCCACAGACGTTTCTGCAAGGTCTACATTCTTGGAGCGAGCCGACAGCGCTAGATTACCCGGTACACTCCCCGCAAACGCTGGTTGCAGGCGATCATCTGATGTAAGAGCATGCCGATGTTCAGTGCCGTTCATAATCAAACAGCACCGCCCAAATCCGCGTGAGACAGTGCTGTGGAACGTCTTATGAGGACGGATCTGACAGGCTCAAGTGTTGTGCCTCGGAATGTCGGGTCTATGATGCAGAATGATCGGCCACGCGGGCAGTGAGATCCTCGTCGTGACGCAGATCTCATGGCTTAGCATTAGTGCTGATAAATCTGCAAAAGAAAATATAATAATATGGTGAGCTAAAAGGTGCGCAAGCCCAGCCGTCTTGGCATCTTCTCTTGACGACTGTTGTCGCATATTGTTCTCTATTATTATCATTTCTCTAGGCCAGCATGAGGTTCCCAACCAGGCTACCCGTTAGCCTCTGTCTCTTAGGAGTGCTGTCAACTGTTACAGCTCAAATCCCCGTTCCAGATGAGAATAGCCGCGCCGACTCAGACTTGCAGAAGCGGACCGCTGGTCCAAACATCCTATTCGTGATGTCTGATGACCAGGGTGAGAGAGTTCAGGGAAATCGAGATGTTCGTCCCTCACTAACTGGATCAATGGTACAGATTTGCACATGAACTCGATGAACGCGATGCCAAATGTTCAGAAGCTCCTCGCTGAGCAGGGTACAACTTACAACAAGCACTACTGCACCAACGCTCTCTGTTGCCCTTCAAGGGTCAGTCTGCTGACGGGAAAAGCGGTCCAGTACGTGGGCTCACACACAGTCCTCCTAACGAGAAGTTATTGACAATAGCCATAGCAACACCAATGTGACCAGTGTCGTCGCCCCTTACGGTTTGTTTGAGGGGCCATGTCTCGGGGAACCTGACTGACGTGATCGGATAGGTGGATATCAAAAGTTCGTCAACACCGGACTGAACAACGACTATCTCCCAATCTGGCTGGAGAAAGCCGGGGTCAACGCCTACTACGTTGGGAAACTCATGAACGAGCACGGAGTCGATAACTATAACAAGCCGTTTCCTAAGGGATGGAAGAATAGCAAGTATGGCTCTCTTAGCTCTCCATGGACTGACCTCGTTGCTGAGCGGGACAAACAGCTTTCTTCTCCAGCCCGGAACGTACGACTACGTGAACACAACATGGTCGTACGATCAGAAAAAGCCACAAAATTTCCCCGGACAGAACGCCATCAACCTGATCACCAACAACAGTTTAGAGATGCTCGACCACGCCGTGAATGACGGCAAACCCTTCTTCTTGGCCGTCGCTCCTGCCATCCCACATGTCGGCATCCATGCTACCGGTGGTACATATGTGCCAGAGCCTGTCGACAAATGGAAGAACGCATTCACAGACGCAACGATACCACCGACAAAGAATTTCAACCCCAAAGATGTAAGTTATTCATGAACAAGTACATGCATGAGCGAGCGCTGACATAGTCGTAGCCTAGGTAGGTAGTATGGACTACAAATGTCTGATATGCTGACTGGACCGGGCTAACAAGTCTCAGTGGAGGTGCTTGGGTCAAAACTTTGCCACAGCTTACCCAGGACGAGATTGACAAGCACAACGAATTCTATCGCGCTCGGCTCCGCGTTGTTGCCGGGATCGACGACATGATCGGCGAATTTGTTGCTGCGCTGGAGAAGAAGGGCATCCTGGACAATACGTTCATCGTGTACACGACCGATAACGGCTACCATATCGGGCAACATCGGCTCGGCGCCGGCAAGAAGTGCGGGTATGAGGAGGATATCAATATTCCCATGGTCATTCGCGGCCCCAATGTGCCGAAGAACAAAGCAACAGACATTGTCACCACGCACACGGACCTGGCCGCGACCTTCATGAGCATGCTTAAGCTGAAGGAGCAGCCCGGAATGGACGGCAAGGCCATGCCGCTTACACAGAAAGCGCTGGACGACAACAAGAACGGTCCATCCGAGCATGTCAACGTTGAAATGTGGAGTTCTGGTACCTACAACGAGAACCCACTGATCAAGGCTGCGGCGACAGTGTACGAAGAAGATGACGAGGAAGACGTGAAAGTGCAGGCCGCCATCCCGGGGATTGGAAAGAACACGTACAAGTCTCTCCGTCTTATTGGATCTGGATACAACCTGTACTACTCCGTTTGGTGCACCAACGAGCATGAGCTCTACGTGAGTCGTCATAGTATCCTTACGCCGATCGTTTGAACTGACTAGAATGCATAGAACATGGTCGATGACCCGTACCAAATGAATAACCAGCTTGCCGACTTCAAGGCCGGCACTGACATGAGCCAGATCAAGGGAAATATGATGGGACATCCATTGTCCAAGCTGGTTCCCAGAATTGATGCTCTGCAGCTGGTCCTCAAGTCGTGCAAGGGTGCTAGTTGCCGGGACCCGTGGAAGACACTGCACCCACAGGGCAACGTGAAGAGCCTCTCAGACGCTCTGAACCCAGAGTTTGACGCATTCTACCAGAACCAGCCCAAGGTCGGATTCACCGGATGCAAACCGGGGTATCTGATCGAACTGGAGGGCCCTCAGAATGCAAAGCCCTATTCGACGTAGTAAGTCTTTGGGATAACATCAATGGGGCATCGGACCAATGAGGGCAGACTGATATTATGAAACGGATAGAATGTGTTTAAATTGATTGATTTAAAGTTCTAAGTGCTAGCGCAAACGTCTATTCTTGTCATTGCTTGCGATGTAGTACCTCGTCTATGATGCGCATGGCGCTCAGGCACTCCTCATCCCTGAATCGGGGTGTAACGATTTGAAGGGCACATGGAGCACCGTGGAGCTCCTCAGGGTCATCTGGTAATTATTGTCAGAGATGTACATGATGAAGTCAATTGGGATCACAACTCACAGTGGGGGTCAAAAGGAGCGGTGGCCTTGACATGGTGAGGGTCGTGCTCTTTTCGAACCTCCTCGTACGGGATAATACCGGCAGGGTACTGTTTGGATCATGCAAGTTAGGGAATCTTCCGGCCATATAAGGGTACCCAGGCGGACAAATACTCACATCAAGCACATTCCACACCAGGGTATAGACCGGATTGCCATACGTGTCATGGGGGACAGCAGTGTGCTGTGCTCCCGGCCCGATAATCACATCGAGGTCATGGGTGATCCACGTTCGCTTCCAGCTGTCAGAATACTCTGAGCGGGCACCGGTTATCCTGTCGAGCAGCTGGGGGAAGTCAAGGTCTTGAGGGATGGAGAACGAGGCGCTGCCGAAAGGGTGAACGCCCCGCTTGACCGAGGGGATCAGAGGCTCCTTGAACTCCTCCTCCAGATTGTCGAGTGGCGGCCCCCCGAGGCCGAAGCAGTAGAACCCAAGAACGGCCCCGAGTGCGACGCTGCGAGAGTCGTCACGGGGCAGGTGCACAATCTTGTGGCCCGCGCGAGCCAAGGCTTCGACGGCCGAGTCGAGCGCTCGGCGGACCGGCGGCTGCAGCCTGTACGTCTCGTCCTCGGGAAGCACACCGATAGTGAGTACCTTCCCGCCAGCAGTCTCCTGTCTTCTCCAGGGAACATCGTGCACCGTAGCGTCATACTTCCAGGGACGCATGTCCGTGATTACGCGCATGAAGAGCTCGAGGTCCTCGACGGAGTTGCCCATGGGTCCCGCAGCCGGGATGACGCCTCCCGGGATGCGCAGTCGAGGGAACGGGCCCCGAGTGTTGCCACTGAATGGCACGCGCTCGGCGGTCGGCTTGAACCCGTAGATACCGCAGCACAACGAGGGGATGCGGATGGAGCCAGCGATATCGGTACCCACCCCGAGCGGTGACCCCTTGAAAGCCAGCAGGGCTCCTTCGCCACCGGTGGAGCCTCCGGCTGTGAGTTTGGTGTTGTGAGGGTTGAGAGTGCGTCCGAATAGGTTGTTCTCAGAGTCGGCGGTCTATACTCATAAGGCACGGTTGGAAAGGTTTCGACTGAGAGGAAGGTACAGAGCGACATACCATCATTGTCTGGGGAACATTTGTTTTGCAATAGATGATCGCGCCAGCATCAAGGAGCATATCGACGAGCGTGGATGTATCGTCCAACAATGGCCTTCTAAGAGCCTCCACATACCCGACAGTTGCATGCTGCCCTTTCACAATGAATGAGTCCTGGAGTCAAGTTAGCCAAGCTACACAGAATCGTGGGGCAAGAATTTACCTTGAGACTGATGGGAAGGCCATGGAGCCGTCCGACGACATGACCCTCTTCTTGCAGATACTTGTCGAGCCACTTGGCATGTTCAATTCCTTCATCGAAGAATATCTCTGTCAGGCAAGATGTCTATACTCTCGGTATTAGCTTCAGCTTCCAGCAGTTGGTCAAGGAGGCATATTGATGCTGACCAATTGCTGTGCTAGAGCAGCTCGCTTGCAAAATGCTGTTGCCACCTCGAGGGACGTCAGCTCCCGCCGCGCGATCTTGTCAAGTAGCTGCGTAGCCGTAAAGTTGTCCGTGATCTCCAGCTCCTTTTCCGTCAGAAGACGACTTTTCTTGACAGCTTGTGATCTAACAAGACGTCCAGCATCGTCCGTTCCTTCGCCGCTGATCTCAGCGAGGAGATTCTTGTCGAGCCTCCATTCCGCAGGGATGGATTCATTTTGCTTCGCTCGGTGAGCAGCCGCCAGAGCCTGCCAATCTCCCATGATCAAATCCCTGCCTGAAGATGTCTGCTTGGGTTATGGACGGACGGGATGCCTTTAGCACAAGTGTGATTTGCTCCTTTGCTGTATGAAAGCAGACAAACTTCAGGCCACAGCTGCAACAGACGAACAAAGTTTAGATCCTCACGATGTGGGAAGAACGAGAAGAATTTCTTATCCATATTGTTCGGAGTACCTCTGAGCTATCTGTCTCCGAACCTCGGAAAGATTGCGTACTCGATGAATTGACCCGCGAACTAGCCTCATAGGGAAGACGTTGCCGCCGCTACCATGCCTCCGCAAAGCGTCGGCAATTGCCCCAGTTTCCACATTCTCCAAATAGTTCTCCAGCAATGCGGGGGTGATAAGGAGGGAGGGATACGGATACTGCTTTAGGGTAATAGTATACGGATACTGCTTTTGGACAGCAGGATACGGATACTTCTTTTGGAGAAGTCAGATTGTGAAAATAGTCCCCATGGAACTCCGATTTCAGGCCTGGCCGGCTGGATGTCTTAGCACTAGTCAATGTCCACAGACGAGCCCCGCACTCAGCTTGATGTCTGTTGTAAGTCAACGCAGGAGAGACAGTTAACCCGTTCTCTTGCCAATGCCTATGTGAGGTGCTTGATCGAGTAGTCTTCGGAATATCTTGGGAATATCTTGGGCATATCTTAGGTTCTCATCAGTCTCTTCAATGATATCTTGATTCTCGATCTACCTGCCAGGCACAAGCCGAGCTATACTGAAAATTAGGCACAGTTGAAGAAACGCAGTGAACATAATACCGTATGTTCTCATCAGTATTCGCGGCTATCTATTCCTAGAAATCAATCTGTTTCGAACATTGTCAAAGAGCCTGATACTTTTGAAAACACCATAAGATTTGAAGAGCTAAACATCCATTACTTGACTTGGTCCATTCTCCCTGTTCATTCGTATATCCACCGTAGCAATCAAATACTTGGAAACCCATATACTTGATATCAACCCATTCAAACAACTCTCCTTCCCTCCCTAGCTTGAAGTCTACAGAGGTACTACGTAGCAATTGTGAATCCACGTCAGGAGACGTGTGCGTGCTTGTCCACAAGGTGATAGTATCGAGGTGTCAGAGCCGTTCGGATCCGTTTACCCCAGATGATCATAGGGATGAACAGGAGCCCGATGGCGAGAGAAAGGCAGCCGATGATAATGAACATGTTGCTCACTCCCATGGTGGTCATCCAGGGGACGAGGGAGAAGGGGATGGCGACACTGAACGCGTTGCGGAAGAAGGCCACTCCTACGAAAGCTTCGGCGATGAGCTGCAGTGATTGATGTTAGTCATGAGTAACATATATTTTGTCGGTTATGGGGAGAGTCATACCTCACGATAGGTATCAACGGTAAAGGTGAAAGTGATATCACCCATGGCGCCCATACCAAAGGCAAAGAGGGCACCGCCAACGCTGGGCAGAATCCAGTGCATTCCCTGATACCACCGAGTCAGTAAATCTCGCACTTTCTATCTAGAATTGCGAGACTGCAGATGTTGAACTCACCTTGTCCGCGGTGACACCAAACATGATCAAGCCACTCGCCATGCAGGCGATGGGAAGCGGTAGGATATACAATCGCATCTCTGGCTCGTAAAGACCACCGTTGCGCTTGGCGAACCACTTGGCCGACCAGTCAGACAAGGGGCCGCCGTACAAGCTGCCCAAGGCGTTGCCGACGAACGGACCAAGAGTCATGTAGCCGACACCCGCGGTGGTGAAGCTGTAGGGAGGCGCAGAGAAGATGACGGAGACGGCGGGCATGAAGAGGACGAGCCAGGCGATGGCCGAGGCAAACTGCAATGCCGTGAACAGCACATGAGGCAGCGTGATGACGGAGAGGGGCATGACGAAGAGCTTCCAGAGCGACTCGTCTGTCTTGGTGATGAGGCGCATGCGTTGACGGTAAGTGTTGAGAGGAGGTGCCGGCTCCGCCATGGCAGTCGAGGCAACGATGGTGAGATCAGCACCCTCGGGGAGCTTCTCCTTCTCGGGAGCCTCGCCATCCATAGAAGTCTGAATGGGGCCACCTTCTCTCTGGCCATTGGAGATGGGGACGTATTTGGTCTCCTCGTAGCAGAAGATAAAGATGAATGACACGCAGGTCAAAGCAATGGCAAGAGCGTAGTACGACCAGCGCCAGCCCTGGGTTGCAGCCTGTGCACCGCCAGCGATGGGGGCGAGGAAGCTTCCGATCATGACCGAGGCGAAGTAGCAAGCGTTGGCTGTGGCACGTTGGTGGACGAAGAACATGTCGGCAATCTGTGCTGGTGGTTAGGCCTTGCATCATCGCAGAGGGGTAATGAGCGGCGTCAACTCACGGTCATCTGGACAGCAGTCTCATTGATGGCGCCAGCCAAGCCGCAGATCACGCTGGTGCACATGAGTTCGGCAAAGGACTGAATGCGAGCTGTCCACCAAGTCGCGGCGGCCAGTACACAGATGGAGAGAATATAGACCAGGCGACGGCCGTACTTGACGGTGAAAGGAATGAAAAAGATGCAGCCGACAGCCAGACCAGCAAGGTTACCAGATTGAGCATTGTTGAGTTGCGAAGTCCTCAGGTTCAGATCTACCGACATTTGCTGCCAGAAGACAGTCTGAATCTGCAAACTGATCAGGTGTAAATACCGCAAAGTCAGCCATCTGTTCTCCTATACGAAATGGAACGCCAGAAGATCTAGAATTACCTGGTGAAAGCGGCAATTGTCATCGCCATGATGAGGAGGAAGTTGAAATACTTTCTCCATGGCGCCCAGTTCTTTGACTCAATTAGCAACAGTAACCTTTTGTATAGTCCGGTCGCAGAGAACCTACCAGTGGCTCGTTCGGGTCATTGGAAGGCGCGGGCGACAAGATGAGGCGTGTGTCGTCAGTCGCAACTTCAACTGCTCGATGCCAATAGTTATAGTCAGCAAACTTGATATACTCTCAACTCTCGGTCTCGCGACAAGTGGGAACTGGGGACTGACACTCGACCAGTGGGACTGTGCCAGGAGGCAGGATTGTGTGCCCGTTCTCGTCCATGGTTGCTGCTGGGTCTGGTTTCGCTGGCAAACTGGTTGTCGAAGCTGAGAAAAGAAAGAGAATGACAGACTCAACGATTTGCAAGTCCACGATGCGGGCTCACTGTCCCATGATGGCCGTCTGGTCGTCCAACTTTATTCCCAACGTCACAACTTGACACGGATGCTCCAGAAATCTCTACCGACATGGATGCGTATCTCCTGGCGCATACATCTTCCCCTTTCGACATAGCCCCATCTCTTTCCCCCCTTATCATATGGACCAAGATAAGTGCCGAGCATGCGGGGAAATGCAACTAATGGGAGTAGTGTGGCAGGGGATGATAACGCGGGCATGGAGCACACATCTCACTTCAGCCGTTTCAGCACCAGAGACCAGATAAGCCTTCTGACTAAAGCAGGAGCTGACTCTTAACTTCGCACAGTGGCAGTCTAGCCCGTCACACTTATCGAGGCTGCACGCAGTGGCGCAGTCTTGACTCGGGCTAGGGGGACCAACACGTCTCGGCCCCTCCGCGTCTCGAGGCGGCTCTTAGCTGGACCAGATTGAGATGATATCTTAACCCCGCTGGACCAGGGCAGGCTCAATATTCCTTTCATGCCAAATGACATCCCTCATGTGCGGTCTACCAATCTAGCACAGCTGCGAATCTGCCTACTCCACCTTCCCCGGAATTGCCTCATCCCGCATCTTCCCCTCACCAGTGGAGCACGCGCTTTTCTGATCGGTGGCAACAGATGCCCAAAAGACCACTTGCATGGGCCACCAAGCAGATCTGTGTCGGGCACTGATACACGATCTGTCTCTCCACGGAACGTCCGGCCCACAGCGACCGGCGGAAACACGCTCCTACGACGATGCATCGCTCCCGGGGAGGCTGCCAGAACTGTAAGAAGAGAAAGCGACGGTGCGACGAGAGCCGCCCGGCCTGCCAGGCCTGTCAAAAGCGCGGGCTCGAGTGCCGAGGCTACGACGTCGTTCTCCGATGGACCAACGGCATCGCATCGCGAGGTCGCCTCGCCGGGGCGACTACCTTTGCCACAGCTGCCGAGTCGTCTTCTGCGGCGAGTGCCCGTAGCGACTCGGCAGCACCACAGCAACATCAGGATGGAGCAGCAGTGGCGACAGCGCCCGTAGCATTGTCGCCACACGAGGCTCGGCTATCTGACGCCCCTGCAACTGCACCACACGAAGACGGCAGCAGCTTCGATGGGAACTGGGCATCGCCCGCCATCACCGCGACATCCTACGAAGGAGCGCCAGGCCCGGGCAGCAGCAATCGCGACGACTGCAGTCCGTATGCGCAATCAACTCCCATATCTGGACCGGACAACACGAAACAAGAACTGTTCGATAGGTGTACGTTTCCCTTTTCCCACTTATCTTTCCTGCTTTCGGAAACGGCGGGAACAATACCCCAGTCGAGTTAGAACTTGTTGAGGCTAACACGTCCGGGGGTCCTCGCGCCTCCCTTCTCCACCCAGTCATATCGTCAGGATTTCAGAGGCTGTACGCGACGCGCACTGGGTCATGGCTGGAGCCGTACATGGCGGCTATGGCCCAGGAGTCAGATGCGCTGTTCCACGTGCTGGTCGCGATCCAGGCCTTCCTGGAGGACGGTCTAACGGTGTCGTCCATGGACTTCATCGACCAGGCGCTCCAGAAGTTCCGTCTGGAGCTCGCCCAGCCTCGGAATGCCAGGACGCGGGCCACGATGACCGCCGGCCTGCTCGTGTGCACGATACAGGTACGCAAAAAGAAAGGACCAGTCCTTTTGACACATCCCCCCCCGGTTCCCACTTTCCCGGATGCGTCTCCCCGGCATAGCCAATCAGGAACGCTCACAAGACTAATATCTCTCCGTTTTATCTTTTCTCCCCTTAGTTGCTCCAAGCAAGGCCCTGGACGTCCTACCTCCAGCTTATCGCGGGGCTGTACCGCCTGGGCGGGGACATGGACCAGCTGCCCTCGGACCTGGACCTGCGCGACGCGCACGCCCTGCACACCGTCGAGGTGCTAGCCGTCATGGACATGCCCGTCTTCGTCGTGGGCCGCACGAGCCCCAGCATCGGCGTATGGCAGCGACTTCGGGCGGTCCAGAACAGGCAGCGGCACGGGGGCCAACAACACGGGGGCGAGGGCGAGGGCGAGGGCGCGCCCGGCGGCGTCGAGCAGATCTCTGGCGTGCCGCGATCGCTGCTCGACGTCTTTGCGCGCATCCCCGAGGGCCCCAGCGGCGAGGTCGAGCGGGACCTGTGGTACTGGGAGGGCGAGATCGGCGAGATCCCGCAGAGCCACCTGTGGGATGCGTGGCGATACTCGGGGATGCTGAGCATCCGGCACCAGCGGCGGCTGCGTGCCAAGGCTGGCGAGCGCGAGGCTCTCAGAGAGGGCGGGAGCGGAGGAGCAGGCGGGAAGGCGCCGTTACCGGCCGACAGCGTGCTGCTGTGTCGCCTGATCAGCTCCATGGACTCGCTCCTGCAGTCCCTCGACAGGCCCGAGTACGGCCACCTGCTCGTCTTCAACAGCATGCGGTACCCGCTCGTCGCCGCCAGCTTGCAGGTGTCCCTCCTCGAGGCCTATCCGGACTGGAAGATGCTCCTGAAGCGAGTGCGCAGCCGGTTCTCTGAGATGGATTCGACGGGGGTTGGGGTCATGGACGTTTTGTCAGAGCTGCTGGACGAGGTCTGGAAGTCTGGCGTGGACGACTTTGATATTGATAAAGCAGCCATGAGCCGCGGTGTTGAGATTGCACTGTTTTGAGATATGAACTAGGCAGGCACCTAATACTACTACAAGTCCGAAGGTTCTCAAGAGCTCCATTTCCATCGTCTATGTTTTTCATTCTCTATAATGCGTGAATTGCTTCATCCCAAGCTAACCTCTGTTTGGATCTCTATTACACCGGGACTCCCCGAACAGGCAGGTCCTTTGAACAACATGACGAATCCTCCCCGTTGGCACCATTTGAATAGGCAAGCTTGGACGCCATGTTCTTGCTGGCAGGAACGTCGATAGCAGGGTTCGCCGTGAAGAAGTCGACGGGCGCAATGTGGAGCTGGACGATCTCGACGGGCCTGCAAAAGAAAAAAAAAACAGACATTAGCAATTCATTCAAACATCACGGAAACCGCATATGAGCTGGTTGGAGAAAGGCTTACATCACAGGCCAGTCCTCGACACGCGGGTTGTGCGTCAGGCCAAACACGCTCCACAGCACGACATCCTGCTGCAGCACGTCGTCGTTGCGCGCCGCCGCGTCCGCCACGCCCTCCACCTCGAGCGTGCTCTGCAGCGTGTACCGGCCGCCGCCGTACAGCTCGTCGTCGCGGTGCTTGGTGACCCAGAGGTGGTGCTTGGTGAAGAGCGCCCGCTTGGCCTGGACGCTGCCCTCGTCGGCGAGCAGCAGCTGCGTCGGCGGCGCGACGATCTTGTAGCCGACGGGCTTGCCGCTGACGGGGTTGCGCACGTCGAGGTTCTGCACCTTGAAGACGCGGCCGCGGTGGGGCGCGGCGTCGAGCCCGCCCGAGGCCGTGATCGGGGTGTCCTCGACGCGGTAGGCGTTGCCCTGCGGGTTGGTGCGGACGTCGAAGCGCAGCGGCAGGGACTCCTGCTGCACGAGGGTGTTGGCGTGGCCGTCGATGGCCGGGTCGATGCGCACGCAGAACAGGTGCTGGTGGTTCTGGGCCAGGACGCCGGGCGACACGATGTTGCCCCAGGGCGCCGTCTTGCCCGGGTCGATGTTGACGGCCGAGACGATGCCCGTGGCGCGGACCTCGACGGTGATGGCGCCTGCCTGGTCGAAGATGTACTGCGTGTGTGCGTGTCTTGTGTCAGTAGGGGTGATTCGATGTGAATAGGAGTTGGGACTTAATAATAGGGTGCGTGGCTTACGTTGAAGACGTATTCGTAGTTGGCGACGGTGAGGATGAACTGGATGACCAGCTCGCGGCGGCGGGTGACGACGGCCCGGCCGGTCCGCCAGTTGGTGTGCTTCCAGCCGATGCCGTTGTCCTGCTCGTGGAGGCAGATCACGTTGGGTGCCTTGTGCGCGGTGCCGTCGGCTCCATTGAGAACTCCGTCGAAGTACTATCCGCAACGTTAGCTGTATGAACTCGAAGGTTATAAATAAAGACGACAACCGACCTTGATAACACCCAGGCAATCGCATCCAAGCTGCAAGTTGTTGGCACAGTGACCGACGCCGCCATCGCCAAAGTCAAACGCCTGCTTGCGGTGGAAGGGCGGGCGAGGGTCCGCGTAGGGCACCGTCATGTCGCTCATCGACAGGCGGTACAGCACGCTGCGGCCATCATACCACACGTCGTGCACGACGGCGCCCTCGCGAGGGTTGAAGCTGACGCGCATGCGCCACTTCTGCCACTCGATCAGGCTCTCGTCGCGCACGGAGAAGCTCGGGCCGTTCGGCTGCACGACGTTGAGCTCTTGGAGATCCGTCCGCATGGTGGACTCGGTCAGCTCGGGCACGTATTCTGAGGGCCGGCAGTGGTCGATGACCCCGGCCTTTCGCTTGGATCCCTTTTCGACAGTGTACGGGTCGCCTGCGCCGCCAGTGGCCAGCTCGTCGACGCGGATGACCTCCTGCTTCAGCCAGTCGACGACGGGAATCAGGGGCAGCGGATACGTGTAGAAATTGCTGTCCGGGTTCTTGCTCCTCGTGTCGAATGCAAAGATGAGGGCTTGGAAATACCGCCTGTTCTCGTCGGCGGGATCCAGGCCGCCGTAAGGCCAGGGCTCGACAACGACCTCGAAGCCCTCGGGAAGCGCGAGCTCCTTGACCTTGGATTGGAACAGAGGCGAGGCTTGACATATCCTGGCCATCTCCTGCAGCTCGTGCCTAGTGGGTGTGTCAGTAACGCTAATCCCGGTTGTCCGTCCCAGCCCACCGGGTTGTGTTGGCTCACATGGTAAAGCTGGGGTGGACCCCAACTTTCACAATTTCGGAAGAGACACATTCTCTAGTCTCGACATCGACAATAGCCTCGATAGACTCGGGAGGCGTCTCCTTGTTGTGCACAACATCGTAGTGCACGCGGGCCAGACGGCGGGGTCTGGGACTATCGGCGGTGAGGCTGCCCGCGTGCTCCAGGGCCAGAAACTTGGTCAGTTCCGACTTGGCCGGTTCTTGGACATATATGACCCGGAATTGGAGAACGCTGTTGGGGTGGGCGGCTCTGATGACATCCCGGGCAATGTTTGTCTCGTCGATGCTGAGGGGCGCAAGCGGATGCACTCCGGGGAACGAGTTGCCGGCCATTTTGCCACGATAAGAACGTATAAAGCACAGAGAAAACGGTTTGATAAGGAATCGAGATTGGAAGCTCGGAGATCTAGAAGGGAACAAAGAATCACGAATGAGGAAACTGCATTTATTTGCAGGGACCTTTGCCCGGCAGTTCAGTATGGTCGACTTGCATCTTGGGGTCGATGGCGGTCATGCCAGATTAGGAAGTTGTTTGCGCCGGGGTCCAGGCCAGGTTCATCTCCACCGCCGGCTTCCACCACGGCTTCTACCACGGCTTCCGTCTCGGCGGCGCTACGTCTTGCTGTCATGACGCGCACGCGATAGGGATTGCGGAGGCCGTACCCAGATTTGAGGGGAAATGGACATCGTTCTCTGTTAGTAATTGACCCGACAGCTCGTTCCGTGGAGGAGATGTTGAGCCGAGGCCGATTTGCTCTACTCCGTATGTCTGTGTTGAATCTAGACTCGTTTCGAAGAGCAGCTCCGACGGACGGCGGCGGGTCTCCACTGACCCCCGAGCTTCACGATAGGGGTCTTGGACAGGATCGGGGTTCAATGTTGTCATCTTTCTCGATAAGAGAGCAAGCAAAGGCTTGAAAGATTAGCTATCACGGAAGACCCGGGCAGTAGTGACCCTTGTTCCACGTAATGAAAACATCTACTCGGTCAGCTCATTGAATGGGATTACGACGAACAAACTTCGAAGTCATCAGTCGTATCTTCTGATTGATGGAATACAATGTCGTCAATGCCGTCAATGTCATCGCTGGCAGCACCGAGATCATGGCACGGATCCATCAAAGGACGGAGTGGCCTGGCCTGGCCTGGCACGTGGCATTGCCGGCTGGGTGGTGCATTGATGCGTGCACACTGGATCAATGCAGCACTGAGGGGGGCACATCGAACAAGTTTCGGAAACACGGAGAATTAAAATTCCAGTGACAACTCTCACCCCGCCGTTACAGTGGTCAATCAAGTACCGTACGCACTGGGCAACCAACCCAAAAGATTACTACGCGGGGCAGTAAAGTTGGCGCACGGACCCCTGTAATTTTTTGGCGGTGTCAGGCAAGGCTGATGCGTGGTGCTGGAAATTGATCCATGGATGTGAGTCAAAGCACGCCTCGGTGACACAGCTGGCCCAAAAAAAAGTCACGACGACAAACACCCCCAGGCCAGACCACCCACGCTCCAGCTTCCCGGTGAAGACGGTGTCCGTGGTAGACTATCGCCGCCATGCCTTCCGCAGCCCCCACAGGGGACCTGGCCTCGCAGGTCCTCCAAGCCCTCGACAAATCCTCACCCCTCCTCTCCGCCGAAGCTTTCCCCGCCGCCGGCTTCACCGAGCTCAAGGCCGCCCTCGACAGGCTCGCCTCCCGTGACATGGTCAAGTACGAGCAGCTGGAGCGAGACGAAGCAGTACTAGAGCCCGAGGGCGAGCAGATCGCCGCCAATGGCAGCCACGAGGCCCGCGTCTTCGAGGCATTAAGGCAGGCCGTCGAGGGCCTGACTGTCCAGGAGCTCGAGAAGGCTATTGGCGACAAGAACGTCGTCAAGATCGGCCAGGGCAAGGCTTTCAAGGAGAAGTGGATCGCCAAGACAAAGGATGGCAAGTTCCAGGCCACGGCCGACGCGATCAAGGACACGACCCAGGAGCAGATGCGGACCATCCAGAAGACGAGGGCGTACCCGGACGCCAAGGTACTCAACGACCTGAGGAAGCGCAAGCTGGTGCGCATACAAAAGATCTACACCTTCAAGGTCCAAAAGGGCGACAAGTTCGCCCTCGAGATCCCCGAGGAAGCGACCGACCTGACCTTCGACATGATCGCCACCGGCGCCTGGAAGACCGCCACCTTCAAGCCCTACAACTTCAAGGCCCTGGGTGCCGACCAGCGGCCCGGTGCGCTGCACCCCCTCAACAAGGTCCGCGCCGAGCTGAGGCAAATCTTCTTCGAGATGGGCTTCGAGGAGATGCCCACGGACAAGTGCGTCGAGTCTGGTTTCTGGAACTTCGACACCCTCTTCGTGCCCCAACAACACCCCGCCCGCGACCTGCAAGACACCTTCTACATCTCCGATCCCAAGCTTGCCGACCCTCCCCGCGCCGAGGACGAGAATGACAAGAAGGACTACAAGAAGTACTGGGAGAACGTCAAGGCGGTACACCAGAACGGCAAGTACGGCTCAATAGGCTACCGATACCCCTGGTCCGGCGATGAGACGCTCAAGCTGGTGCTGCGGACGCACACCACCGCCGTCAGCGCGGCCATGCTGTACAAGCTCGCACACAAGAAGGGCCCCGACGGCCGCCCGCCCCCGGCACGATACTTCTCCATCGACCGAGTCTTCCGAAACGAGTCCGTCGACGCCACCCACCTGGCAGAGTTCCACCAGGTCGAGGGTGTCATCGCCGACTACAACCTCACCCTGGGCGGCCTCATGGAGTTCATGGAGATCTTCTTCGGCAAGATGGGCCTGACCGACCTCAAGTTCAAGCCCGCCTACAACCCCTACACTGAGCCCAGCATGGAGATCTTCGCCTATCACAAGGGCCTCAAGAAGCTCGTCGAGATTGGCAACAGCGGCATGTTCCGCCCCGAGATGCTGGAGTCGATGGGTTTCCCGTAAGTCGCACTATGGTCTCTGTTCCCTCTAATCGATCTCCTGCTAACCAAAGCACTACAGCCCCGACATGAGGGTTTACGGCTGGGGTCTGTCTCTCGAGCGCCCCACCATGATCAAGTATGGCATTTCCAACATTCGTGAGCTGCTGGGTCACAAGGTCGACCTGAACTTTGTGCAGAGCAGCGCGGCGGTACGGCTGGACAAGGCGTAGACGGACAGGCGGTGGGGTTGCTATGAGAGGGGTGGGACGGCGTAAAAGGAGCAAAATATCCGATGACGACGAGGAGGTTAACTAGCTAGAGATAGACACGCCTGTGTACTGAAATGATGAACGTATTCCCGCAGGCGACATGTTGTCCAAGAACTGCTTTCAAGTTGACGCGTCGTCACTTGCCTCTGCTATCTTCCAATTATCCAGGCCTTCGCACTACCAAGTATTCCGACAGCGTGAAATCGAGAGGGCTCATCAGAAGTTGTCGGTTTCAGTCTCGGGTCCGTTCTCTTCAAGTTGATGGATGTGTGTCGTGTAAGATATTAACTCAATGGCGGCGGCCTCGAGTCTATTCCCTATTCAATAGGTTGTTTCTCAGCCTGCTTGCTAGGTACAATCCTAGATAAACTGTAATTTAGACACAGGTGAAGAGAAACAATGAAAATAGTACATGTGTTCCAGAGACACTAAGACGGTTCCTAGTGATACAAACACAATTGTTATCATGCATTGATTAATCGTTCTCTAGATTGTAAGGCCTTTCAGCACATTATCGAACAATGAACTGATGCACAGATCAAAAGACCTCGACTGATGTCTCTACACTCCCCTCAAGAAACCCCTCTTCCGCACAGGCGGCTTCTCCCCTTTACTCTTCGGCAACTCCTTCTCCCCTTCATCCGTCTTGACTACATACCGGTCTTTATCCTTCTCCGCCTGCCTCTGCTCGCGCTCCGTGTTCCACCGCATAAAGTAGCAGCAGAGCGGGAACAGCGCCGTGTTGACGGCGCACCAGGCAAGCAGCACGCCAAAGTCGAGCCCGACGCGCGAGCGGAGGTCGAACAGCAGCTGCCGGCTCGCCTGCACGACGTGGTGCAGCGGCCAGGCGTACCCCCAGCGGTAGAAGCCCGGCGCCAGGTCGACGGCGTAAAAGGACGTCGAGACGTTGGTGATGACCCAGAAGATGAGCCAGAGGGCCGTCCAGGGCTGGCCCGCGAGCATGGCGACGTTCTCGCACGCGAGGCCGAGGGCCGTCATGCCGGCGAAGTTGAGCATCCAGTAGACGGCGAAGGTGGCGCGGCCATAGGCCGTGGCGCCCCAGGGCGGCGGGGGCTCGGTGTGGGAGGCTGGCCCCGGCCAGAAGGGGATCTGGAAGGCGAGGGAGATGGCCGAGTAGGTCAGGGAGATGACGAAGTAGGCCGCGATGGTGGCGCACCAGCGCCAAATGATCAGCTGCCAGAAGTGCAGGGGCGGGTGGCCCTGGGGCTTGATGTATTTCTGCATCGCGTGGTCAGTCTCGAGATCGATGAGGACGTGATTGGCAGTGGGGATGAAGGTTACTCACCATGTGGATGGGCAGGAAGAAAGAGAACGAAAAGAAGGCCATGATGATCAGGTAGATCAGACCGATGCTGACGGCTGGCGTAGCCGTGGCCGGCGAGAAGGGCCTGAGATCCAGCATCGTGGGCGCAACACCTGGGTTCACAGCCGTCGCCGCCTTTTGCAGGTTCTCTCTCGTCAACGAGGTGTTTGCCATGACCATCTGCCCCCACATTGGACCGAATACTGCGCCAAATTCGTCGACCAAGGATGTGAGCGCGGGGAGGATGTAGCTCTGCACCGTTGTCTGGTCCCGCGCCGTCTGGATGATGATCTGCACGGCACCCGTCGGGTCGTAGCTGCTGTTGCCAGTCTCGACTGCACGCTGGAGTAGAGCTGTCGCGTTGGCGTTCACAACGACGGCAGCCCAGGATTTCCAGTCGTAGACGGCTTCGCGGACGGCGATCGGGTCGTTGTTGAAGTCGGACGCCGGGAGGATGGTGTACCCCAGGTTGGCCATGGGCTTCTGGCGCATCTGGTCGACGAGCTTGGTCACAGCTGGACCAACGACGGGATTAACATCATTGTACGGCGCAATCTGGCCGTCGAAGTCGACCACGTGGACCACCAGGGCAGCGAGGTTATCCTCGACGCGGAAGAGCACGGCCCAGTACAGCGAGAGGATCGCGAGGATGGCTACGACCAGGACCAACACTACGATTCGATCCGGGGTTAGCCATACAGGAAAACTTGCAGGTGAACCGGACTGGAAAACTGTACCTGTGCGAGCCCACAAGTAGAGGACATGGGCGCGGACCTTGCTCATGTGCGGGTGCCAGAATCCGACCGAGCGATGCGGCTGCTTGTGCTTGAGATGGTGGAACGCATCTTCACTGCTGTTGTATGTTTCAAAGTCCCGTCGCTCATGCTTGTCGAGCATTCTGGGGTTGTGGGCCGCCGAGCGGTACGGATGCGGCCGGGAGAGGGGCGGTTGGGAAGAGCCGGAGCTGTTGTCGGACCAAGCGGCGATGAGGAGTCTCGAAGCGTCGGCGGGCGTTTCAAGGGATCCCATAGATCACGGAACGTGGAGAGTGTCAACAATCGCAAAACACTATGATTTCTATGAGAATTCGTTTGTGGAACGAGGCGCGAGAGAAATGAAATATTTGAGAATTAGAAGAAATCCCAACGCGTTGCAGGATCAAGACATCATCCGTGGGAGCCCCATGGCCGGCAGTAGGCCAGGCAATGCAACTGTCGTCGATCACCCGCTTTCGATCCATGCTTCACCCAGGTCCACTACTCCGATCGGTAAGATTGCCTGGTCATATAGCTCGATATCGTCATTGCGAAATGCGCCGGACATGTCTGTCTGGCACGAGTTTATGGGCTAAGGGTTCATTAGTGGTGATGTCACTTATGAACTCTAGCGGTTCCCAGCGACCAGCTCGCCGGGGCGTTTTTTGTCTCAATGTGACACGTTAGGGGCGAACCTCAGGAGCTTGAAAAAGCACCCAAGGTCAACTTTTCCAGTGTCCACCACTGCTTAGGTGCGTAGTGGTTCAGATTGTTCAGCAAAGTGGCTCGGCTTCGCTCAGTCTGCTCGGATTTATTCTGCTCGGATTTACTCTTTGTCGACGCGAGGGGCCCTAAAACATGTGAATTGCCAGTTAATGAAACGGCCTGGCCTCTTGAGCACATGGCATGGTATGTCAGTCAGCCTTTGCCTCTCTGGGCGGAACCCGAATCCTGACTGGTGCATGCAAATCGGTGCATGTGCACTTCAAGGGCCGAGTTCGTGCTTTGAATGGCTTATGCATGATCTCGCATGATTGCATTCATACCTCGTGTCCGAGGGGGAAATCAATGTGTAAACCGGAGGCGACGTTGCTGGGACCGACGGCTCACGGAGAGATTCAAAATTGAGCTGCTCCGTCTTACTCATGTTGACGAATCATGCGAGAGGATAGCCGATCTGTGGTTAGAGCACCTCGGGGCGGGTGTTGCGCCACTACGGCGCGTAGATGGAGTTATTGGGCTAAAATCCGGACATCATCACCACTATGATACGGCTCGATGCTTGCTAGACTCTAGCCACCTAAACTCCGTCAGTTTGGGAGGAGGTGTCGGTAGAGATTCGTATGTCAGAACCGGTGACGAGAATGTGTCTGGTAGTCGAGGATGCCTATATAAAGTCAGAGGCTTGGCTCTTATGCCTCGTTTCTTGGCCACATCTCCATCATCACAGCGGAGTCATAGATACAAGACAAACGAACCGGGATTCCACGCTTGAAGCATCGTGACAACATCATTACATCAGTCCATCGACAAGATTCCTTTGCTATGGCTCAGAATCATCCCGACAAGATTGCCATCGTTGGTGTACGTGTGAACGAAGATCCCTGCTCACCTCGACCTTGAACAACTCGCTAACACAGACCGTCACCACTAGGCCACCGGCCGCATCGGAGGCTACTTTGCCAGGGCTCTCCTCAAGGCCGGAAAGCACACTATCACAACCCTTCGCCGCGCCGACAGCAAGGGCAAGTACCCAGAGGGCGCCAAGATCGTCGATGTCGACTTTGACGATGAGTCTTCTCTCGTCAAGGCCCTCGAGGGCCAGCAGGTCCTCATCATCACACTCTCTGTCCGAGCTCCGCCCACGCTGCACTCCACCATCGTAAAGGCTGCTGTCAAGGCTGGCGTGCCTTACATCATGCCCAATACCTGGGGCCTGTACCTGACCGACGAACTCGCCAAGAACTCGCAGTACGCTGCCAACGGCCTCAAGCTCTACCAGGAGATCCAAGACCTCGGCGCCACCTACATCGCCATGGGCTGCGGCTTTTGGTACGAGTGGAGCCTCGGGCTCGGCGAGCCCTGGTACGGCTTCGACATCAAGGCGCGCACGGTCACCTTCTACGACGACGGCAAGACCGTCATCAACACGAGCACCTGGGACCAGTGCGCCCGCGCCATTGTCGCCCTGCTGAGCCTGCCCCTCCGCGGCGCCTTCCCGGCCCTGTCGGACTGGGACAACCGCGCCGTGCTGGTCTCGAGCTTCCGCGTCAGCCAGCGCGACATGCTCGACAGCCTGCACCGCGTGTTGGGCACCACCGACGCCGACTGGGAGATCAGCTACGAGCAGACGGACCTGCGCGAGAAGCGCGGGCTCAAGATGGCGGCCGCGGGTGATCTCAGGGGCATCGCGACCTCGCTGTACGCGCGGGCCTTCATGCCATCCTCCCAGTCCGACTTTGAGTCACGCCACGGCACGGACAACGAGAAGCTGGGCCTGCCCAAGGAGGACCTCGACGAGGCGACCAAGCGCACTGTGGACATGGTGAACGACGGCTTCAGCCCGATGACGCAGTTCTCGTGATCTTCCTTTGGTGATTATACGCTGCGCATACATACGAGCAGCCAACGGATATGATGCTGAATTAATTAGGGAATCCTGGACAGATGCGTTAGGGGTAGACCCTACAGTAATGGAGAAGTAAATATATGTGCCAGAGGAACCATTAATAGTGAAGGATCATTTTGTACTTTAATTCAACCATGTCAGCGATATAGGGCCTCCTGGTGCCTACAATAGCTACACGTTATACAGCATGATGGACTCTCTTGATTTGGCATGCCACTGAACACTCAGGGGGGTATGTACTACTCATTTGACTCGCCGCCTTGCACTCAAACATTCGGCTTCATGCTACAGGAAGGTGTTTGCTCTCTTATATGGCAGATGCCTCATCTGCTCTCCGGTTCACAGGTCTCTGTTAAACTCTGGAGGTGCTTGCCAGACGGTCTGGCGTATCCTCTTGCCGTGCAAGCGTAGCATGGCTAGAGGGAGTAGGAAAGCAATATTGATCATCGCTAGTACCAGCCATGCGTACTGAAACTGAATCTTGTCGGCCAACGGGACCCTGTCAACAGTTAGAATTGATCAAACCGTTTCGAAAAGGGGGGGACCTTACGCATAGAAGCTGATAAAGGCGCTGAAGATGGATCGGAAGAGGTTCAACAAACTGGAGATTTCTGAGCTTTGAGGCTTGTAGCACTAGCGAATTATTAGCTCTGGGCTCTCCCTAACGGCCAAGACACTACTTACATCGGTGGTATAAGAGTAAACACAAGTGGTCGCAACCTGCAGACCAAAGGATGCGATGCCCATGCCGAAAGCATTGCCAACCCAGCCAGTCGTTTCGTGATGGCTGATGCAGACCCCCTGAATGATGAGGCCAATGGGAAGAAGCAGCGCGAGCCACAGAGCGTCAAGCCGTGCCTCCGGCGAGCGTTCACCGTTGTGCTTCTTCGCGTGTCGATAGACGAGCCAGTCCGTGAACCAACCGGCGTTGAACTCGCCGATCAGACACCCGATAAGCAGAGGTACAGAGAGCATAAGTCCCGTAGTCTCCACGCTGAAGCCGTACTTCTCGCGGAAGACATGCGAGCCAGTAGCTGCGAAGATGACCGTGCCGTAGCTGAAGGACGTCATGTAGTACAGGCCCGGAACGAAGATGCACACATACTTGAGCATCTTGAAGGGCTTGCCCCAGTCTCGAATGTTGACGTTGCGCTTTGGCATGTGGTGAGAGCTGAAGGATATCAGGTTGAGATAGCTGTTGCTCTTGTACACCTCCCCTGGGGCTGTTTCTGCCCTTGAGTAAAGCGTTTCCGGGAGACACAGAAGGTTGAGTGCAAAGATGGCGAACTGCACATAGGAGGGGATCCTGAAGCACTGCCTCCACCCGAGACGCTGGGCGACGAAGCCACCTACAAGAGGTGCAACATGAGGTCTGGATCACGTTAGTGATAGCGCATCACCATAGTCTAGGTCGGCACTTACCCATTAGTCAGGAAAAAGGTATAGACACCCATGTAAAGCCCTCTCTCGTGGAGGAAGTACAGATCGCAAATCGTGGCCGCGCCCATAGCAACTGTGCTACCAGCCCCGATTCCGTTGAATACCCGGGTTGCTAGCAGCCCAGACCACGTCGTACAATAGCCAGCGGCAATGTTTGTGCTTGCGGCGAGGAGGTTTCCGAAAAGATAGATCGGTCGGCGGCCAAGAGTGTTGGAAAGAGGCATGATGAACAAGGGCCCGACACCGGCGAAGATCACCTGCAGTAATTAGTAACAGAACACCGGATGGATGAACATGGAAAATTTACATAGACTGTGAGCTCATAGGACGCCTCGACTGTTGTGATGGAGAAGGCCTTGCCAAGTGGAACGAATGCCGGGTTGATGACGGCTGCAGACATGTTCCCTATCAAGGCCAGCACCGAGATCTGGAGGAGCACTACCAGCTTTGCCGGGAAAGACCAGTTCTTGCGTAGTGTTAGTACAGTCTACTTCGACAGAGCGTTCTATTGAGGCCATACAAGGGGGTCATCTCCGTGGTCCGATGGCTGAGGAACTAGTGGCAAGCCGTGTCGGTCAAGCTTTGGCGGGTTCAACGCGTCTTGGATTTCCTGGTGCTCTAGTTCGCCGGCCTCCTTGGCATTCTCGGCCTCCAAGTCTGGGGCTTCGCGGTTGTCTTGTCCACCCACGGTCATTGTTCCAAAGTTGTTCAACAGAGCTTTGAAATTTAGTATAATAAAGGAGAGAGACTTGATCAAGGGAGAAATCAGGGTAAGAAGAATGAAGAAGATGAAAACAGGTTGCCCCAAATCTGAGCCCTTGGAGAAGGGTAACCGAAATTATCTGCAAGGACACCCCGTACCGGAATATCATTTGTGGAGAGATTCATAGTGAACATGGGGTACTAAGATGTCAAAGCTGTCATCAATGCGGGGGAACGTGGAGAATGCTCCGTTGGCCTCACTGCCAAGGGCCTGTGGCTGTCCACAAGCAGCATAGACAAAGCTTAAGCGAGTTAGTTTCCGCCGATCTTTGGACCGTGCCACTTCCTCCCTAGGGCAACTCGTGCGCGGCGAGTGCCAGGATTTCGGTACTGGCAGTCGGACTTACTTCGCCGACGGCCAGTGTGATGGGTGTGTCGCAGGATTGAGGGAGGTGCTGGGTAAAACGTTGTTACATCCCAGCGTGAGATCCGCCACCCCTCACATTGATCGGTCTACTTTCCGATCTCGCGGTGACCCCTCAAGATTAACTCTTCCTGCTCCCGGATCAAAACGCGAGGGTATCGCTTGTACCAACTGCTCAGAGTCCAAACCCTCAAGCATACACAACACAGGCTCTTCAAGATGTACGGAAAGATCGCGCTCGAGGAGGCCTGGGCCATCGAAGAGAACTTCAAAGCCTACGATGTCTCGAGTCTAGCTCCCAAGGGCGTCATTGGTGGTGACCTCATTGCCAATCTACTAGACGCTCATGGCACGAGATTGCAGCAGATGGATGAGAACGGCGTAGATATGATGGTCTTGTCTCTCTCCTCTCCGGGACCGCAAGGCCAAGCAGATCCAGCAGAAGCGGCCAAGCTTGCGACCCTAGCCAACGACAGACTCTCGGACGAGGTTATGAAGAACCCCAAGCGCTTCGCGGGGATGGTCTCCGTCAGCATGCATGACCCAGCCCAGGCAGGCCAAGAGCTTCGCCGTTGCTTCACTGAGAAGAAGGGTTTCGTAGGCTGCATCATCAACGATTACCAAAGCGCTGGTGACGGGAACACAATGCTCTTTTACGATGACCCGAAGTATGATGAGTTCTGGAAGGTGGCTGAGGAGATGGACTGTCCCGTCTACCTCCATCCGAGAGCCGCAACCCCTCTCATTCACGAGCAGATGTGGAAGGGCCGCCCATGGCTTGAGTTTTCCGCGCTTGGGTATGCTCACAGGGTCGGCATGCACTTCCTAGGCATTGTCACTGCCGGCGTTCTGGACAGGTTCCCTAAGCTGAAGCTCGTCATTGGCCACATGGGCGAGCATATGTGAGTGACCATTACAAACGGTGTGCATATGCATCGGATGCTGACTGCAGGTGCAATACAGCCCTTATGATCTCTATCGCATCGATCACAAGCTCAATAGGGCGCGCTTCCCAAATATGCCTATGCGAAAGGATCGGCTTATCAGGGACTACTTTGGGACGCAGCTCTTTATCACTACCTCGGGACATTTTTCCACGCCGGCACTTCTTTGTGCCATGCAAGAGATCGGAGCCCGCTCCATTATGTTCTCCATAGACTACCCATTTGAGAGCATACCAAACGGTTGTGTCTGGTACGATGAGCATGTGCCGATCAGCGGGCACGACCTCGTCGATATCGGGCGGAACAACGCACTGTCGGTTTTCTCAAAGCTGACCAACGAGGTCCATGGTCTTGAGACGAAAAGTCCACCCGACTGTGGCGTTGGCGGGCTTGGCCTGAGGAAAGGCTACGAAGGGGAGAGGGAATACGGCCTGTATAATAGGGACTGGAGTCAGAGGCGGAGGTAGACAAACTTCTACTACATAGCTACATGTTGAGATGTAAGTGTCTCGTCTCACCACGTAACTCCAGACAGCCAACTTCTGTAAATTTTCATTCATGTGAAACAATCAAGCTCTAGAGGATAAGATGCAGCAATAGCATTGGATGGTTGTATCTGCCAGCACTATCTACCCATCGCTCGTTCAATCTCCGCAAGCGCGGCCAGGACCTTCTCATCGAAGTGCCTTCGACCAATCACCTGTAGACAGACCGGCGCGTGGACATACTTTTCCGGTTCATACATGTCGTATACGAATTGATCATCGGCGTTCTTGGGGACATAAGATGCATCTTTCAAGTCCCTGGCAGGATCAACAACCGTCACGGGAAATACCGCACCTGGGTAGTCAAGGAGGTTCCAATGCGCTGTGTATCCCCAGTATCTGGACTGGCCGTGGGGTGTTGCAGCACCAAAGGACGGAGGGCATAGAATGACATCGACTTCCCTGCCGTCGGCATCGGCTGTTTTGTTCCAAGCGTCAGAATAAGCTTGCCGATAGGCATCACGTTCGGCACAACGCTATAAGTTTGAAGAGATCAGTGTCTATTCCGAGCTGAGAAAGCGAAAGAGTGAACTCACATCCCAAAGTTCTTGCTGCGTCAACTTTTTCACTGTTGGCTGTTCATGGATAATGAACTTGGTAAGGGGTAGAACGGGCTCCCCGGACTCCTTTATGATGTTGAGAATATGCTCCCCGCCGTCAGGGAAGTAAAGCGAAGACACAATGTCCCAAGCCTTGCTGTGGTCGATACCAGGGCACCAGTCAACTACTTCCATACCGGCCTTTCTGCACGCCTCTGCGACTTCTTTCAACGCTCGGGTCATGGGCGGATGCGGTCGAACTACACCGTCCCACCACTGCACAGCAATCTTAGGTGGGCGATCGAATTTGTAGGGCGTCCACTCCTTGACCATGAGAGAAGCATCGCGACGCCAGGGCTTAGCTCCGATGGCGATCTTCATGAACAGCTCCAGGGCCTCTCGATCAACAGCCATGGGCCCTGGTGTAGAGATGATAGCTTCCTTGCCTACCATATGGGTCATCTGACCCATCACAGAGATCCGTTTCAGTGATGGCCTGAGCACAGTCAGCTAGATAGCACATAGACGCTGGCTGGGGATATCGCCACGGACACAAGCACTTACTTGAACCCATAAATGCCACAGTGAGCAGCAGGACAGCGGATACTGCCGCCAATGTCGCCGCCAATCCCCTACTCTGCTCAGTACAAGCAGTATGATCTCTGGAGCAATGTTCTTACCAGGATACTGCCTCGCATGCCAATCAAGGCCGATTCACCGCCCGTACTCCCACCCGGTGTCAGGTTGCGGTTGTGTGGGTTCACAGTCCGCCCATAGACATTGCTCTCCGTCTCCAAATGCATGATGGTCTGAGGTTGGGTTGTACGGGCGTAGAAAACACATCCTTCTTCCCAAAGAAGGTCACAAAGAATATTCGAGCCATGCTTCTTGCCGATCCATGCGACGAAGGAGGCAGTGGACTCGATATTACGGCCGATACCACCCTGGTGCTCCTTCGTGGAAATGGGTAAGCCAAACAGTTGGCCCTTCGGTTCGGGCAAAGAATCCAGATACCGTGCACGTTCGATGGCATCGTCCCACAGCAGATCCGTGAGGCAGTTCGTCTAGCAGCTATTGTTAGAAAAACTCTCAATACTTGAGTAATAAACAATATGATGTAAGTGGTCTTACAGCTGCCTGCGCCAGCGCTGCACGCCTAAGAAATGCTCTCGTCACCTCCTCGACAGAGAATTTCCTGGTACGCAAAGCCGTCAAGAGTTGCGTGATTGTATATTCTTCCGTTATCTTGAGCTCCTTCTCGGTCAGGACAATCTTTGGCAAACCAAGAGAGTTGACTGGAAGCTGGTCGGGGATGCCGTCAAGTGGGGGCTCGACCTTGGCAAAACCGGCCTCCCGTTTGGTCTTGGCTTCCGAAGCTCTGACTTCCCATGTCACAGTCATATTGGCGGATTTCGACTTCAAGAAATTCTAGGAGAACGGAAGCAAGGTCGCCAAGCTGGACTGGCAGTTCTCAAGGTGTATCTAATTCGGCGAGTACGTAAAGCTGTGACTTGAAACCCGTACTATTCAACATATATAGATGCTAGGAATTGGGTCGTGTGGGTACAAAGCAGTCGTGAATTCGGCGAATATGTAAGTAGGATAATGGATAATGGCGGGGTGAGGAGACGAGAGCTAGTGTCCTTGGGCTTGGACTCAAGCTTACGCCGAACACGCCGATGCCGACCCGCTCTTGTAGCCGTCACCGCACTCCGACGCAAGGGCCCGACAAGGTCCGCGGCCAAGTACATTCGGAGTCACGTCACACAGACTGTCCGTCCACACAACAGACAACTGTCGACCCTCGACTCTTCCTCTCCGCAATTTCTCTGGTCATGCAGAATGATGAGTCAATACGATGTTGGCTTAAGCTAAGGACAAGTCTGACTAATAGTATCATTGCGAAATGGGGTCATTGACCACGTTGAAACCGGCCTGATTCCCCATCTCAGGGTCAAACATTGAGCCGTGATCTGGAAAGCCATAGTGCCAGCCACCAGAAAGCTGTAGCCAGATAGACTGCAGACTGATCGACTTGGCCGACGTATCAGAGGTCGCAAACTTGACGGAGGACTGCAAGTTGGGTAGCGAAATGATCGAGGGGAACCCGTCGCCAGGTTGCGGCCGGAAATCATTGCCAGACTCATCATCATCCGCCGCTGTCGCCGCACCTGGCTCCTCGCGACCGAGGAAGCCGTCGTGCACCTCGCCAAGATACGCCGCCTTGTACAAGTCGTGCATGGCATCAAGCGACGTCAGCCACTGTCTAGCCGCCTTCCACTCGAGGCCCCAGGATGAGATGAGCTGGTGGACTAGGTCAAAGTAGTGATTTGCTCTCTCTCGCACGTTGGGCGCAGTGCATATCTCGTCCTCGGCGTAACGAAGCCACAAGAAGGTGTTTGCCACGATCAGGACTGAACATGCCACCCAGACGCTCTGTAGTGGGGATTTGCCGGGCCGCTGGTACGTAGACACCAAGAATTGAAGCATATCCCCGACCTTGAAAGCATTGGAGACGCACTCCTCGATGAGTTGCGGGTCCCTGTGTAGATAGGAGAGGCCGGCCGCATCCACGAGGTCAACTAGCTTTGTGAAGAGCGTAATATGAGGCAGATAGCACTGTAGGGCCACGCAAGAAGCACTGCAGAGAAGGAAGTGCATTGCCGTGAATGACCTGCCCTTACCCAGTACGGCTTGGCCATCATAATTTTGCGGGCTCCAGGCGAGACCGCCGGGGAGCGACTCGATCCAGGACTGCAGCGCAGAGTTTCGGATGAAGAACATACTCCGCAGGTCCGTCGGCGGATATGGATCGACCTGTCTTCGTGAAGAATTGGCGAAGTCCGCCATGTCACTCCAGACACAGACTGTTTTGATGAGGTATGGATGCACACCCAGATCCGACGGCCTCCGATAGGCGCTCAAGTTGCCCAGGGTAACGCCTCTTGACTCGTCTTGATATGCGAGCGAAGAGTCGGTACCTGGAACAGCAATCGTTACGGTTTCTAGACTTAGCGTGCGATGCTTGCCCAAGAGATAGGCTAGAGCTCTGTCAAACAGCAAGCAGGCCCAGAACGTCCTTCTGCGAATCTCCTGCTCCTTGAGGCTGTGCTTCTGGTGAAATTCTTTGTTGAGCCGCATGATCTCTGCCATGCGGATTGCTATGCCCGAGAATAGCCAGTGACGAGAACCCGAGTTGGATAGCAGTTCGGCCATAGCCAGGATCAAGTTTCCCTGAACGTGTGCAACTGGTTGATTGGAAGCTTAGTATCAGATCCGAAGGTCTGTCGAGGATGGCTCAACATACCAGAGGGTTCATCAGAGGACATCTTGGCCAAGAATCTCGCTTTGTGACCGTATGCCTTGGATACTTCCTGAGCCGACGAGAGCCCGAAGACGCTCTGTGCGACCTGAGGGCCCAGATACCGGCCACAGAGTGCGACCACCGACGACGCAAGCAGCGGATCTTGTCGACATTTCTGTTCGAAGTCTGGCTGGTGGTCGAAAGAGCAGAAGTCACTGGCAAAATGACGTTCAAAGAACAGATCGAGACACAGCAACAGGCCCTCCGGGGAGAGCTCCGCTCCGGTGACTGATGGAGAGGACGGCGAGGCTAAAGGGATGACGCTGCCGGCCGTCGGGTCGAATGAACTCGGCGTTAAAGGCGAGGTCAGCGGCCCGGTTGGCGGTGCGGTCGGCGGCGCATACGCTTGGACCTCTGGAGCGGGCCACTCGCACTCGAGATTCTTCGACCGGCAGTGCCCGCAGCGAGGGCGGACGCCATCGCACTTGGTCTTCCGGCGCCGGCTGGACGGGCAAACATTAGCAAAGGCGTGATCCGGAGAGGAGCCCCATCACCTGTCGGATAAGCTCAATCAATCGCACATACCACAAGCTGCAGGCCTGCGGGGTCCTCGTGAATGTTCGGCTCATGTCTTCGAGGTGTGGAGGGTGAAAGGCGGAAAACCCGGGTCTGGCGGAGGTGTGCAGGATATTTGGCTGTCAGGGACCAGGGGTGAAATGATAAGACAGAGTCTCAGACGGAACGAGGCCGAAGGCACATCAGTTATCAGCGGCGATCCTGCTCCACTACCCCGTCAACAGGGAGCCGGAAAGATGGAACAATGGTCAAAGAAGGAAATTGATCGTGATGATGCACAGCGAAGAGTGTGGAGTGATCCGAGACCTCGCCGAGTCAATCAGTTGAGGCGAAGACGGCGGAAGAAATGGAGCTTCCCCAGATAACATCACGTGTGTGCTAAGATGCCCCAAATCGCGCTGACGGATATCCCGACGCTAAAAAGTGCTCGGAGATTGTGAATAATCACTTGCGCTTCAATGATGGGGATTGATGTCCCATGGGGAATCGCATCCTGCCTCCGGGGACAGTTTAAATGTGGCGCCAGAGTATGAAGCCGTGTCTTACATTCCTGCCAAGACATGCCAATCCGGGCACTTGAGTCGCATTAGACAAGACCGCAACAATGAAGTTTTGCCTTGGCTTTCCTCTCCTAGCTATCGCCAATGCCGTCCTGGCGGAGGAATATGTCCTGCACAAGGGATGTCCTTCCACCGTGGGGATGCTGGGGAAGCCTCTGAGGGACATGGTACAGAACCTCACATCTTACACAGTCCCTCGCAACTACGGCAGTGCCAGTCACCACGAAGTTCACCCCTTGGAGCCCGGCTCAGCTAATATTGTGGCTCGCCATGGCACGATCGTGTCACTTTTTGCCACGGGCAAACGGCGACTCTATGCCGATGCCAACGGTACCCTCTTACCCGACGCGGAGCAAGAGGACGCGACAATCGATACCATCTACGACATGGCGAGTCTGTCCAAGCTTTTCACGGCCGTAGCTGTTCTTCGTGAGATCGATGCCGGCCGTATTGCCCTCAATGCGACTGTGGTCACCTACCTGCCCGAGTTCGGTGCCAATGGGAAAGAGGATATTACCATCCTCGATCTCTTGACGCACACAAGCGGGCTCAAGCCTGACCCAGTGCCGGATCTATGGTCAGGAAACTACACATCCATCGACCAGAAAGTTCACGCCCTTCTTACTCTGGCTCCACAAGCGCCCCGGCAAACCGAGTTTATCTACTCAGATATCAACTTCATGACACTTCGTTATGTCCTGGAGAAGGTCACGGGTAGCACCCACGATCGTTTGATCTATGCGTATACCGTTCCGCTTGGAATGACGTCAACGCATTTCAACCGAGGAAATGTCGAGGGCCCGCTCAACCCTTTTTACCACAGGACCGCGCCGACCGAGTTTGAAATTGAGGTCCAGGGTCCCCTGGAGCCCAAGAGACCTCAGCCCGTGCGAGGCACCGTCCACGACGAGAATGCATGGGCTCTCGACGGCGTCTCCGGACATGCGGGCCTCTTCTCAACTGTCGAGGACACGGCTATCTTCTGCCAGATGATTCTCAACAACGGTACCTACAACGGCTTCAAGGTCCTGTCTAAAGAGGCTGTCGATCTGATCTTCACCGATTTTAATGCCAAGTTTCCCGGGAATGACTACGGAACCGGATTTGCCCTCAGCCAGTACTACACCCAGGGACCTATGCAAAGTCTGCAGACGGCGAGCCACTCTGGTTTTACCGGAACAACTTTGGCGATTGACAGGCCCTCTGGGACATTCTGGCTGCATTTTGCCAACCGTGTCCATCCGAGCAGGGCTTGGTCGTCGAATAACCTGGTGCGCGAGGCTATGGGGTACTGGGTTGCCAAGAGTCTTGGCAGAGATGTCGCCTTTCCGTGATCAGTTGTGTAAACTAGGAACTCCTCTAGATAAGGGCTTGAAGAATAAATAGCCAAGTATGTTTGAAGCATATAAAGTGAGGGCAATATAGGGGTTTTCTGAGCCGGACACATCTAGGCTGCCAGTGATTCAAAGTGACTTTGCATGAAGTGACATTAGAATCTATCTCGCCAGAAATAATCAGAACAGTAAACAACGCTTCCCAAATATGAACCGTCCATTCCAATAGAATTCTCCGTTATTATGGCTCTATGTAAATCATTCTAATAGTATCAGTGATTCAAACACTACCACCTCCCTTTCGGACTCAGCGGCGATGTAGGCTCGGGGATGTTGGCGCCGTCCCTCTCATAAACTAGAATACCAAACTTCCAAACCTCGTCAATCACTAGCTGTGGAGCCCCATTCGGCGCTTTGGTCTCAGAAAAGACCACCAGATCTGCGTCAGCTCCGGGGTTCAGACTGCCTTTCCTGTCCTCGATCTCCAGCATGGCTGCTGGTGTAGCTGTGACAGCCTTGAGAGCCTGAGGGATGGATGAGATTGACCACTCAAGAAAGTTATTGACGCACTCCATCAGCGTAATGCAGCTGTGAAATAAATTGTCAATATGTATCTTTTCATCTGCTCTCCATTCTGATCGGTTCACATACCTTCCCGCAATCTTGTCGGTTCCTTCCAGACGCAAGGTCGGCCCCTTTTTGATGATGGTACTCTGAACCTCTCCGTTCATCCACGGGTATCGTCCGTCCGGCAGACCGACCAGGGGCATAGAGTCGGTAATTAGAATGAACCCTTCAGGATGAGCATTAAATGCGATCTTGATAGCTGTGGGATGAAGGTGGACCCCATCGGCAATGATTCCAAAGTAGGGCCGGTTCGCGGCGTCTGCCGTGCCAAGAACACCGAAGATCCCGGGGTTCCGGTGGTGAAGCGGCCTCATGGCGTTGAAGAGATGGGTGATCATAGTGGCGCCCTGGGCGACGGCTTTCGAGGCCTCCTCATACGTCGCTTCCGAGTGGCCCACCGAGCAGATGATACCTCGCTCTCGCATCTGGGGGATCAGGTCTGACATGTTGCCCTGCTCAGGGGCGATGGTGACCATCTTCACAGCTGACGTGTTCGACCCGCTCTTGATGCCTGGGGCTCCCAGATTCTCAGTGCCGTAACAAGCTTCGATATCGTCGAAACCGTTGGCTTCGATGAGGACATTGACGTCGTGGATGCCGTTCTTGGTAGGGTTCAAGAATGGGCCCTCGCAATGCACGCCGAGCGACTCAGAGCCATCTTGGGCACTGACTGATTTCTTGCTTCTGAGAATAGGTAGGACCTGATTTGAAGCGTCAGCCATGACCGATAGCAAATGAGTCCTGTCCCGCGGTATCCCCGTTACCTTGTGGTACAACTCTGACTTTTGACTTGTCAGGGTCGGCGTGTAGGAAGTCACCCCGGTCTCAACAAGTCTCTTGTTGATATCCCTCAGAGTCTTTGCATACTGCATCATACTCTCGGGGAGGGACGAGAAGTTAAAGCCGTAGGCGCCGTTGAGCTGCACATCAATCATTCCGGGTGACACGATACGCCCTTGAAGATCGATGACGCGGTCCGGCAGAGCGCCCGCGCTGAAGAATGTGCTTTGACTGGACAGGATTGTTCCCGTCTTTGAGCTGAACCAGAGATCTGCCGGCTCTAACTTGTCACCTCGCGCAAGTCGGCAGTTGGTGAACTTGGTGATACCGCTCCATTCCGATGACGATGGAGCAGGCATTTTGCCCGCTTAGACGAATTGCAGTCGATACTAATGCTGTTTGTAAAGTCGGGAGAGGTTCTCTTGAAGTCTTCCGTTGCTCCAAGGTGTCAGTGAGAGTGTATGTACGAGGGAGGTGTTGTGGATATGATGTCTGCGTAAATAAATGCCTACGACATCCTCCTTCGGCGATGATGTTCGAGTCAAGAGGATGTCGTTCATGGGTCAGAGATAGAGATCTGATTGGTCCATTTCGATACAAGTCGCCCCACTGTGAGGGAACAGAGACATGTCTGGCCCAACCTCCTCTCCGTCGGGTTTTCCGTCAAATATCCATTGTTAGCGCCGGCAATCTGCCAGATACCTCGACTTTAGTATGTCCAGGGTCCCTGAATGGGAATCGAACTGAAGGCAATTGAGAACACCTTACAAACACGTGCCACAGCTCGTGGGGTTGAGGGATTCGGTGTTGATAGGATGGAGCGTTGGAAAAGGCGTCTCACGGCTAAGAGCGGCTGTTGAAAACAAAATCTGTAGAGCAGCATGAGTTCTTGAAGGCCTGCTGAGTTACGATCACATTCACGCACAACAAGATGCTTGAGATAGATTTGTACGAGTTAGCTATTTCTAATTCAATGCTCGTCTTTATGACCCCACGATCTTGATGCTACCAAGTACGCCGTGATTGCCAAAGTCTGGCTCTTGGACTACTTGTTTCATCAGCTCCCTGTAGTTGTCTCCTGGAGTAACAACGCCCATGATGGAGGGTTCTAGGGATTCTGAACCCTGCGCCAAAGGAACAGTCTGTCCAGAAACGCACAGGAAGCCGAGTAGAGCGAACATTACTGCCTCTTTGGCACTTGCTTCCAGCTTCATTGGAGCATCATCAAGCTTCAAGACTTTGCTATCTGGAAATCGTGCCTGAAGATGCTTCAGTATGTTGGGGTTGTATGCGCCACCCCCGCAGATATAGATCTCGTCAATATGGTCTCCATCCTTGACCAGCGGCACCACGAAGTTGTCATACGCTCTCGCGATTGACTCGGCAGTTATGCGGGTTATCGTCGCTATGATGGCTTCTGGTGACTTGCCCGATGCCCTCATTTGGTCTACGAGTCTTCGAGCAACGTCGTCGGAGAAGAGCTCTCGTCCGGTCGTTTTGGGCGGCTGCTGATTGAAGTATGGCTCGGAAGCTAGGTAGTCAGCGACCGCCTTCTCGTCGATCTCCGCTTCGCCGCGAGCGCCGAGAGCGCCATCGCAGTCGTAATGTTGTTTGCTGTCGGACAGGATGCGCACAGCAGCATCGATGAAGACATTGCCTGGTCCAGTGTCGAACGCAAAATAACTCGACTCTGCACCTTTGGCTTTCTTCTGCCCGACCAAGACAGTCGCATTGCCTACAGATAAAATTGTTAGATTCCTGATGGACATACGCATAACCAACCTCGAGCAGACTTACCCATGCCGCCAATATTTTGGCTGATCCGTACTACGCCTGGATCCGACAGCAGACAGGCCTCGAAAAAGCCGGCCAGCGGTGCACCTTGCCGTCCAGCGGCCAGTTCTGCAACGCGGAAGCCTGACACAACGGTTCTGGTGCAGTTTAAGGTCAGTCTCGTCTGGAATAAGTAGGCACAGCGTGCAACACACCTCTTAGTTTTCTGTGCAATCACAGCAGGCTCCGCCATTTGCAAAGTTGACCGGTTTTCGCCATTCGGCTGGTGCCACAATGTCTGCCCATGACTGGCCACGATGTCGACCTTCGCCAAGTCGATCCCCGATTCTTGAATAGCGCGAGCAAACTCTCTGCCCAGGGCAAAGTTCAGATCGCACACCTCAGCCATTGACGTGGCCGCATCCTTTTGGTTTGGCCGACATAAGCGCAAGACCTGAGACCGAAGATCAGGGTTGACTGGAATCTCAGCATATGACAGCACTTCTATTGCCACATCGTTCGACGAAGGGATGTGCGAAATGCGACAGTGGGCAACATCGATGCCTCTGTTATGTTAGCCAGAAGAACTAAAAGGAGCCCCCAATATGCAGAGGAAGTACGTACCATCGATACTGGTCCCGCAGTTCAGCCCCAGAACATTGAGTCCAACCATTTCTCAGGTGTTTTCGGCCGTGTTATAGTAAGAAGATGTTGACTGATGGATGGGTTCCGCGCAGCAGCTTGTACAAGCCAGAGAGTTACCAGCAGATGGTGTTCAAGCCAGATGCCCAAGATCAGAGTATGCAGCAACCCTCAAGAGGAATCTTGGTATATAGGCAAGCCTTTCACCCAGCAAAGACGCGGGGGATCTGTATTGTCGCATGCATGCACACCCATGGGCTTGGCATCTGTCACCAGATGTGATAGTCTGGTCTGTTCCGTAGCTCCGGAGGCTCACCTTTGTCACCTCATACTGCCAAGGGCACTTGTTGCCATTCTTTCGATTGAGACCTGAAAAGTTTGGTTCGACTCCATTCGTCACAACTCAGCAGTTCGGAAGGCCCACTGAGATAGCGCGCCCAAGTCACTGAATCATTTCGGATGGCCTAGTTTGACCCTCTGTGGGAGCCGATCACCGGCCTTCTTTAGCGTGGGTTTAAGTGCACCTCTCTAAGACTCGCCTCTCGGCATCCTCGGCATCTCAACGTCCCAGGGCCGTGGTCTTGGAAATCCATTCTAGTTGATTGTGGGGCCGACGGATAAGCCGAATGAGTGATCCCATGAGCTGTCAATTGCCAGAGTTACTGGGTAACTAGATTACCTCGAACAGCCTGACGGGGGGCTACTGCGGCGTAGTTGTAGCAAGGCCCATACGGTTAGCGGACCGGAAGAGCAGTGGACTGCGTCATGTTAGTCGTTATCTATGCAACAGTATCACATGTCATACCACAGCATCTCCTCGATAGGTCTACTATTTACAAGCAAATTATTTAGCGATCCCGGTGGATGTTGAGTATACCGTGGAAATATTGTGGTTATCTTATTCGAACATCATGAGACTCATCGTCCGTGACGATGCTGCGGCAGCGGCCAACTATGTCGCCCAATACATCCTGAATAGACTCAAGGAGTTCAAACCAACGGCCGACCGTCCGTTTGTTTTAGGATTACCTACTGGTAGCAGCCCAGTCGAGGTGTATAGAATCCTAGTTGAGCACTACAAAGCGGGAGATGTGAGTCTAAACTCCAGGTGCGCATAGCAACATGTTGATAACAGTTTCTCTCAGGTCTCCTTCGAGAATGTGGTCACCTTTAACATGGACGAGTATGTCGGCCTCCCGCGCGACCATCCTCAAAGCTACCATTCCTTCATGTGGAAGCACTTCTTCTCGCACGTGAATATCCGGCCTTCGAATGTTCACATCCTTGACGGAAACGCGCCCGATCTGGAGGCCGAGTGCGCTCAATACGAGGCAGCAATACGAGATGTGGGTGGTATTGACCTCTTCCTTGCTGGGATTGGTGAAGATGGCCACATTGCATTCAATGAGCCCGGGTCGTCACTAGCTAGCCGGACACGGATCAAGACCCTCGCATACGACACCATTCTGGCAAACTCGCGATTCTTCAACAATGATGTCAACCAGGTGCCCGCCATGGCTCTCACCGTTGGCGTGCAGACCATTATGGACGCCCGTGAGGTCGTGGTCATCGTGCTTGGTGCGCGCAAAGCCGTTGCGTTGAAGAAGTGTATCGAGTCTGGCGTGAACCACATGTGGACGTTGTCCGGCCTTCAGCTACACAAGCATTCTATGGTTGTCGCGGATGAGGACGCTACGCTCGAGCTCCAGGTCAAGACTGTGAGAGTAAGTCTACCCGTAGATTGAGTCCCCTCATAAGACAAAGTAGACCATGCTGACAAGCGTGCTTGACTTTAGTACTTCAAGTCTATCGAAAAGATCGCCCGGGAGAGAGGCTTCGAGCAAGCTCTTCCAAAAGGGCTTCGGGATGGGCGAGTGACAGAGCCCACAACCACGAAGATAATGGTCAACGGAATTCATTCCCCTCTTGCAACGAGAGACTTTGAGGGTCAGAGCTATCTCCTCCGGGCAAACAACCCAGTTCTCGCGGCACCTTCATCCAGATCGGTTACACCTGAGCCTACACTAGATAACATGATGTCTCGTATCGGTAATTGAGCAATATGGTATTCGCCATTCGGCCGAAAAGGAATTCAATCGAACTAGTCTGGCTCCATAGGGACGTGGAAAGTAGGATTAAGGCTAGATACAAAGTTTGAATACGTAGGAGAGATAAGTGGTCTTTGCAACAGAATATGCGACGATAGAGACAATACCCCCATGGAGTTAGATCGACAGAGTTATGACCTTGGCTCATGTAAGGATGCTTCTTTGATAATTGAAACACAAGGTCCAGGCAAGAGTTGAGAGTTCAGGGTGAGACACAGATTCGTGGTTCCAAAGACCAATTGTTTTCAGAACTTAATATTATGCCGTCTATTTCGTTATGCCTCAAGAACATATCGTCCTCACTAACATGACGGCCTTTGGTGAGCATAAGAAAACGGGAGGTGACTCCTCTGTTACGCACCAACCCCAAGCATGAATGTTCACGTAGATTTCTCTGGGTCTTTGTGATCCTTCACTGTTGGGTCTTCACTTCAGTCACCCTTTCACTAGTCACGACCTCTTCTCCGTCAAGCTTACTCTCGAGCTCCGGCTGAGGTACGTGTACGTTGGCGGTTCGCTTGTCTTGCCACCAGACCACGCCGATCCAGAGAGCAAGGCTGACAACAACCACAACCATGGTGATAGTTCCTTTGTGGAAACCCTACGCGTTGGTTAGAAATCGGTACCTTGATAGGTTGGTTCGAATCTGGTTGCTTACTGTTTTGGCGTCGGTGGCAGGGTAGAGAGCAATACCCCAGAAAGCGTAAAGAACGGATGACGCTCCTATCATGATCGGATTCCGGTTAGTTGCAGGCCGGACAATTAGGAAGCAATCATAACTAACCATTCATGGCATAGAGAGTAACTGCCCGAGCGGCATCATCACCGCCACGCGATAGCAGTTCGCTGGCCCAGACAAAAACGACAGGCTGGATCAGGTAAGCGGTTCCAGCAAGGTCTGCATGCCATGGTTAGTACTGGTAGTTGTTCAGCGCAAGTCGGCGTCTTACAGTAAGCAGCCATCTTGGCCCCAGTGCCAACCACGTTCCAGTTGAGAAGAATGATGCAAGCAATGAGCTGAACCAGGCAAGCGAACAGCCCATATGGGCCATGCACCTTGGTGGCATCGATAGCGACTGATGTTACGAGCGTGAGAACTATTCCGATGGCGGTGATGCCGAGCGGATAGTTGTTGTTCTGGGGCACCGTAAACTCGCCCGACGCCCTCATCCAGAGGAGCATGCAGGTCTGGGTGGAGAAGGCTTCGAGGGCGCCACCAAGCATCCAGAAGACGTTGAAGATCCAGCTGGAGATAAATGGTCAGCGACAGTCAATGGATTCAAGAGGATGTCGGAGAGACGAACAAGTTGGGAGTGAACAAGACGCGCTTAATCAATGAGAATCCGATCTTGTGGCCGTCGGGGTTCTTGGGTGGCAAGCGGCTCAGAGCAAGTTCGCGCTCGTGCGGCTTTAAGAAGAAGGCAGTTGTCGTCTCGGGAAGGTCTGGGAAGAAGATGAACCCGAAGATAGCTACAGGGATCGTGATGATGCCATCGATAATGAAGGACTGGTATTCCGTAGAGATTAGCGAATGTATAGATGAAACCAGGCGAAGTCCAAACGTTACTTACCCATCGCCAACCCGGGAGTCCAGCGACACCGTTCATCGTTTTCCAGATGGCTGTCATCATAATACCTAGCAGACCCCTGGGTTAGATCAAGTCCGCATGCAGAGCGCGGGGAGACATAGACGTACCAGCAAACATTGTCCCCACCATGCCGGACGCCTGGAAGAGTCCAATTCTTTTACCGACCTCGGGGCCTTTATACCAACTACCGATGATGTACTGAGTGCCACTGTATGTCGATGCCTCGATCATTCCTTGGAAGAAGCGAACAGCGGCAAGATGGGAGAACGAGTTGCAAGCAGCGCAGACCATGGTAAGACCAGCCCAGAGCAAAGTCATGAGTGGGAACCAAATCCGAGGAGCGACTTTCTGAATGACCAGTCCATGTGGGACTTGCCCGACGATGTCTGCATGGTATTATGGATTAGACTGCTGTCGAATCAAGGGAAACGCAGGCGCAGGAACCTACAGCCAACTGCAAGACAAGTGACCAAGAGGTTGTACTGGTTGCCCGTAATGTTGATATCCTCCTTCATCCCGGATACGTATGCGTTGCCGAGAACAGCACGATCTTCAAGTAAAGCTATTGTCAGTTGAACGATACTTTATCAGCCGGGGAACGAGTGTCACGCTCACCAAGGTAGTTGAAGAAGAACGCAACGCAGCAGTACGTCTGTAGTTGCGGTCAATAGGTATTTTCCACCTTGGTCTTTCGGTGTCTTAGACCTACCAGAATGGACGCATCAATCTTCCGCAAGAGCTACAGGTATTATATCAGCAGGTGAAGCTCATCGACAGACATATCTTGTACTCGATCTACGCACCTTGCGTTCCTCGGGTGTTTCTGGGGCCTCTCCCCAAACCGCCACGCGCAAGTTGTGAAGTTTGGCACCCATCGTGATTCGAATGTTGGAAGCGTTAAAAGTCTTGCGAGTAAAACAACGACTTCGGAATGAAGAGAGATGCTGAAGAAGAGAACAGCAGATCGAGCCCGGGGTTAGATCACAGCCTTTTAAGAGCCACAGAAAGCCAAGAAAGCCCAGAATCGTCTTCACCTTGGCCAAAATGTGAAGACGGGATGGAGATGGTCTGGACTGACTCCCAATCTCTCAGCTGCTTTTTCAGATCCCCACGCTCTTCCAGTGAGATAACAGCCCCGGAGACGGAGACAAGGGGGCGACAAACGCGAGCTAACGGCGGCCAAGGCCTACCCCGTGGGTACAGACAAGGACTCGCGCGATGCCCTCGTGCACTTCGCTCGTCCAGGAGCGGAGAATTTCTCTTCCTGTCGAATTCTGCTTCAGCCATGCGGCGCCGTTCCTCGACTCTCCTTAGCGCCACCCGATATGCCGGAGTTGGTGTGGGTAAGCCAAGAACAGTTAGCGGCGGAAAACCCGAGATAATGGAGCTTCAGGGTCAGCGTTCGGGTTGCCCGCTAGCGGATCCGATAGGTCATGCACATTGTAACTCTCCACCTCTGTTCGCCTCTCCCGTCTGGGATGCTGAGTCGGTCAGCTGGTTGCCGCGCCTTCCAGTGTCCCTTGTTCAGCTTTGAGCGGCATCTGTCACAATCTTTAAACGCAAGCCCGCATGCCTCAAGACGGCTGATAAAGATAATGCACGACTATTTTCCTATCTACGAGATCTGAGTGTAGCCAGCCCGACAACATCAACAGTTCGCCATGGCTGTCACACTCGATACCCTGCAGACGGAGCAGAAGAATACGAAAACGGTCAACATTGACGCAGTCGATTCCTTGCGGATATGTCGTAAGTCGGCCAAGGAACAGTGTGAGGCAAAGTGCAAGACTAATAAACGCGTGATTGGGCATAGAAATCATCAATGAGGAGGATGCCACAGTCGCCAAAGCTGTCCAAAAATGTCTACCCCAAGTGGCAGCCGTCATTGACGCCATCGTGCCGCGTTTATTGATGGGCGGTCGTGTCGTGTACACTGGTGCTGGTACTAGCGGGAGGTAATGAGAAGTTCCAACCTTTCCTTGTGGACAAATCACTTATCTAGGTTGGATATTTTAGGCTAGGTATACTGGATGCATCTGAGATGTAAGTTGGCTATTCCCATATTGTACGAAGTATTTCCGCTTATCAATCTATGTACTACAGACCACCGACATTCTCTGCACCGCCTGAGCAATTTGTAGGCCTGATCGCTGGTGGAGACCACGCGATACGGAACGCTGTTGAAGGTGCTGAGGATTCCGAAGAGCTTGGCCAGACCGATCTTGAAGGCCTATCACCGCCTCTCAACAAGGACGACGTTTTGATAGGGATTGCTTCGTCTGGTCGAACGCCGTACGTGCTTGGTGGCCTCAAGCACGCTCAAGCCGTAGGAGCAGTCACCGTTGGTCTAGCCTGTGTTTCTCCAAGCGCTCTCGAGGAGTGCTGCGATATTGTTATCGAGTGCGTGACCGGCCCTGAGGTCGTCACTGGAAGCACTCGGTTGAAAGCTGGGACGGCGACTAAAATGGTGGGTTCAATTACTAGGAATTTGGTCGTTGTTTGAGCTAACATTAGGCCCTGCTTTTAGATCTTGAACATGATATCGACTGGATCGCAGATCCTGATTGGTAAAACATTTGGGAACTTGGTGAGTTATATATCGCTCCTCTACCACGGAAGATAGAGAATATTGCTAACCCGGCAACCAGATGGTGGACTTGAAAATGTCCAACGAGAAACTCCGAGACCGAGCACGCCGAGTGGTCCGCTCCATTGTCCCGTCCACCGCTGCACTAGATGTGAACAACGAGGAGGTGCTCGATGACATCCTAGCCAAATGTGACGGCCAAGTCAAGCTCGGCATCCTCATTGCTACATTAGGCTGTAGCCCAGAGGAAGGTAGAAAGAAGTTAGAGGCCTCGGCAGGATCTCTGAAAAAAGCCATGGAGGTCCGATGAGCATTAATAACACTTAGAATACAAGCGATTTCTTGATTGTGTATATAAAACGTGGTAGACTAATAGAGATATGTGCAGGTACATCCTAGAATGCAAATGTGTACAGTTTTTTTTCCTGCGGATTTGGCAGGGGGGCTGGCGGCGTCGTCAGAGACGCTGAGTTTCCATGGAGATATGGTGCATATTTTTGTGACCCTCACATCAGGATATCGTGTTAGAAGTTTCTACACGTCACAAAAGCAAGTCCGTAGTTTCATCGTAAACATTGATGAATTGCTGCTATCTTCGACAACTCTGGTTCCAATAGGATCAAATACATACAGCCGATAGATCCTTTATCCACCCCGACATTCCTCATCCATCATTCCATCAATAACCATATCACCTAATGACCTGTTCCTTAGGCCTCTTCATGCGTTACTGCCTTCGATTCAGTTGGCGGCGGGGTGTACCCGGCCTCTTGCTCCACAGCCGTATGCTTCGAGACAGTCCATACCGCCGGCAGAGAAATGACAAGCGATCCAATGCACAGTCCCCAGTCCATTGCAAACTGCGTCCTGCTGCTCGTTCCCACGGCGTTGACGCGCCACGCCATGGCTCCGCCGGTGGCCTGGAACGTCTTGTATGCGCCAACGAGGACAGCAGCGCGCGCGGTGCTGTTGGACTCGGTGCCAATCAGCCAGTACGAGAAGCCCTGCCAGAGTGCGTCATACGCCCCATAGAAGATGTACAGGAAGATGGGCCCGGTGGACAGACTCCCCTCCGTGTAGTCGATGTCTTGCTTGTGGCCCTGCTGCATTCGGTCCTCGTGCCAGTTCTCAAATGCGAGGCCGCCGCCCCAGATCGCCATTCCAGTGACGAAGAGGAAGACCCATCCGAGGCGGGCGCGGTGGGAGCGGTCGAGCCACGGCATATCCAGCAGCAGACCGATCAGTAGACCACCGAGCATCTGCGCCAGCCAGTAAAGAGCACTGTTGAGGGATCGGGTGCGGATGTTGAAGGTCAAGCCGTTGACGTTGTTCTGCTGGTAGCTGTAGAACACGTTGGCAGAGAAGAAGAGCGGGATCATGCAAGCGACGCGCCACTTGAGCAGTGTGCTCGCCGCCATCTTGATGATTCCCTTGACGCTGTGCTTCTCGGTCTCCACAGCCTTGTGCAGCTGAGCGAGGCGAATGCGCGAGGGAGAGCAGAGGAAGACGCCAAGCAGCCAACCAAATGCCATGATGACCATCAGAGCGATGTAGGTCGAATCCGTAACAGTGCCGTCTTTGGAATGGAAGTTGAGACCGAAAGAGACAAACGCTCCAATCCCGCCGCCGAAGTTGAAGATGATCCAGAAGACCGCGATCGCCCGACCCTTTTGCGACTCGGCAACGTATGTCGTCATGATGGCTCCCTGGACGATCCAGAGGAAAGAAGCGCCGACACCGAGAATGCCACCCGAGGCAATGACGAAAGCCCCCTTGTGATGGTGGTTGAAGTACAAGAGACTGCCGCTGTAGAGCGCATAGGTCCAGCCACCAATCAAGAAGCAGATGCGAGGTCCGACACGGGAGAAGATCGGTCCCACGATGAAGAGAGCCGTGCCGGCAGTGGCGGAGAGCAGAGCAACGTTGGCGTTGGCGGCGACGCTCGAGTCAATCTGCCCAGAGCCGCCAAGACCAGTCAAGGCATTGTACATCTGGGTCAATTGTTAGTAAAGCAGTGGTGATCCACCGACATGTCGACATAGGTACTCACGCCAGGAAGGCAGAAGCAGATGAAGCTGATGAGGAGGATTTGAGTCCATGGGTGCGAGTAGAGTCTCACAAGCTTCGAGGACGACGGTTGCCAACCGTCGGTACTCTCGCCAGTGACCTCGTGCTGGACTTCTTGCTGGACACTCATTTTGGCTGTCTTGCTAGCGGCAGAATTGACTCTGACCTCGTGAGTATCTGTATGCGCGTTGCTCTTGCAAACAATCGCGGGATTCTCGACCTTGGCACGCGGTCTTATAATCCTTGACCTCCACAATGATGCCCGGCTAGCTTGGTGCCAACGGAAATACCGGGCTCCTGCGTGGCATGATCAACTGCCAAAACCGGAGTGTCATTTCTTTGAAGAAGATGTGATATCTAATCGTGGTCAGGGGGTTGGCTGCCAAGGTTACATCCGAAGATCGCCGACGGATAACCCGGCTGGGGTTGCGGGGCTCCGCGAGAGGGATTTGATAAGGACTTCCGGGACCCACAAGCTAACCGTGGCCGTGGCCACACGTGGTGCGGAGAGAGTGGCGTCGAGGGATAAGCGAGAGCCGAGGAGTACAATTGTCATCGACTTGCGCCAAGTTCTGAAGATGCTATTCGACCAGGACGCGCCGTGTAGCACAGGGGCAAAATGGGAAGCATTATCGGAGACCAAACCTCTGCATTTCCAGGGCACATCGCCGTCGAACATGTCGACAAACAATCCAGCCCTGGATCTGGCCTCGTGCTCTGCGTGGACGCTGGAGGATCCAGCTGCAAAGCTGCGGTAATGACAGTTGATGGGATTATATCCTCAAGTGTCGGCGAACCATGTAACATGTAGGTGAGCTCTGTGCTAGGGCTCGATTCAAAGTACTAACTGCCGTTTGACAGTACAACTATCGGGATTGAACGTGCCCTTGCCGTCATATCGGCGGTCACAGATGAAGCTCTTCAAAAGCACCCCGAAACCAATGGAGAGTCACTCTCGACCGTCACATTCAGTCAAGTCTGGATTGGTGCCTCGGGATACGACCGACCTTCCCTGAAACCCTTGGTGGACGCCGAGCTCGCCAAGATGTTCAGGCTGACGATACAGAACGGCTTGAGAATTACTTCGGACATTGACCTACTTCCTGCGGTTTTGTCGTCCGAGTTAGACATCTCCTCGGCCATAGTCCTCGTGGTGGGAACAGGCTCTGTTGCGATGAGCTACGAGAGAAGCGGCTGTGAATTTCATCGCACGGGCCGCGCAGGTGGCTGGGGAAGTCTTCTGGGCGACGACGGATCTGGCTATTCATTGGGCCGAGAAGGCATTCGCAAGACATTACGGCACTGCGATCTACATACTCTGAGATCCAGGAGCGGTGCCAATCCGACCGCATTCCCACCGTTGGCGCAAGCCGTTCTGAAACATTTTCAGTCCGTTTACCCCGGTTGTGAACCTGCAACGCTTCTGACAAACCTGCTGGTTCCTGCCCCAGGCTTGCACATAAAAGAAGACGGCAGTACCTCAAAAACCAAGGCGTTTGCCAGCGCCGCATCTGTGGTATTGGCAATGGCCGGTGAAGACAACGAGGCAAAAAGCATTCTCGACTCTAGTGCTTCCAGTGTAGCTGAGCTGGTCAGTATACTGGTCCAGGAACAAAAGATGGATATCAACCACTGTGCTCTGGTTCTAGGCGGCGGAATTATGAGAAACCCGTTGTACAAAGAGATGGTCATGCACGCTGTAGAGGATCAGTGCGGCAACTTTCGGCAAGTCAAAGTTGTCAGTGAGCCAGCAGTTGTTGGAGCGAGAGAACTTGTCAGAACGTTAGAGAACAGTCCAGTACCTCAATAGACCCTTGATGCATTTACACTACTGCGAGAAATAGCATAGACACGTTCATCTACAGAACTTTAATCAACCCTCAAACGAGTAATGCTCAAATAGAAAGGCACTACCGTAGAAAACTTGCGATCAATGTTGAGGCTCCTAAATGTGACTGGGTTGATCGGAAGTTCCTGGAGTGACCCCACGAGCTGCATTGCGTTGTGCGCATTAATCCTAATTGCGGGGTAGCTCCGAACAAGCATCTTCTCTTAATAACCGGTTAGTTGCCGACATGAGGTCTACGCACAGATATAAAGATAGCAGTATCGGGATATCCGTTAGCAAGTTGCTCTCACAACCTCATCGGAGGCTCCCCCGCTCAGGCCCGCTCCTAAAGCGCCAGTTGATAGCACCTAGTCCGAAAATAAAGAAACCATGCCCTGATGGGCATATTCCGCCAATTCAAATATGGCAAGAGATCTTCAGTTAAGCCTATGCAATAATGGATCTGAGGGGCTGCCACGTCCTATGATTGTCGAGATAACCTGCCCGTCGAATAAATAACATGGATAAATAACACTCACTGCTGTAGGCTCCCAGCCTTTCAATTAACATTGTATCGTGTCTTACAAGTGGGTTATCGAAAATGTATGCGACACTCATAACTATCCTGGCGCTGATTGCCGTTGCCTGTGGGCACGGTGGGCATGTCAAGACAGGACTTGACGTTCTCATTGAGCATGATTACACTCAACTCGCTGGGAAAAAGGTCATTGTGCTCACCAACCCTACTGGCATTACACCTCAGATGGATCTTGGAATCGATGTCATGCATCAGTCCGGCAAAGTGAACCTCGTGGGAGTGATGGGACCCGAACACGGCTTTCGTGGAACGGCTCAGGCCGGAGGGTCCGAAGGCACTTTTGTGGACGAGAAAACTGGATTAACAGTGTACAATGCCTATCTGGCGAACACAACAACTCTGATGGGGTTTATCCAGGCCTCGGGGGCCGATACTGTCTTGTTCGACATTCAGGATGTGGGATCTCGATTCTATACGTGTAAGTAGCGGTTGCCAAGTCTTCCGAAATGCAATCCACTAACTAATTTAGACATCTGGGCCATGTATGACACAATGGTCGCTGCAGCCAAAACCAATGTCACGTTCATGGTCATTGACCGGCCAAATCCTATCACTGGGCTCGATGCCTTTGGTCCCGTCCTGAACGAGTCGTTCGTCAATACCTATGTCGGTCGCCGAGCCATTGCCCAATCTCATGGTATGACGGTGGGAGAGCTTGCTCATATGTTCGTTGGCGAAGGATGGATCAAAGAAGCTTCAGGCGGTCGTTCACTCTCTCTGGAGGTGATCAAGATGAAGCACTGGAAGCGCCGGATGACGTTTGAGGACACGGGCTTGCCATGGGCCATGCCAAGCCCGAATATGCCAACGTTGACAACGGCGATGATCTACCCGGGGACCTGCATGTTCGAAGGCGTCAGCGTATCAGAAGGCCGAGGGACGACGAGGCCTTTTGAATTACTGGGCGCACCTTGGATCAACGAGTCCTGGGTCTCGGCCATGCGGGACTTGAAGATTCCGAACACTGAATACCGGTTCCAGTGCTTTACACCGGTTGCGGACGACTTCAAGGGAAATGTCTCGTGTGGGCTGCAGACGTATATCACTGCAAAGACCACCGAGCAACTTCGGACATTCGACGCCCCATACGTGGGAACCGCTCTTTTGTACACAGCAAGGAAGCTCTTCACCGTCGGCAACACTACCAGTGACGGGGCAACCACTGGGGCCTTCCACTGGCTGTTGAACAAGGCTGACAAGTCAAAGTACGATGTGGATGTGTTGGTGGGATCACCTCTTATCAGGGAAGGGATTGAAAAGGGGCTGCGCCCGGAACAGATTCGAGATGCTTGGCTACCAGGACTGCAGGCATTCCGAGAGAAGCGCAAGAAGTACTTGCTGTACTGACTTGAGACAAAGAGTCTTATGTCTGCAAACACCACTGTTGGGTAGGAGAGCATTCGACGAATCGGTACTTTCAATGTCCATTGTAACTAGACGTAGCTCCTCTTACAAATTCATCACCCTACCGCGAAAAGAATAGAACTTAGCTATACTGCAAATGACCTTTAAAATATGATATAGGTGAAGGAGTGATACAAGACCTAGTATTGTGTCCGCTCAGTACAAGCCGATTTGAAGAAGGTCCCAATCGCAGCTACTCTCTGACCAAGAGGTCAACACTGATGCTTTCCCATAGTTGGGACATACAGTCTGACAAAGCGCGCCATCTTGCTCACCCCGCCTAGTTGCCAAGGGCTTCTTGTTGTGGATGGACCCAGTGTTGGCCGAGATCTGGGCATGGGAAGGGGAAGACCAGAAGTAGGTGAAGTGTGGAGTTCGAGATACGCTGAACACGCCCTCCAATCGGCGCGTAGCAAGTCCGCCGGATAAGGATCACGGTGGAGATCGTAGCACATTCCGTAGTGGCCAGGTAGTGGAAGCATTTGAGTTGTCCTTGTAATGGCTGTCTGCCAATGGTCTGACCAAACCAACGAGATGTCATAAGATGTGATACTTCTCCCTTCACCTCATACTGTTTAACGTGAACCCCGGACTACCATCTGGTCGGAGTTCGTCAAGGCGCCAGGGAAAGGCTCTTTTTACGTATCAATTACATGATGAAGACCCGCACATTCCACACCACGATAAGGCGCCAAATTCGCCGATTTCGCCGATTTCGCGACCCTGCTTGGGGCACGACAGCGCTAGCTGTGTCTCCCTTCAAACTCTGGCTTGACGAAATGCGGGGGAGCTGGTAATTTCAGACGATCTGCCACCAGAAAGACGCCACGTCTATCTACCTATCTGTTCGTCCGTCTCTCTGTCCAGTCCCGAGTGGTCGAGGACCAAGCTAGCGCTGGATGTCCGTCCGATATACGGACCAACAATGCTGTTTAGACTGGTACTCCGCCATTCCCTTAGATAGCCATGGTTACAGCAGCCAATGAACCAGAAACCAAATCTACTTATCAGTGAAAGTCCTCTTTTGAGAAGGTCCACGCGAGCAAGGTCAACCTCCGCACAGATAACAACTGCGCCAACTACAAACCGCATGACCACCCTAGACGCCGACAACGTGCATTCTATTCGAGACAATGATGATTTTGAGGTAAACACGTGCATCATGACCTTGTCACAGACATAAAACGCAGAAATAGGCCAAGACGCTCTCGGATTCCTCATACGCTTGCAGTGCGGCAGCCCATCCTGCAAGCAGACCTCCACACTACGGTACCTACATCGGAACGCGTCACACATCCGTGTTCGGAACTTTCAAGATGTCCTGTGTCAATAGATTGAAGATGCCGTCTACAGCCCTTCGAAGGGCCATTGCCCAGAAGGAGCCTGCACGCTCATTCGGCAGGAAGATGGCCTACGCCACGATGGCTGCGATTAATGTCCAGTCGCCCGACGTGCCTCCCTCCGAGAGGAGAGTGTCCAAGGGAACAAATGAGCGACCGCGACAAAGCGCTGTATTGCACCGGTCACTGAAGTCTCCCCCACCTCAAGTTGTATCTGCGAAGGGGAAGTATCTAACCTTCTCTGATGGCACCGAGATTCTGGACTCAACGTGCGGGGCTGCCGTTGCTTGCATCGGCTACCAGAACGAGCGGGTGAAGAAAGCGATGGTCGACCAGATCGACAAGTTCTCGTATTGCAACTCCATGCTCTTCGGACACGCTATCGGAGAGGAGCTGGCAGATGAACTGATAGCGGGCACCAAAGGTGTAATGTCAAAGGCATACGTTATGTGCTCTGGTTTGTTATTTTTCTCTCCTCCGATTAAAGTTCAAGAAGACAGCACTAAGATTGCCATTGGCAGGATCGGAAGCGATGGAGTCCGCTATGAAAATGGCACGCCAATACTTTATGGAACTCAACCCAAAGGAGGAACAGAGAACCAACTTCATCGCTCGCGAGGGCTCCTACCACGGGACAACACTCGGTGCCTTGGCAATGAGTGGGCATGTGGGACGACGACACCTATTCAAACCCCTGCTTCTGCCAAACGTTCATCGGGTTTCGGCTTGCAATGCCTATCGTGGCATGAGGGAGGGTCAGACGACGGAAGAGTACGTAGCACAGCTGGCAGCCGAACTTGATAGAAAGTTCCAAGAAGTAGGCCCAGATACCGTGTGCGCCTTTGTTGCAGAGCCGGTGGTTGGAGCGGTATGTAGCCTCCCTTTTGACGCTAACAGCACAACCGAGCTGACGGGACAAGACACTGGGATGTGTTCCTTCGGTCCCCGGCTACTTCAAAGCGATGAAGCAAGTCTGTGAGAAATATGGAGCACTTCTTATACTCGATGGTAGGTTAATCCGGCGGCCCGTTTCCGCAAAATGCTAGGCTGACGACCTGTTCTAGAGGTGATGTCCGGTATGGGTCGATCTGGCACATTACATGCCTGGGAACAGGAGGGTGTGACACCAGATATCCAGACTCTTGCCAAAGGCCTTGGTGGAGGTTACGCGTCCGTTGCGGCCATGATGATCAATCATCGCGTGGCCGATGTGCTAACGGCTGGCACTGGGTAGGCATCGACACCCGAGTTCCTGTAGAGGTTCGATGATTTGTCCTCATAGTGTTGCTAACCCCTCCACAGAGCTTTCTCCCACGGCCACACCTATCAAGGGCATCCAGTGGCTTGTGCTGCGGCCTTGGAGGTCCAGCGCATTGTCCGGGAGGACAACCTTGTATCCAATGTCAAGCAACAGGGAGAGCTACTTGGAAAGCTGTTGCACGAATATCTCGACGACCATCCGTTTGTGGGCAATGTCCGCGGTAAAGGCCTGTTCTGGGGGGTAAGTATCTATATGCTGTGTGCTTAGAACACTTCACTAACAAAGACAAAGATCGAGTTGGTTTCAGACAAGAAGACGAAAGAGCCATTCCCGCCCTCTGCTGCGATCTCCAACGCCATCTTCCTTAAGGGGTTGAAAGAATTCGGGATCAGCGTTTATCCAGGCCAGGGGACGAAGAATGGCGTAGATGGCGATCACGTTCTGCTGGCACCTGCATACACAAGCACAACCGAGGAGATTCAGGACATTGCGACCAGGATGAAGCAAACAATTCATCAAACGTTTGCTTCGTTGAGTTGAAGAGAATGGCACGTAATCTAGTCTTTTTATAACATACAATAATCACATTCAAGTATATACCATGTGAAACGTTATCAAAATGATATTCATGTTAATGATAAATCATGCCCCGAGGCGTCCAAAACCTGTGTCCAGTCTGCGTTGGCCTCGTCTGGAGTTAAGCGCGCCTCCCAAAGCTCCTCCAAGATATCCCGAGCTTGTACGAGGTTCTCAAAGCGCCTGTTTGGGTGATAGCTTGCAGCCGTAAGCGTATATTATCTATGTGTTCCTAGATTATTGCCTCTTCCCCGGCCATTTAGAGTGGGAATGTGAGTCCTATCTCCGGTGGTGCACCGATGCCGATCGCTGAGACACAGTGTATAGTGTTGAAGACTTGGGTCTGAATCTTCGAATTGATGGCTGCTACATGAGTTGAGTGTTCAACATTGTGAGTTATAGGGGCGTCCACTCTTACGACGAAGATACAGTCCAATGAGAATCCTCACACTGAAAGTCTGCGGCTAGGTCATTCGGATCACCCGCTATACCTCACATCTTGTTACAATTGGGGCCTATTAATGAGGAGTCTTCTACGTCGGAACTCCGATAGTTTTTGTTATGTGTAAATCGAGAACTGTACTTCAAACCAGAGGCGAAGTATTAGGCGAGATGAAACAGGTCGTTACTTGATATTGCAGACGTAATGGTCTAGAAGTTGACAGCCCATCTGCAAGGGTTGGCGGATGGTAAGCTAGTTTTCTGGTTGCGAGCTGCAAAGACAAGGACCTCTCGGTGTGCTCTTTTACTGGTTGCTGTGCCGCGTCTTTGTACTGCACTTGGATCCTTCAAACAGGCTCCAGGGAGGCATTTGGTCTCGGCCACCAACATCAACTCGAACACTTATTAGTGCACCAACCCATGCGGTTGGCTGTAGCTACATCTTGGCCATACGCATGTCTCGGAGATGACTCGAGATGGCTAAGGGCGAAATGTAGTGATTATTAGCCTGATTGACACGCTCCTGACAGCTTGGCTTCCTTTTCTCCACCCTGCTTTCAAACTCTCTGGTATCACAAGCGAAGGTGTGGCGCACTCTCAGGCGTCTAGTCGAGTCACAGAACGAGACAGGCAGAGGATTTGTGTGGGGTGAGTATCGTCTCAAAGGGCGGGATTCATTGGTCCCAAAACACTGTCAGTGAGGCCGGGAAAGCTGGCCTACACCCCGAAAACGCCGCCCCTCCCTTTTGATACGGACTGGCTTTAATTCTGCCTGGCTGTGGTTGGTCATGTCAAACATCGCGGCCTCGTTGGGGCGTGTCAATCCCGGTCCCCGGTAGAATGACTGGACCCCTCGTTGTTCTAGCTGCCTTTGATCAGTCCTTAAAAGGATTGCACCTGTTCTCAGGCTAAACATAGTGAGCTGCTGAGTAGAAGCCTTGCGAGCCTCAGAAACCTATCTTTGTTTTTAACTTGAGGCCAGGGGCTGTTCGCTCTTCGGAGGTTTGCCCCGATTCGCCTGTATTTTTCAAGCTGTCAGCCGCTCAGCTAGAGACTGTTTGACATCGTGGGCTCATCCCCTTCATGTCTCTGCAAGTTCCAAAGAATGCTGGCCAAGCCGACATTCTCTAGTCATTGCCTTTCCGTTGGACCGATATTCGTAACCTCCACCATGGGCTCTGAGAACCGGCTGCCACTTTTTCTTTCATTGACCATGCACGCTCTCACTTTCCCATTGGTGTGAGTCGAGAGCGATGAACACCCTCTTTCATGAGTCCTGAACCAACAGCCTCAAATAGATGAGTACCCCCTGCATACGCGCACTCACACAGCTTCCTCAGCCCCAGTCAAGCTTTGCGATTAGCCGAGTCCTGCTTGTTCCTCCAGATGGTGGGATAGAGGATAGAGCTGAATGCAGCACTTGCGTCAAATGTAGCTTGTGTCGTCCTGAGATGCGTTCGTTGACCAATTAATACGAAATATGGTCTGGCCGCGTCTCATTTGATGCCGATGCTGCATGTCCTGATATTGAGCTCCTTGGGTCAATCCATGTGAAGCTAGCAGTCTCTACTGGGGACATATTAGATAGACCTAAGATTCCCCGGTCCAAACCTGGTCATGGAGTCCCGCCTTGTCGTGCTGCAGAAACTAGCCAATGGGGTTGCATGGGCTATGGTTTGCATGAATCTGCTCCATGGCGGGACGAGGCGAGAGGCAGACGCAAGAATAGCAACCGAACAGTATATCACACAGTGGCGCCATTGATTGGACTTGTAAAATGTATTAATGTCGTTGGTAGTCTCCAGGGAAGGCACTTTCTAGGTTGTCAATCTCGGAGATCGGCCACGACTGTCCAATGGAGTTTTGTCACCTCATCATGCGAAGCTCGTCTCTGTACGGGACAAGAAGCTGGATCACGAGCATCAACACCCACCACTGTACTGTACGCGCTCATGGCAACAGCAAGCCCTCGAGGGATAGGCTTTATCCGATCCGCAGAATACAATTATCGCATTTCCAGCCACAGAAGCCCAAGCCCAGCCGTTACTGAATGATCGTTCGGAGCGATCTATATATGCTGTAACTGCCCCGTTTGCTCCGTGACTGTGTCTACCACTTAGCGGAACGGTGAGACGAGCCAAGACGCCACGAGATCATTTCTACGTTTACTGGTTCCTACAGCTTTTGTCCCTAATTCTCTTGCACGCAGGATATTTGCCCGTGAGTCGAGCTTGAAGCTACAAAGATGCGGTGCTTTCGCATATGATTGGTAGACAACCTAATGTCGGTGCATTCTTCCGGATTTCCCATCCGGGCCTATTTTAGATGAGACTAAGGATGGGGGGAAGGGTCAGTCACAACATCGATGAGTGGTGCGCCTCCTCTCTGGCAAATAATGCAGGACTCGAAGATCGCCTCAGACCAACAGTCCGCTAGATTTCCCTTCAAGGTCCTCAGTTCGATGCTGGCACATTGCGGTTGCTCCGGCTTTGCCGCACCACTTGAACCTTCAATGTTGTCTGGGGCATTGGGGAACTCACCTGGCCAACATCACACCCCGGCAGAACACACCTCCCACCCCTGCCTGGACTGTTACAGCCAGTTCGCGACGGAAGGGCTGCCCCTCAGTGCCGTGCATCCCTTCCACGCAGGGACTTGGAGGCATGCAGGCGCTGAAGAAGGGTCCTATCATGAGATCCCCAAGGGTTTTCTGGTCCGTTGCCATTGGGCTCTCGGATTACGCCACCCGCCAATGGCGCGAGTAATCGCTGTCAACACAGAGGATGCACCCACCAAAATACACATGACTCTCTGAGCTTGTTCACTCACCCCAAGCATCTAGTTCGTGACAGTTCAGGTGCTTGGGCCTCTTGAAATATTAGGCATTTGCCGGATCGTCGATCATCGGCTCCGTTTGGTATAGCACCGTCTGGCCAGGGTTTTGAATCCGAGCCACGCCTGAATTCGACCTCGTAGCTCGTCTTTCTATCGCAGGATCACGCTCCCTGGTAATTTGCACAGCAGATGCACGGACAACGCCACAGCCGACGAAAGGAGTAGAGCCACGAGCGAAAAGAGCATCGCGCCTCGCGCCTCGCGCCGGTTGCTTCGATAAGCGAGATTCCGGTGGCCGGGCTTTCACAGTAGGTGTTGCAACTTGTTGTTCGACATCTACTTGTACAAGTGTTCGCGTGATGGCTCAACGGTCCGAGACCACAGGTCTCACGGGTCATGAGTGTCCCGAAAGGTTTAGCCTAGCTGGCCTGCGATTCGCTGTTTCCCGTCTTCCGTGGAAGCTGGTGCGAAACCTTGCCTCTCTTGGAAGAAGACTACTGCGCCGCTTTCTTGCTGCCGCAATTTTTGTTCCTGCTTTTGTTCATTGACAGACGTGCTTGCAAGCACTGTCCATGGACCGCACCAGGCCATCGGGAGGCACTGGACAAGACCTGCCACTTGTGGGGGATCCAACGCCTTACAATGCGCATCTTATTGATGACGGTGGTGGACACGTACTATGCCGTTGATTAAGTCGAGTGTTTCTGGGTCCTATGCAAGCCCTCCTTGCGGAATGATCTACCTGATCTCCAAGGGCTCGGCCGGTCACCGCAATGTTGAGTGCTTGGCTCGGCCAGAGAAATAGCCAACTGCCATGCCTGATTACTTTTGAGGCATTCTAGATCAACGAACATCATGGCAAGCAAATCCGAGGCCGGTTGGGTGTCAGGGTCAAGGGGAAGGCCCAATCCAGCCCGTGCAAGTCACTCGATTGGGACTAGGTCTGTAGGTATGCACTCTCCATCACTAACCTTATGCCAACGCCATCTGCCTGGTGGGTGGTCAATCCTCAGCTAGTGTTCTTGTTCGTCGAACGGACGGGAAGATATCCCAGCGAACCCCGTAGCGAGGCCTGCCAATTTCGCATCCCACTTCCTCCACACCATCCGGCTCCTTTGACCAAAGGCCAGATTGGGCCAAGCTGCCATTATCCGTGTCCCGATTCCTTCTACCGCCGGTGTTCCCCCTTGTCCACCCTCCACTACCAACCCCATGTCTCCACTCCGACGTTCTCCCTAACTTTTGCCAACGTCTGCATCGTCGGCCCCAGTTCCCACGCTGGCGCTCTCTCGCAGTGGCCTGGTCATCTCAGGGACAGAAGAGACCGATCCGAGGATCTATTCACCCCTGCAACAAACATGGCCAGGCCTTGATGCACCTCGAAAGGAGCGAGGTTCCTCCACCCTCCTCCACCTCTACTCCATTGACCCCAGAGAGATATAACCTGGAGCCTATCCCTGACCCCTAGTCTTGTTGCAGATCTCTATTCTTCATCCCCTCATTTTTTGAAACTTGCATCCAGAGAGTCTATCTTTTAATTCTTCTCACGCGGCCCTGAGTTGGCTCTACTTCACTCGACCAAGCCCATCTTCTCATCACAGAAGCTGGTGCAGTTCCTTTAGGAAGGGACGAGACATCTTCAACGAGGGACGGACTAGGGAAGAGAACCAGGGAGCAAACCTCTTGCCAGATCGACAATGGCTCCCAACGTCAATATCGGCGCCAAAGCCGTGCAGGGCGATGTCCAGGTCGCCCAAGCTGAGGCACCTCGCTTCGAGCGAGTATCGTGGACCAAGGAGCCTCACTTGCGCAAGCTCTACGCGTACGCCGTCGTGCTCATGGTCGCATCCGCCACCACCGGTTACGACGGTATGCTGGTCAACACGTCCCAGCAGATCAAGAAGTGGGAGGACTACTTCAGCGACGACATCGTCAAGAACGACAACAAGCTCGGCATCCTCATCAACATGTTCAACATTGGCTCCATCATCTCATTCTTCATCACCCCATGGGTCGCTGATCACTGGGGTCGTCGGATCGCCATCATGATTGGTTGCTTGTTTATGATCCTCGGCGGTTGCTTGACTGCCTTCTGCAATGGCTACGGCATGTACATCGGTGGCCGCTTCCTGCTCGGTTTTGGCAATTCGCTCTCTCAGATGTCCTCTCCTCTGCTTCTGACCGAGATCTGCCACCCACAGCACCGTGGACCCGTCACCGCCATCTACAACTGTCTCTGGAACCTGGGCGCCCTCATCGTCTCATGTATTGGCTGGGGCACTGCCAGCATTCCCAACGACTGGTCGTGGAGGTCCATCACCTTCATCCAGATCGTCCCCTCGGTCATCCAGCTCACCTTCATCTGGTGGATCCCCGAGTCCCCTCGCTTCCTCGTCAACAAGGACCGCCATGAAGAGGCCCTTCAAACCCTGGCCAAGTGGCATGCAGGTGGCGACGTGCACAACTCGACCGTCCAGTTCGAGTTCCGCGAGATCAAGGAGACCATCCTGCTTGAGAAGAACGCCGACCGTGCCACCTCCTACCTCGACTTCCTCCGCACCAAGGGCAACCGGTGGCGCCTGGCCATCATCATCTCCCTCGGTGTCATCTCGCAGTACTCTGGCAATGCTCTGTTCTCCAACTACATGAACACGGTCTACGAGGGTGCCGGTATCAAGGATCAGAACCAGAAGCTCGCCCTTTCCACCGGCAAGACCATTCTTGATCTTATCGTCACCATCAGCGCTGCCTTGTCGGTTGACAAGTTCGGTCGCCGTCCCCTCTTTTTGATCTCCGTCTTTGGCATGGTCGGGTCTTTCGTCCTGTGGACCATTACTGGAGCCGTCTATGACAACTCCAACGAGACGAACACTGCAGCTGGCTACACGCAGCTCGTCTTCATCTGGCTCTTTGGCGTGTTCTACGACATCGGTTTCTCCGGCCTGCTTGTCGCCTACGCCCTCGAGGTCTTGCCATTCCACCTCCGCGCCAAGGGTATGATGATCATGAACATCACTGTCCAGGCTATTCTGGCTATTGGAAAGTACGTACTGCTACAGAAGCCCAGCCTCATGCTCCTTACTCTATCGTGCACAATGCTGATTCTTCAACCTGTCACAGCCAAACCAACAAGTTGGCCTGGGACCGCCTGCCCAACCACTGGAACTTCATGCTCTTCTACACCCTATGGGACCTGGTCGAGCTTGTGTTTGTGTGGTTCTTCTACGTCGAGACCAAGGGCCCAACCCTCGAGGAGATCGCTCGCATCTTTGACGGTGACGATGCTGTCGCCCACATCGATCTGCGCCAGGTCGAGAAGGACATCCACGCCGAGCATGAGGACGACATGATGATGCAGCAGATGCGTAATGGTAAAACTGCTGCCTAAGAGAAGGTAGGAAAAGGGAAAAGATAAACAAGTCTCATCTCTTGTATTCGTGTTGGGTGATTTGAAGGTGCAGGTTTTCTTTTTCGAATCCTCACACAAGGCCCCAACCATTTCCTCCTGTCTGGCTTATCTCTTCTTCCTACATGGATGAGGCCCAGATTGATTCCTGTGGCACCGCTTCTTTCACACAAAAACTCATGTCTCCTTTCGCCTAATACTCATGATAGCACCCACAAGCCGTTACGTATCTTCAATCTTCATTATTACAAAATGATTCCCTCCGATCACCACTGTTACCCCACTCCAATCTTGGAGACTGTCGCCCATTGTGCATCTTGGTGTTATTATGCTCTGCTATAGGGAATGTTGGTCCAATGATGGGTAAGTTGCGTAATTTATCCGGCCCTGCATAAACAATATAGTAGGGTATGCACTATTATGCATAGAAATACCATACCAGTCCTGCCATATCATGATAAACCCTTCCAGGCTTGCGGGAATGCTCTGTCCGCTCTTGGCGGAATCGCTTTAGGGTCGGGTCGGGGTGATTTCTTACACCAGGAGCTGTTCACACGCCGTGGATTGGGCGTACAACCACTCCCAAAGTCCCGTCCGCGACACCTACGTATAACCCGGCGAGAACCTCAAGTCAAGACAGTGACATCTCATTGCAAATGGATCGTGCTCAAGTATTACATGGATGTTCAAGTGCAACCCAGCCAATCAAGGTCGAATTATTCAATAGCCACTGTCTCCTGAGCATGGTGTAACTGACTAGCAAAGCTCTATTTAGGAGCACCCACATGCCATTCTCGTTCTGCACAAACTCGGGCATGTGGCCTTGAGGCTCACTACTGAGTCCCGTCTGCCCCGTTTGGGCTTGAAGGATCCGTCCGTGTCTGTTTAGACTTGAATAGGCTAACCGCGTAGGGAGCTAGAAGAGGAATCCCTACAGCTCTTTGTGAATCTTGGAATGGAGTCATCACGTGCCCGTATTTTGGCCCAACCCGCTACGGCTTCATGGCCCTGAAGAGCCCCATAAATCGAGTGAGCTCCATCAACATGGCAAGTTGAGTCGACCATTGGGATAGGAATCTCGTGAACTATCAAATCGCATCGAGAATCTAGCTGCCGCGCAGCTGGCTGCTCATATGCGGCTGTCCGTCAAACATGCCTGGGCACTTTGAGGACCAATCTGCCAAGACACAGCCTGGTCAGCAACCCCCTTGCGGCACCTCACTCGCTGAATCGCGTCGCGGTCTTTGCTAACGTCCAGCAGGATGCGCTGTATGCCGATCGCGAAAGGTGAGCCCTCCAAGCGCTTTGAACCTTCGGCATTTCTGGATTCGGGCACTGATCGCCATCCTGTTGGCGATACGGACTGACGCTGCGCACGTGCTAGGTGAGGTGTGACCGTGCGGCTCCGAGCTGCCGGAATTGCCTGCGTCTCGGTGTGCGATGCCCCGGTTATGACGGAGATGACAGCGCCGTGTCTCGGGGTGAACTAGTGTCCTCCGTGGAGGGCATCTATCGCGCCGCTGGCGTTGAGAGGAGGAGGATAGGCTCCTGCATCGAGTGTCGCAAGACCAAGAGCCGGTGCACCAGGACGCGCCCGACTTGCCAGCGCTGTCAGCAGCGGACGCTGGCATGCACATATCCCAGCCGACCGGAACGTGAACGTCTGTCACAGCCCGCCCCCTTTGATAATGCCCGCCCTCGTGATACTTCGCCCACTGCCGCAAACACATCGGAGCCATCTACAACGAATCATGGCCGCCATCAATGGTATTCGCATCTCCCCTTCCGGCTCATGCTATCACGTTATGATTCAATCATTGACTTCCTTCTTCAAGGGTATTTGACGCCTCTATACCTCAAGATACAGCATCACTCCGGCTCCTGGTTGATCTGTACTTCAAGCGAGCACATCGAAAAGCATGTTTTGGCTTCATCCACAAGCCTTCATTCATGCAGGCGCTTGATCGAGGAACTCTAATTGAAGACTATGGCGAGGGTCTGATCAACATGGTTCTTGCTTTCGGCGCAAGGTATGAACACAACGCCTGTCTGCTTGTACCAGACTACCGTTGACAATTGCTTACCCAGAACACACTACCATGACAACTTTGACCAGTTTATGCAATCTCCTCAACAGACACCGGGCGCTTTGTGGGCCGCCCGAGCTCGGGAGATCAGCTTCAGAGAGATCGCTGATCCTAAACTTGTCACGCTCATGGTAGGGTCGACAATGTCAATGCATCAATGAAACGCCTCAGACTAATGATTGGCAGACGCTTCTTCTGTTATGCGAGTACTCTCTCCATGAAGATCAATCCGCCCTTGCGTTTACCATCATTGCTTGCTGCTACCGTCTCATGCGCCTCTTCGGCTTGGACTCGCCAAAGACTCCTGGGCAGCGGTTTTCTCCATCGGAGTGGATTCGCATAGAGTCAGAAAGACGTGTGCTGTGGTCCTGCTTCATCTTGGATAGCATGGTCGGGTCCGGTGTTGACGCCAATCTTCATTGGAAGCAGGATTTTCCTCACATCCCCCTTCCCTGCACGGAGCCCTTGTACATTACCCAGGTGCCTCCACGCCCCGATGAAGTCTTTACTATGGACGCATTTCATGTTGCAGAGAGTATCCGGCAGATGAATCTGAGGTCGCACATGATATATCTCGCTCACCTGCGCACCCAGGCTCTTAGGTATGTGCAAGGTTGTAGTAAATTAGTATTTGAGTATTATCTGACCTCATATCTAGGCTGAACCGGCAATGGGATCAAAGTTGCGAGGTCTGGCGATCTGAGTCCCGATTTATGAAGCTGCTTCATCAGCTCGAGGTCTGGTATGATAACCTACCCGAGCAGCTTTTCGTCAATGAGTCGAATGCATATATCCACCGGGAGCTTAACATTGGCGAGGCCGTGTACTGTCTGCATTTCCTGTACAACTCTGTCGTCTGCGACTTGACGAGGGTGTGTCTCCCTGGCTACGGCTTCCCTCTGGCCGCTGCATTCCACGATGCGCCAGCTCCATTCCGCAGACAGTGCCAAGACCGCTGTCGCTTTCACGCAGACGAGATTATTCGACTGGTCAGAGATGTCTGCAGCCAGCCTAAGGAGTTGTTGGATGACCATCATTGTATGATGGCTACCTACGAGGCGACGAAGATCCAAATCATTCATACAACTACGGTGACAACCAACAGTCTCGAAGAGAGGCAAAAGGCTGTAGAGAACATTCGAGTTGCTATGAAGTTCCTGGAGATGAACCACTGGAAGAAGCATGAGGAGAACAAGATCGTGAGTGACCCAAGTCAGCGTCCAGCCAATCTAGGACATCTAACAACAGGGATGGCTAGCATCGAGCGCTCATACCACTACTCTCCCGATTTGGCTTTCATGAGCTGGTGTCAGAATGGAGATCATCACGAAGTTCCGTGTATGTACCATCACCCAGACAATGTTTGCAAGTCTGGTCTAGTCTAATCAAATCTCTCCTCGCAGTACGACCGGCGAAGAACAAGGTGAAGTCAGCGGCCCGACGGATACAGAGTACCTCAACAAGCTCTCCACCTTCCGAGTAGCCAAATCGAAAGCAACACAACAACAGGCGCAAGCTCAGACGCCGCGCCAGGGCAACGACGCAGCGGAGAGCGACACCATGGGAAGCCCCTCCAGCATGCGCACCCTGCCGCCCGTGATATCGCCCGCAGGACCTGCTCCCGTGCCTATTCAGGAGTCTTTAGGTGAGGCACATGAGGCTACTATTGTGGAGGCCTCATCTGCACCCAGTTTGTTCCCGGTGCCCGGCGAATACGCCGGGGGTATCTCGCTGCTCAATCCACAGGAGCCGTCGGCCGAGGAATACATTAGGATTGCGGACGAGATGTCCAATTTTATCACGTTCCCAGAGACGTCATCGATGTGGTTTGACTTTGAACCAAACCCATATAGTGGATGAGTGTTGCCGGGGAGAGATTGTGTAAAAAGCCTTTGGAGAAAGACTGGCGAGGTTGTAATACCAAGAAAGCAACAATGCCAAATACACAATCAGTAGCAGACCAGATACGGAACTGAGACTTTGCTACTTCAATTATTTTCTTGAATCTGCCTCTCGTATCTGCTGCAATATCCTCCTCGCCCTCTCACCGGTGTTCATATCCCGCTCCGCCCAGAAGGAAATCTGCGCCAGACATACTTGGATCAAGACCTCATCGCCACGCCGGACTGTAGCTCCGTGCCTCTCTGCCTCCCGACACAGACTAGTATGTGGACTCGGCATGTACGACATGTCCACGACAAACCCATCTTTCCCCTGCCTCTTCACGAACGTAGTGCAGATCTGCCACGCGAGCTCCTCATCCGCCGTCTCCGGCTCCGTATCGGGGACGGTGCCGACAATGACGGCCGGGGCCGGAAGGGTCCGCGCCTCGTCTAGACTGCCGATAAAGCGAAGCTTGACACGAGGCGCCGTCTCCCCTAACCCGGCGATCATCTCCTCGGCCTCGGACCGCGCCCTATTGACGACGTAGATCTCGCTCGGGCAGACGGCCTCCCAGACGGCGAAGAGGGCGCTCCGAGCGGCCCCGCCGGAACCCAGTACGAGCGACGGCCGGCCACGGCCAAGCTCCTCGCTGCGCGGCATCCCATAGATTGTGTGCTTCAGCCCGACCCAGTCCGTGTTGGTGCCGATGTGGAGCCTCCTGCCCTGCGGATCCAGCTTGACGAACGTGGTGTTCATGGCGCCCATGGCGCGCACCTCGTCGGTGATGACGTCTGCTACAGGCATGAAGGAGAGCTTGTTGGGCATCGTGACCGATGCGCCGATGACGTCTGGCTCCTGGATGACCCGGCGGAACTCGTCCGGGTCGGTGGTGGTGTAGAGGCTGAATGTCCAGGACAGCTGCAGTTCTTTGTAGACGAGCTCGTTTACCTTTGGGGACAGCGACTCAGATATATGGCTGCCGAAGAGGTACACCCGCAGAGGCTTGTTCAGGTAGCTTCTGTCGACCTGGAATGGAGACCGGCCGTAGGCTTGGGCTGCCCTCCAGCTGCCCTTGGGCTCGTCCCAGGAGAGCTCTGAGCTGTTGCGTGCCTCCTCCATTGGCGGCAACGAGATCTTGGACCCTTGCTCAGATACGATCTGATAGTCTAAACTCAGGTCGTTGGCTTTTAGAGAGATAACTCAAGACCTTAAGCCGGTCAGTTCGAGCTGCACGTTCCCCCGCGCATGATAGATCGTCCCGCATTGCGGAGGGAGATCCCGGCAAGACCCCATAATTGTGTCGCCCACTTTGCGCTCAAGTGCTTTTCCGCAACCCAACCATGGAGGTCGCAATCGCAGAAAATTCGTGATGAATACTAGATTAAAAATATCTGAAATCACATGGGCTTGGATTTTGCTCCCTCCGTGACAGAACCCGGTTGGCCTTTTGGCTCTGCCGTTATTTCAAATGTTTGTTCTCGACTACCCTTGTCTTGCGTGTAGTTTTCGAATGTGCTGAGAGAAGACCTTCTACCGTCGACGGCGAGACGGGATATGAAGTGATACTGTGCTTGGAGCAGCTACCAAGTGCGTATGTAGTATTTCGCACCGCCAAAAGTCACTGTGTGAATCTTTCTTTCCTTGGGCGTGAGATCAGCCGGACCTACGTCACCTAGCCTGCGGAAATGAGAAGATAGGAGAATGAGAAGGACAGCTGACTATGCTTGTCCTGAGAGCCCACAAAGCTAAGTGAGATATTATTATTGATACAGTGTAGGGCTGCACCGATCTACAATGTCACATGGATAGCCTTGCCTTCCCAAGGGGGTAATTAACTTGACCACTCCTATCGCTACGTGTGCAGCTGACCAGCCTCCTGGCTCTTGGTTCCATCTCTGTGAATCTGTGAACATGGATAAAGGGCGAGTTTACCGCAAGGTTACAGGAAACCAGACCGCAGTTGCGAAATTGCTCACATGTGTTTGGCATTCCCGCAAAATTCTAGAAGCTCACCCGGGCTGTAGGGCTGCTGCGCCGCTGACGGCGCAACGCGCACACCCGCCGGCCCGCTGCCCACAGACGTCATGTGTACAGTCTGTATGGGTTTGTATCAATGCTCATACCTCTCTGAGACTACTCCCACGGAGGGCACATTGAGTAGTGATGGGTAGATGGTAAGCTCCAGGAGCATCATATCTTTGTGAGCAAGTACGCCGTCTCGGGGGAGGGATGCCAAGCTTCGAACAGGAGTGAGAGAACCACGAAGTACCTACGCAAGTACTACAAAAAGACTTCAGGACATGAGCCTGTTAGCAAAGCCGTTGAGTAACATGGGCCAACCATCCTTCTACGGTAGTGACCGCCTTTGCCGCGCGACGGTGTCCACCGAGACGAATGTCTGGCTGGCAATCGATGGAGTAATACTTCTGCGGCGTGGGGGTGTAAGCATCGTTTGTCGGGCGCGAAGGGCTATGACGACATGGAAAATTTTCTTCACAGATGCGAGAACTGTGTGTGTGTGTGTGTGAAAAGCGTTGATCAATTGAACTAATCCGAGGGGGGGATGATCAGCAACAGTACAATGTCAAGACGTGGCAGAATGGCACAGAAGAAGACACAGGTGTAATCACCGCGTCTCTCCTACTCGCCTTGCCAGCCATTGCCTGTCTCTCCGTCAGTGACGCCAGGTTGGATTGGATTCCCTCGACACCTGCCAAAAGTGGAAGGGCAAAAGGCACAGCCGGGTCATCTCGTTTGTGTGAGATCCAGGCATTGCGATCCCACGCTGCAAGAGTTGTTCGTCGTCGAAGCAGCCAAGATCTGCATGTGTGCATTTCTGGGCAGACCGAGAGACTCCACTGCAACACCGGCAATCGTACCTTTTTGGCTCCATTCGTCATCCTTGCGAGTGCCGGAGCTTGCCAGGGCCCAAAAGTGCCGCACTCTCCGAGCTCGCTTCGGTCCTCGTTCGTGCTGTCAACTCGGCCAAACAGCAAGACCAAGCATGTGCGTGTGCCCCAGGGCCAGGCGGGAACTGACGGAGGAGCAAGCCTCTGAGAGGTATGCGAATGGGCCGATCGTCAGGATCCGGGCTCCGGGCCAAGCAAAGGCTTCTGCCAGTGTTGCAAAGTTTGGTTACGTTACCATATTTTCACGCTGCGAATGAAAAGTGGACTGGCTTCCAGCTAGGTAGCTTCGCATCAGTACCTAGCAAGGGAGAAAGCAGTGCCAGCCGAGGGAGAACAGGTATGGGGTCGCAGAATGTGGACAGACGGGAGGGACGAGGAGAAAGGGATCGTGGGAACTGCTCCGTTTCTTCCCTAACGCCAAGGCTAGTGTGTTCATTTTTGATCTTATCAGATCATCAGTAACCAATCATGGGGAGCACAGAGGAGCACACCCCGCCGCTGACCCAGTGATCCCACAGCAGGCCCTCCACTGTAACCCGCACTAAACCTGGAAGAAATAGGCGCTGAAGCAGTGGTGGTGGTGGTGGTCGGGTCGTTTTTGCAGGGGACGGAAATCCAGCATGTTTTCAGGAAGATGTCCCGTCCGCGAAGAGGAAGCGATCGGCCAAGTCTGACATGTTGTACCAACCAGCCTTTGTACCTGTACCTGGGTGGGTTATGTGCACCAGGAACCGGTGCCAAGAGACGGGCAGCCGTTGTCCCGAGGCTCAGGCAGCTTCAATTGGGTTCTGGTCTGGAATCTCTACCAGGAATTTGGATCTCGCAAGATCGGGACAGCTTGGGTTTGCCTTCTGCTTCTGCTGGCCGCTGTATACGGTAGATTCATCCTCTGGTTTTGTGTTGGAGAGACAATGAACCCAAGCTTGTGGAAAGGAAAGGTCTGCCAGAACAACAGCCAGCCCGAATATGACTGAATCTGTTTGGAGATCGGCCATTCCATTGGGACTGTGCGTATGCTGGTTCGCTGCGTCCCATGGACCAAGATTCCCGATGCTTTGGGCTGTACCGTCCTGGAATGGCCCGGATTGACAGACGGGCGGTGCTGATCCGTGTCAGCGGCTCCCACAAGCCACAGCCCATGCACATGCCCGGCTAGAGAAGGGGAGAAAGGAAGAAGCATGGAAGCATCTGATAACCATTGCTTGACTGATGGTGGGCCAGCCAGCCCAGACAAAGCTCCATAGGTCGGGAAGAAGACTGACTAGGCAATCCCCCATATCTCCTCCAGCCTGATCCTCGCATCTCCGAGTGAATGGTAGAGCCGGTGCTATGCCGTGCTGGCCTGCTCGTCCTCGCTCGTACTCGCTCGTACGATTGAGCCCTGTCCAAGGTGCCATTCTCGGGTGCAGTGCGTCGATCTCTGATGCAATAAATCTGACAGTACATTGCTACTGACAGCTCGCTCGCCCGCTGGCTAAGACAGAGAGAAAAAAAATCTTCATCCTAGCTGCAGAACCGAAGAGCAGGGGGGCGGATGGGAGGGCAATAAGCAGCAGGGGTCTACCCGGTGCTGGGGCTCAAGCTCGGCCCCTTGCTCCACTGATCAATCTTATCAGATCCAGAGATAAAGCCGATGTCGCCAGAGTTTGGAAGCTGGCTAGCCATCTTCGCCGGCTAGCACGGCCGTAGTTTCAGAGTCCGGCGTGCTCCAGCTGCTGGTGGGCTTCTCTTGGAGGAGCGGTTGAGAGCTTTTAGGTAGAGACAGGCCTCATGATCTCCATCCAAGGTGCTTTTTTTTCGTATTCGTACTGTCCCATTGCATCCTACGTACATCACTGTGTTTGTTCTCTTTCGTCTCTGACCTGTACTTGGGCACCTTGTTCCTACCTATCTACCTACCTTCCTGTTCGCCTGTTGTCATGCGGGAACAAGAACGAAAGCCAAAATTGCCCTCCGTCGTTCTGGTGCCCTGGACCCGGACCCGGACCCGTCACAGGCGGCAACTCGCTGCACCAAGTCGCTAGTCTGATGACGATACGCCTCTAGATTCGATCCATTTATTCTCAGTCCCCGCCCATCCATGCTTAAACTCCCGCTACCCTCCCCATCCTACCCACCCGATGCTGCCCTGGGCAGATGAGGTCCTCGCCTGTTCTGTCTGCCCATTTGATGCGTTCAGCCAGCGAGCTGTTGTCTCTTGCTCATCCTTCGCCCACCCCTTTTGACGTACCAAGTACTGTTCTTGCGTACCCTACGTTATGTAGGGACTGCACCTTTTCCAATTTGACTTCGTAATCCTCGTCCCGGGTGCGTCCCACTTCTCCCTCTCATCATGTACTTGTACTTGACCCATCATCGGCCGACAGGCCCTGATCTTCGCGTGGTTTTCTGGAATCGAGTCCACAAAAAATACAGGTCTCGACAGACATGAAAAGCCCATGCTGGTCCGACTCCGACTGCTGTCGTCCCAAGCTTGCCCAAGAGAGTGGACTCCCGGCTTGCGGTACATTGATCAAGTCCTCAGGGTCCCCTTGTCACCGTTAAGAAGGCTTGTGTGCACAAGTAGGTATGTGTTGAATGTACTTTAATACCCTGTGCCTCCCCCAGAATTTCTCGTTTCTCACGACTGACCCATTGTGACAGCTTCTTTCTGACCCAACTGCCGCACCACAGATAACAAAACCACACATTCCACCTCTCCCTCGACTCGCTCGCTCACCCTCTCGGCGACCTATCTGCGCATGACGCCCACGTGGTCCCGGTGATCCAGTCTCTTCCGAACGAGGAACGCGTATTAGCAATAGCAGCGCGCCGGTTCGCTAGAACAAACCGGGCAAAAAGTAAAAAGGAAGCAAGCTCACACCACCCCGCAGGAAGCCTGCAGGAAGCTTGCAGCACGCTTGCTTCGATCTCGCTTTCCACTGCACGACATTTTGCCCGATTAGACCAATTCCGCCCTCCTGCGCTATCTCGGCTGCCGGGCGCAAAGGGAATCCAAGCCCGGCTTATAATCGCAGTCGACATTCGCAGCTTTTGCGAGCGGGCTCTCAGAGAAAAAGTCTCCCCCGGAAATCACATACAGAACAATGTCTCCACACAGCACCATGGACAACACCGACACTTATAGCGAGGGCAACTATTCGGACGCCGCTGCGCCCGTAACGAACGGCCTGGCGAGCGGCGGTGCCAACGGTGTCACAAACGGGCTGCACAAGAACACGTCCCGCATCCAGCCGGCCGCGGCCGATTCCTTGTACGACCTGGTGTGCGTCGGTTTCGGCCCGGCCAGTCTGGCCGTCGCCGTCGCCATCAACGACGCCCTCGAGGCCGGCACCCTGGCCCAGTCCCCCAAGATCCTCTTCCTCGAGAAGCAGAGCCAGTTCGCGTGGCACGCCGGCATGCTGCTGCCGGGCGCGAAGATGCAGATCTCCTTCATCAAGGACATGGCCAGCCTGCGCAACCCGCGCTCCAACTTCACCTTCCTCAACTACCTGCACCAGAACGACCGCCTCGTCGAGTTCACCAACCTGAGCACCTTTTTGCCCGCGCGCGTCGAGTACGAGGACTACCTGCGCTGGTGCGCCTCGCACTTTGACGACGTCGTGCGCTACGACAGCGAGGTCCTGTCCGTCTCGCGCGACGAGCAGGCCGAGGACGGCGCCGTCAGGACCTTCCGCGTCGCGTCCAGGGACGCCCGGACAGGCGAGGTCGCGACCTACCGCGGCCGCAACGTCCTCATGGCCATCGGCGGGCAGGCCAAGCTGCCGCCCTGCCTGCCCGCCGGCCACCCCAAGGTCGTGCACTCGTCGCAGTACGCGCAGCTGATCCCCAAGATCCTCGACGACGCCAACGCGCCCTACCGCGTGGCCGTCGTCGGCGCCGGCCAGAGCGCCGCCGAGATCTTCAACAACATCCACAACCTGTACCCCAACTCGCGGACGTGGCTCGTCATGCGCTCCGAGTTCCTCAAGCCCAGCGACGACTCTCCCTTGTGAGTTTTTCTTCCTCTTCCTCTTTTCATTGCTACTGTAGATTGGCTAATTTTCTATAATTCCTTCCACTAGTGTCAACTCCATCTTCAACCCCGAGTACGTCGACATGCTCTACCCCAAGTCGGAAAAGTACCGCCAGAACTTCATCGTCGACGCCCGCGCGACCAACTACGGCGTCGTCCGCCTCGAGCTCATAGAGAAGCTGTACGAGCGCCTCTACGACCAGCGCCGCGACCTCGGCCGCGACGAGAAGCGCTGGCCGCACCGCATCCTCGGCGGGCGCCGCATCGCCGCCACGACGACCGAGCCCGCCGACGGCAAGGGCACCGCCCTGCGCCTCAAGGTCGAGCACGCGCCCGTCGTGGGCGGCGTCGAGGTCGGCGACGCCGTCGTCGAGGCCGAGACCGAGACGCTCGACGTCGACCTCGTCATCGCGGCCACCGGGTACCGCCGCGACGCGCACGTCGACATGCTGCAGGACGTCTGGGGCCTGCTGCCTGAGACGACGAGCGAGGAGGCGGCGGCGCCGCGCGTGGACCGCTGGCTGGTGCAGGCCAAGGCGAGCAAGAGCGGGGCCGGCGAGAATGCTGCTGCTGCGCCCGCGATGCGCGTCATGGAGGTCGGGCGCGATTATGGCGTCAAGTTCACGCCCGGCAGCGTGGCGGAGGGGTCGGGCGTGTGGCTGCAGGGCTGCTGCGAGGGGTCTCACGGTGTAAGTTCTTCTTCCCTTTCTTGCCTGCATTCTGTATGTGCCGCATCATGCTGAAATGGGTTTTTCTTCCAACTTTCTAGTTGAGCGATACCCTCCTCTCCGTCCTCGCCACCCGGGCCGGCGAGATCGTCGAGTCCATCTTTGGTGTCAAGGCGTAGATGATGAATGTTTTACCTCTCGAGGAATTTCCTAAACCGGGCCTGGCTTTCATGCATGGATTGTACTTTTGGGATCTTACATCACGCACACAGAACTGCACGAGGGAAGAATAGACTGGGGGAAAGGAGGGCAAAGAAAAAGCACGATGACTACTGTTTGATTCTTGGGGACATTTTGACGAAATACCTCTCTGGACTGTTCTTTTTCTCTAGCATCACATCTTCACTATCTGCACGTCAATCCTAATTCATTTTAGAAGAAAGAGCATCTTTGAGTCGCACCGGAACGGCGTGCGTCTACTTTGTCGGCTGCTTGTTATTTGCTTGTGCTCATGTATATACTCTCTGCTGGTATTCCTGCTGGCAAAGTCAGAAACGAAACCATACTACGACTAGATAGCATAGTGACGACAAAGAAGCATGTGATTCCTAAGAGCAAGTCTTCTACTTTTCACCACTTTCTCCTCCCCCTCCTAGCCGAAGCTCGCCTGAGGAATCTACCTGTCACCTCCGTCCCCTTCACAGACACACGGAAGAGCCAAGCCAATGGTGCCAGATGCTAGGCCCGCCTGTGGAGCCTCGTTCAGAGCCGATTTCGGGAGGGGAGGTGCAGATTTCGGAAGGGAGTGGAAACAGGAAGCAGAAACCCCCCTTCGCAAGCTCGACTCGAGGACATGCGAGGTGCATTGGGTGCTGTGGGATCGATTTGTACGAGCCAGGGCGAGCAAGGCATGTGCAGGTCGACGAGAAAGTCACAGCGGGTTAGCAACTCTGCTTGTCTAGTATCATGAGTTTTCCAACGATGGATTCTTCTTGAAGAGAGGCATGTTTTTACTCTGTACACCAAACATGGGCAGCTTATCCAAAGGCCAGTGAACAAGCTTGCACCTGGGTCTGATTTTGTTTGCATTCACCGTCCACCTCTCGTGGGCTATTTGCTGCGGCATCAGCGCCTGTCGCGCTCCATGGATAATGGAGAAATAATACCATGGCACGTAAAAAAAAAGCGGACTGTTTGACTAACAAATGTAAGCTTAAGCAAACTTAGCAACATACCTGTTGTTGGTCAGAAGTGTGCCAAAATGGGTGACATACCCGAGCCCCCCCCAAAAAAAGAATCTCGGAGACCGACCTGATAACGCCGCCGCAAGCCAGGCGGGTTCATGCGGCCACGCGCCGATCCAGCGGGTGCGGTTGCACCTTTGCAGGCGGGTAGGACCGCTGCCAACCACTGAAAGCAGCGCATAGCACTCCCTAGTTGGGTGCCGGGCGACGTTGCCCTCCAGCCCTGAGAGTCGGGAGTGACGACATCATCACCAAACACCGAGTCCAACTGGATCATGACAACAGCATGTCGCTCAACGGCCCAGCTCGACAGACCCGACGAACAGGCCTGAGTGATTCGGATAACACTCGCTTCCCAGGAACGGAGCACCTACTCTTTTCGAGGGTTTCCCATGTCTAACAACTGCTGGGGTTATTGTCGCTTTACGACGCCTTAATCCCACGTTTTACGTGAGAGCCCCCGCTCCTTGAATCGCTGAGAAGTCACCTCTCTACCCTCTCTACTCGTTCCCCCACCCGCTATTGCCCTGCCTGCCAGCCCACAACACTACGGGAGACGCAGGGCGAAGGGCCTGTCGTGGCGATATATCACATCTCATCCACTCTGGCGCGTCGAGACTCGAGACGAAAGGCAGTGAAGAGTAGCCCTCATCCACCCTCTCGACGAGACCCAAACCCAAGCATCTCTCTCGTCCGCCTATCCTCCCACACCTTTTTGCCGGAAAGAGTCTTTGCCGGCACCCTGGTAGCTGCTTGGCGGTATCTTTCTCCCTTCTTTCAACTTAGAGGCTACCTACCTTACACCAGGCCCTGTGTATGCCCGCCCCGGACTTTACCTCTGCCTCGCACGGAGCTAGAGCCGTACAATCCCCCGAATTTGCCGTTCTTGCTGCGGTTCGCGCCGACGCCTCGAGATCTGGATCGGAGATAAAATACCAGTCTGCGACTTTTTGTCTGGCACTGGGCCAGCGGGAAGAACGCATCGAGACGAATACGCTCCCACAAACTCGCCTGATTCATTACCGGTACTGTTGTTTGCCCTTGCACATGCAAGTCACACTTGCTACAATCACACCTCCTACCTCCCTTCATCTATCTGCATCTGCATACCCCCAGCTTGTACGCACCTCTCATTCTCATCCCGGCAACTAGGGCAAGCATCGGGAACCGCGTCTCGAACACCACCCTCATCACATCTGCATCTGGCCGCCATCGCTTACCCCCACATCCTGCACCTGCACCGTAGCTTGGCTTGGTGCTCTCTTATTTGCCCTTTGCCATTACTACACCATTCCCGCAAACCTTTACCTAACTAAGCCTGTTCATCGTCTCTGGGCTAAGCAAGCCAGCCATCCACACTGTCCCAATATTTTCCCATACCTAAACCCTTCATCCACAGTGGGTGCGGGGCTTTGTAATTGCTGCAAAACGACTGGCTGAAGCTCAATAAGCATGCATCGTGATTGGCGACGCGGTTACACAATCAACTTACACGACTCTTTTTGTCTACAGTACCTCGTTTCGACTGCTGGCCAGAGGGCATCATAGAAAGGAGCAAGGGTAACACTGCTGTGTTTCTCGGGTTAATTATCTACATTTTCCCCTCCTTGTTCTTACAGCTCGGCTCGAACTGGCCCCATCTAGCTCAAGTGCTGAGCGTGAGAGAGGGTTTACACGGTTGTTCACCATCGTTCATCGACACGCGCCCATCATATCAAACATACAGATCCACGTACAGCTACACATCCACACAGCAACACACCAAGATGGCCACCCACGACCAAACACTACATCCGCACACTCCAGCGGCCTCCTCTGTACCGACGCTCTCCATACTGAACCCTAACCCGAGACGGTTACCCGGTCCGAGTCTCCTTCACCACCTTGTTGCCAAAACACCCAGCATCGCCAGCGATGCTCCCGCTGTCGACTATCTCTCACCCAGCGGCGCAAAGATCACATTATCATACGAACAATTTCATTGGTCAGCAGATGTATTAGCCAGCCGCATCACGACTGAGGTCAGCTCACAGCAACCGGGCGCGGGTCCCGGCGTGGTTCCGGTCCTGGTGCCTCAGTGCCCTGAGCTACATGTCTCTCAGCTGGCTATCCTCAAGGCTGGCGGGGCCTTTTGCCCGCTCAACCTCGACGCGCCCTCCGACCGCATCAAATTCATCCTGAAAGATGTGGATACAAGGGTCGTCATCACCACTCCGGAACTGCGGTCCAAGTTCGATGGCATCGATGGCGTCCGCTTTATCACAATTGACCAAAGCCTCCTGAAAGAGAGGCCAACTTCAGGTAACCCCACCGCCTACCAACCAAGTCCCTCTGACCTCGCCTACGTTATGTACACGTCCGGCTCGACGGGCACCCCCAAGGGCGTCGGCATCTCCCACGACGCCGCCGCGCAGAGCCTCCTCGGCCACGACCGCCACATACCCAAGTTCTCTCGCTTCCTGCAGTTCGCCGCTCCCACCTTTGATGTCTCAGTCTTTGAGATCTTCTTCCCCTTTCTCCGCGGTGCCACGCTCGTGAGCTGCCACCGCGCGGAGCTCCTCAGCGACTTGCCGAGCGTGCTGACGCGCATGAACGTCGACGCCTGCGAGCTGACGCCCACGGTCGCGGGTAGCCTCCTCCGGAAGCGGGAGAGCGCGCCGTGCTTGCGCCTGCTGCTGACGATCGGCGAGATGCTGCAGGAGCCCGTGGTGCGGGAGTTCGGCGGCGACGCGGACAAGGAGAGCATGCTGTGGGCCATGTACGGCCCGACCGAGGCCACCATCCACTGCACCCTGGAGCCCGCGTTCGCGGCCGGCGCCAAGCCGGCCAACATCGGCTTCCCGCTGGATACCGTCTCCGCGTTCATCCTGCGCGAGGCCGGCGGCGGCGACGACAACACGGACGAGCCCGAGGTTCTGCCCCTGGGCGAGGCCGGCGAGCTCGCCGTCGGCGGCCACCAGCTCGCGGCTGGGTACATCAACAGGCCCGAGCAGACGGCCGCCGCGTTCGTGGAGACTAGGGAGCACGGGCGGCTATACCGCACGGGCGACCGGGCGCGCATGCTGCCCGGCGGGCGGATCGAGTGCATGGGCCGCATCTCGGACGGCCAGGTCAAGCTGCGGGGCCAGCGCATCGAGCTCGGCGAGATCGAGCATGCGGCGCTGCGCACCGGAGGCTGCCACGGCGCCGTGGCGTCTGTCGTCGCGGGGATATTGGTGCTGTTCTGCACTGTCGATGCTGGAGATGGCATGGACGTGCGGGTCCTCGACTCCTGCCGGGCCTGGCTGCCGCGGTTCATGGTCCCTGGGGATGTGGTGCTCATGCGCGATTTCCCGCGGCTGCCGTCTGGAAAGGTCGACCGGAAGCGGCTGGTTGCTGACTATACCGCGTCATCGAGGAGGGACGAGAGCGCCGGGGAAGGCGTGACCTATGCGGACGAGCTGGAGAGGGAGGTGTGCGACCTCGCGACCGCGGTGCTCGGTGCCAAGGTCTCGCCTTCTTCTGTGCTGGCTGCGTCTGGGCTGGACTCGCTCGTGGCGATCAAGTTTGCTGCTGCGCTGCGGAAGGTCGGTCGGGATGTCAGTGCTGTTGATGTATTGAATGCGTGCACGGCTCATGATCTTTATATGCAGATCAAGCGCGAGAAGCGTGACAGTCTCGATGTATCGATGCGGGATGCGGCTGTTGATCGGGGCGTCGTGGCCGCCGCTCTGGCCGTGGACGAAGCGACGAGTTCGTATGCTCATGTGTGTACACCACTCCAGTCGTCCATGCTTGCGGAGACAACGCGCAATTCGCAGGCGTACTGCAATTGGGTCGAGCTGAGCTTCCCCGCCGAGTGCAGTGCTGAGCAGATCCGGTCCTGTGTGCGGCAGGTAGCGCAGAAGAACGACATCCTGCGAAGCGGCTTCTTGTACCTGGATGGTCGGTTTGTGCAGGTCGTTTGGCATGACCTGTTGCCGACGCAGGTGCGAGAAGTGGATCGGCTTGACCGAGAGTATCAACTGGACTCTGACGGGCTGTTGCGCCCGTTCGATGTTCAGGTTTGCGACTCTGTGGAGGGGTTAGAACGACGCGTTTTGGTCCGCATACATCACTCGCTTTATGACGGGTGGACACTCGATCTTATTATCATGGACCTCAACGCGTTGCTTGGTGGGGAGGATGTCTCCGACCGCACTCAGTTTCGTGATCTCGCGGCGTATCAGAACACTGCGGCAGCTTCGGATGCGGCAGAGGCCGCGAAGCAGTTCTGGGCTGAGAATCTGCTTGGCTTCCAGCCGAGTGCCACGCTCGAGCTGCAGCCCAAGCATATCGACACTGACGAAGTCCTGACGAGGCGGGTGCAGCTTGGCGTGGATGCTTCTCGAGTCAAAGCGCTCTCCGACTTGCTGCAGTGTAGCCCGCAGACTCTCTTCCAAGCCGGCATCGTGTGGCTCTGGAGTATGCTCACAGGCGAGAGCGACGTGTCTATCGGCACTGTCACGTCTGGTCGTACTCTCGGACTGCCTGGCATCGAAAGCATTATGGGCCCCTGTATGGACACTGCGCCGTTGCGAGTCGTCCTTTCGCAAGTCAGGTCTGTCCGCGAGCTGATCGAGAACATCCATGCTTTGAACCGGGCTATGCTGCCTCACTCGGGTCTGCCTCTCGGAGAGATCAAGAAGGCCGCTGGTATTTCTGCGAGCCAGAACTTGTACGATGTGTTGTTTGTATACCAGGAGTCGCTGTATAGTACAGCTCGAGGGGGCGGGCCTGTGCGCGAGGTCGCGCACCAAGACTTCTTAGAGACCGGCTTGCTCATTGAGGTCGAGCCGACATCTGCTGGGTTCACCTGTTCTGCGACGTACCATCTGGCCTCCTGGCCTGATGCGCAGGTTCGGGTTCTGCAGGAGCAGTACCAGTATGTGGTCAGGTTTATGCTAGACCACCTCGATAGCGAGCTGAGCTCGCTCACTAATACCTTCCCTGCTGGGATGCTTTCCAAGTATAATGATCAGCCTGCGCCGTATACTGGTTGTGCAGACCTGGCTGGTCTTGTTGAGGCGACGGCCTCGAGGAAGGGAGATGAGCCTGCCGTGCTCTTTGCCTCCTCGATCGAAGACGGGTCAATGGATGCTGAGGTTTTGTCCTATCGGCAGCTGAATGAGCTGGCGAACCAGATCGGCCGACATATACAGTCTTTCGGCGTCAGGGAGGGCGATGTCGTTGCTATCATCATGGAGAAGTCCATTCCGCTCTACGCTGGCATTCTTGCCATTCTGAAGACGGGATGTGCCTACTTGCCGCTGTTGCCAAGTACGCCCATCGAGCGCGTGAAGCTGATCTTGGATCAGAGTGACACCAGACTCTGCCTCACGGACAGAAAGACTGGACTTCTTCTCCAAGACAAGATACCTTGCCCTCTCGCTGACATTGGCAGTGTTTCACTGTCACAGTATCCCACTTCAAACATTGGCACCGCTGTCGACCCATCACGCGTTGCCAACATCATCTACACGTCCGGCAGCACAGGAACACCCAAGGGCGTATGCGTCACTCAGCTCAACATCACCAGCAATCTTGACGTTCTCGCACGGATCTACCCTCCCGTTCGGCCCAACGCTCGACTGCTGCAGTCCTGTTCCCAAGCCTTTGATGTCTCCGTGTTTGAGATCTTCTTCTCTTGGACACAAGGCATGTGCCTCTGCTCCGCCATCAACGACACCCTCTTCGAGGACCTCGAGAGGGCTATGAGGACGATGCAGATCACGCACCTCAGCATGACACCTACCGTGGCCGCGCTGGCAGAGCCGGCGAACGTGCCGAGCGTGGAGTTTCTCGTCACCTCTGGCGAGCCCATGACCGCGAGAGTTGCGAGAAACTGGGTTCGCCAGCTCCATCAGGGGTACGGGCCCTCGGAGACGACAAACATCTGCACGGTCAAGAAGATGGCGCCGGGAGATGTGATCCGTCATCTCGGCCACTCATTTGCGAATACTTCGTCGTTCGTCTTGCGCCCGGGCAGCCTCGACATCGTGCCGCTGGGTAGCGTAGGTGAGTTCTGCTTTGGCGGGGACCAAGTCGTCCAGGGGTACTTGCATCTCCCTGAGCTCACTGCCGAGCGCTTCATCGAACACCCCGAGTACGGCCGGTTATACCGCTCTGGCGACATGGGCCGTATGCTCCCGGACGGGTCTCTGATGATCATTGGGAGAGTGGACGACCAGATCAAGCTGCGCGGTCAGCGTATCGAGTTGAACGAGATCAACTCAGTGATGAGCTCCGCGGAGCAAGTGACGAGTGCTGTGACTCTGCTTCTCACCCGGCAGGGGTCCCAGCAGCTGGCGACATTCTATGTGTCTTCTTCGATTTCGGCGTCATCGTTCGGCTTCCTCGAAGATAGCGATGATGCGGCCCGAGAAAGGACACAGCACTTGTTAAGCTTGTTAAAATCGAGACTGCCAACATACATGGTGCCCAGTTACGTGTTGGCTGTATCGTCTATTCCCCTTACTCCGGCCGGAAAGGTCGATAAGGATCGTCTACGAGGGTGCTTTGCGGAGCTGAGCGATGAGGTTCTCGCCGCCTGTGGCGACTCCGCAGGGCCAGGCGCAGAGGAAGGGGAGTGGAGCAGCGAGGAGCGGAGCATCGCGAAGACCTTTGCAGACGCCCGAGGGATTGAGGCGGAGTCGATCGGGCGCTGGACGCCGTTTCCCAACCTTGGGGTCGATTCGATATCAGCTATCAAGATCTCCAAGGCCCTAGCGAGGTCTTTGGGCACTCGCGTCCCCGTCAGTGCCATATTACAGGCTGGCTGTGTTGCTCAGCTCGGTAGAACTATTTCTTCACTAGCTTTAGGTGATGAGACTCCCGCTTTCAGGGAGGGTGCAAGTACGTTTTTCTCTCAGGAAGCTCTTGCGGAGATCACGGCACAGTTCGAGCGCAAAGGAATTGCTGTGGAGAAGGTGCTGCCATGCATGCCGCTCCAAGAGGCCATGCTAGCAAGCTCGACTACACCAGACGCTCCGTATGTTGAGAAGATGCTGTTCCGCCTGGCGGTGCCTCTGGACACGATGAAGGCGGCGTGGAGAGAGATATGCAAACGACAGCCCATCCTCCGAACGTGCTTTGTCACTACGCAAGATGCAAAACGTCCCATCGCACAGGTTGTGTTGCGAGAGACCTGTGATGGCACGTGGTATACATCGACCAACAGCGCATTATCTCTTGAGGAATGGCAGTCGGAACATTTGCGGACACTTCCCTGCGCGATTGATTCTTTGCGGCCGCCAGTCTCAGTCTCGGCGTTGGGGCAAGACGGGGAGGTGTTCCTATCGTTTGTGTGTCACCACGCGCTCTATGATGGAGTGGCGATGGATCGCCTGCTTCTCGAGGTTGAGCATCTTGTGAAGGGCTTGGTACTTCCAGCTGCGCCGACTTATGACGCTTTTCTGTCGTATGCGCTGGACAAGAGTTCTTCTGGCGATGGTTTCTGGTCCGAACATCTAGCCAACTTTTCACCAACCTTATTCCAAGCCACCAATGGTGAATGGGTCGGAACTAAGGGGTGCTTATCTCGACAACTATCAATCCCTCTATCAGCGCTTGAAGCGAGGTCTAGGTCTCTAGGTCTATCGCTTCTGACAGCCAGCCAGAGCGCATGGGCCGTACTGCTGAGCCTTCTCCAAGGGACTGACGATGTCTGTTTCGGCAATGTGTACAGCGGCAGGGCAGTTCCCGTCGACGGTGTTGAGGATCTAGTGGCGCCTTGCTTCAACACTCTGCCTATCCGACTACAACTGGGCAATGCAAGACGGAACATCGACCTCTTGAAGCAAGTCCAGAAGCTGAACCCTGACATGCTGGAACACCAGTTCACACCACTACGCAAGATCCTCGCACTGACAGGAACTAGCGGAAAGGGGCTCTTTGATACGATGCTGTTGCTACAGATGCCGTCTCGAGAGCTAGATGCGGAGGTGTGGCGGCTTGAGCGTGAGGACGGTGATATGGACTTCGCGCTCGTTTGCGAGCTTACTCCGGACCCGCGAGGGGATTCCGTGCAGGTCAAGCTCCACTATGACAAGTAAGTAAGTTTCTTGGGTTTCTTTTCGGTCTCAAATGGCTGACCATGTGAGTATAGGCAATATCTCTCAGGCTCGAACGTGGAAGCGATCTATCGTCTGTTCTCCCACATTTTCGATATCACGCTATCGCAACCCTCTGCACATCTGGTGTCAGTGGACAATGTCTCTGACGATCTGAAAGACCGACTTGTCAAGCTTGAGTTGAAGTTTGAGCGGTGTTGCCCAAGTACTGCTTCCACTCTGAAGAATGACAAGGAGGAGTGGAACAAGACGGAGTCACTCATCAGAACCACTCTTGCCCGTCTCGCTACCGTTTCCGAATCCCGTATCACTCATGACATGTCAATCTACCAGCTTGGGCTCGACAGCATCAGCGCTGTGCAAATTGCTTCCTCTCTGCGCAAACAAGGGCTGAAGGTGTCTGCCACGGATGTCATGGAGTGGCCGACATGTCGCGAGCTGGCTGGATTTAGCAGCACAACTAGCTCTCAGGAGACAGAACTTGGGGACTCGTTGTTTGACCTTGGTCAATTCCGAAAAGAGGTCGAGTCTACCATTCGACAGGCGATACCTTCAGACACTGTCGTCGAGGCCATTTTGCCCTGTACACCTCTCCAAGATGGCCTCATCACCGAGTTCGTTCGATCACAAGGCCAGGCATACTTCAACTTCGTGGATATGGTTGCGCACCCTGATCTCATGATGGAGGCCCTAGTAAATGCATGGAAGGCTGTCGTTTGCAAGACCCCGATGCTTCGAACAGGCTTTGTCTCAGTCAACAACACGCTCAGCGCCTATGCGATGGCACAAGTCTCAAGCGATACAACAGAACCCTGCATTGCAGTCGTGCGCTCACCTGATGCTGGTCACTTCAGCCTTGACAAATGGAGACTTGATATGACACATCGGGCACTCTCGTATCTCGAGCGGCCGCCCTGGGGACTCACGGTAGTGGAGGACGAAAAGAAGATCTCGATGCATCTGGCCATCCACCATGCGCTTTATGACGCGTCTTCACTGCAGCTTATCTTCAATAGAGTTGCGGAGGCAATTCGTGGTGATTCCCTGCAAGATGATCACAGCACAGAGGGTGCCGTGCTCGCGATTCTTGAAGACAGCTCGGCTCGGCACGTAGAAGAACAGTCATTCTGGCACGATCATGCATCCAAGGCGACCGTCAGCAAATTCCCAACTCTAACGACTCTGCGAATGAATGAGCGCAATGTTCAAGTCAGCACAAAGGTCAGCAAGCAGAGCCACAGGGTCTTGGAGGAATCTGCAAGTAGCGCTGGTGTGACGATGCAGGCCGCTATACAAGCTGCCTGGACAAGGATACTTGCATCTTATATCGGTGAAAGCTCTGTAACTTTTGGTGTTGTTCTATCGGGTCGAAACACGGACAAGACACTCGATGCGGCGTTTCCGTGCATTACTACGCTCCCTGTCGTAGCTGAGCACAAGCAGTCGAACACGGAGCTTTTGCGTGCAATGATGGACTACAATGGACAGCTTCACAAGTACCAACATGTACCGCTGAACCGCATTCAACAATGGCTTGGACATCCAGGATCACAACTCTTCGACACTCTCATCGCTTTTCAGAAACTGGAGGTCCCAGGCTCGCGGAGCCTTCCTTGGGAGGTTGTTTCGGACCAAGGCACCGTTGAATATCCTGTTTCCATTGAGATCGAGCCTCGTGCAGATCATCTGCATTATAGGGTGACCTTCTTTGACGATATCATTCCCCTAGCGCATGCCAATTTGCTACTGGAGCAATTTGATGCAATTCTCAGTCATCTACTACTCTCGTCTGACGGAACGGAGGATACCTTATCTCAGAAAGACGAAGATTTGTTCGCTATCACGCCTGCTATTGAGCCTTACCTCAAGTCCGAAGCAACGCTACTTCATCACTTTGTCGAATATACTGCGCAAAGGATACCGGAAAAGACAGCCTTGCAGTTCGTAACGTCATTTGAAGGCAACAAGTGTTACGACAAGACGTGGACTTTTGAGCAGCTGAACAAGCATGGAGATAAGGTTGCGCATATGCTCTCGAAGTATGTTCAACCAAACCAGATCGTTGCTATCTGCTTCGACAAATGTCCAGAAGCGCATTTTGCCATCTTAGGAATCTTGAAAGCTGGCTGTGCCTTTGTCGCACTGGACCCAGGTGCACCAGCCAGTCGCCAGGATTTCATTCTCAAAGATTCCAAAGCCTCGGTCCTACTTGTTCAGAGCGGGACTGCGGACAACTTCAACTTCAACGCACGTGTACAAACTGTCGAGATCAATGAGGAAGAGTTGTCAAGCATGCCTCCTTCGCGACCTTTCTTGGCAGATGGCCTTTCCCCCTCGTCTGCCTGCTATTGTCTGTACACCTCTGGCACGACCGGAACACCGAAGGGATGCATCATCACCCATGAAAACGCGGTACAGGCCATGCTAGCCTTCCAGGTGCTCTTCACTAACCACTGGGAAGAATCTTCGAAGTGGTTGCAGTTCGCATCATTCCATTTCGACGTCTCGGTCCTAGAGCAGTATTGGACATGGTCTGTTGGCATCACGTTGGTTAGCGCTCCTCGTGATCTGATCCTGGAGGACCTCTCAGGGACAATATCCCGTCTTGAGATCACGCACATCGACCTCACTCCGAGCCTGGCGCGACTTTTACACCCAGATGATGTCCCATCTCTCTGCCGAGGCGTTTTCATCACTGGCGGAGAGCAACTGAAACAAGAGATCCTTGACGCTTGGGGTGACAAAGCTGTCATACACAACTTCTACGGTCCGACAGAAGCAACGATTGGCGTGACCAGCTTTCCCTGCGTGCCGAGGAATGGCCGTGCATCAAACATTGGCCGACAGTTCCCTAATGTCGGCACTTATGTGTTAAGACCTGGCTCGGAGGAACCTGTCTTGCGAGGAGGCATAGGCGAGCTATGCGTTGCCGGCAAGTTGGTCGGTAAAGGGTACCTGAATCGGGTGGACTTGACAGATGAGCGGTTTCCAACCCTTTCACGGTTCAACGAGCGGGTCTACCGTACGGGCGACCTCGTTCGAATCTTACACGATGGCTGCTTCGATTTCCTTGGTCGGGCGGATGACCAGGTGAAATTGCGAGGGCAGCGACTCGAAATCGGAGAGATCAATCATGCGATCAGGAAGGGAGTGCCCCTCATCTCCGATGTTGCCACGATGGTGATTCGTCAGGGAAAACTGCAGAAAGACTTCCTCGTCGCGTTCGTGGTTGCCGGAGAATCACGCCGTCGCGACGAGTTACAGATCATCACCAACAAGGCGGAAGACATATCAGATCAAGTCCAGCGGGCTTGTCGAGAGAAGCTGCCGCCGTACATGGTCCCGACTTATGTCCTGCAACTTCCTTTCATTCCTCTTTCGGCGAACAACAAAGCGGAGTTCAAGGTGCTGAAAGCGCTCTTCGAAGCCACCCCACTGGATCAACTCGTGAGCTCCAAGAACCATATCGACAAGGTGGATCAATTAGACCAAGTTGGTCAAGCGATCTCCAGAGCCCTCCAAGCCATGGGCATTATCAACGAAGATGAAGCTATTGGACAGTCATCCAGCATATTTGATCTCGGTATTGACTCGATCTCTGTTGCTCGTTTCGCCAGTTGTCTCAAGAGAGAAGGCCTCCAAGCTTCGCCCTCCACGATACTCAAGAACCCCAATCTTGGCCAGTTGGTAAGAGCAATCAATGCAGAGAAATCTTCAAAACAGACATATTCGGTCTTGGAGTCACAGCTGCTGGTGCAAGCCTGCCGACATCGACATCAGGGGTTCGTTTGCGCTACCCTAGGTATCTCGCCCGACATGGTTGAATACATTGCGCCTTGCACAGCACTGCAGCAAGGTATGATTTCTCGATCAAGATCAGAGGAACATCATGGTACCTATTTCAATACCTTCCAGTTCCGATTGGCGGATCACGTCTCACTCGATCGCCTAAGGAACTCATGGCAAAAGCTGGTCGACACCTACTCCATCCTTCGGACGCAGTTCATTGAGACGACTGAGGGCTTTGTGCAGGTGGCGCTCAAGGGGTTCTTGGTTCCGTGGCTGGAATCCGAATTACCAGAGAACAATTTGGTAGACGGGATCTCGAACATGCAACAGCGATGGGTTGCCAGCAACCAAGAACACATCCGACAATCATTCCAATGCGTTATCTTGCGTGAAAGCAAGAGCTACATTTTGCTTGTCAATATCTTTCACGCTTTGTACGACGCAAATAGTTTTGACTTGCTGCTTCAAGAGTTGGCCGCCGAATACTCTGGAACTCGCAAGGAGCCGTCCGGCCCGACATTCTTTGAGGCGCTCCTTCACGGTCCTCTCCGGAGCTTCGAACCGTCTCGGCCATTCTGGGAGGAACATATGAGAACCGCAAACTTCCAGGCGTTTGGCCCTTTATCAACTGAACCAACGCAGAAACCCCTGCATCTTATCCGAAGCATACCTTTTGAGCGCCTTGCCTCAGCGTGTAAAGTGATAGGCGTCACCAACTCATCACTTGTGCAGGCTCTCTGGGGCACAGTCCTACAAAATCACTGTGAAAATTTGACAATCGGGCTGATCTTGTCGGGTCGGATGATTGATCTCGATGGCGCAGATAACGTCATGGGGCCGCTCTTCAACACAGTCCCATTTCATATGGTCAAGGACGGCCAGCATACTTGGGGATCACTCGCAAAACAGTGTCACGAGTTTAACGCCTCTATCTTGCCCTTTCAGCATGTTGCTCTGAGAGATATACAAAAGTGGTGCGTTAAGGGTACTCAACTATTCGACACGCTCTTCTCGTTCCAACGGCAAGATACATCCATATCAGCAGTCGGATCGAATCTCTGGGCTGAAGTTGAAGCTGAGACAAATCCTGATTATCCCTTGGCCTTCGAAGCGGTTTTGAAGCATGATAGGGAGTTGCAGATTACCCTGGTCGCTCAGGCTGGAATGGGCGACGATGAATCTCTCAGGAAGCTTTTGGACGAGTTTGAAGCAAATGCGGTCATAGCGGCTGACAACCCTGAGTCTGTAATACGGTTGCGGGCAATCAAGAATGGCACTTGGAACCATCTGGAGTTATCTGCGAAGTCCGGGAGTCATGGGAATGGCCCTGTCAACGAGGCTCAGACTAGGTTCCAGTGGAGCGAAACATCAGAGCGCATCCGACGGGAGATTGCAAGTTTGGCTCAAGTACCTGAGACCAGCGTCCATGAATCCACCTCGCTCCTGGAACTTGGCCTCGACAGCATCGACACCATTAAACTATCTGCACGACTGAAGAAAGTTGGAGTCGCTTTGGCCAACAGCCAATTGATCAAGGGTCAAACCATCAAGGCATTCATGCACATGCTGGACAAGGCAGAGGATAATTCCAGCTCAAGCGTCCACGATGGCACGGAGTCCCAGAAGACTGACACATTCACGTTGCTGCGAACTCAACTCGCGAAGGAGGGACACGATCTCCGAGGTGCTGAGGCTGTTCTACCACCAACCCCTCTGCAGGAAGCCATGGTGGCAGAGATGATACAATCTGACTTCCATCGATACTTCAATCACGACATTATGGAGCTGCCTCATAGCATCAACCTCGAGCAGCTCAAGCAGAGTTGGCAACAAGTCGTTGAAAACTCGCCAATTCTCCGTACAGGGTTTGTCGAGGTCGACAACCCTTCAACACAGTTCACGTACTGCCAAGTCGTCAATAGTCAAGTCTCAGGGCTGTTCAACGAGGCGGACATCGACCATATTGACGAGCTTGTCGCCGTGACCGAATCAGCCCGAGACAAAGCGGAGAAGGGAGCCGGGAAGACTGGTCTGTTGCAGCTTACTGTAGTGAAGCTGCGCGATTGTAGGTATCTTGTTCTTTCAATTGCCCACGCTCTCTATGACGGATGGTCTCTGGACCTCTTGCATCGGGACGTGGAGGCGGCCTATCGTGGTCAAAAGCAGGAGACTCGCCAATCACCCGCCGGGTATCTGAATCAGATATTGAAATCATCCAATCCAGAGGCGCAAGCGTTCTGGACAGAGTATCTGTCAGGAGTGCACCCGACTCATGTTGAGTCTAACCAACCTTCCAACTCGGCTCCAAAGAGTACCCACCGAGTCGAGGCGGCATCAAAAGTCTCTGCAACCACACTTCGCAACTTTGCCAAGACTCAAGCTGTCAGTGTGCAGGTGCTGGGACAAGCGGCATGGGCTATAGTTTTGTCCACTCTCGCAAGATCTTTGGATGTGACTTTCGGTGTGGTCCTCTCTGGCCGCGATTCTGAAGATGCAGAGCAACTCATGTTCCCGACGATGAACACTGTGGCCGTCCGGGCCATTCTGCACGGCAAAGTTTTCTCTCTTCTGGGTTACATGCAGGAGAAGATGGCAGACATCAGCCTCTTCAAGCACTATCCCTTGCGTCAAGCGCAAAAAGCAACCTCTGACCCGCGAGGCCTCTTCAACACACTATTCATCTTGCAGCAAACACCGCCCAATGCGGGCAAAAACGACAGCGAGAAGGTGATGAAGTCTATTGACGGCATTTCCGACGTCGAGTACCCCGTCTGTGTCGAGGCGGAGCTCATCCATGACTCTCTGATCTGGCGAGTAGCCTGTGCCGATAACTACTTTTCGTCTCGGGACTCGCATCGATTACTGCACCTGCTCGATCTAGCACTCGGTTTCATGATCCAGTCGCCATCTGCAGAAGTTTTGGAGTTCACAGAAGATGGCTTGTCAGTCTGCAGCCTACCTAAATTTCAACCCAAGCTTACAGAAAGTCCACCTGAAAACTCTGTAGGCTCAGCTTCATCAGCGAGCGGTGGCGATGATAGAATTGGCAAGGGCCGGTCAGCGCTAGAAGAGAGTATTGTCGCTGTGCTGGCGGAAGTTGCGGGAGTTGACGCTTCAATTGTGAACATTTCTCAAAGTATCTACAACTTAGGACTCGATTCAATCAGCGCTATCAAGGCCAGCTCACTGCTTCGAAGGAAGGGCATCGCCATCACCGTCCGTACCATGCTCAATGCCAAATCAATCAGACACATGGCGGAAGGCATGAGTGACGCAAGAGTGCAGCTAGAGACGCGGACTAGCCAGCCGGTGTCAGCGCATGATCCGTTGGAAGCTCTTAACCTGCAAGCACTTCTCAGGAAAGCCGGCATACCTCTGGACGCGGTCGAACATGCCTTTCCAGCAACACCCCAGCAGATTCACATGCTCAGCGTCTGGCAGCGTACTGATGGATCAGTCTTCTTCCCGACATTCAGCTATACACTGAGCGGCGTTACCAACTTATCGAAGATAGCAGGAGCGTGGCAGAGAATATTGGCAGAGTTCTCTGCTCTTCGCATGAACTTTGTGGTAACCAATGACACAGCAATCCCTATGATTGGGATCGTGTGCAAAAATGACCCCAAGAACGACATTGAGAAGGAGGACAAGACATCCCAGAATTGGACGCAGCTGAGTGCAACGCAGAACCTTGTCCACCCATTGGTGCTCTTTTCTATCAAGAGACGGACGGCACATTCGTGGAGGCTGAAGCTGCAGATACACCATGCGTTGTATGATGCTGTCAGTCTACCATGTGTCATGACTCGATTCAAGCAGCTATGCTCTGGGCACAAATTGGATAGCATCGATGATGGCTTCGGACCTTGGCAAGAGCTTTCCTTCCTGCGTTTGTCTAGGGAGCACGTGGATGAGCGCCGAAAGTTTTGGACGAACTATCTCGAATCAGCCGATCTTTCCGAACACTTTTCGAGAATGACTGCAAATTTGGAGCCTGTGGACGACTTCTCGCGGGGCTCAAACTACCGCGAGTCCGCATTCACCAACATGGAACAACTCACTGAAGCATCCGCAGTCCATGGTGTCAGCATTCAAGCGCTCTTCTTCGCCTGCTATGCACGTGTCTTGGCAGCACGGGCCGCTGCCCGCGGGTCGGGGCTGTTGAAGAAGATAGTATTCGGTGTCTACCTTGCCAACCGAGAGGCGACCGGGGAGAAAACCCAGCCTGCTCTGCCAACACTAGCCTTGGTGCCGCTTCTCGTTCATGTGGCAGAAGGCGGAAACCTTATCAAAAACGCCAAGCAGGTTCAGCAAGATCTTTACGAGATTTCCTCTCCGGTGAATGTGGCTGTTGGACTCTGGGAGATCTACCAGTGGAGCGGCATCAAGATTGACACCTTCGTCAACTTCCTCACCGTACCTCCGCAGGAAGAGAATGGTCATACAGCGGGGGATTCGATTTCACTGGATGAGGTTCCTGGCACTCATGAGCCGTTGGACATGGCTTCAAAACCTTATAACTCTCCTTGGCTGTCAGGCAACGAGGTCAAAGAAGCATATCCGGTGAGCACTCTCCCCATACCCCTGTACTTCTACGAGATACTAATGATGTCACTTTAGGATGCTGTTGACGTTGAAGTTGCGGTGAGAAACAAAACATTAGACATAGGCGTTTTCGGTGCATCTGATAGACTTGGTATTGGCGGCGCGGCGGAGCTTATTGATTCGATCGTGGGGGTCTTGCATAGCGTCAGCGATATCATTTGAGCAAACGGGCCATTCTACAGCCCTCATAGAGGTGCATCATTGCATTGCATATAGACGAGCGAGCATTTGACATGATAGCAACATACGTCCTTATGATACATGATAGAAGATTGTTGTATTCAAACCTTCATTTGACAATGTGTCCCATTCTGTGTGTAGGATGGGTGATTAGCTGATAATTATATGAGTGATCACCATTACAAGATAACTCGCGATTGAGAAGTTTCGGTTTGAGGTTGGGTATGACCCCTGAGATCAAGATCATGATACTTAACTGGCACCCTTGTTTCAGTGAAACTCGCCTATAGCTCTGTCTTCGAGACCATTGTTTTTTGCCCCTCGAGGTCGCATACCCACTACGTCTTTTTCATGTGAACAATAACCTTGAGTGCCAAACAATTGAACCTAAAGGTTTCTTGAAAGTTTTGAGACATTGTCGGGCGGTTCTCTGTTCCGGTTGTCTTGATTGGTACCTATTGGTCATGCATTACTAAGACACTTATTCGAAAGGCACTATCCCTGCATAAAGAAAGCCTTTGGGTCTGGATAAGGGAAATCACTCGTAGACGTGGTTCTTTCATGCCGTCTTCAGCTGTGTTCTTGCTTGCTACCAGATGTTTCTATCACATTTGCTCCCAAGCCATAGAATGCGCGCATGGATATAGTTCGGTGTCTAAAGTGATCTTTTAGTGACTCACGGTAGGCTTTTGAGGGGTTTAAAGGTTAAAAGTCCCCTTGATTCAGAGTGTGGCGGGAAGAAGCCACATATGGACTTGGACGGCTGTCGCTATCAGGATTATGGTTGTTAGACTCTCTCCACATGTTCCAATGCGGAGCGATGAGCTTTTCATGCCACCTGAGATCGAAGCACTAACTCTAGAGCTTAAAGTTGGCTTGTGGAAGATATGGGAGTCTACATGCACGTCAAAAGATCAGCAGAGAGTTTAAAATAGGTGCTGTTGGTGATGAGTGCTAAGGATAGCATCCTGAGCCGACACTGATGAACAAATCATGTTAGCCATCGTTGCTGTCAAGTGGATAACACACAGTTTCTTCGCGTGGCTGCGGCGCGTATCATTCGGAACACGCGTGGGTCCTCGCAGAGTTGATCTTAAGCGCCCAGGGGTTGCATCTCTGTGAGGCAATGCGGGATAGCCAGAGCTTATTTATTGTGATTTTGAGACAAGATATGCGTCGGAGTGCTGAGTTGGCCGGCTCTTTGCGACCCGTCTCAGTCAGCATGCGGTGTGATTTGACGAATGTTCAGATGTTTCCCCCGAGTCTCATTTGCCTGTTTGACCAAACAAAAGACCATCTGTCGGGGAAAAAAAGCATCACTCATTGGCGGAAACAGCGACATGCTGACTTCGCAGGCAATACCGCTACGGGACTCCATACGTATCTATAGCAGAAGCAGACAAGGTCAATGGCCTCCAGCTTTCCTGTACTCTCAGGCCCAGCACGACATACTGTATCGACGTCACGTGGTGGCCTCGTACGGAGGACGATCAAGGGGGAACTCGATGAGCAGGAGAGAAGCTGCCTTTAACCCACTTCAAAGGGAAAGCATGCGAGACGAATCATAGCATACCCTGAGGAAGGACATCTTCGAACATAATGATAGGATGAAAGCGCGACTACGAGAGAGTGATTGATGAAGGAGATAATGTTTTCTTTTTCTGTACACTGTCCGTGAACTTTAATTCAACCTTGGTTGCAACACAGCCCCTAGATCTCAAATGCCTAATGATCTACAATAATTGAACGGCCATGTGCGGAGCAGATGAGAACCGTGAGAATCTTCAGGCGAAGAAATCAGGACTAAATAGCAGTCCGGCGAGGTGTTGAAGCGGACTCGAACTAGGCCAAGTGCGACTGGCCAACGCCAATAGAGGCATGCCGTCGGATTCTACAAGTACAAGGGCTCTCCATATGTTTTCCTGCCAGGTATTGCGGTATCATGAGAATGAGGCCATGGAGCCAGCACGATCGTTGGGGTTACGGACGGGTGTCAAGACTCGGGCCATATGACCCCGGGAAACATGATTAGGAGGGGGCATACGAGCCCAGCTTGCAAGGACCAGATCGTTGTTCGTCCCAAATGGGTAGGGTGGCTTCCGTATCGGGCAGCATTCCTGGCCTTTTTCTCGTGTTGGGACCTCATTCTGTTCTATTAAGCACACACACATAAAGGTTACGTGAACAGTCACATTCTTCATTTTTCGGATCAAACTTGGCACCGTACACGAAGGCGGGCTTTGCGCGGAATAACGGCAAATCGAAATGTACTTATCCCGAACAAATTCTGGGAACGAAATATTGGTCCACCTGTACGAAATACGACTTCACAGTACCCGGTCACCCGGTACAGACATCATGCTTCATCAGAAATCCGTGTGATGCCTCATTACCTGATCCCGGGTGGTGCAAGGCAAAAAAGCGGCTTGTCGGTTGGGCATGGATTTTGTATGATGAGCCCGGGAAATGAGCCTCGGCCCGTCGCCTCGTCGCGAGTGGCGGCGCGTGCACAGCACCGGACAAAATGAACAACACGAGATGCATCAAAATCTCGCCGGCTTATTACGGGACGCCATGGCATCGCTATGGAGAAAAAGCGCTCCGTGCTCCAGGAGGTAAATCTCCAGACCTTGGTTCCCATCCACCCACTTACACTCCCCACGGTGGGACCGCCACTTTTGACTTTGAGGGGCGCCGTTGTGTTTTGGGTGTCAACACTAACAGCTAGTGTGCTGTGCAGGAGTGGCTTAAGCGAGATTAATTTGGTTAGAGAGCTTGCGATGTGGCGAGGGCTTGGGGATGGGAATCGTGATGTTGACAGCAGAAACTTGCAGATGCCGACATCATTGCACTTCTGGTTTCTGGGGTGAACTGGACCGCCTACTAATAAGCAATCCCAGATTCACCCGTGTCACACAGACAAGCTCGAGCGAAATCTGAGGTGCATGCGCGCGCAAGCTGTGCAAGGACCCTGCAGCCGCTGCCAAAGCGAAGATCAGGAACAATAACAACGGACGGGATGCTCGGTGACCTGCAACTGGCTGATGGATGGCCATTCATGATCATGATATCGGGGACCACCACTAGAAACTCGTACTACACCTCACCTTATTTCTCAACGCGGCCCACACGCACATGGCCGAGCTGGGTGCCGAGACTTGCTAGCTTTGCTTGGGTAGCCTGATCTTTATCCGTGCATTCGGGCCCCGGCACCATCATGCTCAAGATTCGAATGGAGAAGAATAAGGCACGAAAGTAATCTCCTAGCATGGCGTTAATAAGGTGCTGACCCGGTTTTGTGTGGCGAGCCGCTGTGTGGAGAAATGTCATGGAAGATTCGGCTTCCTTTAAGTCTAAAAATACATACTTGTACACCACCGCACCCAGGGGGGACAGCAAAAAGGAGCAACAAGAAGCGACCACATACTTGTAGTTACTGCCCACGTTTGGTTCATGCACTTTTAATATGGCAATACGGCACCTCTCATCTCTTCACTAACCCAGGGAAGCCATGTCATCGACACGACTGGACGTAACGATGCAGCGCATTCGCCGAGCAGGGGTGATCCTGTGGATAGCCTCTATGGAATACGAGGTTCATGCCAAGCTCTCGTGGCTCGCCGCCCTCTGGTTGGTGTAGCGCGCGCTCCGTCTTCTCCTTTTTGGGTGACCAGCTCAGCACGATGACGCTCATTGGTTGCACTGGGTGTCAGTCGCAGCAGCTCAGTCCTCCTTCTGGACTGATGGCCATCTTCCCGGACCCATGGCCACCACACCAACTCTCTTGATACCCCTGACTAGATACTACCACAGCAGCCAATCCGCGCCGTAGGAAAAGCAAAGAACTTTTTCTGCACTCAAAATGCGGCACGCCCACACAGCGCTAGCACCATTTCGCGCAGGGTGATGGCAAGGGCACCAACGGCTCCGGCCTTGGTTGGCTGCTCCGAGCAGGGATTATTGCCTCCATCCAGAGTCTAATCCTCCCCTTGCCCAACGTTGTTTGCTGGGCCGCCTGCCAGACGTGCACCAGACTCGGTCCCAGACTTCGTCCAGGGGCCAACACTTGCTCGTGTGATGCTAGTCAGCCCATAGGTATCCTGTCTCCCACGCGGGGATTTCTTCACACCCCATGTAGTTAGTCATCGTACGGGGCACACTCGGCTTCCACACCTACACGACTTTCCCGTGGTGATTCTGCGCTGTCTGTCGGTGCCTTGACGTTGATCCCGGCATCTAGGGGAGTCATGATCAAGCGGGTGCAACCTGGACACAAAAAGGTGCATTCCCGCCCACCTGCATCTCTTGTCTTTCCCTTCCTACTCCCTCACCCACCCACAGGTACACGTTTGGTCGTTCGCTTGACAAACAACACACATTCGCTTCCCAAGCAGAGAATCACATTCGCTTTCAGCCGGAAAAGAAACGAAATTTAATATACCTACATCCTAATACCTAATCCCAACCAACAACAACACCAACAAACAGTCACGATGCGTTACTCTATTGTTGCCGTCCTGGCTGCCACTGGCGTCAGCGCCTGGAAGTACCCTGACTGCGTAAGTACCCGTCTTCTTCTTCACCAACATGGCGTCTTCTACATGTTGTGTCACGGCATGGCAGACGAAATGTGTGCTGGAGAGGGCTTTGGAATGTTGAGGTGACAGGCGTCTCCGCTCTGCCCTTGTGCCGGCGACGGGCCGCACTGAGACATTGCTGTCCAAACTAGCGCAACACCACACCTAAAAAGCCGTGAAACATTGGTACCAGGGGGAGGGTGCCACAATATCCATTACAGACACTAACACGTCCCTGGCAGGAGCACGACAACTGCTACCGCAACATGATCAACGCCAAGTACACCGAGCTCGCCCCCAGCTTCTGCTTCAAGTTCCTCGCCGGCACTACTACTGCCTCCGAGGCCATCCCCACCGAGTTCAAGAACTGCGGCGGCGCCGTTGACAAGGTCTCGTCGGCCTGCTCGTGCATCACCTACACCGCTACCCACACCTCGGGCTCCACTAGCTACCCGGAGAGCACCCCGTCGAGCACCACCACCCCGTACCCCACCACCACGCCCGGCGAGAGCACCCCGTACCCGACGACGACTCCTTACCCGACCACCACCGAGGAGAGCACGTCCGAGTACCCGACCTCGTCGGCCAACAGCACCACCAAGTACACCACCTCGACCATCTACACCACCACCACCAAGACCATCACCTCGTGCGCCGAGACCGTGACCGACTGCCCGGCCGAGTCGACCATCTGCATCACCGAGACCATCCCCGTCACCACCACCGTCTGCCCCGTCACCGAGGAGCCTACCAAGACCCCTCCCCCTCCCCCTCCCACCACCGTCATCACCAAGACCTCGGTCGGCACCAACTCGCCTCCCGCGCCCACCAAGAGCTTCCCCGTTGTCCCCACCGCTGCTGCCGGCAAGGTCGTCGCCAACCTGGCTGCTGCCGCCGTCGCTGCCGTCGCTCTCTTGTAAGGGACAGAAAGGGAGTGGTTGTTGAGTTCTTGACGTTTATGGCTTCTTTTTCTTCTTGATGGAGGACAGTGGAGTTGTGCACAGCCGCAAGCGCCCTGCCTTCTTTTATTAAGTGGCGTCTGCATCTGATGGATATGAATGGGAAACGCGCCCCCCCTCATTTCGATGTAAATTCTGGATCGAGGATGATTAATGTAGATACGAAATCGTGATCAAGGCTATTTTGACCTCGGTGACACTACCACTGTCCCAACCTGTGTTTCTTCGTGATCGAATACTTTGCCGTATGTCCATCCTGCTGCTGAGTATATTCATGACCGGGCATCCTCGAAACTAACTTGTCTTTTTGCGCAATCAGACTTAGTGCAAGATGTGGATGAGAAGTGCTGCGGTTTCGGGCTACACTATGAATAGATCCCAGTTGACTCTCCGAACAACCTGGCTAAGTGGGCGTCTGAATAGTTGACAGAAGTTCATCAGGAGCTACCTCGATCTTAACAACCAATATCCTTGCCACATCCTTACCCTGGAACCCAGAAGGGCTATCCCACTACCTAAATCCGATGGGCTTGATGGGTAGACAAGTACTTCTGTTAGCAGTCCGTCAACTAATCTGACCCTCACTTGCCTGGCATAGGGATCTGCACTCTAAACCGATAGCTTGACTGTTTACTCTCGAGTCGGGCGACTGACTCTACGCCAGAGAGTGCAAACAGCTCGTTGGGAGATTGTCCTCATTCCACTAAGCCTGGTACGCGTAGTACTTGCGACAGGCTATGGCCTTACATACAGTGGAAATATTTGCTGAGATAGTTGTCAGGTTGTTAGGAATGAAAGGCTGACGACGGTGTTGTTGATCAGCAGTATGCTAGCGGCAACTCTCCCTATGACACGGTTATAGATGATGCCAACGTTATCGATTGCCTTCTCAGGCTATCGACCTTCCTCGCATACAACCTAGTAACATATCAGACGGTCCCCGACTATCCAAGATTTTTGTAACGCTACTCTGCAACAAGATGCCGTTGGGAAAGATTACGTCTATCCTAGATTCAGCATTATAATAGTATCTGAGTATCTTTCCAAACGAGCAGTTGGCAACTTGAAGCGCTCTCAACTGTGACCTTTGAATGGCACACGATTGGCACGGTCACCGGGAGGCTAGATATTAACATTCCGTCGATGACGACGCCAGGGTTGGCCGTCACGCCTGGCCAGGGTACGCCACTGCGAGTTTGTTTCGCAGGGCTGACCTCAACAACTAGTAGGGATCCGAGGTAGGTTCAGATTCCCAAGGTCACAGATTGACTGATGGTTGTTTCAAGGATTGCGCCGAGGGAAACTGCGAGTCACTGAGGCGGCGTGCGCAGTATCAACTCCTCCCCAAGTGCTGTATAGGTTACAAGAACCGGATAGTGATACTATTTTCTAGACAGTGAACCCGGACAAACACCGTCAATCTTTTGCAGATATGATCACTTCCAGAGTTTAGGAGAAGAACATTACCTTCAGAACTCTTAAGCCACGCCTCTTGCTTTCACCTCAATTGCTACTCTACGCTTGTAGGCAACGAACAGCAATCTCTATTCTATACAATACTGATTTCTTTTGGAAGTAACCTTGATGGCTGATTAATACGCAAGTACGAAGTGCTCAACTCCGAAGACGAAGTCACCAAAGCGGAGAGCGCCTAAAAGAACATGCTCAGCCAGCTGAGCGACACCCTCCGCAACTCAAAATTGGGAATTCTCTTAGAGAGCACTGGAGATGCCGTGGATGTGATCTAGGTACCCGTTGTGCTAGCAGGTGAGATCAAGAACGTACAACAAGCCCTCGATGTATCAGACTAGATTGAGTGCGGCAAGCTCAATGGTAAGTATCTTTGCATTTCTGTCATCTATTCTACTCTTCGTGTCAATTTCCGGCAAGATCGCCGGCTCCGTGGTCGCCCTAACTGACATTTGACAGGATATGGACTGCCTCTAGCCGTGAACAGAGCGTACATCTCTGATATTGAAGCCAGTCAGCCTAGGAGCGGACTTGATGACTCGACGAGAAAGAGAACAATCGGCCGTCTTATGTTGAATCAAGGTAGAGAGGATATGCACAGCTGATCGACAGGCAGCCATACGCCCGATGGGGGCCGTTCAGCCTTAAACACATCTTTGACTGACCTCATTCGTATCTTGTGATTCTTGACGAGTCACCTTGGCCGCGCTCGGAGGTCGAAAGAGGAGAGATCACTGCCCGTGATGTAATGGGGTCGTACAGCCTCGAATAGCAGCATGCTTCATGCTGTGCTGTTCAACGGACCCCAAATTTTGAACTTTTAGCAACCGTCCCGTGTGCAGTGTGCCGACGTTAATCAAGTTGGAGACCCCTGGTTCGTCAATCTGAGCAGTCGAGGTTCAGCTCAGATGTCGATTCGCTCAAGCGAGCTTCAGCCCCAGCAAACGGATGTAACACTACAGGGTTTCGCAATCACTCAAAATTCCTCCGTCTTACGCTCAACTTTATTTTCCCTGGGGTCCTGCCTTTCTGCATGTGCCATTCTCTGAAGCATTGTCTTTCTATGGTGCTCCACCAGTGGGTAGTGCTACCTTCGCATGGGACGCAGCATGTGCGGCTTGCCAGTAAGGTTCAACAGACGGCCGGCAGATCTCCTGACCGGCAAGGGTCTGCAGTGCGTCCCCAACTTGCCAGTGCCTGTCTGTAAGCCGGAGGCGGCCACGCGATGTACGATGTAATAATCCACCCGATCCCCCAGGTGGCCCTCCTGTCATGTTTCTGGTGGCGTGCGCCAGCTTAAAGATCAGCAGGGCCTCGAAGCTTGGTCCTTTGGGATTTTCAAACTAGTGTACAACACCAGTGCAGTTCCCCACGAGGACCACCAGTCGGCTTTGATCTTCGACGCCACATCTTTGCACCACAGGTAATCTTATAAATCTGTTACATTATTCCCCGGTCATGGGCCAGCATGCCGACGAGAACCTCCCGGAGGTGGTGCCGGGGCAGTCGCCGCAAGTTCTGTCGGACCAAGAAGCCCTGCGCTATCAGCTCCAACTCGAAGAGCGCGACCCAAAATACCCAGTCAACCTGGACGACGCACCCAAGTGCATCGAGACGGAACCTGACCACGACAGGATTGCGACTTTGAGTCCGGGAGGTGCGAGTAGCGTACCATGGGAGCCTCTGTCGGCAGTGGACAACCTGCCAGCCGGGGACAGGAGCACGACGTATTATGAGAGCGAGAAGAGCGAGCGGGGCACAGGCATGATCTGCGGCTTGCGTAAAAAGGTATTCTGGCTGTTGCTCGGTGCCGTGCTCATCATCGTTGCAGCAAGCGTGGGAGGCGGTGTTGGAGGAGGCATTGCCGCAGTGAATTCACGGAACCATGCCGTAGTAGAGGCGGATTCTTCCTCAAGGTAAGAAGAGCCTTCTCGATTGTTAACCCCTTTAGATATTTGTTGGCAAATATACTAACCTATAGTTGACAGATCCAGCCAGACATCTGCTCCTGCTCCGACCACCAGCAGCACCCCGGCGCCGAGCAGCTCGACGACCTCCGCCCCGCCGGCGCCGGAACCCACGTACCTCAACAACCAAACCTTCCCGACTCCGGGCTTTGCGTTCCAGGCGTTCGAGGGGCGCAACTACACGGTCAACAGCACCAAGATCTACCGCGAGGAGGGCTTCTTCGATCTGCCGTTCCCGTGCCTGAGCTACGTGTGGCTGCCCAACAGTACCGACTGCTGCATCACGTTCTGCAACAACAGGACGTACGCCGGCGGGTGGTGGTGCAACGAGAAGCGGCAGACCAATGCGTCTGGGGCATTCCCGAGGATCTGGATCGGGTGCGGCAAGGACGCCCATGAGGAGCATGCCTGCTCATGAAAGATGTCAAGGAAATGGTGATGAATGGAAAGGAGGAAGCGTCTGTTTACTGCCAAGCTCAGCAGGAAATGCCAGTTGATGATTGTGGCGTTCTAGTAGTGTATGCAATGGATACCACGTAAGCGAGCTTTCGTTATCGGAGACTGTAGCCTGGTCATTTCGATATCATCATCTTGTCAGTACCGTACCTTAATCAGCGAAAAGAAGTCGAGGTACATGTAACGACGTGTGAGCTTCGAGGCAGAAGTATAGCCAACTGGCTGACAGCTGCTGAAAAGAATTTAGGTGCAGGTAACTAGAGTGGAGGGCCCGCAGTGGCGCCTGCTGTTTCTGCTGGTGCCGGTGCCAGTGGATGCGGTGGTCGGTAGTGGCTTCCGCGTCCATGTCCATCTGATAATCACGTCATGCGCATTCCCATTTCAGCTCGACGAGCCCCCAGAACCAGCTCGCGTCGTGTTTTCTCAGACCAGAGCCTCATGAATTGAGCATCCTCGCAGTCTCCGGATCATGAGCTTTGCCCTTCGTCGCTCGGCGCCGACGCTATCTCGATTCAATTCATTGCTACGCTGCAGCTTGTCTGTGGGTAGAATCAGCCGTTATCTTACTGCTCCGCATTCCGAAGCCCACATCAACCATCTCATCAATCGCACTATGAGTACCGAGAGTTCGACCAAGAAGCCGCTCATGAAGCGGGCCGTGGTGACCAGCTTCATCTTCAAGTTCCCCGACGGGGACGGAAGCCAGGGCAGACCACAGGTTGCCCTCTTTCGCAGGAGCGATAAGGTCAGCACTTATAGGTAGGTTGAGTTCTGTTGATAACAATTGCAGCGCTTTGCGTTGTGTGCGGCTCAAGGCAAGGGGTGGGATGGGGCCGCGACTCGCGATCGAGGCGGCGGCGGCAGCGAGGCGGCGCGATGCGGACCTCCCGGCAATGGCTTTGTACACACAGCGCTGTCATTGCGTCCTTTTGTCGTCTAAATTCGCTAACATGGGATGGCTTCCATTCTACAGGCACTGTTGGGCTGGCATATCGGGGTCCATTGAGAAAGATGACCCTTCTCCCTACTCAGCTGCCTTGCGCGAGCTGAGAGAGGAGACCACGCTAACAAGTCCCGGGTCCCTGGAGTTCATTCGCACGGGCAAGCCTTACTCTTTTGTCGACGAGGATCTGAATCGGGAATGGACAATTCACCCATTCGGATTCCGCCTCAAGACCGAAGCCGAAGGCGGTCAAGGCGAAAAGGGACTACAGATAGACTGGGAGCACGAGGGCTGGCAATGGCATGATCCGGCCCATGTGAGTGACACTAAAGAGTTCGGCGGAGTTCCACATATCGCGGATAGTCTACGAAGAGTCTGGTTTGAGAAAGTTCTCGGCGATGGGCCGGGCGCGATCCTTGCCGAGGGCCTTGATAGGCTCAAGAACGACCACGAGAGCGGCGCCCGTCAGTTGGCCGGCGAGGCCCTGTCCATCCTCCGGAATGTCGTCGCTGCGCTCGACCGCGACGAGCCAGCTGAGATCTGGTGGGCCAATGTCCGGATTGCAGCCTGGCACATCTGGAAAAATGGCCGGGAGAGCATGGGCGCAGCCATCATGAATGTCCTGCTTGGCGCCCTCCGGAGCATCGAAGAAACAATGCGGCAGCACGAAGAGCACCCAGACTCTGTTCACTCACTTAAATGGCGGGACTCGGTCGTGGAGAGCCTAGAACGGCTGATATCACTGCGGGCCACTAATTCTGCGGGGGTCGTGTCTGCCGCGTTTCTCGATTACTTGCAGAGCGCCTTTTCTGCTAAATCTGGTACCAATGCACCCTTGTCGATTCTTACGCTATCAGAGAGCTCGACGATTGCGCAGTGCCTCCAGCTGGTCGCGCAAAAGGCCGACCTGCCAATCGACCTTCGCATACTCGAGTCGAGGCCCTTATACGAAGGCGTGTCGCTCGCGGGGTCTGTCGCACAGGCTTGGGCAGCCCTGGACGGAGAGCAACGGGACGTAGCCAAGTTCAAGATCACCATTTATACAGATGCGTCGGCCGCAATCGCGGCAGAGGGCGTCGACATTGTCCTGATTGGGGCGGACCGAATCGCGTCGTCGGGGGCCGTGAGCAACAAGACTGGCTCCCTCCCCGCCGTCCTGAGCGCCAAGCACGTCTCCCCATCAGCCAAGACAGTCGTGCTAGGCGAATCTGAAAAAGTCGCACCGCCAGGCGATCCACGGGAACATGTCGTCGAGGATAACGACCCCATGCAGTTGGTGCGGGCGTGGGAGGCTGGACAGAATGGCGAGAGGGTGCGAAGTGCCGCGACGGGATTGTCCGCCGCGGTCGGTCGTGGTCTGGACCGCCACCAGGCCGGAGGATTGGATGGAGTGGCGGTCCAGATCAGGAACGTCTTCTTTGAATGGGTCCCGCCAGATCTAATCGACGTCTACGTGACAGAATTCGGGGTATGGAGACTGGAGGACATCGCCAAGCACTCTGAGAACCTGGGAGCGGAGGAACAGCGACTCTTCAAGGATTTGTAGAGAGAACGGGCCGACTTTGATCGACCGTGTCTCCGTCCGTCTGTACGTACAAATGGCATGGTGTTACTTTCGACCCAATCAGTGAGGCTACCCGTCCGGAGATAAAAATCCCAGCACGAAGAAACCAAAAACAGGGCAAAAATTAGGGCGACAGCCGGCACTGAAGATCCGGGACGTGGCGGGTCTAGGCGCAGCTCACGCCCAGTCAAAGGGTCGAGACTACATGCCTGCAAAGCATTGGATAACGGCATCTCCCCCACTGTCATCCCAAAGACGGTCGCTTGCTGGTTTCGGTCCTAGCAACGGCACTGTGACACTACATCTGTACTATTCTGGCTACGGCTACCGCCTCGCGCGCGCCGTCTGAAGATCTGATCTTTGTCTGGCCTGGGCTGCGCTGACTTGACTGCTGTCATACAGTGTGCATGCAACCATCCTTCTGCACACCACCCACCCTGTGCCCCTGGCCTGCCTTCTCTTCTGACACTGTTGGCTTCGCCGGTTTCGTGTGTGAGTAAGAGAAGAAAAAAAAAATGAACGGCATGCGTGAGGGGTCGCGGGGTCGATAATCTCACACGCCTGGGCTGGCTCTCGCTCAATCCACATCCCACCCATCCATCACAGCCCCGCCCGCCGTCGCCGCCGCCGCCAACCCCGACGCCAACGCCAACGCCAGTGATAAACCCGTCGAGAAGAGAGGGATCCCCACCAAGCAGTAAGTAGCAAGGCCGCCATCACCAAACCAGTTCGGTGGCCTGGAAGCTCCCAGCCAGGGTGCCTGCAGGACTAGTGAGCCGTTCCATGCCAAGCCGCGAGGCCTGATCCGGCGCTTGATCCTTCTTTTACACCTCTCACACAGCCTGGAGTGTCGAGAGAAAAAAAAAGATCCCGGCCTGGGTCCTGGATCCAGAAGGGGACTTCCCTGACCCAGCGAGTCAGTGCCATTGAGTGGAAAACCCTCCCCCCTTTTGCTATTTTGTTTCCCAAAAACCTGGGGTTTTAAGGGTTCACCTTGTGTGGCGAGGAGCCCTTGCCGGGATGCCGTGCATATCTGCCTTTGCCACAAGGGGTCAGACATCTCGCTTGTTTGCCTTTGCGCGCCTGACCCTGCTGCTGCTGCCTCCTACGACAACATACCGTCCTCTCCCAACAACCTGGGCCCACGGCCGCCCGAGAGGCTGAAAGGGATCTACTTCTCCTGCGAGGTTTCCCGGAGACTTTACATCCTTCCTCCTTGTTTTAAGGGGAGGCTTGTTGCAGACCGCCTCCTCCCGTGTACGGTATCAGCCAGATAAGCTGACACCCCCAAAACCACCATGCCGAGATCATCATCCAGCGCGAACTCAGCAGCAACGGGAACGCCAACCGGGACCCCGTCTTCGCAGAGACTACCCGTCAACCCCCGCCGCCACAAGGTTGCGCCAGACCAGAGGAAGCGTGTCGCAACAGCGTGAGTCCCATTCTAAGCCTTAGCTAATACGCCTTGATTCGGGTGCTGAAACAGGGTGCTTACTTAGGTGTAACAATTGCAATGTAAGACGAATCAAGTGTTCGGGGGAGCGGCCCTGCAAGCAGTGCAGCAACTCGTCGAGGGACTGCCAGTACCCTGTCGTGATCGACAAGGTCAGCATCGCCCGCTCCGAGCTGGAGGAGCTCAGGTCGAAATGTGCCGCCCTGGAATCTTGCCTTCAGGAAGCCGTCCCGGATCTGCCACGCCGGCAGCTGCTGCTCTCGCGCGCCGGGCTTGGCAGCACAACCCCCGAATCACCGGCCTCGTCACTCAACCCCCAGGGCAGCTCCGTTGATGACGATCAGCCGCCGTCTGACGGCAGGCTCCTGCAGGATTTTGACGGCACCACTCGCTACCTCGGGGAGACGTCCGGCGCCACCTTTCTGGACAACCTCAAGCAGTTCATGTCGACCATTTTCCCATTGGCCTTCAATGGGTCGCAGCCAGACAACCAGACTGCGGGAAGCAGCTTCATCGCCACCGTCGGCCGGTACCAGACTTACGATTCCCGCCCTCTGGTGACCCCGGCGGTCGACCCGCTCTGGCTGCCGCCAGCCGAAGAGATGTCTGCGGCCCTGGACCAGCTCAAGTATTTTGTTCAGGAAGGGGGTGGAATAACGGGCGGGACCATATTCATGGGCAACCTTACCGACCTCCCTAGCGACCCGCGCATGCCCATGGATCAGCGAAACATGCGCAACATAGCTTTCTTCCAGGCAGCACTCGCATACGCCAGCCTACTACACTTGACGACGGCGAACTCCAAGCAGGATGGGCAGCTAGGTGAGACGTTCTTCATGCGGGCCAAGCTGCTGCTTGGCAACCCCCTGGACATATCGACCTACACGAGCACTGATGTGGCCGTCATGGCGGTCATGGGGTCGTACTTGCTCGAGGTCAACAGGAGAGACGCTGGCTACATGTACATCACCACTGCGCTTCACGTTGCCCTCATGCACGGTGTGCACAGAGGCTGGTCGGTCGACGAGCAAGGGAAGCGCGTGTTCTGGACCATCTACATTCTGGATCGGTAAGTCAACCAGTCCTTCCCTTCCAGATCGTGCTCTGACTTGCACACAGATGGATTAGTTGCTTGATGGGGCGTCCACCAAGCATCCTTGATGACGCAATCCGACTTGATCTTCCTCGCGATGCGCCGTACGTCACCTACATCTTTCAAAGATGGCCTCTCATGTGCTCGACTAACCTCCAGATAGCGGTCTCCCTCCCTCCATAGGGCTACGAGCCAATGTCGAGCTCTTCAAGATCGCCGGTCATATCGTGTGCAACACCTACAGGATAGCTCCATGGCCCGAGGCCTCCCAGAAACCCGCATCAGCACACGTCGATACGGCTCTGCAGATGCTTGCCAGTTGGCGGAAGGACCTACCTCCTCCGCTGCAGCTATCCTATGAGACCTATAGTGGTGATCGACCTCTATGCACCCTGCATATGACATACAATCAGGTAAGTCCGCCCTTCTCATGATACTTTCTCAGTCTACAGCGGTTCAAGAGGGCTAACACTCGCAATCACAACACAGCTCCTCATATTAACTATCCGGCCCATCTTGTTCATGGCCGTCAAGAAAGCTGTCGCCGACCGCTTCGTCAGCCGCCAGTGGGACATCGAGGACCACGCGCACATCGAGCACATTCGCGAGTGCAGCGACGCCGCCCGTCGCAACTTACGCCTGGGACGCTGGCTGCACACCATGAGCCCCGGCTCCAAGCTGCTGCTGCCGGACCTGCACAACATCTTCAACGCCGCCATCATCCTGCTCCTGCACCAGATCGTCTTTGTCAATCTGCGCACCAACGACGTGTCCGACATTGCCTTCTCTACCGAAGTTTTTGAGCGCGAGGCCGGCTTTGGCGACCGCTACGGCGAGGACTGCGCGCGCGTGCTGCAGGACCTGTCGGCGCTGGTGCGCCGCCTGCGCAACCTCATGTTTGACGGGATCCCGCGCATCAGCCCGCATGTGGACGATGGCGGCAGGCAGGTCGGCGGCACCGCTTCTTCGCCGCCGGGGGTGCTGTCCTCGGGCGCGTCGCCGTCGGCCTACGGGATTGTGACACCGCCGCCGCAGGCTGTGGGAGCGGGAGGAGGCGGCGTCGGGGCAGGTGGTGGCGGTAGCAACATCATCTCGATCCCCGTGCACGGGGATGGCAACGCGCTGTACCAGGAGCTGATGACGTGGCTGGACAACGACGATCTACAGATGTACAATAATTACCTTGTATGACCTGTTTATGACAATTGCTTTACCGAGAAGAGAGGAATGGAGGGAGGTATGGGGGGGGGGGGGGGGGGGGGAATCGAAGGCGCATGCGCCTGCTCAATGAGATAACCTGATTTTTGCAATGTTGCCGAGCCAGCCTTTTTCCCCCCATCCCCAGGACATTGTACAACTGATGGAATGAGGGGTCTAGCACTGTTCAAGCTACAGGGGAGCTGTGAGATTCGCAGCTGTGTAGGGTACTGCGACAATCGAACCAATCATGCTGTGCTGGATGACATATGGGGGAATCTCACCGAGAACCGGGGAGGTTTGGCGGGAGTTTTAGCACACCTACATTGTATCATCTCACACACTTGATCCCCCATCACGTGCCGGGCACCGCAGTGAGTGATGAATGTTCATTTCCAAAGCGTTAGGCATGGACCCCTTGTCCACCATGGTGGATGAAGATGTAGGGGGCGGCTCAGTTTTACGGAACTCGCCGTCACTAGTCTGCGCGCGCGCTGAAGGGGAATGACGCGGCCCATCAGGCTTATTTGGAGGATAAAACTACCTAAGGAGTACCTAGGTAGCTTCCGTGTTAGGTCTGCGAAAAAAAAAGGCAAGATACAGGGATGGCAACAGTGCTAATCTGTAGCTATCTGCTCGCAGACCGGCAGGCTGGTAGACTGACTGGCAGCAAGAAGAGTACCCACCTTCTAAATGTAGAGGCTTGCTTGTGGCTCAGGTACTAGGTTGCTCAGCTGAGCAGCTTTTGGAAAGGCTGGACCTTGGCTGTGCCTTTGAGTCTGCTGTCCAGCTGACTGGTGGCAGTTTGTTACGAAGGTCTTCGCGAAGGGAGCAAACTAATTTGGCAAGGCGTGGAGTTATCTCCCATGAACGACTCACCCAATGATGATCTCAAGATAGGGAAGCACTAGCCATTATTCAACAACTGGAGAATTTGGTTAGTAGCGATGAGGGCTGGAGTTCCGACCGGCTTAGCTGCTTGCTATCCGAGAAGCGAGCCGAGATAAGTGCTGTATTGGGACTCTATCGGCAGCTTTCAACAAGGAGGCAAAGGTGTAGTTCCGATCGGGGCTGAGGCCGACGTAACATTTTTTAGTTTCCAGTCTAGGCCAGAAGCCAGAGATTCTAACAACCTTTCGGGTTTGACAGACAGCCTCGAACAAAACCCTAAAACGAGCTTCAGGATCTGGGAGCATGCAAGTCTGTTGAGCTAGCCAGCTTTGCACTACTCTTCCGAAAACAGAGAACCATGCCAAGGGACCAAGCCTTCCATGCAAAACTACGACGTAAAGGGGAAATGGCACAAATGGCAGACAACGGGTGGGTATGGGGTAGCAAGCCCAGGCGCCTCACTAGAGAGAGAGGCTAAGGGGTCTAGTCCTAAGTCTGCCGGCTCTCGCTCGCATCTCGAACCGCGCAGGGTTTGGCTCGCTGGTTCTCTCGTGGCGGTGGCGGACTGATCGGTCAGACCCTTCGTCTAGGCTAGTGAGTAGCCACAGGCAGAAAGGTTATAGCCACATATTCAATATGGCGGCATGTTTGCTCCTTGTGCGCAACTCATGTGGCTACGATGAGGATGCACAGCCTGTTTGCTCGCTACAAGTAGGCCATTTGATGAAATAACATGGCGTCAACCGTTGGCAGGTTGAAACTCTATCTTGTACCCGTGCAGCTCACCGATTCGGTTACCCCTGAAGCTATTACGCCACGTTGTCTGTACCTCATGGCCGAGGTGCCGTTTCAGAACTTTAAAGGCCGGGTCGGGATGGCAGGTAAGCGCCGGAGACCGGACCGCACACACTTGAAGCTACTAATTGCGTTAGATTGGCTGGGATACGCCTCGCCGCTTCTGGACATGACTCGGGACATCTCTCCTGCCTTTGGCCATGATGGCCAGATTCGATAATTTCTCCACGGGGATCCGCTAATGTTGGTTGCTAAGTGCTTGGGCCCCTTTCCTCACGCGTCGACTGCTTTATTAATCTTTTCATTTCACGATCTCTGTGAGATCTGATAGGTGTGGTCGAGTCATGGTCTCCCGTCGCCACGTGCGGCTCGTTTGCTCGCCGAGAATACCACTGCTTGTCTTGCGCACCGCGATCGCGGAAGAAGCCATTCGTTTCCTTTCACGAGAATACCTGGGGCCACGGCGGAACTTAACAGTAGTCCTAATCAGAAACGATCACCCCAATATCCGGCTTGATTCCGCCTCAGAGCCCGCGCGAGCATGTTGATGGAGGAGACGGAGCAATGTACCTTCACTTCCACCTCTTCCCCAACAGAAACAACGCACCAGACGCCAGCAACATGGCGGGTAGTCTGTGCCGCGGAGGTTGCCGATTTCCCTGTTTCGATCCATGAAGATGGATCCATTGTTGACGCTAGACATTGCCGCTAAGGGTGCGATCGCCAGTCAGCTAGGGCTGGAACTGGACATTTGAGGTGTCGATAGAGACACAAAAACTGTGGGCAATGATGTCGTTCCAGCCCGTCCAACGCGGAGCGGCAATCTTGATGGTGCCAGTCTATTGCTTAACTTGCAGGCAAATCGTCCATTTTAGCGCAATTAGGAGCGGAGATAGAATCAGAGATTGAGGCGAGACATCTGTCTGCCATACAACGCGGTCCCTCCTGCAGGCCGCCAAGCTGTCGACTACTCACAAGCACCGCACCAACGACACTGCTGCTTGGGGGCCGGGCCCGTCACCGTGTGAGGTCAGACGGCGGTACTTGCGGAGCACTCTTTCCGGTGATGCCATACTTGACTTGCTGTTTGCGTTGCCATGCTCAACATGTCACCGTCTCCCCTTCCGAGATGGGTACGGATGCCGAAGCCAGCGGAATCGCCGCCCCGGAAACCTCCCCATATTAACAAGAGACTAGCATTCCTTTTGAAATAGCTCGCAAGGGCAATAGACCAGATTAAATAGCTTTACAATACCGTATCGTAGGGTACTGAACCCGTAGTGCTGGCGCTATGGTCCATCCCTCGTCACTGATGAGCTGGTGAACGGTGCTCTCTACTCACTATCTATGTGACGAAGGATATTGCCAGCATTGAGTATGCAGGTGGTATGTAGCATAGCCACGACGGTAGAACAGTCATCCTACTACAAAAAGCAACCACAACAAGTGTAGTTTAATAAAAAGGCCAACAAACCCCTGCACTTATACAAAATCTTGCCGTGGTTCGTGTCACAAGCGTCTCGTGCCAAACTTCCCTTTGCGCCCCTGCTCAGATCCTGCAGACACCATCATTATAGTATCGTTACCGCGATATACAACCCAGCATCAGCACCTCCAGCATGGAGCAATCAACTTACACACCTGCCAGACCGGGTACTCGGGAGATCTATGACTACTCCAGTCCCTTCCAGTTCCGTCTTCCCCACGCAAGACCCAGAAAGACGATTGATATCGCCCACGATGGTATCCTTGTATCGGCAGATCCCTTTGGGAGGGTAAGTAACGAATGCCTACACACTTCACTTGAGTCCTGCCTCCTGCTGAGACCGGGGGGCATCTGTGATGGACATGCCAGTGGGCCAGTCAGCTCTTGCCGGGCCACGCCAACTGCACATCCTAAGCTACATCTGGATCATATGACTGTGGTGCTGACTGAGACCACACCCCAGATCTTGCAGCTCAGCGCTTACCACTCCGAGCACGGCATCGTTGTCGCCGCTCCATTTGCTCAGTTTGACGGGACCCGCTTCCGCGACCCGGAGTACGTGCGCAGCTACCGTCGTCTGCCTCTGGACTTTAACAAGAATGGCAAGCCGGGGATGGGACTCGTCGTAGTTGACCCCGACTGCAACGTGTCTTCCCTGGAGATTGAAGTTCCGAACCATTACAGCGCCAGGAGCGGCTATCAACCTGACGAGAGCATATCCGTCAGCTGCGTCCTGGAGGTTCGGGACGGCATAGCACACCAGCACCTGACTATACGCAATACGGCCAGCGAGAGCTACTCGGCCGTGCTAGCGCTTCATGTGTGCGCGAGCGTGCATCGTGCATCCTATGGCCAGCTCACCGAGGGCGGCCCTATTCCATTGCCGGAATGCCACAACGTGCTGAGGAAGTCCGATGATTCTAATTTCATTAACGTGGCCAACGATGCTGTTGGCGCACGCTTACAAGTCTGGCTGGAAATAGGAGGAGAGATGGTCGATGTCGGTCCGTATGAGCGCCAGGATGGACATGACCAGCCCGTCGAAGTGGCCAAGCACTTCCATGTCAGCGTCCCGGCTCACTCAGAGGTCTCCGTGGCAGCTCACTTCCAACTCATCGCCGATGGCTTCAGAAGCGGTCCAGATATGCAGCAGATCTGGAGCCAAAAGGGGGCCTCTGGAGCCCTATATCACGATGAATCTTGGCGCTACCTTAACCAAGGATGGCTGGAGCCCATGAGTATCAAGACCTACATCATCCGCCGCAATGTAGACTACATTCTGGGTAACTGCTGCGTGCCAGTTTCTGAGAATGAGGTTGCCGTCCTGGCCGACCATGTCGCTCTCCCGCTCGGCTGGAACAGAGACAACTAGTAAGTCATAATCCAACACTGCAACAACAATCTTAAGAGCATAACTCAACAGGTGTCCTCGCAGCTGGCAAATCCGCTTCCTCCTGAATGTAGCAAAAAATATCGACGTCCTCAGGAACGACGAAGACGCGAGGGTCGCAGAAGTCCATGTTCCCGAGAGTGTCCGACACCAGCGCTACACCAACGATGACTACCGCGAAGCCATTCACACCACTGCCCGCCGCCACCTCTCGTGGGTCTTCCGCCGCGCCCAGCGACCCCACGGCTTCTGGCACAGGTCTTACCTCGTCACCGGTCGGCCCAAGGACGGGCCGCTGTTCCAGCTCGATCAGCAGTGCTACCCGCTCCTCGAGCTGTGTGAGTATTACGGCGCCTACCCGGCCGAGACAGAGTTCGTGAGTGATCTCATCACCGGCACAAACACCGCCACTGAGCAAGGTGCAGCGGCCGCCGTTTCTTCACCTGTAGAGGAGGTGCTCGCCGCCATCATCGCGCGCGCCGACCTCGGGGAAGGGGGCACAGGCCTCGTCCCGACGGACGAGTCGCCTGGCGACGACCCGCTGGACTACCCCTTCAGCTTCTCCAACCACGTTCTGCTATGGCACACCCTCAACTCCCTCCGGGTGATGCTCGCGATGCTGCTGGAACTCGACCTGGATCTCTGCAGCCGCCTCCTCGCCCAGTGCATGGACCTGCTCGTCTCGGAGGAGCCGCGGCGTTTCCTCACCACAGATGGGGACCGCCCCATGTTCTCGTACGTCACCGACGGCCGGGGCGCGCACGCACTCTACCACGACGCCAACGACGTGCCGACAGTGCTCTTCCCGCAGTGGATGCCCGAGGTCAACGTTCGCGACGATCTGCGCTCCGCCTGGAACAACACCATGGCCTTCGCCTTTTCCCCGCGCAATAGCCGCGGCTACGCCACCGGCGGGCGGACGTCGGTAGAGGAGGGGGCGGACGCAGACGACCTGCCGCCGTTCGCGGGGCTGGGCAGCGTGCACAGCCCCGGCGCGTGGCCGCTCGGGTACTTCCAGGAGCTCCGGTACGCGCTATCTACCGAGGACCGGGACGCTGCGAGGAGCGCGTGGAGGCGTATTCAGGGTGCCATGCAGTGGGACGGCACGTTCTGCGAGGCCGTCGACGTGACCACGGGCGAGTGCACGAGCAAAGCGTGGTTCGGGTGGCCCGGAGCCATGATTGCGGATTTGCTGGTCAAGATCAGGGCAGGGGAGACACCGGATCTGCTGGATTGATGTGGCAACAGCGACCAGTTTGAGAAGGCTGGTATCAGCCGGAGGAAGATTTTTTTTGGAAGCAGTAAGCCAGTAGGAGATTCCCTGGTGTGTTTCTTTGGAAGCATCACATCACTTTTGGAAGCATAACTTGATCATTCATCATAATTTTGTCCAAAGGGATGTGTTTGTGTCTGCATTTCGTACCTCGCATGTGCCAATGTTGCCAGAGCTTCCCAACATTAGGTCCTTGGCCAATTTTGTCATGCCATTCGTCGATCATATCCAATCGTAGCAAATAATCCAATTCCCAATCCAAGTCTTTTGCAAACGCCACCGATCTGTTGTGAAACATGATGTGTACCGGACCGAATCCGCCACGGTCAGACCAGAACCGACACGCCGACCTTGACCCTGTCGTGCTCCTCCTTCTCCTTCTTCTTCTTGAACAGCGTCTTGAGCATGTTGTTCTTCTTCTCCTTCGGGCGCAGCACAAGGTCGAGCGACGACTCTTCGGCCTGACGGCTCCCATCCTCGATGGCCTTGAGCTCGACGCGCTCAGTGCGCTTCGAGGCCGAGGACCTGTGACTCTTGTGGCTGCGGTGGCTGCGATGGCTGCTCGTGACACTCGCGGCGTCCCGGTCCTCCTTGTTCTTGGTGCTGAAACCTTTACTGCTCTTGCGCTCGGGCACAGTATGGGCGTCGTCGTCATCATCGCTCCCACGCCTGCTGTGATGGCCGCGGCTCTTGTGGGTTCTGTGGGACTTGTGCGTCCTGTGTGTCCTCTCGCTGCGGCGGGACATGGCGTCGCCATCCCGAGTAGACCTGCTGACCTCTATCCTCGAGCGCATGGCCTCCGGGCTGATGAGCTCCAGGTCGGCGCTCTCGTCCTCGCCATACGGCGCGATACCCCTACGCCACGTCTCAATGGTGCTCAGTTCCTCCTCTAGAATGTAGGCCTCATCGAAGGAGCCGGGCCCACCAGCGAAAGCGGCACCTTGCTGGAAGCCCGGGCCACCTGGCGGTGGGGGTGCAGGCATCTGCTCCTGCATTTCGAATGCCATCTTCGCACCCTGTTGCTGCTCTTGCGCCTCCTTGATGCGCTTGATGATCTTCCAACCGCCAAACATGACGACGGTGACGCCGACGGCTATGCCGGTGCCAATGAGGAACTGAGGGCTCGCAAGAAGAGCAAAGATAGCAGGGCTACCGCCCTTGACAACGCCGAGAAACGCCGGGCTCATCTTGCCTAGCAGCGCCGACAGCTCGGCCAAAGTTAAGGCGACAGCAGCGGCCCTTTCGGGATTGCTCTGCAGGTTTGTGATGATGGCGCTGGCCGAGTGGTGGAGGCACTGGGCTTCGGACAACAGGCCCTCAATCTTGGACATCAATCCTTTTGCTTCGGTCTCGTGCTGCAGTTCCTTGTGTTGGGGATCGAGGTCGACCCGGGACGCCAGATCGGGCGGAATGTTGCCATAGGCGAGGTTGAGGTCGATAGACTTGGACCGTTCCCTTAGGGAGGGGTTTGACCTTGGCCTAGCCACAGCCATAGACTGACGCGGCGATGATATGGGCATCGATTCGCTCGGAGGATAATTGTTATAGAGGGTAGGCGCTCCGGCAGGTGCAGTCGGAGCTCGGGCGAGGGTGGGGCGGGAGAGGGCCATGTCCCGTGGCGCGGTCTCGGCATACGGGGATCGGTAGGCGACGGGCGGTGCCGAAGCTGTCGTGGCAGATACCTCCGACAAGGTTTTCAGATTTGACTCGGTCAGGGCCGGCCGGGCGTTGTGGTGGTGGTGGTGGCTACCGCCGTGGTTGCTCCGGTGGGACCGGTGTGTCCTCCGCGAGCGGGACGACCCGTGCGACCGCCTCTCGAGATCATCCTGGGAATACCTCCGGTCTTCTATGTACCTCGGATCGTGGTCGTACTGCTCGTAGTACGGGTCAACGTACTCGACGCCGTCATCGTAGACAGGTTCGCGCGGGGCTACGTCGAACGTTTGGGCACGCTGAATGCCGCCGAAGCGCTCCGATTTGAGGGCCGCTTTTTTCTCTTGGTAGGCGGCTTTGGCGTCCTTGAAGATGGCAAACAGGTGTTTTCCCTGTACCAAGGCATATACGGTCAGCTAGAGCGCACGGGAGCGGCTATGTAAAGCTGCAGGTGCAGGTGCAGCCGGAGTGGTGTGGTGAGGTGGCCTTGCAGACGGGAAGGAGGCAAGAGGAAATGAAAGGCGTACCGTGGTAATGATCTTGCCAGAGTTGTTGATAATTGTGACCGTCTCTTGAAGAGGCATCGTTGATTTGCTGTGGTTTCGTCGTTGGCTCGGTACAGTGGGCGGGAGGTTCTGTTTCGCTCTTCTCTCGTGGCCGTTCGTTCGTTCACACACAGGCGCAAGGAACAACGAGACCTGGCAAATGGTAGCGTCTCAGAGAGTGTGTGCCGTGGGCCGCACAACATGTGCACACTCCTGCAGGAGCAGAGTGTCGTCTTGACTTGTGGTTGAACGCTCTTCGCTCTATATGCTGTGTTTGGCGACCAGCATCGAGCTAACCGAACCAGTCTGGGGAGGGAAATGCCGCCGCTCAAATAAGTCTCACCGGTGCAGACGCAGAGAGCGCACCAGGCGTCAAGAAGAGGGCGACAGTGGCGAAGAAAAAAAGAAACGGTGCTCGTAAAGATGAGACGGCGGGCAGCTTCCAAGGAGCATGAAACGCGTGGCCCAACAAGCAGTCACGGCCCAATGACAACAGCCAGTCATGCAATAATGGCCGGGAGAAACGAGACGGGCTGACTACCAAGGAAGAGGGGAGAAGGAGGGAGGAGACTTGAGGCTTTTGCTCCGACCATACACACCCTGGTCCCCTGGTCGGGGGCGTGTTTGGTTGGGCCAGTCACCGCCAAAAGGCAGGGCGTGGTGATGGCGATTGGCTGGTGGTGAGGGTTTTGAGGAAGACGTCCAGTGATCGAATGGAGAGACGGACAGGAGAGGGGAAATATGGAGGGAGCCGAGCCAGGATTGCTCGGCCCAGAACCGTCGTCCCCACATGGAGCCAGTTTTCACAGCACATCACACAGCTGGCTACAGCTACTCCGTACTTGAACAGAGCTAGGGCCTGGACTGGATGTATCGGAGTCCTCTCGCCGTTGGGCAGCCCTGAAAATCACAGCACCCATAGATGGATCCATGTATGACCGCCCTGCTGCTGATCTCTCCAGCGGGTGCCCTGGGCCGGGGCCCGTCCATCTGTACCGTAGTACTAGCTGCTTGTACGTACAGGTGCATGTTGCCCAAAGAGACGGGTACGGTGTCAGCGGGAACCGGTTCATTTTCAGTGGGAACGGGCGGATGATGCCCAGCGCTAGAGGAGAGGCGAGGGCAGGCATCCCATCAAATGGTGGATCCTCGGAGAAGCTTGATGCGGGAAAGACGGCACTTCGCAACCGTGAGATGGAAACCGGATGCACAAGTTGCTTGAGAACAGTCTCCAGCACATGGGCTATCCCGCCGCCACAGTTAGATATCGCTGAGTGACGTAGATCGAGAGAAACCGAAGCTGGCAGGCCGGCTCTTGGATCAAGATGTATCCGTGCACCTGTGGCTGCCTACACCTTTTGGTCATGCTGCAGACGCATGCTGCATCGCCAGGGGTTTAACGTCCCTGGTGGAAGTAGGATGACGTCTGAGGTTCGCCCAAGGTCAATCTCTTGGGTATCAACACACGATGCCATCGAACTCGTGTGATCTCGAGGCATGGAATGTATGCCTCGCTGTGGGCTTTGACAACGGAAGAGAGATCAATCGGTAGAGTTTTGGGTCGAGGAAATCACCCAAGCTGACCTGCTGACCAGGAGACTTGTTGTTCGACATTGCGGAGGCATCACACGGAGTACGACCGATTGTACTTTCAAGACTGAATTAATAAGAGGTATATTCTGATTAAAATTCTAATAATGTGACAGCCAAGCCCAAAAAGAAATCTACTTGGAAAATAAGAAATTGTTTGAGAAGGTAAAACAAGAAACCACACGTCAATCAATTAAGGCTCGGCCTTCTGCGCCTTGCGCGCCAGCATCTTGCTCGTCTCCCCGCCGGGGCAGTTCCACTTCTTGACCCGGAACGCCCAGTACGTGAGCACCGCAATGTAGATGTTGAACAGGATGTACGCCCACATGATGCCAAAGTTGCGCCACCGGTCGCTCCAGTAGATCCGGCTCGGGGCCAGGAACTGGTCCGCCACCTGCAGCGAGCAGTAGCGGCACGCCTCGGTCGCGTCCGGGTTCTGCAGCACGCCGGGCGCCTTGCTCAGGAAGGCGGCCATGTACTGCCCGCAGCTCTGGCCCGAGGGCGGGTCGAAGATGCTCGTCTCGTCGGCGCTGCAGGTCACGGCGCGGCCGTGCAGCTCCGTCGCCACGATGCCCGACACCCAGTACGTGAAGGGGCTGACGCGGTACATGAAGATCCAGAAGCCCGGGAACGCGTCGGGCGGCTGCAGCACGCCGCAGAAGGTCAGGCTCATGAGCACCAGCAGCGTGACGATGCTCGACGCCGTCTGCGCGTCCGGGAAGGCGGCGATGGTCATCTGCGCAAAGGAGCTGGCGTACAGCATGAGCTGGATGGCGAACAGCAGCACCAGGCCCTGGCGCGCCGAGTCCTGTACGCCGATGACGGGGTAGTAGAAGCACCCAAAGATCAGGATGGCCGTGAAGATCTGGTAGGGGATCTCGACGATGACGTTGGCGATGATGAACGACTGCCACGAGTAGGCCTTGCTGGGCCGCTCGCGCACCTCGTACAGCGAGCGCTGCGTGATGAAGTGCGGCTGGATCTGCTGCACGACCGTCGAGAAGATGGTGATGACCATGAAGACGGCGAAGATGACGTTCTGCATGCCCGCGAGCGTGCTGTCGGCCCCGTAGAAGGAGAAGCCGATGAACAGGCCCGCCAGCGTCGCCAGCAGGAACTTGGACAGAACGTAGCTCGGCATGCGCCAGTACTGCTGGAACACGCGCGTCGTGACGGTGCGCAGCTGCGCGCTGAACGGCATGGCGAACTCGGAGTGCGCGCCGGGCTCCTCGTGGCCCGCGACGGGCTCGGCCGCCTTCTCAGCGTGGATGCGCTCGATCTCGCGCATGACCGCCCCGCGCTGCTCGCTGCCGTTCCAGACGCTGTGCCAGTCCTCGCCCTGCGGGTTGGACCCCTGGTTGACCACCTGCAGCATGTACTCGGCTGGGTTCTCCTGGTCGCCGCACTTGGGCGCGCCGTGGGCCTCGAAGTAGTCGAGCAGCGTGCGCGAGTTCTCGCCAATGTCGCCAAAGTAGACCGTCTTGCCGCCCGCCGCGAGGAAGAGCAGGCGGTCGAACTGCTGGAAGAGGATGGCGCTGGGCTGGTGGACGGTGCAGAGCACGGCCTGGCCCGCGTCGGCCAGCTTGCGCAGGAAGGCGCAGATGGCCCAGGAGCTCTGCGAGTCGAGGCCGCTGGTCGGCTCGTCGAGGAAAAGCAGGAGCTTGGGCTTGGCCGCGAGCTCGACGCCGATGGTCAGGAGCTTGCGCTGCTCGACGTTGAGGCCCTCGCCGGGGATGCCGACCACGGCGTCGGCAAAGTCGCGCATGTTTAGCATGTCAATGACCTCCTCTACGAACTGGTACTTCTCCTCTTGGCTGACGGTCTTGGGCTGGCGTAGCATGGCGCTGAAGCGGAGACTCTCGCGGACGGTCGAGGTTTCGAGATGGAGATCTGGTCGCCGTCCCGCGTTAGTCATTGTCCAATCTTCGTATGAACACAAATCAGGGGAATCATGCTCACCTTGCTGCTGCACGTAGCCAGTCTTGCGCTGGAAGCTAGCATCCAAGGGCTTGCCGTTGACAAGCATGTCGCCAGTGATGACACCCATGGTGGTCCGCTGGGCCAAAGCCTGTAGCATGCGGTCAGCATCCGTGTTAGAAAAAGACGGTTGAAATAGCAGTCCTTACATCAAGAAGAGTTGTCTTTCCCGCACCAGAAACACCCATCAAGGCCGTCAGGGTCCCGGGCTTCACCCAGCCAGAAACGTGGTCCAGCAGCCGGCGGTCCTTGCCCTTGATCTTGATGTCGTAGACCACATCGACCCAGGTGAAGATATCCTTCTGCGGTTCAATCGCTTTAACATTTCCCTTTTCGTTCTCCTCCTTGACCGAGTCCGCGTTCTTGGTCATGTCCTCGGTAACAGGAGCCTTGCCGCTGGCACCGCCGTTCTGCAGGTAGCTGGGAACATGTCCGCGCTGGAAGACGAGGACTTCGGCAGTGCTGGTCGTGGCTGAGTTGAGCTCGGCCGCAATGAAATAGAGTATCATAAAGAAGAAGAGAAAAGCGAGAAGGATACCAAAATTGCGCCAGACGTGGGAGTAGTAGTACTCGTAGTTGGCCTCGATGAACGCATCGCCGTTGACAAACGGCTGACCAGCGACGGCGCCGACCACGGAACAGATCCAGGAAGTGCCCACTGGCGGCGAGTACGGCGGAACCACCGATGCACAGGGAAATTCGCGCCCGTGGAACTCGTTGGCGACCAGGATTTCAAAGGCGTAGAAGATGGGATTGATCCAGCGGATCCAACTGAACCAGGGGTGCATCTGGGGTACCCGAATGACGAAGCCTGTGTAGATTACCAGAGCCAGAACCATCACTCCTGCCAACATCATCGCTTGCGACACTGTCTTGGTCACAGCCGCCAAAGTCCTGAAGATTGCGCTCATGACAAAGGTGGACACATAGGTGATGAGGAAGAAGAGGAAGAATTGAGCAGGCTCACGCCGCAGACCAGCCATGAAGTACAGGACGATGTTGAAGATGGTACCGGTGATGAACTTGATCGGTATATCGGCGATGATTCCGGATATAGCTTCGGCTGCAGGGTGATAAAACGCGTACGATGCATGCTTTTCCACGATGGGCCGCTGGGCGTAGAGATTGTTGATTTCCGCAATTGCCGTCAGGGCATTCATGAGAATCGCCTGGAACAGAACCGAACCCTTGGAGAACAGACTAGCCGTAGTATCAGGAGTGCCATAGAAGACAGAACCGAGGATGAGAGCGAGGACGAGGTGCATCGCCGACTGGGTGGCAGTGCCAGACAGGTCGTTCCAGATGCGCTGGTAGGCGCGCCCCGTGGTCAGCCGGACCTGCATCAGGGTGTTGATCAGATACGGAGACTTGGGCCGCACGCGCTTGGCCTGTCGGAGGTTCTTCTGGTGACGCATCTCCTGCGCGCTGGCGCCGTGGGGGTCGATGGGGTACTCCTGTTGGTACTCATCGATCTCGGTCCGCAGGGCTTGGTAGTCGGGCGACTCACGCCAGTACTTCTCAAACTCCTCAGGGGTTCGAGGGACCTTGTCCTCCATGCCAGGTCGGGCCACGCGCTCCTGAGGGTTGGTGACGGAGGTCAAGAAGTCGCCGGTGGTCTGGCGCGGGGGGCAATGCCAGCCCATGTTCTCGAAGTAGGCCTTGGCTGCACCAGCAGGGCCAAAGTAAATCTGGCGGCCCTGGTAGAGGACGACGGCCTTGTCAAAGAGGTCGTAGATGGCCTGACTCGCCTGATAGATGGCCACTGCGTGGGCAGATCCGCCGTAGTCGGCGGCCATGCGGAGGGTCTGGACAAACTTGAGAGCCGTGGCCGAGTCGAGACCACGAGTGCTGTTGTCCCACGCCAGGATCGGGGCACCAGCGAGCATCATCTCGGCGATACTGACGCGCTTTCTCTCGCCGCCGGACACGCCGCGGATGAACTCGTTGCCCACCTTGGTGTTGTAGGTGTGGCTGAGACCGCAGACGGCCATGACAATCTGGACCGACTCCCTGATGTGCACGGCGCGAGAGACGCCGTGGACTCGCTGTGACGGCGTGCGCGTTGCTGCAGCAAATTCAAGAGTCTGGCCGACTGTCAGATGCGGGAAGTGCTTGTCGACCTAGGAAATCCATGTAAGTCAGTACATCAGTCTTGTACAGTGCATACGTTAAGTACAAGGCACGAACACACCTCTTGGTTGTAAATCGCCTCTCCCTTGAATTCCTTCATCATCTCTTTCTGAGGAATGCCATTGTAGTGAATGACCGTCTCCGGAGCGATGGTCAAGCCGTGGTGCTCTCCAGTGATGGTCTTGAGCAGAGTACTGCAGCCAGAACCCGGACGGCCGAGCACAATCAGCATCTCACCGCTCTTGATCACTCCATCAAAGTTGTGGAGGATCGTCTTGGGCTCTTTCTTCTTGAAGCTGAAGTGCTCCCCCAGGCGCAGAGGTGCCTGCAGCATGGAGCCAACGGTATGCTGGAGTTGCAAGGCGGCGCCGGTGCCGGAAACACCGAGATCTTTGTAGGCGACGCCCACCTGTTTTAGCTCAATCCCTTCCTCCTGGAGCTCTCCGATAATTTTCCGCAGGAACTTGCCGAGATCAAACTGTTTGCTCGACGGATCATAGGCAGGGTCGTGGGTCAGCTCTTGGCGGAGCTCGGGGATGGTGGCTTCACTCTGGCGACGCTGGGCCAGGATATCTGTGGCAATCCTGCGCAGCGCTTCGACATCGGTCTCCTCCATCATTGCCGTCGAGTCGACCCGCCTGAGACCATTGCGTTCAGCATTATCGAGCTGCCTGCCATTGCTCTGGATGGGCATAAATTCGGGGCCCGCACGCTCCTCGTCGCTGGATGAGGGAACCGTGTCTCGCCTAGCTAGGCTTTCTTCGGACGATTGTCGTGCGTCCATGGTTATGGTCGGCGCCCTTGGAGAAGGCCGTGGGTTACTTACCGTCTATGACAGACACACAGACTGGAATACAGCATCAATGACGGCAGCTGTCACTTGGGAATGTGACGGGGACAGCTCCATTTTAGCTACGGCCGGCCGGGTGGGCAGCGAGCTGCAGCAGCAAAACAAACATCTGATACTGACTCGCAGTGCCAGCTCTGAGACAGCACCGACCCCGATACGCTTCTCCGTCATGCCGTCAAACTCGGCGCTAGGCTGTTAAATGGGACCCGAAAACGGCTTGGAATGTCTTCAAGGGTCCGTTCCAATGAGAGCGGGCTAAGAAACTCAAAATAAAGTAAGGTATATCGGGGTTCAATGGCCAGCACACCCCGGCACCGGGCTCATTCAATTGTCGATAAGCCTCTATTATGACGTGGTTTAATGGAATCGCACAACTTAGTTAGGATGAGCAGCGTAATCCGCACACAATTGGCTTGAAGATCCCAGCAGTCCGGTCGGGGATCGCGGCCCTCAAGGATGCCGACTCGACGAATGCCTCGGCGCCCCACGATTGCGCTTATTAGAGTTTGCCTGATGCACTGCTAGCGCCGCACTGTCATGGGGACCGGGTGCCGAATTTGCACAGCATCCATCACTGGTGGTGGAGCGTCGGGTACTTCGTCCTCGATCATTGCCCTAGGTTGCGTTGGAATGTAGCCGCCAAGTTCCTCCAGCAACAGCCCTGATCGTCTACAAGGAGCTATCCACAGCTCTAGAACTGGCTGTGAAACATGGGAGACCTCAGATACCTAGACAATGCTGGTCCAATTGAAAGGAGTCCTTTGAACCACGCCAAGGGGGCTCTAAGTATGCCATGTCAAGACTCGCACCGTCAGTAGAAAGGAAGCAGCGTAGACAAGTGTGACAAGCAACTCGGGTCGATCGACAGTCCAAGTGGTGAGGATCCATCCTTCTCCTAGCTGAACGGTCGCAGTGAACGTCATCGCTGGAGACACCCAAGTTTGCCGGGTAGGTCGGTGGGAGTGCGGCCGGGGTCGCCGGCGGCAGATGAGGGATGGTTGTGTGGCTTGCGAGCAAAAGCGAGCTTGGCAAAGCTAGTCGGCACCCCCAGGACGCAGGTTCAGCTCCCGCTTCGGGACGCACCCAGCGGGTTCACGGCGTCGGACCAACACTACAGACCGCCGGGCGCTAATCGCCACTGCCGCCACTTGATGCAATTCTAAACCTACTTCCATGGCCAGTTCTAGCTGGTGCAAGAGAGAATCAACTAATTCACTGCATGTGTGGTCAACCTCTTAAAGCCCCAACGTTCAGTACCTATTCTGTTCACGATCGGAGAAAGACTTCTGGCCTGGTCACCGGAAGCCAGAGGTATCAACACAAAGATAGTCGCAAGAGTGAGCTTTCTTGTGGCTGGGGCACCGACGTACCCATCTTGGGTTCCAGTGGACGAAGAGCTAGCACGACTTGACCCGGAGCACATGTAATTCCTCTCGAATTAAGCTCCTTTAGTTTCATATTGAATGTTATTATGTGACCAGCGGCTATTGGTCTATCTCTGAGCATGAGACCTTTTTATTCAGCTTGTTGGAGCAATGGTCAGCAGTGAATCAACGCCCGGGGCGGGCTGGGCCGTTACCCCTCCAAGGCTGGCTGCAAGTGCAGTTGGCGCCGCCAATGTGACCTTGTCCAAGTGCCACCTACATTCCGTCCTCACCGCAAATCTGGCACCGTGTGATTCGGTCAGCTCAGAATCAGTTCAGCTCTGGCAGCCTAGCAAGCCAGCATAGTATCCTTCACCCTGAAGTGTATACTTTGTCATGGCTGTTTGGGCCAACTCTTGTGCCCTCCTCCCGCTATCTGACTTCATGTTGAATGGAAACGCGCTCGTCCGGCCTCACCAAGATGGACTCGATACAGAGAAGAATCATGATTACGTCGCTTCCTGACATCTCACTGTCGGAAATGGATTTCCGTGACACATCATTCTTTCAATCGCAAGAGACGCCAGTCGAACTGCCCACGCCTGCCGAGATCATGCAGAAATACCCAGAGATAGGTGACGGCAGCGGCATCGCTAGATTTGACGACATCAACCTCATCGTCAAGCTTGGTCCTACAGACTATCTCAGGCTGGAGGAAGTACAGACGATGTGGGCCATACGCCAGGTCTTTCCAAACGGCGAGATTCCAGTACCTGAGGTGTTTGGTTGGAGAACAGTCGATGACCGACACTTCATCTATATGAGCCTGATACGTGGGTCGACTCTACTGCATGCATGGGACCATTTCACAGACGCAGACAAAGAATGCCTCAGAGACCAGATGAAGCAAGTTGTCAAAGACCTCAGAAGTCTTTCCCAGAGCATCGATCACAATCACAATCACTGGATAGGTAGGCTGAAGTCGATGACTCTTATCTACGGCATGTTGACTCGCTTTTCTGTTAGGCTCTATCAATGGCGGGCACGTCCAAGACAGGTACTTCAAACTGGACTACGAGGACAGACCCTTTCTAGGTATCAAGTCTTTCAACGACTGAGTGCTAGCTGCTGCGACTCGCCAGCGCCCCAGACCAGGAGGCCCGGTCCAACTAGATCATTCACGAGACTGGTTTTCTGACGAGGGCGAGATCTATTTCGCCCACGGTGATCTCACTATAAGCAACATCATCGTATCTGACGAGCCTGGTGATCCGAAGATTGTTGGCATTATCGACTGGGAGCAGGCTGGGTGGTATCCTGAGTACTGGGAGTACTGCAAGCTGCGTTACGGGGTGCCTGGCGAACACGAATGGAAGGAGGAGGATTGGGCCAATGCTGTTATGAGGCCCTTTGAAGATGAGTACGAAGCCTTTATGTGGTATAGTGGATGTCGAGGTTGTCCATGAGCTTTGAATCCGGAGAGTACTTGTGGCAGCTCACTGGCACAGAGTCGCTGAATATTTGAGTTGCCCATGTGCAATTCTCGCCACTATGAACTTTAATCTGCTTCTCGGATGACAGGCTACGGCCTTGCAACTGTGATATACCTAAGAATTACTGCCCGTATGAAAGATAAACTCCGCTTTCCCCCCCTTAAACTATTGACTTCTGCCCTTTTGCAGTGAGCCTCGTCTAAGCCACGCTTGGCCTTGATCAAGTACCTCGCCCTCGTACGGGACTCAAGCGCAGGAATGCGCGTCAAGGACCGGTTGGCCCCGATACGGAGGTTGTTGTTTCGGGATAGGGATACTTACAACGGAAACTTCCGATACTTCATTCGCGGAAGTACAACACTAAGGCCCTCAGGTGCGGCAACCTGTATGGGCTTCAATGCCCCCCAGCCAGTCCGTCTGCGTAGGATGTAGCTGTCTGTTCAATGTCAACGACTAGAAGACCTCAAGTCCTGGGTCGAAATTGTGAATACTGATAAAGGTTTGAATTTTGACGTTGACATTATTGTGATGTGCGTTACGAGGCCCTGGTCTAGTCGGCGGCGTTACGCGGGATCACCGGGTATTGCCAAGGTTTCAGGTTACGAAACCGCCATTCCCAAATCAATACCGGCTGGCCTTAAAAAGATGGGACTCTTCAATGCCGCCAAGACCAGAATTTTAGTTGCTGGGATGTCGGCTATAGCCGAATGTTCCTAATACCTTCCCTGGAGAGAGGCAGTGTAGATACGGGATGAAAAGCAATGCATTGAGTTAATTCAGTGGTGGCTTGTACCTAGGGATCATCATAGAACCGAGCAATATAGTCTCCCCTGAACTGATGTCGGTCCGATGAAAAGAAGGTCGTGATTTCAACACTTGCATCTCTAACTGTCTGGTGCAGTCGCTGTGAATCATCAGAGACTGGTCTCGTATAAGTTGAAAGCCTTTAGGTTGGAGGTCAAGTCGGCATTTCCGGAATTCATTTAGGAAATTAAACTCAGGGGCTCGGTCTGGGTCACAGCATGCGTTGAGAATGTATCTCTTCATATCGAAGCTCAACCTTCGATAGACATGGCCGGTCGGGGCGAGATTCCGACATAGAACCTCACGACCATTATAAATAGCTCGCAAGACCGCCTGCTGGATAGAACAACTTACAACTCCAAAGGCAACACTTAAAGAACATTCGTTTCATCTCATCATTACATTCGTTTTGTATTATCAGTGCTATTCTCATCATCCTGATTACTCGAACCCAACTGGCAATACCATCTTATTCACTATTATCATCTTCGTCATCACCATCTAGCCACCAAAGAAACAACAATTGGAGCCATGATGAAGTTCTCAGCTCTTCTCGCTCTCTGCTCGGCGGCGGCATCCATGTCGATCGTCACGAACAAGCCAGCGAGCCCGGCGGACAAGATCTCGATACAAGCAGCGCACCCTGGTAACCTGTCTGCGGTTCAAGACTCGGAAGGCCTGGCTCAGCCCCATCTAGCAGTGCAGCCTCGGGCTGATCGCCTAGATGATGCAACTGAAATGCGCCTGGACACGTTGTTTTCCACGCTCTCGCCTATACGGGTTGACTGCTTTCATGTGACTACCGCCCGCCTTCTCGGTGTCTCCCTTCAGACATTTGAGCAGCACACCGGCATACCGGTTCCAGCACGCGGCACGGGCGGTATCAGCGGGCCAGCTATGGTTCAGGCACTTCAAAGGCTTGGTTGGGTAGCCGAGGTGTGGAAATCTGGAGCTGCGGGGGTTACAGAAGCCGTTGCGCATAGAAGATTCGCAAGTATGCCCGCGAGTCAGAGACCTGACAAGGTCGGGGTGGCATACCGTCGGCGAGATGGCTCAGGCCATGTCGTTTTCTGCAAGTAAGTCTGCAAAACGGGGTAGGCCATATCTTGATGACTTACGCAATTTGATAGCAATCCGGGAAAAATGCCTTACGCAAAATACACAGACTATCAAGCATCCACAAAGGGAGTGGATGTATCAGGGGAGGTTAGGAAGTCGACTATCTTCGCTGTCTTTGGACCTCCAAAGCTAGGAAACGGTGCTGCGCCCATGGAAGTTGACTCGGAAGGCGACCCCATGGACGTTGATCCTCGTGTCTAACAATGCTGTGGACTGACACCTAGGGGCTTTGACCCCTGATCACTGTGCCAATATACTGGGAAACGCCATAAATTTCGAATCCTAAGTCTGCCCTAGTTTTTTCACCCGGCTCTCGTTATCTTGAGTACGGTTTTTTTTAGGGGCAGCACCTGGATTTAGAACTGGACTAGCTGTGTATTTATTCATTTCGTCAAGTAACCTTTCAAAATTCTAATGCCTTTTACCAATAATTATGAATGTCCTTATTCTAGTTGTGACTCTGTGAACAGGCCCGCTTCATTGTTCAAGAGAAGCCAAATCACGCAGTTGTCAAAACACAATTGTTCAACGCTTGATACAACACAATTCTGGTCAGGTGATAAGCACCCCTTGCACCTTGGTGCTGACATGCTTTGTCGCACCGCTGACATAACTGCTAGTGTAGTCGAGGGGATAACCTATGGCTTTAGGAGACACTTGAAATCTCAGGATATATCTGTTTGACTAAGTTGCATGTTATCCTGAGGATCAATGGTGTTAGGTATGCTGATGTCATCAATGGCCCTCCTGTGATTGGCTAGCACGTTACAAGAAAGCGCTCGGAGGCCCGGAGGTTGGAACGTTCCGGCTCGAAACGCGACGATATGGTGGCAAATGTGACCGAAAAAGAATGTATTGTAATCACATGATTTCCATATATGGCATTATCTGGATTTGATATCTGTCGGCGACCATGTGCCTAATACTGAACAAGTATTTCTACGTGAAGACCTTGAAAAAATGAGGACATCTTCAATAGATTGGTTATGATGACTCGGACCAATCTCCTGCAAGTACACGATGGTCTGAATGTGAGAATCATGAACACACTTTATATGGCTTGACCCCAAAATCCTGACAGTAGTGTCGGGGTCCGAATATGAATTACTGTAGCTGCCCCTAAAGCAAGAACATTAACACTATGTGTACAATAGTATGACAATAATACAATAGTAATACGAAGGTCATACATCGGATACACGCCGACTTCCCGGGCCCAATCCTATACTCCATTTGCCTAGCAAAGGTGCTCCGACATTGTGATACCCACGTTTTTGACACTTTCAACAGGTGAGTCGCCCTGGGCGTCTTGCAAGAGATCATCGTCCATGGGAATCCCCGTGTTGTAGAAATCATCCAGAGAATAGCTGGGCATGTTGAATGAGGTAATATGAGAATATTCGCCCATTGCTTCATCTGTCAAAGTGGTATCGGACGATCCATCAAAAAACAGGGAGAAATCGGTCATCGGGATCCCCTCATCCCACGGGAATTTCAGGGATATATCCATTGTATCCGTAGGCGGTATGGCCATCCAGCTCTCTTGTGGAGGAACAGGGACGTGACCAGTGGGAGTAGCAAAGTCAGAATCTGTTGACGCCATATCTCGATCAGGCACGAGTGGCCTGGGGCTGGGGCTGATCGACTCCATCGGTGGCTTGCCAGGAGTGTCTCGACGAGTCACCGACCCAAGCGCGGGCTGGTCTTCGAGGAATTCATTCACTTCTGGAGTTCCGAGGACCTTGCCGCTGCTGAGACTTATATCAACGGCGACTGACAACCGCAGGTATTCGCTCGGAGACACAGTTAGGAGCTGCGTCCAATCCGCGATTGAGCTCTCCGTTGCTGTGGGACTTTGCTGCACAACCTGAACAGCGCAGCGGATGATCTTTGCGACCCAATCTACTCCGTCGTATTGCGGATAGAATGTTCTCATGGCTTGTATGAGATTGCTGGGTGTCGACTTTGGCCCCTCCGACCCCACAGCCTTTCCGTAGTCTGGACTGGATCCGGGAGGACTGGAAAGATGCCAGTCGAGGACTTGAAGTGTCAGAGGGAAAACGGTGTATGCGACGCTGCACATGATTTGTCAGAAGAGAAAGTATAGATGCCAACAACTGAACACTCACGCCGTGATAGGGAGGTACTTGGTCAATTGGAGTTTGTTAAGACTCTCCAAGTACTGATTAATGCGGCCTGCCGCATGGCTAAGTTCATTTCGACTCTCACAGATTCTTGACTCATCAAGAGTACCCAGATTATTAAGTGTGAGTAGTTGAAGTTCGCGGTGGCACAGAACGACACGCGCGGTCCTGATTACTTTTGATCAGCCACTCTGCGACGCGACACTGATCTGGTGATAGGTCTTGACTTACTGATAGTATATTAGCATCAGAGTGGTATACAACGTGACCGAGGGGTGTCGCGGGCTGCTAGGGTCCTGGCATATGGCGTCCGAGCTCGTCACTTCGAACCAACGTCTCAGCAGGACATCTTTGCACTCCCTGATCTTCTCCATCTCGAATTCGGGGCGTCCGGGTCCACCAGAAGCTCCGACTAGCAGGGTAAATGCCAGAGTGAGCACATCTGTGAGAATTACGCAAAGCTCGGCAAGGCGCACCACAATGCTCATCAACTCCTTCTTGGTCTCTGCACTGTATACCAGGGAGCTGCCTTCTTCGTCTTCTAGATCGGCCAGTTCAAGGCTTGCGGGCTTCGTACATTCGAAAGTGTCCCGGGATATCTGGATACTACGCCGTAGACCAAGCGCTAATATTCGATCGCGCATGATACAACACCACCACAACCGCTTGAGAACGTTGTGCCATTTCTTGGAGTGAGGCTTGGCATTATGTGCTAGCTGAGACGAGGAAAAGTGATCTGCTCTGGCCGTCTTGGCGTTCTGGATAGCAATGCTAAGCCATGTCGTGTTTGGTTTGGTGTCGATACTCGCCGGAGGAGTCCAGTAAGTCAGGTGTAGGGCGGCTTGGGCGATGGCGACTGGGGAAGACTCAACCCCGAAGTCGTACAGGAGCTGATATAAACAACTGTTAGAACAACTATGCAGTGGCAACCTGAATCTGAGACGTACTTTTGCTTTTCTATATAACGCCGCTCTCGCGTTCCGGATGCTGTCATAGCCCATGGATCGAAGAACCTCAAGAGGAACGAACTATACCTGATCTTAGACCTAGTTCGGAAGAAGAGCGTTCCTCAACATTACTTACGTTGCACGATGCAAACATGGCTGCTTGCAATAGCAGAAGAGAGAATGTGGGTGTTGACGGTTCGGGGCTGCCGTACATCTTCCAGAATTCACCTTCGTTGATCACGGGCAATGTAGGATGCACATGCAGGAAGTATTGATCCAAGAAGTGAGATAAGATGTCGCGTGTAGGGACGTGAAGACACTTCTGCGAATCAAGAAATGCGACATCTTGTGGGAGGCAATTGGACAGGTTGTTTGCGCCTAGAAATGGGTAGTAGGAATAGTAGATGATGGTCGACTGGGATTGGCAGGCCGGTTGGGCTGCAGCTTCAGAAAGATCGGGCGATGTCTTTTCGATCGGTGGTGTGATTGTTCGCAATACTTCACAGTGTCAGTACTTCGTCCCCATTGTAGACCGGCTTGAATCACTCACCAGGCTCATCCTCAAGTTTTGGTTTGTCCTTGTTTGATATCACCTGCGGCCCCAGATTGGAGTCATGCTCAGGGCTCGGAGGCGAACCGTCGCCATTCTTGAATTCACTTTTACTTTGTACGCCAGAGAGAATGGGCATGAACTTCAAGATCTTCTCGTGCCGTGGTCTGATTGTCTTATCGTAGACAGTGCCATCTACACGCCTCGGTCTGCGAATAATCATGGTCAGAAATGATAGATTGAAAATAGGATGTAATGGGCTCCAACCGTTTGTTCGTGATGGCACAGCCGGTGCCATCCAAGGAACAATTCGTGCAGGGAACGCCTCTGTGCCAGACGTCACAACGCACTTTCCTGGACCGGCAGGCAAGGCACGCTTTGGGAGCCCTCTTGTTCTTCTTCTTCTTTATGGAAATGTCGTCTGTCATAGTCTCCATGGTGGCGGCACAGTGGTCGGTTTCTTTGGGGTTGATACAGAGCAAAGTGGCCGATGTCAAGGGTGTTCGATTTGTTTGAGCGCGCGACTGTCAAACTGCTCAAGATTAGTAATGAGTAAAGTGCTTTCCAAAACGGTTCGGATCTGTTCCGGATTGAGCAGATTCGCTAGGGGGTTCCGGGTGCCACTAGTCCCGAGCCCGAATCATGTAAGCCACGACGTTGTATTTCGGCCCGAAAATACAATAATACATTTTCCCAGCCATCAAGGCAGGGACTCACGCTCACCCATTACCGCATACGCTTGACTGGACAACATGACCTATACTACAGACTCGGCAGAATGGCCTTCGGGCTATCAAGTGCCTGCGGCCGTCAAAGCCCTTGTCGATAGACTTTACAGCCTACTCGATAGCGATGCATCAAATGTTGGAGACATCTTGGCGAACGAGATCTTTACCTCTGATGGTGTCGCCTTTTTCGGTGGTAGTCCATCACGTGGAACTGAAGGCAAGTCCCTGAGACACATCACATTCGCGGTAGGCGACTTTCATCTCACCTATCTGCCTCTCTAGAGATCCAAAAGTCCAGAGACAAGGCCTGGGTCGCCATCTCCAGCCGCAAACACACGGTTCAGCGTGTTTACATGAACAGCAAGGATGGCGATGATCTTCTCTTCATTGCTAATGTAGAAATGGGTCTTCGAAATGGGAGACGAGTGGAAGGGCCCTTTGCTGGGCGCCTGGTCATCTCAGAGTCGCAGAGTGCGGACCCGAAGTTGAAGCTTTACCAAGTTTGGGGCGTGAGTACTAAACAAGGTCCTCTGAAGAATACCTTTGCGCAGTTGCTGACTTCATTATCCAAATCAGGACTCCGGACCGCTTGTGAAGGCTCTCCAAGAGAAATAGCTGTGATAAGCAGTAGCACCTAACTGTTTGTGTCCACCTCGTATTTAAGACGGAAAGATACTTTATACAGAGACAATATACTAGAGATCTACACGTATGCACGATATTCTGTTTCTTGAGAATCGTCCACCGGCTAGCGACCAGTGCCCTGTAACTGCACATGTGTGATGTGTAGCCCCCGTTCTGGCAATAGTTCGGATGAAGGGCCCACCGGCGTTCCGCCAGTCGGAATTCGTTGCACATGCCCCAAGGAGAAGAGCATTGATATAGACCGGTGAATGGACCAACATATCTTCACGATGCTTCAATGTATGGCAGTCTTCTCACTCACATTACATCACATACGACACATCCCAGCCCAACTCAAAAATCTTTCAACATGGCAAAGACCGACGTTCTCGCGGACAAAGTCAAGTCGCCCCGCGCCCTGGCACACGTTGTCCTGAGGACCTCAAACTATAAGCCCATGGTCGCCTTCTACAAAGCATTCCTTGGAGCACGTGCGACATGGGAGAGCCCATTCTTGGCCTTCCTTACCTATGACGACGAGCACCATCGCATCGCTATCGGCGAAGTACCCGGCACGGGCCCGAAGGTCCCCACCTCCTCTGGCCTCGAGCACATTGCTTTCAGTTTCGAAAATTTAGGGGATCTGCTACTCGCGTACCAGCAGCGCAAGGCGCGTGGTATCCTCCCCATATGGAGCGTGAACCATGGTCCCACGACGAGCATATACTACCAAGATCCGGATGGGAACCAGTTGGAGACACAGGTGGATAACTTTGATACCATGGAAGAGGCCGACGCGTTCATGACGTCAGCGGCCTTTACTGAGAATCCGATTGGTGTCGACTTTGATCCGGAGGAGCTGATTGTCAAGCATAAAGCAGGCGTGGACGACAAATTGCTGAAGCAGAGGCCAAACATTGGCCCGCGGGGCCCCGACAGCATTCCGCCTCCTCCCAAGCCTGATAGTCGTGAGGACTACAGTATAGCGGTAGCTGCACACTGAATAGTTGAGGAGCTAAGGATGGGAGCTATATTTTGGGATGTAGATAGTCCTTGCTCTGAATGCTACCCGTTTTCACCAGTCTTCTGGTCAAACCAACTAACTACGTTTGAGGAAGACCTCCTTTCAGTCAACACCTGTTCTGTGAAATAATGCATCTGATATTCGAACACAGCATGCACAAAAGAGAGCGGTCTAGGTCTGGAATCCTGCGTTCGTTCATGTTCCTCCTTTGGAAGCTCTTGCTGTGGGACTTTTCTCCTTAGCTTCCGATTGGCTGCGGCAGGAAGTCTGCGTTCGACCTTCTGACCCGGACAAGTTGTGATTACCGGGTTGTAACTTATAAATGACATAATCCAGGTGTTTGCTTCATACCATATTAAGGAATGATTTTTGATACGGATGCGCATTTCAGTTCTATCTTCTGCTGAGTCGATACTTCGATTAAGGTAAAATATTGTTCCAAAATCTCACACCCAAACTGTCATCATCATGGAGAACTGGAAAACCGAGGTCAGTACGTCGTTCAATGCACCTGAAGTCCTTAACTCAATGGACTCGACGTAGAACGATTTCACGACGATAGAGGCCTTGCACAAGGACCTTCCATTTGCTCCTTCCAAGGTCAGCTTGCCTACAATCGAGTTTCATGTTCTCAAGCCTCACATTCATTTCAGTACCATGATCCATCACTGGTGTCAGTCGAGCAAGAAATCCTCGAATTCTTTAAGGGATTTGGCCACTTTCTCAACGTAGGCTGTCGCACCGACATTTCAGCTGGCAAGGACTTTTTTGAAATGAAGGACTATTCCATCTTTGATATCATGGGTATCCTCTACCGGCCCAACTTGGAGCCACACTACGACCATATCACACCTTACCTGGGCCACACGAACCAAAAGTTTCGTGATGTCGAGATCGTGGCCGTCACTCCGTCTTTCGGATACATCACCGCTGTTCAGCGGGTCGAAGGCACTGCAGCGGACGGCGCTCCGTACAATATCACCTACCGTACCACTTCGCTGGTCCGCAAGGTCGATGGAGGGAAATGGAAGTATGTGCATGAACACTACTCATTCCCAGTGAACATGGCGACAAAGGTGGCGGACACGACTTGTACCCAGAAGCTGAGCGACTCTGTTGCGTTTCAGTAGATAGTGAAGGTAGGCGTTGCATTGGAAGCACTAGGATACATAGTCCATAGCTTTGCAGAGAAATTAAAGCTTAAAACAGTTCTCTATTAACAGATTGATACTGGCTGACTTTGATTCCTGTTGAGGTCTGCTGGTACCACTTCCATTGTCTGCTGTCTGAGCTCTGATACTGATACCACCACCTCCATCAAGCTACTCTCAAGAATTCCCAATGCTCGACCTACATTCCTCACTCCTAGTAACTGTTGCACCTCTTTCTTCACAATTCAAGCTCCAAGACCATCTTGCTATCGTTTTCATTGAGAAGCTCTCGGGGATGTGACCCCAAACATCCTGGATGTATCACTTCTTTACCCTTCGTTTTTCGTTTCCATTCAGCTTTATACCGCGTTGTTCGGGTACAATAAGCGAGATTATCCAGACGGCATTGCTGAGCAGAAGGAAGGTGACAGCAGCCGCGGGGTATGTCACCGCATAGCCCAGGTCGGTACTCAGAGCAATCCAGACCGGGAACCCGCATGCTGCATTGGCAAGCCCATAAGCTGAGGCAGTGGTAGTGACGATTGCCAACAGCCTCCAGCCCTTGCAGTAAGGCTCGATCAGGCTGATGATGGCGCCGCTGACCATGGGCGTTATAGCATTGGTGGCTGGGAACCAGAGTGGGAAGCCGCCGACTTCCAGGGGTTGATAGCCGTAGTACGTGTAGATGCCGTAGTAGAGGGGTGGATACTCAAGGACAAGATTGATGATGAAGGCCTTTCCCCAGAGCTTCCAGATGTCTTTGCGCGTCGTTTTTGGGTCGCGGATCACAGTGTAAGCCCAATAGCCCATGCCACCTACGAACCAGCCGTAGGTCGCGGGCACAAAGACGGGGATGGGCCGCCCGAGCCATTCGAAAGCGACCCAATTGCCTTCTCGAGGAAAGAAGCAGAAGCCGAGGACGTCGACGAACGGCTCGAATGAGGAAGCAAAGCAGCCGCCAATACCAAACAGCAAGGGCAACGGGTCACCTTTGCTCGCGAGACTCCGGAGACCCATGCCAAAAAAGATGACAAATGGGATCTGGGTCGCGATAGTAAAGATGAGCTGCTCATTGTACGGGATGGCCATGTCGGCCGGCGGCCGGCTTGTGGTGTTTGGTACGAACATTTTGACTTGAGATACGGAATAAAGCACGCTAAACAACAATAGTCAATAGTTGGAAACAAACTTTAGCTATAGTTCAGAGCTGGCGAAAGGGCAATGAAATGCTTACAGAGAAAGCTCTGGTTGACCTCGCCCGGAGGTTGTCATCTTGTTCCGAGTAGTGATAAGCGGCGGGACCATTAGATCCGGCGAGACATTCCACCTGGCCCAGCGACCGGAGCATCAAATATGCTCCGGGGCAGCAACAGCTCGGTTCGACAGCAACGCAACGCACAGTTCGGGCTTTTCATAACCCCGACATAGCCAAGACTTACTTGAAGTCCTGGATCTGAAATGAGGTACAGGATTGTCACAGCTGAATAGAATCCGGTAGTCCAGATGCCCAACTTGGCTAGGCTGTATCATACTTAACCGATTAACTAGATGTTTTTCTTGCATTTTACGGCAGTCCAGTTCAGATGACACACTAAGAGCACCGTCATCAACACTCTTTCAGTTGCACACGGCTTGACCACATTTGACCACATTCATCATGGCTGTCGCCGGTGTCATGCAGAGTCTCCCGTCTGGCTTCCTCGGGCGCCTGGGGATCCTGACAATCCTGGTTCGCTTGATCCAACCCATTAAACTTGTAGAACATCACTAATTTGCAATAGGTGGTCATCTATATGGCATACAAACACGCATCACGGGACAAACGGCGCGACAGTATGCCACCCGGGCCCAAGGGATACCCTATCGTCGGAAATTTGCTTGCCTTGACAGACGCCGACAAAATTCCTGACCTCACGAGGCAATGGGCGAAGCAATACGGACCAGTCGTATACACAAAGATGGGTGCCCAGGACTGGGTCTGGCTGAACTCACCCAAAGCCATCAAGGATCTGATCGACAAGCGAAGCGGGAAGTACTCATCTCGCCCGAGGCTCCCCATGATGTTTGAGGCCACGTCAAACGAGAACCGCATCATCTTCATGCCTTATGGCGAGCGATGGAGAAACCTTAGAAAGATTGCACACGCGGGGCTAAACGCCAACATCAGTGCAACATACAAGCCTGTCCAGGAATTTGAATCGAAGCAGCTGATATACGAGCTTTGCCACGCAAAGGACGACAAGGCGTTCTATGACATCAACCGCCGTTACTCGGCCAGTGTCATCATGACTGTCACCTACGGCCATCGCGTATCGAGCTGGGATGATCCTTGGATTAAGGACATCTACTCGGTGCTTACGCGCTTCACGCTGGCGTCGGAGCCTGGCCGATGGCTTGTTGACGCTTTCCCGTCTCTCGCGTCTCTCCCTTCATGGATGGTGCAGGGATGGTGGGACACAGGCCGTGCTTGGCACCAATTGGACCGCGAAATCTATCTGAACTACTACCGAACGCTCGTCAAGCAGATCCAAGAGGGAACCGCTCCAGACTGTTTCATTCGAGACTTCTACGAAAGCGGGCCTGAGAAGTTCGGCATCGACGAGGAAGCGGCTGCCTACGCGGCCGGCTCCCTAGTCGAAGCTGGCAGCGAATCGACTTCTACAGTGCTTAATGCCTGGACTCTTGCATGCCAACTGTATCCGCGAGTTCTCAAAGAAGCCCAGGAGGAGATCGACCGTGTGGTCGGACAAGATAGAATGCCTACATTTGAGGACGAGCATGACCTACCCTACATCCGAGCCATGGTCAAGGAGACTCTTCGCTGGTGGCCGATCACCAAGACCGGCATGAACCATGCCACGACTGAGGACGATTGGTATGAAGGGCATTTCATTCCCAAAGGTAGCGTCGTCATGTTGAACTGGTGGTAAGTGCTTGACGCCTCGCTATTAGGTCGACCTCCAACTCGATATCATGCTGATGGGGAGAATTAGGGCTGCCCACAATTCACGCTGGAAGGATGGTCAGGAGTATGACCCGAAGAGATTCTTGGATGACCCTCATTCCACCGCTGAGTGCATTAATATTGCCGACGCGAACCTGAGAGATCACTTTGCATATGGCTCCGGTCGACGAATCTGCCAGGGCCTCCACGTAGCGCAAAACTCGCTATTCATCACTATGGCGAAAATTGTTTGGGCGTTCAACATCGAACGGGCCATTGACGACAATGGCACTGAAGTTGAGCCCAAACTGGCCGTATTGCCAGGTTTCCTGATGATTCCGGCTCCATTCCGTGCTAGATTCGTGCCCAGAAGCAAGAAACACGCCGCCATTCTGGACGCGGAGTGGACGAAGGCCAAGAAGGAGGGCTTAGATTGGTCACGCACGAAGACAATGCGCGCCAAGGCGTGAGATTAATTTGTTTTGAGGCATATGCGCAGAAACGGATGGAATTTAAGACTTAAATTGCATGAAAGTATGGTGTAGTTTTACATAGAGTGTTTCCAACATTGAAGACTGGAAAATGGTGCAATACCACTTGATTCCTTAGTACTACTTCCTGTCTGAGCGGGTGGAAGCTACCCCTTCTATAATATACAATACTGTGAAGAGCCTCAAGTACTGGTACCTCATACCATAGGTGTCAGACTACAGTACGTCCGATTTCGGCAAAGACTATTCACGTATCCTGCCGAGGTTGCACATACCAGACAAGATTGATTGAAATTGATTCACACATCTATATTTATACTAAAGATCTTCTCTCCGGCCGGCCTACTGCTGAAACTCGCCCATGTTTTGCAGCTTGTAATCCTCGACCTGCGTACTCATCCCCTCAGTCATCGTGAACTGGACCGGGACATCGGATTTCTGCGGCGTTTCTTCATTCATCTTGTCGTGGTAACCAACAGCCGTCTCCATTATCAGGCGCGCAGTGGCCTCATCGGGTAGAGATTCTCCTCGCCATGAAACATGACCGTCTGGCCGGACTAGAACCAAGGGCTTCTCCCACAGTTCTTCTGCATGATCCTCCCCCGGAAGCCGGATGTGTTTAAGCGGGACGTTGAGTTGCCTCGCAGCACTGATCAGCCTCTCGCTCGTGCTGTCTGCGTGACCGAAATCGACGAGCGAGAAGTCCTTGCCCAGGCGATCAAAGATAGATGAACCATCCTTGAGGAATACATGTGGAGGCCGACTTCCAGGCATGGAGGTGGGGACGTAGGTATGCGGATCCCAGTCAGGAGCCTTCTCTCCGGGGCCATCAGGAATGCAAACAACCGACGAGTATCGGTAGCCCATTTCAATGCCGAAGTCCGTATTCTCGCCGTCATGCTCTTGGTAGTGCTTGTGGATTGCACCTTTCACTTCCCGGCCCTCTTTACTCTGCTTGCCGACTTCAGCAGCGTGACCCTTCAACAACTCCACGGCCTGCATGTGCGTGGCCATGTGGACTCCGGATCGCTCGACATTGATCAGTGCTACAGGTCGTCGTTCCTGCTCATATGACCGGAGCAGCCCTCGCTTTCCGTATCCGTTGATAACTGCGGCAAGCTTCCATCCAATATCGAAAGCATCTCCGAGACCCGTGTTCATGCCATAACCTCCGGTTGGGACGTTCTGGTGGGCCGCATCTCCGGCTAAGAAGATTCGCAGCTCGGGGCCTGCAAAATGACGGGCCACTGCAATGCTTGGCTGGTAGGTCGACCGGACCAATATCTCATCAACCTTGATCTTATATGGTCCATCCAGCCCACCAAAAAGTTTGGCAATAGCTTCTTCAGATGTGATAGTCGCGGGGTCGACACCAGGTGCAAGAGTAAAGTGGATGGTGAATATTTCCTACAACAAACAGTGAGTGAACATTCTCTACACAAGGCCTAGCGGTGACCAACCTTTTCGTCTTGGCATATACAAGCTCCGCCGAAAGTACCGTCAAGGAGGATGAACAAATGCCAGAATCGGCCTTGTTTGTGAAGACGGGCTAGGTCTGACGACTTGAAGTGTACAAGTAGAAACGACACTGGGCTGTTCAAGGTGTCAATGACTGGACCACTCAGCATGCTTGATGAGAGACACTCACGTTGGGCCACCATCCAATGGTATCTCCAAGGATCGACGCGCCTTGCTGGATGCTCCATCGCAACCGACTACGTACTTGGATTTAAACAAATGCTTTTGTCCTGTACCAGTCTCGATAATCGTTGCCTCGACACCATCCGGAGATTCCTTGATGGTTTCTAGTTTCCAGCCGAAGCGGAGTTCGACCAGGGGGTGCTCTTCACACTTTGTCTTCATCCAGGCCTCGAAGACGGATTGAGAAATACGTTGATAGGGCTCTCTTGGCTGTGTCCCGTCGTTCGTAAGCTCGATTCGTTTCCGGAACTCCTCGACACTCGGATGCTCCCACTTCGTGATAGGCCCATCCGAGGCCAGTCCAGTCGTCATGAGCACGGTGTAAGGCATATGAGACGGGACACCTGATTCGATTCGTCTCAGTTAGAATACTTCGTTCTGCATGGTGTAGTTGCTTCTATGAGCGTGTCCTACCGTGGGTACGCAGCTCATCAGCTAGTTCGAGCCGTTTGAACAGCTCCATTGACCTCACATTGGTCAGATCCATCTTCGGCCATCTGTATGAAGTCAGTCATTGATGTGCTGCCATTCTGTAGACATTGAGACATACTTCGTAGTGGTCACATTTCTCTCGAATACGACGGACCGAACTCCATGGTGCGCCAACACGGTCGCAGTGACGAGGCCAACGGGTCCCCCGCCCGCGATGAGGACACAGTCGTCGGGCAGCGTGTGAATGTTCTCGGATTTGACGTCCATGATTGACTAGTGGCTCTTGAGAGACTCGTGACGAGAATACAGGAAGTAGACAGGTTGGGGAAAGTATTGGACTGCCGGGGTTCGTGCAACTGCGCAGTTGCTAGTTATATGGCATGTCGGCCCAGCATCGGCTGATGCTGACACCCAACGACCCCGGAACATCTGCAGCGAAAACCTGTTGCCGCGTAGTAATTTCAAGTGATTCTGTGGGTACCCAGATTTCCGGCCAATCGGACTGGTCTCTACGTGCGTGGAAGATCATGGCTTCATCAAGATCAAAGAATTGCTCAGAGTTACACCTGCTGTTCGATTGCTATTTCTCAAGGACAAGGCTTGTCACTGATATGTCTACTATTCTGGCACGGTTCAATCACCTCGCTCCTTCGCAGTCACCACCAGGATCGGACCCAGAGCTTTCTGGACCATATCGGGCGGGACGTCCGTTCCTTCGGCCATCTTGCCATCCACCATGCCTGGCGGATCAATGTGCCACTCCGGAATGCTCCTGATTCCTAAGTTCGATATTTCTACAATACTTCCACCTGGATACTTTGCCGATTCAACAGCCTCATTGATTGCATTGGCTACCGCGTCAGCCGTCGTGGCGATCTGCGACGTTACCCCAAAGCGCTCACCCGAGCCCGGGGCGCCAGTCGTCCAGATCGGGGTCATTGTGATGCTGGCCCAAGTTTAGCAACGAGAAGTGCGAAGGAAAGGGGAAGGGTTCGACATGACCTACCCGGGACACACGCAAACTACCTTGAGGCCTTGTAACTTCTCGGCGTCCCCCATGCTGCGTGTAAAGCCGACCACGGCGTGCTTTGTGGCACTGTAGATGGGAGCCACGTACTGCTTGCTGTATCCGGCGATGGAACCGACGATGGCAACGACAGCTGGCTTCTTCTTGCCTAGAACAGCTCGCATTGCCAGACGCGTGAGTTTGATCTGGTCGCATCGTGTTAATTTCCTTCCCTTAACGAAAGGCCAATGCCAGCCGTGTCGTACTACGCACCGGATGGTTCACATTGATGTCGACTTGGGCGTACCCGTTCGCTTCCAACGGTTCCGGATCGTCCCAGAAATTGGAATAGGGCTTCATACATCCTACATGTTAGCCTGACTGACCTGTCAAATTTCAGTCTGTCTCATACTGACCGGTTCAAAAACGCCGGCGCAGGCCACAAAGATATCCGGTATGTCTCCCAGCGTAGAGACCGACGTGTCGATAAGTCTCTGCAGGTCGGCCCATTTAGTCACGTCAGTCTCTTGGAAGATGACCTTGTCATCCGAATCAACGATCTTGCGGGCGTCGGCTGTCAGGCGCAGGTCCGCAATGATCACTGCGCGAGCGCCCTGAGACCGAGCTTTCTGGACATAGGCGCAGCCAATACCTAGCCGACGCAGTAAGCATTTTGTAAGTCACGATGCGTTAGAATCCATTGTTCTTCTCACCTGACCCGCCGCCAGTAATCACCACAATCTTATCCTTGGTCGGAAATCCGCTGGTCATCTTGATGAGCTCTATGTCCTATGTTCCTTGATGTGGCCTGTGGCAAAGTTCCCCCGCAATGTTTCTTCATGCAAGTCGCGAGGTTCTGGTCAAATTGTTGAGCCAGAGTCGCCTCGGCCTTTTCGGGAGAGCGCTGAATAATCAAGGCTAAGCTTGAAGCAGCAATTTACCCCAACATGGTCTTAAACCTACGGAGCTTGCAAGAACCCGCCGGGCCGGAGAGTGACCCTGATTTCAAGCACGAGACCAGGCCTGGTGCTCCGGTAGACTGGATCCGGAGTACGACCTTCCCCAGACTAGTCAATTTGGTGGAGACACCCAGACATCTGGAACTGTTGTGTCCCGGGCCCTTCATCCGGGGTAGCAGGTACCAGACTAATGTCATAGTCAGCAGGCCAGTAGTAGTCCTCTCAATGATAATATCGCCCATTCATAGGCTTTGACAGTACTGACAAGTGAAATGAGATTCTGTAACTTTACTTCCTGCTACTATCAAGATTAGGCCTCTGTTTTGAGCATCATGATCGAAAAGCTAGCACAGTCGAAGGATACGCACCCGGTCGCATACTGGCTGCTGATAGCTAGTGTCGGTGTCTATCTTCTTTCTCGTGTATTGTGTTATGGCATGCGAACAAAAGACTTCCCTCCGGGTAGGTTGGTCCACAGGTCCTGCGAAGGGACCGGTTTCAAAAGGTTAACGACATTTTTGCAGGCCCTCCAACCATTCCAATTCTAGGTAATCTACTACAATTTCCCACCAAAGACTTTCATTTGGGATTCCAAAAGCTGGCAAAGAAATGTAGGGACGACCGACTTTTGTTCCTCACGAACTCCGGGAGCTATGCTAAAAACAAGTTGCAGATGGACGGATTACCGGTATGAAGATGGGTGGTCAGAATCTCTTCCTGGTTAATGACCCCGCCGTTGTCCGCGACTTGATCGAGAAGAGGAGTAGCAACTACTCCTGTCGTCCTGATCTGTATGTTCGAGAGTTTGGTGACAACATGAACATTGCCCTGCGCGAGTAAGCGTCCAAATAGTGATCCAGTTGATAGGCACTTCTCAGGCTGATGAAAGTTTAGCAACGACGAAACATGGCGCAGACAACGCAAAATGTATCATGTCCGCCTCAACGTAAAGTCTGCGGATGCCTATCTCCCATATCAAGTCAGTGGCCATTCCTAGGCGACCTGGGTAGCTGGGATCATCAATGGACTGATTCTGAAGCGACAGGACTTTGATAGCATTCAGCTCTTGGATGATATAATGAGATCTCCAAAGGAGTGGCGCGATCATCTCTACAGATATACCGCCAGTATCTCGACAGGTGTTCTTTACGGATGGAGAACCCCTCAGACGAACACAGGCTACGTCAAAGACCTCCTTGAGGTATGAGCTTCTCGATGAATGAGCGGCTGGCGAGGCAAAAATTGCCGGGCTGACACACGTACAGTGGATGGTACTTACGTCAGAAGCCATTAATTTCAAGATTGTCGATTTCTATCCATTTCTTCGCCCATTCTTCCGAGCGCTCCCGCATTGGATGAGCTCGACGAAACGCAAGCTTGCATATCTCCAAAAGCTCGAAGACAGGGTTTTTATGGGTCTGTTGGACCGCGCCAAGGAAAGCATTGCTCAAGGAAAGCCTCATCCGAGTAAGTGTGATTCTCAAGCTCCAGCAACCTATATATGTAGATATGCATTTTGTTAACAACTTTGCTCAGGTTTCATTCGTGACATGATTTTGGACAAGGACCATGACCGGCTTACGGACCGGCAAATTGCTCACAATGCCGCCCACGGGTTCGGCGCCGCAATGTTTGTGACCGCGTCGTCGCTCCAGGTTTGACATTACTGACCTGAACAGGGACACGTCGGCCAATACTATCACGGGTTTTGTCAAGGCTAGTGACCATACCTCTAGGCTGTATCCGTCTTGGCTAACATGTCTTACTACGTACAGGCCATGGTCTTACACCCTGAGGTCCAGAGACGCGCCCAGGAAGAACTTGATGCCGTGATTGGATCAGGTAGACTTCCTACTTGGGAAGACCGGCCGAACCTTCCGTACATCCGCGGGGTTGTGGAAGAAACATTCAGGTGCATGTAGCATTGAATACACCATACGAATGGTCGAGCATTTGCTGATGACAATACTAGGGGGCCCAAGTCCTATCACCGGGGCGGTTCCGCACTCTGCGAAGCAAGACGATGTCTACGACGGCATGACAATCCCCAAGGGCTCCATCGTCATGATGAACGTAGGTACTTAGTTTCCCAATCTTAGGAGATATACTAAACGAAGATTGTAGATCTGGTCGCTCAATCACAACCGTTTTGAAAACTCTCGTGACTTTGATCCGCTTCGTCAGAGCTCGGACGTGACCTTGCTAGAGAACAGCGCCATTAACCAGGACTCGCCCAAGCGTCTCCACTTCACCTTTGGCGCGGGAAGACGTGTGTGTCCTGGCTTTCATGTGGCCGAGAGAAACCTATTCCTCGCCGTCTCTCGCATCCTGTGGGGATTCAACATTGAGCGAGCTTATGATGCCTATGGCAACCCCATCGAAATCAGACGAGACGCAGTGACACCCGGTGTCATCATCGCTCCCGAGCCTTTCGAGTAAGTTGCCCCAAGACTTGTTTGGGATACACCTCGTTTCTAAAGTTGGCTGCAACAGATGTGTGATTAAGCCTCGTAGCCCCGAGAGAGCAAATTTCATGAAGAAAGCTTGGAGGGAGTGTGAGAAGGACCTCGACTCCGAAGGAAACTTCAAGCCGGAATTCATCTACAGGGTTTTCCCGAACCTTCAGCAGAGTGTCAAGGCATGATTGGGTCGCGCAATCAAAACTCGCTCTTAGATTGATTCCCTCTCATGCGGTTTCATTGCAAGTACCTTCTGTACAAGGAGTCTGATTTGTTACTACACTTGTAGCGTCTATAGTTTTATGATCTAGTGATAGCCATAATGGAAGGTCTACTGGCATTTACTGGTACCTGCAATCTTGGTTGAATTGGCTTTTCATTGCAGTCGTTCCTAACATGATAAAGTCAGTCGCTACAGGTCTTGATCAAGAGAGGAAGGAGTGAGATCTTAGCACACAAATGGCCTGAAAGTGTTGTAAACAGTCTAAACAAGTAGATTCTACATGTAAGTAGCTATTATCCACACCCTTACTCGCCTCTACTCTGGTAAAACGCGTCGTTTGCCTTCTTATCTTCAAACTCCAACATGGTCTCCATGTTCCAGTCCTGATGCACATGCCCCTCGGGAATATTCTCGGAAGCGAACGGGGTCCCGTACTTCAGATGCGAGATCACAGCATCAAACTGCTCAGCTGCATACTCTGAGGCATCAGAGCCAAGTAGCCAGCGAGGCTGAGGCAACCTAATCGAGTCCGGATTCTTCGAAACGGCCTCCCAGTCCGTCTGGTGCCATACGTGGCGAGTCTCCCAACCCATGCGCTGCGTCAGGCTCGTGCGCTCGTATCTGAGCTTCTCAAAGGCCCGGAACGCAAGGGGGATGTCGCGGTCGTCGCCCATCTTCTCCAGGAGCGTGCCAATGGTCGCCGCGTCCTCGAGGGCCTGTGCGGCCCCGGTGCCCGAGGTCGCCAGATGCGGATGCGACGAGTCTCCCACGAGGCAGACGCGGCCGTTGTCCGACACCCACTTGCGAACGGGGTCTCTCCAGAGGAGCTTGTAGTCAATAAGGCAGTCCCGTGGTACGTGCTTGATGATGGCGAGCAGGACTGGGTCCCACCCTTGTACGTAGGAGAGCATCTCGTCGGGGTCACCGGGGTTGTTCCAATCCTCCGAGATATCGGAGACGTCCTAAGATCGCGATGTTGTTAGTATCCGATTGCTATCCAGATCAACAAAATGAAGTGCGCGAACCTTGTGAGTGACAAAACAGGTCACACCCCGCACTGCCGTGTTCGTCGTAAGAATGGCGTGGACATTGTCCCCGATCCAGATCTTGAACAGTGGCTCCTTACTCTGTGCGATTGATGCCGTGAGAGGGTCATCGAGCAGGTTGTCGAGCGAGAACCAGGACCTGAAGACGGCAAACCCGCTCTTCTGGGGCCGGTCAGCAACTCCAACGACGTGCTTTCGGGACTGGCCGCGGACGCCATCAGCCGCTATCACCAAGTCCGCCTCGTGCCTCGAGCCCCCCTTCAGGACAACCCCGGCAGACTTTTCGTCCTCGAAGATATCTACCACAGGAGCGTTGAAGTTGACCTCCACGCCAAGAGCTATGGCATGGTCGTACAAGGCGCGCTGAATAGCCCCGCGCTTCCCATAGGCATTGGGGTATCCGTCGAACTCGGTATGTAAGTCCTGATCAAGCCATACTTTGCCGTTCTGATCCAAGATACTCATAATCTTGGGCATAGACGAGATTTTCGTGACCTGTTCGAGCACATTGCCCCATGGCTTCATGAGGCGGGTCGCGTTTGCTCCGATCTGGATAACGTCACCTGCGTGCGTCAAGAAATTCCGTCTAATCAGTGCGGATACTCTTACAATCGAGCGTGGCTTGGTCCATACCTTGCCTGCTCATATCAGGAACCGACTCAAAAACTCGGACACTGGCGCTTCTCCGCGCGAGCTCTATAGCAGAGGAGAGGCCGCCAAAGCCAGCGCCGATGACGATGGCTTTCAAGTTGGCGAGCGACGTATTGGTAGCCATTGTGGAGGATCAAGTTAAAGTATACTGCATTAGAGTATTCATCATTTGCTAGCTATGTCGAATGATACCAGCAGGCCTGTTTTATGGAATTGATCATTGCAGCATGTGACTCCTGGCACGATCCGTATTCTCAACTACTGTCTCCGCGCGCGGCCATGATGCCCACTTGGACCCGGTCGTGACGGGAGCAATGAGGTCCGCCGGAACAAACAACACGTATTCCGACATGCAGTCTGATTGTACAAACAACGTTCAGTTCACAGAACAGAGCATGAAGAATCGAATTCAGCGTTCCGAGACCATTGTGAGTTCGCGGGTTGAGATTAAATACGCGGTATTGCCCGTGTAGGTGCGCCGTTCCCTGCCCGCACCGTTAATGCAAAGTCAGAGAATGAAAACAGAGGTGCAAAAGCTCGGCGCCGATGTAATTTTCACCCCATTCGAAGAGAGCATGCGATACTATTGCATTATGTATTTCTATCTAAGCTACCGGGTGGTTCATAATGGATTCATCGGAAGGAAGGTCAAGTCGCACTCACTCGCAGAGCCGCTCATCATGAAGGATGGCCCCTGGGAGTACGACGGCAGAAATGTGCGCCAATCATCAAGTCCAACAAAAGCACTGTCGAGATCGAATTCCATGTTTGATGCCTTCTCATCTGGATCAGCCATTCTGTTCCCCATGGTTCCGGAATGTGGCTCGCTTACCTCGGTCAAGAAAGGAATGTTGGAAAAGGAGTTGGGACTCATTTCCATATCCTTACTGTCGGCCAATGGGCCCTGCATGGCAGCTTCAGGACTTTCCCGAGCCTTCTTTACCAGTGTCCGTGCATAGGATGCTATTTCTCTCGGGAAGGCAAAAACTAACTCCGATGATGAAACAAACTCCAGGTACCCAAAATGGCCGATCACAATGTCCATCAAAGACAGATCAGATGGTACCGAAGGGCTCAAGGGCCGCTTCAGTACGGAGATGAACAGGTTGATCAGTCCGACGAGTGGGAAGTAGAAGGTAAGCCTAGGCCCGTGCAAGTCAGTAACCAGCAATGATATTATCAGTCCATGAAGACGCCCTACCAGAGCGGAAGCGCAGCTGTGATCTCAATCCGTTGAGTCCCCAGAATGATCTGGCGTGACGCCTCAGCCACCTTCTCCGTACTCTCCTGTATCTGCGCCCGTATCTGCGGGTTGGTACTGCCATGAATGTCGGCTCTATTCCAGGGGTAGCAGAATATGCCATGCGTGGCAATAGTAGAGACGTGATACGAGAATTGAAGGTAGAGGGTGTGGACGAGCTCGTGTCCATGAGTCACTGAAAAGTTCTTGAAAGGTGGCCGCGCCCAATAGGCAAGTGGTAAGGACTGCCGCCAGGTCTCCAAGCGGTTCTCGAGCTCTTGGACGGTGGCCATGAGCTTCTCGGGAGGATCGTGGATTGTCCGCGCACTAGTGAGCTTTTTCGAGATGGCGGATGATATTTGTGCATGTTCGGCAGTCTTGATGCGAAATAGATCAATCATCTCAGCGTTATGAGAAGGCATGGCAGGAATTGGGCAACTGATGTAGTCATCATCGATTGCCTTAAGTTCGAGACGCGTTAGTATCCTGAAGAGAGACCCTAGGTGAAAGGCGCTTACAGAGGGACGGCCACACCGATATGTCAGATGCTTGTCGTAAGAATACAAGGTCCACCAGAGCCAGTGCCGTGACGCCGTCTCTTCCGAAGTCAGATTCCAATTGACTGGTGTCCCTAGATGGAGGCCTTTGGCCTGGGCAAGGCGGATGGCATTTGAGAGCATCATGTACTCAAGCCCTGGACTCCCAAGGGCTTCCCCGTAGAACGCCTATCAAGAGCACAGTTGGTCAGTTTGATGATACGAAACGCAACATCGCCCTATGGGTTCTTCTCACCATCAACAATAGCGCACGGACTGAGTCGAGACTGGTCTTGGTGTAGATGAGACTATTATGGACAGACAGGGCGTTTTCGTAGTATCGCCAAGACTGCGATCTCGACTCGGCGAAGGCTGCTGGGCTCGCATCCTCCGACAGGGCCAGCCGGCACCCGGATGCATACACGATATTCCGAAGGGCATACCAGGCCTGATCGACGGATGCATCCGGCCCAGCCTCGAAATGCATACGCAGCCTTGCCAAGTATTTCCTGCGATCCAATACACCGAAAACCGAATCGAGACCGCCGTTGAAGTACGCTTTAAAATGTTAGTATTGGCAGTTTTCAAAGGGCTCCGAGCTTACCCTCTGTCCATTGGATGGCCTGGTCCATGCTAGGCTCTGGTGTTCGCGTGGCTCCGATGACGCGGTCTAGCCGTTCTCCTCGAACAACATCTGCGGAAAGGCGACGAGCGCTCGCGATGAAGTCGGGACTGCCTATCTGCCGAGAAACCCATTCGGCGGCAGGATCGGAACATATTGAAAGATATGAGGCGCCCGCTATACCCCCCGTTAGTCACGGCATTTCCTCGTAAATCTGCTCAGCATTCACACTTACCAATCTGGTCGATGGTGTCCTCCTGATAGACAAGTCAGCAACAAACGAGGCAACGCCGATGGGTCTGGCATCACTCACATTCTCGCAACGATCGGACATGACTGCAATGTCGTCTTCTTGCGCGGTGCTGGGCGGTGTGGCCAGCTCAACGGGAGGAGCCTGGTGCATGTCGGGCTGAGAGGTCATCGGAGCTTCTGGGATTGTAGGCCTTCCGTCGATTGCATTGAAATCGTCGTCCGCCGGAAGAGCACACACGCTCTGCACTGAGTTGTATGGGGTTGCTCCCTGCCCGATAACGCTCGGAATACCTTGCGATGGCGAGGCGCCCATCATGGCGTCTCGTGGGCCGAGCAAAGAAGACGGTGATGGAGGCTGCGGCAGGGGTTGGTGTTGTTGCTGTGGCGTAGTCATGCTTCTTACAATCACCGAATCTGTCGGTACGGGCTCGTTCGCGACAGAGATAGACTGTTCCGTTGCTTCCGGTCTCGATAAGCTCTGTTGAGGTGTCACTGGAGGAAGATTGTTCGGCTGGATCAACATCGTGGCGTCTTCCGTAGAAAGGCCTTGGGTCGCAGCGCGAAGCAACATCTCCATCCGAGCAAGGCGGTCTTCCACCTCTCGATCCTTTTCCTTTCGCTTTCTCCTCTGTTTCTGCGCTTCAGGGTAGGTGCAGCGCTCGTTATGATCCTATTGGGTTGGTCAGGAAATGGAATCCCGGAGGTCTCCCTCGGGCGTGAGGGCGAACATACTACACAGGTCCCGCAGGGCCTCTCGCCGCTGCCTGTGCACGTCGAAAGACACAATAGTCAGTATCTCGTCTCCTGGAATTTTCATGGACAGTTCAAGACATACACTTTGCCTTTTTCAGTCTGCAGTAGTGACAGGCCAGAGGGCATTTTACTGACCCAGCTCGCGAACGAGGGACAGACATTGCAGCAAGATTTACAGAAATACTTTGCTGGTAGTTATGACTGGGTTGGAGACATGATACAGATTCAGATTCAGATTCAGATTCAGAAAGGGGCGATGTCTATCTATCCCGGATACATTGACCTCGTCGCAAAGGTCTGGTCGTCGTCACGCGGCAAGGGGAAGGGGGCTGAAAGGCGGGGTCGAGACCATGTCAATTCCTGGGGAATGGGGAAAGATTGGGGTCAAGATGTCTTGGACAAGGATCCCCAGACAACGAACCCGCGAGATCCGCCAATATGGAAAGCACAGTGCAAATTAACGATGTGATGGGTGTACCAATAGCCGCTATATTCTCGGCCTATCGCCGATAGCTTCAAGCGCCCGACCCAACTCCATCCGGCGAAGCCGAATTTCCTACTTCTCGCTATCTAAGGATGGGAATGTTCGTGAAGGAAACTATTCGTAGGAAGGAAAACCTAGGAGAGACCCCGCTTAGAATTTTGCAGCATGTGATCGTATGTAGGGTAGACGGTGAAGATGTAAGCTTTTTTGCTCGCCTCTACAGGACTTAATGACCCAGAAAGCTCGTAAGAGGTAGTAAAGTCCTGCTAAGTAGGAGTTGATGGGGGGCTGAGATGACTGGCTTAGGAGGAGATATCAAAGCCTACACATTGCAAGGACATATTGCACAATATTGCACAAGACGATCCGGGAATTATGAAATCCGGCTTGTTCGGGCAATGCATTCAGATCAAAAGTCGATCCGCCCCGGATGCTCGGAGCAGTCAACTTTTTCCCCGGATGTCTAAAATTGGAGCACGTACATTTGTGACTACAAAACTGTTATGGCACGGGACAAGCCTTTCACACTCTTACACTTGACCCCTTGATTGAGCTTGCCTCAACTAGGATCATATTCTCTACGTTGAAGAATCTCGCCGTACTAAGCCACAAAGATGAAGGTGATCTTCGAGAAACTCATCAGGTTCAAAGACGATGACGGCAACGTCCGATACGGCGAAGCACCCCAGGGAGACGATCTCGTCGGACAGCAGGTCCTCGTCTACGACGGAGAGGTTCCATGGGATCTTCGAACCACCAATCAGCGCTCCCGCATTGCCGAGGCAAGCTCCGCGGAGACACTGCCCAACGAGGCACACTCACTAACACGAGCACTAAGGTCCTGGCCCCGCTACCTGCCGCTCCCATTATCTACGGCATAGGCCTGAACTACAAGACTCACATCGCCGAGGCGAAGTGGCCGACCCCTCCTAACCCATCAGTCTTCACCAAACCCCCGCGCGCGCTGAACGGGCCGTTTGCGGACGTGCACATCCATCCGGACTGCGCCCAGACGATGGACTACGAGGGGGAGCTTGCGGTTATCATCGGTCGCGAGATCAAGAATGCCGCCTCGGAAGCCGAAGCCCTCGATGCAGTCTTGGGCTATGCTGCTGCCAATGATGTTTCCAGCCGGCAGTGGCAGATGCCAGAGGTGAGTGGTGGCCAGCACGGATACGCCAAGAGTTTCGATGGGTTTGCCCCCTTGGGACCTGTTATCACGGCCGCAGGGAAGATCAATCCGGCCAAACCCGGAGGACTCAAGCTTGTGACGCGCGTGAACGGGGCGGGAAGGCAGCGCGTCGGGACAGATGATTTGCTGTTTGGTGTTGGGCAGCTCATCATGCACTTGAGCAGAGGCGCGACACTAGATCCGGGGACTGTGATCTTGACTGGCACGCCTGGTGGTGTAGCCGCATTCATGGAGCCCAAAGCTTGGCTGAAGGATGGTGATGTAGTCGAGGTTGAAATTGAGGGCATCGGGAGGATTAGAAACAAGTATGTCTTTGAGCAGTGATCACAGCTTAGATGAGTCCATCAGATGCGGAGGGTCGAGGAACAGAGATACTAGTAGAGTGTGCTATTCCAAGGAATATTGCTGAGGGGAGAGAATAAACCAAAGTGCGTGAAAGTGCCAATAGGTACACCCGGCGACGAGGCCGCCGAGCACACCGAGCGCCGAGCACGCCGCGCCTGCGCCCGTCGAGGCTGAAGCCGCCCGGCTCGTCCGTCTTACGGAAGCGCTTGCTTGAGGTAGGGGAAGAGCGGCACGGGAATGCAGAACTGCAGATACACAAGGAGAACGCCGGCGTTGAGGGCCTCGAAGATGCGGAGGGAGAGTATGCGCCAAGGGCTGGGCTCCATGACGTCCGGGCCGAGAATCGGGGGCGGGCGTGAACTCCGATGGATTACGGCCTGGATCCACATCATCGTGAACCCGAGGCCCAAACTCCCCATGGCTGTGGCTACGCCCTCACTGGTACCCCGAAAGGCTGGATATCATATTCATCGAGGTTTGGCAGGAATTGAGTGTCCTCCATCGCAGGTTCATCAAGGTCCCCGCGAGCTGGGTTTCTTGGCGTCATCATGAAAGTGTAGATTGTTTCTACGGTGAGGAGAAGCAAACTATGGTTTCTCTGAGAACAAAGTGTATCTCGCCGTGACTTTACTTGAAAATAGACCACATAACCACAGTATGACTGGCACAGCAGGATGCAATGCCAAGGTCGAGGAAACCCCGGGACTCGCTGTACTGGACGCTTCTCAGCAACTGAAGGGAGATGCATCTCAATGATAAGAAAGAGCAACGATCTTCCAGGTCGACCGAAAGAGGATTAACCCAAGTATGCCACATCCCCAGATTCAGAGAAGTGAATGAAGCCAAAACCCTACCCCGCATTCTCCGCCCGCCAAGGAGGCATGGACACGAAGCGGGGGCATCGCGGCGTTGATCAAATTTGGGACTGCCCGGAGCCCGGAACTTAAAGGGCCTCGTCTTCCGATTGGCACGGAACCTGTGATGTTTTCATTGACTATGTTCCGGTTGGTCCACGAAACAGGCTCTAGATGGACTAAGGACTATGAAACAGTTGACAGTTCGGCGACATGCCCTATCTGGAAGATGTCCCCCGCAACCTGCGCCATTGCGCTAACCTACAACCTTACTAACCTTTGTCTCGACAATGAATTTGCCGGGCCCAAGCACCACAAAGTGCGCCGTTCCAACAAATATACTGTGCTCCAGGGGTTTGAGACTCTCTGCGCCGGTCTCGAACCTGACATGGCTGACGGCGTTACCGTAGCTGGTTGTCTTCGCATCCGGGCTTCCCGTCAGGATAGGCATGAGCTCTTGAGTGATCTCAAGCATTCCTTTGTAAGAGTATGCGAAGAGCGACCCGTCTTTGTTTCTGTCCGTGATGTTAAGAACTGCTCGGAGTTGCTTCGGGGTCGCCCGATGGACATACTTTGCAACAGCATTGACGTTGATCTGGAGATGGGTCTGACCCGCCTCCATGCGAGCATAATCGGCTCCGTGAACAACCTCTGCATCTAGATCGATGGGAAAGCCAGGCTCGCTCTTGATGGTACCCGATGGAATTGGCTGTAATTATCTTCAGTATTTCCAATACTCTCGTTGCCAGGTCTAGGAGGCACAATACATACAAAAACGGTCAGAGTGTCTCCTTGTGAGAGTTTCCCTATCGATGTTCTATCAATATCAAGGAGATCTACTGCTAGAAAGTGTGGAGAGAATGCGACGTACCAACGTTGAGCCCAACGTCTGGTTGGAGTCTTACGGTGAAAGCTGGCTCAAGTGTTGCAAATCCCATATTGAAACAATGACTTGAATATTGACGCGAGTATTCTATGATCAAATGCTCGAGTGGCTAAAGGGTCGATAAAACTGCAGATGATTGCCTTGAGAGTCAAAGAAGGACGTTCCTGCACATTTTGGGAGTTCAGCTCTTTTGGATCAGGCTATCTCGTATGCCTTCCAAAGAATGCGGGGTGATCGCCGGCCCGTGGGAAGCCTCTCCGACTTGGCGGAGCCGGAAGACCGGAACCTCCTGGGACGGCCGAATCATATCGGCCAAAAGTGTAACGAGCTTCGTCATCTTGCACTAAGAGAAACCCGTTTACTTGAAGTTCCCCGACTTTAGCCTCGGGTCTCAACAATGGGTCGTCCCGCATGCTGGTGCAAGTGATGGTCAGATTAGTTGACGGACTGCTAACAGAATTACTTGACTATCTATCAAGCCCATCGGATTTAGGTAGTGGGATAGCCCTTCCGAGTTCTTAGGGCAAGGATGTGATAAGGATATTGATTGTTAAGATTGAGGTAGCTCCTGATGAACTTCCGTCAACCATTCAGACACCCACTTGCTGGAGGCAAGGTCCTGCGACAGTGGTAAGCGATATCTACACAAGAACATTGAATCTTGGATATACGTTGTAGCTAGTGCTTCCAATAATATGTGATCCGGTTGGCTTATTCAATCCTAGTTCGCTTAAACTACAACGACATTTATTGTAATACTCGCCCCAAGGCCCTAGGGCACATCTCTTCATTCTCTCACACCTTGGCTTATGTCAATAAATCGGAGCTCTTTCCTTTGTATACTTTACAAGAAGGTCACTGAATACACAAGCGCCACAATCACTTCAATAGGTAATAATGAAGCTTACACCTACTCCGCTATCCCTGAGCCTTTGTCTCCATGCCCTCGACCGCGAGATCAAGCCCCATCTCCCAGCAGACTCTCTGGAAGCACAATCAGGCTTGAAGACAATCTCCACCGTCTTGTCTGATCTGCTATCACGCTATGCACCAGAGAGAGGTCACCGCCCATTTCTCCTGAATCAGCTCAACACCGCTGCCAAGCTCGAGGCGGACATACGCGCCGTGCTCGAGTCCTCAGGGCATGTTCAGCTCAATGGCATTCAGCCGACTTCCATGCTGCCGGCTAATGCTACGTTTGAGGATTTATCACGGCGGTATGAGGAGACTTCAGGCAGGCTTGCCCGCCTGAGCCAGAAGCTAGCCGCCTGCTCTTCCCCTGAGGCTCCTGCGCTCCTGCGAAAAGCGGCAGAGTGGGAGGCAGCATACCACACAAAGATTTCAGGCATTAGCCAAGATGCTCTGACCTCATACTACGACAGCGAGGAAGCCAAGTCAAAGGCGTCCAGCTCGATAAAGCAAACGACCCTTGAAGCTGCCGCGGTGGAGGCTTTCCTCCGCGAGTCGCGATCTGACCCCTCATTGAGAGTCCCCAAGCTCGCCAGGCTGGCAGGGGGCCATGGCAAACAGACGTACATGTGCGATGTGGTCTCTCAAGGATCGGGCGGTGAAGAGACGACGACGCTGGTGATTCGCAAGGAAGATCCGGCGCCCATCATCCTGCGATCCACATTCCGCGTTAACGAGGAGTTTGCTCTGTTGAGAGACCTGAGCAACAACACCGACTTCCCGTGCCCTCGGCCGTTTGACTTGGCCAACCCCGCACCCGAGGGTGTTGACGCGCCGTTCTTTACCATGACCAAGATGCAAGGAGCCATCGGAAGCATGTATTTGGGCAGTCAAGACACCCAGATCGACGAGACGATGGCGAGGCAGTTGGCAAGCCTTTTGGCGAGGCTACACACGTATCCCATCGAGAAGTTCTCTAGCTATTTCGAAGCCAGGGGCGAAAACGTCGATGCTGTCAAGGTTAGTACAATATCTGATCGATACAAGTCTAGTCTCGACAGCTGGTCAGGGTACTTTGAGAGCGTGGACCATCTGCCATCGCCGTTTGTCACCTGGCTTCTGTCCTGGCTCAAGGAGCACATCCCCAAGGACGAGCGAACACCGATCCTCAGCCATGGGGACTTCTCCATCCACAACCTCTTGCAAGTGGATGGCAACGTTTCGGGAGTTCTCGACTGGGAGTGCGCAGAGTTTCTGTCCCCTGAGCAGGAGCTGGCGTACCTGCAACCGCTCCTCAGCAAGTCGTACTCGTGGGATAAGTTTCTAGAGCATTACCACGAGGCTGGTGGGCCAGAAATCCGCGAAGACCACTACCCATTCGTCCAAGCCTACGCCGTCTTGCGCACCATGCTAGCGTTCAACCGAGCCCTCCGGAACCTCATGGTTGGCGACAGCCGCGATGTACGGTTCCTCATGGTCGAGTATGGATATTTCGGCGCGTTCATGGGCATCGGGCTAGAATACACGTCGCGCCATCCGAGCTACGCAGCAATCCAGGCGGCTGCTGCGTCGATCGACAAGCTTGAAGATGACGCGAACCCAGCACACCCCCAAAGTGTTGTCAAGAAGGACGCACATGGTCCGCAGGCGAACGCACTCGCGGTCAGAGGCGATGAAGCCAACATTCGGCAGCCGCATGGAAGCACACCAAACTGGCAGAACAGCGTAGTCCTGGTCTGGTGGGACGAGGAACACCGCATCGGTGGCTTCCATCGACTGGGCCACGAGCCGAACAGACCGAACGGCGGCGAGGCGATCATCTGGACGAACCTGCTCACGCCGGAGGGCATGTTCAAACGAGTGCAGTCAAATCCGCTACGCAAGGAGGATACTCCAGACGACGGCAGCTTCGGATCCGGTGACGACACCTGCACTGTCAAGTACGCCAACGGCGAACACATTTGGACAATTAATGAGCCGACGGAGAACATCACAGCGAGGATTGTGCACCGCGACACCGGCCCCAATGTCGACTGCTTTCCCAAGCACGGGAGCATGGACAAGGACTTTGCAACGGCACACTTCGACATCGCTGGTCGCGTGACTGGCAGCCTCTCCGCGAAGGGCAGGACATACAACATCCAGGGACTCTCCATCCGTGACCATGCCTGGGGTACCCGCGACTGGGGGTCGTCTGCTTACGGCCACCGTTGGCTCGTGGGCACGGCCGGCGCCAACTTCTCCTTCATGGCGGTAAGCTGGCACGCATCTGCAAATGACCGGGTTGGGAACTTTGGCTGGGTGGTGCGAGACGGAGAAATCACCCTGGCGAAGATAGTTGACATCATCATCTTCATGGAGGTCGACAGCTGCACAAACAGGGGAGGGAGGGTGCGGATGGAACTGACGACGGGCGAAGTCCTCGACATTGAGTGCGAGGCCACTGCTCCGAAGGCGTCGGTCTGCTGGCATCTCGGGATGGCATGTGTTGACCGCATCTGCTCGTTCAAGTGCAAGCAAAATGGTGTGTCTGGATTTGCAAATGTGGAGAGCACATCCAACATCCAGATGGGAGATCGCAAACCTGGGACGCTGGTCGCCGGCATTATTGAGAACGGGTTCACGTTTTTCAAGTGATGTAATCGTGTATTTTGCAAAGTATTTTCATAATGATTTAGGTTGATAATGAACCAAGCCTCAACTTCATCGATGCCCATCAATCCGCTTCGGCTCGTACAGCTCCTCCAGATACGCCTCCTCCTCCGCCGCCAAGACCTTGCCCTTGGCCCCGACGGCCTGGTCGATGCGCTCGACGCTGCTGAACCCAATGATCGGGCTCGTCACCCGCGCGTTGATCCACGCCAGCGCGACGTGCGCCATGGGCCAACCCTTCTCCTCGGCCTTCTCGACCACGCGCGCGATCGTCTTGTGGTCCGCCTCGGTGAGCTTCTGTGACATGGAGCCGCCCTGCTTCTCGGCCGAGCTGCGCTCCGTCGACCCGAACTCGGCGGGCGGGCGGGCCAGGTGGCCGCGGCACAGGGGCGCCCAGGGGATCAGCCCGACGCCCGTGTCGTTGCAGAAGCGGTTCATCTCGCGCTCCTCCTCGCGGTAGAGCAGGTTGTAGTGGTTCTGCATGCTGACGAACTTGGTCCAGCCGTTCTTCTCGGCGGCGAACTGCATGCGCGCAAACTGCGTGGCCCACATGCTGCTGGCCCCGATGTAGCGCACCTTGCCCGACTCAACGAGGTCGTGGAGCGCTTTCATCGTCTCCTCGACAGGGGTTGTGGCATCGAAGCGGTGGATCTGCAAGAGGTCAATGTACGGGGTGTCGAGACGACGCAGCGATGCCTCGACCTGGTTGAAGATAGCAGCGCGAGAAAGGCCCCAGGCATTCTGGTAGTCCTTTGATGCTTGGAACCCATCGCGGAAGGCGAAGTGGCGCGCCTCTTGTTCCCGAGTCAGCTGCCGGCTTCTCACACCGTCCAGACCCAAACTCATCTCATGCTTGTCCACTCACCAGGTTCTTCTCCAACCGCCCAGTGGCACTTTGTCAAGATGACGACCTTGTGGCGGGGGATCTGGTACTTCTTGAGCGCCTTGCCGACGATCTCTTCTGACACGCCGTTCGAGTAGACATTGGCCGTGTCCCAGGTGTTGAGGCCGCGGTCATACGCCGCCTTGAGCAAGGGCAGAGCCTGCGAAGTGTGGTCAGTGGCATGAAGCATCGCTTCCCAAGGAGAACAGTGTTTGTCGGACCTCATCTTCTTCGATGACCCAAGGAAGAGTCCTGCGATCACCAAAGCTCATGCATCCAAAGATGGGTACGGAAACGTGCAGGCCAGATTTTCCGAGCTGGCGGTAGTCGACCTTTGTGTTCTCGATCGACTCCTTGAGCCGAGCAGGTAGCTCGCTTGATGCCATGACTTTCAGTTGGGGTAATGGGGTATTTGATGAGAGGCTTGGCGTTGGACTGTCTCGAGTGATCGATTGGGAGACAGAGGAGGAGAGGGGGAAGGAGGGGTGATTTGATGTTTGCCGCATACCTATTTCCGGGAGATTGATTAAGTCCGATGTTGTGAATGTGCCGCTTGGATCTAAGGACCTTTAGGGATCCTCGAAACCCTGGCCAATCAATGACCATAGTCAAAGCTCAATGCAATTCAAGCACTGTCGACGTTCTCTCCGTGGTCGAGAAGGGGTCACCAAGCCCCACAAGTACGCAATCATGATGTCGAGCTCTGGTGCAGGACCCTTGGGGTGAGGGCGCAAGTGAGGGTCAGATTAGTTGACGGACTGCTAACAGAAGTACTTCAGCTTGTCTACCCATCAAGCCCATCGGATTTAGGTAGTGGGATAGCCCTTCCGGGTTCCAGGGCAAGGATGTGACAAGGATATTGATTGTTAAGATCGAGGTAGCTCCTGATGAACTTCCGTCAATATTCAGACGCCCGCTTGGGGTGGTACCGGCTGTTATGTACGAGAAACATGGGATTCGCTCACAAACGCTTGTTCTGATATTGTCCATGCTGCGATCTAAACAAAGGCTCCGCTAAGTAATACTGGTACAATCTTGATATCCAAAAAAGAATTGCTTGTTCTCATGTCATATCGGTCATGCATATGTGAATCAAATGCTCGGCTGTCCTCCTGTCTTCCTGTTTCCGCCATGCTGCTCTTGGAAATGGAAATTTTGTTATGCAATCCTTGCCATATTGAAGTGGAAAAAGAGGATAAACAGCTCATGCAATGTAAACCGGCAAGCGGCTGCCCCACTGCTCGCTCTTGGCCAGCTGGATGTCGTTCTTGTGGAAGTCGTGCAGCAGCAGCCAGCAGAGCATGCGAAAGACCAGGGTGCACCAAATCTCCGTGATCTCATCCTCGCTGGCGCTGATGATGTTGGAGTTGCTCATTCCCAGCTCCTCACGGGTCGACAGCGACGACGACGAGGAAGAGGACGGGCTCCCCTGATTACCACCCTCGACCTGGAGGACAGGCAGGCCTGGGGTGGGCGTCGGGGTTCGCGACGGGATATTCACCGTCGCTCCGGCCTTGGGCTTGGCCGGCGCACGACCCTCGTGGGGTGCCAAAAAGGTTCGAGCCGCGTGCCTCAGGGTCCTGGTGCATCTCTTCCTCACTGTGGGCAGCACCGACGAAAAGTACAAGTCCATGAACTTTTCCTGCTTCTGCTCCGGAGATGCTGCGTTGAGGTCCTCAAAGGAAGGCACCTCGTGCTTGCTCGTCGCGACCGATCGAACATCGTCCAGTCCGGGGGTGTCGGGAGCCTCTTCCTCGTTGACCATGTGGAGGACCAACTGGAAGTGCTCCCGCACCACAACCTCGATGATCTTTAGATTGTTCTTCTCTTCGTCTGGAGTCCGAGTCAGGAATTCGTCGCAAAAGTCTATGGCGTCGTCGAGCGCACAGAACAGCTTGAGATCAAAGCCGTTGTCGCCCCTCTGCTTCCTGGTACTCCTGAAGGTCTCGACGACAACCTCTGCCTGCTTTTTCAGCTTCTCAATGTGGGCTGTCGGGTGAGGTATCAGATCGTTGTCGTCGATATTAGCCTTGTATGCTGTCAAAAGCCTCCGCAGACTGAAGAACTTCTTGTCCCAGTGGTAGAAGGTCGGGTTGGGTAGCATCCTGAAGAAAGTATTCCTAATGTGCAACTTGCGGCCAAGCATTCCGGTGATCTCGAAAGCCACTTCAAGGTGCAGTCAGTACTGGGTCACAACGCGGCCGAGAACCGGTGGAACTTACAAGGAAACAAATGCCCATGCTTCTTGCTGTTGTCTCTCAGATACTTGGCAGAGTTGGTGTTGCACCCCAATGACACGAGAGTTTCTGCGAATTCGTTGGCGCTTCCAAGCTGCAAGATGGCCATGTCTTGCGGCTCCTCGGTAGGGAACTCCAGCCGTCGGTTGTCCGTGTCGTCATGCTTGCGGAACAGCGTTGATACAATGCCAAATGAAAGTTCCTTAACCTCATCTGATGGTATGATTCTGGATGCCTGAAACTTACTCTTACCACACACCTGAAAAGTGAACATGATGCCAAGATCACTCACGTCGTGACCACTGAGGATGTATCCGTTGCCCTCGGCACGGTAGATGTCTCTGATCCGGTCAAAGATCTTCCAGTGCAGACCCATCATGGCCGCTATCTCGATGATGTGGCACATGGTCGTCGTGGCATATGGCTTCTTGACGCTGTCTGGCATGGTGTCCCAGCTCTTCCTCTTGATCTGGAGAGCGACGGCCAGCTTGCGGTCTTCGAAGCCGGGGGGGGTTACAATAGCTCCACGAGGTGGACCATTGTCATCAAACTGCTCCTGCTGCCAGTCTGAACTTTGGCTCTCCATGTTCTGGAGGTGCGACAATAGCGTGACCCAGGTTGCGCGCTCGTTGTCGGCGGTGTGAATGCCCTCCCGCATGCTCTGCCTCTCCTTGTGTCCAGTACGCATAGTCTGGAAGGTTGTCCTCTGCCGGAGCCCGCTCGGACTCCATTTTGATATTCCATTGGCAGTGGGCTTGATATTCTGGATATTGTCCTTGTCACCATTGAGAGGCTCGGTCTTGGTCTCCTTGAGGCTTTCAGGCGTGCCCTTGATGAATATGTTGGCTTGGTTGGCTATGGGGCCCTTGTCCTTGTTCCGGGCCGAGGTGACGAATATGACGGGAGTGTCGAACTGGACTTCGAACCGCAGTTCATGCATGCGGAACTTGCGAACAACGCCTTCTGACCATTGACCGATCACTTTGCGGTCGCAGTTGCTAAAGCCGGTGGCAGAGGCGAAGTACTGCTGCAGGACCTGGAGAATGGTTCCAAGCAGAGCGATGACCGAGACGACCAGAGCGACAATGGCGACAATGATCTCTTCTGACTGCCCACCATTGCCATTGCTGTTGTTCGCAGCCGTTGGGTCGCCCGTGCTATTGGAGGCCATGATGATCCCAGCTGCTCAGAAATGCCGTGCCTGGCTGCTCGCCTGCAAGAGCTCGCAATGTAGGTATACAGATCGCAGGAGCAGGTTCGCGTGTGCCCCAGCTTCGAGCTCTTGGGCAGTAAGGGGGCTCAGGCGTCGAGAATGAGGGAGCTGGTGCTATTGGCCGTGATCGAGGAGGGCGTTCAATGGTCGGTAAAAATCAGAAAGCCGCTGTCCCACGTCACTCAAACTCGCTGGCAGAAGAAAAAGAAAAGGCAAACTGGCTACCAATCATTCCCACACTACAACGAGCCATTGAAAGGACAAAAGAAGGGAAGGAAAAGGCAGAGCGAACGAGAGAGCAGGACGGGCGGTTGGTTGCTACATGTTCACGACGAGCGACGGCCTCAGCCGCAAGACAAATTGGGGGCCAAGGCGCAGCTCCTGCATCAATAGCTTCAATCGCTAGCTCTCACTCTGGCAGGGGAAGAATTGTGGAGGAGATCAGGGATCAGCGGCCAGAAGCTTGTCGGATTCAGGTTAAAACAAATCATGGATGGCGATGGAGATCCACCCCCTCAGTGCTACCTCCCTCCTGGACCATTAAAATGGTAGATATCGTATCGACATGGGATGGAAAACTCAGGCCATCCAATGATGACATTCAGTCAGCTGGAGGTGCCGGTCGGTCTAGGCCGCTGCCGCTGGGAGGCGGACTGTAGGGCCGCCTGTGGCTCGTCCCGTCCACTGAAATGCTGTGACAACTGGGTGCCCGTGTGTCAGCCCTGGAGGCTATGAAACTTTAAATCAAGGCCCCGTCTGCAAGTCAGCACGCCGTCTTGATACTTGTACGAAGGAAGCGCACAATGCACCACGGGCGGCTACGAGCTGTTTCTCATCAGTCTGCTTGCGCCGATGCATGGGAGTACTGCAGGTCGTTGAGACAGCCTCGTTCTCTCCAATCTCACCCTCCAATGTCCAAGCGCGCGTAAGCCGCACCCCCAACACACAGACCTCGGTACTGATCCTGAAACCTAGAGCCTGGAACCAACAAAAGAAAATGTAAACTCTCCAAACATGTATCACATCTGTGCTTCGTTGAAGCTCCTGACACCCTTTTCAATGTAGGTGGTGTTTGTATCACTAGGGGACTGCCTGCAACGCAGGCTTTAGGGAATGGGGTTGTAGTAGCCCTCACTGCTCGCAGGGCTCGCGTTCGTAAAATGGGACCCGTTCCGCCCTCGTTCCTCTCGGGCTCCAGGGTCTCCGCCTCAGAGGCCCTTCGCTGCGCTCAGAGCCTTCTTCGGCATACTGGGTTGTGCACTAACAGCCATGTACCTTGCAATGTTAGTGTACAGGGTTCTTTTGGTGCTTAGCGAGAGGATTCTAAACAGGCTGTTAAGGAAATGGCCCCTGCGCCTGCAGATTTATGTGGGAGAGCGCTAGCAAAACAACCGGGAAAAAGAGCGTAATTTAAAGTCGTTTTCTGGTTATTATAAGAAGTGAACTTAGTAAGGGATGATTGGTTCTGAAGAAACAAAACAATCTTGGGTTGACATGGTATTCACGAACTGTGTTCTGGCGGCATCAAAGTCCCTGCTCCATATGGTACGGCTTCATATGATATGGGCTATAGCGCTGCATATTTGGGGATCGGGTTGCTTCCCAGACCAAGATACTGATCACACCGCGATCATGAAGGCTTGCCAGCTTCTGCCGAAGCTCCTGCAAGTTGGCTCTGGAGCCCCCTCTTGCCAACGCGCATGGCTTCCTCGAGCTCGCGCTCCTCCTCGCGCAGCGCGGCCTTGCCCATCTCGAGTCGCCTCTGCTGCCGTCTCTTCTCCTCCGCCACCGCCCTGTCTCTTTCCCGTAGTGCGTTCTCCCGCTTCTCGCGTGCCTCTTGCGCCTTTTGTGCCGCCTCGTCCTTGACTGCAGCTTGTAGGTCCTCGGGCGGCGGAGCCAAGGTCTGGACATACGCCTCGAGCAGAGGGTCCCTGGTCTTGGGGTCCAGTGATATGAAGCGTATGTCGGTTGTGAGTTCTGGTGGCAGGTTGTCTAGATGCGTGCCGTTGTTCAGCTTGGACACCGGCAGGGACTTCAACAGCGCTGTGAGGTCTGCTTTGAGAGTCGACTGCGGTAGCTTAAGCCGGTTGATGTGCTCCCGGTACCACTTCTCCCGGTCCTTGTCCGACAGGGCTGGGTCCTTCATCGGTGCTTCTTTTTTGTATTTCCTCCTGAACTCGGGCCAGTAGAGCTTCGGGGTGGCCTTCTCCTGCAGGAAAGCCATGTACGGGATGCGCGGGTTCTTCTTCTCCTGCTTGGCTCTCTGCTCCTTGAGCTGCTTGATCTTGTCTCTAGACCACTCTTCCCAGACCTCTTTGCGGGCCTTCATGGTCGTCAAGGCTGTATACCGCGGGTCGTCAAAGACCTTGCCTTCTTCGATCAGCTTGTCCCATGGGCTGTAGGGGCTGATCTTGAAGTCATTGAGCAGGTCTTTAAAGAGATCTCTTGCGTCTTCGTCGGAGATCTGTGGCTCCTCCCAGGCTTCATCCTCTTCGTAGCCTTGATCTGCGTCCATAGCATAGTCTTCGCCCATCGCTTGCAGCTGGAAGGCAATATCCGCCTCGCTGAATTCCACCGGCTGGTCTTCCTCCGTAGGTTCCTCTGTCCTCTGGCGCTTTTGCGCATGGCCCTCTTCCTCCCCTCCTTCCTCTCCTTCATCGTCCGTGACTTCGACCTCCTCGTACTCAGAACTGTCGTAATCTGGACCACCCTCTGCTTCTTCGTCCTCCTGGCTGGCTACATCGTCGGCAGCCTGCCCCTCTTTCTTTGCGTCTGCCGGTTTGCCGCCTTCTGCCTTTTCGCGTATGCGTGCCTGGTCCAGCTCGAGGATCCCAGCCTTCAGCTTGTCGGGAATGCGCCAGAAACTCGCGTTCTTGGCAGGGTTGTAGGCGAACCGTCGCCCATACTTGGTGTACACCAGTATCCACGGCTCGCACCCCGGTATCTCGGCTTTCGAGACGGGTTTGTCTGTGGGCTGCGGGCGTGGCCGCCCGTCGTGGCCGCCCCTGCCTCCTCCTCGCGCACCACCCCGGCCTCCTCGGTGGCTTTGGAACTGCTGCGGGTTGTATTGCGCCATGAAGGCGTTCGCAACGCGTGGGTCCGACAGGTTGACTTGAGGAGTAGGTGGCGCGGCAGGACCGAATCCCGCGACTGGAGCCTCCGGTGCGGCGCCGGGCCGCTTGTATGTCGACTCTTTCGTCTCGGCATTGTAGTAATAGGTATGACCTGACGGCGCCTTGTGCTCTGTCCAGCCTGGCGGGAGCGGCGATGGATTCGCCACAGCCGGCGAGGGCTTGTATGTTGACTTCAGCATGGCGACAAAGCTGGCCCAGAGGTTGGGTTGCGCTTGGACTGTCAGCGGCTGTAGATGATGTGGTCCAACTATGCTTTTTTTTTTCCCCTCGCGATGTCGATATTCGGATCCAGAAAGATTGGATCTATGGATGAAGCTATCAGTGCTGAAAGCTTATGATTGGGCGGTTTGTTTAGTGGTCCAGGAGGCCGATTACGCCCATTGTGACGCGCTAAATTTAGCCTAGAGGCCAGCCAGGTTGTTCTCCCAGCCCGGGGTCAATGGGTTGGTTGCTAAGCTCAAGGCGTCCAGCTGCCCTTTTGCAGCTCATTGCTCACAAACCGAGCAGCACGCGACCACGTAATCGAGGCATATCGGCAATGTTCTGGAGCATATTCAAGAACATTCGAAGGCGGTGACTACTCATGATGTCGTCGAATCGGTCGTCAGGACCAGAGGTCCCTGGGTTCCTCGCGCCTCTTGCACGATTCTGGACGGTATGTCGACTCCTCTGGCCGATGTAGGCGTGAGCCTCGTGAGAACATGCAAATAGACTAAGAAGACTTGTAGGGAACGTATGCGCCCGACTATGTTGGCTTCGCCTTTCTCTTGACGATATACCTCCTGGTAAGCTACTTGCTGTCTACGTACCAAGGTCGCGTGAGCTGTGGTGCTAAACGGTGGTGCTCCCCGGAACCCCAGATCCAGTTCTTCGTCGAGCCGTTCCACCGCATGTTCTCGATCGACAACCTCAACATCTCCTTCCCGCATGCGGAAGTTGAGCGCGTGCCAGTGGGTGAGTATCTGCAGTAATGCCACGTCCCTATCGTCAAATCTGCACCCGGCTAACCCGGGCCCTTCCGCAAGCTATGAACTTCGTCTACGCACTCTTCATCCCGCTGGGCCTCATCCTGCTCTACAACCTCATCGCCCGCTCTCCCGCGCACGCGCACCACGTGTCGATCCTCGGCCTCGCCATCGCCCTCGTCCTGACCTCGACCCTGACCGACATCGTCAAGAACGCCGTTGGCCGGCCCCGCCCGGACCTCGTCGCGCGCTGCAAGCCCACGGCCGGCACCCCGGAGCACAAGCTCGTCACCTTCGAGGTCTGCACCGAGACGGACCACCACACGCTGCACGACGGCTGGCGCTCCTTCCCCTCGGGCCACTCGAGCTTCTCCTTCGCCGGGCTCGGTTACTTCAGCCTCTTCCTCGCGGGCCAGTGCAAGGTCTTTGTCCTCCGGAGCAGCGGCGGGGGAGCGGCCGGCGGCGACGCTAGCGGCAACCTCGAGCGCGTGGTGCACGCGCGAGGTGACCTCGGCCGCGCCATCCTCTGCCTGTCGCCGCTCGTCGGGGCGGCCATGATCGCCATCAGCCGGTGCCAGGACTACCGACACGATGTGTACGACGTGTGCACGGGTGCGCTGCTGGGGTGGGTCGTGGCATACTGGAGCTACAGGCGGTACTGGCCTCGCCTGAGCAGTCGCCACTGCGACGAGCCGTACCCGGGTCCCGAGCCCATCGCCATTAGCAGGTACGGCAGGCTTCGGGACGAAGAGGAGGGGGCGCAGAATGTAGGCTACGAACTCGACGAGCTTGGTGGGAGGTGACTTTGCGCTGACATGACTGTAGGTGGACACCGACCTACCATCGTACACACACTGATGAGCATATGATGATGGAAACGGGTATATGATCTGTGTCATATGGAAGCACAAGTGGGCAGTTTTGGACATGGTGGGCACAAGATGTCCTCGTTTAGCAACAATTGTTCTTTTTGGCATATTAGCACATGGCGTTTGCCTATATTGGTACAGTTGGTGTCCAACAAACACCGAAGTCATCAGCTGTATCATCTAGCCGTTTCTGTTCTCCCTCTAGTGCTCTCAAGCCCTCTATTTCTCCTCTGTGTTCTCGTCCTTGGCGAGGTCATGCTCCTTCAGCAACGCCGTGATCTCGTCTGCGCTCCAGAGTCGGTGGTAGATCTTGCCCTCCTTCGTCTGTCCAACGGTCGCAAACTCGACTAGAAAGCAAAGTTAGTAACCGTGCATGTGATTTGTTCGTTTCGCCTCATGGCTCAGGTGTACGTACTCTTCTCGCTGCTGAGCTTGGTGGAATCCATCGTCTTGCTGAGAACCTTGACAGCCATGCCACACGCCTCCTGCAGAGTGCAATCCTCCTTGTAATCTTGCTTCAGCAGACTCTGCGCGCTGGCATTGTTCGCGCCGGCACTCGTCGCCTTCCAGCCGCCGTAGTTGCCTGAGGGGTTGCTGAGGTACAGCTGGAACTGCCGCTGGGGGTCCCAGCCGGCGTAGATGAAGGAGACACCGAACGGCCGCAGACCACCATGCTGGGTGTAGCCTTGTTTGAGATCGCATAGCCGTCGGACGAGCTGCTCGCAGGGGATGTCTTCATTGTACGTGAGGAGGTATCGCTGGGCGGCTTGTCGGGCGTAGTTGATGAGGATATTGGCGTCTGCGGTCATGCCTGCGACGGCGCAGATCATGTTGCTGTGTAGGCCATGTCAGTTTTGCGCGCTTCAGAAGATTCAAGCATCTCAATGGTTTCTCACTCGTTCAGGATGTAAAGCTTCTCCGCGGATGTGTCTTGCTCGAGGAGCTTGGAGGTAACCTTGCGCTCGGCGGCGAGGACGATGCCATCCTTGGCGAGAATACCGATGGCCGTGCCAGCATGGGAGATGGCTTCTAGAGCATATTCGACCTGGTAGAGACGTCCCTCTGGGGAGAAGATTGTAGTCTAGCAATGATGTGAGCTTGATGTTTCGGTGATGTACACGGTTGCAGGTTGGGAGCTTACTCTGGAATCGTAGCGACGAGACATGCTGCCGATCCGGGGTGGTTGATGTGCAGGACTCTTGGAAGCACCCTTGAGGAGCGATTCGACACTGGATTCGCTTTTGGGAGAAGGAGGGGATGGAGTGGTGGTGCTTAGAGGACTGGCAGAAAGAAGGCTGAGATCTTGTTCACAAGGCGGCCAGCGGTGATGGAGCTCCAGGCAAGCGCAGCAACGCGTAGCTCCAAGAGCAGGTACCAGACCTCAGTACTCTGGATTACATAAGGAAAGCCCAGGCCACCTGAAAGGGACCTCAGGTTTTGGTGGCCTTAGATTTCGGGTGACAAAACCGGGCCTCCCAGGATGAATTTTGATTGGACGTACAAGAGATGACTAGATCCACCTTACGTAACTTGGCAAGCTTGCCCTTCAAATTGCCTCCGCTTTCCTGCCAAAACTCGCCCGGCACATCCTCCCTCCCTCCTCCCACATTCCCTTTCCACCATCGCATCACGACACGGCTTGACTCACCAGCCGATTAATTTTACCCCTTCTCTCGTCGACGCTCGTCCCAGCGTCACAATCCAGCCTGCGCCGAAGCAACGCAACTCCAGTCTCTGCGATCATCTCCTTACACAGCAGGGCACGCGAGCTAGCGAAGCTTTGACCACCCAGGGAACTTTCGCGGCGGCGCGCGTCGCATCCTCATCTTCCCGTTTGCGCCCCAAGTGACCACAATCTCACCACCCAGTTGATTGGGAGGATACTAGACTTCTGTGAAGGGAAGGGCTTCGGGGCAATCATTCCAACTGCTCAATAGCTTCGTGGCCTGTGGTCTTGTGTTGATGCTTCCCTCGGCTCTCTTGAAGTCGAACACTGGATTTCCAATCACTTTGATCTGTCTTTCTTGATTCGTAAATTGCCCATGCTCGTATAATACCACCAAGTCTTGCAAGCAAGAGAAGAGCTCAAGAGCGCCAAACATCCCCCGCCGACAGGCTCAACAGTAGACCTCCCTCAACCCGAGCTGTCCACCTTGGTAGAAAGACCCATAGGCCGGTGGCCCATTAGACGACACCACGATCCAACAAAACCTACAAGATGTCTGGTAAGTTACCCTCAGCAAAGCTGTCGCGCGCTGTGCGCGTCTGCACCCCCTCACTCGCCCTTTGATTCGGAGTGCTTCTCGCCCCGGCAAGACACTTCAGGAAAAAGCAAGGACTGACAGCGATGGCGCGAACAGACCCAGAACCTCGTCGATCCGTGCGCAGCACCAAGGGCCAGCACAAAGCTCTCGATCAGCTCGAACAATCGCTCGAACCGAAACGACGCGGAAAGAAGGGGAAGAAGTCCGAGGAAAAGCAGGAAGAACCGGAAGAAGAGGTCATCCGCTGCGTCTGCGGTGCCACCGAACAAGATGAAGACTCCGGCGAACCGTGGATCGCATGCGATACCTGCGGCGCATGGCAGCATAACGTTTGCATGGGCATGAGCCAGTACACCGAAGATTTACCTAAGGAGTATTTCTGCGAGATCTGCAAGCCCGAGGACCACAAGGAGCTGCTCGAGGGCATGGCCAAGGGCGAAAAGCCTTGGGAGGCCCGACGCAAAGCATATGAAGAAGAGGAAGCGCGCGGGAAAAAGAAGAAGGGGGGCAGGAAGGCCAAGGGCAAGCGGCATAGCGACCAAAAGGAGGACACTCCTCAGGCGACCCAGAAGCCCAAGAAGACACCCCCGCCAGAGATCAAAAAGGAGACCAAGTCTGCTGCTGGTGCCAAGCGCAAATCCAGAGGTCCTTCCGAGGATGTAGATGTGAAGGTACGTGGTTCCCAGACCAACCTGGGTAGAATCTCACAAATGCTGACCTGTGACCAGCAGGGATCTCAGAAACTACGCAAGGTCTCCGAGAATGCAGCAGTTCCAGTGCCAGTCGCGTACGACCCTCCAAGCGATCTCCCGGACAGGATCGCCGAGCTGCCAGACACACGTCAAGGTCCTGCAAAGCTGATCTTGAAGTCCATGGTGCACGCGGTCGGCATTGCAGAAAAGAAATCGAGCCTTGTTCCAGACGATGGGGTCTCGGTCGAGGCAAGGGCGGAACGGTTCACACTCCAGATTGAGCGGGCTGTCAGCGATTCGCACCCCAATCACAAGGAGTATGCAGCTCAAATTCGGAGCCTGGCCTTCAATCTCAAACAGAACCAGGACTTGTGCAACCGGCTACTGTCCAAGACGCTTACTCCCCCGATGCTCGCTGTGATGACAAGCGATGATCTTGCCTCCAAAGAGCTACAGCGAGAGACTGCGGAGATGCGAGCCCGGGCTGAGAAGCAAAGCATCCTCATCACGGAAGACGGCCCGCCGCGTGTGCGACGGACGCACAAGGGCGAGGAGTTGGTCGAGACAGATGACACAGTTGCGACAACGGAGGAGAGGCCCGCTCTCTCACGGCGTCAGACAGCAGCAGCCAAGGCTCGCGAGAAAGAGGCCTCCTCAGCAGCGGCCGAGGCACCAGGTGCACCAAGTCAGGCAAAGGCGTCACCAAAAGAAGGTCTTCACATCGATACGCAAGGGTCGCCGAAGCATGAGTTCGACATCAACAAAGTCTTCTCCAGCGTGCGATCCCCGAGCACAACCCAGCCGCGACGCCCATCGCAACCCGTGCCACCATCGGCAGGCCCCGGAGATGACCCCGACGTTGACCGCCTACTGGAGGACGATCGGGAGGAATCTCCTCCTTATTCACCGACCGAAGAGTCGGACCCTGACGTGATCTGGAGAGGGAACCTGGTGATGAATTCGGTCGCCAACTTCCAGGCCACAGCCAAACACGTTGGTGGTGTCAACTTGAACAAGTCGATCGGTCTGCCGTGGACGACGCTCATCCCCAAAAGACTGCTTGTCGCAGGCCGCATTGACGAACAGAAGGCCACGGAGTATCTCTGCAGCTTGCGGTATAGCACGCCAACAGATGTGGTCGTGGTAGCCGTGTCTCCCTCAAACGAGGCGGCCAAAGCCGACTTCTACAACTTGATCGACTACTTCGTCTCCAAGAAGCGCTACGGTGTCGTCGGCGATAAGGGCGTTGGCAATGTCAGAGATACATATCTTGTTCCAGTTCTTCCAGGCCATGGAAACCACCCCGAGTTCATGATGAACCTGGAGGATAACTTCCTGCCCCAAGTCCGCAGCGAGCCCACTCTACTGGTGGTATTCGTCTACCGAAATGACCCAGCAGTCATGGAAAAGCTTCACGGCCCGAACTGGGCTGGCCAGCCGCAAGCCTCACAGTCTCCGGCTGCTAACACGCCTACGCCTGTCCCTGTCCCAGCCGGGTATGCCCAGCGCAACCCTTCAATTTCGGCGCCTGCCTTTTCACCGGCCTCACCTCAGGGCGCGTTTCCCCCGCCTCAGCAGGCTACGCCGACACCTATCCAGACCCAAACCCCTATCCAGCCCGCACCAGTTGCTCGCCCACCGCCGCCGCCACCACCAGCTGCTGGCGCCACTGCTGCTACGGCGGCCCCACCGGCAGCGGTGCGTCATCCCAGCCAGGCGGCGGAAGCAGCTCGCGAGGCAGCGCAGAGAGAAGGCGAGGCGACGGCTAGGAACATACTCGGCCCTTTCTTCAACTGCCCCACGGCGGGCTTCCTGATGGCTCAGGCTCATAACATGCAGCCGAACCAGTGGAATTTGATCAGGGACATCTACGAGAGAGAGCCGCGAGCACGCGAGGATCTACAGTACTTCAGCTCGCAGATAGAAAAGGCGGGCCAGCACCGTGCGCAAGCGGCCGCTCAGCAACAGCAGCTTCAACAACAACACGCAGCGGCTCAAGCCAAGGCACAACAGCCTCACCCACCAGCCTCTGCGGCTACACAGCATCCTCCGGCGCCTCCCCCGCAGCCGCAGGCTCAGGCCCAGAACAAGGCGCCCGCTCCACAGAGCCACCCACCTCCTGCGCCACCCAAGATCTCGCAGACGCCGGTGCCCATTCCTCAAATCCCGCCTATGGCTCGGCATCCGCCGCAGCACAGTGGTGCGGCGCCCAAGTCGTAGACGTGTGGTCTTTTCATGTTCTTTTGGGCTTCGTGACCTTCTTGCTTCAGTGAATTGTTATCAAGATTTCTTTTGCTATTGCTTTTCAGGGGATACCCTTCACAGCACTTATTTAACTTCTGGTGTTTCGGCAGGGACGGCATGACTGCAGTCCAAGGCGAGGCCCGGAGCATTTGAGGAGAGACGCAGCTTTTCTGTTCATGGTTTCGGTTCATTGGCGTTTCTTGGAGGGGAAAGAGGAAAAGGAAGATCCCGGCGAAGAGGCAATCTCACTCGAGAGAACTTGGTACTTGGTACTCAGAGTGGTCTCGAATGCTTGGGCAAGTTAGTGTTTCTATTCTGAGGTTATGTGGATAGCTAGAGTTCTATTGTTAATGATGTTTATACTTTGACAACCGTACTCTCCTGAACTGTGAAAACGTGTTGTGTATTCTCCCCACATACATGATCGATATAACCAAGACACTGGTTCTTAAATCCAGCATAGCCAGTATACAATTGACTAAAGTTCTCATTATTTTGTCTAGTTATCAAGACATGATTTTCTTACAAGTTCAAGATTTGCTATCCGAACAATATTCAATCGTCTCCCTCCAAAGTTCCAAAGTCTCTTCCTCGCATCTCCCTTGCTGCTGAAATGGAAGGTCACCACTCTGGAAGCACCATTTCTCTCCCGAGTCTTCACATGCTAAGTAGTCGACGGTTTCAGATTTGAAATGCACAAGGAAGGACATTTAGGAGAGAGGGGGTCCAGCAACCCAGACATTGTAAATACCAGTCGGAACTTTCCACATCCAGTAGCTCATGAGAGCATTGTTTAATTACTAGAACCCGGTCCGTGGCTTGTTATCATCTTATTCGTCGTGTGGCGGCCTGGACTTCAGCCCTGACCCCTGGCAGGTTGGGCTGGCTTTTAACGGCTTGGCAAGCCTCCATACTTGAGTTGAGCACCGCTGGAATGCCAGAGCTACAGCCACACCTATCAGCTGAGTCTGATCTGGTTGACAAACAGCTTGGTCTTCCAGTGATTAAGTTTGAGAGCGTCCCCTCGGGAGTGCCAAGCTTATGCTAAAGCAATAGCTGGATATGCCATCGTTCTAGACCGACTAGGCTAGCTAGACTGGCATCGAATAAAGCCACAGGACCAGGCGACGGATGCACTACACCTCATCAAGGTAAATGACACACCTTTCTCGCTTATGATTCACAGCAGAATGGCTCTTGGCAACCTGTTTGATATAATTTTCAGCTTTCAAGAGGGTTGCCTCGTTGGAAAGAAAACGGGGGGGGGGGGGTTCACCACAGCGCCGTTTGCCACCAAGTTAATATAAAATGGCGGACCGTCTCTTTTCTTCCACATAGCTCGTTATGTTGCTTACAGACGGACCACCCCCTATTGACCGTGTATGTTAGTACACCGGAATACATGCAACAAGATGCAGTTACCGCTTCTTATCCTTGCCCCTTCTCTGGTGGCTGCCGCCGTCCCTGCCATCTTTGCCCGAGGCTGCGGTGACAACTGTGCCCGAGGTCAGCTTCCTTACGTATCGATTCGTGATGTGATGTGTGGTCAACTGACATGGCTCTATACTAGCCGTCATTGCATCGGCATACACTACCCGCAGCGGTGCCGCTGACTGCTTCTCGTTTCTGAAGACGACCGTGACCCCGGCAACTTCGTATGTGCTTCCGTTTCAAGTCCAACCTCATAAGCAGCCGCTTTAAGCTAACATAATGTCAAGGATCATCGTAGAGACAGTCACTCTGAGCTTCACAGTTCAGGCCACGGAAAGCGTCACCTCGACGACGCTGACCACGACCACCGTGGTTGAGACCAGCTTCGAAACCGTCCGCGAGGTGCGAGATATTTCTCTTCCTGTTCCACACTATGCCATCTTGCGCACCGTATAAATCCTGACTTCCTTCTTCTACTCAAGACAACCACCGTCTCGACCACCAAGGCCGAGCCCGTCCCGATCAACAAGCGCCAGCAGACGTCGCAGCCCTCGAACATCCCGGCGTACGCCTCCGCCTGCAGCGGAGCCGCGCGGTACTCGACCGCCTGCGCGTGTGTCGGCGTTTTCCCGACGACCATCACGGCGCCCACGCCGCGGAGCACCCAGACCGTCTACGTCTCCGTGTCGTCGACCGTCACGGAGACACTCACGGCGAGCACCGAGATCGACGTCCTGACCGCCACGAACACTGTCCAAGCGACGGCCACGCTCAAGTATGGGGCCCCCCTTCCTCTACAGACACCGCGACTTGCTCGGAAATCGTTTGTATCTTGAATACTGACTTGTTTCAACCTACCTCCCGCAGTGAAACCGCCACCGCCACCGCCACGGTCCACGAGACGCGCGTCCGGCTCCGTGCCCAGACCGGACCCCACGCGGGCAAGTATGTCATGCAGCAAGTCTACTACGACACCCCCGAGAACTACCATAGCGTCGCTATCCTCATGACCGTACCCGAGGCCGAGGCGACGTGGTTCGTCTGGGACGGCCAGCACCTGTACATCGACACCCCGACCGCCGGGCGGCTCCCGGTCAAGGTCTTCAACCAGCAGGGCGGTCCCGTCTCGGGCCTGGTGATGTCCAGCCAGAAGTATCTAGACGATCTTGCTTTCATCCTCCCGTCGACGATCCTGCCCTGCGACATCAGCAATCACCGCCTCCACTGCTGGATTCCCCTGTACCCGACGTCAGACAGGTTCTTCCAGCACATCCCGAACGGCGACCTGGTCCTTGTGTCTCGGCCCGACGCAGACAATCAGCCGCAGTGGGCGGTGGACGAGATACTGGTCATCGAGGAGTCGACCACCACCTGATAGGGTTGTGAAGGCATCTTTGCAATCCGGTGAAGAATAAGAAGGTCACAAGTTCAAGCATTGCTCCCAGTTGGAGCTCCCGCAGCTTCTTTTTTGGACTTTCTCGGGTAGTCCTGGTAGCTTGGATCAGATGGGATCAACTTATTGATCGTGCAAGTTGGAGATTATGTCCACTTCATCATAAAGCGTTCTCTATGCAAACAATTTATTCTTGAAATCTGAGAAGGATGGATGATGGGATGTAAAAAAGCAAGAGGCAGTCAAAGGGAGCCCTCCGCTGAACTTTCAACCTTGTCAGTTGTTGTCCCCGCTGAATTCCCCCGCTGAGCTCGGCAGTTACAGCGGCCCGCCCCCCGCACCGCACGCTAGAGAGCGAAACTTGGGCCTCCACAGACCCACTGACATCATCTGCCTTAAAGCATGCTTCAGGGGCTGCCGTCGTCTTCATTCCATCCATCCATCTACCTATTCATCAATCCGTCCTGTCTCCTCTCGCAATTGCGCCGCTCTCAATCAATTCAAAGAACCAGCCTCGGGGTCCATAGGATCACTCAATCCGATCAGAACATACCGAGAAGACACACCTGCCCCCGCCTCCACACGAAGCAAATCTCCACACAAAATGGCCTGCTCGTCCTCGCGATCCTCCTTTGTCAACCAGAACGGCCCCGGCAGCGCGGCGGCCAGCACCATCGAGAGCATCATCAAGCCGGCCGAGGCGACGGGCGGCAAGACTAAGTGCATCGAGTGCGACGGCTATGAGTGCTGCTGCATCCCCATCCCCTGCACCGTGATGTGAGGCAGGACGGGGTGCCCGACCGATATCATGTGGACAGACGGACTCGGCGCAGCTACTTCTTTCGCTGGCAGGGCTATACCATGATATGATGATATTCATGACTTTTTACTGGAGTGCGATGGAGAAGAAGGATGGATGGCAGAGTACATTCTCAAATCCCGACTATGTCTTTTGCCGTTGACGCGCTGGCACGGAATCAACGGCTGTCAATAAGGAGCAATTGATAATTGTTATTCTTTCTCTCTTTAATGATGTCTCCCCGCTGCCATCTACTCGATGAGCTGTGTGCGCTGCAAAGCTGACGATTTTTACGGTAGTATTTGACAGATCCTGTGCTTCCTGATCTGCCCGCTTTGCCAGGATTTGGGCAAGACTGATGTCTGAACCACTTGAGTGAATACAATGCCAGAGATATTCCAACCGCTGTCATATTCATGCTCGCAAGGGACGCCATGAGCGCCCTCGAGTTCTGGATGAAGGTAACGAGGCTAACGAGGTTAACGTCCCAAACTGCTGTCCCGGTGGAGATGACTTGGTCGGGGGCTGTTTGCGCATGTCCAATTGTCTCCAAAGCTTTCTAGTTCGAGATCTGATCATTACTGAGCTTCCCCTGCTTGAAACCCGGCGAGAACGCGTATGGTGTGAAGGCCCTCTCGAGCGCGATTTTACCCTGGCAGATGTGGCAACTCGATGGGTTCGGAGGCTCTTGAATCGCGTGACTCAAATGATGCCAGGCCATGTCTCCCATAGGCGCCTTTGAGCTGCTTGATCTAGGATTTGCAGAGCTGATAGGTATCGGGCTCTACTACTGCTGGGGGAAGTACAAGTCTGCTTTGACGATGATGGATCGCCGTTTGCATCGTCATCGGAGTCACACCCGTAATCACTTGGGTGATTTGCGTCCATGCTGCCCCACCTAATGCCAGAAATCGAGTCGTAATCCTCGCCATCCTCGCTATACTCGCCGTCTTCGTCATCGAGCCGCCGGAAGAACTCGCCGGGTCTTGTGAATAAGATATAGCCAGGGGTTGATTTGCATGGAGCATTGTTGAGCCCGAGACCGAGTCTTTCTAGTTGAGCTTCCCGCTCCGCTGCCGTGGGTTTGGGAGGTGGTGAATCTTGCCGTGGACGCGCGCGGTCCTAAGCAAACGCAGCCTCGTCCATGGCGTCCCAAATCTCCGCCTGCCGCTGCTCGATAGCCTGGCGGCGCCGCTCGCCTTCCAGTGGGGTATCCTCAAAGGGTGCGGTAGCACGGCCTGTCGGGTCGGGTGGGACCTCGATGTCGGCGAGGCTTTCGAGGGTGCGACGAGTCCTCTCGGTGGCCTCCCGCACCAACTTGGTATCGTTGCGGACACGGTCAATGCGGCCCTGGAGCATGGCTATCAGTGCCTCTCGGGCCTGGTGTGGTCGCCACTCGTTGATGGTGTGGTGCGTGTTGATAAAGAGGGTGCGGATGTCGTTCAGCTTCGGTTCAGCTTGGCTGACATTGGTGGCCATGATGTCTGTGAGTTCGAAGAAGTTGAGCAGCAGCGACTTGGCCATGCGCTTGAGCTGGAGGGCCTTATCATCCTCGGTGCCGTCTTTGGGTGCGAGGTCGGTGATTCCCTGGTCTTCTAGCGAGGGGAGTTCATCTTCAAGCTGCCACGCAATGGCCCGGTTAGTACGGAAGAACTGGCAGCATCCTGGAAAGGACGATAGGCACAAACCTTGTAGAGATCACCAAACACCCTCCACTGTCCATCTGCAGGCGGCGCGGGTGGCTGCAAGTTCACCAACTCCTCGGGAACACCGGGGATCCTGGTGGCTGGGCCGACTGCGTCGCCTTCTGCCTCGGCGTGGGCTTTGCGAAGAGCCTCGACCCGCTCCAGGTTCTCGGGCGTGAAGTCTTTCCAGAAGACGGGCGGGCCGGGAAATGTCGAGGCCAATGAGCCCTGCGCGGGCTGCTCATTTTCCGCCATGGCGACTGTGTGTATGTGTCTTCTGGGAAAGAGAAAGTCGAGGACCGAGAGGGAAGAAAGTGAGCGGGGAGTGAGCAAGGCAGAAGGACAAAGACAAGAGTCAGTCCATGGCGTCGGCCGTCTAGAAATGCGCACTTTTTCAGTCGGACTACCCCAGGCAATCGACCAATGTTTGGGGCCTGGGAAAGAACCTTGAATACAGCGCCGTGGTTGAGACAAGAATGGTCGCCCAATTCAATTGATTGGAACCGCGGCAGCTCTTGGATCTGGTGAAAGGCGGCGGGCGCACGGTACGAGGAAGCAACTTGAAGCTTTGGTGGTTCCGTGGCTGAAGCTGTCGCCTTATCTTAGCTCGCAGTCAAAATCTCCTGTGGCTTGACTCGCCAACTCGACCGCCTTCAGCTTCGCCAAAAAGCTGTCCAGATCGGGGAGCAATCAGCAAACCTCGAAGTGTACGGAATTCCGGGAAACCAATTGACACAAAACCGCACTACAATCCTACCCCATGACCCGATAAGGCCTCGCACGCCGCCCGTTTCCTGCCAGCGTGCGTGGCAAGACTGCTTCGTCTCTTCTTGCGCCCCGCCATTCGAGCCAACGCCGCCATGTCAGACGCCCGCGCCCTCCTCCGCCAGCAGCGCGCCGCCCGCCGCATAGAGCACCCGCACGCCTCCTACACCGACTCGGGCCGCCTGCTATGCACCCTCTGCCGCGAGGCCATCAAGGCCGAGTCCCTCTGGGACGGCCACCTGCGTAGCCCCGCTCACCGCCAGCGAGCCCGTGCCGTGTCCGCCGCCCGCGCTGCTGACTCCGGAGGACCCCAGCAGCAGCAACAGCAGACATCACACAAGAGGAAACAGGACGACCGGGATGCCGAAGATGACAGTAACGAGGACGGCGGCCGCGACCAAGGGAACGGCGTCTCTGCTTCCGCCGCCGGCCCTTCGGACATGGACATTGACGACGGCAGCGCCGTGCCCAAGAAGAGGAGTCGGCCAGACCGCGACCCGAGCCCCGACGAAGCGACGACGGCAACGGGCCCCGGCAGCGTAAGGAGCAGGAAAGAAGGGCTCAGCGACATCGACGCCAGCACCCCCAAGACCACCTCGTCCACGGCCACGACCCAGACGCCGCCCCTGACGCGCCGCGTCTCGGGCACGCCGGCCCACGGCGTCGAGGTCCAGATCCCCTCACGGCCTGCGACGCCCAACACCGCCCGCGACGGCGGCAGCCAGCAGTCGGCCGTGTCGACGCCGCGCATCATGCCCGTCGGCCGCTCGCCCCTGATACCGCAGGAACCCGTTGCCGGCGCCTCCGCCGCCTCCAAACCCGCCGCTTCGACCACCACCGCCGCGGCCGCGCAATCCCAAGCTGAGCTCGACGAGGCAGAATGGGCCGCCTTCGAAGCCGAGGTCGTCAACGCTCCAGCTACCACGACGACGACGACAACTACCACCAACGGCAGCCACGATGCCGCCGTCGTCATATCCGCGGCGCCCATGTCGGCCGCCGAGGTCGCCGCCAAGGCAGAAGAAGAAGACCGCGCCCGCCAGCAGGCCCGCGCCGACGCCGCGCAGATCGCCGACGAGCGCGAGGAGGCGGCGCGTGCTCTCGAGGACGAGTTCGACGAGATGGAGGAGCTCGAGGCCCGCGTCCGCCGCCTCAAGGAGCGCAGGGAAGCCCTGCGGCGCGGCTCGACGGCGTCTGTGCCGCCGCCGGCAGCAGCAGCAATAGGGCCCACAGTGGGAGATACCGCTGATGCGAAACCTGGGGCCATGATGGCTGCCGGCAAGGAGAACCTGGGCGCCGTGCCGGAGAATAGCCAGGCCAAAGGGTCGTCGACGGGCGCAAAAGCAGCGGATAACGACGAAGATGATGACGAAGATGAGGACGAGGACGAGGACGATTGGGCTGGCTTCAGGTTCAGGGCCTAATATAACGCCAGATCCAGGGTGGTATATACAGTATATCTTGTACAATAGCGGAAGGTGGACTCGAACGAGTTCATCACAGGCGGGACATCATCCAGGAGTTCAAAATAATATTCACAAGCGGCTTACAAGTTGCCGCCGATTCTATCTATCATGGCATGTCTCGTATCAAGCAATTGATAGGTATCACAATATGAAAACGCCGGTTAGAAGGACCCCAGCTCAAGAAAATTTGACGATAGCAGATTCGTTCCCAGAACTCCGAAATGCAGCACCAAAATCACGGAACAAATCAACAGACAGCAGAGATCACGCAGCAGCAGCAGCTCCGGTGTTCTGAGGAGCGGTCACTTCACCACGCCCGATCCTCTCCCAGAACCGTCTCAAGCGCCATACTCTACCAACGCCGACTCGTTCCTCCCATCTCTTGACCCCTTCGCTCCTCTCCCTTACCTCGCCTTTCCACACACCTCCAACCCACCTTCGGAGCGAGTCCTTGACTCTCTCTTTCTCAATCGCCCTCTTCTTGGCCACCAAGGCCGGGCTCACATGGCCGATGCCCGGGGCGCACTCCTTGGGCAGCACACACCTCTCGACCAACGATTCCGGAGATGGCCGGGCTGCTAGGCGACGAGAGAGACGGATGGCAGTTAGCGACCGGCCGAGTTTGCGGGAGACGACGGTGTTCTTAGTGAGGAAGATGTGGCGAGCGATCAGATCAGCAAGAGAAGGGCGGGTAGGGTTCGTCAGCAGAGGTGGGAGGATGGCGCGAGCGTGCCGGAGACGCAGGGCATGGAGAATGGGGGCTACAGAGATGTCGCGAAGGTGATGGGACGTCTGAGCGCAGAGATTGTCAGTACATCTTCCTTGATAGACTCACTTTGTCCTTCGCCACTTGTGACGTGTTCGGCTCGAGAAATCAGACAAGCACGCAGGAAGAGATATCGGGTCTCATGGTTGTGTTGCTGTTGCATCTGCAAGCACGAACAGGCGGCATGACATCCCGGAACGAGTCTAACAAGGCGGAAAAGGTCCCTCCCTTCACAAATTCGCAGGAATAGCAGGAGAAGGATGTACTAACCCTCGATGTGGCCAGCAGATCGGGGACTTCGAGATAGCCGAGAATGTGAAAGAGTACCTCGTTCGGCATCTCATCGAGAGAGGAAGGATGACACGTCAGAAGGGCGCCATGATTTGACAGGGCGGACTGCAGCGTCAGGGAAGCAGTGTGATCCGACGAGCGTGGTGAGCTATCAGGGCCATGGCTTTCATCCCTGCTGCGGACAGGGCTGGTCGTGGAAGATTGATCTATCGACGATGATACGACAACACTCCGGCTTGGTTGGGCACCAGCGGCCATTGAAGTCGCCAAAAGTGCACTTTCTTGTGGAATGATATCACATTGACCTTCGGTGACAGGAAAAGGTGCCGGCGGGGACAGGTGGCTGGGAGAAGCGACCAGGACAGGGGACGAGATGTGACTTGATCCCGCGGTAGCCGGCGGCACAGCGAGGGTGGTCTCGTTCCCTGATTGTGCAGGGGACGGAGAAGGGCAGACAGGTGTGCACCGAGGCCTTGAGGCCATATCGCGGTCAGCCAGGTCACGCTGAGCCTTAGACGGCTTGCTGATCTGTGCACCAGGTGCGTGTCTGGTGGCGCCGGCTCGTGTTTGCTTTCGTCTTCGTGCAGGCCGGTACACGCACGCGCTTGCGTCCTTGTGTTGCCAGAGGTACCGGAGCGGTCCAGCACGAGAAAAGAACCTGCTTCAGGCGGTACCTAGAATAGACTGGCGGGCCGGTATCTTGGCGGCCGGATGCCAGGCCGCACAAAAACAGCGAGGAGGCAGGCAGCAAGGTCCTTCCTTACCAGGCCACTTCAAGAGAAGAGGTGGGCAGCCGTGGTAACCTCGCGTCAACGGAGGAGGGGCGCGGTAGCCGCAGTGCGTAGCAACACAGGATCTGCTTGACCCTAGCTTGATGCGTTCGATGTGAATATCCTTGCCAGGCGACCGAGAGGCCGGCGCCAAAAGGCACACCGGCGTCACAAGGGTTCGTGGGTAGAAAGAGGACAGAGGGTGGTTATGGGAGGCGGGGGTATGGGCCCGGATCAGGGTGGCCTCAGCATTTGAACTTGGATGAAAGCAGAATGAATGTCCTCGTTCGTGGCCTTGCGACCAGAGAATCCCTGTTTCAACAGCAGCCTGCCTGGTAGGTTGGCGTCGGCGGTGAGCGAGGCTGAAACAATGGGCGCTCAATTCGGGAGCCGGAGAGAACGGCAGAAGCTTTGATCTGAAGATGGAGAACCGGGCTTCAGCCGTAGGGGAAAGCGCGCGGTTACGGCGAGAGAACTTGGGAGCCGTAGATGATGCGAGGCCAGGGCAGGTCCTCCGGGAGGGGTCCAATGGGCGGAGTTCCGAGGTCGTCAGATGTCGTTATTATCAATCGCAGAGGAGATGCGATTCCCCCGTGTCTGAAGCCAGCAACGCACAATGCAGAAATCGGAGATTGGATGGTTGAAATCAATGCTTAGAGAGCCTGTTTCCTCGTCGAAGCCATGTTTTTACAGTCTTTCCAGAGTCATTTCCATGTTCAATCAAGAAATGGGAGCCTGTGTTTATTCGCTCCTGCCTGTGTCAGTCGTCAGCGCGTGCCTTCCCGAGAGTGGGGCGGCTGCCCGTTTCGGGGTGTGTTGCCTGACTCCTGAGACACGAGTTGCGTCATGCCTGCCCTTCTTCCCAGGAGACTCGAAGGGAAGGAATTACTCGTGCCTGGACGTGCTTGACCTACCTTACTTGTAGAACGTGGGAATCAACTACACGTGCCTCTTGGTATTTAAAACAGTGATTGACTCGCTGCAGCCTGGCGTCGTCGGAATGGGAAAACATGAATTGATCGTTGACGGGCCTCCGTCCAGAGCGCCCGTCCCATCAATAACTAGGTACCAAAGTACCTAAGGTAGGGTGGGTAGGTAGTTGACGTGGGGATTTTGGAGTGATGCGCGGGCAGCAGACATCCCCCGCAAACACTCGGCACCGAGGACTCGAGGAAGCGACCTACAGGAGCCTCGATAGCGGCGAGGCCCCAGACTCCCCAGTCCTCACATTGATCCATGGATTGCTTCTTGAGGCGCCTTCTCTCCCCAATGTTCCTGGTCCGTGTCTACTTATTACATAGGTACTACAATTAATCAACCTTGGTGTAATGCTCTAGTCGTAGCAGGACATCAACTGTACCAAAATTCAGAGTGCCAGCCAGCACAAAGTCCTTATCGCCATCCGCTGTGGGGTTCTGTTCTTATCGTGACTTAGCGTTCATCCGGCGCTAACACGAGCAGTGTTGAGGTCCCCAGCGCCTATTTAGACGCCCCGAAACGGCACCAAAACATGCGTGGGGTGTTTGCTCAGCCCTCCACTCCGCTGTGACAGCCTTTTCTCTCACGGCCTACCCTCAGACAGACTGGTCTGAACCCTCCAGTCTCTTCCCACGCAAACCCAAAGTTATCTCCCGGATTTACGACTGGAGCAATGGACACATCTAGTGTTATTCCTACCAGTCCTACCAGAGTCCTTTCAGATCCTGCACCCGGTACCCGCTTTCTTTCCAAAGAGGTGACGGGTGGACTTTGTTTAGCCGCTTTCCCCATCTCGTCTAATCACGCGCATAAGCGTCCATTGTGGAGAGGATATTCCTGGCCATTATCAAGCAAGGGTCCCCCCAGCAGGCAGGGTGAGCGTGGCCAGCTTGGGCTTCTGCCAACGTCAAAGATCAGGTCAGGTGGGCTTCTACGGCTCCGAGCCTAGTCCCCTTCGAGCCAGTTCCTGGTGGTCCCCTTGCTGTCTGCTTGCCTGCTCACTCATCATGTGCCTGAATCCATCTGTAGCAGCGTCTCGCCCTAAGACAGGCTCTGAGAGAGAGGGAGAGGGAGAGGGAGAGAGGCCGGCCATCTGGTGGTCGGCAGGGTTGGGAATGGCCAGGACCTCTGATGTTCTGCCATTGACCATCAAGCAGCAGAATCGGGTAAATCTTGCCCGAAAGGAACCCACCCACTGCCAAGCAGTGCTACCCCGAACATAGGGAGATCCCGATGACGAGATCTTTCCTTCGTGGTAGGAGTACTCCGTAGCAGGAAGGGGGACAACAAGGGATGCAGCATCGGCAGCCTTATTGACCACGACGTGGGGAAAGGCCACCACACCTCTGACGTGGAACACGCACGGATGGCCTGTCCAATGGGCCTTGTCACTTGCAAGGGTAAGACCCCCTTTCAAAGTCTCTGTCTATCATACCAAGTACGGAGTACCTATCTTTGTCTGCGGTATCCACAGCGATCTCTCAGGACCGGGACGAGATACCTTCGAAAATAGAAAGTGCTTGCGCGCTCAACGTTCCCATATCCGACGGACATGGACTCCAGGCTGCCTAGGTATGTACCGTCAAACCCCACCTCCACCACCATGATGAACAGACCGGATGAGACGTCCCTTGGGAGAAGTTGCTCACCGGTGTGTGGATTTCTTGGCGATTTAGGCAAGGACTGGTCAGCCAGCATGCCGGTTGCTGAGCTGTAAGCTCGACAAACGATCCCGATTCGGGGAGAGCCGCAGGTCGTTCATTAGAGGTGCGTCTACACCGGCCTCGATCTGCACGAGTGTCGACGACGAGACTGAGCCCGTCTTCCTAGGGAGGCATGGATGGGATATCGCGGCCTAGGTACACCTTCCGGTCTCCCCTAGACCAGTGGCCCCCGGCTTAGCTCTTACATGCGACTACCCGGGTGGAGACTTTGAACACGGTGTAGATGATGACGGATGGTGCTGTTGATGTGAGTGCATCGATGCTGAGCTGTCGAACATCACAGTTTCCCTTGGGTGTATGTGTATATGGCATGCCTCACAATTCCATCACATGCATGGGGGGAAAGCTGTGCAACTCCAGTCTTCCCCACGCCGACGTCGGATCGCGCACATCGCCGTCAATTCGACATTGAAGCTAAACGGCGGTGCATGATGAAAGGGGAGAGCAAACCTTTTACAGCTTCACATGTTGTCATAGTGTCCGCATGAGCGAGAGGCGGAAGACTAAACAGTGGGCCACGGGCGCCGCATACAAGCCAACGGCAACCGTAGAGCGGGACTCTCTGCCACTCGAGAGTGGCTGCCAGGCGTTCTAATGCCATGTATCATGCAGGTTATCGTGCATCGCGAGGGAAAATCAGCCGCAGCCTTGATGGGTCTGGTGTGAGCGTTTGCAGTAGCACGACAGCCAGAAGTTCGGAGCTTTTGCACGGCGACTTTTTGGGGGAGGGAGGGCCTCCTAAGCCATGAAAAGCCACTACGAGCCGTGGTGCTTTCTTGCTTAGTTTCATCGAATGTCCTCACCGCTCTCTCGCTGCGTTGAGGGTTGTTTACTGTTGTTGTTGTTTTTTGCTGACTACGAGCATTAGCTGTTGTCGCCCCCATACTAGCCATACTATGCCACCCCGGACATCCCGGATACTTGTTTTCCTGTGCTTCCCCCCTCTCCCTCGCTACCTAGTATTCTCACATGGCCCAAGCCGCGTTGAAAGCGGTATAGTCCCTCGGCCGGGAAGGCGGCCGGGGGAGGGAAGGGCGCTGGCCGCGGCCGGGTTGCCGCCCCCCCTCCCTCTTCGCCCCCTTCGATGCTACCCACCCTCCCACATGGTGCCCAACCAATGAGTTGGCAGAGTGTCATCCTGTGAGGCTGCTCTCAAAACACTGGCCTCATGGGCCGAACCGAGAGGAATCCCACCATGCCTCATTTGGCTTCCGTCCTAGCTTGTGGAGTTGCAGGGCTATTTGCACTCTATTGCATGCTTTAAACGGAGGCAGTATAGAGTCTAGTCCCCCCCGTCTTCCGTACAAGTCGGCCTTCTCCCTGTGCACCGCCCGACTTTGGTTCAATTGACAGCTGGAAACGAGCAGTTTGTTGTGTTTTGGATGCGTTTTGCCTATCCTCTGGGTGGCAGGAGCTTTTTGCAAAGCAGTAGAGGGTTGAATTGCCATACCCTAGGAGCGACTGCTTGTGGAAACGCCTTTACCCGCCTATAGGATCTTCATTAGACTTTAACTTTGGACAAGTACTCCCCGCATTGGCTTCGATGACAACGCAATACGGATGTGGCCATCATGCACTCCGGGCTCTGAATGTGAACCGACGACATGGCGCCAACATGGAAGCCGTGGCTACATGCAGATCGACTGAGCAGCATGCTGTGCTTCGACCTGCTTTCTTTATCCAGAACGTTAACATGAGCTGCTCGGCCAATGGACGGCGGCGACAACGTTCGATGGCCGGAGCAATATTAGGATCAATTAATGATCCTTACTGGTCGACAGTACGTAATTAGTGCTGGCAACGGGGACAAATCTGTTCTGCGGGAGCGTGTCTTTGCTCGGGTTGAAAGCGGTCGATTGGTGTGGTTGGAGAGGTCAGATCGCCCGGGTCGAATCAGACCAGGCCAGACCATGCCAGAGAGGTCAGCATCTTGATGGATCGTGACGCAAACGGAACGGCCCGTTTTTTCCTTTCTTTGGGAGGGCCCTGTGGCTGATGTTTTGGCTCGTTATTCTGGCCCCATCGCGCGTTTGGCCCGATGTCGTACATGCGTTGCAGGGGTGTCTGGTCCAACATTGGAGAAGCCATCCGCTCAGATAGACACCCGATCACAACACCGCCAGGCCTCTCAAAACGGCCTTGTTTACCGCCCTGTAATCGTCGGCCATCCGCATGCCCACACGCACCCTCAATGACAAGCGTGTGCCATGCCATGCCAGTCCTGCTCGTACAGGTCACAGTGACCTGCTAGCCGCAATCCGCGCCTCTGTTGCCGACTGTATTCCAGACCTCGCTCCCTTGCCCCCCTGGACAATTAAACATATAGACACTCTCAACCGAGAAGCATGGCGTTGGAACCCACAGGACAACGCATACCCTCCCCCCCTCCTTCCCGGGTCTAGATCAACATAACCTAGACGAACAAGGATCTGATCAGTGCAGGCTGAAAAACAGGCTAGGGAGTGGTACTTAGCCATGAGGACGATGATGACCGGTGTCGAGATACATTGACAGTGAGACGGTCGCTCCCTGGACCATCGAGGCCATCGCTTTGGCCGGCTTGTGAGCCACAGATAGTAAGGCAGAAACAACAGTGCGTCATGTCATCCCGGATCAGGAAGGCCCTCGTCGTCGTGGCCGTTGTTGTTGCTGTTGATCCCTTCTCCCCGTTCCCTGGGACTTGTGTGTCTCGAGGCAATGCTGCGTCAGAACACACTTCCGTCCCATCCAGAACAAGGTGTCTGCGGCCTGGGCGCGCCCCAACACCCCACGCTTCTGTCACCACCCATCTCCGAGGGATGATGAGCTTCCCGATCACATCTCCTAGCGTGAGATGATTGTGGAGGCGGGTGGCTCCCATCCTTGACCTGCCTCCGTTTGCTTTTCCCATACCCAAGCCCGCGCCACTGGATGGGTGGTGCCTTTTCTTTTTCTGGCCAGACAACGGAACGGCTCGTCACTTTTCGGGCTCGTGCCTCGCGCGTTTCTCGCAGGTCACAAAAGGCCTTGGTGCCTGATCGACACGAGGGCTTGACCCTCTCCGGTTTCCATGCCGCAGCCGCCAGGCCCTATGTCACAAAGTTCCATGGTCCAGAATCGTGCACGGTTTCAAACAAGCCGGGCTGCACACTCGCGAGCAGAGTAGAGGATGCCGCAGCAAGAACAACACACAGCGTCTCCTCTGCCCCCTTTCCTGCCACTGTCCGGATCTGTCCAGAAGGCCGCCACCTCACCCATCTCGTCATTCGCCTGTGGGTGTGAAGCGGCCCCATATGCCTTGCTTGCCTGCTTGCCTGCTTTAGCAGAAAATACTTCAGACAAGATTCTTGGTACTGTCCCCAGTGTTCACCCGAGCGGATGATGGTCTCGACGTACCTTGACACACACACACACACTCACACACACACAAACGCACACGCACACGCACAGCTCACACACACACACACACACACACACATGCTGGCACCCACTCGCTCACTGCATGCCTCACCTCACGGAAACTTTGCACCACTTCCGAATCACCTGAAGGCTGGGGCTTCGGTCCCCCTTCTAACAAGGCCCCCTCCCTCTTCCACACTCTGGCTGGAAGAGAAAAAGGGGTCCTAGGACTTTCTGCCATGCGGGCTCGGGCTCGTCCGCAACTCAGCGGCCGCCACGTTGTCAATCTCCTCCAACCACCCGCATTGCCTGAAGATCCGCGAAAAGGGCAAAAGAGAGGGCATATGTGTCCCTGTGCCTAGCCGAGGGATCCAATTTGTGCACCCCCAGGTAGCCCTGTCCCCATCCATCCTTCGATAAAAGAGCTCCTTTGGGTGAGCTTGTCGTCGTCCGTCGTGGCCCGCCCGGGGTATGCGCGTGTGTGTGTGTGGGCTCTCTCTCTCTCTCTCTCGCTCCAACGTTCCCTGCCGATGGTTGCGGCAAATACGGCTCCCACATCTGAGAGGCTTATCTTGCCCCTGAGTGCATCGTCCTATCGGGGATGAGCCTTTTGGGAGACGAGGCGGGTTGAGACCAACCTCACTGCTGGCGAGGCATGAGAGGTGTGAGGCGGACTGGCACACGGCAAACACCTTCCAGTGATTCTGGCCTAATGCACGCAATGAGGAACAAGTCTCCCTCAGAGTCGCATGCGGGATCCCATCTCCACTTCTTGGAAATGCTCCCAAGCCGGTGTGCTTTCTCTCAAGCTCCCCCCCGGCCCATAGCTGACGATGTCCCACCCTCCCTCCTGGCGTCGTGGAGAGCTGCATAGGACGTTCGACATCAGCACTTGGTTATCGGGTACTGTGACCTTCGTTAGCTGCACGGTGAGCTGTCTAGAGTCCACCCCGGTAGCCCACGCTCGAGCTATTCTGCGCTCTCTTCATTTGGAGAAGCCCGGAGGTTGTCGATGCAACCGGCAAGGGATAGAAGCGATACAAGAGCCCAATCAGAACTTGGCCCCCATCTTACTGGACAGGGCAGGCGGCAAAAGTGCGAGTGGCGAAAGCAAATCAACCTAAATAGCCCCGTTTTCTTTCATGCAAGGACGGTTCTCTGCAAAGGGAGTTGCATGCCTCCAACGGGGTCCGTAAGAAGTCAAAATGACAAGGAGGCTAGAGTTTGTGTTGTAGTAGCAGAGAGAGGTTTCTGACAAAGTGGAACCCCCTTGTTCATGTGCAACACTCCGCTAGTATCCGCAAGTGTTGGTTGCAACTAGTTAGACTTTTCTGTCCGGGGATTTGGTTGGAGCAGCAGAGCAAACGGAAGCGGTTGAGGAAACCTGCGGAGAAGCAAAAAGAGAAAGAAAAAAACCGAGGTGATGGCTGTCAAGCATACGCCACTCGGCAGCTACTGTATAATGATGAAACGTAGGCTTGAGCTCTTATTGAGCCCAAAAGCAAGAGCAAAGTACTATGTAACCGTCCGTGGCACCATCTGGAGGAGTTAATCTCCAAGATGGCCACATAGGCATAGGGGGGGGACAGGAAAAGGCAAGGACTTCGGCTACGTGCTGCAGACTAACGGATCCAAGCGCGTTGGAGACAGGGAAATCTTCATGCAGGGTAAATGCATGCTAATAAAGCAAAGCGTGGTTGGAACAAGTGGAAGCACGCACCTCCAACAACCCCCCAAAAAAGCAAGGTCCTGTCTGTCGGCCACACCCCCCCTCCCTTGTACGGAGACTGCGTTGCACTGGCGATGGCAATCTGTGCAGTGGGCGGTCCGCGTCGACTCGACATGTAGAACGGTGGGGATGTCCCAGCAGCCGGTCAAATCTACGGCCACGATCAACGTGGCTCCATCCGACTTGGGTCTGAAAACGGGCTTGTTGGACGGCAAACCACAAGGATTAGCGTCTGTCGGCAAGGCCCAACGTCTGCCAGGGTGGCACCCGGCACAACGGGAGTAGATGGATCCCCCCCGGCCAGAGACGATCTCGGGCACAAGTGCGGACGCGGAGGGCCAGAGGAGGAGAGGCCCTCGTGTACCTAGGTACACGCGCGCGCCTGTGAATCACACTGGGGTGCTCCTCTGCGTTGTCTCTGCCGGCAAGCACGACGTGTCGGGTGTGGAAGGGGCCATGTTGAGGAAGGGAAAAAGATGGGCTCTCCTTTCTTCATCAGGTATAAGAATGCCTCTCTGTCCGTCCACCAGTTGTCCAACTCTGTCTGCTAGTCCATCATTGTTGTTCTTCATAGCTCAGCGCAAAGTCAAGGTGTTCAGAGAGACAGTGTACTCGTCGACATACACCACTGGCACACTTAGGCGAATACACATACACGATATCAAGACAAGAGACAAAGATAAATCCTACAGCTCTCCCTTCTCTTTGGCAACAGCTTTGGTGGCCAAGACTGTAAGTCAGTCCCGAATCCGGCCCCTGAGAGAGCACTCCACCCTTGCGTCGCATCACTCGATGTCCAGTGCGCTAACAGTCTGCAGCGTTTCGTACAGTGCGGAATATCTTCACCTCGGAACCTTCCACGGAACATCAGAGCAGACCGACCAAGGTCCCGCCTATCAGGGAGTATCTCAGCAACAAGGCCAACGACAACATGTGCTACTACGAGCAAACACGGTGGAGATGCGGCTACTGGAGATGGGGAAACTTTCGCCAGCAGTGCACCAAGGAGTACCGGACCGGAGAGACATGCGGACTCAAGCTCGTCTACGACACCATGTACAACAACTCGAAATGCAAGCTGTGCGAACAGATGGAGAAGAAGGAACGGCGCTGGACGAAGATGGCCCAGGACTTAGAGCGTTGGAGGCGGGAGGGAAATCGGAGGGCGACGATCGAGAAGACCGAGGGCGACATGCAGGACCTGCGTCACCAGATCAACAAGATCTGGCTGGACCACCAAGCGCGGCAGACCGACATGTCTTGATCAAAGGCAGGACTAGGCAGGACTAGGCATCCGGTAAGAAGCGCTGATCGTACCGGGTTTAGAGATGCGAAGCGGCGATGCTGACCCAAGCGGTGGGATAGATGTCAACGAGGGAAGTCGAAGAGCTGGCAAGGTTGAAGATGGCGGGTATTTTTCAAATCATTTCTCTATTTTCGCCCGGCGTGCTGCATCGTTAGGGCTGGCCTGTTGCGTGTTTTCCGGACACGTAGGAGCGGCTGCAGAAGGGGAGGCACGCCCCGTCAGCTGTTCCTGGCCGTTACTTTTTCCCAATGGTTATTCCTAACTTTTGACTGGCTTCGTTCGATCCTTTTGCCCTCGACTGTGGCGGCGGCAGCGTGGCGGACGGAATGGGATGGATGGGCGCGGCGACACAGGAGCCGGCAGACGAAACAACACAGAAAAATATCGTGAGAAACAAGAGCTCCAGAATGGACCAGCAAGGTTGAAAACAACAGACAGGCCAGCATCGAAACAGAATGGCTCGACAGGTCCAGCTGTCGGACAAGAGTGAGCGAGGATCGGGGGCTTTTTTTTCCTGCAAGGGCTGCTTATTTTTCCAAGGAAGAGCGGTGTGCTTCAGCTGTCGACCTACCTACTGCACCTTACAGTCACCCTTCCGGGGTTCTGAAGGCCACAGGAGGGCAGCCAGGGACGGCGACAGGCACTGCTTTGTTGTAATTTGTACATATATGGCGTTCTGTAGACGCGCACAAGATCAATCGTGTATAGTGCCGCGCTTCCGCACTAGACCAACACCACAGGTGTCCAGATGTGTCCAGATGCTCGATTGCGGCCTCAACTTCGGAGTGGTAACCCATGAAGCATTTTGCAATGCCACAGTGCCGCGGACAGAGAAAAAAAGAGACGGCGCATTACAGACCCCTGTCACTGTCCACACGACAATTCCGGAGCGTCGCCCCGTCTCCGGCCAAGAATTCCTGCGATACATGCATGGCGAAGGCCCGCGCTTCATCGTACACTGGACAGCAGCAAGAGAAGAGACAGAAGCAACGGAAAACTGACCAACTATGACGTGAAATCGGCAGATCGCGACAGAGCTCGAAGGGCAGAAGGAGGGGCTTGTGCCGTGAAAGGTGGGATGGGAGCTTCATCGTAGTGGGGTGTACATACATGAGCCTGGCAAGGGACAGGCTTCCCGCAGATGCCTCATCTGGTAGGTAGGCAGTGCAGTGCCCTTTGGCCTTGGCTTCATCCATTCTTGCAATGTGTCGTAATGCAGGATGGTCCACAACCAGCAGGGGTTGCGGGCCACGGCGCGCGAGCAGGCCAGCGCCGTCGAGGGGAAGAGCACACAAGGATGGAAGGCAGCGTCACTGAAGAATTGCTGGACTGTAGATCTGATTGGTCACGGAAATGCCTAGGATCGTCTGTTCCAGCAGACTCACGAATGGGCGGCACGGTCCTGGATGGGCGAGGAAAGCTCTCTGGCTCACCAGGGCCGAAGACATTGAATCGATGACCGGTCGTGTCCAATTCGCCCAACACCCTTGCCAAGCGCGGCGCACAGACTCCCGCAGAAGCCCGAGTCTAGAAGACCCAAGGAAGAAAACCCCAGCATGATCCATGGCGGATACGGCACGCACACACACACACACAACCCCTCCACTTTCAGCCGACAGGAAAATGAAACTCGGGCCTGCAAAACAGACAGGACAGTGTCAAGGAGACGGAAAAGAAAGGCACTGGGACTAACATGCCGGCGTCCACAAAAATCGGACCAGCCCGACCTTCAAGGCTAGATCTGCAGGCCATGATTTTAAAAGCCCCCACCGCGAAGCACCGTCAGCGCCGACGTGCACGTGGCCGTCGCTCAGTGGGCGTCGAGGGCGAAAAGAGGGTTCTGCAGCTGCACCGTCGCTTGACGAAGACGCTCGGACTACTGCGAGGCCGCTTGGAAAACTCCCCTAGTCAAACCCTGGCCGAGTTTTCACAAAGGAAATGGTAGGTTGTTTTCGTACCGGGGGAAATCGTAGGCCACGGAACTCGAGAATCCTCTTTGGCCTGTCTTGGAAATTCCTCCGCAAAATCACCAAAATGCAATTGCCTGTCGAGTGACCTCTGTGGCTGGCTTGGAGCCGTTTGTTTGTCAGGTATTTTGATCCGCTGGTACGGGGTTGTTGCTGGTGGGTATCGAAAGGAAAATATAACACTAAAAAAACCATCCTTCACACACTGCCTGCGTCTGAGCAAGCATCTGCTGTGGTGTCCCCGCGACCGCCAATGCCGGCTGGGCCTATGAAATGGCATCGATGGGCCAACTCATGACCGGGGGATCCCAGCAGGGCAGTACCGGCCGGCTGGGTCGACCTTGTCGTCATGCAACCGCCGCTGCTGCATCTGCAAAGTTGCCGACCAGTGGTTCGCCGACCTCAGCCTTGACGGGCGGTACGCTGCGCTGCATCTCGACCGTATCCTCCTCCTGCAATGTCCAATCAATTCTCGCGTCGGCGGCAAGATCGTCCACCGAGAGCTTGGAGAGAAGGGTCTGATACCGGGCGAGCCGGGCGTCCTGGCCACTCGGTGCATATGCAGCCGGCGTGATGCGTGCCACACCCTCCTGCGGCGCAATCTCGAAGATGTCGACCATGTTACTGCACGTCATCCATGTCAGCTCTGCGTATCGTAGCAACAGCAACACCGAACTCTCGGAGAAAAGAGGGGGGCAGCCTACTCGGATGTACGGGCTACCACTCTCTGCAGAGCCTCAATCTCTCTCTGGACCTCCATCGGGTCATCATGCCCATTCTGTTGCTCCCCAAAGCTCCCATATTGAATGCCGTTCGGGTCGTCGAAAAGCAGGCGGGATTCTTCGTCCTATTGAAGGGCCAGGCCGCTATTTAGCATCGCCGTGGACAGTCCTTGGGGATGGTGCGAGCCCGAGGCTCCTCGTTGGGCACCACTCACCTCGTCATAGCTATCCTTACGCCTGCTCCCCAGGCAGGAGGAGCAGATGCCCATACTTGCGTAATAGTTCTAGAGGCGCACCAACCTCAAGCGCTGAGGAATGGCGACAGCGGGATGGAAACGCAGGTAAGGGATGACTTGGTTGGCGCGTGGCAGGTCTCCTTCGGGGGGAGACTTAGCGATGGGACACCATGCGCTGGCGACAGCAGAGCGGGGAGAGAGAGCGACTAGAGTTCTTGCTCTGGGTCAAGTCGGAAAGGAGTGTCGTAGGCGATGTCGCCCTTGCTAGGACTTGGTTGTGTCTGGTCTTGGTTGGAGATGACGGAGGTTTCAAGCTCGCCATACTGCAGGAACCGCCTAGCTAATTTCCCAGCCCAAACACGGGCGCGTGAGGCAGTTTGATTGGCTGGCTGAGGCGTGGGGTCGTGCCATGGGTTGTGGCAGTTGGCAGCTGGCACTTGACAGGCGGCTGAGCCGACGTCAAAGCCACAGTGTGGCGCCGGGCCTTGGCATCGAATTCCCACGAACATCCCTTTGCTCACCTCCCTCTCTCCCTCTCGAGCTATCATCCTCCCTGTTCCTCTTTTGGTCCTCGACTCCCTTACTTCATTCTATGTTTCCCACCTTTGGTGTTTGGCTCTATTGAATATTGATTCCAACCTCCCCCCTACCGGATCCCTTCTTCATCAACCCATCAGCCCTCACTTTCCCCCCTGTTGGGCCGATGACCCAACTTCTGCAGCATAGACGGGGCTTTTCTGTGGGATCTTGTTCGCCCAGGCACTGAACCTATGCACCCTTTGAAGCTCTTTCGCCCTGAATCCAGGCACTCCTCCCACCTGAAACTCTCCCCTTCCTACAATAGACTATGAGTTCTTCAATATATCATTTCTGCTCCCTTGGAAACGCTCTCCTTGAATGCATCATGCTGTCCCAGGGCAGGGCGGCATCGTCTCTATATGAGGCGGCGCCTCCCACGACATGTCTGACCGATATCACAGCACCAAGACCATTTGACGACACACCGGCCAGTCACTCACTCAGCTCCAAATTCTCTCCTCGCCGGCCCTTCTATCCCATCACTTAGACTTGATCCCACCCACGCACAGCCAATCCCCTCCATCAATATGTCTTTGAGGAGTAGCATCGTGGCCATGTGCCTTGCCCTGGCACCCGTCTACGCCGCCAACCCCATGACCTGCGAGTGCCCTGCCAGCGGAGCTTCCACCAACAGCGTCGTCACCGTGACCGAGACGCGCACCGCAACCAACGACCCGCCCGTCTCTACCGTCATCCAGACGGTCACCAAGCCTGCCGACAACAACAACGGCGGCGGCGGCGGCAACACCAACGTCCACACCGTCACTGTCAGCAACGTTGTCACCGAGACCCAGACGGCCGTCGTCACCGTCACGCAGACTGCTCCTCCTGTCGGCGGCGGCGTCAAAATCGTCACCGTGACGGTCACGAACACCTATACCAAGGCCGGCGAGCCCTCCACCGTCTACCAGACCGTCACCAACACCGGCGGCGGCGACAACACCAACACCAACAGCGCCTCCATGACGCCGCCAGTCACCAAGCCCCAGGACACCAGCTCCCCCACCGGCGGCAACAGCAACAGCAACAACCCGGCCACCACCACCGACTGCCCTCCCGAGGGTCCCGGCACCACCGTGGACATCACCATGACCACCAAGGCGCCCCCGACCACGATCGGCGACAACGGCGGCTACCCGACCACCACCGCGAGCGACCACCCCTTCACCTGCCACCACAACGGCACGTGCTACAACCACAGCGGCAAGCCCATCACCAACATCGTCACCTTCACCCAGACCGGCGACCTGTGCGGCGTCTCGACCCTGCTCGAGACCGTCTACAACACAATCACCGCCACCGTCGTCGTCACCGCCGACCAGCCCGCCCCCTCGTCCGGCTTTGGCGGCAACTCGACTGTCAACGGCACCTCGACGGAGGAGGGCGTCTCCCGCCTCAGGGCACGTAAGCTCCTCGACGTCAACGCCGCTGGCCATGTTGTCCGGAGGAAGTACTGAAGAAAAAATAAAAAGGGGCTTCTTGCGACTTCTCGTGGGCATGGCATTTGCATGGCATGTGGCAAAGGTTGAAAAACTGATGTGACACGCCATGTTCCTCCGGCGTTCTTGGTGGGAAATGATGGGATTGTTTTTTTCTTTTCCTTTTTCCTGTTCTTCTTATTTGCATAACGGTACCAACATTGCATAGATATCATCAAACTTAATCATATAGTAAAGGTAAGAGAAGGTGGGAGGGGGATGAGCACGAGGTCTCTGGACGATGAATTCATGAAACAATGGCGTGGCGGTGGTGCAGTATGATAGGTATTGATAGACGGAGTCTACTCCGTGCTTGAAAATTAATAGACATTTAACCTTACGACTTGCCTCCTGCACTTTGAATGTGACATGGGAATAAGAAGAACAAAACTATGGCAAAGCAAATAGTAGCCAAGATGGACAGGTTCCTTCACCTACGTCTAGGCCCCGAGATTGCAATCAAATGAACTCATCGCTGCCTACTTCATGAGATAGGTAGCGAACCCAAAGCTGGCCTCATCGGCCTCTACCTGCTGGGTATCCTGTGCCTCGGATAGGTATCGGTCAAATCCCAGAGGCTGGCCCGCTTCATTGTGTGGCTCTGTAAAGCCTGCCCGAGTTGCTGCATCGTGTTTGTACTGCCTGTCGCCCGCCGCTTGCGTGAGGGATTGCGACTCAAGCTTCTGGGTTGCAGGCAAAGAGTTCGTGGCCTTTTCAAAGACAGGCTACGGTAGTTCAGTTAGTACAGAGCCATTCAAACGGGGTATGGAAGCGTACGATTTGCGATTGTGAAAACACCGTGTCTTTTGCTTTCCTATGGGGCATCTTGCGCTGCTTCTTGGTTGCCGGACGCTTAGGAGCTGTGGCTTTGGCAACTTTGGTTCCTCGAGCCTGATTTTTGGTCGAAGGGCGCCCTGGTTTTCGTCCCTTATGAGCGTGGCCAGATACTGCCCCAATGGCTGGCAGATCATACATATGTCGACCCGGTCGTGACTCTGGTACTTCGTCGAGAGAGCTGGTTCGCTTGGTCTCACTCCCCTCCAATACCTTCGCATTCGCTTTGGGGGTCCGGTCTTTCTCAGACTTGGTGGGGGTTCGTTTCGGGCACACGGGCTCAGGAGCGTCCATGGCACTTACTCTGTTAGAAGCCCCTAATCATTAGCCGCTGGTCATTCATTTGAGACGCAGATGAACGTACGTGAGTTGGCTCATGACAAATGTGGAAAAGCCCGGTCTTTGGGCTAGGACGGTCTCTGCCGTGGTCACATCGTAGTCAAGGTGCCATCCAGAACCGAAGCGATCGGGATACCCGGCTTTGGGATATATCAAGAACATGTTGTACATCGGGCCTAGAAAAGTTCGGTTAGACACAGCGGCGAAGCAGCCGAAAAGGGTCTGGGTGGTCGAGTACCTGTCCAGCATGGCAAAGTCTTGAGGTTTTCGGCCATGTCACAAAAGGTGTCGCCTCCTGTTTGCATCTCAGTCCCAAGTCTGCCGATCCCGGACCAAGTGATGACAATCTCCTGGTTATGATCTTCATGATAGTAGAATTTGATTTTGAAGTATTCGACGAGGCTCTCGGGAGAATCAGCACGACTGTCGAAGAAACACAAGAGAAGTTTCACCAGACCAGCGTCCTCGATAACCGGGAAGATGCTACCCTCCTGCAGCGTCAAATCAGTCTCATGCTCCAGATACTACGGCTTGCTTCTGAGCCTACCAAAAGGTTGAGGAAATAGCCAAACTGCTTGTGAGGGTGTCGACGGGGAAAGAGAAAGGTGTTCGCGTCGAGGAAGCCGTCTTTCGGTATTTCTTGTGCAGGTCCGCTCGACTCGATAAGGTCTCGGAAAGCTGATTCGAAATGCTCGCGTGAGAGCTTCTGGAAGCATTCTGCTGGGAAAACGCCACTGGAGGATATGGGATTAGAGCGGACTATGCAGGCAGAGGGAATGGAAGGAAGTCAGTACCGAGTGAACATGAGGTTGCTGAGCTGCGGGCCGTCCATGTTAGTCAGCGGACCGCGCACGGGAAGGTAGGGTTGATGAAGGATCCTCACACAAGCTGTCAGGATGATCTTGAGTAACTCGGAGTCTCGCTGGCGACCCATAGCGGCGGATTGTGTGGTGGTTATCGCAGAATCGGCACTTGGATCTGATGTCGCTTGTGGTCTTGGGACGACCACAACGCATAAATGATTCAGGGCTGAAAGAGTAGGAAATATTCGAATGCGTGTCTGGTCGAGGATATTGATGGTATTTCGGGACCAATTGCCTGCTGCCTGACTGGCCTGACTGGGAAGGCACTTGGAATATCCATCTGCTTCGCGAGGCAGGAGCTACGGATGGTTTAGGAGTTTGGCTTTAGGCACTGGACAGGACAGTCCCAAATTGATTCATTTTCTGGACTTCAGTTTTACTGCCTCGTATGAGGGGGATGTTCGCTCGTTCCTGGGTCACCGTGAATTTTGGGAGCCCAATAACCACGCCGCGCAAGGAATGGTCCGTACAACGCCATCACAACTCTGATTTTGTGTAGTGGTTAGGTCATGACGACCTACAGAGATGACTCACGGGCACTGCGAAGTTTAACTACTTTACAACTTGTTTGACACATGAAACGAAGTTCTGCGGAAAGGATGCATTCAAGACCTGCAATTTGAAGGTTACGGGCTGCACGGCAATTGAAGTGATGAAATGTTTTCCCACGTGGGAGCACCACGGTTCTCAGCAAAAGTGGGCTTGAGCATATATGCTTAACAAGCTCAAAGTCCCTCTCGAAGTGCACGGCATTGCATTTGCTCTGCTGATCTTGGCGCTGGCGGCAAGTCCGTTTCTGAACAAGTTTGGTTCATTGGATGCTCCCGAGACGACGGGTTCTGTCTTGTCAACTCTGTGGAGTGAGTGCAGAGTTCAGTGATGACAGACAGATGGGTTTTGATACATTCCTCGGCAGCCAGAATGGCAAGTCGCAAGGCTGCAGCTGAAAAAATGAGCTGAGGAGGGTTATTGGTCTATCGAAAAATGAAACAACGGCAGGCAAGGCGAGGAGTTGTTTGACCCTGGCCAGCTGGACCTTTGAGGCAAGGGGGAGGACACAGCATGTCGGCTGGCAAAACAGCGCCCACACCGCAAGAAAGGGGGTTAGTAACATCAATGGATGCATGCTGGCTACGTGCTAGAGGCCCCTGAATCCCCGGTATTCAATTAAACGCGATACAGATGGTTCCGTGCGATGAGCTGGATGGGTCTGCATGAACAAAGGGACCAGGACGCGTCGTGATTCCATGTTCCTCCACCCAGAGATTGTCAGGGGCTGGCTGCGACTTTTTGACTACCGCGTTTTGGTGTTCGGGCGCGAGTGCAGCGCGCGGGCCGAGGCCAGGGTCAGCAATTGGGCCCGGCCAGTACCTCTGTACCAACCAACGGGTCGCCTAAACAGGCCTCTGGGCGCGTAAAACTGGGTACGGAAGCTAAAACCTCAGGTTCCCAAGTTTCTCGCGGTGCCATTCGCAGGCTAAGCTAATTCTGGCCATGAGACCGGCTGGTGGTGATAGGTACCCGCGATTGTTCGGCTCCTCCAGCCAAAAAAAAAAAAAAAGGAAAAAGAACAAGAAAACATCATGAGGCTGTGGCTGACCAAGCGCTGGCACTCTTGCGGCTTAGGTAATGGCCAGGCGCCACCAAGAGAGTGAGAGTGAGAGTGAGCCTGGTGACGCAAGGGCTTGCTTGCTTGCTTGATTGATTGAACTGCTAAGAACTGGCACCACTCGAGGGTCGACCTTGTTCTTGTACGCGGACAGGGTCTCTCGTTAGTCCAGGTAGATGAAGCTGGCGATGAAGGAGTGGCCGAATGATCGCTGTCGCGTGAGGCAAATCAGCGAACTACGTACTCCTACAAGTACAGGCACGTAAGCGTAAGGGGAGAGAGGCGAGGGAGCCGAGTCCACGTGAGTGGCTGGTGAGACGCCTCGGGGACTCTGCCTGCAGGCGGTCACGCCGGCGGCGGCTTACGAGAGTACCTGTGAAAAGGGAAGTGGCCGGGACGGCGGGTGGCAGAATTCTCTGCCTCTGTGCCCACCCTATTTCCTCGCTAGGGGCAAAAATAGAGAGGGGTGGAATTTTGGCAGGGGGGATGACGGAGTGACAGAGGGGGCGCAAGAGGTCACGTAGTTACCTAAAGTACTTGTAGTTCCGTACCTGTATTGCATCCATGGATGTCGGGAGACTGGAAGACTGGAGCGACCATTGGATTGATCGAGAACGCAAAGGAACAAGGCAGCGGAAGTGGGAAAATTCAGATCCCATCTCCAGAGTAGAGTGCATACTGGGAAGTCCCCATTCTTTTCGATCCCATCACAGGGGCCCCCCCCCCCATCCATGCCCATACCCCGTGCTCGTGCCTTGGCCCTGGTTCCATGGGCCACTTTTTTGCCCACTGTCAACCCCCTCTCGTCACGCTGAGCACCAGACCAGCACTGGAGTCAGTCTGGTCCCTCTGTCCGCCGCCATCCGCTTCCGCTTCAACAGAGGCGTCCATTCCATCTCCACCACCTGAAGCCTCGCTCACTCCTCCCACCACAACCACATCAACCACCACGGCTGTGTGGAATCGGCGACGCTCCTCCATACCCACACCCGCCTTCATCACCTCCCTCCCACCGCCGACCGACCACCTGCCCGGCTTCACTCACACACTGGGATTTCTTTTCGGGCGACAAGGTCAGGATCAGAATACCGACAAAGAAAACAGGACACAGACGAGCCAGACGTTTTGGGGTCATCGTCGAATAGCCACATCCTCTTCCCTCCCCTTTCCGCCCTTCGACCCCTGCAACAGCCGCCTCTTTTCCCTCCGCCTCTCCGCCTTTACCCCCTCTGCACCCGTGCCATCCCCATCTCATCCTAATCAATCTCCATCTTCGACTGCCTTCCCTCCCTGGCTGTACACCGGTGCCTTCCTGCCTACGCTCTAGCCCGCCGCCTTCTCTCCCCTTCAAAAGGCCTCGGTTGCCATCTTTCACGACCCGCGTCTAGCCACACCCCAAAAAGCGACCCCGGTCTTCAAGCAACACGCCAGCGACACGCCTCACTCTTCGTTCGACAGCAGGTCATGCCCATCGTAGGACGCCGGCTACATTAGAACTGCGTGTCCGCATCTCTGTCGGCACGCTCCTGCATCATCCCGCCGTCCTGTAGAGGCACCCTTGGAGCCTCGGCGGACGTCCCACCGCTCCGTCGGCACTCTACCTCGCCCAAACCTCCTCCCGCTTCTCGACGCAATGAGCACGCCGACGTCGGTCCAGAAGACCACCATGTCGGTGCGTCCGTCCTCCAGCCAGAGGGTCTCGGTCAGCTGGGATGAGCCCGAAAACAGCGTGAGCCACCGGGCTGCCCGTCTGCAGTTTGAAGTTGCCGAATGTGTCGAGACCAAGACCGTCACCACCACCACGACAACGAAGCGATCCTATCCGCCCTTCTTTGTCAAAGAACCCAGGTCTCTCCAGTCATTAGATACCAAGGAGTACCCCCTTGCCGCGAGACCGACACCGCCGGAACTCTCCAATTTTACTGTCGATCTTGGTGACCTCGATATCGAGCCTAGTTGGTTTGATAGCTCTTTCGAGGACGAACGGTCGATTGAAGAGGTTAGTTGCTCCCGGCACAAACGGACCATCTCGACTCCGGCTAACAGTGGCATGCAGAGCGTGGCTGAAAAGACCCTCGATTTCGCCGATGCACCGGCTCGTTCTGGCCTCGACACACCGATGGCCGACCCTTCCTCGCAACACGAAAAGCGCGTGCCTACCGATTCCTCAACCCGCAAGTCGAGCCGTCTGAGCCTCCGGACCACCACCTCCCCGAGCCTGGCCGCCAGCAAACGATCTACCCGTGCCAGCAGTCTTGCACACTCCCGTGCCGTCTCGGATAAGCTCCGTCGGGCGGTTGCCAGGAGAGATGTTGACCGGACTGGTAGATGTGCACCGGATTCCTATCTGGCCACGCCAGACACCACAGAGACTGTACCAGTCCTGGAACGGCCATCCAGGCTGAGGTCGCTGCCGCTCGATAGAAATGTGAATACGGCGGCTTCTTCCGCCAGCCAAGCCAACTCTGCTTACGAGGCAGCGAGCCCTGCCGGGAGCGATACGCATACCATCTTTAGCAGCGCGGTGGCCACCCCTCCTATCACGGATGCTGACGCCGAACCTTTCGCCGAGCCGGAAGATTCCCTCCCGAATGCAGGCCTTGGCCCCAGTCAGACCCGGCCTACCATCAACACGGTCGCTGCCCAGGATGCCACCCTCCCTAGTCCCCGACTGTCGCCCACGTTGGCCGCCGCTCAACTGCAACCCTTCCAGCAGGCTGAGGAAGAGGACGAAGAGGACGAGGCTGACGAGTCGACATACTCTCACGGCCTTGATCACCGCCACCACCAGCAGTACCTAGACGAGTCGCAATCGACGGTAGAGGCCGAGTCTATGGAACTCATCCTCCCCGAAGATCGTTTCCGGCCCCGACGGACGCAGACACAGCCCACGAGCATCTTGAACACGCGGGCCATGCTGGAGAGCTTCGATGCCATGCCGAACGAGGTCAAGACTTTTCTCATGTACCAGATGCTCCGGAGATGTCCCCGAAAGACGCTGCACATGGTGGCTGATGTCGTCAACCCGGCTCTCAAGTGCGACTTCCTCAAGCAGCTTCCCACGGAGCTGAGTCTCCACGTGCTCTCTTATTTTGACCACCGCGATCTCTGTCGAGCTGCTCAGGTCTCAAAACATTGGCGTAATATCGTCGATAGTAACGAGACTGGCTGGAAAGAACTGTTCGATCGAGATGGCTTCGAGCTCTCTCCTGGCGAGCTCCAGCGAGCCATTACCCAGGGCTGGGGCTGGCAGGACCCCGATGGACCAGAGGGGTGTGAGATAGATCTCAGCATGCATAACCGCCTGACATCGACCGAATCGGAGCTCATCCGGTCTTCTAAGACCGAGGTTGCCAGCAAGCAGCGATCGTCCAAGCGTAAGCGCGGATTCAACCAGTTCTCCAATTCCGAGCGATCCAAGCGACGCACCAGCACTCAAGAACAACCAAAGGATGACAAGCCGTTCGGCGTCATGAAGATGCACAAGTCAGAGGGACCCATCTCGGCAGCCAGCGCCGCTGCCATCGCCGTGCCCGATCCTCCCATCGGCCTCCCCAGTCTGAGAAAGCTTCACCTGTTCAAATCGCTTTACCGGCGCCACTACATGATCCGACAGAGCTGGACCAGCGGCAAGGTCAAGCCCAGTCATGTCGCCTTCGCGGCCCACCCTCGCCATGTCATTACTTGCCTACAGTTTGACGAAGACAAGATCATCACCGGATCTGACGACACCTTGATTCACGTCTATGACACCAAGACGGGCAAGCTCCGCAGGAGACTTGAAGGCCACGAGGGCGGCGTCTGGGCACTGCAGTATGAAGGAAATGTGCTGGTCTCCGGCAGTACCGATCGCTCTGTTCGTGTCTGGGATATCGAGAAGGGACTCTGCACTCAGGTCTTTTACGGACATACCTCGACCGTGCGATGCTTGCAGATTCTGATGCCGACTGATACGGGCAAAGTCAAGGACGGAAAGCCGGTCATGATGCCACCAAAGCCCTTGATCATCACCGGATCCCGCGATAGCCAGCTGCGCGTCTGGCGCCTACCTGAGGCGGGCTCGAGGCGATACATCCAGACCGGTATCCCGGCACAAGAGTCTGACTGCCCCTACTTCATTCGGATTCTGGCCGGACACACCCACTCGGTCCGTGCCATTGCGGCACACGGCGATACGCTGGTCTCTGGCAGCTACGACAGCACCGTGCGCGTCTGGCGCATCAGTACTGGCGAAGCTCTCCATGTTCTGCATGGCCATAGCCAGAAGGTCTACAGCGTCGTCCTCGACCACAAGCGAAACCGTTGTATCTCTGGTTCTATGGATTCGCTCGTCAAGATCTGGGATCTCGACACCGGCGCTTGTCTGCATACACTCGAGGGCCATTCCCTCCTGGTTGGTCTTCTTGATCTGCGCGATGAGCGGCTGGTCTCTGCGGCTGCTGACAGCACCTTGCGGATCTGGGATCCGGAGACTGGCAAGTGCAAGAGTACACTGATGGCTCACACCGGCGCCATCACCTGCTTCCAGCACGACGGGCGCAAGGTCATCTCTGGCAGCGAGAAGACGGTCAAGATGTGGGATATCCATACCGGAGAATGCATCCAAGACCTCTTGACCGATCTGAGTGGGGTTTGGCAAGTCAAGTTTGACGGCAGGCGCTGTGTCGCTGCCGTTCAGCGAGACAGCCTTACCTACGTAGAGGTGAGCTCCCGCCCCTTCTCCCTTTGTCATCACCAACTTGAAGCTTCGTACTGACTTCTTTTCTTCAGATTCTCGACTTTGGCGCTGTGCGCGATGGCAAACCACCAGAGGAACTCGGCAAGCGTATCCTTCTCAACGCCCCTGAGGTGCAGGCTCTTATGGAGGAGGACCTGTGAACAGTTCCCTCACCGTACCATTTTTATGGGCACACCACGACACGAATTTCAACGCGACTCACCTGACGACGACTCTAGGCCTTTTTTGACAGCACGAGACAGATCTCGGCTTTGGGCCAACGCATCACTCAGCACGACACACCGTTCTGTTTCCCTCTCGCTCGATTCATCAGCAAGCATCATGGCATTTGCTCCTCTCGGTATCAGCTTATCTCATCTCGATTCACATGCATTATCATGGGGCGTCTTGGAAGGACGGCAGGAAATACCGGTGGATATATTTTACTTTTTTTTTTCGGGGGGGGGGGGGGGGGGGGGGGGGGGACGGCATCCGGCTCAGGAAGACCGGAAATAGGTGGCGTTTTCGTCGGCATCGATATTCATTCCACCCTGGAGGAGGGGAGGGTTTTGATATCTCTATAATGTTTCAAGGGCAAGCAAGCCTCGCAAATACATTGATATTTTGCCTTTCAATGATTCTCGTACTTTTCACAGTGACATGCCCTCTTTGGACTTGATAGCTCCCAAATCGTGGTACCACTCATCACAGTAATTATATCGTGACTGCTACAGAACATGGACATCAACCCTGGTATTTAGCTATCTAGACATGCTATCGTCTGTGGTTTCGACCACGACATTGTGAATAACTGTTCCTCGAGAGAACGGATAAAAGAACAAAGGAGCTAGGCTGAGTCCATCTTGGTCCAAGCGGACAGGTATCGTGGTATCTGCAAATCCATGTACAAATCAAACCCTTGGCCGAGAACAAATAAAAGGAACAACACACTTGTGCTTTCCCCACTCGTAATTCCGTATTCATTCGACCAACTCTGGCCAGCCGGTCTAGTTGGTCCATCGATCATCGTGTACTTTTCCCTCAAACGCCGAAGCAAGCCATTTTGTTACATATGGGATCCAGCAAGACAAGTCAAGACAAATCATTTGCTGGTTCCACCACTCGTGATATACGGTAAGCCAAATTTACAGCCCTGGTCGTAAACAAGGTACAGCGTGTGTCATGTCGCCAGCTTTTACTCGACATCCGACATGGAGAGGTCGACAACCGAGGCCTCTCGGCCGCCAAAAGTCACGTCTTCGTCGTCCGAGTCGATGATGTCGGCTCCGCTGGTGCTGTGGCTGTCGATCCCGAGCCGCTCGATCTTGCGCAGGGCGTCCTCAAAGGTCTTCTCCTGGGTCTGCAGCACGTGGCGGCGGTTCGCGACTTCCTCATCCTCTTCCATCATGTCCTTCCAGATAGACTCCTCTGCTGCATAATGAGACGATTCGTTAGTCGAGCAAATTCCACGCGTGTTTAGTTCGATACATATAAGAGAAGGAGAGAAAGAGAGGGATGACAACATACCGGTGCTATCAGAGATGCCAAGATGGGCATTCATGAGCTGGATCATCGACGGCGCAACCTCGGGGAAAAGTGCCGAGGTGAAGTTCAGGCACACCGTGTCAATGAAGCGCCACGCAGCGGTCAGGTAGTAGCCGCGGACGTAGGCCGCGACGCCGAGCTCCGTCTCGTACGGATCAGGACCGAGCTTGGCACCCTCCTTGGCCATGCGGGCCTCCTCCTGAGCGCGCTGCTCCTCCGTCAGATGATCCCAGGACGCGGGTTTAGGATAGTCGACGTCGTCCAGCTTGTCCTGGTGCGCCTGCCAGCGCGAGTGGTGCCGGATGTGCCCCAGGACGCGGCGCTCGGCGTGCTCGTGGCGGAGGCAGGTCTCGTTGTCCAGCGTATAGAGCTGGAAGCTCTCTATCTTGTAGAGTCGAATGAGCTGGGCGCCGAGCTCCTTGCGCTTCTCGCGACAGAACCCGTCGATGACGGAGGTGGCCTTCTTGAAGACCTGACGGTTGCACAGGCTGCCGAGAGACTGGCCAAGGATGCTGAGGAGCTTATTCTGCAGCAACGCTATGGAGTTCTCAAGCAGGCCTTCGAGCGGCTCATCCCAGTGCTGGACGGCGGTCATGCAGAGCCGCACCTTGACTTCATCCGGGACGGTGTTGGGCATGCCCGGCTTGCTGCACCGGCGGATGAGTTCGCGCACGTCTTCCAGCGTCATACTAGGCCCGCCTGGACGAGTGGCACCCGTTCGCTTGCGTCTTGTCGGAGTCGCCAGGTTCGTCGTGGCCGCACCGCCGCGTCGGCTGGGCGTGATGGGCAAGCCGATGGGGTGCTCCTCGGTCTTGATGGCGCCGTTCGCGCCCCGTCGCCGCTGGGACGCAGGCAGCGCGTCGGCATAATGGTCGACTGATGCCTGGCGCTTGACGCCACTAGCTGGAGACTGGCCCAAGCTCCGGCTGCTGACAATTTCTAAGTCGTCCGTGGCATTGTCGGAGGCTGGAGCGCCGACCTTCAGCTTGTACTTGGGCTTCAGGAATAGGATATTGGCGCGGAACTTGTCCGCGATTCTCGCCCACTTGGCTGCGAAGTCCTGCGATTGCATTTGTTGAGTGAGGTTCTCCTCGAAGCGCGCAAGGTTCGTGCGGATGACTGCCTCGGGGTTGGGGGGCAGCTCGGGCAGTTGGGTAAGCTCCTGCTTGATGATCTGAAGACGGCTCTTGAGTTTCATCTGAAGCTCTGGAAGGCTCTTGCGGAAGGACTTGGAGAGAAGCTCAATAAGATATCGCTTAAGGCGCTCAACGCCGCAGCGATCCTCGTGGCGGTGGAACTCCCGCGGCCAAACCTTGTCCGAGGAGAACCGATTGAAAAAGGCCTCCTCAGCTTTGTGCTCGATTTCAAGGTTGATTGGCCCAGTTCCGATGGTCCGGCGGGAGGTGATAAAGTATCCAAGCTTGACCTTGTGCCGCTTGCCCTCCAGCATCTCCAACCACTGGGTATGGCTGCCCGAGCCTGGTGGGAGGAGGTCAGCCTTGGTCATGACGCCAATGCACCGGTTAAGTGCATTCGCCTTTCGGATGACAGTGAAAGTAGACGATGTCTGGGGGTCTGCGGTCATAGGAACGGCCCAGATGATGATGGCTTTCTGGTGCTCGATGTATTGCTTCGTGAGATTCTCCACGACTTTGATGAGGTACTCATCCTCGCCGTCAGAAGTGTTGACAATGAGGCCGGGGAGATCGTAGAAAGACAAGTCGGCCAAGCCAGGTCCCTGGATCTCCAAGGCGATGACATTAGGACTGAACTTTGCCTCCATGGGCAAAACAGCGCTGGTGTCCACATTCCTAGCGAAATCACCAGATCCCGGGATAAACCGGCGGTAGTCAGTGCTGGGGTTGAGGATGGCGATTTGAGCCCAGGACAGAGCCTTCTCGATGAGACCCGTATCGTTCTTGTCATCTATGGTCATGAACTCCTTGACCTCGCAAGTCTGTTCGAACCACGGAGGGAATGGGCACTCGTCGCACACGTCACTGGTCTCAATCTCGGTATCTTGAGGAGCATCGTAGTAGTAGTTGAGTTGCAACCGGATCTGGCAAGACCATCGAGGTCGCTTCGAGAGACGAATGTGGATGGGGCACCTGGTGCATGTGCCACCGCTGCGCGGCAGGCTCAGGCCGGCAATGGCGGACATCAAAGAGGACTTGCCAGCGCTCTGGTCACCGACGAGAACGAGCTCTGGAAGGCTGGCGACATGCTGGATGCCGAGATGCTGCAATTCGCCCAGGACGTTGTTGAAAGCAGTGACCTTCTCGTCAATATCTTTGAGCGGAAGACCGTTTGACACGAAGCTGTCGGTGAAGCTGGTCTGCTGGGCATCATCAGGGCTGATGATGGGGGCCTCAGGGAGCCGAGGGCGGATCTCCTGGAGACGAACGTCGCTGGCACCGACTGTCTCGGTGCCGACCACGGAGTTGGGTCGCGGAGGATGAACCCTGCTGCTAGCAAGGGTCGCTGGAAGCAGTTCAGTCAGTCTCAACCCAGCATCTTCCATACATAATGGCGGATGGGATGGTGGATGGGACTTACGAGCCTCGGACCTTCTAAGGCGAGAATCTGACACCTGAGAGCGCGGGTGCGAATTGTTTGCAACCTGGGGCTGATTATTCTGCTGTGGAGAATCTACATGAGGAGTCCCAGTGGTCGAAGCAGCTGACGACGAAGCCACAGTGTTGTTGGCGGAAGCCTTGGCGGCTGCGCGTTGCCGGCGGCTCGGGGAGCTCTGCACGGGCTCCTCCTTGATGACCGAGGGCATGCTGGACGGAGGTGTCTGCTCCATCATGTTGGTGTTAGTCGGACTGAGGCGGAGTGGGATGGATCCAGCTGTCATGTTGAGATGATGAGGAAAGCACTGCGGCTTGAAAAAGAGAGAAGAACGGTACCGTGATAATATCTCACAGAGGTATCAGAGGAATGAAACCTCTCAAGAGGCTGAGGCTGAAGTGAGATGCGACCAGACCCGATATCAATCACCCTGATCCTTGCGGCGCCGGCCGTTGGGTTGTGGTTGAAGGGTTGGTGGTGGATGAAATCAGGAGCGAGACCTGAAATTGGGACGGGAAACCCCGAATTTATTGAGAGGGTCAGATTGATGAAATCTGAAGATCAAAGCAAAGCTGATCTGAGGAGTCAGATCAAACTCAGATTCGACTCAACCGACTGCAAACAGCGACCATGGAGTTGGAAGATGGGAGGAAAAGAGGAAGTGGATTGCTCTCCTGAAAGCGCTGCGGGTGGGAGGGAGAGAGGCAAGTTTGCCTCCTGCTCGGCCCAGAGATCGATAAACAAGGATAAGAACTTGCAGGCAGGTAGCAGACCAGCTTAGCAATTCAGATCTAAGTCCAGAGTGAATCGAGAGAGCAGTTGATGCCGGCAATCTGAGAAAAAAGAGAGGAGGCTGGGGAGAAGGCAGACGGGACAAGGGGGGAGAGAATAGTGGGGCAGCTGCCTGGAAGCCCTGGTTTCCAGGTATGGAAGCACTGTTCACGCTCTCGCATCCAATTTTGTACGGGGAGCTGTGCACAGCCAATGTATCGGCTTTTGTCTGGGAAGAAGGTGGACTGATGAACCCTCTCCTTGTAGATGGTGAGCTGCTTTACATGATTATCTAAGGAAGAAGCTTAACTACATCACATCCCAGCCAACCCTGAGACCAACAGAAAAGTAAACAACTGGGAAGAAGAATGAATAGTAATTAGCAGGAGAGAAAAGATGATATTCCATCCTGACATCTTGAGAGTCAGTCTGTGAATCATAACCGATCGGTCTCTTGGTGAAACAGAATCGACAAGTTGATAAGGTGTAGTACTGTGCTGCTTGGTATTGTTAGCAATCGACTTTCAAGAGGTTGCATCACGCACGACTCCATGCCTTGCCACCACAGCTGCTAATTGGCTGGCGCGTTTCAGGCGCATGGTACCTGTAGAGAGACCCCTGAGCTTGGGCCTTTTGGTCCAGCCAAGGCCGGGTCGCGCATGTAGTCCCCGCCATGGGCGCACTAACGATGGAGGCCAAGGGGGCTTCTGAGCAAAAAAGAGTGACATAGCAACCATCGCAAAGAAGGCGAGCTGTCAACATCACCGCCACTACGATCTCCCTCCACAACTACACCCTCCTCTCTGGAGCTGCGCCTTTTCTCTCCAAGTCCTCAAAGTCATATTCACCCCCTGACGAAAACGACACCTCAATCTTTACCGCAATGTCTCTCCAGGTCCCCCTCCGGGAGAAGCATGCCCATGGCGGCCAGGCGGTGACCAAGGCGGTCATTCTGGTGGGTAGTCGATCGACACCTTGAGCTCTCAGCAGACCTGCCATTGAGCAGGCAGAACAAGCTCAGATTGCTAACACCATTACTCTGCTGAACAGGTCGGTGGCGCATCTCGAGGCACTCGTTTCCGCCCGCTCTCCCTCGACGTTCCCAAGGTGAGTTGCTGCTGTCGCCCCTCTTGCCTCTCGAAGATCGCCGCATCTGTACCCCTCGCAGGCCCCAACATGCAAGCGACACTGTTCACATGCTAACGATGCGCCTCCTCGTCTTGACAGCCTCTCTTCGACGTTGCTGGCCACCCTATCATCTGGCACTGCCTGACTGCCATTGAAAAGGTGCCCTCAATCCACGAGGTCTACCTCATCGGCTACTACGACGAATCTGTCTTCCGCGACTTCATCAAGGACGCCGCCCACCACTTCCCCAACCTCTCCATCAAGTACCTGCGCGAGTACCAGGCCCTCGGCACCGCCGGCGGCCTCTACCACTTCCGCGATGCCATCCTCAAGGGCCGCCCCGAGCGCCTCTTCGTCCTCAACTCGGACGTCTGCTGCTCCTTCCCGCTCAACGAGATGCTCAAGCTCTTCAACGAGAAGGACGCCGAGGCCGTCATCCTCGGTACCCGCGTCAGTGAGGACGCCGCCACAAACTTTGGCTGCATCGTCTCCGACAACCACACTCGCCGTGTCCTGCACTACGTCGAGAAACCCGAGAGCAAGATCTCCAACCTGATCAACTGCGGCGTCTACCTCTTCGCCACCGAGGCCATCTTCCCCTCCATCAAGAGCGCCATCAAGCGCCGCGCCGACCGCCCCAACCGCCTCGTCTCCTACCCTTCCTCGGACAACCTCGAGAGCAGCTTCATCGAGTACCAGAACGACGACGATGACGACGAGGGCCGCCAGAACGAGGTTATTCGCCTCGAGCAGGACATCCTCTCCGACATGGCCGACAACAAGCAGTTCTTTGTCTACGAGACCAAGGACTTCTGGCGCCAGATCAAGACGGCCGGCTCGGCCGTCCCCGCCAACGCCCTCTACCTGCAAAAGGCCTGGCAGAGCGGCTCCAAGGAGCTCGCCCAGCCCAGCGCCAACATCATCCCGCCCGTCTTCATCGACCCGACCGCCCACGTCGACCCGACCGCCAAGCTCGGCCCCAACGTCTCCATCGGCGCCCGCGCCACCGTCGGCGCCGGAGCCCGCGTCAAGGAGTCCATCGTCCTCGAGGACTCGGAGATCAAGCACGACGCCTGCGTGCTCTACTCCATCATCGGCTGGAACAGCCGCGTCGGCGCCTGGGCCCGCGTCGAGGGCACCCCACAGCCCGTCACGAGCCACACGACGAGCATCGTCAAGAACGGCGTCAAGGTCCAGGCCGTCACCATCCTCGGCAAGGAGTGCGCCGTCGGCGACGAGATCCGCGTGCAGAACTGCGTGTGCCTGCCCTTCAAGGAGCTCAAGAGGGTACGTTTCTGTTATTTTTTCTTTTCTCCTTCCAGATGAATCTTTTAGCTGATCGTGATCGTTTTCTGTCTAGGATGTCGCCAACGAGGTCATCATGTAAACAGCGCCGCTTACGAGAGGCTTGTTCGCATGGTGAGAACAGGAGAAGACGGAAATCGGGGACACGTTGTACCGCGGTGGATAATACCAAAACAAAAAAGACGTAGGAGGGAGCGCGATCAGGACAGGAATCGTCGTCATGTGTGGCCTAATACGAACTTGAATCTATGAGGAGGAGAACCGCAGGTCCATCATCCAGTGCATTGCGATTTTACTCGTATCCGAAACTTCGTCTGGATCTGGATCTGGATCATCACTCTCTGCTTTTGTTCTTCACTACATACATGCCAGGGATGACATCACGATTGGGATTGATGTAGAGATCATGAAAAAGATGTATATCAAACGCCGTTACGATGCAACCGACTGCAATGCTGGCTACGAACTGGTCATAATGGCAGACCGTGAAATGTGATAATCCGGTGCATTCGCATGGACCCATGCAGTACAAACGCCATATGCGATGCAGAGAAGAAGAACGCGACAAAAATCACCAGATCCTCTTGGCAATCATCTCATACCGCTTGACCGACCCCAGGTCCTTCTCCCCGCCCCTGCCGCCGCCACCCTCAGTCGCCCTCCGCTCCCGCTCGCGGCTCTTGCGCAGGCCCTCGGCGTCGTCGTCGTACAGCCACCGCCTGCGCTCGTCGCCGACCTCGACGGCCCCGTACCCGCCGATGCGCTTGGACCCCTTGGCGTCGTAGCTCTCCTTCTCGGCCTTGCCCGCCGCCACGGCGTGCTCGCGGGCCTTCATGCGCGCGTAGCGGTTGCGCGAGTAGCGCAGCAGCGCCATGCCCAGCAGCAGCTTGGCGACGAGGAGGACGAGGAACGCGATGAAGAAGACGATGACCATGGTCAGCAGCGCGATGAGGTCGTCGCTCGTGTACCGCCCGAAGAGGAAGTAGGTCGGCGAGTGCGCGCCCGCTGCCCCCGCGGCCGACGAGGCGTTGGTGCCGTTCACTCCTGCCGCGCCGCCGACCCCGGAAGCGGCGTATGGATAGCCGTGCACGGAGCGGCCGAGTGCGTTGCGGATGAGCGAGTCGAGACGCTCGAGGGACGCGGCCATGGCGGGGCTGGACGGGGTCGCGGTGCTGGACTCGACGACGAGCGATGTCTGCGATGACGGTGGGATGGGCGACGGCAGGTGTGTGGCGAGGAACATATGGTATGTCTGCACGGACGCGCGGATGAAGAGGCAGCACAGTGGGAATAGCGGCAGTCCGAGACGACGCGTGAGAGAGGGCGTCACGAAGGCCTGGTAGAGCACAGTGTTAGTAGTGAATCCAGACAAACAAGAATGGGATTGCAGAAAACATACATTCGTGTAGTAGTCCTTGCAGAGGATGTCAAGGATACGACTGTAGAAATTGGGTTTGATGTTGTTGAATTTGTTGATGTAGGCGTGCTTGATCCAGTCGACAATCATCTCGCTGCCGATGACAATCAAGAAAGGCGACAAGACCTCGCCGGATAGCAGCCAGGATGGTAGAATGGTAAAACTCGCCGGGATGATGGACGAGTTGTGCAGCGGGACTTTGACGCCCAAGTCCTCGGCGCCGGAATCCCCCCCGGCGCCCGGCACGGAGAGGCCGCCGACTTCGACAATATTGCGCATGCCGATGATGATGAGCATGATCCAAAGCTGGAAGCGCTCGACAATGTCGGCACACGTGAGCTGGAAGGTATTTTCCTTTTCGAAGCGTTTGAACACGGCACTCTTGACCTCGACGAATTGGTTCGACATGAGCAGTGTGAGCAGTGCGTTCGAATACGAGTTGACGGCGACGTTGAGTGTGATGACTTGGTAAAAGAGCACGACAGCGTGTGCTACGTTGTAGAGCAGCGCAAGGAGGAACATGCCAAAAGGAAGCATGATCTTGGAGCGGCCCGAGCTGTTGCGAGAAAGCGTCTCGGAGCTGAACAGACACTCAAACACGTCCTGGCCTAGTGCCGAGAGAAGGCGGTCGGATACCTCGAGCAGATTGTAAATGACGTAAAGCTTGATGTTGGACTGGGCGCGGATGAAGTGATACATACGGCTGGCGTCCAAGTTCATCAGCGCAATGGAGCTGAACAGAATGACCGCACCTTGCAGAAGATCGGCTTTGTGGAATGATGTGAGGTTCGACGGCATAGACTTTGTTCGTCGGTGCCGAAACGTCCCATGCAGAGGCCTATGCTGTGCTCCATTCATCCGCAGGGATTCGGGTTTCCGCGCCGACTGGCTTTCGCCGATGGGTCCGTTGGCTCCTGTGTTACCGTTGGCCGCCGAGGCAGACGAATCGTGGCGAGCTCTACTCTGGCTGCGAGACTCCTCCCCAGCAGACTGAGGAGCGCCATCAGCAGTGCTTGTCGTAGATATTGACCGTCCTCGACGTCCTCTGCGCCACATGCGCCCTAGTCCTTCCCATACGAAGCCCGTGATCCATCGTACTTCCTTGCCTATCACATACGCCCACCATCTGAAGAGAACACCCAGCGCCACGCAGAATCGTATAGGTAGAATCGTGAAGGTCCACAGCCAGGCATCGAGACAGGCGAGCACGCCAAAGTACATGGTACGTTCCAGGAACGACGGCAGGAGAAGGAAGTTCTTGAGCCTCTCAAACTTGACAGCACTTGACTCATAAGGCAGATCGCTCCCTTGTGAGTGGTGGATGTAAAGGGGGCTGGGCCGGTGACCTGCAAGCTCGAGCTGCAGGACGGTGGGAATGGACATTGGGGGCAGAGGGATGGCAGTAGGCAAGGGCGACACCGGCCGGATATCCGATATGTCGTGCCGGGCACTCGAGCCAGGCCTGGGCGTTGTAGCTGGAATCTTGGTGACACTTTCTAGATTCAGCGGGATCGGTCGGTGAGAGGGGTTCGACGAGTTCCTTCGACTTGAGGATAACGAGACTGGGGGCTGTGCGTTGGAGGTGCGGCGGTTAGTCGGCGGCGTCGAGACGGTCCTTGGACCAACGGCCGGACGGCCCGGGAGGGCACGAGCCGCGAACGGAGTGCGCTCTTCTTGACGTAGAGTGTCTTGCTCTCGCAGGGAGGCAGCCTGAGCTGCTGCAGACTGCAGCTGCTCCACGAGGGAGGGTCGGTTTCCATTCTCGACGACACCAGCAGAGAGGGGGTGACTGGGAATGGTCGCGACGGGGAGTGACTCGGGAGCAGCTGCGAGCTCCTGCATCTGATTTGCTGAGAGACGCCGTACAATATCGTGGTTGGACGACGATTTTGCGCCCGATGAGTTGCGATGTCTGCGACCCTGTGTGGCGGAGGAGGACTTGGCCTGGGTCGGGGTGTGTTCTGTCACAGCGACTTCGGCTGGAGAGTCATCGTTGTTCTCGAGTCGGGGAGCAGAGAGGATCTGCCTGTGATCCTGAACAAGGTCGGGGTTTGTAGCTATGTCTTCGTCGGTGACCGGTCTGCTTGCTGATGCAGGGGCTGCTCTGCGTGAGGGGGGTGGCGAGGGAGAGGTGGGAGGAGAGACCGACGGCGAGGGTAGTTGCATTGCTCTCCTGGAGACTGCACCGTGCTTGCCGGGTGCGTCGGCGTCGGTGTCGGTGTCGGTGTTGGTGTAGTTCTCGGCATATTCAGGCTGCTCTGGAGTCGCCGTGGGCCGGCCACGGTCTAGTCTTGCTCGGCTCAGGGACGGCGATTGTGACAGGTCAACAGATCCATCCTGGCCGTGACGATTGCCGTCTGGCTGTCTCCGCGACTCGGCCATTCTGGACGGGTCGAGTGCGTGTGTGGCCGTATCTGTGGACTCAGGTCATGGTCGACGTAGTTGACTGCGTTGCGCTTGCTCGCCTTCGGTGTCTGGAGAGCAAGCCGCACTCGAGGTGTTTGATAAGAAGTCAGATATCGTCGTTATTGGATGGACACATGCAGGTTCAAAGAACAGCTGCGAATCTTGAAACAATCTTGCAGATGGCACCACGGGGAGACGCGAGTGGAGAGTGGACAATGCTTAATTTAGCCCCAGTTGTCTTCTCCAGGGCCGATTTGGCGGCCGGGCCTCTAAAACGTGGGGGCATTTGCCTTGAGGGGTGCAGCAGATCAGCGTCCCAGCGCGCTAAAGTGCCTGAATTGGATGCCCGCGCACTCCGATTCGCCGTTCTGCCATTGATCCAACCTTGGAATTCTGGTCAATTGACATTGGAATTGAGGGTGGTTGTTACAGTGTGGATTCATCGCCGAGTGAGTCAGTCCAACTTGCGTTCAACTTCGCCTAACAGTATTGTAGATCCCTGATCCTTTACAAACAGATCTTGGGCGAATCCTGTGCCGCAAAACGGCGTGGGCACATGCATCTGCGTCCCAGCGGCGGACCACTCTGTCTTACGTATTGCTTGCATGCGGTGTTGGTCCTGGGCGGACCGTGGAAGTACTTGAACTGTAGGGAGTCCCGCCTCCTATGTTCTCTGGTCTCCAGTCCTTGGCTTTGCTCTCTTACGTACGAGTACTCTGCTTTACTCACTTTTCAGGTCTATCCACAAATTTAGATCTTTCGTAATACTTTCTCTTTTTCAAGGCCTTGGCGTTTCTTGTCATTGCTCGGCATAGGAACGACCACGGAACCGGAACAGGCATGTCGGATGCGGGCCTTGCGAACGGCGGACCCTCCCCGGTGTCGACAGCCAAGGTGGCCCTCCGAGTCGACCTGCCAGCTGCATCCGTAGCCGAAAACGCTGGCCTGGTTGAGCATCTCACTACGTTCATCAACTATGCCTTCACGACGAGCGAGCAAGGCATCTGGGACCTGGACAAGCCCAAGTTTGAGCGTCTTACCGCAGACAAGACACGGGATCTGCTGAGGTCGCGAGAGCTCGCATTCGTTTGGAGAGGCGACGCTCCGGACATAGCATCGGCGCTCGACAAGCTCGGTCCTCCGTGTGTGGTAGGGTCAGTCCGTCTGCATTGGGCCGAGCCTCAAATCGGCGACGTGAGCCTGGTGGCCTGCACCAACTCGGTTCGCGGACAGGGCGTGGGCCGTGCCATAATGCGCTTTGCCGAGGAGCATTTCAAGCGGGAGGGCGGCAAGGCGGTGCAGATCGAGCTGCTTGTGCCACAGGCCGCACCGCACCCGGAGAAGGTCAAGCTCGATGCCTGGTACCAGCGGCTGGGATTCGTCCCGATCCGGATGGAGGAGTTCCATCTGCGATACCCTCATCTGGCCCCGCTCCTGGCTGGAGAGTGCTTGCTCAAGGTGTACGAGAAGCCTCTATGAAAAAAATGAAAGCCACACCTTCGACGAAGGGGGACGTCGTCATGCGCTCACGAAGGCAATGTACGGGGGAGGTAGCGTTGAAGGGTGTTGCAGAGAGCCGATGGGTGCGATAATAAACATTAAATGTTTCAGGTCAAATGCACCGATGGGAGGCGTGAACGGGACCAATTCCCCGACAATATGCTGTGACAACATGGTGGCGGCTTCGGAGTCCGGCTGTGTCGTCTTACAAGTAGTTCTGCAATATGCCCACCAGTCCGGTCTTTGGAACAAGCCACGAACATCCGAGCACGACCATCCATCCCTTCTTAATGATTTGGCATCGCCAACCCGGCGGAAACGAGACTTGGAAACGATGACACATTCAAAACAATCCCAATCCCGACTCCCAGGTTGATTATTGTCACCATCGGGGCTCGGGCGGGTTGAGGAGAAAACTGTACCCGACGACTGGAGAACGGGTGGAGACTGAACGGCGGTGATTGGGCTGCAAAAGGGCATAGCCGCCGTTTTGGGACGGGAGCTGAGGGGATTGCTAAGCATTTGTCTCGCTGAACAAAGAAAACACTGAGGATTCTCGAGTCGGAGACCGCACTCGAGTGGAGTGGCCGTCGCAGCTTACATCCACACGCTGGGGATAGCATTCCGATAGCTCTACCTGCTCTGTAGCGCCATAGTCCAGTTGATAAGACAGAGAATTTGCCGCGGTATTTAAGACGCGAGTGCACCGCTTGATGCGACTTGACGCACGTCATTGGAAGTAACAAAGTAACAGAGAAGCTATTCGCACGCACCTCACTACCTAGGTACCTAGCTTGACCTACCTAACCCCTCCACCCCTCTCTTCGTCCGTGTTCAAAGGAAGACATCAATCTTGAACTCGCCCATCCATCGAGCAAGCCAGCGTCCTCGAAACTCTACCTCTCGTCTCTCAACCACCTGCACCGACACACACCGACACAATGGCCTCTAACCCCCCTGGAAAGTGCTGCACTACGGGCTTTAAGCACGAGTAAGTCGTCCCCCGTTCAGCCAACAGCCCCTTGCCTATCAGCTCCCTGCCCCGCACCGCACCACCAAGATCAAGCTGCCCACAGTCAGCTCTTACCCCTCTCCCCGCCCAGCGCAAAAGTCATTTGAAGTTGTCGACACAGGACGCTGACCTTGGCATCTGTCACTGCTTGGAACAGAGGCACGCCCACCGGCAAGGTCGTCAAGGTTGCCGGCAAGTGGGATGCCTACGTCGCCAGCCCTCCCGCCGACAAGGCGCACAAGGATGTCGCCATCCTCTACATCCCCGACATCTTCGGCATCTGGCAGAACAGCCAGCTGCTCGCCGACCAGTTCGCCTCCGACGGCTACTACACCATGGTCATCGACATCCTCAACGGCGACCCCCTGACCCTCGACCAGTTCGGCACCGTCGATCTGCCCAAGTACATTGAGCAGGGAAGCACCGGCGACAACCCGCACAACCCTCCCGCCATCGACCCCATCGTCAAGGCTGCCATCAAGGCCCTCAAGGAGGAGCACGGCGTCAAGAAGATTGGCTCCGTCGGCTACTGCTTCGGCGCAAAGGTAAAAGGCAGACCAGAGTGACGCACAACTCGGGACACCAAAAGCAAGGCTAACACCCCTCCTTCCTTCGCAGTACCTCGCCCGTCAGTTCCACAAGGGCGCCGGCATCGACGTCGGCTTCTTCGCCCACCCCTCCTTCGTCTCCGAGGACGAGCTGGCCGCCATCTGCGGCCCCCTCTCCATCGCCGCCGCCGAGACCGACAGCATCTTCCCCGTCGACATGCGCTACAAGTCCGAGGAGATCCTCAAGAAGACGGCCCTCCCTTACCAGATCAACCTGTTCTCGGGCGTCACGCACGGCTTTGCCGTGCGCTGCGACCTCAGCGACCGGGTCCAGAAGTTTGCCAAGGAGCAGGCCTACTGCCAGGCCGTCGCCTGGTTCAACCAGTACCTGCTGTAATTGTGCGCGGCTGGTGAATTGGGAGTGAGAGAACTGGACTGCCTCGGATATTGTCATGACGAGTTGACGCGAAAACTGCGCCGAGACAATGTCCCGTTTATGCTAGCTTAGAACAGCCATAGCAGCAACTGAAAATATGAATACACAAAAGTCGAACCTAGACGCTGCCAACCCTATGTATTAGTAGCCATCCTTTGCTGATACCGTGCTTGATGTGGTCGTCTTCGGTGTGCGTGGTGCGGATACATGATTTGCAGCCGGACAGCAGCCTATGTTGATAGATGGCTCCGGATCCTGGTAAGCACTTCGGCGTTCTTCTCCAAATGAACACTGTGGTTTGCCTCCTTGACCACGAAAAGCTCGGCTCCAGGTATCTTGGCAGCAATGTATTCGGAGTGCTGAACGGGGCAGATCCAGTCCTCCGAGCCAACGACCACGAGTGTCTTGGCCTTGATCAAGGGAAGCTTCTCCCTGTAGTCAAAGTACTTTTGCTCCTCATTGTACAGGTCATCTTGAGACGGTGGTTAGTAGAGTGAAGTGTGGCCGATACTATTAGTTGATCATGAGGAGCCTTGATAGCCAATAGGGACTTACTATGAGACTCCGCATTGTACATGTTGTTTAAACAGCTTGCGAGCGCGGCGTTTGCGTCAAAGATTTCGCTATACAGAGGCATCATAGCCAGATGCACCAACTGAAACTCGAGATCGCTTTGGAATGCCCCAAAGACCTTTTCTTTCAGCATCTCCACCGAGAAGCTCGGGGCTTTGTGAACTCTTTGCTCCAAGACCTTGATAGCATCTTCCTCCTCTACAAGTCCGGCATTAGCTTGAGAAAGCGTTCGTGGGAGCATAAAGCCCTGAAGCTTTGGTGAAGAAATCTGAGACTAACGGTGATATGAGGGTGCAGTACCCCGGAGGATGAGATGTGACAGGTTGTCCGGATACTTGATCGCGTAGTGCTGAGCGAGGAAGCCGCCAAAGCTACCTCCACATATGATTGCTTTTTCTGATCCGGCAAACTTTGCACGGATGGCCTCGATGTCGTCGACGATCTGGTCAAAGGTGTAAGGCTTGGTTGGTGAGCTCTTGCCGTGGCCTCTATAGTCAAACGACAGGACACGGTACTTGTCGCACAGCGGACTGTAAGCCTTGTAATCAGACCTGTGATCGCCTAGACAAGCAAGGCTTAGCAAACTCTCAGGGTATTGGCTGTTGCGAACGGCTTGAGTGATTTAAGCATACCAAAGCCTCTCCCGCCATGGAGGGTAATGATCAAGGGAGCGTGGTCCGGTCCGCAGAGCTGGTACGCCAGCTTGGCATTATTGATCTCGACAAAGTCGACCATCGTATGTCTGAAAAAGTATTACTTTGCTTCTCTATGACAGAATAGCAATCAGCAGGTTCAACTGGGATTGTTTGGTATCAACCAGCCGCCTAAGATCTGTTGACTCTATAAAGTATCAGGATATGTACGGGTATGTTGCGGCAAGCTCAGGACAACTCATCTTCAACTTGGTGGACCTTGAATGTCACAGCATGTCGCGCACGACGCCGACAGCCGTGGGCGCACGGGACTGTTCAGGTCATTAGACACTGATCCGCACACGGGTAAAAGTGGTGCGCTCGGCTTGACACTGCAAAACGGCCATCTTCCCAGGGTCCTCTCTGCCCGACAAGCGAAGTTATGTGAGGGGTTGTCGCGGGTGCCCGACCAGTATTTCTCGATCAGGAAATTTTGGAGCTGGATGCACCCACAAGCCGGCCAACTGCCGCCCTTCCCAGCTCTGTTTCTGGTCCCAGAAGTCCATCAAATGAGAGATAGTGCTTGATAGCGCTCCTTGCGTGCTCGCCCCGTTGCGATTCGCCATCCAGAGTTGGTTCAAGCTAGGCCGAATTCCAGGCTGTGGTGTCAGTAGCTGAGGGCGATGATCTTTCAAGATAAAGGGTGTCAACCCACGCCCCAGATGCATGGGCGGGGAGCTTTCGCACCCTCTTTCGCATTCGCAAGTTTCCTTTGCATCTTCATCCACGCTATTATGCACCAGCCCATTGGGCATTGAAAGGAAACCCAGTCACATCCGACAATGTCGGCCCCGCAAGTCGAAATGGCGGCAGCCAAGGCCGGCGAGGTGGCTCCGATCCAAGCCGCGCCGGCCGTGCCCAGCGAGAGAAACTCGGCTCAGCTCGACGACGAGAAACCCGCGCCGGCTCCACAGCCCGCCGAGGCCGGCATCCGACGCTGGTTCCACTGGCACGAGCCCGGCACCTCGGCCGAGGAGAAGAGGCTCATCTTCAAGCTCGACTGGTTCCTGCTGAGCTACTCGTGCCTGTGCTTCTTCATCAAGTGGCTCGACTCGAACAACGTCACCAACGCCTACGCCTCCGGCATGGCCGAGGAGCTTGGCTTCGGCGCCGGCAACGAGCTCTCCTGGATGAACACGTACTTCACCATCGGAAACCTCGTCGGCGCCTCCTTTGCCAACCTCATCATCACCGTCATCCGGCCGCGCTTCTGGCTGCCGTTCTGCCTCACTGTCTGGTCCATCTTTGTGCTCTTCTTGTACAAGTGCCAGACTGCGCCGCAGTTCTACGCTCTGCGCTTCTGCATTGGTCTCTTCGAGTCGGCCGCCTGGCCTGGCATCACTTGGACTCTCGGCTGCTGGTACCGCAAGAGTGAGCTGTCGCGCCGCTCAGCCCTGTTCGTCGTGTCCGGTGTTCTCGGTCAGATGTTCTCTGGCTATCTTCAGGCAGCGCTGTACTCTGGCATGGAGGGAAAGGGCGGCATGTCGGCCTGGAGGTGGTTGTTTATCTTTGACTTTATCCTGGCCGTCCCTGTTGCCATCTACGGAATTGTGAGTTGCTTTCACGAAACAGTGAAACCGAGAGAACGAGGTGCTAACACCTGGGCGATAGTTCTGCCATCCTGACACACCGCACAGCACCGGTGCTTGGTACCTGAACGAGTGGGAGCGCCAGCGCGCGCGCGAGCGCATCGAAGAGGAGGGCCGCAAGCCCGTCGGCAAGATGGACCTCACCGTCATCCGGCGCATCTTCCTCTCGTGGCAGGTGTACGCCTTCACCATCGCCTACTCGCTCTGGACCCTCACCGTCGGCTCCTACGTCATGCAGTACTTCACCCTCTACCTCAAGTCGACAAAGTGGTACACCATCCCGCAGATCAACAACATCCCCACCTCCATCGGCGCCGTCAACTTTGTCGTCATGCTGGCGACGGGCTTCGTCTCGGACAAGATCGGCCGCCGCGGGCCCGTGTGCCTCGCCGTCGGCGCCCTGCTGACATTCAACTACATCGTCCTGACGGTCTGGAATGTGCCGCACGGCCTGCGCATGGCCGTCTTCATCCTCTGCGGCTGCTATGGCTGCTTCACGCCGCTGCTCGCCGGCTGGGCCAACGAGGCCTGCGGCGGCGACCAGCAGAAGCGCGCGTTCGTCCTGGGCTTCATGACCTCGGTCGGCGGCGCCGTCGTCATCCCCTTCCAGCAGATCCAGTTCGCCAGCTCGCAGGCGCCCAGGTTCGCCAAGACGCACGGCTGGGCCAGCGCACTCGTCTTCGTCATCGCCCTAACGCTATGGACCGGTTTCGGCATCCCGCTCTGGCAGAAGTGGGCCGAGAAGCGAGTGCAGGTCGATGATGAGGACGAGGAGAGGGCGAGGGACTAGGGTGATGGATGTTGGTGCTGTTACTAGTTGTGGTGATGGAGGTGGTGACATCGATGAGCAGCAAGTCCCGAAGAGTGGGGAGAACTTGATTGATACTACACTGGATCATTTTATACCTTCTAACTTGCTAAATGGCAAAACGTATTCTTGAGGCCCATAAGATGTTTTGTTTGGTTTGTTACGGCCAAGCTCCAATGGGTTGTTGCTCTTGCCGAGAGGAGGTCTTCAACACCGTCCCTCTCCTCCTCATGCTTCTGTATTGAACCCATGCCTGTGAGGACACGATCCTGACGCGTTAATCTCCTTCGAGTAGATCACAGATTGCCTCCGCTAATAAGAATATGTCAAGCGTCATATATGATGGCATTCAGATATTGCAGGGGTCTAGGCCGCAACAGCGATGGCTCCCCTAAACAGTGTTCGTTGCTATGCATGCAGTTAACGCATGTCCGTAGAAGTGGTATGAACAATATCTGACTTACTGAAAAGAGCACTGAAGCAACAAGGGCCACTGCCGCGCTGACATACACGAGGATGAAAACCCTGTTCATTGCCCCGACAATGATGCCCACTACCTGGACACGCAGCTCTTCTGATAGTGAATGGTAATAGGCACTACTTGTTCCCGAGAGTAAAAGCTGCAACTCGGTCGCAGAGATACTGGGCAGAGCCACAGCCAAGCCTGCCGTGGCAGTATTGATAAACAGAGAGCCCGCGACTGAGAGCCCGAAGGCGATGCCACCAAGCTGGGCTGTATGGATGCATGTCAGTGACCTAGAAGAAGATCTCACCGCCGGCCTTCAAATGACTTACCAAGCATCATGTAACTGATAGCATATGCCAGGTCCGCTGGTGCTGTGACCGCTTGGATGACAGCATACCCAGCCTGGATGAAGGCACCCGTTCCCAGGCCTACGAGAATCTCAAATCCATAGATACTTGCAATCGGTGTATCATTTCCGATATGAGCTTCTCAACAGGTTAGTGGGTATTCGACATGTGCATTCCAGAAAGACACAGGACGTACCTAGGAGAACCCCGCCAATCAAGGCGAGGATGCTTCCGCCAACGTACCAAGGCTGGAAGTGACTGAACCGGGACATGAAATGGCCGTTTGCTAGGATGGCAGCACTCAGCACAAAAATCAAAGGCAGCAGCCGGATGGCCGAGTCGATGGCACTGTCCCCCTTGGTGAACTGGAAGTAGAGAGGGATGTAGTAGATAGGTATGAAGCCAGCTGCGTTGACGGCGGACGCACAGATGTACAGGAGCACAGCATTGGGGTTGCGTAGGAAATGAGAGGGGAAGATCCTATTAGATTTGCTCGTGAGGATGGCGTAGTCCTGTTGAATGCCGAACACGAGGAAGAGAGCACCGGAGACGACAAAGAGGGCGATGGTCTGGCCGCTGTTCCAGGGGTACATGGCTCCGCCGAAGTTGATGGCCATGACAATTGTCATAATGGCACCTGTGCTGCAAATCGTCCCAACGCCGTCGAATTCTCGGATCAGATTGATCACACTCGTTCCCGCACGAGGTTTGTAGGATGGGATCAAGAAGAGATAGACAGGTGCGAAGAGGCCGGCCACGACCAGGTTGATGTAGAAAGCCCATCTCCATGTGGCTGCGGATTGGGCAAATGCGCCTCCGACCACTGGGCCAAGGACGGTGCCGATGCCCCAGACAAGGCCAACAAAGCTCAGATACCTAGGTCGCTCTCTGTCTGAAGTATTGACAGACAGCAAGGTCATGACTCCCAAATACATGCCGTTTCCGCCCATGCCGGCGAGGACACGGCCAATAATAAGTGCTTGCAGAGATGGAGCAGCGCCGCAGAGAGCGGATTCAATATTGAAGAGAGCAGACGATCCCACATAGAGCCATTTGGCATCGAAGAGGCCATAGAGTTTACCAAAGGGGAGGACTGCGGTGCAGCCGCCGAGGAGGAACCCGACGGACAGCCAAGGGAGGTCTATGGCATCACCGAGGGTCTCCACAGCCGCAGGCATGATATCCGCAACGACAGTGTTGTCGAGAGAGTAGAGGAATATGCTTGAAAGAATAGCGACCACGACGAGGAACCACTAGATGCAAACATGTCAGCATCTCTTTTTCCGAGACAGAAATCATCCTTCTTACTCGAATCCCGTGTATTGACCTGGACGCATCTTCAGCAGACTTGGATGAAATGCCTGATCGAGGTAGACCTGCCTCCGGGTCTGAAGTCAATTCCTTTCCCCCATTTGATGGTATCTCGGGGCCGCTGTCTGTTCGTAGTACAGAGGACATGGCTGGAGAAATGAGATGCTGAGAGGTTTCCTCTTCAAGAAGGAATTAGTATGAGCCTGTATCAGATCAGGAGTCAATGTACTATATGGCAGACTGGACGATGGACATTGCTTCACTGAAACTTGGTAACATTTAAGTACAAGCAATTGATGTTTCGTAGACACGACAATAAGAGTAGTGATTACTTCAGCAACGACACTGCCTGAATAGGAAACCTAATTTTGAGTACTGAAAGAATCCGCCGTGGGATAGATAGAATTACAGCCGACCCGATTTGATGCAGACAGGCAAGTGATGGTCAGATTAGTTGACAGACTGCTAACAGAAGTACTTGACTATCCATCGAGCCCATTGGATTTAGGTAGTGGGATAGCCCTTCTGAGTTCTAGGGTAAGGATGTGACAAGGATATTAATTGCTAAGATTGAGGTAGCTCCTGATGAACTTCTGTCAACTATTCAGACACCCACTTTACAGGGAGTCAATCATTTCTCTCAGGCAAATCCACAATATCTTACTGTGCACTAGTCCGGAACAGGCTTTTCCGAAGGTGCTACCAAATCGAGAAATTGATCAAGGAACACATCGATCATTACTCTAAGCATTTTGATCCTAGTGGAAAATTCTCGATTAGTGTTGTGGACGTTGTGAGCATCTTGGTCATTGAATTCTCAAAGGAAGCAATTTGCAATTCTTGAAGCTTCTACTAAACGAGAAGTGAGGCAGATCTTTGTTGACAAAGCCATCCCTTGTGCTAGCCAACACCCCAATTTCTTTCACTGGAAACAGGCATGAATCTCCGTGGCTGCCCGTGAAAGCCTGTCCATCATCGATTGGATCTTTGACTGACGAGCTCCAGACCCAGCAATTTTACCTATCTCTTCAAGCAATGCTCGAAAGTTCCGCACCTGCAAGTTCAACAGCCCCTGAACCATATAAACCTGCTCCTCGTCAGAGTACTTTCCCCGAATCTCACCCGAAAACAACTCCATGTTGCAGGTGCCCTCCATCGCTGCGCTGCCGCTCTCTGAACAGAAAAGTTGTGCGGCGTGCACCTGGGCTGCGGGTATCCCACTGAAACCATGCCAACTGCGAGCTTTTTCAGAGAGCATTTCTTGTGGATTCGTCCGGGTAGCCCTCTGAACCCTAACATGAATGCACTCGAACATCTCAGTGAGCCGATCGCAGATGACAAGCACAACCGTGAGAACTGTCGGGAGTGACCGGCACCTGGAGCAGTCAAGGAATTTCCCACCATGCGCGATGATGCCTTTCTGTATCTCTATGATCTGGTCGAATGACCGTAAACGTAGCTTCCATTTGTCCTCGTCGAGGTCTTGCACCGTGAGGAGAGCATCCTCGAAGCAAGAGCAGTGATGCCATGAAGCCCCGGCAAGGTTTGAAGCATCAGCACTACTATCAGTAATGGAGGGTGGTATAGAGTCCAGTACTAAGCCAGCGGCGTCCGTATTGACCGTTTGTGGAGGAGATTGAATCGGAAAATCTCCAAAGGTTACGCTGCTCAAGGGGTCGATCGAGTTTAAATCGCTGATACAGTGCGATTTTGGCCCCAAGAGCCGATCAGATTGTGGGTGGTCCGGATGCTGGCTATGCTGGCTGAGTGCTGCATCACCCAAGAAAGACACTGTCATTTTGTTAGCCAGGGTCCCATGTCAGGCCCTGTATACCTTACTCTCGAGGAGGTTATCTGGAAATCTGTCGGCCCATTCATTGCTCGGGTCATCTTCCCCGCTCAGAAGAGAGGGTATGATCATGTCATGCTCGACTTCTAGGCTTGCCACTAGGCCTTGCGGCGTGGACGGAGCCTTGGACGGCTGCGTGGCTGGCTTGTCCGTACGACTTGCTGATGGGGTACAAGGGATTGCTCGGGCGATGCACCGTTCGCAGTCTGCCATACGTCCAGTACAACGTAACTAGGAAGAATTCTCGTCAGTCATTGACATATACCTGTGAGATAGCTAACAAACCTTGCGTCTCTTGCATGCGGCGCAAACTGGTCTTGAACGTGTCCTGGCTTTAAGAGTGCTACGTGAGGCGACCTGCTCCATACTGGTGGCACCGTCGCCGGCCTCTGCCGGAGGGGCTTTCAATGTAATGAACATGGTCTTGTAGATTGCTAGTGAAGCTCGGAGGTATCGCGGTGAATGCGAGCCCTTTGAAGGGAGTAGGAGGAAAAGATAATTCCAGTGGGCCAATCTCCCTGTATGTAGAATTACTAATGATCATTTGGTGTCAGCGGCAAACGAATCCATGCTCCCGCCAATTGTAATGGCTCGTATGGGGCCGACTACAGGGCCGAATATCACCACTAAACCGCTCCATGTTAGTGGTCTGGTCAACCGACGAAGATGGCTTCCCCGGTAGCAACTTGGGCGCAGAATAGGAGCAGGCAAATGGACTATCAGGACTTGGGCACTCAGGTCTATGTCCCAGCAGCAGGCCATAATGCCTACCAAGTGGAAGATATGAGGCCTCCATGGGAAGACTATGGACGGCCAAACCCGAGTCGCTGGGGACATAAAGTTGGTTTGATTCTGATTCTTCTACACATCATAGTCAACTGCAAGGCTGTCGCATCTAACGTGCGAAAGAAGCTGATAATCGTTGTAAGTTACCTCTTAACCATGTCAATACATTAGATTACAAAAAGTCCAGCTCCAGTGGCCCCCAATCATAGTTCATTACAGCATCATCCCCTGGAGTACCGCTGGCGAGTGCAAGCGAACTCCTGCTCGGCCCTAGTGGGGATGTGTTCATCGACTGGTTCATCAGTGAGAAGCCGACCGAGGCATCCCGTTCCTCTGGCATTTCTTGGAAGCAATAGCACGTTGTACGTCCCAAAACATCTTGCATAAGCGACAGGAAAGCAGACATTGCTGGCTTGAGCAGGTTCTGGAACGACTCTTTCGAATTTCCCCCTTGCCCGTTGACAAAGATCGCTTGTGAGTAGTGCAAAGGTCCATAGTCTGAGACGCCGGATATGACGTCTATAAACTGCCGCAGGATCTCCGCCCCGCGCTTTGCGTCAGCCCAGCCCTCCGGAAACGCGTCCAGGATCGCGACCATGACGGCGGCCTCATCACGGGCTGGGAAGGCAGCGCATTCCGCGGCACAGGCGATGAAGCCGTGCATCAGGATCAGACCGACTGGGAGCAAACGGCAGAGTGTGACGCGATTCAGGGGCAACTGGCGCTGCTGAAAGAGTGCCGAAGTGGATTGCAAATGCTTCTGCGCGAAGCGAAGGAGTTCCGATCTGGACACGAGTGGACCTAGTGGCCCATATGTATTGAAGTGCGATGGGTAGTAGAGCAGGAGGAGAAGATGATAATACTTGGCGCTGAGCCAGGTAATGGAGTTGTGAATAGGGACGTTGTCCGGTTCCAGAGGCGAGACGAGACAGCCATTGCTGTACCAGTTCTCGATGTCGGCGCGAATATCTTGCGCGACTGCGCGGCGGTCGGCGTGAGTGAGGGAGCTAACGTCTGTGTGCTTTCGGAAGTGGATGTGTCGCAAGATACTGTCTTCCATCTGGCGCAGTTGGATGACGTGCCGGCTTGTCTGTAATATCATGGCGTGTTGAGTCCGCTCTGGAGAGGCAAACTCTTCAATCGTGAGCCCAGGCAGCGGGACGTCCATGTTCTCGTCCATCAATGCCACGGGGAGCCCGAGGGACGCCGCCATCATCCGGTCGAGCACATATATACTCCAGAAAAGTCGATGACGTAGCTCAATGGCTTGAGGGGATAGATCCTTTTCATCAGAAGCACGTCGAGTGAGGCCCAGGAGCATAGCTTGTCGAGAGACTATGCCTATGATGGAAAAGGCTGAAGTGCCTTGGGGATCGAAGAGAGAATAGAGAGCTAACAAGACTAGAATCTGTACAGACTCGATAGAAGTGCGGTTTAGACACTCTTGGATAATATCTGAATATGGCACCTCGAACTTAGATGCCGTGTCGTCGGGAATCTGGCCAGCCCGCTGAAGAGTCGTACAGCCAATGGCCATGATGAGGTAGAGCAGTGTAGATGACGGATCCCGATCCCGTTTGGCAAAGTCCCCGAATATCTCGAGATCAATGAGGACCTTGGCACGGTCAACAAAGGGGTAGGCTCTATTGACGTTGCGGAAGTAGGCATCGACGAAGCGCCTTGCCACGGCATCTTGGGGCAATGGCCCTGCTGGAGAGAGGTCGACATCGCCGAGAGGACTGGTGGTGGAAGCGGCGACAGACGGAGGGTTCTTAAACGGGCGTATGGACGATGCAGAGACGTGCGTCACACACGTTTGTGCCCCTGGCGAGGAGTCGACTTCTTCATTGTCGGTTTGTGTCCTCCGTCGCAATTGTGTAGTGCTCATAGGTAAGCGTTCCCTCTCAAGACCCGAGATGGGGGACTTGTTTGTCGTATGAGTGATATCTGCGGGAGATGGATGCGCCCCAATTATCTCGGTAAGGTCGGTCCCTGTCTCAATGTCCTCGACTCCCGCGGGACCAACAAGCAGGTTCTCGTTGATGTAGCGCGAGAGCCAAGCCACCCGTGCGCGCAAGTGGTGTGTCTGGGCGGCATCGGACGATACCGGCGTGGAGAAGGAGCACTTTTGGCCAGCATTGGCGCAGAGAGTACAGACGGGGAAAGTCCTGCTGCACTTCTTCTTGAAGGTGCGGCATCGGTCGCATGCGGGAATATCGCGTGCCGAGGACTTCTTGGGCGCAGCTGTCGTTATGGAACCGGAGCCCGCGGCCAGCGACAGTGGTGAGGTTTCCTGCTGTTTACTGCGCTCGTCGACATCTCGTTCTGGCGATGCAATGGGGGAAGCGGACCTGCGGCGAGGAGCCGCCTGACCCTCGGGTCCGTCTCCGGATACCAGTGAGGTACGACTGAGCCGGAACCGGTGTAGGGACGACCTCATATCCGCCGCCATGCTCTCGAGCGTTAGGTGCGTCTGGGGAGCCCGCCTATGTGGGCGGGCAGTGGGCCTGCAGGCCTGATACGCCCTGGAGCATGAAACCTCGATTCAGATCGTCCAGTCTGTGCTTTACCCCGGATTTTCTCGAACGGGTGCTTGCCGCGATGGATCAGAGAGAGATGGGGTTGTTGCTTCGTCGGCAGCTGGCCGACAGGAAGGGGATATATGAAATCGGGACAGTAGATTAGAGAGGTAATTGACTGATAAGACGGTGTAATGGTGCTATTGCTTATGGTGTGGCCAGAGGTGAAGCGCTTGACTCATGTGCATCGGGCCAGCTCCGATGTAGGGTGAGGATGACCGTGTGTCGGGTCAAAGGCGACAAGAATATCCACATTTGGTAATTTACTTTCTTCAGAGGTGGTCGGCCAAAAGCCCGCGGGCCCCGGCGCTCCCAAGCTACCATTCGATTTCAAGTTGGCATGGTCCGATCTAGGCACGTCCACAAGACGGGTTAGTGCAAAATCATATCTGATATGGATCGCGGACCCTGACCCTGAGTACATCAAGCTCAAAAGGGTCGAGATTTCGAGCCCTGATATGATAAATCATGCTCATCTGAGAAGACAGTACTCGAATACGCTACTGTTTGTTCGCTGCTCGACTGTACGGCAAAGGCTGCGATATCAACTTCTTTCTTCTCCATCCGTCTCAGGCATTGCAGCATTTCATCAGAGCATAGCGGGATCCAGGAGTTATCACAACATGTCACCCATGTATCTGGATGAGAAGCTCGGCGTGGACCGCGTTGCCATCATAGGCGCCGGACCATGCGGACTCGCTATGGCAAAGTTGGTCCGCATTTTCCAGTCTCGACAACTTTCTTACTGATGCATCGACAGGTACCTTCTGGCGGAGAAGAAGTTCACGAAGATTGAGGTTTTTGAACAGAGGGCTTCAGTCGGCGGTGTTTGGAACTACACACCCTTGAATGTCATTGACAATGACTTCACAGTCCCAAGGACACACCCCACCAAGCTCCCAGACACAGCAGTTCGGGTCAACAACTCGGAGACTGCCCAGTTCGTCTCCCCTGTCTACGAGTTTCTCGAAACGAACATCCCACATAGTTTGATGAATTATGCGGATCAAGGTTTCCCATCGGGCTCATCACTGTTCCCCAAGCATGCTGTGGTCAAGCAATACCTCGTGGACTACGCGGCGGAGCTGCAGCCTTACCTGACACTGCAAACACAAATCCTGGACGTCTGCAAGTCCCGTGCTGAGAGCGGAAAGAGCTGTTGGGAGCTTCAGATTCTCGATCTCAAGAGCAACCAAACAAGGAAGGAAATGTTCGACGCTGTTGTTGTAGCCAGCGGCCATTACAATGATCCTTATATCCCTGACATCAAGGGATTAGCTGAGTTCAACGAGACTCACCCTGGGGCCATATCACACTCAAAGTTCTACCGGCGACCAGACCAATACCAAGACAAGGTACCGTATCACACATGCATCCTCGAGAAGTTGTTTCTGACTGACGAAACCATCTAGAAAGTCATTGTGGTGGGTAACTCAGCCTCGGGGATCGATATCAGTGCACAGGTCGGCACTGTGTGCAAGCAGCCGATCATTGTCTCTGAAAAGTCGACACCAGCAACGCCGGTAGAGAAGCGTTCTTATGTCAAGTCGGTACCGGAGATTGTAGAAGTCGACTCAAAGACTCGGTCCATTCGATTTGCCGATGGAGACGTCGAGACAGACGTCGACGCCATCGTCTTCTGCACGGGTTACTTTTACTCATACCCCTTCCTCAAGAGCCTTTCACCGCCCGTGGTTACAGATGGGTCTTGCGCAAGGAATCTCTACGAACATGTCTTGTACATTGACGATCCCACTCTTGCCTTCCTTGGCATCCCGCAACGCGTTGTACCGTTCCCTATCGCTGAAGTCCAGAGTGCTTGGGTCAGCCGCATCTGGGCGGACAGGCTCCCAATGCCTCCGGTGGAAGACATGCGAAAGTCAGAAGAAGCGACTTTCCTTGCCAAAGGCGCACGAGCAATGCATAATATGGCCTTTCCCCAGGATGCTGATTATATAAATCGTCTTCACGATGCCGCCGTTTCGGCCAAGCCAGTACAAGGCCTGGACAATGAAGGAAAGGGCAAGATCCCACCGTATTGGGGCGAAGACAAGCGCTGGGCACGAGAGCGCTTCCCTATGATCAAGATTGCGTCTCGAGCGCTTGGAGACAAGAGACACGAGATCCGCACCCTGAAAGAGCTAGGGTTCGACTATGAGGCTTGGAAGGCCAGCGGGTCGAAAGAATTGGAAGAGAAGTTGATATGATGCTGCGTCGATGAGAAGGACGACGCCGACGACGGCAGCATATTTTGTGTCGACTAGCTTTATTGAGTTACTAATCATAGAGTAGATTAATCTGAATTCTTGCTATCCTGCGCCTGACGGGTGACTGGTTCACTGCCAGTGGCTTTGCAACTATTTCAGGAGCACTCGCAAATCAGTTCTGCATGAAGATCTGTGGCCATTGTTTGACGGCGTCGGCAACCACAGGTCGGAGCTCCCCCGCCTGATAATCCAGGTCTGACGTCTGAGTATTCCAATCGATCTCCCATTTTTGCAACTGAGCCTTGAAGTCCTTTTGGTTGTAATTGCCCGTTGGAGTTTTGGCAAGATAATCCACAAACATCTGCCATCGCTGCTTGTAGTACTTGCCGACCAGTCCCGACCACTGCTTGGATGCGTAGTCTTCTATTTGGCCAGTCGGACCCCAAAGAGTGATCTGGTTTCGTGCATTGTACTCGAAGAAACTCGCAATGGAGAGATTGGTTCTTGCGTTGGCCCTGGCGGAATCGATCCATGTCGAGAGGCGGAAGTGCTTGTTGGTCGAAAGAACCTTGTCCAGTGTCTCTAGGAGACTGGTCAGGTTCTCTCCAGCAGCTCGAATCTCGGATTCCGGCTTGGCCGCTTTGTACGCGTCGACAAGAGTCTGGTAAAGAGGGTCGAAAGCGTTGACCAGAACTTGGCGAGTCCAATCTACGAGATCATACTGGTAGGCAGGATGAGCAAAGAGGAATGGCTTGCGGAGCCCTGCAGCGTATAACTGTTGCCAAGCCTGGACTAGTGTGTTGGGGTCATAAGTAATGACTGTCGAGTGGTGGCCTTTCCGCCCTGTCAGACCGGAAGTGCTTGGAAGTAATTCGAGGATCGACTTCGACACGGCATTCGTTATGCTTAGCTGTGTGTTGTTGTACACCGTTGGCCTCAACATTTCCCAGGCAGCGTATAGCTCTTTGGGAATACGAGTGCATTTGCCACCATACCGGGAAGAGACCCAGTCATGGAAATAAGTCTGGGTGTCAATAGGCTTCTCGCTCCAGCTCTGGTCCAGGAGTAAGTCGTATATAATCTCGTTGCCCTCCTGGCCCTCAGGGGAGAGTCCAAAGCCGACTAAATTCTTAGACTCTCGAACAGCTTGCATGCTGTTGATCGTGACATTTTCAATCTGACCATAGAGACCCATATTGCCACCATAGTCGTGGAGTTGACACCATATCCACGGCTTGCCGAAGAACGAATTTGTGCGCTGCCACTGAGGTGAACTCTCAGCAAAGAGATCAAGGATGAGCATATCAGAGTTCTCTGTCACGCCGCCGAGGAAGGCCTCAACGCGTTCGTTTGTCCAGTAGCTGGAATCAGATGCAAAGAGCCACCCCTGCATGACCCAGATTGCGTCCGGGTCGACCGCCTTGAGCGACTGCCACGTGTTGTGGCTCACATTCCGAAGGTAGTCTGGCTCACGCGAGCCCGGTTTGTTTTCATTGAACTGGTCCAGTGTCCAGTAGTGCGTGACGTTACCGAAAGCTTCGAGTTGTCTTGACATGAAGCTCTTTTGCAGCTGGAGAAAATGAGGGTCAAAGGGATCGAGGTAGGTATCGGCCGAGTACGGGGCCGAGAAGCCGCTCCATAAGGGGCTCTTCTTTGTGGCTGCATCGGGCCAGATGCGAGTCACGTTGGAGGGCACGAAACCCGGGAAAGCTGGCAAGATGGGAGTCATGCCAAGCTCTACCATGCGGGCCACAATCTTGAGCTGCATTTTGAACTGATCTTCGATCCAGTCAAAGGGAACATCACCTCCCCAGGAGCCCTGGATGTTGCCAAAGCGGTTCCACGCTTGAAACGCAGGGCCACTGAGGAATGAGCTGATTTCAGCATCGTTGAACCCGACTTCACGAAAGACATCGATGAAGATCTTCTCAACTCCAACCCACGCTAGCGGAAGGTTGATGCCACGGAGTGCCATCCAATCCAACTCCAACTCCCAATCTTCCCACGACCAAAATGCCATGGTGTATGAAGTAGTCACTAATCACAGCGGTCAATCTCCTAGTAGACGCACAGGGAGCATAATCGAGCACTAACCAGTGTTGAAATGGTATCGCAAGGGGACGACAGCAGAACCATTCAAGGGCTGGTCCAGCTTTGGCAAGGAAAGGGGAGCTTGGTCTAGACGACTGCCAATGTACCACCAGACGTCAAGATGAACGACTTCGGCTAGGTATCGATGAAGACTATCGTGTAGCATCAGGATCGGGTTCTCCAATATGACCACGAGCAGGAACAGTGCAACCGCAGCTTACCCTGATATGACAGCAGATGTAGATGTGCCTTTGACTTGGATTTTGCCATTGTCTGTTGAGGAGACCTCATAGCTATCCCTGACCCCATTCCCAGCAACTGCTGTATCCGAGATCACAAACTCAAAGGCATCAACATGTCGAGGCAAGCGGCGCTTGACAAGTGACTGGACACCAGCGGTGGATGATAAACTGGCAGAAACAACAGTGATAAAGGCTGGAATCACCCAGGCAAGGAGCGTGTGCACGCGCATCTTGGACAAAAAGACACCACTTTTCGCAGACCAAAACGGCTCATCAATGTGAGAATCACTGGCTTGCACCAGGGCATCGATAAACAGCCCGGAGGATTCATCTTCTTTTATTGGCAGTGGGTTCCCAGGCTCAGCCGTTCAGCGAGCTGATCTCCGTCACGTTGCGATGCGGGGAATGAAAGATGAAAGCGGCTGTAGTACTCGTATTATCAAACAGAGACCATCCCTGCTTAGATCGACAGCGCTTTGATTCCCATGTAACCGTTGGCTTGAGCGATAGCCCAAAAGATAGATCGGGCGTGGAAAACACGACCTGTAGGGCCAGAGAGTTCCACAGCATTATCCCAAACACAGCCAATGATCCAACCACGGGTGCAACGTTGCTGGGATTTAGCGGGAGGCGCACGTTCACCCCACCGCTCCGGGGCCGCCAACTAGACTACTCAAAAGAGGGAACCATGAGGCCGACATCGACGACGATACCGGACTGGGGGCGGATAAGGCAAGGGAGAATAGTGTTTTATTTCTTGATAGATGATTAGAGATCTGCGTCTCTATCTGGCACACGCACAGATAACAATTTGTATCTCACCACGCGTTGTAGCACTGCACGTGCCCCAGGACTCAAGGCCATGCCCACTTACGGAGTAGGTCCTCTGGATGTCCGATGTCGCTAAAGGTTGGCGCAACTCGACTAGAGTGGCGATTGACACCTTGACACCTTGCCGGGCGGATGCTCTGCTTCGCCTGGCTGGCATATAAGAACCCAGCTACTGGGACGAAAAGAAGATGAAGAAGAAAACCTCCTGGGGACATCAAAGATGGCAGCCTCGAATCCAAATAGGTACCGTGCGATAGGCATTATGAGGGGCCTGACATGCCTCGGTTTGTTCGGCTTCCCCGCATTCCAGAGCTCGCTGGCTTGGCGACACCTCCACACTACGCAATTACTCGGCTGAAGATGGGGCTGAATGCCTCACTCGGTTCGATTCAGCATCCGCTGGGAGTCTCTTTCGGCTATCGACAATTATAAGATCTCACAACCGAACTGCGTGCAAGTAGTAGGCTGCTGTTCTTTTCTTCTATGCCAATTGACCCAGACGATTCGACGAGAGATCCATCGCAGGTAGTTCCCTAGGGGAAATAAGCCAGCAAGGAAAGAAGGAAGCGGACTGTTCTCATCAGCATACAGAGCTTCTTGGCATCAATCATGTCTGACAGCAAGGTCACTGTTCCTCTCTCCGAGCCGCCATGGCTCAGCGGTCTTCCATCGCCCTACTACGACGACTCTCACCGAAGACTCCAGCGTGTGTGTCATGAGTTCATCGGCGAGCACCTGATCAAGCACGCCCTGGAATGGGAGACCGCCGAAGAGGTCCCATCTCATGTCTTTGGAGAGTTTGCAAAGGCCAACATGCTCTTACCTTCCCTTCCCGCGCCGCTGCCCGTCGAATGGCTGAGGCGTGTAGGCATAACAGAGATGCCTGGCGGCATTCCTGTGGAGAAATGGGATGCCTTCCACATGATGATCTATACCGATGAGGTGTGTATTCTCTTTGTACCATTGTGCCCTAATATGCGTCTGACGGTATGCGGTAGATGAGCAGAGCTGGCCTGGCTGGCCCTCCAGGGGCCCTCAACACGGGCATGGCTTTTGGCGTGCCGCCCATCCTGCACTACGGCGACAAGCAGCTGCAGGAGCGATTCTTGCCAGATCTTCTGCTTGGCCGCAAGAGAACCTGCATTGCAATCACTGAACCCGAGTAGGTCGACCTAACCAAAGGCGGGATTTTAATGCTGACATCAACAACAGCGCGGGATCAGATGTTGCCAACATCACGACAAGCGCCCACACAAGCGACTGTGGCAAGTATTACATTATCAACGGGACCAAGAAATGGATCACCAATGGTGTAATGTCGGACTATGCCACCATGGCTGTCCGGACTGGCGGTGAAGGCTCAGGTGCGAGAGGCATTTCTATGCTGGTGGTTCCCCTGAAGAACCATCCAGGCGTGTCGACGCGCCGGCTCAAGGTGGCAGGCCAGATCTCCGCTGGGACATCGTTCATCGAGCTGGATGATGTAAAAGTCCCAAAGGAGAACCTGATTGGAAAAGAAGGCCAGGGAATGAGCTACATCATGAACAACTTCAACCACGAGCGCCTATTCATCTCCATCGGGGTGACCCGCCAGGCTAGAGTGGCTCTGAGTGCTGCCTTCGAGTACTGCATGAAACGAGAGGCATTTGGAAAGGTACAGGCCACCTATTCTTCAACTTACTAGAACCTAGCTAATACCCTGCCTAGACTTTGATGGACCAGCCGGTCGTCCGCCATCGGCTCGCCAAGTGTGCCGCGATGCTTGAGTCGCAATCCGCCTGGGTGGAGCAATTTGTCTACCTGCTCTCCAAGCTTAGCAAGAGCGATGGGGACAAGGAACTCGGTGGCTTGACAGCACTCTGCAAGGCGAACGCAGGCATAGTGTTGGATGAGTGCGCTAGATGCGCCGTCTTGCTCTTTGGCGGCAATGGTTACACCCGAACTGGACAAGGCGAGATCGCCGAAAGTGAGTGCCAGCCTCTTTGAAAACTGCACACGGACGGACTTTGCTTGCGTGCTGACTTTTCTTTGCACTAGAAATCTATCGCGATGTACCTGGCGCTAGGATCCCGGGTGGGAGTGAGGATGTCCTGATGGACTTGGCCGTCAGGCAGTTGGTAAAGCGCTTCCAGCAGAAGACCAAGGAACTGGACGCACGGACAAAGAATTCACGCCTGTAGTGTTATGAATACAGCAGAGATAGATTGTGTAATAATATGAAGGCTCTGATCCGACATTGGGGTTTCTTAGAGTTTCAACGACCTTTGGGACCTTGAATACGCAGATCGATGAACCTCCCTGTTTGCTTCAGAGCTTCTCCAAAGTCGGCTTATGCGATTTCTCAACATCAATCCTTGGCCACCAAGGCACACAATCTGGCACGTCATGGAGAACACTCCCTTCAAACTTTGGCGCCCTCTTCTCCAGGAAGGAGGCGATCCCCTCGACTTTGTCTTTTTTGTCATAAAGCTGATACATGATCTCTGAATCGAGCAAATGGGTCGCCTCTGCCGAACCCGGGTTGCGCCACATCATCTCCTTCATGAGATATGTACTGACGGACGACGTGTTCTGCGCGACTTCTGTTGCAATCTCGAGGGCCCGCGGGAGGACTTCGGCTGGGGTGGGTAGAACCTCGGCAAAGAGGTCTCTAACCGCTGGTGAATCTGCTGTCACAATTGTCCCGGTAGTTGTGAGGTACCTTTCACAGTCAGCCACATGACGGATTCACATATGTGGCGATACAAATTCTTACAACGCTTTCGAGAAGCCAATCAGGCGGGGGAGAAAGAAGCTCGAACACGCCTCCATCACCACGCCACGACGTGCGAAAACGAATCCAACTTTTGCCGTTGCGGATGCGACACGGATTGCCATGGGTAATGTCATGGTCATACCGACCTTTGCAAGTTCAAGTTAGAGCCGTAGATCTGCGAACAATTGTGCATTCGACTCACTCCAACCGCAGATCCGTGGATCGCTGCAATCACGGGCTTGCGGCACCTGTGAATCGCCACAGTAAGACGCCCACCACTGTGAAATAATCAGCTAGGCTCGGCTTGCAGCGAGAAACTCTGGGGTTGTCGTTGACTAACCCATCTCTATGGTCTTTGCTTCTCTCGCCCTCGGCCCTGTGCAGGCCAACGTCGAGATCTGCCCCAGCACAAAACATCCTGCCTGCACCGCTCACGACCACGACCTTGACGCGGTCGTCAAGATCAAATAGCCTGATGGCATTGACCATATCATTCTCCAGTCCTTCAGTGAAAGCATTACTCTTCTCTGGTCGATTCATCTCCAAGATCATCACCTTTGTCGCCGTCGGTTGGTTGGGCGGGTGGGTGAGGATCCTCACATTCTGGAAGGGTATTTCCGAGTAGGAGCGCGGTATGCTCACGCGCGACATATTGTGGCCAAAGATGAGAAGATGTTATTAGTTTATCTAGACCAAAAATATATCCGTTGAGGAGAGTATCTATCGTTGAATGATGTGACGAGACGGAAAGCTCGAGTAAACTCGTGTGTTGATGTTGGAGATAGGTCGAGTGACCGGAAAACGACAAGCCACCAGCCCCACTCGGCCCGGCGAAGTGCCGAGCCTCAACGGGGTCTGACGTGCTCTGCGGCCTTGTACAGGCTGCTCCAGGCTTTTCCGTTCTTTGACATCGAAAGTCATCTTGCGAATTCCAAGGCCGATGGGCTTACAAAAACGGGCATTTCGGATGAAATTAGGGCATGTTAATCGTCCGCTTCTTCGATTCTATGTCCTAAGATTGAGGCACTCACTCTCCCAACCTAACCAGGAAGCAGCTCTCTGCTAGCGAAATGTATGAGATACCCTGCATCACACCCAAGATGAGACACTACCTATTGACACCTTCCTGGGACCTGGTCGCAAAATGGGTCGTCAGACGGGCCGACGTCTGTTCTTGGGAGAAAACAAAGGTTCCTTTGCAGTCCAGGATGGCGCCTTTGACTCGGCTTTCGGCCTGGAAAAATGCCAGACTCCAGTCGTTCTTAGTCCTCACCCTCGGACCTCCCGGCGGCACAACTATTTGTTGTTAGGCGCTCGCATTCACCAAGCTACTGTCCGGTTGTCTTCTATCAAGGGCCCAGATTGCGTCTAGTCATCGTTGACCTCCGAGGCCTGATAGCGGGGGAATCTGGGGAAGCAGCAGGCCCATCAAGCTGCACTATTTGAACGACAACTGGCCCCAGCAGCCTCCAGGAGCACCCGTCCTAGGTCTCAGACTTTGTGGATAATCGGCCCATTGTACTGTCCGCATTGATGAACATGGAAAAGTCGAGCAAAGCACTCCCCGACCGGGTCCAGTCTCCGAACTTGGACAATACCCTGGAAACGAAGATGTCAGCTTCGGAGCACGAACCTGAGCGTCCTCAGACTACCACTGGAGTCACAGAGACATGGACCCCTGAGGAAGAGAGACGCGTGAGATGGAAGTAGGCTACAATAGTTCTATCCTTACTCGTTGGTCATAGTTCCCTGCTCACCCTCCTTACTCCAGGCTCGATCTCTATTTGATGCCCATTCTCGTCTCCGGTTTCTTCGTCCTGCAGCTCGACCGCAGCAATATTAGCAACGCACTCACGGATACCATCAAGAAAGACTTGGGACTGACACAATCACAAGTGAATGCTGGCGCGTCGTTGATGCAAGCTGGTATCGTTATTGCCGAGCTTCCTGCAAATGCTCTCCTCCAAAAGGTTGGCGCCCCAGTTTGGCTCACTGCTCAGGTCTTCTGCTTCGGTATCATCAGCCTCGCCCAGGCCTGGTGCAAGAACAGCGACAATTTTCTCGCCACCCGCTTTATCCTCGGTCTTTTCGAAGCAGGATACATCTTTGGAGCGCAGTACATGCTATCTCTCTTCTACAGAGAGAAGGAACTCGCGTTACGAACAGCTATATTTTACTTTGGGAACTACTTCGCGGCGGCCACTGGGTCGCTCATAGCGGCCGGGGTTCTCCAACTCGGGGGCCGCATGGGCTACGCTGGCTGGCAATGGCTTTTTATTAGTAAGATTGGCACCATCTACTCGGGAGTACTTCCTGCGCAGATGAGTTTGATCGAGACTGACAACTTCATTAGTCGAAGGCTCTGCTCGCTGTTCATCTTCCTTGTCCATGTGGCCTTCTTGCCCTGGAGCCCGACCTGCACTACACCTATTCACAAACGTTGGGACTTTTTCACGGAAAGAGAGAGGGAAGTTATGCGTTCACGTCTGATCGTTGATGATGCGTCCAAGCAAGAGGCTAGAGCGCAGCTCACCTGGCGTTCCTACTTGGCCGCGCTGACCGACTTCCGTTTATGGCTACACCTTGTCTTCAACATACTCGCTCTCGCCCCAAAGGGAGGCCTGCAAGTCTATGGGCCCAGCATCATCAAGTCCCTTGGCTTCGACACTACCCGCGTGAACCTCCTCAACTCCGTCAGCAGCTTCGCAGTAGTCGTCTTGTCTTTCGCCATCTCATTCGCCTCGGAAGCCACCCACCTGAGAGGTCCATGGTGCATTGTTGCATCGATCTGGTCCATTGCCTTCGCTGGCGTGATGTTTGGTTTGCCCGTCTCTGCCGGTAAATGGACTAAATACGCCGTCTTTACCCTTCTCATGTCAGGCAATGCGCTGTCACAAGGCTTGAATGATGCATGGCTCAACATCAACGCGCGCTCCGCAGCTCGTCGCAGCGTGGGACTTGCCCTCGTAGTCATGGGAAGCAATCTTGGTGGCCTTAGTGGAGCTCAGCTGTTTCAGGCCAACGACTCTCCCAGGTACACCAATGCGTGGCTAGCCATCATTCTGCTCTATATCGGGAGCATCATCATGGCTGGCATCATCATGGTCGTATACTGGTTAGACAACAAGAGGCTACACAAAGAAAATCAAAATGTGGAACTCACGGTGGCACAGAGGTTCCAACTCTAGAAGGCAAGCCCTGTGCGTCATTTCAAGGTTGTGATACAACTTGATGTCGCCACGTCAAGGGTGAATACAAAAGTCACGCGTTGAAGCCCAGAACAGTCGAGCAAAGCAATTCATGAATAAGATAATATTATATCAACAATTGTCTTTAAATCCTGGCATGGAGGCCTTCAAGTTTATGACCCCAATGTATGTACAAGAATTCTATTTCGCAGTTGCGGTTTGAACAGGCCCATTTACGGTAGGAAAGTCGACCGAGGTGGCCAGAGCGTATAAATCAAACATCTTGGCGCCACCGCAGTAGTTGGCCGTACCCGTCGTCGTTGTGAGCGTGCCGTCGGTGGAGAAAGTCCTGACGCTGCCGTAGCAGTAATCCTTGCAAGCGTTGGGGCCCACGAGCGACGTTACAGCACTCGTCTTGAAGTCAAACGTGTTGCCAGCGTAGCACTCGTGATGGTACTCGAGTGCTAGGTAAGAGGGACGTGCCGTGGGTTTGGGGGCTTCAGCGCGGGAGCGAATGTGTGCGATACACAGCTCAGGCGTCACGCTGTTATTGGCAAGCAGGCGGGGTAGTGCGTGGCCTGACGATAGGTCTTGGAAGCAGCCGATGTAGTAGTAACCGTCAGTAGCGGTTGGGAATGGCGCCGAAGTCGTGCTGGTTATAAAGGTCGTGGTGACTGATGTGGACGAGGTGGTGGTGGCGTCGACGGTGGTCGGGGATGATGCGACGGAGGACGAGCTGGATGAGGATGACGAAGAGGAAGAAGTCGAGCTGGAGGAAGACGAAGAGGAAGTCGACGACGAGGAAGACGAGGAAGATGAGGAGGATGAGGAGGAAGATGAGGATGAGGAGGACGATGAGGATGAAGATGACGAGGAAGATGATGAGGAAGATGATGAGGAAGTTGACGAGGAGGATGACGAGGACGTCGTGGTGGTAGGCTGTTCGGTTGACACCGATGAACTGCTGCTTATCGAGGACGATGTTGAGCTGGAGCTGGAGGAGCTAGTCTCCGTACTCGAGGACGACGAAGATGTCGACGTGCTCTGAACAGAAGTCGAGGAAATGCTGGTGGTGGTTGTGGCACTTGTGCTCGAAGGACTAGTAGTGCTGGGGACCGTGCTACTCGTAGAGCTGGATGTGGCCGATGACGCGAGGGGAGCAAAGGTGTAGAAGTCCAGTCTGCTACCAGCACCACAGTATTGAAGCTGACAAAGTTGTTAGTATCAATCGTGCAGCAAAGACGAACAATGAAATAATCCACTTACCCGGTTGCCCTTGCACAGAGTCTTACACTCGGAAGTGGGCGCCTCTTTGACACCAGCTCCAATGTCATTTCCACAGTAACCTAACCACCCGAAGTCAGCTATGATTTGGTCCTAGAGAGGGAGCGGGGAAAGACTCACATTCACGACCATACTCGACGCCCATGTAGGTGAAGCTACCAGCAGCGCAAAAGGTCGAGCAGGCATCGACGTCGACAGTGTCTGCGGCATAGCTTTTGCCCTTGAGAGCCCGGCCGTTGGTGCCCTCGGTACGGCATCCCATCCACCTGTAAGGGCCCGATCGTTGAACATGCACAGGATCCGAGGGGACCTTGTTGGGGACCGAGTTGCGCCAGACAGACAGTCTCTTACCGCCTCCGCACAGACCGACAGAAGAACCTGCGCAGGCACTGGGGCACTCCGACTCCGGTGCCGCGAGGCTTGCATCTACCTGCCAGCCACAGTAGCACTCTCTGCCGTACTCAAGACCGAAGAAGTTGAAGGCACCGCCGTTGTATGCTCCGCTGGTGCAGAACGCCGCGCACTTGTCGATGGTCATGTCATCCGAAGCCGTGCTCGCCGCGCTCAAGACGCGAACGTCGTCGACCAAGTCTTGGTAGCAGCCAGCATAAACCCACCTGTCGGCGACAGTGGGGGGTTGGCTGGGGTTGAGCGGAGAGCCTGTTGATGTAGGAGACGGTGAGACAGAGCTCGAGCCCGAGGTCGAAGAAGTTACACTCGAGGATGACACAGAGCTTGATGATGCGGTGCTTGAGCTCGAAGTTGTTGATACGGTGGATGATACGGTGGAGCTGATGCCAGAAGTAGTGCTCGAGGACGTGCTGCTGGGAGCAACAGACGAGCTGCTCGAAGTAGTGCCGTTGTTCACGCCAGCGAGGAAGCCAGGGATATCGAATTTGGTCACATCGGCATACGCGCTCATGTAGCCACCATCACCACCACAGGCCTCGGTGTCGTCGCCAGTGCAGTCGAAGGTGCACAGGTTCTCGTTTTCGTTGCTCAGCGACTGCGGGTATTTGAATGAGTTGCCACACCAGCATTCACGGTGGTACTGCAAGCCTGCAATCGCGAAGCCACGGTCCATGCAAAGCTGCTCGCATTGCTCGACCGTGTTCTTGTCGGCCTGCTCCTTGCTGTTGACCGAGTTGGCCAGGTTGCGACCAAACTTGGTGTCGGCGAAGCAGCCCACGTATTGGTAACGAGCAGAGCCATCTGCAAGCTTGGGGCCGACTTGCCTGCTGACGAGCCTGGCAGTGAAAGTAATGTCGTGGCGACCAGATGGCTGACCCGTCACCGGGTCAAGGCCGTCACTGCCGATGGCCCAAGCATCTGTGATAGTTCGTGCCGGGTGGTTTGGCTGAATTGTGCCGGGGATAACTGCAACGGTGCCGGCCGAACACTTGCCGGGCTCGATCTGAGTTCCCTCATACAGGTCGGTCGTAGGATTCAGGGCAAGAAGATGAACCGACGACGGAGGCTTGGAGATACTGATGATCAAGTTTGAGCCGCCCGAGTTGCAAACACGGAGCTGCCTCTGGACGGTGGTCCCTCCAACAACGTCGCCGAACGAGAATTTGTAGTTCTCGAGGGCCTGCCAACCGCCAGCACCGTCTGAAATGTCGAAGGTGACGACAGGCGGGTTGGCGATGAAAGCCTTCAGGGTGATGATAGATACACCACCATCCGACCAAACGGTCACACGGGTGGAGTAATTTCCGATGGCGTTGCCGTTGAAAGCCAGCGAGAGGGTAATACTTTGACCAGCAGCAAGTGTCTGGTCTTTGGTCGGGAAGTTGCTCGACGAGAAGCCTGAGCCGAGCTGCCCGGCCGAGGTGATGTTGACATAGTTTCCTTGAGTATCCTGAGAAGCAGCGCCAATGAAGGTGAGGGTGCCATTGCCAGCATTCTGGAGCACAGTAGCCGCTGTAAGACCAGGCATAGGGCCATCGGTCTTGAGCATTCTCCCAAAGTCGACCTCGGTAGGGGTCGTTGTCAAGAACGGCCCCTTGCTTACAATGTTTCCCTGCACAGGCACGGCCACGGTTGACGCATAGCCGCCCGAAGCAGTGAGGCTGATGGTCAACGAGCTACTCACAAACCCGGGCTTGATGCTGGATCCAGGGGTTTGCAAATCCCAGGTCACGGGGAAAGTGAACGTAGTGCCGGAGGCGACCGCACCCTGAGGGAGCGTTGAGTTGTCACACCGGAACGACGAATCAGCGGGTGAGCAGCCCTTGATGGCAGAAATCTGGGTGACGGCCTTGCAGGTGACTGTTGCGGTGGCGACGGAGCCGGCACTCACATCGCCAAAACTGACCGGGTCTGTGCAGTTGAGCGCCGACGCGACATTGGAGCCGACAGCGTAGAGCTTATTGACGTTGGAACTGACAAAGACACGGCCATTGCCGAAGGCCGGGCGCTGGAACTTGTTGGCGCCTTGGATCTTGGGGGTGTTGATACGGACCATGACACCGTCCTGGGGGACAGCACGGAAGGCAACCAGACCTTCGTTGGGGTCAGTCACCCAGACGATACCGGTTCCCTGCTTGCCGTTGTCGGATGTAATTGTCATCTGGCCCACGCCCACACGACCAGCTGAAATCCATTGCGAAGTCCCGGCGAGAGAGAAAACGGGCTTGCCAGCACCATCGTGTCCGAGCTTCCAGGCGCGCAGAGGCCCGCCCACCGTGGTCGCATAGATATAGCCGCCCTCGGCCGGGTAGCTACCAAAGCCGCCGAATAGCGAGCCGCCAAGCTCAATGGTCTGTACGGTGGCATCGCCGCCGTTCGCACCTTGGCGGAAACCACCCAGGTTGTCCAGGTTGACAATGTAGGCCCGACCTTCCTTGCCGGCCACAACGCCCATACGGCTAACGCCAGCACCGTTGAACACGGATCCGTCTAGGGTGCAGAGACCACTCGAGCCAACGTCACGATCGCCGGCATCAAGACCAATGTAGTCATATGGCTGGAAATAGTCGATGAGCTTGAACTTGCCATCTTCCAACATCTCCATTCTCACGATGGATTCGTCAAGAGTCGACATGGGCAGGCGACCGTTGGCAGGAATGTTGCCGTTCTGGTGGCCTTGACCGTTTCCAGTGACGAAGAAAATGTTGTTTCCCATCGTAGGAAGGCCAAAGCCGGCTTGCCAGATACCGGCCTTGCCTCCATTCTCGACGGCCAGGTCGAGAGGCTGGGGCTTCGGCGCACCCGGTGCAGACTCAGTAGCGAACATACCAGAAACACCAACTCCGGGCGTCTTGCTGACAGAGATGAGGTATCCGGTGTAGTTCCAGCGGCTGCAATGCGACCCAAAACCGGCGACAATGTGGCCGTTGAGCTCGGTCAGCGCGGGCCGTTGAAGGGCGACTCCGGCGACGAAGTACCGGGCATGGTCGTTGTCGGCGTTGTGGCCATCGATGACGACGGGAAAGCCCTCAACATCCTCAAGCGTGGGGATACGGATGGCGTACATCTTGTAGATACCGTTTGCGGTGCCAGAGGTGAAGCCATCCTTGTACCCCTTGGAGAAGAGGTACATGATGTCGGTGTTGGCGTCGATAATGGGGGTGCCGGTAACGCCGACCCATGGGTTGATGTCGCCGCAGTTGCTGTCACCGGAGGAAAACGGAGGTTGCAATTGACGCTGCTTGATGATGGCACCGGTCTTGCTGTTGAAAATGCGGACATTGTTCATTTCGGAGGCGGTAATGACCAGCTCCGGGCTGCCAGCCGGGGTGTAGATGAGCGGCTTAGCGAGATGCAGCTCCTTGTTATCCGGAGAGGTAAAGGTCCAAAGGTTCTTGAAGTCCGAAGAAGCGGCCAGATCCGGGTTGATGTTGTGATTTGGCAAATAGCCGGACAGGACTTGGTCCTGTAGCACGGAAAGATACCCTGTTAGCATCGTCGCTCCGAGGGCGGATCATGGCTCCGGTCGGGCCAGAATGGAACCTACAGCATCCCGGATAGAATCCGTCGAGGCCAGGCCGGCGACCAGGGCCGGCAGGGAGGCCGCGACCCCAAAAAGCCAGCGCATGGTGCAGCAAAGAACGAGTGACTTGGGGATCTGGGCTGGTCAACTCCCTCCAGACTCAAACTTCAAACAGGAGCTGAGCTATCAGGGCGAGGCAAAGGCTTGGCATTCGAAAGAAGGACTCGCAGAACCGAGTGGCAGCAGGGTGGGTATGGGAAGATATATGGGATCCAAATTGGAAGAAGGATCACACCCAGGATCTTGTCCAACATCTTGGCACGGCATGGGTCTTGAGCTTTCCGGTGCGGGTTTGCTGCAGCTCTGGGTCCAGCTCCAACAATTCCTCCATCTTTTCTGCTGCGATGCTCGCATGGGGGTGCTGAGATCGCCGCCTTGTCCGGATCCAACACCAACAGACATGAATTTCGACCTGACTAGATCCGCAAGTATTGGGCGGCTAGGCCGAATGCAGCTTCAGCTGTGCAAGGAGCCCACAAGGATGGATGGAGAGTCAGGGATAGGGGTTCTCATCAGGCGACGCCGTAATAATTGGGTACAGCCCGACCCGAGACAGCGGCACAGCGGGAAGGTCTCAGGGCAGGTGTCTCTCCTGTCCCCTTTGCTCCTGCAAGGCACAGGCAGATGTATGAAGATTAGATCGAGACAAATTGAGACAGGACTGGCAGGGCTTGGCAGCCGTAGCGCTGACGACTATTGAGCAATAGTGCCCGTTTCTGGGGACAGCTAGCGAGCCAACTCAGGTCCAGTCAGGCCCAGTCAGGCCCAGTCCGCCGCCTATCCAGCACGCACATGGGATGATGGGACCAGCTCTACCGAATAGCTCCTCCAGAGTCCACCAATCTCGCCCGCACGATCGATACCCATGCCCGTGATTTTCTCAAGCGAAGCCCATCCTTTTCGCCTGCCAAGACAAGCTTAAATGTAGCGCGGCGAGTAGCGTCTGCTGGTGGGCCATAGAGATGAGCAGGCGAGAGATTTTCCACTTATCTAGACGTGGCAAAGCAAGGGAAGAGGTGTCTTTGCCTGCATACTCCGTGCTTACTGTCTGTCAGCCCTCTCTACAAGGATATTTGCCAGGCCGGGGTCTCCTTCTGGGAAATGAGCTTCGTCTCAAATGCACCCCCCACATAAGCAGGGGTAGTGTGATCGTTGATCCGAACCTTCGCACAAGCTGCACGTCCTTTGTCATCGCGAAAACGCATCCAGGTAACACAAGTCAAGCACAGAAATAGATAGTTCTAACTGTCGCATGTGTTGTCGTGTCTCAATATCCTCTTCCCGCATCTCGGGTCTTTCAACCAAAAGTCGAGCGAGACATGTAAAGGCAGTCCTCACCCAGACCGCCGGCCCAGGTGAGACTAACGAAGCTTATCATCCAAGATCTGACGCCTCTCATCTTATTTGGCGTGTAGTACGGGCGTTTGCAGCCCTGCCGAACGCGGTGATACGAAACCGGGTTTCTGTGCAACAGCTGAGCGGTTGTATCATTTTCTTTGCTTCTTCAACGTCGCATCTTGAGTCAAAGTCGTACAGCATGGCAGCATCGGCAGCCATCGATGCTAGGTCATTTCTTTCCTCCAATATTGAATGCATATTGAATGCGAAATGATATCATCACTCCACCAGCACCAACGGACGATAGCCGTCCATGTTTGTGATCTCTCTCACGCACTTCCAGCCACATCGGATCGAATGTTCCTGCAGGCAGAAAAGCCACGATGGCTTCGGCTCAGAGGGTCGTGGACCTGTTTTGGTGTCACCTTAGCACACATGAGTGACCCTGCTGAGTAACATGCAAGGAGCCATCGGGGGCTTTGATACTGCCAAACAACCCACTCCGATTGGAGGATACTATCACACCCTGCTCTACCCGCTGCGGCAAACCTGGGCAATATTGAGAATATTAGAGTAAGTGGCTGCGATCAGTAGCACAAGCATGGATAGCTAATTACAGGATATCGGCCTCCGAAGAGGATACGCTCCCTTGACGTGTTCAAGTGCTATTCCCAGATATTCGTAATGGGACTGGCCCTAGACGATTCGTGTGAACATCAGGCATTGTAGTGATGAACTTTGTATCGGAGTGCGTCCACCCATAACCCGGTTCCGGCTAGCTGGCTTTCCAGATGCCCAAATCAATGAAGGCCGCGAAAAATTCCTTTCTTACGATCATTAAACTCACATGTACGTTATTTGTATCAGACTTTGGCACTATGAACTCATCACCATTGCATCCGAGAACTGATAGGGCCCCGGGTGAACCCTCCACGACCACGATTTTCAAGTCATATATGATGGGTTTGGTTAAATCTCGGAGGGAAGTCAAAGTATAACAAATCCCAAGAGCCCTATGGATACTATTGGAATCAAGTTTCACACCTCAACGGAGCAGCTCTTGTATCATGTCCACTTGTAGTTCCGCCGTGCTACAGAAATCCGGTGACAAATAAAGGGCCGTAGTCATGGGAAAGTCTATATCTAATTCATTTGTCCTTCAAAATAGCTAGTCAAGAGAAGTATTTTACACGTCTTCCCTTTCAATGATTCAGACTTTGCCCAACAGCGTGCTGGCCGGCTTCAACCCTGGGAAGTAGGTAGTGGGAACAGGGGGTATGTCGATCGAGGTCGTGACACCCAACCCCTGAGTAATCTCTGCCGGCATTGTTGTGATAGCATAGCTCCTAGAAAGCGTCAATTCAGATAGATGCTGGCTGATTATGGTGCTGGGAGAACTCACGTTGGTGCCATTGAAGTGACAGATGTTGTGCTCGTGTATCTACCATTGCCAGCGAAAGGGTTCATACAAGCGCCCATCCCGTAGGCATTCTCGCACACATATGACACACTATCGCCAGCCTCTGTCCAGACATTGACGGAGTCTACATTGAGACTACCACAAAGGATGTCAGGCGAGCACTGTAGATGTATCAGAGGCACTTTGTTATTCTTGCAGGTGCCAGCCCAGTTAGTGAAATCCAGGTAGTCGTATTCTACCCCTTCACCTGGGGCCGGCTCCTGAGACTGCCACTTGGAATCAAGGTTAATGGCGTCATCATTGGTATGGCCAGTGAAGTTCGTGAAGATGGCATTGTTGAAGAACCCCGAACCGCCGTTTGACTTGATCGAGAGCATGTGTTTACACCGCTGAGAGTAGATGTTTCGGTAGATGATTTCAGTGATGTCTAAAGAACCGGGTTAGCCAAATACAGGCAATATCGCGAGCATGGGCCGAGGCTCACTTGTATTCTCTCCAGAGGGGCCAACTGCACAGCCACCGGATAGGTTGCAGAAGATAGACTCAATAAGCACGTTGCTTGCTGGACTCTAAAGCCATATACTAGTATCACGTGCACATCTATGGGATCGCCAGAGCACTCACTTTGACGGCGACACTAAGATTGTATCCAGGGTCAGCTCAATAGGCGGTTAGACCTGGAAGGAAAATAACTTACCAATCATCACCATTGGAGACTTCCAAGTCATGAACCCAAATGTTGGTACTCGAGACATCAACTCCATTGAGACCTGCCCGGTCACCACCGTGAACGACCAAGTTGAATATCTCACCATTGGCGGACCTGTCCACGCTGAGGTGGGACGAGGGAGAGTCCACCAGTGCCAGGTCATGAATACTGAAGCTGGTTACCTAGAAGGGATGATGTCAGCAGCTGGGAATATAAGTGATCTGTATTGCATTATGGGCCTCTTACTTCGGAAAGACTGAGCATGCCTGGTCTGAGTCTTCCATTAGCATTAAACATTGGCCACCTTGCTTGGAAATACAATACTCACCCACTTGAGTTCCCTGGTTATCAAAAAGATTAGCTCAGAAGAAAGGAAGTCCATCTGCGGCCAGCTTAACTCACTCTCGTGGAACTCAAACCCATATCCTTGGATCGCACCTTTCGAGCTAGCGCTGTAAAATTCAAAGTCTTCGGTCTTCTGCACTGTGATCATGCTTTCACCAGCAGTTCCATTCCCAGACCGAATGATGATACCCTCAAGATTGAGTGACAGGCCCTTTCCACCTGACAGCTCGATCCACTTCCCGAGGCCGAATTTACCCTCTGGAATGAGTATTTGACCACCTTCCTTACAAGACTCCCAGGCCTTCGTTATGGCCATACTGTTGTCTGTTGTCTCGGAAGCTACTCCTCCATGATCGAGAATGTTGCAAAGCTTCTTGGCGGCCTTGTCTTCCCGGGAAGTTGAAGGGCCTACCTTACCAGACAGTTGCGCCATGCCGAGACCCACCGTCGCCACGATCGTCGATATCAGAGTGAACCTCATTTTTCCGTCTGCAAAGTTATCGTGAAGAATAGTTAGTAGAAAGGACGCTGAAAATAGAGGTGCGTCGAGTCATATACGTGGTCGACTCAGCTCTGGGCAGGCTTTCCGGCACACATATTTTACCCGGGCGGCTGAGAGGAGTTTATTACGGCTAAGGACGACAATGTCACGATCCGTTGATACGTCCCGACAGGAAATAAGTACCGTTATCTAGGCAAAGAGCCCATCCTACCGTTCCAATACAAAGGTTGGTGCGGGACTTGTCCGATATGTTGCCGAGAAAGGGCGGCTGCTGAGATGGCACGAGTGGACGCAAGCAGAATAGACCAACCCGGGGGTTTCTATGGGAGACATCGCAGAGGAAGTTAGTGCCTATGCACAGAGTTTATAAAGGTTAACACGTGACAAAAGTACACCATATTCACAGTGTGATACACATTTAGCTTTGTTCTAGGTTGGACGGTTGTGTGTTTGCTTCTCGAGGTAGCCTATATGTAATGTAGATCACGTATTTTACATGTACTGAGGAATTCCGGATCTAATCTCAACCAGATTCCTCGATACAAGCAAACTCTCTGCAGCATAACCTCACACGACTAAAGGTTCTTTGTATCGAGGGGACAGAAGAGCTGCTCGACGAAGGCCCCATCCCCAACTACCTAGGTAGACTACATGCCAACCTGTCAAAACCACGCAGAAAAGGGCCACCCGTGTGAGCATGCAAGCAACAGTAGAGAAACCGAAAGTCGGCACGAGTGATCGGGTAGGACAGCTGACCGACACAGTGCCCCAAATCGTCGCGTCCAGGGGTGGGCGTTGGCGCACTTAACAGATGCAGCTGGACGTCCATGGCCAGGCATGGAGACAAATACAATAGTAGGGTCAGGGGAGGCTTCCATATCAACAGCTCCAATTTAGGGTGAGTATCGTTAAAGGGGAGGGATCCGACCTCGCAGCATGTCTGGCATGCTTCTGCTCGGTTCTGCAGGGAAACATTGCGGGGTGGCGACTCCGGAATGGGTCGGTGGCGGGGTGGACTTGGAGAGGGACTTGCTCCGAGCTCCGAGCTAGAATACCTACACTTCGCATTCGCATCTTAGGCCCAATGATTCGAGGAAGATATGAACAGCCAGTCAATAAGGACTGCCTGGGCTCACCTCGTATTTGTTCGACATCCGATCTCCTCCCGCAATGCCGGGTCTAACGGGCTTCACTGATAATCCGCTGCGCACACGCGACGATGTCTTCAAAGCAGCTCTTGCGCTGCTTCAGCCTTTGGCAAAGTACGCCTCTCCAGACTGCGCGCGAATTCGCCTCCCAGTCGACACGGGTGCACACTTTGATGAGTCGGCAGCGCAGCTGGAAGGCTTTGCACGTCCCCTCTGGGCTGTTGGCCCCTTGCTTTCGACCTTGGATGCGGCGGATTCTGAATCGAGGGAAGAAAAGCCCTGGCGGTCACATCTACAGCCATGGATCACCGGCCTGCGTGCGGGGACCGACCCAGGGCACCTGGAGTACTGGGGTACCATTGGAAATGGCGACCAGCGAATGGTGGAGGCGGAGATGGTCTCATTTGCACTTCTCTCAGCCCCTGAAACGCTATTTCAGAGCCAGGATGAGAGGGTACAGGCTAACATCACGATCTGGCTCCGTGGTATGAATGGCAAGGACATGCCGCCTACTAATTGGCGCTGGTTCCGGGTGTTTGCCAACCTCGCGTTGGTCCAAGTTTGTCGAGTGCCGCTCTCCGACGTTATCAAAGAGCTAGACTTGGACTTGGCAATACTGGACTCATTCTATATCGGAGACGGTTGGTCTGGTGACGGCGAATGGCAAACCGAAGAACAAGAAGAAGATATGAAGCGGTTGAACCTCTCCGCAGGGAGAAGGGACGGCATTGGAATTGGAAGACAGGTCGATTACTACTCCGGAAGCTTCGCCATCCAGTTCAGCCAGCTGCTATTCTGCAAATACGGTGCAGTTATCTATCCAGAAAGGGCAGAGCGCTACAGAACACAGGCTAGAGATTTCGGAGCCTCCTTCTGGAGATACTTTGATGCAGCAGGTATAAAACGACCTAATTCACTAACATTTGATCCTTTCTGACGAGAGCATTCCAGGTTCTGCAATACCATTTGGGCGCTCGCTCACATACAGATTTGCTTGTGGCGGGTATTTCGCAGCCCTGGCCGTGGCCAAAGTCCAGGATATGCCCGAGCCTTTAGCAACACCCGGCGCGGTCAAGGGTTTCCTCTTACGTCATCTCCGATGGTGGGCTGGGCACTCGGAGTCTATTTTCTATCCTGATGGAACAATGAACATAGGATGGCTGTATCCGTAAGTTACGGCGACCTTCCTTCCCCTTCCCAAAAAGCTAATAGTGGTACAGAAACATGTACATGTGTGAGGATTACAATTCACCGCAGTCTGTCTACTGGTCTCTCAAGGCGCTGATTGTCCTGTCACTCTCGGATGCGGACGAGTTCTGGAGCGCCACCGAAGAGGCGTACCCTCCTCTCAGCGGCCCGATCCTAGTGCCTTCCCCAAGACAACTCATCTGCAATCACCCGGAGGGCAATCATCACTTCATGTTATCGCCGGCACAGTTCGTTGCATGGCCCATGAAGGCTACGCAAGCCAAGTACTGCAAGTTTGCCTACTCATCATCTTTCCCATTCTCTGTGCCTACTGGACCCCTGATCCAGCAGATCGCTCCCGATAATACTTTGGCCCTTAGCCGGGACGGATGCGAAACCTGGGCGGTGAAATGGAAGTGTAGAGAGGCCGTGTTTTCTACGCTTAAGCTTTCGACTGCGGGTGGCACAGAGGACGTCGCTGCCGCCACAGTCCGGTGGTACCCATGGGGTGACGAAGCCGTGCAAGTAGATACGACTCTCATACCTGTGACTGACTGCTGGCCCGACTGGCATATTCGAATCCATAAGATACGGGTCCTCACTTCGATACCTACATTGCACACTGTGGAAGGCGGGTTTGCCTGCCCAGGACGACGCAAGTCTGATGGAGGAGCGCTACCCTTGACCAGCACACTGACGGATCGTGTTGCTCTCGGAGACAGTGAACTAATTCTCCCAGAGGACAGTGCACTCCTTATCCTGTCGCATGCTGGTGGTAGTGGCATCGTCGCACAACGTCCTGACGTTCCGGAGGTTGCGGTCAGTTGTTCCCCTTTGAAACCCGACTCAAACACAAACCTTGCCTATCAACGAAGTTTGATACCGGTGGTAATGCACGATATGGCCAGACGACTAGAGCCTGGTTTTGAGATTGTTCTGGCGACCTACGTCTTCGCCGTGTCGGCTACAGCCAATGGACGAACCTCAGGAAACCCAAGTATTGGCAGGCGATGGGCATCAAGGCCGAACATCGTGGACATCAAGGATGACAAATTCATAAGATTCAGTAACGCCTAGATTGGTACATTGAAAGAAACCGCTGAGCTTAACTTCGTTGGTACAGCTTGTAATCTCTGTAAATCATTCAGTTTGCTACGGTGGAAAGGAGTGATTCTCAAAGGCTTTCGATCTCAGTGACCCAGGTACCTGACGTTGTAATTCCCAACTGCCACGGAAGGAACGTTATGATGCATGACCCGCAAGCTGGGCCTGTTAGCGCCGGGAACAGCCAGAATGTCTGTTGTTGCTTCCCCGCCGCTTCCCGAATCCACGCGTCGGGCATCGGGGTATGGCCCGGCCGATGATCTCACAGATGCCTTGGGCCCGGGAAATAGGCATTATTCCACAGCCAATGTTCACAAAGTGACTAGCCGGATTTTAACATAGTAGTGGCAGTGTCATTCTTAAAGTGATGTCGTACCTCGATCTGTGTTTCCTTCATAAAAGTGACTGGCTGTGTTTCCGCCTCGCCGATTGATCGAACACAAACCGCGTACTCTACACCTTGACCCGCCCAAAAGCCGGTGTATCTTATTCTTTCATACGCGTACGGCCACCTCAACTACCAGCCATGGACACTTCTAGTGATGAAGGTCTTGCACCTAATAGTAGGGACTCTGATAACGGGCACCCTTTGTCATCCGCAGACAGTGAGATCAGCTTGAGTGGATCCACAGGCATTGGGGTGAAGATCAGAGAGCCTCTAAATGATTACTTGGGCGAACTGTTCACCGAAAATGTGACTGCCAAGATCCTTCGGACCGCTCTGGAAGGGCTGACAGACAACGTAAGTTTGACTGCCAAATCCCCGCCTGCAAACGAGAGCTGGTCCTAATAAGGAGGCACCGAAGAACCCGCCGATGGCTTACCCCGAGTTTGTACCTCAAGCTGGGCCTAAGGCTGGCAAATATGTCTTACGGGAGTCATCCTTCTGGACCTGTGGATTCTTCCCTGGCTGCATATATTCCGTTCTCGAACGACTCACAAAATATCCTCAAGCTTCAGGCCTTGGTGAGAACGTTAGCACCGCACGTCACATCCTCGAGGAACTCGGTTTGACCTGGTCTCAACCTATACACTCAATGGCAGCCCGTACCGACACGCATGACATGGCATTTATGGTGCAACCATCTCTCCGGGCTCGGTGGGAGCTTTTTCATGACAGAGAAGCACTGGAATCTGTCAAAACGGCTGCGAAGAGTCTTCATAGCCGTTATAACACCCGAGTCGGCGCCATCCGATCTTGGGACGCGCTGACGCAACGAGGCATCGATATCACATCCAAGACCGAGGACTTCTTGGTGATCATAGATTCTATGTGTAATCTAGATCTTCTCTACTACGCGGCGGCACACACCGGTCAGGCTGCTCTTGCCGATGCCGCGACCACACATGCCTCAACCTTAATAGGCACTCACCTACGACCGGAAAGAAAGGCATTCCGTGATGGCTATGATGGTATGCTATACAGTACTTTCCACGTTGTGAACTTCTCACCAGTGACTGGGGAAGTGAAAGAAAAGCGCACAGGACAGGGCTACAATGCCGACTCGACCTGGGCCCGTGGACAAGCTTGGGGCATTCTCGGCTATGCACAGACATTCCGGTGGACTGGGAAAAAGCAGTTCATGGAAGCTGCCTGTGGACTAGCTGAATATTTCATCTTGCGCATGGAGACTTCCCCCTCTTGTGTGGATGTTGAGTATGGACATGCGGACGGGACCACCCACAAGAAGGGCCGTTACGTACCACTCTGGGACTTTGATGCGCCTGTGGAGGAGAACCACGCTCTTCGAGATTCATCCGCAGGGGTCATTGCTGCCAATGGAATGTTGCTCTTGTCACAGACCCTGCGGGCGAGAGGATCTCATCGACTTAGTGGCAGATACCTGGATGCTGCCCTGGCCATCATCAGAGACACCATCGACCTATCATTGTCACAAGAGAAGGCACGGGTCTCCTTTCGACAAGAAGAAGCTCGGTGTGAGATAGAGGATGTGCAGTCAGGCCTCACCTTTGACAGTCTCTTGAAGGATGCGACTGCCAACGCCAATGCCAACGACCATGATCGGTACTGGAATCATGGTCTTATATATGCTGATTACTATCTCATTGAATTTGGAAACCAGCTGCTACGGATGGGACTCTGCTAGGTCCCCAATACTTGTATGCGGAGACTAGCAGTCATTTCACAGAAGGATGATTTGGTGGGCAAGAGGACGCTCTCCAAGGTCAATGGCGAGGCACTCATTTACCTAGACTACAGTCGAACCTCATCTGCTTCTGCTTCATAATACAACGGGAAATTTCATTCTGCCATCATCGCAGGCCCAACAGTCGTAGATCCAAGCCGAGGAGCAAAGAGACTGTCATCGAAGGAGATTACTCGATCTAACTCCATGAATCTTTGATCCAATAGGATGTGAGATATGGCAGACAGTTCGTCGCTCGGATTGGCTTCTCCTGTCGCATAACCTATGGCTGCAGATTCCGAAGGGCCAACCTGGCCTGCCTCATTTGCCGTGTCGTACCCTGTGCTAGCGGTTATGAAACCATGATCGGAAAGCGGTGGTATCTGAGAATTAGATAGAGACGAAGGCTGCATGTTCCAGGTCTCTGATCTGCTGTCTCCATGATCAAGCTCGGAGTTGAGCTGGTTATTGCCTCCGCCAGGGCTCCATGATATTCCAGTAGATGATGTCATTACTGCAGAGATTATCGTAGAGTCATTGAGAACATCAATCTGGAAATCTGGGTCTTCTAGACACCTGCGATGTATGTCTCGAAGACGCCCAGCGTAGCGGCCAGCCAGACTCTCTGAGTGCTGCTGCTGCTCTGACCGTCCCAGCCCCACCCAACGTCTCGCCATCTCGTCGAGACTATGAGCAAGGGACCAAAACTCGGGCAATAGTTTCGAGTTCGAGCGGCGCCAGTGGACTGAAGAGTATCATTAATAGCAATAAAAGGGCAGTGGATAACTTGATGTATGCGCACCTAAGAGCAGCCTTGCACTGACAAAGACACAGTATGCGAATTGGCTTGTGACAGGGCTGTTCTCCTCGGTATACTTGAGATACTTCTGAGTGATGTTGGCTGTCTCGGTCGCTGCTATCTGACATGTCTCCGCGCTACAGAAGCTAGGCAATTGGACAATCTGCGCCCATCCCGGCTGTGGATATGCAATCTGTTGGTGAAGCAGTATCATGCTAGCATTATGAGTAACATGAGCCAGGGTAAGGTTTGGATCCATGTTGATTAATGCCGGCTGGCGAGAAACGTTGGAATCTTTCCAGCGTTGCGGGAGGAACATTTTCCAACTTGATCTGCATCAGCCTATCAAACGAACGTCACAGGGGTGAGCATGGAAGAGATATACATACTGCACCAAGCGCAGGTCGAGCTCCTTAAACCGAGTTAACCAGTTGCTCACCTCATGCCTGTCATGCCAATCAATCCTCTGTTGTAGGAAATAGGTGGTTACTTGACTCAGTGACTCAGTCGCTTCAACACAATATGCAAAGGCTCCCACATGAGACATGTCACCAGACGCGGGATTTTTGGGTGGTGTGGAAGCCGACGTAGGGGATGTAGTATGTGGAGCAGTTTCGCCTTGCTTCTGGCCAGGATAATGCGTCGGAAGGAATGCTATCGAGTTACCAATCTTGGCAACTGAACGGTCCCAAATCCCGAAGTAGGGCGTAAGCACAGGCTCTTCTTTATGCCAAAGAAAGCCATCCGCTGGCAGGCGACGACGCACGTCATCGGCAGTGAGGCTCGTATTCCACCTGTAAGATGTGTTAGGAGTGCACATTGCCCGCTGTAGGGAGTAGTCTCTTACCCAGTGGTGATCGAGCAAAACCGGTCAAGTATAAAGATATTCCAGAATACCCTTCTTCTCTCTTCCTCCTCTGTCCAACTCTGCGCCGGTGGAGAGGAAAGCATCGGCTTTAGTAGGGGCTGCTTCTCTTGATCCTCATCCTCAACACTGAGTTGAAGATATTCCACGGTACGTGTAAGCGACCCGATAATGGACCAGGCTTTCGATGCTTGGCCATTACCAATCTACCGGCGGTCAGTTTGGCGCATCGAGGATGGAGGCGTACGACTCACATCGCTGAAAGCGAGAATAACCAATGCTTGTAGGTTCTCAATTGTGAGACCGTCCATGGCATTGAGGAGGACAACATTTCTTGACTTCTTGATTAGCATCTCTACACTCTCCGGTGATAAAGGGGAGTCGGTAGGGTCGACGTATCGCGCAGCAGCCACGACAACTGCGTGGAGGACCACCACAAGTTCTGACAGCTTTCTTGGGTCATGGATGCGCTCTCTAAACCGAGTCTCATGGAAAAGAGGGATCCACGGCTGCACATTGACGAAGTAAGCGTCAATGATAGCTTCGAGCACGCTAGGGGGCGGAAGACCGACTGCCGCCTCGACACATTCCTCGATTGGAACTGGTAAGTGCAAAGGCCGGTCACTGTATCCCTCTACTCGCCTCCTCTTCCTCGATTGTGAAGACATATTCTCAAAGTAGCCGTCGGATCCATTCGTCTGCCTCGCCCACGATATCGAGCTCGCTGGCGAGGCATTTGGCCCGTGGTTGACCTTGTCGGCTGGTGATTGAGGATGGGACGCGCTGGACGCTCTGGAGTTGAGCTTCTGAAGCTCCTGGGCAAGAACCGAAAGGATAGTCGTGATATTCGCAGGCTCTGAGCCCCCGACCGTGTCGTTGGCACAAGAACGGGCTTCATGGCGGACAGTTTCGCCTCTTTCCGAAAAGGCATTTTCCAAAGCCTCTGCGATAGACCTGCTCGTTAGCACGCATGAACAATTGCGGGAGTGTGGCGTGGGCGTACCTAGTCTACGGTTAAGTCCCTCAATCACGCCAGTCTTGATACCCGGCTTGTTCTTCTTAAGGTCGTATACACAAACAGCGTCTGTAATGGGTTAATCATGGCAATAGGGTATGCCGTTTTCTTTCTAATGACCCACCTAGCCGTTGGCAGTGAGAGCATGCCGGTTGGTCTTTGGAGCACTTCAATTTCCGTTTCCGACAGCCTTGGCATGAGGAAAGCTTATCCGGGTCATGGCCTTCCTGATTGCCGGTTTCCATGATGTCTGTGACCGGAACGCCAGTGTGTTCCAGCGGGGGAGGGAGATGTGACCTATTAACACCCAAAGGGCAGAGTGAAAGCAATGAAGATAGATCCTGGAGGCACAATTGCCCTTAGCAGAAGATTTTCGCCACAGCCCTCCTCGTTGGATGATCGGCAAAGTGGCAGGTAAACCCCATACAGAGACACACTCAGGCCTGCAAAAGCTCATGCGGGGAAATCTGGGAGTCGTAGGACTCTCCAACAGATTACGGTCCATGCGCCACGAGCCAAGTTCCCCTCTGGCTCATTCTCCACACTAATTACACTCCAGAGACAGGTCATAGCTCGGCACATTGATGACAGCGACCGCCCCACAAAGCTTGGGCACGGAAGTACGATGCCCGGCTCTTAATCCGGTACCCGAAACGCGGGAGGACCTCGTACGAACAATGCGTGGTCTAATAGATTTTACGCGACCCAATGAAGCCACCCACTCCATTCAGAACTAGTGCGAACATACGAAAAGCACTGGCAACAATGAATGAAGTGCCTTGCACGAGAGGCAAGTGTTCCAAAGGTGCACATGAAGCGTGTAGCTGGGGTTGTAGTCAATGATTCGATTACCTGTGACCAAATGCAAGCCAAGAGAGCTGACCAGATAATTTCTTTGTCAGGGATGTTTTCACTGAATACCATCCTGCTTTTGCTATTTCATTCTCCATCTTAACAGTCCATTTCTACGCCTGACGCTCCACGGCTGTAGTCTCGGTACCTTTGGTCTCCTCGCCTACAAAATCCAGTGCGTTGTCGGCATGAGCATTGAAGCCCATCTCCTTCATTGCGTTTGTCCCAGCACGGGCATCAGGGCCGTCAAAGATTTCCGCCACCTCCTCTAGACCACGTCCCTTTGTCTCGGGGAAGAAAAACCAGATAAGAGTGAAGTTGACCGCGATAACGATGCACCACACAATGTAGTACTTCCAGGCTATGGCCTCCATCGCCACCGGGTTGGCAAAGCTGTTGTAGATACCCGCAAGGTTGCCCGTCAACTGGTACATCATCGAGGCTTTGGATCGTAGCGAGTAGGGCACCACCTCCATGATATATGTCGGGGCCACCGGCGAGCAGAAGTGATAGGCAGCGCTGTATGCAAAAATCATAGCGAGCACTCCTGCAGCATAGCCTGTGTCTTTGAAGTTCTTTTGCTGGTTGATGGCTGAGCAGATCGTCCAGATGATGTAGCAGACGCCCATGCTACCCATGCCGATGAGGAAGAGGCGTCGGCGGCCGGCTCGGTCAACCAGAGCTGCGAAAACCACGGCAACCAAGAATCCCCAGATGGATAGACATCCGTTAATGATGAGCTGTGTCTTTGGATTGACAATGTTGATGGTCTTCAGTACGACAGGCAGGTAGTATGAAGTCAAGGCGTTCCCAGACCACTGCATCATGGCGGGGATGTAGGCTGCCAGGAAGAAGCGGTGCCTCATGCCCCTTGTTGCGAACCATTCGGCCCATCGAGACATCTTCTGCTGCTTTTCGACCTCGAGCGTCGCCGTGATCTCGGCCATCTCAAACTTGACGAGCCTCGAGTTGACGTCTCCATCGCCATGGTATTTGGTAAAGATGTCGAAGGCCTCCTTACTGCGACCCTGGTAGATGAGCCATCGGGGTGACTCCGGAGCGAACAAACTCAAGACCGCCTGGATGATGGAGAAGGTGCACTGCAACAGACTCGGCAGTCTCCAACTCCAGGCATTGGTCATTCTGAATGTGCCATATGTAACCCACGCCGCAATCAGAGATCCCAGAGGCCACGAAGTAAGGTAGAAAGACACGAGCTTGCCTCGATGCGATGGGTAGGCGACTTCAGACAGCAGGGGCGGGGCAGCGACCGAGACGATACCGAGTCCGAATCCGACGATGAAACGAGATGCAACAAACATGCTATAGTTCATAGCTGCCGCCTGGATAACGGAGCCGAGAATGATGAGAAGGGAGCCTCCAAAGATCGGCCAGCGCCTTCCAAGCCGGTCGCAGAGTTGAGAGGAGACGAGAATGGAGATCAATACGCCTCCGGTCGGACCAAACGTCATGGCGCCAAGGCGCGAGCCCTTCGGCTGGCCAAAGAACTTCTGCCACTCTGGGAGAGCCTGCATGCCGTTGATCATACTCGCATCAAAGCCCTGGGCAGTCTGTGTGAGGAGGGCACACAGCAGCAGAGCATTGAGCTTAACCAGCGTTGGGTCTCTCCACCAAGGTTTGCTGCGCTTGGGAATGACATCCTTGAGCACAAGCCCAACAAAGTTGTCGTTTTGGCTGCCGTCGTCCATTGCGGAAGGCAGTCGCCGTCCTTTTCTTTGAGAAGTCGATATACACAATTGGGGGTGAGCCTGCGCATGGTCGACGGGAGCATGCATGTGCAGGCTGGAGGTTTGCCTGGCTTATATCTTGTCTCTGATCAGATGCGCCTCGGGTCTGTTCTATCTCACGGGCGACAGCTCTCCATTTCCCCACACCAGATATTACCCTGGCAGGCCCCCTGCAGAGGTGTGCTTCTGGGGTTGCGTCCCCGGACCGAGAGCGTATCTGAGTGCTAGCCCAGGATGGATTGAGGGCGCGCCCCGCATTGATGAGTTCTACTCCTCAAAGGCATCTCAGTGCAATAGACCCACTGCATTGAGGCCCCGGGCTCGGACTATCGCCCACCTATCTTTCTTCCGGGCCCGATGATGCGATCGTTGGGTTCAGAGTGCACCCTGCAACATACTCCGGCCCCGACTTCCTCGAGCACTGTGGAACCACGCCTATGGGGATGTATTTTCGGATTGCGACATACGCGACACCTTTCCGATGCCATGTCATTGTGTATTCTCGCTGGGTAAGTCTAAGGGTCGCGAAGCTTGTCGAAGACGGAGTAAATGACTTTCGTTTGCTCTAGCTAGAATAGCAGCCGTTCTCATGGCCACTTGAATGCTCCTAGCAACCTAGAGACGCAAGTGAGCATATGTGTGATGAGAGTCCGCTCCAGCCAATTAGACAACATTACCAGAGGACGAACATGGCCAACGAAATGCAATTACAAGACGTACAGTGCGGCCAGTGTCCGTGCATGTTCGTTCTTGACGGTGTGATAATAGGTAGAGTCAAGCGACACAGTGCGTCACTTGCAACAATTGTTCTATGACGTCTGGGATTAGGGTATTTGTAGATGCAGAAGACAGAAGGAGAAGAAACGAACCGACACCGCTACTTACCTGGATGTGCATAACTTTTCGTGTCTTGGATCCTGACGGAAGATGAATAGGATGCCTGCAATCTAGTTCAGTTGAAGCCATCAGATATGGAATCCATTCTGCACAAGCTAAAACACTTCCAAATTCACCTGGATTGACAACTGGAACTTAGCACTGATCCCGCTCATACCTTGGATGATCCGAGGGGACTTACCTCCTTTGAGCCGGCAAGAGACGCCAGACCATACCTTGTAGTGCTATATATCCCATAGTGTTATTGGCTTGATGTCCTTCTACACCACGACATCCCTTTGATCGGAAGCGAAAGCTGTGGTGGCATCTCGTTGGCATTGTTCACCAACACCCGTTAGGTGTAATGGCGTCAATCAAGGAGATCTCTTGACTCTCCACACTGAAGATATCATAGAGGCCTAGCACTCTTGCCCCATGGGAACATTCGTTACTGTACTTTTTGGGTACCTCTCAGACACTCACACTCAATCCAAGCCTAATGTTTTGACGGCGTGAACTTGAAATTACCCGGCCGCCAAGTCTTCTTTTCGGTGTTTGGCCAGCAATGACGCGTGTCCCTCCATATCTTATTAAATTTTAGAGGAGAATATCAGGTACACTATTACCTTGGCTGCATCTTGAATTGCCGGATCCAACCTTGATAGAAGAGCGTCTCACCCCGAGGAACAATCTATATAGCTTTTCGCCTCTGCTTCTAAGGTGCCGCCTAACTTCGATCGTTCTGATTTCCTTCGAGCTTGATTCGGATTTTACAGTATGCAAACCCACATCTTTCTGCTAGCCCTTGCAGGCTCCTCCTGCGTCACCGCCGCGTCCTGCCCTGTGGCGGATGTGAGCATTATCGCGCATTCGGGTAAACCAACAGGCGAAGAAGCTATTCACAACGGAGGCACGTTCCAAGCCAGCATAGACCACATCGAGATACTGACCATCGCCAGTGAATATGTATATTGCCAAGCCAGAGGGCAAGAGCACCGACAAGGCAGTCTTGTACCTCACAGACGTGTTTGGCATCCAGCTTGATGAGAATAAATTGTATCACTTCAGATCCCGAAGGAGATGTTTTACGTTTTACTAACTGGCGATGCCCTATCTAGGTTAGCCGACAGCTTCGCCCGGGCCGGCTATCTAACTGTGGCACCCGACATGTTTAACGGCAAGCCTGCGCCCGGCGATATCAATGTACCTGGGTTCAATACCACGGAATTCCTCGCAGCCCACGGACCCGAAGCCACTGACCCCATAATCGCTTCCACTGTGGCTTATCTTCGAGATGAGCTTGGCATTAAGCGTATAGGAGCAACCGGCTACTGCTTTGGTGGTCGGTATTCGTTCCGTGTGGCTGGGAAGAACGGAGGAGCGGATGCTACGTTTGCCGCTCATCCGAGCTTGCTTGAGAACGGCGAGATCGAAGCCGTAGAAGGTCCGGCAAGCATTGCTGCTGCTGGTGAGTGTTTTTTCTCTCAAGTATCAGCAGCCGAGTAATGGGCCAAGGGCTGACATGCGTTTGCATGGTGTGCGGGTAGAAAACGACTCGATGATGTCACCTGAGCGCAGGGCGGAGATCGAGGCACTCCTGGCAAAGACCGGAAAGGCATTTCAGCTGTCTCTCTATGGCGGTACTTCACATGGGTTCGGCGTTCGCGCCAATATTTCTGACCCTGAACAGAAATTTGGCAAGGAGAGTGCCTTCTTCCAAGCGGTTCGATGGTTTGACGCATGGCTCTGAAGTGGTTGCTGGGACCGGTGCCTAAAAGCCCTGCCAAGTTCTTCCGAAAGCTGGGAGCGCTAAAAGATTCTGATTCATTGACGAGAGAGATAGATAGAGGCTGCAATTGGAAAGATGAGTCCCTCCCAAGGAATGTTCATAATCAGGCTCCAGTGGCTGTGCATGGCGCAGTAATTTTAAGCGATGCTGGGCCCAGTAAACCACACACCGCAAGGCTTTTTATCATTAACTAATTTCCTTGGAGGCCGCTGAAGCCTCTGTATTAATCAATGATCTCTTCTGAGCCATTGCGCTCTCCATCGCAGATGCAATGCACTCCGTCAAACGGGCTCTGAACCGAACTACCTGGGGTGTTCGAAGCGGTCCGACCAGCTCGAGACACTACACAATCATACCACCACGACCGTCTCTCCCTTTCCCGACTCCAGAGATGAATATCGGGTCCGGGAATGTAGCATTCGGAGTCACATGCCCCGGAAGCCTGATGAAACAGCTCCAAGTCGAAGTCCCTCATCATGTTCGCCAGATCAAAACGCTCCAGCTTTCCTTCAGTAAGGAACCAGTCACTTATATGTGTCCCATCGGGTGTGGTGACATTAAAACCGCAACCGACTTCATTTCCTCGATAGACTCTTTGGAAAGTCTGTCGGTACTGAGCTATGAGGCCGATTCTTCTGAGCTCTGGGCGGCGATTCGGAAGCACGCGTGCTCGCTGAAGAGCTTGTCGATACACACACCGCCCCAAATGTGGAGTGATACATGGACACCCGCAATGCTAGACCGCCATTGGCATGGGTTTAGCCAGCTTCGAAGGGTAGAATTGGATGTCACTGTCCCGGAAGCTGAGGCTTATCTCGCTGGAAAGCATCCACTTCCACCAGCACTCGACACTGTCACCAAGTTAGACCAGATCAAACATTTGATTGTCAACATCATCCTCAGCGACGAAGCTTCGGATTTCGCGCCTCAACATACTTGGAACGCCATGGGGTGTATCTCGTTCCCTCCAACGAACCCAGACCAATGCAAGAAGCTAGCTGAGGAAATTTTCACCAACTTCCAATCCGCGCAATCTGCTTTAGAGGGCTTAGAGGTCCGTTTTACTAGGAGATGCTGGGATGACAGATGTCAGTTCTGGACACTAGCGCAATCGGTTCACGCGAGGCTCACGGAGAAAGGTGTCGAGATCAATGCGGGCTCTTGGGGCAGCTATCTGCCTGAATGGCCCACTGGCGACGAAATGAAGCAATTGACTGGAGAAAACAGATCTTCACTGTGAAATTGAACCAAGTTCTTGTATCTAGCGTATTGATTGTTGTCGAGAGAGCTCAAGAAATGATCGTCATGAGAAATATACTAAATCAGTCAATGAACTTTGCTCCTGAGAATGAAAGCATTTGGCTGCTGCTATGACTTTGAAAGGATCATGCGCAAAGAGAGACGTCAAAATAGACGCCCAAGAAAATCTTCCTAAATGTATATATGTGAAAACAATTGTGGTAGCAATAATCGACTGATACTCTTCCCAGTCACCGGTTTCCGAGCCACAGAGCCAGATCTAAGAAACACGCATCGCTGCCCACACTTCCTGAGACACCACCAGCTTGGCCACGCTGGTTTTTAAATAGCAGTAGGGAGCCACATACGCGACGTCAACGCAATTAGTAGTCTTGTCGCACTCGTTTAGGCACGACTCAAAGGTGTTAGCCTTGGCGGTAGCCATATCTCCACCAGGAAGGTCCATGCCACAGAATATCCTGTAAGGCCTACCCTGATCCGTAGTGAAGACTGTCCCATTCGTTTTGTCGTTGTAACAGGAGAGTTGTAAGCCGCTAGCACCCGCATTTTTGATGCGCGTCGCTGACCATGCGCCGGCAGCCACGGAGAGACTTCCAACTGTCGCTTTCATGTAGCAGTATGACCCGACGTAAGTGATATCAATGCAATTAGTCGCAGCGTCGCACTGTTCCATACAGCCTTCAAAGTCAGCTGCATAAGCCGTACTTATCACGCTCGCGTCATGTTGATACCCGCAAACAATCCCATAGACGCTTCCGGCCGATGTTGTGAAATTAGTGTTGTCACTACCGCCATCAACACATGTAGGGGCGGTGGGCGTAGCGACGCCAGAGTGTGTCAAGGGTGTCGATGTCGATGTTGTTGTGGATGATCTGGTGGTGTTGGCAAAGGGTGCAGTGGTGGGAAACTTGATCGGACTGGAAGATGAAGATGTAGTGGGCGGAACAGGGCTCGATAACGCTGGAGCTGCGGTGGTCGATCCGACAGGGCTCGTGTTTCCCATGTTTGAAGACGAGGCCGAAGAAGACGTGGCCGATGAAGACGGCGCCTCTTTCACTCTCTTGGCAGTCCAGACGTTTTTCGTGAGGGAAGCCACCCCTGTTGAATGCTTGAGATAGCAGCTGGGCTGGACATATGAGATGTCAATGCAGCCAGGCGTGCTATCGCAAGCTTCAACACAGCCAAGAAACGTATCCTTTTGTAAGTTGAAAAGGTCGCCCCCGAAATAATCCACATTGCACAAGATTTTGTACGAGCTGCCAATAGTTGTGTTGTAAACAATTCCATCTGACCGACCGTTATTGCATGTCAGATACTCTTCGGAGTCGTAGACACGGTTCCGGGCCGTCCATACGTCGGTGTTGTTGGATGGAGTGTCTAGGTGACTCTTGATATAGCATTGTTGCTGGCTGGGTACGTAAGAGACGTCGATACAGAGCACCTCGGCGTCGCATAGCGCAATGCAGCCCTCAAAGGTAGCGACAGTGTGTGTGGCCAGGTTGCTTGTCACATAGTCAATGCCGCACAGGATATCGTATGAAGCGTCCGTGGTGTTGTAAACGTTTCCATGGTCTGCATTGCTGGTGCAGTTGAGGGCTGCCACTGCTCCCGCCGCTGCCGGCAGGCGTGATAACACAATGATGGAAATCAGGAGGCTCAAGGTTGTCTCCCAGCCCAATCGCATTGATCTCATCCTCAATCTATCCGGAATTCGGTGAGTTTCAGGAGTCAGAGGCGGCTTATGGGGATCGGATTCAAGTGACAGGAAGCAAAAGTACGCCTGTACGAGGTCAGCGGAACGCGGCCCTTATAGGCCCCGAATCTGCCGAGGGGAGTGCGTCGTGATGCAAGATAACGAGAGACAAATTAGCAGACTAGGTGGAATGCACAATCACTCCACGACGTGGCACTAAGTTCCCAAGCGTCTCTGTCAAAATTTCAACTGGCCCAACTTAGCCTCTTTTGTAGTCTGAGAGGACCGATTTGGCAACAACTGAGATCTTAGTGTTGATTTTGAGACTTTTCAGTGGGTCAATGCCGTGAACTTCCTATCAACGCCTCTGTCTGAATCCACCCTCATCACTGCTGAGACAGCCTTGTCTAAGTGAGAGCGTTGTACACCCACTTCGATTCTCACTGAGACAGCCTTCTGTATTCTATACCCACACAAATTTCCCTTCGTATAAGGGCAGTAAACCATTCATCTGCCCGCGTGACAGGAAGAAAAGGCGCAAATTACCGCATACTAGTCCACAATCCAGTGATGACGTCTGCCCACCCCACTGGATCTTGCATCCAGCATGACAAAATGAAATATCTTAAGAATGCCTTTTGAATTGTAATGATCCAGACACCGGTTGTATCTAAGAATACATAGAACTGCTTTGAAACCACATTGTGTTTAGCCTGTTGGTCCACTTGTTTGGAATTGAGCGGTGAGCTCTTCAAGAACTAAAGTTATTGTAGTCTCTGTTACAAGGGTGGCAACGCTTAGTAGCAGAATTTTATTAGAAAATATTGAAAAGCTTCAACAATGAGGACATCCAGTTACACTATGTATACTCCTATTGCTGGGAGTTTCAGCATGTTGTGTTGAGAAGATGGATCAAAGTGGCCTGCAGAGTTGTCCTCTACTTCAATCATGAGGGGGAATCCTTAGGTCTCGCTCCGGGAATTCGAATAATACACGGCTACAAAGATTCTAGCTATTAAAACTAGTCCACAGTGAAGTCTAGAGCATATCAAATACCGGCTGGGTCCCATTCTCGTAACAAGTGGGCCACCTTGATGAAGGTGTGGCAGGTTACGCCAATAGTCGATACCTAGAATTGCAGCATGGTCCGCGTTGCTTTTGCTGCTGAAATAGATAGGTCCTGATAAAACATTTCAAATCGCTCGGTCCTATAGTCGGATTGTTGATGCACGAAGTACCGGTGCGACCCGGTGAGAAGATAAGCCCGGGCGGGAACATAGCGGCACGTAATTCGTCAGCTCTTGGAGTCGACATCCCGCGCCTAAATGTGTTGCCCGACTCAATATAAGACAATTTATCGGATCACCTTGGGAGTTAATCTTAGCTCCATAGGGGATATAGTGGCGTATTGGAGGTCGACCCCGGCAACGCGCGCAGGCATGAGCTGTGAGTATTTGAAGAGCGAGCATGAGCAGCCGGCACCCGAGGATTCTCAGAGTTCAACGACAGTCCGCTAACCCAAGTCAATCAGCGCCCAACAATCAGCAATCATGGTGCCCCAGTGGAAAAGCTTCGCTCTTGGCTTAAGCAGTCTGTTGCTCCAGGTGAGCAAAGTCTCCGGCCAGGACGACCCAGGCCCGTTTGACCCAACGACGGCGACTATCCCGCCCATGCTTCGATTCCAATGTTCGCAGCTCGTCGTCGAGCGTCTCGACCCGCTAGTCAATCCTGGGCTAGTACCCTCTCCTCATGTGCACCAGATCGTCGGTGGCGATTCCTTCAATGCCTCCATGGACCCAACTACACACGACCTTGTTACAAAGTCTGGTTGTACATCGTGCACCTTCTCCGAAGACTTTTCCAACTACTGGACAGCCGTGCTTTACTTCCGGGCTCGCAATGGGACATACAAACGAGTCCCACAAAAGCCGAGCGAGGGCCTAAAGGGTGTTGGGGGTATCACAGTCTACTACATCCCGCCTCTGGGGAAGAACAAGACAACTGCTTTCAAACCGGGATTTCGCATGCTCGTTGGCGATGCCGGCCTCAGGGGTCTTCCGAGGGACAGCACATACGACCCCAAAGTCTGTCATAGGTGCATGCCCAAGAGCGGCGACAACAACAACCTGAACTGCGCTCCGCCCGACAGCGTGACTCTACCCACCAAATTTTGCGCCGGGGGAATCCGGAGTGTCATTACCTTTCCAACATGCTGGGATGGTGTCAATCTAGACAGTGCCGATCACAAGAGCCACATCGCTTACCCGGTCAAGGACTCGATTCCGGATCAATTTGACTATGATGGTGGACATTGCCCCGAGAGCCACCCCGTCAAGATACCACAGGTCATGTACGAGGTCATGTGGGATGTAAGTCAACAAGCCTTTAGAAAGTCTGCGAGATTACAAGAGCTCGAAGTGGATGTGATGTCGTAATCATGGCTGCTGACGAACTACACCCTTGACAGACGACACCGTTCAATGACCCAGATCTATGGCCGGAAGATAAGTCGCAGCAGCCTTTTGTCTGGAGCACTGGCGATGAGTAAGGATTTACTTTACTTTCACCCATCACCACCCTTTGGTTCTGAATCAATACCTCTTCTTTTTGCCTTCTGCTGCGAGTCCTGGCATTGATACTGACTGCGCTGCAGGCACGGCTACTCTCAGCACGGCGATTACGTGTGCGTACGGTCCCATGCTTGTTTCCAAGCTGTAACTAACCAAGGGGTGACTAGCTTCGGGTGGAAGGATGACGCTCTGCAGCGTGCTATGGACAACCGGTGCTTCGGCGACGTCTGCAAGAGCCTGGAGACCCAGGACCCCGGCAAAGCGGCCGAGTGCGTCAAGAGCAGAACCGTCACCGAGGACATTGATGGCTGTAAGCGCAGGGTTCTCGAGTCCGTCCACTGTCGCCCTCGTCGAGTGTCTCCATATTTCGTAGGAAGCTCGATAATTGGCAGCAGTGGGCACCGTACACCATATGACCAGATGAAGCTGACATCCTTCTCGCAGGGCTTACTCGGATCCCCGGAATGGCGGACTGAAGCCAGGCCAATCACGGAGCGAGATCCTTGTGGCAGTGGGGCTTTGGTGACCGGGGTCGCGGCATGCCCCTCCGAGAGCAGCGAGAGCAGGAAGACAGGAGACAGGACAGGCATTGCATCCAGCGAGGCGATGCTCAGGGCCAAGGCTTACTCCGTAGGGGTACGGCGGAGGCCGCAGCCGGCATTCGGCCCATTAGGCGCGGCAGTTGCGCACAACGTTAGTATCGCGCTGTGGACGACCCCCATAAATACATACAATCTCATTTCTCGGCGGCGTTTCGATTGAGACCCTGGACATGGCCTTAAAATACCGAGATCACTTGCGTGACCATGGAGGCCGATGTGTGGGGGAAACGGGCTGTCCAATGAAGAGAGGCCGTCTGCAGCAAATCGGACCAAGCACAGGTGGGATGGATGGGTGCCAACGGCGCCTAACCGCCCACGTGCGCAGGGGACCCTTGGAATGCGCAGAAGGACTTGCATGTGAGCTCCTCGTCCTGCAGCCATCACAGACCCGGGTAGTTGACGATGTTCAACCAACACTAAGCAAATCTTACGTGGCTGCCGCCTCGTTAGTAATTCTACATTTTGGGATTCGACTGAGGGTGTAGGCAAGGTGTAGGTATGTGATCTCGTAGTCCGGACCCGGCCGTCTCTGTCTTTTGACCTCGACGCGGAGCTAGAATCGGAGCTAGAATCGGCGCCTCTTCCATGGAGAAATTGTTGCGCCGAAGGCCCTTCCAGTCTCGAATCTTTAGCATCGGAGTCCACAAAAACCAAACTCCTCGAGTCGCGACCTACTGCCAAGATTTAACTACCTTCCTAACCGAACCATCGTCATTCATATATGGTATGTTTCCACGCGGATCACACCATGGTATCAAGGTGTTACACGCCCAAGGTAGGTGGTAATGCAAACCGGGACAGACGATCTCACCAACGGCTAATAATAGCGTGCGTTCGCACATGCATAAAAAATTATGGGCTCCGTTGGTAATCAGAATTTCTTGTTTGGGTGGGGGGACTGAGCCTGGGAGGAACAGGCCCGACCAACTAATCTGAGTCTGGGCTTTTGTTTCTTTCTTGATTACTTGTACCTTTTGTAGAAATGCATCAATCGAACCCCAGGGTAAGCAAGGAAATGCCCCGTGGGACCAGACTACGTGTGGAGATTGATCCCAGCAGCGTGGCTCAGGTACCACATATTGCTTCAAGTGTTGATGGTCTCCCAGCTGCTGATGGGCTCAATACCACCAGAGAGGTATGGGGCAGATTAGAGGAGGTCTGGAGCGGAGCACATGCATCCTCCTCGATGACAATGGGGGCACGCGGGGCTCTGCTGCTGTGCTCCGTACCTACGTACATTGTCAACCCGGAACTTCAGGTTGTCGGTTCGGATGAACCAGGACCAGGGCCCTGGTCTAGTATCCAAAGTAAAATTCTCGACCCCGGCGGATTTACTACCCAAATGTGGATGATATTTCTTTTGTTTGATCTCCACAGCGAATCAGCTCCTGGTGCGACCCAAGACAACGACCCACGATCACGGCATGCATCGACCACTACCGGGTTATGGCGTTCTCTGCCAGTCCCATTCGCCAATGATAAGCCTGGGAATTGCAATAGAGGAGCCAGCTTACCCCTTCAGCTGTGATGACAACGCCCAGCCTCCCAAGAGCTGCAGGATGCGTTTCGAGGGATCCTGTAATCTCATCCTGCGATTGGTGTGCCCGGAGTGGAGACAGAGCTATCACATCCGAGGGGATACAGCATTGTGCAGAGGCGTCGAGTGAGCGGTGAGTGGACCGTGAATTACCGGAATCGTCCCATGGCATCTATCCCATCTATCGAGGTGATCCGCGAGCTCCGGTGCAGAGGTTGGGTACAAAAGTCGTCCATCGGCCACCATCTAGCACTCGTTCAGCATCCTCGCCAGCTCCAAACGCAAGGCACGGATGCTCATTGAGGCCATACTGAGACCGGCTGACACTACCCATTCCCTGATATAACATGGCGCCCACTATGAAGTCGTTCCTGCTTACCCTTCTACCTCTGGCATCCGCCCAAGGCTGTCCCTTCTCGGGAGCCAATAAGCGTGATCTCCTGGTCGCCAGAGCGGATGAGCCATCTCTTGAGCGGCTTGCCGATTCATTTGGCCAATGCCCGATGATCAGCGACGCTGCAGGCAGGGGCACTCGAAGCCGTGACTGGTGGCCATGCCAGCTGAGGCTCGATGTGCTCCGCCAATTTGCCCCTGAGCAGAACCCTCTCGGCAGTAGCTTCGACTACGCAGCCGCTTTCAGCAAACTGGACTGTAGGTAGCCTATTATAGTATTCTGTGCATGTGGCTGTGGGCAGCAGTACTAACAGACACAGACGAGGCGCTCAAGTCTGATCTCCGGTCTCTCTTGACAGACTCACAGGCGTGGTGGCCAGCAGATTTCGGAAACTATGGCGGGCTGCTAATTCGCGCCGCCTGGCACAGTGCCGGTACCTACCGTGCTATCGACGGACGTGGCGGTGGTGGCATGGTATGCCTTCTCCCTGCTCTCCTTTCGTTCATCCCTCGTGCTGCTCTATTCCCCCGAAACTCGGTGGCTGATTTGGAAATTGTCATATAGGGTCAACAACGCTTTGCACCGATTAACAGCTGGCCCGACAATGCGAACCTGGATAAAGCCCGACGTCTGCTGTGGCCCATCAAGCAGAAGTATGGCAAGTCTATTTCATGGGCTGACTTAATCCTCTTGTCTGGCAACGTGGCCCTCGAAGTGATGGGTTTCCCAGTCCTTGGCTTTGGTGCCGGCCGTCCCGACACGTGGCAAGCCGATGAGAGCACCTTTTGGGGAGCTGAGACGACCTTCTTTCCCCAGGGTAATGACATTCGCTATAACGGGAGCACCGACTTTCTCACGCGAGCAAGCCATCTACAGGAACCACTCGGGGCCACTCACATGGGTCTTATCTATGTGAACCCCGAAGGCCCCAATGCAAATGGAGATCCCAAGACATCTGCCCTCGATATCCGTATGGCCTTTGGCCGCATGGGCATGAACGACTCTGAGACAGTTGCGTTGATTGCCGGCGGCCATGCCTTTGGCAAGACACATGGCGCCTCTATCAACAGTGAGTCCAGGTCTCACGTGTCGGACCGGTGAAAACAATTCGTACTGATAGGCATTTCTTAGAAAATGGCCCCGCCCCTGAGGCCGCACCTCTGGAGCAGCAGGACCTCGGATGGGCAAACAGCTTTGGTACTGGCAACGCTGGCGACACTATCACCAGTGGACCGGAAGTCGTCTGGTCCAAGACGCCCACGAAATGGAGCAATGGTAGACGCAATCTTCTGCTTCGTAGAAACCCAATCTGATATACTGACACAAAATCATGCTAGACTTCCTACTCAGTCTGTTCAAGAACAACTGGACTATGGTTAAAAGCCCAGCGGGAGCGCAGCAGTTCGAAGCCCTTGATGGCAAGCTGGAGTATCCTGATCCTTTTAACCAAACGTTCCGTCGCCCGACTATGTTGGTGAGCGATTTGGCCTTGCGCGAGGATCCGATATACGGTCCAATCGCAGAGTCCTGGGTTGAAGACTTCAAGGGCCTGACAGATGCGTTTGCGGCAGCATGGTGTAAGTCGGGTCCCCTGGAATCGCAATTCCGCTTCCTGTCCCTCGCCACTTTGCTGACTTGAGATGACTCCAGACAAGCTTTTGCATCGTGACATGGGCCCCATTGCGCGCTACCTGGGACCAGAGGTGCCCAAGCAGCGGTTCATTTGGCAAGATCCCCTCCCTACCGTCTGCTACCCTCCGATCGATGATGCCGATGTTGCCGCACTGAAGTCAAAAATACTTGCCTCTGATGGAATAACTGTCTCGAATCTCGTTTCAGTAGCATGGGGCTCCGCCTCAACTTTCCGCGGCGGCGACAAACGCGGCGGCGCCAACGGTGCCCGCATTGCTTTGCAACCCCAAGCTTCGTGGGCGGTGAACAATCCTAAACAGCTCGAGACTGTACTGAAAGCGGTATGATAATCCTCGTTCACACAAACCAAAAGATTATTTAGACTGACCTTCATCCAGTTGAATACTATCAAAGCCGAATTCAACAATGCTCACAAAGGCAGCAAGCAGGTCTCGCTCGCGGACCTCATTGTCCTTGGCGGGAATGCAGCCGTCGAGAAAGCTGCTGCCGCTGCCGGGCAGAAGTCGATCACCGTGCCATTCACCGTTGGTAGGGTTGACGCCACCCAAGACGACACGGACATTGAGAGCTTCCAGTACCTGAACCCGCAGGGAGACGGTTTCCGCAACTATCGAAACACAACAGGCTGGTCTCTGGCACGCACGGAGGAACTGCTGGTCGACAAGGCCCAGCAGCTGACGCTGACGGCTCCCGAGATGACAGTACTAGTTGGCGGCATGCGCGCCCTGGCAGCGAATTTTGACGGCTCGACTCACGGAGTCCTGACAGACCGCCCTGGTGTCCTCACAACCGACTTCTTCACCAACCTGCTCAATATCAACACCGTATGGACCGCCGCAGACTCCGGCAAGGAGTTGTTCAACGGCAAGGATCGTGCAACTGGCGCGCCAAAATGGACCGCGACGCGCGCTGATCTCGTCTTTGGCTCACATTCCGAGCTGAGGGCCATTTCTGAGGTCTATGCCGAGCAGGGAGGACAGGAGCTCTTCGTGTCTCACTTCGTTGCTGCTTGGGCCAAGGTGATGGATCTGGACCGTTATGACGCCAAGAAGTAATGGACAGTGCCTCTGCCATGTGCAGGGATGATCGATGCGTCGAGATTTTGAGAACACTTCCAAGTATTTTCGTTCTTGTACATATTCTTGCTCGAGCATTTGACTTCAATACACCCGCATTGTCTGATCCTTATACGCCATAGTAAAAGCAATGAGATAATCATTAGCGCAATGGCTGAATCCTGAACAGAGCTATCTTTGGGTGAAACGGACCTGCAGCCGATAGTTGGATGAAGCCTGTCCTCTGTATTTGATGAAGTCGGGCTTGTGCCGTTATGTCCGGCGCACGATTAAAGGTCAAGCATCTCAAGGGATTTTGCCATTTTTGGCATACACATAGTCGAATAAGATCTCTGAAACGCCACATTCATGTCCTTTCGTCCACCGCTGTTGAGAGAGGCCCAGTATTCTGAGATCAAGAACCCAACGGCTCCACGGAGAACGCGCCGCAGTCGACGCTCGGCAATCTAGCATTTAAGCTTAAATTTGAGACAACGCAGTATGCACTGGCGCAAGCAATGACATCATTACGAAATACAGTCACTTCATCAATCACAGAGCGCAATTTGAAGATTCTGCACGATTGAACTCTCGCTAGACAGACAGTGACAGTCAAGCCATAGAAGAAATGCCTTGTATCGGGCTAAAACGAGTGAGGTATCATATGCACAGTACAATTGCCATCCTTAAACAACTGAAAAGAAACTAAAGGCCATCATGTGGAAGTCAGGAATATTCTAAGTATACTTGGAAAGGAAAGATCGCTCGGCTGTGGTCACGAAAGTGCCACAGGGATTGCCCTCATACATGTCCAACCGTTTTGGACTAGGCGAGACCGAAGATGCCATCTCGCAACAGCCTTAAATGTCGATGTTGCCTAGCTTACAGAACTTCATGGCATATGCCTCTGTATGCAGAGCAATGGTCAGTGAGTAAGAAGACTGCGTGATGAAGTGGGCACTGTTTCCTGAAGCTTACCAAGGGCAGCCGCCGCAAGGCTCTCTGCGTTGCGGAATGGCTGGGTGAGATCCTCGCAATCACCCTCCTTCCCTTGCTGCCAGATCTTGGCAAGGTTCCGGGCCTGCAAAGGGGGATTGTTGTCTGGGGGCACCCCTTGGACATCTTCCGTGGCATGTGTGTCAAAGTTTCCATCATCATCACTGTAAACTTGTTAGACACAGCAAGATGCGCGAAAACAAAGTCTATCCAGGTGGGGTTGTGCGTACTGTACTGAAGGATAGCTCGCGGCTTTCGTCACGGCGTCAAGATGTGTCATCTCATGCAACAGAACCAACCCCCCGACCGAGAAGTCCCGGAATTTGGCCTCCGGTTTGCACCACGAGTCATCTCTGCGACCTGGATTGGGAATCCACTTGTGCGAAGTGGTGCTTTGTTTAGACCAGTCATGAGTGAAGTAAATCGGGCAGATTTTCATCTGACGCGCAGTGTCTCCGTCTTGTGGTCGGGCATCAGTAATCGCGAAGCTCTGCGTGGTACTGCGATGCCGTGTTAAAGACAAAGAAGTCAGAGTGTGATGGTCAAATCACCTACCGAGATGAGCACTCTTGATCATCATTGGGTGCGCACCGGACCGAAAATTTGTACGGCGGATTCGTAGGGTCGTTGTTCGAGGCAACGATGCCCCAGAGATGCTGAGCTTGCAAGAGATCTTCATCCGCGCCATCTCCCTCGGTCCTGAAGTAATGTTTGTACCTGGAAGTACATTGCGATGTCAGCTCCTACCAACCAAACTATTGACTGGCCCGGGTTTCTTACGCGGCGTGGTCTTTACTCATGTCGTTATAAGCATGCAGGGCGAAACTGGCCGCGTCGGCAAAGTCCTGATTGAGTTTAGTTGTTTGGTCTGGATTGCAGCCATTAATGCTCTCTGTGTATCGTCTTCCGAGAGAAGCAGAACTCCCCAGACCCGTAGGTGAAGCGAGACTGCTAAATGCCAGGTGCATAAGGATAGTCGCCGCGACATAGGTGGCATTCCTGGTGGAAGGCATATTGGCTGGTGACGTGATGTAGTCCGAGAAGGTAGGACTATCTGTATGAATGAGGGCAGTTTGAAAGCTTCAGATGTCTCTATGGACTGGAATGCTTCTTGTTTCAGTCTCAGCGGCAGCACCTCCAGGTTTTATACACAATCGTTATTTAGGAGTGTCTCCCCAAAGACACAGTCATCGGAACACAAGTTTAGGCCCTTCACAGGATGTGAAGCGTGAGTCTGCTAGAAATAGAGTATGCTACCAGGATGATGCCATGGTCGCAGCGAGATCCTCTTGTCTCTGCCTTGTCTCTCCCTTGTCTTGACGCACGATTGTCTGGTGGCATAGGTATTCAAGACGTTTATTAGATACACAATTAGAAATAACTTAAGTGCTTGAACTTCTGACGTGATATTTCAAGATCAACATGGTGGCACAAAACTCTGCCCCCCTTGAGCTTGGGGCCAACCTGGAGAACTCCTGGCGGCGAGTGTGCCCGAGTTGATGAGGTGGCGGCCGGGAAGGATTGTCCGGCGGGAAGGGGCCAACCTCTGGCATCCTCATTACGCACAAATATTATCATGGACAGTTACAGCGGTTGATTTGTCGGCTATTGAGATGGGATCCAGTTGGAGAATGACAACCAATGGTCATTAGTTAGAGTTGCGCTATCTGTACCCTAACAGAATTCCGTTGTCAAATAATCGATGCGAAATATCAGCACGCTACTAACAATTCTACCTTTATGTTTGGAGGTTTGTCACATTGCTCATTTGGGCTACATCAACTCCGTGCTCACACATGAAGCCTTGTGAGATCATTGTGCAGGGGAGCTACAAAAGGCGCTTGACTCAGCAGACAACAGCCTGGGATGAAACTGGCCCCCATATGCTGTACAACCGATCGGCTGAGGCGTAGCATCATATACGATGAGGTGCTTGTAAACGATTCGCGCATAGTTGGCCAGACTTGCGATCCGCACCGGCTGAGGTCAGCCTGAAGATCAGACACTGACGTCATTGGGCTTGACGACAAGCAATGCCATCTATAATTGCCTCGTCGGACTGGCAGCTGCTATTATTTGAGCGCGTGTATTTTCATGAATTGTCAGAAAGCTGTCGTTTTGTGCCTATCTTTCATTGCCTACTCATAGAGCGCGGAACTGGTTTTCAGGATGGCCTTTGCGAAACCCAAGTACGATCCAAACCTCACGCAAGTCACCTTGCAAGCCAGGCTGGCTATTTCCCCAACACTGTCACTTAGCAAGCCCGATGCCACACTAGACATCACTTTAGGGCTGCGCATCAGCAACACCGCATACTCCGGGGAGCCAGTGACTATTCTCACCCATCGATCTGCTTTTGAGGTCTTTGGTGATGATGGCATCGACATGTTTGCGCGCGGCGCATTTGGTGCAATTCGAGCCTTGGATAACGACAATCAGCCTATGGATAAACAGATCTCACTTGGCTTCTTTCGCGTCAATGAGGTCGTGAATAGCGACTCTCCTGATCTGAGAGAGCGTGGTTATCAGTTCCTTACCATACCGGGGGATGGCAGTGAGGTGGCTGTCACACACCGATTGTCTTGGGAGCGAATCTTTAAGTACGAGGAGAAGTTATCCCGGCATGACTTGACTCCAGGCGAGAGATTCAGTATCAGTGTCAATGAGAGATATATCGGTACCTCTTGGTGGTGTCTTGGGGATCTCGAAGGCGTCCTCAGAGATAAGAAGTTTCATTCATGGACAACGGACGAGTTTGGAGAGCAGCGGCCGGATGATAATTTCCTTCGCAAGGGAAACTGGGCCCTGGGGAGAAACCCTAAAGAACTGTATTGGGCAGTTGACAAAGTTAGCAATGAGGAGGCGGTTTTCGAGATAGTGGACTGAGTCAGTCATACGAATAGTTCTGCTCGGTTCGATACTGTTGACTTGATATTGACCAAAAACCCCCAAGCAACCTCGAAGAATCTCCCCGGATTATCTCAACTGCCCAGCCATATGAATCATAACCACTGACACTACCCACTTGAAAGTTTTTCTGTATTGAATTTGTATGGAATGAACCCCGAGGCACAATCCAGAGTGTTTGCGGCTAAGAGGAAAAAGCGATCTGGTGATAATTGATCTGCGAAAAGGTTTCGGCGATGTTCAAGCCTGTGACCAAATTGCGTGCAACTTGCTCGACTCGGTGTCATGGACAGGAAATGGAGGTTGGTTGCTGAGGGAATTTCGCATGTGACATTATCCTCCTACAGACTAGCGGTATGGAGAGGGGTCATACCCCGGCCGTTGCATCGCGGAGCTTCGGCTAGTGGAGCGGAGTTTTGTCCAGAGATGCCAACAGCATCTGGGCATTAGTGATTCCCTATGCAGTGTGTCTTCCGTCCTCCAATAAGCTCCCGGCAGTAGTCGTGTCATTGGCGCTGCGTATCCATCCCAGTATCCATCCCGGTACATATCGCAGCTTCTGTTGGCTGCTCCTCTTTATTGTCGGACAACACAGGTCAGGTTGCGCAGCTTGTGGGGTCAGTCCAATGCAATGTCCCTTGTTTGAGACTTTGTGCCGACCGCCCGTTGGAACACTGATGAGCGGGGACGAGTCTGTAAAACCGTCAATGCTTTGATAAGTCAAACGCGCCCCTCGGTGCCCCCTCGCCGCCATCTTTTTCCCATTGTCTTTCCTAGCTCGCTACGCCGCCAATTAGTCTGCGCCAATCCACTTTAACGGAATCAACCAAAATAGATTGAACGACGAGTACTTCAGTTAGTAATCATCGGATGTGTTCCGACGAGACTCCTCAGGCACCCGAGGGTGGTGCTGGCGCAATCGAAGTTGTATGTACCCGCCCTCCTTACTTGACGTCCCACCACAAGCCATCAGGATGCTCAAAGTGCTTTCAACATCGATCTGACCGACCATGAACGACGCTCTTGCAGGATGCTGATGATGCCGACTCAACTTACCCAGCGTCGTAAGTCCATCTAGGTGTCGGTTCAGCCACAGAGATCCGTGGCTCATCTGACCCATGACGCTAGGCAAGTCACCGATACGACATCGCTGAGGTCCTCGATCCTGAACTACAAGTGGGAGAATGGACGGCGATACCACGCTTTCGAGGATGGAGCATATTGGTGAGAGACACACAAGCCATGCAAGCAATCTAGCGATCCATTTTCTCGCTGCTCACGTGTTTCCAACAAAGGGCACCGAACGATGACCGCCAACAAGAGGCAGAAGACCTCATGTGAGTCTCTTACTCCTAACCGCGGCTTGTTTCTCCTGAGAGCAGTATGCGCCGCTGCGTAGTGCAAGCACAGGCTTATTTTGTCTCCATAGGCACGAGATGTACCGCGTCATCTTGGGCGGAAAGCTGTACGCAGCTCCCATTGCGGAAACAGTACAAGTATGATGCCCTGCACTCATCCTTCCAGTGATGATAGAAGACTAGATTGTCAGTCTAGAATGTATTAGACGTGGGATGTGGCACCGGTATCTGGGCCATGTAAGCTTCTCGTGGTCAATTCTGTTCCAGCTAGTCAAACTCTAATCAACATCTTGACTAGTGAGTTCGCAGACGAGCACCCCTCCGCCGAAGTTCTCGGTGTCGATCTCTCACCTATTCAGCCGGGCTTCGTACCCCCCAACTGCCGCTTCGAGGTCGACGATATCACCAAGTCTTGGACACACGCCGAGAACAAATTTGACTTCATCCACATCCGAGCCATGACTGGCTGCATTCCAAACTGGACAGAGTTTTACAAGACCGGCCTACAGCATCTGAAGCCGGGTGGCTGGCTCGAGCACGTCGAGCTCTGGGGCATCGCCAAGTCTGACGATGGAAGCCTCAAGGCCGAGTCCCCACTGAACAAGTGGGTGGAGATTTTTGAGAAGATTGGCGAGTCGACGGGCAAGACATTCTTTTGGGGCGACAAGGTGGCCGACTCCATGAAAGAGGCCAAGTTTGAAAACATCTACAAGCAGCGCATCAAAGTACCGATTGGCACATGGCCCAAGGACAAGGACCTGAAGCAATGGGGCATGTGGAACAGGCAGTTTCTCCTCGGCGGCCTCGAGGGCTTCTCAATTCGCGGCCTGACTGAGCTCTTGGGAGTATGTTTCTATTCCCTCGTCCCGGACCACTGCTTGTTGTGATATTGAATGCTGGACTAACGAGCACATTTGAATGTAGTGGAAGTATGAGGAGGCCCAGCTTTATCTGGTTGACTTGCGCAACGAGATCAAAGACCCAAAAGTCCATGCGTATCTTGACCTGTATGTGTGCTTGCTCCTTCTCCGGTTGCATGAATGGTCGCTTACATCATTGCTATACAGGACGATTGTTTACGGCCAAAAACCCAATGATGATTAATATGTTCCCGTTAACCAGAAGTCCGGCCCCTGCAAGCAACTTCGAAAGGCACAAATTCAAGATCAGAATGAATTACTGTGCAGACTGGATGTTTCTGATAAAGTGCTAAACAAGGGTCGAAAAGCTCCACCGAATACAAGCATCTTGAGCTTGTCTTGGTCTTATGTTGTCTTTAGAAGCCTTGCAGTGCGGTCAATAATACAGAGATTTTGTGCTGACACATATTGAACCTCGCGTGATCACAGCCTTACAGTACCAAGCCGTGGAGGCCTTTTGTGTAATACCTGAAAAAGTGGTACGGCGTACTCCTTGAACACACTTGCAATGGCAGACGCAGGATCGTACTGTCAAGGCTGAATATGGTAACCACGGGGTAAGTGTTTTCTCACGGCCTATATTGAGAACGAGGAGGGAAAACACCTAACAACATGCTCTAAACATCATCAGCTGTCATGTAACAATATCCACTTGCGCGGTCGAACAACAGTTTCGACTGCTTAATCAATCTAAGACTCTGATCAAGCACTCAATCATTTGAACAGCTCTGTCTTGTCTTGATCGAAAAGGGAGCTTGATTAAACCTCTAACTACTGCAAGAACTCCCTCCCCTCTCCCTATTTATCTAAGTGTTTGGGTGCCCCTTATCCTGTGCAGATTGTTCTGACAACCAGTAGCGAGATCAAGCGTTTGAGGAGTCCCTGAGCCCGGACACAATATCATCACAACTAATTCCATCGTCCAGTTTCTTACATTGACTGGAGATTGTGAAGGGTCTTCCTCTTATAAGGGTCTCACTTGATAACTGGCTTGTTCATCCAACGTCATTGGCTCCTTGGCAGGCACCAGATCTGAAGCTTCCGGGGTCGTTAGAAAGCTGATAATAACACCAAGTGGGTCTTTTGGACTGTATAAAAAGAAAGGAGGTTTCTCTTATGCTACCCGAATCCCAGAGGAGACAAGGCTACAAATGGGATTTGCAGTGGTGGCGCGGTCTGTAGCCTCGGGTGAGGCGGCGGTTGTGCTCGGCGTGGACAGGCTCAGGCGCTAGTCGCCTGGGCAGGCGGCTACCCGGCACATCCGGGTGTTAATTGGCAGGGCTGACCGTCAGCGCCACAACAGGTTCAAGGCTGACTCTGTGGGGCTCGCTTAAATTCAACGCTCGCGGTTTAGATTCTGTGGTAGGAGTGGGCTTTAGGACACTTCTAGCATGGCGCCCTTCCCGCCCTGTTGGAGGCCTTGGGAGGCCTACTTCAGCCGTACCTGCATTAGGAAGAGACTGTGGAGTACCATCAAGGCCTCGGTGCATATTAGATCTGTCTTGGTCTCGCTCAGCTGTCCCGTCGTGTCAAATACAAATGCCCTTAAGTTGCTTTCTGAGCCTGTACTAAAACGCCACCCCTTTGTCTTCTCCAACTTATCCACATTCGCCCAGTCAAGTTCGCCAGCCAACTTGAACATCATGCTCTTCCCAGCCTTTCTCGCTATGGCATCTCTCGCCCTGGCTGACCCTCGTGTGTTCGGCGCGCGCGGCACCCAGGCCTGCCAGGCTTGTTTGTCCGATGTTGAAGAGAAGTGCCGCGGTCCTACCTCGAGCGAGCAATTTAACAACTGCTTTTGCTCCATTGGCACTGAAGGTCTCGCATGGCCGGCACTCGCAAAGTGTGTCTCTGGTCAGGACGCAAAATGCCCGGCAAATATCCAGTACGACATTCTGGGTGACTCACAACAAACTGTAATTCGGTTCTTCTTAGACCCGAATTGAAACCCCATACAAAATAAAACGGCGCTATGATTACAGGGGGTAGAACCGAATTGACAAGCAGGGGGTAGAACCGAATTGGTTTCC